CGACGCTGACGGCCTGGGCCCTGCCGTACGACCTGACGCTGTTCTACACCTTGTACCGCGCCAGCCTCAGCGAGGGCTTCGACTACAACACCTGCCTGGCCGCCGCCCTCGCCCTCGCCGCCTGGACTATCTTCAGCAAATGCACTAAGTTGATGCCCCACTTCGTGCGGCACCCCGAGGACACGATCCTGCTGCTGCCCGTCGTCGTCGTGTTCGGCTACGTCCACGGCCTGATCAAGTTCTGGGGCTTGGTCACGCTCAATGCTGTAAGTCGTGCATGCCGCTGCCGCCGCCGCGAACCGTGTACCCCGCACACCCGCCGCGCCCTTAGCTAACACACGGCCTTTGCAGACCACCTGGGGCAGCAGACCCGCCGCAGACACCGACGACGCCATCCGAATGGAGCGACCCAAAACGCAAGCAGGCTTTGCGTATTCGGACAACGAAAAGTTATTACCGCATCTTCCAAAATAGACACCCATACGCTTTTTGTTCGAGTTGCTTTGCTTGGTGGTCTTTCCTGTCTGAATAATGCCGCGCTCGTGCCCGCTTCCGGAAAAGGGGAGGGGGGCGTGAGATCTAATCTTGCATGGCTGGCTAGGGTTTGTTGATGATGCGTCGCACAGCGATCGTGGCACATCGGAAGAGGTGTGCCATTGGTTTTTTTTTCGTCTTTCTTCTTCCTTGTTCATCTTTCCTCCCTCTTTTTTTTTTCTTCTTCTTCGTTCTTGTTTTTTTCCAAAATGCACGGCAGAGGCGCCGATGGCTGCGCACTTGATTTTTTTTTCTTGCTCAAGGAAAAAGAAATATGGACGGGAGGCTGGCTTGCATTCACATTGTCTTGGGCCATTTGTCGCGCTGCACTGCGAAAGGGGGGGGTTCGGACTTTTTTTTTTCTTCCCTTCCTCTTCGCCTGCGTCTGGTTTCCTCTTGCATTTTGCGCCTTTCATTTTTTTTTAAACCGTGTTTGCCGATATCCCAGGATGGCGTAGAGGGCACCAGCAGCTTGCATCATGTCCAGAGAGAGACTCGATCTCACGATTTGTGTGTATAATACACTTTTCTCATGGGCGGGTTAAAAAAGAAGACCAATATAGTCAGCAGTAATGCTATGCATATCTCTCACGACGATGGCTAGTCGACCTTGGGGCGGCGCGTGGTGGTGAAACGCGACGATAAAGGAGACGTTCTGCCCATTGGTGAATGGCAGTTGGCGGCGCGTCCGGCGCCATGCAGACGAAAAAAAAGAGGCCCCAGTTCCGCACCAAGACGGAGCGTCGCGCTCGACACTACCGCCACGGCTATACAGCGCCCGAAATCTGCCGGCTGGCGTCCCCATCACCCCCGGCGGGCTGCTCAGGGAAAACGGGCTCAGGGCCCCATATTGCGAAAAGTAGCGGACGTCATGGGCCTCAAAGTGTCCGGATCAGCGCTCTGGAACCCACTCCACACGGCTCCAATGGGCATGCCGAGAGGCGTCCAGTGCCGAAAAGAGAGGCGCGACATGCCCTGCAGACCGTACGGGGAAAGGGCTCGCCCGCAGCGCCGGGTCGGCTTGAAGAAAAGGCTGCGTTGTTCCCGCGAAGGCGCAGCCAGGGAAACAGAAAAAGCGCCATGTCACATTTCTTGTAGATGCATGCGGGAAAGGTTTAGGCGAGAGATCAGAACCGCAGATTCCCTTTCGTCAGCATGTGCCGGGCCCTGAAGAATAGGCGCATACGGGCGAAGTGCGACCTGCGTCCACGCCGTGCGTCGCGCGTCGCGTGCGGCCCAGTCACGGCAGCTCGAGCGAGAAGGAACCCTACCCGCCACGGTACCCGTAAGGTTTTCCCATGCCCCAACCGGCCGCATCGCCGGGCGCGGGTGGAGAAAGGTTGGAAGGGTCTCTGCACGGCACAGGTGTCAACAGCCGCGGCGCGCCTTGGCCGAGCAGGTCCTCCTCGTTCATGCCAGCCGGGTTGCCAGGTGCCAGCCATCTGTGCTGCGCGGCGGCAGGGTGGTGCTCGCGACCGCCGACCGCATCGAGCGACCGGCTGGCCCAGGGACCCTTGGCGGGCCAGCCAGCTCCATCGCGATCATCCAGATTGCCTTGCTCCCGGAGTGCAGGCCGGCCGCACGCAACTCGCGGCTGCCCGGCCAAGCCTGCGACACCCGCAATCGCCGGGGCGATGCAAGCCTGCCCGCCCGGCAACAGCCGTCAAGCGTCCCGGCTGTCGCTCGCCCGTCCAGGGATCGCAGCACGGGCTGTGACGGGCTGTGACTTGAGCGCAGCGGGAGCAGCAGCCGGCCAGCAGGGTCTGGCTCTCCGGGTCGCGGCGTGTGTGGGCGCGAAGGAGCGACGCAGACCTGGCGACCCACCCGCGCGCGCGCGCGCTGCGGCCGGCTGTCATCATCCAGCAGCCAGCGTGTGCGCGCTGCTCGGTGCAGGTGTACGGTGGCTAGCGGCGGCGGCGGCAGCAGCGCGGACGGACTGATGGCGGCGGGCACGGGCGTGGCACAGAGAGTTTATATGCCGCCGCCCGGGTCCGGGGTGGTTTGCGCGGTTGCGGCCTAGGTACCTCGGTCTCCCTGTCGGGCGGTTGTTCCCGCATTGCTCACAGCAAAAAAGCAAAAAGCACATCGCATGACGGGCGAGGCACGCGTCTGATGGAAAACGCCTGCTGCCACGAGGGGGACGGGAGGGCGCGCGTTGCTTCTTCTCCGGTTTGCTTTTGCCGCACCCACGCGCGCAGCGATCGTCCCACGGCGGGCTCTCGAGGGCTCGAGGCCCTCAGGCATGCTGTGGCGCGGCGCGCGGTGGGGCACAGTCGCGCGGCGCAACCGTTGACAAGAGAGAGCGTGCGCGGAGTGGCAGGCGGGCAGGTCTACGCTGCCCTGGTCGGCGAGCCGTCCCTCGTCGACTCTTCGTTTCGTCCGTCAGTGCGGTGCGGCGTGAGTGCAGACCATGGATGATCCCGCAACGACGCCGTCGGTCGCTCCGCGCTTCCCGTCCTTCATGGTCCTGCTCGCGCGAGGGTCTGTTGACGAAGAAATTTCCCTGCTGTGGCTCGGCCCTGGGGGCGCTGCGCGAATCGCGGCGCGCGCAACAGCTATCGTCATCGTCAGCACGCCCCAGTCTGCTCCGAACCGGCGCGTTGTTGTTGGCACCCTGCCCAGCAGGAGCTGCTGGCCTTGGGCCGGCGCAGACTGACCGGCGGCGGGCGGGCCCATCAGCCCATGGCCCAGCCGGGGGGGTGAGAGGGGGGGCTTTGGTCACTACTGACAGCAGACCCTCTCCGCTTCGCGTCGACAACACGCCTGCTAGCGGTAGCCACATTGCGCAACTGGTGGGCGGCGCTTTGTCCGCCGCCCACGCCCATGCCCACGCCCACACAGACTGCCGCTTGGCCGCCGCCAGCCGTGCGGTGCTGGGACGAAATGAGACGGCGGCGTTACTCTCGGACGCGCGCCTCTAGCGGGCGCAGCTAGCTCCCCTACAGGCCCATCGCCTCCGCAATCCAACCTCCGCTAACGCTCGACCGGCGGCGAACCCACTCTCACGACGAGCGCGCTGTTTGCTGGCCGTCCATCAGCGGAGCTCGCAGCACATCGCGTGTGTCAAGGTGCGGCCAGACAAGCGATCCGTGGAGCTGCGCCTGCGCTGGAGCGAGTGGGAACGCGTGCCGGCCGCAGCATTCAGGTACATCCAGCCCTGCCCTTGGGAAAATCGCCGCACTATTGAAACCGTTGCGCGTAAACACTGCCCTCAATCTCATCATCATCAAGCATCGTCATCCCCGTGCCGTCGCGACTCAAGCCGCCCACCGCGCTCGGGCCCCGATTCCGCATCGCGCTTTGGCTCGCTCTCTAACAGCTGGACCCTCTCTCGCTGCTCGATCATCCACGTCCCCCCCTCCCCTTCGCTCGCGACCTCTGTGCTCCCGCGCGCTGGCTGCGGGAACTTCCCAAGCTTCGCACACCGCTGGGCTCGTGCTGTGCCCGGCTCCCGCTCCGGCGACACACGGACGGACGGTCCCCCCTCCTGCCTTTGCTCCTCCTCGTCCGTCTCCGTGGCTCCTCCTCGCGTCGAGCTTTGCGCGCGACGCGACAGGGCCAGCGGTTGACTCGCGCGTCCCGGCCATACCAAGGCCAGACGCAACGATTGCGCGCGATTCGGGCGATGCGGGGATTTGACGTGGGTGATCCGCCGCGGCCCATGCCACGGCCGGAAGCAGGACGTCTGTCCAAGGCTGCGCCGCGGAAGCTGCTGCTTGTGACCGTCTGGCATGGCAGTGCAACAGGTGCTATCGGCCTGCTAGTGCTGGCGCGCGCCATCTTCCTGGATCAGCAGCCACAGCCGCGACATTTATGAGAGTGACAGGTCTTCTTTGGAGGAGAGGTCCCCTACACCCCAGCGCCAAGCGCGCCGGGCTGCTCTGACTTGCATCGCGTGCTAGCAACCCTATGGTCAATGGCCCATCGGGATCGGAGGGTGTTCGCAGCCATGAGGCTCACGCGCATGTGCTTGACGCGGCTGTAGACAAGCCACCGCGCCCCCAGAAATCTCCGCCGCACATGTTCGGCAGGCTGACGCCTGCGCTGCCCGTCCAGATTCGCCACCAGCGAGTAAGGCGCAGAGCCGCAAGCTAATGCGAGTGTCATCTAAGCCGAGCTGCGTGATCAGCCGGCGGGAGGAAAAAGGAAAACAAGGCACATCGCGACCAAGCGGACCGCTTACCCCCGGGGCCAGACCATAGTCCCGTAGATGATACGCCAATATATGGCCCGGGCGAGGACGATATGGCCGTCCACCTGCCGTGGTCAGCAGGCAGCTTAGCATCTGGCTGAGCTCGAATCCGCCCGCTCACCGGCTTAGGCGCGCACTAGCACTCATTCTTCATGTCGTCCAACGGAGGATTTCATTTTCGTCATGGTGTTGACACCGCCCCTGCCGGCCGCACTTTCGCTGCCCGCGGGGTGGTGTGGTGCACGAATGGGGAATCTGCTACTACAGGGACTCGTCACAGCGTCCTCTCAACGGCCTCCAATCCATCAAGCGCATCCTTCCACTTCGCCAACTCGGCGTCGCCCAAAAACCGCCCTGCAGCGAGACCCTGCCGCCATCGCTGTCGCCGAAGCCTCGAAGCCTCGAATTGCGTTCCTTGACGCCGATGCCGCCCGATTTGCCCACCATCTTCTCGCCTGCCGGCCGCCTTCTGCTGCAGCTTCCGCGGCTCGTCCAACGCCCCCCCAGCGCGTTCTTCTCGAACAGGCCGGAAGATGCGAACCACCGTCTTGGTGAACACGGACGCCAGCCCGTCGATGGCACCCGCGCGGTTGAGCGTCAGCACCGGCAGTAGCACCTGGCCCAGACCCGTGAAGGTGTGGTCGACGCCGGGTGACGAGGCGACGAGGCCGAGGCCATCGAGATTGCCGTGGGACAGCTTTGCAGCCGACGATCTCAGGGTGCTGTGCCAGTTTGGTCATCCTGTCCAGGGCGATGGCGATATTGTTGGACACGCCGGGATAGTGGTGCCTTGCAACCAAAAGGGCGAATTAGCAGAGGTACCGAAAAAGACGCACAAGACATTTTTCTTCACGGAACCAATGGGCCTCGATCGTGCATTAGGGCTGCATGTGCTTTCTTCCGCCGGGACCTGCAGCATGCAAGCTGTCGAGTGTGGGTGGAGAGGTGCGTGAGGCCGCCTTGTCCCATCCGGACCGACATGATGGACTTGCAGAAGCAGCAAGCCAAAGACCAGGGGCGAAGTCGTCTCCCATCCCACCCGGATGGATGCCTCCAGTTCCCCGTGGACGTTCACTGGGTCGTTTATTTCCCCAACACGAAGTGCCCGGCTCCCAGGGTCCTGTTGCTGCAGGAACAAGCATTGGCGTGCAGATACATTGCAGAACATGGTCCGGAGGGGAGAGATCCGCCCGGGCAGATCAGCATCTTCACGTCAAAAACGTCCCGAACCGTGTGCTTTTTTCGAACTTCTGGCCCATCTCCCCAAACCACACGGCGGGACGGGGGAGGGGACCTCACGTCTCCACTCTTTCCCTCCAACCTTCCTTCCTGTTTCGTCTCCGTATCTTCTGGTAGATAATGCTTCCGAGGAGAAGGAGAAGGAGAAAAACAAAGAGAAAAAAAATGATCACTCACACAAGCATAGGGACGAGACTCCGATCAGCGACGGCCTCGGCCTCGAACCACGCAAACGTTGCCACAGCCCGCGAACACGGCGCTGGCGAAACAGCCAGGCGCGAGCACCACGCCCCACCGGGCGCCGGGCATCGTGGACCGCACGCGCACAGCTGGTCGACATTCTGGGTGGCGGGTCGCCGGCCTGGGTCAACCCGGCGCGCACTCGCCCGACATGTCGGACGTCGAAGCGCTCCTCCTTTGTTGGTGACGTGTGCACGGCCTTCGCCCGGTCAACCCGAGGATGACGACGAGCGGGCGCGGATGCCGGGCGCGGGCCAGGTACGACGTAGACGGGGTGGGGGAGGAGGGGCGACGGCGGCGTCGTAGTTTGGCGGCGGGTTTGGAGGCGAAGAAGGTAGGGACCTGTGTTTTTGCGTCGTGGTGTGGTTCGCGCACACACACACACCACCCCCTCCGTTAGCGTATGTCTTGCAGCGGTATTTTTGAATGCGGGGCTCCCGCAATCGTTTTCTTTTTTAGCGACACTGCTTCGTTGACAGGCTTCTCCAACAAAGGATGGAGGGGAGATGGTCTCGGGCTTCCAGGAGCATCCGAACGCGTGTTTGTGATGTCGCGTGCTCGACTTGGCATGTATGTGCTTACATACTTACACGCACGTAGATGCCCTTGGGAGGAGGAGAGGCAACCATGATGATGGGCAGCAGAGCGCGTTCTATCGGCCTACATCTAGTGCGAGAGAAATAACAAAAAAAAAGACAAAAATCTGAATTTTATGCGCCAGAGGGTGGTCAAATCCAAAGGACGAAGCAAGCAAGCAATGGCAAGCAAAAAGCCAGAGGTTGAAGAGACCAAAGAGATCTACCCCGCGCCCAGCTTGCCCTGATGCCCCCTCCCCTCCCCCACCGCGATGGTTATTTAATGTATGTACCACCACCAAAACCAACGCCGGCACCGGTTTGGCCGTTCCCTTGCTTGCTTGCTTGCCGGGCGCTTCAGTTTGTCGCCATTCCTCACGACAAATCTTGGTCTTGCACTCGGCCACTCAAGGCAAGTTAGCCGCCGCGCCACCGCCCCCCGGCCGCCCCCCCCGCCGCGACCATGATTCTCGGCGCGAAGCGCACGGCGGCCGTCGGCATTCGCACCCGCCATTATTCACAAGGGAAAAAGGGACGGGGGAAATAATGCGAATACGAGGGGGAGGGGAGGGGGAAAAGCTTGTCCCCCCAGACGCAGCAGCTTCGGTGCAAGTCAGCAGCGAGGATGTTTTTAGCGAGGGGAAATAGGCCGAAAGACGACGACAACGACAACGACAACAACAACAACAACAACAACAACAACGAGCCGGGCGCGGCGGGCGGGGCGGGCGTGTGCGGCGAGGAGCGGCGGCGGCGGCGGCGGCGGCGGAGGCCGAAGGAGGAGGGCTGGGGGGGAAACAAGAGCGCAAGCGGGGCGGGTGCCGTGATCACAGGGCGGGTTCGGCATGTGGCTAGGCCGGGTCAAGGTCGTGGTCGGCGGTCGGTTTGTTACTCCACTCTTTTGTCTTTGCCATAGGTCTTTCTTTCGGCGTGGGCGGCGTTAGGGCTGCTGCAACCACGAAGAAGGGTCGGAAGGCCGGGCGGCCGTTGAGGATTTTTTTATTTTTTTTTGATTGACGAGGGAGGAATGTTTGGGCTAGTGTTGGCAACGAGTATGGAGACTAGTCGGATGTGCTGCCAGCCTACCACCGCATAATGCCGAGGAACGGGAGAAGGCGAAAAGAGGATCGGGGGGGGATGGGGTTTGCTGCGTTTCCCACCCTCGGTTTCGGCCCCCAGGCGGCCATGTCAAATGGATGGAGTCGGAGGCGGTTAGATTGAGCGATTGGGGGACGGCGGCGACGGCGGGCATGACTTGCGTTAGTGTCCAGGGCTAGCACACACAGGCGCTCATTCCCTTTCGCTTACCCGTCTAGGCAGCAGGTCGTCTCGATGTGGCGCTTCGATTTGCCCACCCCCGGTGCAGATTGGCGAGTCGTGCAGACAAGAGCAGTCCAAGGAGTTGGCTCCGGCCGCGTTATATCCGATGGCAACGATGGCGCTTCTTGGTGTCTGGGCTGGGAGCGAGTGGTTTTGTTTTTGTGTGGGTTTTGGGCTTCGGCTTCGGTGCTGAGCCCCGCTTTCGCGGTTTTGTGGGACCATCTTCCGCCGCCTGTCCTTCCGCCGTGCCTCGTCGTCTGCCTCTTCTTTTCTGCCCACTCTTTCGGCTCTCAGGCATCCTGCCACGCTGCCCGCTCTGACCCCGTCGCCCTACGTCATCTGGTCTTTTGCCCATTGGCTCGCTTCGTGCTGCCAGAGGGAAGCCTTTTCCGGGCCCCGTTCTGACACGAAGCCGGAGGTCCAGAACAACCCAGCATGATCGCTTGACGTCTTGCGTTGCAGTAATCGTTACGGCATCCGTCGGGGCAGCCAAACCGCGACCGCCAAGACTTGGGCCTTCGGCCTTCGCTTGCCGGACTCTTCCACCCTGACCGTTGCCAACCCCGACGACTCGCCTCCTCTTGGCTCTCGCCAATGCCGCTGTCTGCGCCTTGGCTGGCAGCGAAGCTCGCTCTAACATTGCCCCGGATTTTCCTCCCCAGCATTTTTGCTGTACCACGTGTGATTGTCCAGCTCCTGTCCTTTTTTCCCCATTTAGCCTATCTCATCTCCATGTTCCCCAAGCCCGTCTTCTCCGCACACGGACCAATCTCGAAACTCACTTTCTACTTCTCCATCTCAACCCTCTACGTGAACACCTACACCCACACCCAACAGCGCCTCAATCAATCCTTTAGAATCGAAAGAAAAAAAAGAAGAAGGAGAAGAGAGAAAACCCCCCCGCTCGTCCAATCAATCAATCAATCAATTGACCAACCGCCAAACCAACCAACCAACCCCAATCCCCCACCCCGCAACCATGCCCCCACCACCCCGCATCCTCGACTCCCACATCCACCTCTGGCCGCACTCGTCCACCAACCCAGCCGGCCACGCCTGGATGGCCCCCGACGGGCCCCTAACGCGCCAATTCTCCCTCTCCGACTACCTCGCCGCGTCCTCTTCCTCCACCACCTCCTCCACCCCCGCTCCCTCCCGCGTCCTCGGCGCCGTCTACATCGAAACCGACCGCACCCTCACTCCGTCCCCCTCGATCCTCACCCGCGCCGCCCAACCCCTCGCCGAGCTCCGCTGGCTCCGCCGCCTCGTCACCGGCTCGCCGCTCCCCGGCGAAGGCTTCGCCGGCGCCGGCGGCGACGGCGACGGCGCGTCGCTGCTGTGGGGCGTCGTGCCGTGGTTGCCGGTGGACGGGACGGTGGGCGAGATGCGCGAGTACGTGCGGGCGGCGGAGGAGGCGGCGGGGCCGGAGGCGTGGGCGAGGGTCGTCGGGTGGAGGTTTTTGCTGCAGGGGAGGAGGGACGAGGGGGCGTTGGGGGAGGTGTTGGGGGGGGAGGGGTGGGTGGAGGGGGTGAGGGAGGTGTTGGTGCGTGGGGGGAAGGGCGGGAAGGGGTGGTGTTTTGATGTCGGGGTGGATGCGGGGGGGGCGGGGGCGTGGCAGGTGGAGAGGGGGGTGGAGGCGTGTGAGAGGGTGAATGAGGGGGTGGGGGAGGGGGAGGAGGGGGTGCGGTTCGTGTTGAGTGAGTGGGCGCTTTTTCTTTTTGTGGTTTTGGTTTTGCGGTTTTTTTTTTTTGGAGGGTGGGGGGAGTTGCGGCGGCGGCGGCTTGGGCGAGACAAGTCCTGTCATCTTTCTTTTTTTTCTCCGATTGGCTCTCCATCCCTCCCTCCCTCCCCTATCTGTGTTTCCTTCATCGTAGAGATGCCGGTGCATCGTCAGAACCACGCTGACCCAAAACCTCGACCACAACAGACCACCTCTGCAAGCCCGACATGCAACAACACCCCACCACCCCCGCGCAACTCGACGCCTTCGCCCGCTGGGCCGCCGCCATCCGCCGCGCCGGACGCTCGCCCCACACGTACATGAAGCTCTCGGGCGCCTTCTCCGAGATGGGCCCCGACTCGGCCTCGCTGTGGACGGATCCCGAGCGCGTGCTCGCGCGCATGCGGCCCTGGCTCGACGTCCTCTTCGACGCCTTCCCGCCCGAGCGCATCATGTTCGGCAGCGACTGGCCCGTGTGCAACGTGCAGGGCGGCGGGGACTCGGCGTGGAGGTGCTGGGTGAATGCCGTCGAGCGCATCCTGGACGCGTACGGCTTGACCGAGGAGCAGCGGGATCGCGTCTGGTACGGGACGGCCGTTGAGGCGTATCGGTTGACTCCGCCGGGGGAGAAGGCGTGAGGTGGGGGGTGGGGGTTTTTGGTGTGCTCTTCGATCGTTATGTTCCCTCAATGCAGTGTGATTGGTGGGGCTAAGGTTTATGTTTCTGGAATTCGGCATCACGGGGCAGATTTGGCATTGCTCTACGATTATAGACGGTGGTACTGGATCGGATTTGTTATTCCCTTTTTCTACAACGTATATACGCGCTACTGAAGATTCACAAACAACCCTCCATCCACAAGCAACTGCGCGCCATTCTGCATCCCAGCACATCAGCAACGCAATCTCAAAGAAGAAGAAGAAAAGAAAAGGGGGGGGCGCTCCACCACTCACCACATAACGACTCAAATCGCTCGCCAAAAACACAGCCGGGCCCGCCAAATCGGCGGGCTCGCCCGTCCTCCCCAGCGGGATCCGGCCCTCCATGTACCGCCGCTTCTCGGGGTCGGCCAGGTCCTCGTCGTTGAGCTGGGTGCGGATGGTCCCCGGCAGCAGCGCGTTGCAGCGGATGCCGTGGGGCCCCAGCGCGCAGGCGCACGACTGCATCAGGCTGAGCACGCCGGCTTTCGTCGGCGTGTAGTGCGCCTGGCGGCCGCCGCCGACGAGCGCGGAGATGGACGAGACGCCGATGATGGAGCCGCCGTGGCCCTGGGATGCCATCTGCCGCGCCGCGGCTTGCGTGGCGTGGAAGGCGCCGCCGAGGTTGGTGTTGAGCGTGAAGTTCCAGTGTTCGGTGTCGAGGCTGGTGGATTTTGTTAGGTGTGTGTGCGTCATGGGCGGACGATATTGGGGAGGGAGGGGGACGACAGCAGCAGTCTTCTGCACGAGGACCAAACCATCACCACCTGCACCCCCGGTGACACAAAAAAAAAAAGAAAAAGGGACGACTCGAGCAGGTACTCACTCCAAGAAATCAGCAAACCGACACACGCCGGCATTGCTGACGAACACGTCCAACCGGCCAAACTCATCCACCGTCCGCTCGACCAGCCGCCGGGCCGTCTCGGGCTTGGAAATGTCTCCAGGCACGGCGATGAGGCGGCGGCGGTCGTTGCCGTTGCCGCTGCCGGCGCCGGTGACGGTCGCCGCCGCCGCCGCCTCCGCCTCCTTCTGCATCTCCTCAAACTGCCGCGCCGACGCGTCGTCGCCGAGGTGGTTGACGGCGACGTGGGCGCCCTGGCGCAGGTACTCGAGCGCGATGGCGCGGCCGATGCCCGTCACGCCCCCCGTGATGGCGGCAACCTTGTCGGCGAGGAGTCGGGTCTGTGCCATTGTTGTCTATGGGTATCTTGCGCGCGGGGGACGGGGACGGCTGCGGGTGTTTGGCGTGCGTGCCTTTCGATTATTCTGTTTCTTTTTTCTTTCTTTTTTTTGGAGCGGGGATGATGACGTGGGGTCGGGCGCGGGCGCGGACGCGTGTGTGTGGGGTCCGGGGAAGGGAGCTAGAGATGAAAAAAAATAAATTCTATCAAACCAAAGCGAGGCGTTCAGGGAAAGAGAGAGATGAAAGAAGGCGTGTGATCGCTTCGTGTATCTCCTATGCAAGATGTCTCATCGAAAAGCCAAAAAGAAAAAGAAAAAAAAAAGGTCGGCCATCTCGCGTGTTTACAAGCTCCCCTCCCCCTCCCCCTCCCTCGCCAGGTGCTGTCCCGGCCGGGCGGGGCGGGGTAGCTATCTGCTCCACGGGGTCCCAAGCTCCCTTCCCCTTCCAAAATCCTTACTGGCCCGTTGCAACGGCAGCTCCGCGAGAAAAGGGTCCGTTCGAGCTTAAAGTACCGCGCCAAAGTTGGGACGCCCCGGCCCGCCCTGACTTCACGGCGGCTCTCGGGGTAGTGTGCAGCGAACGAAAGCCGCAGCCTACTCCGTACCTACCGCTCGGTCGGCCATTGCCAACGCCCCGGTTGCCGACAACACGAGACCGGCAACGGAAGGCTAGCCAGGCGGAGCAAGCGGCAGCGAGTGAGACATTGCAGTTGTACGGAGTAGGCCAAAGGCGAAGGGCGCCGGAGCATGCTCCGCTGCTTTATCGCTATAGGTACCTGCAATGGCGAGGCATCGAATAGAGCAAGCGAAGGGGCGGGTAGATTAAAATGACGACAACACACAGCAACGGCGCGCGGCGAAAGACGGGCCGGCCAACGAGCGAGGGGCCAGAACCTGAAGGAGAAAGACGACCCGCACAGAAGTAGAAGGTTAAACGACGACGTGGATATGCGCATGGGATGCGGCCGCCAAAACGGCCAAAACGTGCAGTCGTGCAGTCGAAGACCGCATACATATGCAGCTTTTTCCTTTCTTTTTCTCTTCACCGCGTGCGCGGTCGGCCGTGCGGCCCGGAGCGGCGGCTAAGCAGTCCATAACCGTGGCTTTGTTGTCGTTTTGCTTTTTGGGGTTTGCTTTTCCCGCTGCCGCTTCCCGCTCACATCATCGGCTGGCGAAAGCCGGGTTTTCGGATGTTCACAGTACACACGACTGGTGTCTGCGCCCATCGCTTTCTGCTTTCCTTTCTTCCCCACACTCCCTTTTCTTCACTGCACCGCATAGGTAGTGCCGTGCCCCGGATGCACGGGTTGCGTGTTGCAGCAGCAGAAGCAGCAGCAGAAGCACGTCCGTGCAGGAAGGGAAGGGGTTGCTTTGCTGCGGGCCTGCCCAGCCGGCATGTAGGCAGGAATGGAAGCGCGTGCAGATCGCGCGGGCAAAAAAGCACGGCAGATGGGCCCATGGCTGACGTCTTCTCTTCCCTCCCAGTTTTCCTCTCCCTCTCCTTGCCGGCTCGATTTCTGGCGTGATGTGAGAAGGATGAATCCGACGAGGCGGATCAGGCGGGCGTCGTCGTATGCTCTGCTCCGTGGCTGAGTGGCTTTGGGAATTGGGATTGGCAAGGGCTGGCTGGCTGGCTGGCTGGCTGGCTGGCTGGCTGGCTGGCGAGGCGCGGGCTGCTGTACCTCGTGCGCCCCAATTCTTTGCACTTGTCGTGTATCAAGTCGTGCTTGCTGGCGCAGCTGTTGACAGATGAGGTATGTGCTTGATTCAGCCATGCCATACGTGCTCGGCCTATTCCAGCACATGAAGCCCTTTTTCTATCACATTTTCTGTGTTGTTGGGCTTGCAGAAAAGGAACAAGCCCTATTTTCTTTCGTACGTGCATAATGGCCGGGACCGCGCTTCCGCTGCGCTGCACATGCACGGCGCTTCGTTTCGTTTCGTCTCGTCTCGCTTTTTGCCTTGCTGCATGCACATCATCGTCGTGTGCCAGAAACCCAGGCAGGGGTCGGTGGTGCCGAAAGGAAAAAAAAAAAAAAAACTCGTTGAATTTTTTTCCTTCGACGACGAATCGTCGATGCCAATTGCCCTTTTTAATGTTTTTGTGGCCAATTGGCGCTGCCACGGGTCCAATGCTGACGCAACGTTCATCGTGGCCATGCGGCTCCGAGGCAAAACGGCAAGAAAAAGAGGGCGCTCGGCGTCATCAGAGAGGTCGCGGTTCCCTTCCGGATTGACACGGTTGGCGGTGACGCACGCCTGCATGTGAAGTGGATTCGGTGTTTCCCTGAGACAGTGCCTCTTGCTGACGGCAAGACGCGAGCAGATCGCGGCGGCGGCAAACGAACAAGGCCGGGGCGCGAGTTGTGGGCTGGACCGCGGCCGGCTGGGGACGAGCGAGCGGAGGCTGGGGGCGAAAACACAGCGATTCCAGCGACTCCAGCGACTCCACGGTACCTAACCGGGCGGCGGGGTGACGAGATTGGCCGGGCGTGCATATGCAGCGTGCAGCAGGGTCAAGTCGAGGCGAGGCGGAATCGACTGGCTCATTCTCGGGGCGACAGGCGAAAAGCAGTGGGGAAAAAAATGGGTGGGCTGGAGGGCGAGGGTGCGGTGCCAAAGGGCTCCAAGGCACGGAAAGGACTAGACCGCGCCGGAAGCTCAGGGACCCTGCAGCAGCTCGGCGGCCGGGGGCGAGTGTCGTGTGCGTGCGTGCGCCGCATGCGAGCTGTGTGCCATGGGAGCGTGCCGCCTGCACGCACGACGATGCCCGCCGATGCGATCTCACTGTGAAGCCCACGAGCCGGCCAGCCACAGCCCCGATGATGCCATGCTTCTGCTCCCCCTCGATCCCCGCGCCTGCGTCTGCCCCGATGCAAGTTTATTTATACTGCTTACCGGTCAGCGCGCCCTGCTCCGCGATAACGTGCCGCCAGTGGCTCCCCAGTGCCTCACCAACCTCCTGCACCCGAATCGCCAAGCGGTTAGCCGCACCCCATCCCCCCGCTGACGTATCCCTACACTCCCTGCTCTTCCGCTGCCCGCCCAGCATGCCGACGAGCGGATCCCGAACAAGGTACGCCGCCAACCTCGTGTTGAACAACCACCCGCCCGCCGACCCGGATCCGCCTCTGCTTATTTCCCGCCTGCACGTTGACGTGACTTGAAGAGAGCCCGCCCAGGACCAAGATGTGACACGGTGCTTTTCCAACACCACCACCATTGCCAAGCTGTGCCTCCAACGGCTCCCCCTCTCGCCCGGACATCCATTGCACAAGCCCCCCTGCCTGCCTGCCTGCCTGCATGTCCCTTCTGCCATCACTCGCGCCACCGCAAAACAGGTCCCAGTCTGACTCGAAAATAGACAGCCGCTCTGTATTATGCTCCAACGGAAGGGTACCTATACGGCTGAAGAACCTGACTAAACACTACAAGGAAATCTGCGCGTCCGCTTTTTCGGATCTGGAGAGTAGTAGACGAAAATGAAATCGGAGCAAAGGCTGGAGAAGAGAGAGCAAAGAGATATGAAAGTACCGTACGTACTTCGGAGCTGTCAGGGGTACTCGATCCTATACCACCAAAAAATCAACCCGTAGGCCAACGTTCATAACCGTCGTCCAGATATGCTAATAGAAAACGCACTATAACCCAGCGTGGTACCAAACGAAAAAGAAAAGGAAAAAAACAAAGGAAAATGTCTCGCCTCGTCGCCCATGGCTTGGTGCAGCCAAGCATCAAGCCCTGAAGAAAACCCCACACAGGGGACTACCCTTTAAAAGTCTCTGTCCCCTGTAAAACCCTCACTGAATCCAGAAAGAAAGAAAGAAACAGGCCGAGTGGTGTGGAGAGCAAGAAAAAAGGAAACAGAGAGAAGAAAGCAAACCTTGCTTTCATCGAGCAGGCGTGCTTTTCTCTACCAACGAGCAAGTCAACTTCTGGAGATCCATCACTCCTTACTCGCAGCCTCGCTGTCCACCGATGCAGGTGTCGCACTCGCGGCCTCGCTGGTCCCGACGCTGCCCGACCGCTTCGCGTCGTCAGCCGAGTCGCCGTCGGCCTTCTCGTCCTCCAGCCCGGATATAGCCAAGCCCCTTTCCTCATCTTCCTCGTCGATCTTGTCCGGATTGCCGTTCTCGTCGTCCTCGTCCTCTCCCATCAGCGCCGGAGGCCGTTGCTGCATCTCCCGTGCCTTGGCCAGCGAGATGGTCTTTTGCTGGTAGGTGCTGACGACCTCCTTGCTTTCGTCGCGATCAATCGTTGCTTTCATGAGTGCCGCCATCCAAAGACGCCCCTGCTGGAGGTTGTCCACTGCGAAGTAATGCACCGTCGGTTTGGTGAAGTTGACTGCTTTCGACAGTCCAGCCCGGGGCGGTACGAGCTTGAAGATGAACATGCCCGACGGGTCCTCCTTGATGTCGATTTCGTTCGCCGCATCCGTTTGCGCTGACGTGGTCAAGGTTGCGTTATGAGGAGATGTTGGTGATGACTTGGCACCAGTTATCGTCGCATGGAGGCCCGTCATACGCTCATTGTTGGCTGGCAGCACACGGTGACCCGAGATATCGATCAGCCCCTTCTCCGCCGTGTCGAACTCCGAGTAGTAATACGATAGACGACGACCCTTGAGCACGAAGAGCCTCGTCTTCCATGTCGTCATCATATTCGACGATCTCTTCTTCATCCAACCGTTGTAGTCAGACCCCGGTATCGTCTCCGAAGGCGGCTTATTCTCCAATCCCCTCTGGTACGCGCTAGTCTCCTTCTTCGTCTTCTTCTTTGGTGCATTGCTAGCGGCACTTGAAGTCATCGACGTGCCCGTCGTTGCGCTACGAAGAACGTCCGGCGGCGCCTCTCCAGAATCAAAGCTCTTCGACGTCTGTGATGGCGTGCTGGATCCTGTCCGGGCAGGAGAGTTCATGGCCGAGTCCTTGCTGGGAGAGAGCGGGGGGTTCTTGGTCCCGCTCAAAGTCCCAGCAAGGGCGTCAGAAATGGCTCGAAGACCCGTTGCGCGCGGCTTCGGGTGCCTTTGGATGGCTGGCGGCGGCGAAGCGCGTCCGCCCGTTTCCTCGCTCTCTACCAGGTTTGGTGACGAAGCAATGGCGTCGATACTTGGCGTTCCGTAATCCAGCTTAGTGACCGTGGCAGACCGTTCCTTGCTCAGGGCTTTGGGTGAGCCCCGCAATTCAGGTCCGCTAGCTGTGCGAGCACTCTGAGTACGCTTTGCGCCCGGGCTGTAGAAGGAGGCAAGAGCGGTAGGTTCGGAAATATCCCGCATCGAGTCGGTGCTTCCAATTCTGCTGTGGCGTTTGAATGCCGACAGGCGCCTTCCATCGCCCCCAGAGCTCGACGTCCGGGAATGGCTTGGACTGTGTCCCTTGCGCAACACGTTTCTCTGTTTACGATTCTCGACCTCTCCGCCTGAGAAATAGCCGCGGTCGAGTTCAGGCGTTACCACTTTCAGACCTGCGCCACGTGGACTGCCTTCAGTGGGAGTTTCGGGCCGCGTCTGCGCTGCAGAGGCTGGCCGCCCATTGGGTTCCCCCATTTTCCAGTTCCGATCAAACGAGGGCTGCTTCTTGTGTGTGCTCGGCGTCGCTGAAGTTATGTGGACATTGCTTGGGGTCGTTGGAGTCGCGGGCAAGTTTGCAAACTCGACTGAAGAATGCCTCCGGTGATGATTCATTTCTCTCACGGACGCTGCGGACGGACGCCTGGCGTCGTTCCGGGGAGTACCTGGGGTGCCGGGTACGGATCCCATGCCTTGCTGCGAGCTTCCTCTGTTTACCTGCTGTCGACTCGATGGCCGGCCGCCATTAGAATCCATCAAACTTGGGATACGAGGGAGTACTGTTCCAATCGACGTGCTGCGATGGCGAATAGAGCCTGCGTTCGAGCCCTGATCCGATCCGGAATAGTCCTGCATGCTCTGGGAATTACGCACCGCATCAGTTACCTCTTGTTGAAGGGCCTTGATCTTTTGCCAGATCTTTAAACGTGGGCCGATGGCGCCGAGATCGAATTCCTTCATGAAAACCGACGCCTGATCCATGCCCAGCAAGACTTCCCCGGATATTTCCTGGTCCTTGAAGACGTCGCAGTGACGCCTGTCCACGCCAACGTCCTCCAGCCACTCGGCAACCTGGAGCGGCGTCCAGTGCCTGATCTCTTGCAGCGTGTGCAGTCCGTTTTCCTCCTCATCTGTCTCCTGGCCGTTGATGTATGACAATCTGTGTTCCACATGGCTGCTGTACTCGCTTCCGCTGTCGTTGTTGGGGCGGAGGTCTCGCAGCAGGCTGCTGCGCGGGGTGTTGTTTATATCGGTCAGGTGCTCGTCGATGACGCTCAGGGTTTCGTTCATGACAGGACTCCGCTGCTCTCCTGACAGCGCCCGCTGGCTGCTGTTCATGGTGGCCACGGCAGAGAGCGCCATTGGTGCCGTCGCAGAGCGCTGGGGACCCGAGGCGCCAGGAGTAGTGGCAGGAGAATCGGAATGCCGTGGCGTGGATTGCGGCTGGTCGTTGTCGGGCGGATGGGCGGCATCGAGGCTTGCGAACGCGGGGCCAGTGGTCGAGGTAGGACTAGTGGTATATGCGACGCCAGGGCGGGTATTCAGGACAGAGGTAAAGGTAGGCTGCGGGGCCAGCTGTGTGTAGACTGGACTAGCTCAGTTAGCCATTCCTCCGCGAGCGGAAAGGGAGAACTGGCGTACCCTCTGGGAAGAGGCCGGTGTGCCCGTTTTGAAGGTGGCGGCCCAGGAACCAGCCATCGCCGAAGTCGTCATCGCGCTCGATGAGCTCGATGCGGTCGCCGCGCTTGAGGCTCAATTCGTCGGGGCTGCGCGCGTTGAACTCGTCTGCGTGGCTCACCACATATCAGCAGGCGGCGGCGGGGGGAGCGGGCTGGCGTCGCGGCGCGCACGGCGGGCGGCGCCCGAGGCGACTTACGGATGACCAGCAGGGTGTCGCCAGGCTGCGCCTGGTCCATATTGGAGCGCGCCGCCATGGTGTGCAGTCGCGGCGGCTGCGGGGGCGCGGGTCGGTCGACGGCGTGGTGGTCGGGGTGATTGCTGCAGCTGGGGATCACCACATGGCAGCCCTTGCAAAGGGCATGGCGCGGAGCTGCTGAGTCGTACCAGGCCGATGGAGGCGCTCGCGCAGCAGCAGACGGGAGTGGCGGCTTGCTGGCAGGTATGGAGAAGCTCAATTTCGGGGCCCCGTCTGGGTTAATAGTATGCGGCGGCGGCGGCCAATCACATGCGCGATCGCTCCATGGAGGGCGCAGGCGGAGCGCTGTTCGGCGAGAGGGCAGAGAGCACAGGCGGCGGCAGCAGGCGAGCGCAACGCAGGGCCGGGCGCGCGACCAGAGGCTCGTACGGCGCAAACCTCGCTGGCTGTGGGTGAGTTGGGAGCCCGCGGGCGCGGCGCCAGCGATCCCAGCATGACAGCGGTAGCGGTCCAGTCCACAGCCGCCGACACGCGCGGATCTCCCTCTGGCAGGCCACTGGCAGGCAACTCTCCGTCGGCAGGGTCTCTCTCCAGCGTCGCGCCCGGTGTCGTCGCGCGCGCCTTCGCAGGTGCCCGTCGCGCCGTCGCACCGTCGCACACGGCGTGGGGCGGTGCCGCGATTGCGCGGTTTGAAATTTCCCGTCCCTTGTGGCCCCCGTGGCGCTGCATCCGGAGCCAGGTCGCGCTTACTGGCAGACAGCTCACATCGCAGACGAGCGCGCTCACCTCGCCGCCCCGCCCAAGGCCCAACTGTGCCTCTTGCCTGCATCCTTCCCAATCCGGGCCCGCTGCACCGTGCGCCCTCTGGGGCAGACAGCAAAGACCCGCTGGACCACCGCCCTCTGCCATGTTTGGGTCCAACCACCACGCCGCCCGCCTGTCTTGCTCAGATCCCGCGAGCACCACGCCATGAGGCCGCGCGACCCTGCTCTACGCGAGCATCAGACATCCAATTCCACCGCAAATGCCTTTCTGGGCGGCCGCCGCATGCCGTCCTGGCTGACCACCAGCCAGCCGCAAGTCAACGCCTCGCCGCTGGTGCCTTCGCGCAAGAGACCCGCCCCGCGAGACTTGGACGCCCCCAGGCGCCCGTCGAAGCCCGTTTCCAGCTCCGCCTCGCCGACGCTCCCTTGCGCTACCGCCGCCTCTGTCGCGCCCCAAGCTCCCGCCGTCGCCGCACATAATGCTTCGTCGAACCCTGCCTCTCCTGCACTACCCAACGTCGTTGCCTCCCACATGTCCCGCGCCACGACCGCCGCCGCCGAGAACAGCATCCTGCCCTCGCCCGCCCCGAGCGAGGACCCGGCCGTTCACCCGCCCGCCCCGAACAAAGACCCGGCCATGAATCGAGCGCGAGCGACGTCGATCGTAAGCTTAGGCGATGAGGAGGACGACGAGGATGGAAGCCGGACAGACAATCGTTTAGACGTCGGCGTAGCACCTGCTCCGAGCCGGAGCATGTCGCTAGCTTCGGCCGAGAACAATACGAGGGCCATGCAAACCTCACTCGAGCAAGCAGATGGCGTGGCAAACCCATCTCGGGAAGAAGCACTTCGACGCCCCTCGGCACCCGAGTCTGCAAGCTTGCAAGCCCCCGAGGCCAATGCGTCGGCGCAGACGGACCATGTGGCCGTGGAGCATGCACAAGCTGCAGCTGCACAGGATCCTCAGCCTCACTTGACTTCTCACAGGAGAGCCACATCGTGCCTCGCGGCTGAACTCTGCATGAAGAGGCTGCAGGCACTGATCCCTCTTTCTGCCGATGGAAGAGGCCTGAGTGCCGTTGAGACCGTTAGAGTTGATCTCGTCCGTGAAGCCGTTGAACGAGGAGACCACGACTACATACATTTCCACCAGCTCATGTGCTTGAGAGCCAGCGCATCTCGCCTACCAATAACGATTGCCCAAAATAATTTGGCACTGACGTCTCTGGATCTTCTGAACCACTTAGTACAGACACGAGAAGTCACGATGCCTTGGCTTCAACGGTTTGCGGATTTTCCCGTCCCAATCCATGTTATGCAGCAGCAATGGCCAGATGACTACATGAAGCAGATTTCCGTCTTCGACGAATTCATCGCTCGCGCTCGAGAAAATGGATGGGAAAATATGCAAAAGCTCTGCTTTGTCAAAAAGCTCCCGCCAACTGCCGTGGAGATTGGAAGGGAATTGGGCATGCACTCCCCCATTTTTCAGTCCGTCTTCCACCGGGCCATCTTGCGGCGTCTTTGCGATTTTCCAGAGCCCAATACGCCTCCACAAGTAGACTTCTTTACTCGCGCCGAAGCTGCTTTCAGACTGCATCAGCAACGCCTCGCGGATATTCCATCGCAGTCGTTGAGTATGCCAGAACACGGTCAAAGGCAGTTGAATGAGGAGATGTGGTACCGAGAACAGATAATCAACCTCCAGAGGCGATATCTCGCTCAAACAGAGCAGGCGAATTTGCAGTCACGACGCATGTCGGGACAAGGCCAGAGTCCGCAGCTACAGCTAATGAGCAACTCGCCTGCTCAACGCCAAGGCCAAATTCGGTCGCCAGCTCAGCCCAGCCCATTCGCGCACCAAGCCTCTGTGCAAATTGCACAACAGCAGGCTGTGCCCGGACAGCCAACGCCTCAGCCCTCATTGCAGGTTGCCATACCTCGAGCAAGATCTGGTAGCTCACAAATGAGCCCGTATGGAGTGACGACACCAACTTCGACTTTGCAGTCGCCTCGTCCTGCATCATCAGTCCAAAATATGAATAGGATGAACTTCGTCCATCAACAAATCCAGCGACAGTCGCTTCCAAATAACTTTCAAATGGGGATGTCTATGAACGACATCAACCTGGCGTCGCATGGCCACAGCCCAGGGTCACAAAATAGGTCCCAGAGACAGCCGCAATCACCGATGACACCTCAGTACCCTCCCTCTGGAATTCAGCCCATGAACGGGCAAATGGTTCGTCCAGGCATGCTAGCTGGTGTGTATCAGCAACAGATCTACCAGCAAGGCGTGCCACTCCCGAACGATGCACAGGGCGGTCATCGACAAATACAGGCACACCAGGTAGTCCGTAGCAACGCTGCATCTCCTGGTTCGGCATCGGTGACGCGCCATGTGGTTCACCAGGTAGATCCAAGACGGGCCAACGGAGTGGGGAGATCGCCGGTCCAGGTTCAATCTCAGATGTCACAACCGATGATTCCCCCTGTACATCACAACTGGGCCCCACACATCGTTGATCCAAGTCAATCGGCGCTCCACCAGTCGCACCTCTCAAGCCCTGTTCTGGAGGCCACTCCTAGGCCGGAGCTCGGTCGGAAGTTGTTTCAGTCTGTGATTGCCTTCGCAATCCCTCCGGAGAGACTCAAGGACGGTGCAGCCCAGCAGAAGCTCACGTTTCAAATCACTGCAGAAGATGAGGCGCACCTACCCCCACGAACCGAGGTCGCTCCATTCGAAATAAATACCAGGAAGGTGACAGAACAGACCAGGATGTACCGCCTGCGTTGTGCAAGGTCGGCATCCAAGGCAGAGCACGTCTGGATCCGGCAAAGCACTTGCTGGCCTGAGGGGATGTTCTTGACTCTCAACGGACAGGTGCTCGAAATGCGGAAGAAGCTGCAACATACAAAGGATCTTCCAATCGACATTACGCCCTATCTTCGACGGGGCGAGAATGGAATAGAGATCTCTTTGCTGAGACGTCCGGACGAAGAAAAGATGTCGAATTACCTTGTCGCTATCGAGGTGGTTGGGATTCATCATTACGACAAAATCAAGACAGACTGCCTCTCGCAAAGACTGGTGCCCGCAGCGGAAGTACTTGGTTCGATCAAAGGTACTCTGAGCGGGTCGGCAGATGACGATGAAATAGCCATTGTTGGCAGCAACGTCGCGATAAGTCTCTTCGATCCCATGACGAAATGTCGACATTGCGACATTCCCGTAAGAGGCAGGTGGTGTCTTCATCGCGAATGCTTCGACCTAGACGTTTTTCTCAACACTCGGCGTCGCAGTCAGAAACGGCCAGACAGTCCAAGCTCGGTGGACGACTGGAAGTGTCTGGTATGCAATGGCGACGCACGTCCAGAAAGCTTGGTCGTTGATGGATTCTTGATGCAAGTTATCACGGAGTTATCTGCGGCGGGCCAGTCAGAGACGAGTGCCATTATCGTAGACAGTGATGGCAAATGGAAAGCCAAGCCCGAAGACGATACACGTGCCTCACAGACTCGCACCTCGCATGCCTCTACTCCAGTACTCCGGGAGCCTTCGGCCCCGTCTGCAGTCATCGAGCTGGAGTAGACTGATTTCTATTCGACTTACATATTTAGAAACTGCGTTGCTGAGGTATCTGATTGACGATCTTGAAGCATTTCAGTTGCTCCGACCCAGGTGAGCAGGACAAGCCTTCTTCTAAACCGCTAAACTTCTGACAAAGTCAGCAGCGGCCGTCTGCCATTCAAAGCACGATGGACCGCTGACTGCAATCTATTGCAGATACTCGATCAGTTCTATGCCGAATACCAGGAGAATCGCTCCAAAGTTCGCAGACGGCGGACATGACGTCAGACATACTTTTGTATCCGGTTGGAATACGGATGTTTATTGCTTCTCAGACATACATAAGAACTGTGCATGGCGTATCATGAAGCCCTCATGGCTCACGGCGTTTTCCCGTCCTCATCCTTCTGGCTTTTTTTTTTTCTCGGAGTTGGCACTTGCTTACGAGGTTAACGATTTTCATTTTCATGGGCTGATGGAGAGAACACCAAAAGAGGAGACTAGCTTTCTTCGTCTCCTCCTCTTTTCTTTTCCCCCTTTTCTTCGAGAGATACCTGCCCTTAGGCACCCTGCGTTACTATACTTTTATTCACTCATCTTCCCGGACATACTTCAACTCGGTCTTTATAGCTCCGGTTTTTCCCTCTTTCTCAAGCGTTCGGCACGATTGTCTGTGTTCTCAAGTCATTGAAAGTTAGTTGAAAAAATGCATACGTGAAAGGGATCTTTCTTTCCTCATCTCTTTTCCTTACTCTATTTCGGTTGTATATCAATCAAAGGGGGGTGTCTCCCTTTGACATGGACACTTCTGTCAAATTACCTCTTAACCTTCTTTCCCCTGTAACGTTTTGTGTATGGTGCTTTATGCGTGCACTGCCCGCCCTGCAATCTCGTACGCAAAATGTCATCTATCTGCTTTATTTGATCCCGGAAACATCTTCCCTTGGGCAAAACGCAGGTGGAAGTGCATGGAGCAAAAAGAGGCCCGTGCGTTTCCCACTGGGCAGCAAAAAGAAAAACGCAAAATGCAAAACGTACAACAGCCGGGATTCCCCAATGGTCACCCACTTGAGTACTAATCGGCCGGTTCGCAGCTTAAGTACGGCTGAGCGGACGGGAAGCCCTGTATTCTGCGACCTATGGTCGTACGTGAAAGATTCAGTTGCAAACAAAGACTATGACTACATGTCAACAGGCTGTGGACTGCCCTGAACAAGGTCACAGTCAACCGGTAACATCAAAGAATTGCTATCCGAATGCGTTACTGGGAACCTACAGTACGCCAAGCCGGGAATCAATGAAGGCGCCGGCATAGAAAATGCTGCTCCACATCTTCTTGCAACATTCGGCCAGACGAGTAAACACCTTACTTGCTGTATGTACAACGGCCACCAAATTACGGATTCTTCTACCTCCTACACCACACCCGGGCCAGAGGCATACGACGGCTTTTGCGGTGATTGTCCCCGGGGCTAAGCGCGCGCCTATCTTACCCGGAAGACTGGTGGCGGTTCCAGCGGGGAGTGGAGCACTGCCACGTCTGAGCCGCCCCCTTGGTCCCCACTCCGCCACCGCTCCTGTCAAACGGCGGCCCCTACGTGTTTTCATTGGATCGGAATCCAACCGTCAAGCCGCAACGATGAACATTACCTGTGTCCATCGAATGGACTGCGGCGAGGCTCAACACGTCAGCAGAACGGTAAGAAGTCTTAGTTAAGCCCGCAACATCCACCGTTGCCAACCCCAGCATCCATCTTCCGCGGCTCCCGTACTTCCCCTCCTTCTCTCCCCCCCTGAACTCGATGGATCCGTTCAGCGCCCTGGGAATCGCAGCCGCGACCATACAATTCGTCGACTTCTCTGCGGCTCTCTTATCCACAAATGGCAGGATCCGCAGCTCCAAGACTGGAGAACTGCAGCTGGAGTCGGAAAGCCGAACGATTGCCGAGGACTTGGAAAGCCACCATGGGGAGATGATGGACTCCCGCAACGGGAGCGGACAGGGCCAGGCTGTCTCCCAAACAGAAAAGCAGATCCAGATCGTGTGCGTTGAATGCGATGCCGTGGCCCAAGATCTCCTCCAGGCTGTGCACAAGTTGAAGACGCGGCGTTGGGGTAAAAAGGAGAAGTTTGGAACTTTCAAGCAAGCGCTGCAAACCATCTGGAGCCCGGAGAAGATTGAAGAGTTGGAGCAGCACTTTGGGAAATGGCGGTCTCAGCTCGTTTTTCTTGTTGTTACGGCATTAAGGTGAGTTCTTGCACGTTCATGTATCCTCTGAGCATGGGCTCACAGATAATCCAGGGAGCAACAAACCCGGCTCGGTAGTCAAGTCCCGCTTGTCCAAAGCACAGCAGCGCAAAATCACAGAAACGGCCAAAGGTTCCTAACTTTTCTGCAAAAGAACAAGCAATACTACTCGGAAATACACGCAGCTATCCTAGAGAACCCCAGTCCCGCTGAAGGGGTCCATGCGCTCTCCTCGGGCAATGAATTCGAGACGGACATCCTATCGGCTCTCTTCTTCGACAGGGCGCAGAGCCGAGAAGACAGGATCCCAGACGCTTGCGAGGAGACGTGCGAATGGATATTCCAGCAACCGCAACCCGAGCAAACACGGTGGACCGGCTTCTACGACTGGCTGCGTGGAGACTCGGACCAACGCATCTACTGGATCACTGGCAAAGCGGGCGCTGGCAAATCGACGCTCATGAAGTTCATCTGCAATCATCAAATGACTCAAGAGTTGTGCCACGAGTGGGCCGGCAACGAGAGGCTGCTGCACGCGCAATTCTTTTGCAGCGATTCAGAAGAGTCGATGCAGATGTCGCGGGAAGGCCTCCTGCGGACACTGCTATACCAGACTTTGAGCCAATATCAACATCTCGCGGCAACCGCCTTCCCGGACCGGTGGGAAATGTTCCGGCTGCTCGGGGCACAGTCGGATGCCCCGATGACGGAACTGTACCTGCAGCAAGGACTGGAACGGATGATCAAGTCCAACCCCGACACAATGTTCGCCTTCTTCGTCGACGGCCTTGATGAGTTTGGCGAGAATCCAGACACTTTGGCGGCTTTCTTCCAGAACCTGGCCCTGAACTCGAACATCAAGATCTGTCTGAGCTGCCGGCCGTGGAGCAATTTCAAGAAATCCTATGGATTCAGGCCGAGCCTGTGTCTAGAAGAGCGAAACTACCCAGACATCGTTCAGTTTGCGCACTCAAGCCTGGAGAAAAGCACAGACTTCGTCCACCTTTGCAAGCAGTCTCCAAAACAGGCGCAAGAACTGGTCGCAGCAGTTGCGGACAAAGCGTCAGGCGTCTTCGTCTGGGTCGAGGCCGTACTCGGCATACTCCTCGAAGGCCTCCAAGATGGAGAAAGGCCGTCGGATCTCCGGCGACGGCTGGCCAGCGTGCCCAGCGACCTGGAACCGCTGTTCCAAAAGATGCTGGACAGCATCGAGCCAGAGCGCGCCGAACACGCCTCGCAGCTGCTACAGATGGTCCGAGCCGCCCGCGCGCCGGTCAGTCTTCTCTGCCTGTCCTTCGCCGGCGAAGAGGACCCCCACCTCGCCTACGAGCACCCGGTCGAGCCCTTGACCGAAGAGCAGGAAGCCGCCCGATCGGACCAGATGCGGCGCCGCCTGCACAGCCACTGCAAAGGCCTCCTCAAAACGACCTCCTCCTCAACACCCGCCACCGCCGCCGCCCCCGCCACCGTCGACCACCTCCACCGCACCGTCCGCGACTACCTCCACCGCGGCTCCGTGTGGCACCACATCCTCACCTCCTCCCCGCCCTTCACCCCGCACCTCGCCCTCGCCCACGCCTCGCTCCTCTGCCTCAAGACCGCCCGCCTGCCCGGCCCCTCCCACTGGCACGACCACTCCTCGTCCCCATCCACCACCACCACCACACTCCCACCCCCAACCTTCTCCACCCTCCTCCTCACCACCCTCCACCACACCGCCGCCTCCCCCGCCCCCCACCACCAACCCCTCCTCGACCTCCTCGCCGCCACGACCGCCCGCCTCATCGCCACCCACGGGCCGTGCCCTACCTCGTTTTGTTGGTGCCGCGGCCCGGCCGACTACCCCGCTGATGCCAACGACGCGCCCTTCGTCGCGCTCGCCACGCAGCTGCAGCTGGTGCCGTGGGTCGCCGCGCGGCTGGAGCGGGCGTGGGTGTTGCCGGCGGGGAAGAGGCCGGAAGGTGGCAGTGGTAGCAGTACCGGTGGTGCGGAAGCGCAGGCGCCGCTGTTGCATTTCGCTGTCGTTTCGGCGTCGGCGGCGGGGGCGGCGGCGTGGGGGGAGGGCGGAGAGGTGGAAAGGGAAGGGGAAGGGGAGGATGGGGGCGATGCGGAGCGCAGGGCGCGGTTGGTGGGGATGTTATTGGAGTGGGGGGCGGATCCGAATTATGCGGGGAGTGGGCCGAGTGGGAGCGGGAGCGGGATGGTGTCGCCGTGGGAGGAGGTGGTGGGTGGGGGTGGGGTCGAGGAGTTTGGGGAGGAGGTGTGGGAGGGGTTTTTGAGGTATGGGGCGGATAGGGGGGTGGTGGCGGCGGCGAAGGGGGAGTGGGAGGCAGGTGGTGGGGGTGGGGGTGGTGTCGCTGGGAGGAGGAAGCGGAGGAGGTGGTATAGGAGGGTTTGTAGGAGGGAGGATGGGACGGTTAGGTGGAAGAGGAGGGGTGAGAAGGTGGGTTGATTTTTTCTCTTTTTTTTTGAGGATGGCGACTTTTCGTGTGTGCGGTTTTTTTCGAGGGTGTACGTGATTTTAATGAGATTTTCGAAAGCGTGGAAAGTATTTGAGTCAGTTCCTCCCTTGGCCAATGTTGCCCGCTCTCCCATGACTAGCAGGGTCACAGGCTCCCGAATGAGCACCCAGGACTCGTTCATTTCAAACACCTGACACCGCCGATGAAAGAACAAGCACAAGCACGTGTGTGTGTTGCGCTTCCCTACGCCTTCTGTCTCTAAAATCACCAAACTCACTCTTTCCCTCCACGGACATGTTTACTTTCGTCAACATCTTCCCGGCCCTTGTAGCCTGTGCTTGGCATTCCTTACTCTCCCGGGTTGCAGATTGCACAACTGTGGCTTCCGGTGTCCCAGCATCTCCCGTTCAACTTCACCTCATCTTTTATCAAAACACTTGCACACCATTTTATGGTTTTTCTCAGCATCATTTGTCTTTTGTGATACAACTGAGCTTTACGCTGCATTCATGTATGTCATCAAAATCATAATCCTTACCCTCAAACGCAATAATTGTAACGAGCATCACATCATGCTTCAGCCAACTCTCAGCCTGAAGTTGATGGCGGCTTTTATCTCAAGAAACCCCACGCCAACCAAGTGGTTCGCAATGTCTCTCTGTTCGCGCACATGGCCGATTGTGTAGATCACACCCACAAAGGTGCCGTGCAGAGTGAGCTCCGTGTAGGAGTAAGTGTGCTTATAAGGACTTACTTCCTTCGCTAGACCTCCGCCCCAAAAAGCCCGTGACAGACTCTCCCAACGAACCGTGCTCTTTGAGGTGTATCTGAAATCAATGACGCGCATGCCACCTGGCGCGTGGGTCCCATGAGTGCCTTTTCCGGGACCACACACGTGTCGCTTCAACGAGTAGCCAGCATCTCCGCACTTTAAAAGACTGCTGTTCATTCCAGATATTATTCATGTTTTAACAACGTACATTCATATCACAACCATGACAATACAACACTACCTCACTCGTTTAAACTTGTCCACCGGTAACAGAAGGAAAGGTCGACACCTACGTTTAGAATGCCGAGTAGATGATAGTGCTTAGCAGCATAAACGTATAATGATGTCAACGAGCAGCGCGTTGAGCACATGATAGTCTGCAGCATGTTAAGGTGGCGACCGGAGCTTAGTTGGTAGCACATAAGCGAAGTCCATGGAGATCTTGTCCTCGCGGAACAAAAAGAAGTGAATAACACGGTTGGACTAACAGTCTCAGTGTCGTAACCATCACAAGCAGCACTCACACCGTGTTCAAAACCTCCCGCTCATTCCAGTCCGCATATAAGCTAGCCAGCCCAGCCCAGCCCAGCCCAGCCCAGTCCAGTACAAGAGAACACTGTCACGAGCAGAAACAAAAGCGCCATACAAGACCTGGCCCCATCGATTCCCGACCCGCGTGGTCGCCTCCCACATACCGGGGGGCGCAGGTCATCATTCCCGTGCTCGCCAAATTCGGGATTCAAAATGGCAAACAGCTTTAGTAGCGGGAATAACCTGGTTCAAGACCAAAGACCACTCAAGCTCGCGCAGGCCGCAAAAAAAAAAAAAAAAGACGATGGAATCACAGGACACTGCGGAGTGTGCCCAAAGTCCGCGTTTTCAACCACAGTCGAGCACGATCAGCGCTGAACCGATATCCATCATCTTTGCACGAAATTGCACAGCATCACTTCTAACCGGCCAACAAGCACAGCAGCCAGCCTCTATGCCGCATTCCCCCGGTACCCTTCTTCTGCATTACATACGCAGCCCAACACCCACCCCACACGAGCGACCCCGTGCCCCTCACGCCTGCGGTCCCGTGAGCATTGTTCACTCACATCTTCCCATCTGCCCGCTCCTCCCTCCCCTAGTATAAAAGTACCGGCGACACTGTCTCCCAGAACCTCCGGACGATGGGGACAAGACCATTAATTGATCGCCGGGGGAACTGGTACCCGTTCACTGTGGGGGGGTTTTTTTTGTTTGGTTTGGCCGTAACGGCCACGCTTCAACTCCGAACCGCCGTGAACGACAGACTTTCGCCCATTGTACACATCTTTACTTGCGTGATTGGGAGAGGGAGGGGCTTTACGTTGATGCTCGCCATCGTGTAGAAGAATTTACGTGCGCCAGCTTCATCGACGGATGGTGCGTTTCAGCGCCAAGAGAAAAAAAAGGATATGCCATACTACTGCGAAGCTCGTAGCAAAAGGCTGAAGGTGGCAGGGAGTGAACGGGGCGATCTGACCCTTTTCCGACCCCGGAAAGTGCGGCCGGCAAAACGGATGAAATGAGAGCGAACTGATCGGGCTGATGCCTTCGTAGCAGATGGGTTGCAGTTGCGGGAAACGGGAACACTGTTAAATATTATATTTCTTATACGTTGTCAAGTTCCAAGCAGCCAATCAGACTCCCGAACGTACTCTACGCTTTTTGTTGTCTTGATCACAAAATATCATAAGCCGTCATCGCAATCACAGACCCAACCCATCTTCCACCCACCTCACTCATCTCTCAGCAACAAGAACAAATCCCATGGGGTATCTCTTTTTTCTTCTCAACTCCCTCTCTTACTCCTTGTCCAAATCCGCAATCTGCAGGATGGCCTTTCCGAAGTTCTTGCCGGACAGCATGCCGAGGAAGGCCTCCGGGGCGCTCTCGATGCCGACGTCGATGTGCAGCTTGACCTTGAACGAGCCGTCGGCGACCCACTGCTGCAGCTTCTGCTGGTGCTCGGCCGCGTACTTGGGACCGAAGTCGGCGTCGCCGACGATGAAGCCGCGCATGGTGATGCGCTTGCTGACGACGTGGAACAGGTTGCTGATACCGTAGCGCTCCTCGGGCTGCAGGTTGTACTGCGAGATCATGCCACAGGCAACTGGGGAGGAGCGTTAGCCAAGACGCTCCGTGGAACCAGTTTTGGGGTTACGAGGGGGAAGATGATTGTGTTCCTCAGAGTTGGTGGAAGAGGTCGACATCTTGAGATTCGGAAAAATTGCGATTATGTTGGTAGAAATTTTCATCGTGGGAAGCAATCATGTGCGTGCAGAAGTGAAAAGAGTATGGGTACTTACTGATCCTGCCATGGTTGTTCATGGCGTCGATGGCAGCCTCGAGAGTCTCGCCGCCGACGTTCTCGTAGTAGATGTCGATGCCCTGGGGGGCCAGGCGGGCGAGAGCCTCAGACGTCTTCTCCTTCTTGTAGTTGAAGCCAGCGTCGAAGTTGAGCTCCTTGGTGATGAAGTCAAGCTTCTTGTCATCACCGACGCTGCCGACGACCTTCAGGCCCTCGTGCTTGGCCAGCTGGCCGACAATCTGGCCGACAGCACCGCTGGCAGCCGAGATGAAGATGGTCTCGCCCTTCTTGGGCTTGCCAATCTCGTAGAAGGAGGAGAAGGCGGTCAGACCGGTCATGCCGAGAGGACCGATGAAGTTGGAGGCGTGAAGGCCGTGGGGGTTCTGGATGAGGCGGACGCCTTGGGCCTGCTGGGCGGAGAGGGCGCTGTACTCCTGGATAGGCATCATGCCGATGACAAGATCACCGGCCTTGAACTTCTCATTGTCGCTCTTCAGGACCTTGCTGACGACGCTGTTGTCGATGGGCTGGTCGAGCTGGAGGGCTGGGAAGTACGACTTGATCTTGGGATCCCTCATGCGGGCACGCTGGTAGGGGTCCAGGGAGGCGTAGAAGTGCTTGACGGTGATGCCGCCGGCCGGAGGAGCGGCCTCAAGGTCGAAGGCGCGGTCCTCGACGGTAAGGTCGACGCCGGCCTTGGGAACGCCGACGGGCGGGTTCTTGAAGATGAAGCTCTTGTTCTGGACCATTTTGGAAAGTGGGGTACAGCTGGGCAATGGTGTCAAGGGTGAAGGGTGAAGAGAGAATTGTCGGCGGTGGAGGGCGGGCCGGTGGTATATATTGCGTGGGCGTAGGGTCAGTGGAAGCGACTGGAGGTCAAGGATTGCATCATGCGTCTCGAGGGGTGGCGGCCGTAAGGCGGGCAGACGTCAGCCCTGGGCCGAGACTACTGAGCTCGAGCAGCCGAAACGGCCGTGAAGTCTGAGGGACCGACGCCCTGCTCGTGTCTAGCTCCAGCCCTAGGCACCGCCACCAGTCACGGTTTCGTGCCCTCCCTGGCTGCAACGCCCTCACGTCTTGCACGGCGGCAGCCCTCTCAGCGCTCGCAGCGCTCGCGGCGCTCGCGGCGGTCTCTGCGGTCTCTGCGGGCGGGACGCATGCTCGCAAGACGGCGGACGGTGGTTGCTCGCGTCTGGCTGGGTCGGAGGCAGACACAGTTCGGGATTCCGCCCCGCGCTGGCTGCGGCGGGACACGGCGCTGAAGTCTGTCGGCGCGAGCTGCTCGAGACAGCATAGGGGTATGCGCGTCGGGGCGGGGGCTGGAAGCAGCAAGTCGGCCGGGGCGGGTGAGGTTGTGCCGGGTGGAGGGAGAGGTGTAGCCGTGTAGGTACTTGGGAAGAAAAACGATCGCCGCGTCGCCCCGCCTGGCGCGATAGCCCTTCCCGGCATCCTCCCGGCACGGCCTCTCGTCCAGCCTTGCCTCGGCCGCCACCAGCCCGATCTTCTGGAAGCCCTGTACCCTCGCCCCGGACTGCGCTGCCAGTGGCGCCTGCTGACAAGCTTCGCCGCCGATCAGCGGAGCGGGAGTGCTTGCTCAGCAGCCGCGTTATTAATCGCTGGACCGAGGCTGCGCGCCGTTTCGCCGCTGGTTTCGCCGGGCGCGGTGCCCTGCGGCTCCACGGCTCGTACGCATGTACCTGCGTCAGGGTGTGCTGATGAAGCAAAGACCGCGGAAGAACAGCGCAGAACACCACCGCTGACTGGTACGGCCGTGTCGGTGCGTCGTCGGCCCACGCGGAGAGATGGCTCGAATCGCTCGATGCAGCCGCTCCGCCGCAGACGACCACTCGACCAGCCCAACCCACTCCGCCCCGCGCCTCAAGCTGCCTGCTCACTGCTCACTGCTGGCCCATCGGACATGCCGCAAGACCGACGCGGCCCGCTGCAGCCCAGGGTCCGCTACGGATTACCTCCGACGTCAATCCCGCCTCACACGACCACCTGGCCAGGACTTGTTACTCAATCCGGCAACACGTCCTGAGGCCTTCCTTAACCGCCCTCCGCTCCAGCTCGAGCACGCTCCTCTGCCCGCCGCTGCTCCTGCCTCGGATCCGCCGACTTGCGGCCAAGCCATCACTTCCGCAACAGTCCCGTCTTCCGTCTGCTTCTCCTCTTGACGTCAACCACCCTGATGTCTGCTGCTGTGAACAAGATCCACTTACCTGCTCAAGTCCTGCACCCCGACCCGGGAGGATAGGTCCACATCTTCACCGCGCTGCGGAGCCGCTCCTTTGAGACGTGCAGCAAACCGTTCCGCCACATAGGGCGGTGCCCCCAGGAATGGCCCTCAGCTCAGATTCCTCTCGACGGACGGACTACTCCTCCTTGCGGCCGGACCAATGACGACTCCAGACGCTTGCCTCTCAAACTGGTCTCCGGGAACCCAATAGTCTATGCCATTTGCCGTCGACGAACCGCCTTCGTGTGAGCATGAATCGTAAGGTAAGGACGGTCCCGGAATCGCCGTCGAAAGAAGCAGCTGACGACGATGCGATCACGATCAACATCCACTATAACACAAGGGCACACCCTCGCCGCGTGCATAAGCTGTGCTTCCGTTGCTTTCTTGACTCGCCTGCCAAGTGATGCATACTGACTGCTCTTCATTCTCCTTGTGGCTTCCTCTCCCTGACTTTGTGCCGGGCATCCATCCCTTGGACCCTCGATCCTCATCGCCAGGACCCGGCTTATCCCCATCACAGCACGCCTGAGGATCGATTTCTGTTGCTCGAATTGTGGCCGTAGTCAGTCGCTGTTTCTTGCTTACCAATACAACTACATTTAGAGCGCAGACCATCATTGCACGTTCAAAGTGATGTAATGTCGTCGCGCAACCCCATGCATAATCACATGCACCAAGTGTGAAAACCTCTCAATGCAACCTGCGTGCACACGCCTCGAGCCATAGCAACCTTGAGCATTTCAAAACATTCTAGCAGCCAAACATGAGAAAAAGAAAAAGAACAACACCGGGTATACATAATTCCTCTCCCCACCCTTCATAGTCCCACGCTCGCAGTAAACCAATCTCGTCAACAATTTTTCTTCATCCCCTCCAACCCAACCCCAGAAACCCACAACAATCCTCCCCTCTTTCTTTCCCCAAGCCTCCTTCCTTCAGGAGCCCCGGAGCAAAAAACACCGCCCCACCCTCCACCCGCACACGCAGCAGCCACCTACCTACATCCTCCCTCCCACCCACTAAGGGCCCGCCGCCGCCCCAGCCCCAGCCCCAACCCCCGCCCCCGTCCCCAACACGCCCTCGACGACCTTCTGCCTCTCCGCCTGCATGGCCTTCAGGTGCTTCAAGACCTTCTTGGCCACCTCGTAGCGCGCCTTCTTCTTGCCGTAGATGTTCTTGACTTCGCCGATGGATTGCTGCTGACCCCCACCGCCGACGATGGCCGGGTCGTGCGGGAAATACGCGGCGCCGGACCACATGGACGGGACGCGCGGGTCGGGCGTGATTTTGTAAATGGGCTGGGCGCAGCCGAGGCGGGAGCAGAGGTCTGCGTTGCGTTGGGGGTGAGTGAGTGGGGTGTTGTGAGTAGGTGGGTGGGACGGCGGTTGTTTTTTGTTTTGGGGGGAGGGGAGGGGGAGTGGTGGTGGTGGTGGTGTGGTTGTGGGAAGGAGATAGAGAGAAAGAGAGACAGAAGGGGGGGAAGGTAAGGGAAAAGGGAAAAGAGGGGACTCACTCATGACCTGCTCGCCCGGAGTGAAGTCCTTCATGCCCGGCGGACCGCCCGAGCTGCTACTGCTGTTGCCGCCGCTGTCGCTCTCGGAGCCGCTGCCCGTACCGCCGACGTTTTTGTTGTTATTGTTGTTGTTGCCGCCGATAGGCATCGGCGTCAGGGGCGGGCCCGCAGCAGCAGCAGCAGAAGCATTACTGCCGGACGCGGAGGCGGGCATGCCGGCACCAGCTGTTGCCATGGCGGCGGCTTTCATCTTCTTCTTGGTGGGGTGGCCGGTCTTGGGCATGCGGCCGGTCTGGCGCAGCCAGTGGACCGCCTCGCGCGCGGCGTTGGTCTTGGCCGCCTTCTTGCTGTTGAAGAGCACGTTGCGGCCGCCGAACGGCTCGTCTTCGCCGCGCCCTTCCTCGGCCGGCATGATGCACTCCATCGAGTAGTTGGCGCCCAAGCTGAACTCTTGGAACTTTGGGCGCGGCTTGTTCTCGGCTTGGCAGTATTCTATGTTGTAGAGAACGGGGAAGAAAAGGTAAGCGTTGGCTGAAGCAATTACCTCGGCCATTACCAAACGCAGGGAGAAGAGTGAGAGAGTGAGAGAACGAAAAAGCGTCAACGGGGTAAGGGAAAAAGAACAACCCACCTCCTAGCAACCCAACCCAATTCTCCAACACCTCTTCCTCATCCACCTCCATCCCGTCCTCCTCTCCGTCTTTATTCGCCCCATCCTCACCCGTCTGCTTCCTCTTCCCCGCCCCCGCCCCCACCCCCGCAGCCTTCCTCCTCTCCAACGCCTCGGTCAAAACCGCCAGCCCCCTCTCCGCCGCCGCCGCCTTGGCCTCCTTCTTCGTCCCATACGGTCCGGGCAACTCAACCACGAAGGCACCGTCCTCACCACCATCCTCTTTCCCACCGAGAACCCCGCTGTAGAAACTAAAAGTCAACCGCACCGCCCACCCCGGCGGCATCGGCCTGCACTGCTCGTAGTCGAACGTGTTCGCGACGGCGTTCTTCAGGCAGAGGTTGTTGAACGCGGCGACGGATTCGCTGGACCAGGCGCGGCCAGCGCGGAGGGGGGGCTGGTCATTGGGTGGCGAGGACTGAAGCGGCTGCGGCTGCGACTGCTGCTGCGGCTGCGAGGACGACGGTGCTGAGGAGGAGGAAAAAGAAGAAGAAGGAGGGGCTGCTGGCGCCGCGTCGATGGCGCCGTTGCCGCTGTCATTCTTGCTGTACGCGGGCGGCGGCGGTCCCGGGGGGTCGACGAATCCCCTTTCGTCGTCGGGGAGGAGGGTCCGCGCGGCGGCCATTTGGGCCTCGAAGTCTTCGATGCTTTGGGCGGTTTGGCGGTGGTTGTGGCCGAGGCTGGGGAAGGTGATCTGCGGGAAAGCCATTTAATTTATGGTCGGCCTCCGCCTTTTTTTGCTTTTGTTTTTCTGGAGACGAGTGACGGGAGCAAATGGTTGGTGGGATTCCGTTTGCAGTCCGTTTGGTGCGCGCACGCGTCGGAAAACTAGAAGCAAACTTAACGCACGGCTCGGCGCCGCGAAATGTTTCGAACGTGAGGGGAGACGGCCGGCTGCAAGGCAGACGCGTCGAGATAAGATAAGGGTGGTACAATATCACGTGGAAGCCATGGCTCTTGCCGAGACCTTCCACCGCGGCGTGAAAATTTCTGACCTTTGCTCTTCTCTGGCCTCAGGCTTGCTGCGGCAATTTTGCAAACGCACATGAAGTTTCTGTGCAACATCGTTTCTCATCAACCAATCAGCAGCTTTAGCTCACTTGGGAGAGCGCCAGACTGAAGTCCACTTCAGCCTACAGCATCATCTGTGCGGTATCTGGAGGTACTGTGTTCGATCCACAGAAGCTGCAAGACTCGCCGTCTTATCAGTCTCAGGCTGGTTAGCAAGCTATTTCTTTTTGCTCTTTTTTTCTTCTCTGCCGGATGGGCCGCCGTAGTGGGGCAGCCTCGGCCTCGCCGACGTCTTTTTTTTTTGGCCCCTCTTTTGGCACGCGGGAGCAAGGACTTAGCAATCGTAACATCGTAGGGTATATAGTGCAACAGTATCATAAAAGCGTACTTCGTAACATGATATCATCTTTACAGTGGGTTACCCCACGAAGGACCTCACACGCTTCCCATATAGCTATTTGAAACGGACATCCGGAAGTGATTGCGTATCTTAAGCCTGCATAGATGTGGAACACCATTACCAGAATACGTAGTGTTCAATATTGTAGGGAGATAGAAGTTGGCGGCGGTGCTTCACTTCGAACGCAATAGTCGATAGCGCCAGTATTGGACCAGCCGCACCCCAGGGATCTTAATTATCCATCACGTCCGTACGCAAACGTGACAGCTTGCACCAGCACAACGCAAACGTTCTCACAGAAAATTTGGCAAGAATAACTAAGCATTTACGTCTAGCATACACAAAGCGCAAGGCCAATTTGACAAAAAGAAAAATAACAATAACAGCGAATAACCATATTTTTCAAATTAGGGGGAAGGACTAAAAAAAGCTACCTACTTACTGTAAATAAAATTGCGTCTTATAGCAAGGTCGAGTGAGTGTAAACAAGCCGAACGGTAAAAAGAAAGAGGAAAAGGAAACGACTGCATGAAAAGAAAAAAAGAACTTTTTTTCCGGTGGAATAGTCGGTGGGGTATATAAAACCGACACTGGCATGACCGGGTCATGCAAGATGCGTAAAATAGACAGGTGCAACAAGGTAAAGCCACATGGTCAGTGACTCAGTTAGTCAGTCAATCAGTTAGTAAATCAGCGAGTCGGCCAGTCAGCCAATCAATCGGCAATCAGCGAGCGTCCAAATACCTTTTCCACCCCTCCCGGTCTTCGTCTCTTCCGTCTTTCCCCTTTTTCTTTCTTCCTCATCTCCTTCGTACATAACAATCCATAATCAATCGTCAATTCTTTCCGCGAATCCTCAAAGTCCACGGCGACAGGGGAGAAAACCAAAAAGGGCAAGCAAGAACACAATTGGAGAAAACAAAAACCGAAGAGAATAGGAAAAGAACAACAACAGCGTCAACAACAACAACACAGCCCACCTCTCTTCCCCACTTCCACCCCTACACACGCACACGAACACACACACAAACACACCTATCATTTACAACCCCAACATCCCGCTATCCCTCCGCCCCCCCTGATGATGATGATACCCCCCACCACCACCTCCACCCCCGCCGCCGCCGCCACCACCACCCTGCTCATCCAAATAATGCCCCCCATGCTTCCCCTGCTGCGCCCCCCCTCCATCAACGCCAACCCCATCTTTCCCCACACCATCGCCGTACCCTCCACCGCCATTACCCCCGCCGCCGCCACCACCACCACCAGAATTACCGCTTCCACCCCCGCCATTATTATTACCACCACTCCCACCGCCACCACCACCCGTCGTCGTCGTCCCCGTCCCCGTCGTCCCCGTCCCAGTCCCCCACCCCGCCTCCTCCAACAACGCCCCATAGCCCCCCCAACGCGGATTATACGCATCGCCGGGCCCGTACCCCACGCCGACGCCGACGCCGACGCCCACGCCCACCGGCGTATGCGACCCGCCTCCCTGATGCTGCTGGTGCTGCTGTTGCGATTGCTGCGGCGGCAGCGGCGGCGGTGGTGGAGCGTGGTGCGTGCCGCCGGTGGGCGTGCCGATGCCCATGTGGTGGTGATGGTGCGGGTGTTGGTGGTGCGGGTGGTGGTGGTGGGAGGAGGAGTGCAGGTGGTGCTGCTGGTCGAGGGGGGAGGCGGTGGAGGCGGCGGCGGCGGCGGCGATGTCGTAGTAGCCTTGCATGGAGACGGAAGGTTCCATCCAGACGTTGATTTGGCCGGCGGTGAAGTCGAGGGCGTTGGGGTGGTCGTCGACGGAGCCGTGGTGGGGGGGGATGGCGAGGGAGAGGTCGGAGGTGGGGGTCGCGGAGAGGGGTTGATGGTGGTGGTGGTGTTGTTGGTGGTGGTGGTGGGAGTGGTGGTGGTGGGCGGCGTGCGGGTTGTGGTGTTGGTGTTGGTATAGGGACGGCGCGGACGACGAGGCGGCCGAGAGGGGCGCCATGGCGACGGTGGCGGCGGCGGCGGCGGAAAAGGGGCCCCCGATGGCCGAGAGCGGGTCGAGGTCGAAGCCGCCGTTGTGGGCCGAGGCGTCGAAGGAGGGGTGGGTGGAGTTGGTGGGCGTGATGAGGCCGCTGCCCGGCATGGTTTCGAGCGTGAGCCCGCCGTAGGGGTTGCCGGTGTCTTGCTTGAGAGGGCCACCGGGGCCACCGTCCATGAAGGACTGTTGAGACTCCTGCTTGAGAGCGGATTCGTCTTTGCCGGACTGCTGGTGGGGCAGGACGACGCGTCGCCATGTCGTCGCTCCAGCCACGCCGGCGTCTGCGTGTCGGAACGTCCATCCGACGATGAGGACGCGCTCCGGGGCTGGGGACTCGGCCCCGTATCCGCTAGCGGCGGCGATGCTGCCACGAGGCACGGCGAAGATCTCTTGAACGGCACTGAGAGCCTCGAGCGTCTGGTTGGCACGCTCGCGGGCTTGCTGCAGTCTTTCGTCATCGGCCTGTACGGCGCCGCGTGCTGGAACCAGATCACCCTTCTTCTTGTACGCCTTTCGCATGATTAGTGAAAGCTCGCCCAGCTTGCCTGCCCAGAAGCCACTGCCAAACGTGCCCGCCACGGCGTGCAGCCGTTTGTAATGCTGGTCGTAGCCCAGCACGCTCTTGGGCTCGGTTGAGAGATCGTCGCCAGTGTAGAAGCGTGTGTGAGATTCGAAGTGGTCGTACAGTGCGTACTCGTAGGTGCTGTTGAACTCGATTTGAATGCCGAGCTCGGTGCTGTCACCGGGAGCATGCATTGCCATCAGCTCGATGCTCGACTCGGCAAGGATGACGTCGCAGTTTATCAGCGAGTCCTTATCATCCAGCATGTCCCGAAGGTGTTTGGGTACGCCAGACGATTGGTCCTGTAGGTCAGAAACATATAGCGGTGGCTGCTCGGCTCGTTTGTGGAAGCGCGTGAAGCAGTGCAAGGAGCGGGGAGGATCAGAAGTCGTGTCCCGAGCGTTCATCTCGAAGCACGCAGGGACCAAGGCAGGGCTTGACGAAAGCATCTGGCGTGGTGGCGGCAGCGCGGCATGCTGCTGAGGCGCGTATATTGCGCCTTGGTCGATGGAGTTGAAGTCCAGCGGCTGCAGGGTAGCCGAAGCTGTAAACCGCCGCCGAAGCATGTCGTGAGAGTTGTGCCGGTGATGACGGCGGTGGTCGAGATCTTCCTTGGACATGTACCTCATGACTACATGGGTCAGCACGCTCGTGGGGCGGCAACTGGAGGCGAGCAAGGCCGGGCAGGTAAGAAATACTGACTCTTAGGATACTCCTTGAAGAGCGGTTTTAATACTTGGATGTGGCTCGAGACTTGCTTCCTCGTCCGAGCCTCACCGGTCCACTTCTCGATGGCATACGCTATGAGTTCGTTCCGTCCGCGGGGTTTCCCCTCATGCATCTGCTTGCGGCGGCCCATTGGCGGGTACTTGACCAGCGCTGCAATGCAAGAACACGTCAGTGCCACGATAATTCCCATTGGTCGGGACGGCCGCGAGAAGAGCGGTCCTACCTGAGAAGAAGGCCAACTCCATGTGTTCGGGCCATTTCTGGTCCTGTTCTCTGCAGTCCTTCGGCTGCCGCGCTCGATACTTCCGATATGCGTCCGACCGTGACAGCATTCGCCACAAGCGGGCCGCCTCCTGTCTGACCCGCTCGTCCTCGTCAGCAAGCCAGGCCGACGCCGCATAGCTGGCGTGCGAGCTCTGCGAGGATGCTGAATAGCCCTGCGCCGCGCTGTTGTAGGAGAAATTCTCGGCGGGCTGATAGAGACCATGCTTGCGGTGATCGGTGTCCAGAAAATCCTGCTGGCGGTTGTTGCAACGCTCCTGCAGGATCGGTCTCGCAACTCCTATGTCGTCGATGATACTGTCGTGAAGAGCCGGCGCATTAGAGGGTAGGATGCATGAGCTTCTCTCCATTATGTGGTGGTTTCGGGAATGCCGCGCGATGGGATAAGAATGAGGGTTCAAAAGTAAGAATGTCTGGGGTGCTGGGCTTCGCTCTTTCGAGCAGAGCAGTCAAAGACGAAGGAACGTAGAGAGCTGGACCAAAGGAATGACTTGACAGAGAAAGAGAATGTGGACGGCGAGGTGGGAATGTAAGAGAAGTGGACTGTTGTTTATAGGAGGCTGGGTGTTGGACTCAGAAAGGAGCCTCGTTGTCGAACAATGCCGCAGGGCACCATGGAAACGGCCGGCAGGAGAGGCGTGGGTCGATCAATGACATAAGGAAAGCCAAATCTAACCAAGATTCACGGCGCGACGGGATTGGCTGGATTTCATGGACGTTTGTTGACGTTCTTGTCTGATTTTCATGGATTGACTACTAGAAGAATGCTGACTTCCTTCTATTCTATCATGTTAGCCTGATAAGCAAGGGCTGGCCGGGCCTTTCGCCCCCAAACATGGTCGTTCTGGTGAGTTGAGACCCCTCTTGCGGTGCCAGGGATGTAGCCTATGCGAGGAATGTTCTTCACACCCACTCCGCGGGCAGCAGTGCGGCAGTTGAGCCGAGTCTTTCGACAGGAATGCGACGGAGGTTAGCGTGTGAGATCAGAAAGAAATTGGTTTGCTAGGCGTCATGGCCCTTGATTTCTGTTTCGCGTGGACGATACGCGCGCCTAAGACATCAGTCGCAGCAAGGTTTTCACGGACGCGGTGGAGAAGACTTCGGGACGTTTCCCACCTGCACTGTATTTCGGCCGAACGCTACCGAGAGGAGATCGTGCTGTCCTGTTTGCGGGTGGCAGGCCCAGGCAACGGGTATCAGCCATGGCAGTCCTCCAAAGGGGTAGCAAACCAGAGTGGCGCGCTCGACATCGCGTTTCGCCGAAGAAGCAAGGGGGCGACGCGGGAAGCGGGCTAGGGACCGCGTAGGCAAAATCCTTGGGATTCCCGTCTCTTTTACCGTCTTAAGCTTCTTCGAGCTCATCAGTGCCTGCGACATTAAATTTCTTTCTTCCGGCGCCCGTGAGGTTTTGCAGGGCGACCTTGTTAACCTGCGTGCCAACTTTCTTCTGCATCTTGGCAATCTCCTCTTCAGCATCCTCCGGATCTTCAGAAGCGAAGTCCAGGACCAATTTGCGGCCAAGCAAGTGGGTACTGCGGAGCGCGTCCATGGCGTTCTCCGCCTCGCGAGGAGTCGTGAAATCGGCAAACGCGAAACCCCTCGCTGAGGCGTCGAATTTCTTAGGTACGCGCACCGAGCGGAGCTGTCCGTAGGCACCAAATAAAGCGCGTACGTCCTTCTTGGTCGCCTCGAATGGCAAGTTTTTGATGATGATTTTGGTCTGTCGGCCAGCTGCCTTCTTCGCCTTGTCCTCTTTACGCCGCTCCTCGGCCGCATCGAGACCTTTGTTGGACGCCTTAATCGCGAGCTTGTAACCATCGAGGTTGTAACCGTCCATTGCGGCGAGGGCAGCCTGGGCCTGCTCCTTGGTTCGAAACTCAAGAAAGCCAAAGCCCATGCTAAGAATCTGTCCTGGCTTCTTTGGATCTGTCTTCGTCTTGACCCGTGCAGACACGAACCCGTCGAGAGGCCGGAAGACCTCCGTAAGGCGCTGTGTCGTCGTCGAGAAATTGAGGTTCCGGACGTAGAGGGTGGACGAATCGACCTGATCGGGGGCGGCCTCTGCGGCAAGCAAGTCTGAAGCGGCGAGTCTAGCCTTGCCCTCGGGGCCGGAGGCAACAGCGGTAGGCACAGCCTGCGGTGTGAAACCCTCCTTAAACAGATCTTTTGGAGCCTTCTCGAGGAATAGAATAGAATCCTTGACTTTCCTGTAGGCAAGCGAGGCAAACGCAGCGCGGGCCTGAGGAGCCTGAGCAAACTCGACAATGGCGATGGTTCCGCTGGGAGGCATCAGAGAACGAGTGATGGTTCCATGCTCTTCAAACATCTTCCTCAGTTCGTCGGCCGTGGTACCGTAGGTGAAGTTCTTCACTAGGATGGCAGTATCCCCTCTAGCCTTCTTCTTGAAGGCGTCGAGGTCAACCCCATTCTGTGTGAAATACGCCTTGGTCTCCTGAATGATGTGCGTTTCCGCATGGGCTTGCTTGACAGCTGCATCGGAGGAAGTAGGATCAAGCACTTCGGACTTGCTGACCCCGAGACGATCGGCAACAGATGAGATGACAGCATCGGCATTCATGTACAGGGAGTTCCAGTTGAATGTCGAAGTGGCAGCCTGCGCCTTTTGCTGAATGCGCTTCTGCTGCTTGATCGGCAGTTTCGAGATGGCGAACTCGTCAAGCCTGTTCTCTCGCTTTGCAGTAGCAGGAATGATGTGGAGAAGACGACCTTGAAAGACTCTGCCGTCAAGCTCCTCATAAGCCCGGACAGCATTATCGGGATCCTCGAAGAGAATGTAGGCAAAGCCCTTGCCCTTGCCCGTCTTGGGATCGAGCGGGACATGCACCTGTTATGAGGCGTCAGCATCCGAATTGTGGAAGCGCTAATGGGAAATGAAGGGGTGAAGCCTCGTTTAAAGATCAGAAAATGAGAAGCATCTACTAAAATTTTCTCCCAGGGTCTCCTCAAATGCTTTGCATCGGTTGTCCCTATCTGGTGTTCATCACGAGAGGCATGTAGGATGAGAAAGGAATGTAGGAAACTAACCTCTTCCAGGGCGCCGAAAGAATTGCAGTGGCCCCGCAGATCATCCTCTGAAACATCAAAGGGCAAGTTTCGGAGAAACAGCCGCCCGGTCTGGCGGATGCCCTCGACGTCAGAGTTGACCTGGGTATCGGTGTTATCGGCAACTGCACCGCCACCTGAACTTTCCAGTTGGACATCATCGGCCGGTTCCAACTCCTTGTCGTCCGCTGCGGCTGGAACTTCTTTCCCAGAAGGCTTCGGACGATGTGTGAGCTCTTCCTCATCGTCGTCAACCACGTCCAACGTTCTGCTTGTCTTGGCACGCAGCCAGTCAAGGTCAGACACTGGCCCCGACCCAGCCTGCCCCTCTCCGTCATGATCGACTTGTTCGTCTCCAGACAAGCTCTCATTTGCAGGCAGAGCGGCTGGTGTGGTGACATCAGAAGTTTCAGCCACAACGGTCGACTCAGAGTGCTTGGGCTTTTTCTGAACCGTCTGATACTCGTCATCACTATCGGCCTCGGGCATATTGACCGGCTCGACGTGGGTGCTATCCTCTGCAGTCGCCGTTTGGTCGATGTGCATGTCGTTCGCCCACGTCTTGTTCTTGCTGGCAGGCTTCATGGCCTCGAGGAACTCTTTGAGCTTGGGATCCGCCGCGACAGAATCCTCGCCCCCTCTCTTGCGCTTGAGAGAGTTTTCGGCCTGCGACGCCGACTCCTCAGACGGCTTGTCCGCTACGGGCAATGCTGCGGTCGGAGCGCGCTTGCGATTTCTGGGCTCTGGCGCATCGTCGATCTGGGGAGCGGTTAGCAAAATCGTGCGCAGAGCCGAGAGGCATTTCTTACGGGCCGGGCTAACTCGACGCCTATTCTTGACATCCGGATGAACGTCTTGTTGAAGTACTTGACAGCCTTCTCGGCGGCCTCTGGGGTTTTGTAGCCGACATAGCCGATGCGGCGGTGCGCAAGCAGCTTTGCGTCGGTGACGGCGTCCTTCTGAGCGAAGTGCTTGCGGAAGTCGGCCTCGGCGAGGGTCGGGGGCAGGTTCCGCACGAAGATGCGTGAGGAGGCCATGGTGGCAGGCCGAGCGCGCTGAGGAGCGGGCGGCAGGCGAGTGTTATGTGTGCGCAGAGAGCGAGGTAAACAGTTGCACAGGTTCTGCGGAGCCCACAGGCTTTTTTTTTCGTCGGCGAGCGGTGGTTGGCTAGCGGCCGTGCGGCCCTAGCGCCGCAGCGGAAGCGCCGCCTCGGTCGCCAAGCATCGCCAGAGCCCGCCGCCCCCTGCGGCCACCGTCCCTTATGCCCTCACATGCCGGACAGCCCCATCCGGAGACCATCGCAATATTTGACCAATCAGCTCCACCCTCTCGCTCCATCTCTTTCCATAGCGCTGCTCCTCTCCCGTCCCTAATCGTTCCACCCTCCGCATCTGTTCCACCCAGAGTGCGTCATCGCCATGGCCAGCAACGAGAAGAACCCCGAGAAGCTGGAGGGTAAGCCGCCCCTTTTTGAACCTCATGCCGACCGCGCCCGCTGATGCATCCCCTTAGCCCAGGTCAAGTCCGCCGACATGGTGAGGTCGCCGCCTATTCTGGAGCCTCTCTCACTCGTGGCTAATCATCGCCCAGACCCTCGACATGCAAGAGCAGGCTATTGAAGTCGGCAAGTATTGTGTTCCTTGTGGCCGCATGCGATGTTACTGACTCGCATGTAGCAACCGAGGCCATGCAAAAGTTCAACATCGAGAAGGTAGGTCGTGAGCCCGCGTTGCCGGTGAGGACCGCTGCAAGCTCATCCAGGTCCAGGACATCGCCCAGTACATTAAGAAAGAGGTGAGACGCCACCTTCAGCTGATATGCCACACAGACGCTAACAAGACACAGTTCGACGACAAGCGAGGAGCCACCTGGCACTGCATCGTGGGCAGGAATTTCGGAAGCTTCGTTACGCATGGTAGGTCGAGAGCTGCGTTGCGTATCCTTCTGGGGCTGACCGCGTGCCAGAAACGAAGCACTTCATTTACTTCTATTTGGGGCACTGTGCGATTCTGCTCTTCAAGACGCAGTAGAACCCTCGGCTCTCGCAAGGAGTTTGGACTTGGAGGAAGCGTGATTCCCACCAACATGCATCTCCATTCCGCACGGGACTTTCACCCTGGCGCGCCTGGTAAATTAGCGACATGCATTGGCTTTGGTTCCTTCACTTCTCACGACCCTCTCCATTCGTAAATCTTCAATAGTTCGTAATGCAAGACTCAGTTAACGGCCCGTCGTCTTGGACCAGTAGTGCAATTTCGCTAGTAGAGCCCCTCTTAAGTCTGGTGCGACCTGACCTCTGGGGCGCAGACGGTTTCAATTCGCGCTGTCGTGTAAGGTTGATATCCGTCTTGCCTATGTTGATTGGCCGACACGGTAGTAAACAATAACCACTCCCACCACCGCGTACTGAGCAGCGAGTATCCGACGTCAAGAGACTCAACCTCAGCTCGTCTCCGGCTCCCAGGCCGCTTGTTAGCCTCCTGTCGTGGCTCGTTCGGGAAGCAAGGTGGTCGCCTGGGGGCACGTGATCAGCTAAATACCGCGCTAAGTGCTTAACACGAGAGGTAAGACGCGCCCGCCGAACATCAGGTCGCGCCAACGCACCAACAGCGCACTTTACCCTCTCGCCCAACCACGATCCCCACCCCGCGACAGCCCGCCAAGATGGTTTACGACTGGGAGGGGAAGGAGCCCGAGTGCTATCGGATGTACGTCGAGGAGAAGAGGTCACTCGACGAGGTCATGGATTTCTGGAAAGTAAGGAATTTCACACCAAGGTATGTCGTCGAACTCGCGCCGCCTCCACAGCCCACCGTACTCTACGGACGCCGACTCAAACGCGACGCGCGAGTACTGACTGCCGATAGCAAACGCGCGTTTCAGACCCAGTTCAAGGTTCGTCGCTTTGATCGTCCACGATGCCTACGTGTGGCGAGCAACTGCTCATAGACATGATAGCGATGGGATTTCCCAAGCAAGCAGAATCCGGCTCACAAGAATCCCGAGCTCGTCGCGCGCGTCAAAGAGCTCTGGGAGACGAACACGACCCAGAGGGACATGCTGCAGATTCTCAACGACGAGGGCTTCGATCTCAAGGAGCGTGAGCTCATGCGTGTTCGAGCAAAGAACAGATGGCTGCTGCGAGTACCCAATGGAATGAAAGGAGAAACGGCCACGGCAGCTAGAGCACAGACCGCCGATACGTATCCCGAGGCCTTTGTGAAGGAACTACAGCAAGCGATTGCCGTATGTGCAGCTCGTGGCTCAAGTATACCGCATGCTGACCATAAGCAACACAGGACGATGGTGAGATGCCCGCTGCAGCAACTCCACAGACGCCTGGCCAATCACTGGAAGAACCGTCTGCAGACCCCGATCCCGAAACTCTGCGCAAGAGAAAGGAACGCATGGAAAAGCTACAGCAAGAGAGCGATGAGCGCTGGCGGGCCAGGAAACGTCGGCGTAGAATGCGTGGCTGGGCAGGATTACCTGCTGACCCTGCAGGACCACCGCGTTTTCCTTCCGAGACCACTATTGACGAGAGCAAGGCCTATTTGAGCTTGGACAACGAGCTGTATCGCCAGCTACGCGACCAGTTCCAGACCATTTGCGAAGAAGAGGGTGTAGTAAAGAAAACCATCGCCGGGCCAGACAAGTGGCAGCAAGTCAAGGATCGCTTAATCGCCGAGAACGACCATCTCCGAACGCAGTTCGTTGATGAGCAGGGTGACAAGCCCGACCAGAAGTCCCTCTCGCTAGATGTCATTTGCACCGATGTTACCAAGCGAATGCGCACGATGGAACGCAGGATGACGATTGCAGACGCGAAAAACATCATAGGCGTCAATCCGGAAGAGAGCAGACTCATTCGGCGACAATTCTATGAGATGCTCAAATCCAGCCATGTCAACAGCAAACTGGAGACAGGACCTGAACACTGGCAAGAGCTCAAAGACAAGTGGATAACAGGCTCGCCCGTTCTGCAGCGCATGTTTACGCAGGACAATCAGAGTCCCCAGCACCCGAAAAGGCTCAAAGCGCTGGAAGTGCTCTGCCGCGATGTCATGAAGCGACTGCGAGACGACGAGACAAAGCGTGATCCTTCACGGAAGAAGCACCTGGCCAACGCCGGACCGGGCCCCGGACCAGCTCCACCGCGCGTCGCGCAGACGCCTGCTCGCACGCAGAGGTCCCAAAGCGCCCAAGACAGTCCGACAAAGACGCCAACGGCATATGCTCCGACCACGCCCACACCAGCCACGTCGGCAGCGCCCGGAGTGAACAGTGCTGGTGGTGGTGATCTCCAGATCGACCCGTCGCTCTTGCTGGCGGCCAACGACCTCGCAGGCCAACACCAAGACAGTGGGGTGTATCATAACCAAACGATGCATCAGCAGCAGCAAGGCTACAGTGGAGTGGGTCATTCTGGGCAGCAACAACAGGCACGGGAGTACAACTACACGCCGGCGTACGCAGACCAGGCACCAACGCCGATACCCGTGTACTTCAGACTGCATCCGCACTCGCAGATTCAATCGGACCCGCGGATCTGGCTGGGGGCGCTGACATCAGGCACAATGGAGGAGCTGCGAGCACTGGCCACGAGGGTGCATCCAGGGTCGAGTGCGGTGCGGATCGAGGGAGTGGTCAAAGGCCAGGACTTCAGGGAGGTGAACTACCCAATTGATGATAACGAGGAGCTGGGAGGGTATCTGGCACACATGTCGGCAGGGAAGGTTACGTTCGCGGTGCAGCTGGCGTGAGGTACGGAGGTACATCCAAGCCAGGTCGTCTCATCACGACGCAGCTGTGCAGGGGTGGTTCGCGCAGTGGAGACTGCGGGCAAGCGCGTCACTGCAGCTGTTTCAAAGTGGGCGCGTTGTCGCTCGTCGGACCAATGATGGTCCCGGGAGACCAAATTTAGAACGCACAATGACATGCAATGGAAACCAGTGGCCACCAACGACGCGGGCAGGCGTGTCGTAAATAAGACGTGCCCTCGGCTGCCGAACTTCCGTCACCGGTGTGGCGCGGCGCATGTGCAAAATGGAGTGAAGCTGAGGTGGGCGCAGGCGGCTGACTCGTGTCTGGCAGCATCCCTGCCAGAACGCGTCGCGCTAGCTGTGTGACTACTGCAACGCGGGGCATGACGGAGGGAGAGCACCCTCATCAAGGGTCCAACAGGCACAGAACCTTAGCAGGCGGGAAGCTAGCCAGGCACAGAGACAGCGCCGCGAGCGCGTCTCGTTCGCGCGCGCGAGGGCCGTGTCTGGCGAGCAGGCGCAGTTTGACAAGACAAGCCGTGGCCATTACGTCGTGCCAAGAATGCCAAGACGAATCGGCGTTGGCGAGTGGGAAGCTTGCTGGCCAGGCTCAGTGTCGCAGCGCCGTCGATCCGGGCCTGTTGTGCGTGCCCCTCCTTCGAGCTTGGGCGGGTTACCACGACAGCGCCTGACAAGTTTTCCACAAGCTTGCCCTCTTCCTCAACCTCCCCCCTCCGCCTTGCTCACTGTGTCTTGCATTACCCCCCAACACCTGCTACACACCCTATCTACTACCATTGCATTGACGCACTCTCTGCGCCCACCATGCCGACCCTTCGGCTCTCCCCTCTCTTCCTCCTCTCCTGCCTGGTGCTGCTGGTCTGCCTGGCACGTCCCGCCCATGCCTTCGGCGCTGGCAACATCGCCTCGACCGCCAAAATCGAGGGCCAGAACTGGCGCCATGGCGACATCGAGGACACCCTGCTTGCCCTTCTGATGGGCCGTGCCGGCAACGGCAAGAAGTTCACCAAGATGGACGTCAAGCGCGTCTACTTTGGCAATTGGCTCCGTGATTACTCCCAGGCCGTCGATGTAAGTCTCCTCACCCAAGCACAGCTCTAGGCTCGAGCAGTGGCGTTTTGAGGATGGAACCCCGCTGACGTGGCTCCCCCACAGGTCGGTGCTCTCAAGATGGTCAGCTCCGAGGCCATCAGGCTTCTGCTTTGGATCCTCGGCTTCATGACCTTCGGATACGGTACTGGCGAGTTTGAAGTCACCGCGGAGCGTCTTGGCTGCTACCGGTACGTTCAGGCCCATTTCCCGCACTTTGTCACCATGCTGACCCGTAGCATAGCCCCGAAGAGCACATTGACAACCCCAAGGACTACGCGGACAACTTGGATGCCCGCGAATACGACCAGCGTCTCCGTGGTCCGGTCGACGAAAGCGTCGAGCTCGCCATTGACGAGCGCACCGGCCTGAAAAACTACATTGCCAACGAAGATGCGGGCATCGAGACCTCCGCCGGTCTCGTCCGCCAGCTCTTCAGCCGCTCGATCAAGCTCGCCCGCCGCTACAACGAGAATGGAAACAAGGACGACTTGTACGAGGCCCTGAGGCTTCTCGGTACTGGCTGCCATTGTCTTGAGGGTGAGTGACTCGCAGCTTTTCACACTGTTTGGGTTTGCTTTACTGACTCGGCTTCCAGATTACTCTGCTCACTCCAACTTCACCGAACTCTGCCTTCGTACTCTTGGCGAGAGCGATGTCTTCCCCCACGTTGGCCGCAACGCCAAGGTCCAGGTCGAGGGTGTCGACCGCCCGATCTACCCTATCGTTACCGGTACTTTCGGTGGTGTTGATTTCTTGCACTCTGTCATGGGCGAGGTCAACGACAAGGCTACCCAGTCTGAGATCCAGGAGCTTGAGGGCACCATCAGCGACGCTCAGCAGAACACCGAGGCCAAGAGCATGGTCAAGGATCTCCTCAGCAAGCTTCCGGACGGTATGTTCGGTGGCAAGGATGAGGCCGGCAAGGCTGATGAGCTCGAGGCCAACGCCACTGCTGGACAGATGGAGAACATGGAGATCACGCCCAAGGAGCCCGAGGCTTTCGTTGAGCAGGCTGAGCAGATCCGCCGCCAGATCTTGCCCATCATGGAGTTCCACGACGAGATCATGCAGTCTGTTTCCGCGGCCATTGACAACCTCCCTATTCTGCCCGACCTTATCGAGGAGTTCACGAGCCAGATCAACATCTTCGTCTTCTCTCTTATCGCTCCCTTCATCCTTCCCCTGCTCAAGCAGGTCAAGTCTGAGCTTCAGACCGGCTCTTCTGAGGTCATTCAGTCCTCTGTTGACAAGCAGCACATTGTCTTCAACGATGATGAGTGCACCGATCCCACCCACTCTATGTTGTCCAAGGACCACTTCAGCAACCTCCTGAACGAGCCTGCTGGCAAGATTGCTTCTCAGGTCCTGAAGTGGGTCGTTCCCCAGATTGTCGAGTGCTGGGATGATGAGAACGTCGACGTCGACCGCACCCTTGACCGCATCGTCGCCGGTGTCTTCCACCACCCCGCTCAGCGCGAGCAAGGTCGCGACGGCGCCAGCGATGGCCGTCAGCTGATGTTCCGCGTTGTCCAGGAGTGGTGGGAGGGGAAGAGCGACCGCGAGAAGGAGGACCTCCGTGAGAAGCTGTCCCGCGACGGTGTTGAGAACGGACGCAATCACAAGGAGGGAGTCCACGACTCGGGCCACGGCTGTGGCAAGCCGCTTGGCATGGCCAAGGTTGGCGGCGCCAGCGGTGGTGGTAGCTCCGGCGGCCAGCAGAACAAGGTGGCCAGCAACATCGGCTCGGGCGTCAGCGAAGCTGTTGGCGGCGGCGTCCTTGGAGGCATGTTGGGAGGCCTCGTTGGCAACACCATCAGCAACGTGATGGAAAACGAGAAGAAGAGCGAGGTGGTTGAAGACTCTTACCACAAGTCTGGTTCTGGGTCTGGCTACGGCGGTGGATCTTACAACGAGAGCTCCAGCCGCCGCCGTGGCAGTGGTGACAAGTCTGAGTACCGTCGCACCGAGTACGACGACGGCAGCGGCTCCCGTGAGGAGTACTCACGCCACGGAACCCAGGGCGGCTCCAGCTACGACTACCAGGCTAGCTCCGAGCAGCGTAGCTATGGTTCTGGAGGCTACCAGACACGCACTGAGGAGAGCAGCTACGAGTATTCGTCTGAGTCGAGGTAAGCACCATCCCTTTCTTTTTTTTTCCTTCCCTATGTCGTTCCTCGCGCCGACAGCATGCATGTAGGCACAAGGGCCGTCGCTCGGACGATGAGGGCTCGGACGATGATGAGAAGCGCCGCAAGAAGGAGAAGAAGCGCCGCGAGAAGGAGGAGAAGAAGCGTCGCAAGCAGGAGCGCGGCGATTACGGTTCCGATGACAACGATGATTCTGACGATGGCAAAAAACACAGGCGCCGTTCCGGCTCTCGAGAGCGTCGCGGTTCCGGCGAGCGTCGTCGTTCTGGCGAGCGTCGTGGTTCCGGCGAGCGTCGTGGTTCCGGCGAGCGTCGCCGTTCCGGCTCTCGTGAGCGTTACGGCGGTGGAAGCAGCGGCTATGGCCAGGAGAGCAGTGGCTACGGCGGCAGCTCCGGCTATGGTGGCAATGAGCGCTCCGAGTACAGCTCTGGAGGCGGCTATGGCGGCAGCTCCGGTGGCTATGGCGGCAGCTCCGGTGGCTACGGTGGCGGCTCCGGCGGCGGTTACGGCGGCCGGTCTGAGTACAGCTCGGGCGGCGGCGGCGGCGGTTATGGCGGCGATGGCTACGGCGAACGCCCTCCTCCCCGTGAGGAATTCGGCGGCGGTGGCTACGGTGGCGGCGGCCGCGACCGCATGCCCGGCGGTTTCGAAGAAGAGGGAGACGAGTACGGTCGTCGTCGTGAGGGCGGCGGCGGCTACGGCCAGGGCGGTGGCTACGGTGGTGGCGGGTATGGCGGCAGCGGATACTAAACGTCCTCCCGTCCTCTTGTCCTCCCTATTTTACCCATCCTCCTCCTTTCTTTACGAAATTGCGTTTGGAAAGACATCAGTCGTGTCGATGAGCACGCTTGAGATTGGGTAGCTAGGCAGAGAGTAGCCAGTTAGTTTACGAGTGAAATGACGAAGAATGATTGGTACGGATGGACGGGTGTCTGTGAATGAAGTTTGTGGATGGATCACGATGTCAGAAGCAGAGAGGGTAGGAAGGACGTGTTGTGGATGTTGAGGATGTTTTTGCTGGTGCGTGATTAATGTGGGCGCGCCGGTCAACAAGGTACACACATACTCACTATTCCGACGGCCGGCCATCATGGTGCTCATTCGCTCAGCACCTACCTCCCTACCTACCTGCCCACCTACCTGCCCACCTACCTGCCCACCTACCTGCCCACCTACCTGCCCACCTACCTGCCCACCTACCTGCCCACCTACCTGCCCACCTACCTGCCTGCCTACCATCACAGCCCAAATTCAAAAAAAAAAAACAAAAACAACCTTGTCGCAACGAACCTCAGGCAACCTAACTCCGGTTGCGATGACGAGCCGGGTGTAAGTAGCCAGTCACACGAAACCACAGCAGAATGAATGCAGAAGCACGTTTTTTTTTTTTTTTTTTCAAAATTCCCATGTTTATACTGTGTAGCTACCCCGAGAGAAGAAGCAGAGAGAAAGTAAAAAAAGACCAGACCACGACAAACCCCCTCCCCTCGAGACCGATCAGTAGTCCGGGCGAACCCCTCAATCAAGAAGAGCAATTGCCCGTTTGCTGAAGAACCAAAAAAGGGAAGGAAGTCTCGCTGGTCTCGTCTTCCATTTGATCCGGGGGAACCACCACCCCTTCTTTTTTTCCCTACGTAGGCTATCAGAGCCTGGTCTGATTTCGCAAAATGCTTGTATTTCCGGCAAGCAAACTGGAATTGCTCCAGTGCCATCCTTGTCTCATGATCATGGATCGACAAGGACCCAATACTCTGAGACCAAGGCGCTTCACTGGTGGCAGACGAGAGAAGTGAAAGGATCCGATCAGCAAGTGTAGCAAGCGGGAAACCTGTCCCGTGTCTGGTGTGTCGTTATGCCCATCGATACCTTCCCCCCATCCTCTGCCCATTAAATTCGTTCTGATGAAAGAAAATGCAGATTATTGTCCGTTTCCGTGATCGCAAGAAAAAACCCGTCCGTGCTATGCAATGTAACGCAGAATGAGAGAGAATGGACTGCAAGGAATTGTGTATTAGACGAAAGCCTTCATCATCCGGGATGCTGGCGCTTGATGGGGAAATGAGCAGAGTGCCGTTCGTGCCATCGAAGAACATGCAAGAAAAAGGAAAAAAGCTCTCAAATGCCTCCGGACTCGCTTCAAGAGATCAAACGTAGAAAAGAGCTGGAGGAGAAGAGTCGTGATCAGCTATCAGGCGAGTATGCACCCATCGAGAAGTGTTGCTGATCAAAGCACTGACCGGCAGTGAGCCGTGTTCTCAATCTCTCCAGAAGATAACGACCAAAGCTCCAGAGATGCCTCAAGCCCAAGGTGTGGCCGTTCAAACGTGACGTCGTAAAGTGTGTGGTGGTGACACTCATCAAGGTCCTCTTCAACCCTGATAGAAACTGGCTTGAGCGAGAGAAAGTTCAGACTGATCGTTGCCAATTGCCGCGACTTTAGTGCCAATATCGTAGCGAGGATGACTTGGCCTGGATTAAAAGACGTGGCCAAGCCACAGGGCCAGAATCAAGACCAGCACAATGACTTCTGCAACGAAGGCGACCATGGCAGACTTCTTCTGGAACTGGGAGACGTGAAGTATCTCGCGGCCGCTCATCTGGAACATCAAGCCGTCAAACGCTCCCAGGAACAGGAGCATGGCGGTTGGAGGAAACCAAGCACACATTGCGAAGATTATCCACGAGAGGCGTTCCTTTTTCTTGACTTTGTCAGTCATATCAGACGAGCATGGCCTTGGTAGCTGCAGCAAATGAGGTGAATGACGGTGAAGAGGCTCCGCCGTCCGGCCGGAGCCAGGGCGAACCACTGTGCCAGGTTCAGAAGGGTTGCAACTGAATGTAGTGCTATCCTGGCAGCGAAGCGTCAACGGGAAAGGGGAAGTCATCCCAGCAACTGACGCCCGCGACATGGGCATGCCATTGACACGCGGGGTACTGTTCATTGAAGAGCCGACTGATGTAGACTTCATCTTACGGTAGCGCTCGGCACGGCTTGATGAGGCAGCGCGGAGATCCTCAATCTCCTTACCATAGCTGAGTGGCGGTGCCCTACTGGATGAGCTACTGACGATGCTCCCTCTAGCAAGAGGCGATGGCCTGTAAGACGAAGGGGTTTGGAAAGGGTTGTTTTGGCCTGTATTGGCCATAAGACTCCCGCTTGGGCTGCACCTCGCGGTGTTATTGGACCTGCCCAGAAGACTCTGCCGTGCAGGAGTGGACATTCCTGGAGGAGAGCTGGTGAGGATTTCCTGGTAAGCTCTGTTGTTGGTTGAAGGGGTGGAGCCGACAGTACTACTGCCAGCAAAGCGCATGCCAGTACCCATTGGCGTACCAGTCAGATTGGCTTCGGGACCAACAAGCGTAAATTTGTCGAACGAGTTGACGCGACTGCTCCCATTTGCCACACAACTAGAGGGACCCAGCCCGTGAGAAACGGTTTTATGAGCCAAAGGGGACATTTCATGCTCCTCGACGATTTCATCGTTTGGCCCGAAGGCAAGGAGGTTCTTGACCTGGGTTGCGGAAAGCTCAAAGGGACGCGAGTTTGCCGAGTTCGAAGTGCTCACGGTAGAACGCCGAACGTCCCTCGCAGCACGGCTTTGTCGAAGGAACGACAGCTGGCTATCCCGAGGGAAGCGTGGAATGTCTATCATGTCAGAGGGCGACGTCATGACTGGGCTACTGGTTTCCACCTCTGCCAGCTTGTTGCGCCGCCACGGGTTGGTGTTGGTCCTCTTCAGAGAGGAAGAGTCCGGAGTGGGAAGCGCCGGTTCAGTCGAGTTCCGACGGGTGCGATCTCCAGCAGTCGTCGTTTGGGCCAGGGTCTCCCAATCGCCATCCGAGCCCTCGGTAGCCAGAGTTGCCGGCGATTCGTTGCGTGGGCCAGGAGACACTGAACGCATCCAGATTGCTGGAATATCACTGCCAGTGCTCTTGCGCTCAGCATTACTGACTGTCGCTTGTCTACGAAGACTGGGCTCGGGCTGTATAGGCGCAGCGTTCTCTTTCTCCGGCATCTGGAAGGTCATGCCGCCGACGCTCACATCGGATTCCATGCTCGCGTTCGTCTCAGAGCTGGGTAGGTCGTTCTGAGTGTGGTCTCGATACTTCTCGAGCTCTGGTGTTCCCCTCTGGCTGTCACACCGCTCCATGAGCTCTTGCAAAGGCGATTGAGGCAGCTTATCGCCCTGAGAGAGACGGCTAGCCTCAGTGATCGCAGACATCCGATTCATCGCATCAGTATTACCAGAAATGCCCAGTAGCTTCCTTGTGTCGCCGTAAGACGAGGCCCGATTGGAAAAGTCGTCTGATACATGGGTGTAAACCCGATGAGCCTCTCCGAGCTCCCCAGAAGCAAGAGGAGGCGGAGAGTTCGGTGGCTTTCCCGGCAAAGGGCGCATCATGGCAAGTGCCCTTGGGAACACGCCATCCTGAGGGGTAACAGGGCTTGTCACAGGGCTCTCCGGATCGCCGCTGCTGCGCACCTCGTCGAGGCCGAAGTCGAATTTACTTAGTCCCGAAACGCGGTCGACGTGGGGGCTTGAGGGAACCATGCTGCGGAGACTGGGGACCCTGATCGTATCATCGTCATCGTCTTCGTCATCCGTTAACAGCTGGTTGGTGGATTTGGTCGCGTCAAACGTGTCTTGACCGCCGTACTGGTCGTATATATTGCCCAGTGTATTGTCAATGTTCTTTGACAGCGTGCAGGCGCCGCGACTCTCTACTGAGGGATGGCGGGATAGGTTCGTGTATACCGAGTGACGGGGCGTGTCTTCGAACTTGTACAAGATCTCGCCGCTGTAGTCCGTGATCTGGTTCTTGACACCGAACGGAGCACTCAAGCGATTGTTGATTGGCCCAAAGTACAAGGAGTTCGAGTCAAACTCGGTATCGGGGTATACGGATGCCTGGTCGTATTGCGGACCGGCCGAGTCCGAGAGGGTTTCCCACGTGTCACCAGAAGGACGCGTAGCATCCGCCCTAGCCTGACCAGGCGCTATCGTCGCAGATGAGCCGGAAGCATCCGTCGTCGGGGTATGGTAAGCGACCGAAGTTGAGCTGTAAGCTAAACCCTTGAGCCCTTCGTCCACCTGCATGGGCTTGCTCTCCTTTCTACGAAACACGGTACGTGCACGATCGATGATTGAAGCTCGTCGATCGGGTTTGGCGCTCAAATGAGCGGCAGGCGTTGCTGAAGACAAGATAGCGTCGGCGTGATCATGGACTGGTCGCTCGGCTTGTTGCGAAGGTTGAGGGTTGGTCTTTGCGATTGAGGCATGCGCGGACCTAAAGTCGTTGAAAAGAGGCCGCGGCATCTGCTTCGCAACGCCATCGTCCGTGACAGACCCAGGCGGCATGTCGGCTGGCAATAGCTGGTCCAGCGACGTCCTGTGAAAGTAGTCATTGGGTTCATCCTGATCTGCGGGGGTTTCCAAATTCGAAAGGTAAAGAGAGTTGTGGGGGTTAACAACATCGAAAGACGTGCCTCTGAAGTGAAGAAGGGCTGGAGTAGCCGGGGGAGTGTCAAGCAGTGAGGGCGTGGGCGCAGGATGCGAGTCTCGTGGCCAAAGGTTCAGCGGAGTGGGGCTTTGGGTGGCGAGCCGAGGGTGTGGTGGCTCGGGAAACTGAAAGTTTGAGAGGGTGAAGGTGGAGGTACTGGCAAGACCTGCAGTTGAAAGCAGATCGAGGCTGGATGGCTCGGTTGGAATAGGCGAAGTGGCGAAGGGTCGGCGGATCTCGACGTCTTTCGGTCGCGGCAGTCTCTTGCGTGAGCCCAGGCCAAAGTCGCGTGGAAGAGCGGGCGCGTGTGACGGGTTGACGGGCGGAAGATCTGCAGACGACGCGTTGAGGCGGGCAATGTCGCGTAGGCCCAGCGACGGGCGCTGCTGCAGAGCTGGAAGCGAGCGGAAGGAGGACACGCGCAGGGAGTTAAACGAAGAGTCGGGCTCGCGGCGGGTCGGCTCCGAGTGTGAGGTTGACGGCGGAGTCGGAGGCAGCCGCGGAGGGTTGGGCTGGTGAAGAAGTGGCTCACGCTCGCTGGCGTTCAAGCGGGTGGCGGCCGCCTTCCTCTTCAGCCGGCGGCCTTCGGGTGGCTCGGGGGTTCTTGGCGAGCTTCTCTGCTTGCGATACTCGTGCAGCGAGAGAGAGTGGACGGGGGTGTAGGAGCGCACAGAGGAGGCGGAGTGCAGTGACGGTGGTGGAGAGTGGCGGGGGGTGACGGGAGTCGCGACGCGTTCGTGGGGCGTCGCCGAAAAGGTCGACATGTCTCGGCAGGTGCTGCGCTCTCACGTGCGCAGACCCTGAGATGGCCGTCTGAAATATGCTGAGAGCAAGAGGTCCCTGCTGGATCCCACCCTTCACCGGCACCAAGGCATCTCTGTCTCCGTCGGCGGCGATGGCTTGGCTGTATGCCGGATGCAATGGGAAGCGGCCTCAACGACACATCAGAACGTCTGCTCTGACGTCTGTCAACATCAAGCGCGCCGCGTCAGTATCACGTACTTCTGCCAGTTTCCCAAACAGCGGGTACTCACGGCTGCCAAGGGGTCGAGTTCGAATCGACGGCACTGAATGGTCTCCGACGCAACCTTTCCCGAAGCTCTTCAACAGATAGCAGGCGAAGAAGGCCTAACCAGAAGACGCAGGCGGCGAGCAAGCGAAGGAAGAACAAGACCAGCTTGTTCGACAGAGTGCGGATGTTGCGGACTGATGGACGGCCAAGCGGCGGACTCGGGGCCGGGGATATCGAAGGAGCGCGGGAGATTACGATTACAAGGTGCGGGTACGCACAGCAGAAGGGTGGCACATGCGAGAGGCAACGAGGAGTGCAGTGCAGCAGTGAAAAGACAGATGGGGAAGCAGCAACCGGATGAGGGCGAAGAGGAGGAGAGCTGAATGACGCGGTACATGGCTCATAAGAAGGGGGAATAGAAGGCATGCCGGCTGCCAGTGGTCCGCGGTTCCAGAAAAAACAATCCTTGCCGGCGACCACAGTAGGGAGCACTGGCCGTCACAGCGGCGCTCTCGACGGTGGGTGGTGGACGGTGATGGCGAGAGGGCCCGAGCGCGGGCGGCCACTGCAGGGGTGGGTGAGCAGGCGCGGCCAATCAGGCCTGGCAGCGGGGGGCAGCGGGGAGCAGCGCAAGATTTGCCATTCCATTTCTTCCACTTCGGCCAGCAGAGCCCAGCAGAGCCCAGCAGAGCCCAGCAGCCGCACCGTGTCGCCGGACCGCCCGCGGCCAATCAAGCGCGCGGCCTGCGTTTCGCAGCAGCTAATGCGCGTCACCCAGCAAGTCGAATTGTGCGCCCTCGCCAATCCGCGTGCGCAGGTGCCTTGGCTCATCCGCGCCAGATGATGGCTGTGCATGGCCACCCGGCCCCGCCGAGCCATCAGCTGCTATGTAGCAGACCATCCCGGCTGAGACATGGAGACGACACGCTGCGCCGCACGCTTCGGGTGCATCGGCCTGGGATCATGGTGGAAGTTGAGGTCAGGTTGTGGAGACGAGCAGAAGCGAGCGGTCGATCCGAAGTGACTTGGCCTGAGGGCTGACCACCACCAGCCCATCACCGCCGCGAGCCCATGTCGATCCTCAAACGCCTGCAGCACGCTTCCATCCGCCTGCCCTTCGACTCTGTCTTCTTGGGACGTTTCAAATGCTGATCCGTTGCGTCACACCGGGAGATCCCTGGCGCTCCCCACTCGGTGCTGTTGTGTGGCCTCCAAGTCGCAGTGCCTGTGGCCCGAGTCGAGATGCTATGCGCGCCCCGGCCAAGCATTTGGACCCTATGCGGCCACGGCTGCAGCCCTTGTCCGCCGACTTTTGCGGGAAGAATTTTGCATGGCGTGAGTGCCATGATATGCTTGAACCTTGGACCCCCTCATGGCATAGGTACTTCGTGCCGTCTTTCGTGAGTGGCAAGAGCTCCAGAACCTCGTTTCCTCGTACGGCAGTTGCAATGGCAACACCATGGGCCTCTTTCCTGCATGGCCGCAGCTGCCTTGACCCACATCCTTGATCTCCCGACCGTCCACTTCTCCCAGCTGGCCATCCTCTGATACATTTTTCCTATCCACTGAAGCGTGCCCTTTTGCATGCGCGAAAGGCGCGCTTTCCCACCCTTCGGCACAGCTTGCCTCCCTGATGTAACCAGCTTTCCCATCTTGTCCTTCTCTCATCGCCTCAGCCGGGCCCAACAAGCAGCCATTTGTTCCATGGTCGATCGTTTTCCATCCTCCCCGTGGCAATTTTACATACCGCATTACCAATATCAACCGTCATGTTCACCGCATATAGTACCGGTCCTGAAGATGGCTTGCACGGAACTGGTACCGACAATGTTCGGCGGCGCAGTACAAATTTCAGACGTCTGAGTCTCACCAGAAGGCGAACTCCCGCTGGCGACCACAAAGAAGACACTGATTCCACAACAAATGTCGCAGCAAACCCTTCGTCGCTCTCTATTTCCCGCCGGCCATCATCCCTGTTGAGCGCCTCCAGAAGGAAGCTGCCCTGGCTTGATGGGAGAATATCTTCTGATAGAGAGGGCCACCAGAGGCATCGACATGTCCCAGGCGAATTCGAGTCGGATGACGAGACCTCTTGGTCCCCCATAGACAACAAGGCTCAACCCTCACTGACACGCCCTGAGTCACCTCTACCAAACCCATCGCTCGATCTTCATGTGCCGAACAGGTCTTCAAGCCTGGTGTACACACCGTCAATATACAGCACGGATGCGGTTAGCCGAAAGAGCCTTGACCCTCCTGTCCAGAGCCTGAGGCCACACAGATCATACGGAGCTCTGCTCTCCCCGCCTACAGAGCCGACGAATACAGCACCCGAGACTAGGAACAAAACCCCGTCGCATCATGCAAGAAGACCAGATTCTCTTGTTGGAGGATCGGCGACAAGCACGCCCAAATTGCAGCCTCCACTAATCTTGAAGCAAGTTTCTCCCGTCCCAATCATGCCTGATGAACCGCGAGTGTCAAGCGTAGAGTCAGCCCAACCACTACAGCCGACACCTGCCGAGACTGGCCTTCAAAAAACAATCAGCGGTACGGAGAACCTCGTACAAAAAGTCATCGATGCGGCAAAGGATGCAGTAGATCATCATATGTCTAACGGTGTTTCTAAAGTATTGGAAGGTGCCGCGAGATCTCTGGAGAAATCCCCCACGCCGGCGTCAAAAATGGAGCCTCTGCAAGTGTCTGACTCATTAGACACCTCTCCCGACGAGACACCTACCGATCTCGAAACATCCTTCAGCCCCAAGACCAGTCACTCTCCTCACGCGGCAGCGCTTCCCACACAGTCGTCGGCCGAGGACGCGTATCCTGTTAGTTCCATCAATATCCTCGGGCATGCGGCGGCCTCGTTGCAAAGTCTCCGATTATATAGGTCGACTTTCAATGTTACTGACTCCAAAGCAGTTCTACCAACGCAAGTCTGCCGACTCAATTGTTACTGACTGGGCATACGTCAAGGCAAAGACGCCGGCCCGCGTCCAAAGCCCTTCCCCGTCTTCAAGCTCGACCTCAACGAGCACATCGCCCGATGTCCAACGACAACAGAGTACGCATTGGAGAGCATGGCATAACAACACAAAACGTCCAGTGTACCACGATGATCATCGCTACGTTGACCGCCATGTGCGCTCGATCGGGTCACCACCTACCAAGAAAGAAGTCCATGATCATATCAAGCGCCACGGAAATCCACCGACACCCTTGAGAGACAGCTCCTTGAGACATCGAAATGTTGACATACCCGCGCACCAACATTTCCAACGTTTTCGACCCTCTGATAGCACGCGTCAGGTTCGAGATCGACGGAAAGAGCGGCGGAGCGGCGAGCCCAGACGCCGCAAGCCTCCACAGCCATGGGATGACCTGAATCCAGAGTCTTCCAAAGGATTCGAGATGGGTCAGCCGGCTCGCACCCATGTGAGCTACCGCGGGGCTGAAGGACTGGATGTTTTCCAGCGTCAGCGGCGCGAGCCCATTGCGAGAAACTGGGGTACTTCCAAGAAACGCATCACGGCTACTGTCGCATGCATCAATACTGCACTGGTGGGGTTTCTGATTGGGGTCTATGTTAGTTCCCGTTCAGTTCTCGTGTCACGTTGACTGATTTGGAATAGGCTGGTGAGGTACCTCGAATCCAATATGCCATTGCAGATCAGGGACACTGGGCCATTTTGGGAAATGTGTTGTGTGTGACACCTGGTCCTTGTGTTGTTGCGCATACTAACTGAACAGCCTTTACCTGGGGCTCGCCATCTCAACGTTCTTCAGCTGGCCCTTGCCGCTGCTCCACGGCCGCAAACCTTACGTTTTGGGATCTCTCGCCATTCTGCTGCCGCTCCAATTCCCACAGGCACTAGTGGTTGGCACTCCACGCGATCCAGAGACGCACCTCTACCGAGTGGGACTCCTCCTTCCCCGGGCGATATCAGGCCTCGTTCTTGGTTTTGCCCATGTCAACTTCGTGGCTACACTCCTGGACCTTTTTGGCGCCTCTCTTCAATCTGCCAACCCTCATGAAGAGCTGGTCTTTCCAAACGACGCCCGCCGCCACGGCGGAGGGATGGGACTATGGCTGGGCATCTGGGCTTGGTCCTTTCTGGCCAGCATTGCCGTCGGCTTCATGGTCGGTGCGGTACTGATCAACAGCGTAGATCCATCTTGGGGCTTCTACATTGTTGTCATCCTGATCGCATCTGTACTCATCTTGAACGTGCTCACACCAGAGACGCGCAAGGCGCGCTTCCGGCGTTCGGCCATCGAACTGATCGACCCCAACTCCGAGTATGTGTACCAGCGCATCGTCCGAGGCGAGGTCAAGCTGCACATATCCCCCGACGGACCAGACTGGTGGGGCCAAGAGGTCGCCGCCGGCATCTGGCTGAGCATGCAAATGTTCTTCCAGCTGGGATTCGGCGTCCTAGCCACGTACATCGCCTGGATCTACGCCCAATTCGTCCTCATCATCGTAGTAAGCCTGCAAACCCCTCCCTCCCGTCACCCCCCCTTCTCACCAAACCCAGCTCCTCGGCGCCCTCCTCTCCCGCGACTACCGCTGGCACCCGCAACACGTCGGCGCAGGCGTGACATCCCTCGCCGTCGGCGCGCTCCTCGCCATCCCCCTCACCAAAGCCGGCCTCCTCTCCCGCGACCGCACCCACGGCCCGCGCACCGACAGCATGACCTTCCAGCCGCAAATGACATGGACGTCGCACATGACGCGCCGCATAATCTTCACGACGTTCCTCCCCCTCGCGGGGCTCGCCTACACGCTCGCCTCCTGCGGCCCAACACGCGGCGCTCCCGCCGCCCTCCCCATCCTCTTCGCCGCCCTCGCCGGCTTCCTCTCCGCCCTCGCCTGGGCTGAGACGCACGGCCTCGCCATGGAGGCCTTCGACACGTGCGACCTCCAGCCCGGCGCCAACTCGCGCCACCGCCTCCAGAGCATGGCCGACGTCGACCGCCGCCGCCGCACCGCCTACTCGGCCTTCCCGCGCGTCACCGCCGCCTTCGCCGCCGCGCACGCCCTCGCTTTCCTGCTGGCCGCCGCCGCGACGGGCGTGGGCGGCGCGCTGACGAGGCGCTTCGGCGCGCAGACGAGCACGGGCGTCGTGGCGGCCGTGTTGGGCGCGCTGACGCTCGCGCTGACGGGCGTGTTGTGGCGCTGGGCGCGGGTGGTGGTTATTCCGGACGGGGTGTTTGGGGATCATGCGAGGGTGCACGTGGGGGGCGGGAAGGGGGAGGGGGAGGAGGGGGAGGTAGGTGGTGGTGGTGGAGAGGAGAGCGCGTGGCGGGCGGCTGTGCAGAGGCAGAGCGGCGGTGCTGCTGGTGGTGCGCGTGCGGACGTCGATGCGGAGAAGTTTGCTGGAGAGTTTGGGACCAGGCCGGCGGACTGGAAGCCCGTCATCATTGGGAACCCGTCGGGGAGGGTGCGGAGGGTCAATGTGCTGGAGTTGGGGAGGTGGAGTCGGTGGAGCGAGATTAGGAGGTTGAATGGGCTGTTGCCGGAGAAGTGAGTGAGTGAGTAGGTGGGGTGGTTGATGGGACGAGTTGGCTTGGTGAGTGTGGGTGAGGGAGAGGGTTTGTTGGTTCGGTTTGGTACCAGGGCATATGCTGAAATGGAATGGGGGAGCGAGCGGGTGACGTGAGGGGGCGGGAGGGATGATGATGACGGTCAAGCTGGCAGATTGGACCCCGACCTGACTCCCTGCAGCCATCGGATAGGTGCTTCTTGATAGCCAGTCCTACGTATCAATATCTGCCTCTCTTCCCAAGTTGTCTGGATCGAAATGTTTGCCGCTCATGCTATCGCTTTCTGCTTCTTCTCTCCCTGTGGATCGGAGAGGGAACAGGATACTGAAGAGTCTCCTCCCGGGGGGAGAGAATGCCGCAACGGAAACCCGTCGTCAACCGGCACACCCCTGTCAACCAACGTCCTTCAGCCATGACGAACCGCAGCATTTGGTCATGGTTGATGCGACGCATTGCCATGCTGCACTACTACATATCATCGCTAACATACTCTCACAGGCCTCATCATCTGCCCAGGCGTAGGAAATTCCGCCACGCCCACCGTGCCAAGCAAAACGACACGAACAGTGCCCCATTTACGGGGTATTTCTTTTCTTTAATTACTCAAGACTGTTTCTTGTTCATGAGCGAGCGATAACTTCGGTGCCAGAACAAATGGCCTTTTTATAGTCCAACCACGAGCGTCCCGAGCACGGTCAAGCAACTGACATCGGCTGGAGATGCGTGATCACGCGAGCCGATGTTCAGAGCGCGCCATCACGGGCGGTTCTTCCGGCGGAGGGTGTATTATCCTCAGTCCTGTCTTTTAAGAGTGTGGTTGTGCTGTACGCGACCACTCTACTCCTTCGGAGTTTCGAAGAACTGTTTGAGTAGGAAAGCAAGCAAAAGGAGTTACGCATGACTTACCTGGAGTGGAGTGGTATTATATTTTCGACGGACTAAGTGCTTTGAGGTTGCCATGGGGGTTGTTGATTGTTGTAAATTCATATTATCATTTTCACTTAGCACTCAGCAACTCCCTTAAAGAACTAAAATTATGCGATCAAGAACCAACCGTAACTTCGCACCTACAATGTCATGACTTCGAAGTACGATTCGCTTGCAAATGTCTTCCTACAGCCCAACCTATTGCAGTCCATGCGCCACCGAGGAAAAAAGATCAGCCCAAAGGTCGTTCCGCAACTCCAAAAGGCAGAGGAACAAAAGGCAAAAAAAAATATCGCTTTAACCAGTCTGAGACTGGTAAGACTCTGAGTCTTGCAGCTTCTGTGGATCGAACACAGTACCTCCAGATACCGCACAGATGGCTATAGGCTGAAGTGGGCTTCAGTCTGGCGCTCTCCCAAGTGAGCTAAAGCTGCGATTGAAGATTCAATTTGGTAGGCACTCTTTATGTTCCGTGTTACTGCAAAATCAGGGGAGGTGAAAATCTCTGCAACCCCGCTTGTTCTGCCGGCCGTGGCCCTGGCGTCAGCACCAACTCAACCGATAAAGCGTACGTAGGCTTTACTCTGCACAGAGCACTAAACAGTTTGCTCCTGCCTACTGCAGCGGTGTCCAACGATCCTGTAAAAGAGAAACTGCCTTTATACCATCCCAGAGCACCCAGAAGCAGAAGGACGACCACACCGACAAAAGAATACCCCCAGACCCACCAGGAGCAAAAGAATATGACCACACCAGGGGTCGAACCTGGAATCTCTTGATTCGTAGTCAAGCGCCTTGCCATTGGGCCATGCGGCCAGTACATCGTAAAGATGAGCTGTTGAACTAAGCTGCTGCTTGTTCGATGAAAGATATGTTGTCAGAAAGCAATATATCCAACATTTTGGCGGTTTGAGAACAAAGAGCAGCATCGAAAAGCGAATCGGGTAGAATCTCGTGAACCAAGACGGAGGGGCTGGGGGATAGTTGTTGAGCTTCTGGGATACGTATCAGGTTGTTTTGTTTGGTTGTTGCCGAAAACAAGAAAATTGCAAAGCGGATTGCAAAACAGATGCTGCAGGACTGAGGAGCATTGCTGAACCCATCAGGAGACTGAGATGCCAATAACGTCCGGGGCTAGGTGTGCAGCAGTAGATGGGACAACATTGGCTTAGCAAGTAAGTACCACTTTGCACATGAACCTGGGAATAAAATCGGGACATCTGTGCCATGGGAGAAGAAGGTGAGCTGACGATGTGAACCCGTAGTTGTCTGTCCGTTCATCTTTCGTCGCAGTCGTACTGTGGTCCCTCCAAACTCAGAATGTGGCCGCCCCCACTGAGTGACACCAGGAAACTAGACCGTAACGCGAAGGAGGAATGATAGTCGAAAGCAGCCATGGATAATGCTCGGTTGGATGAAATCTGAGGTGTCCAGGCGTGAGGTGAAGATTGAAGTTGCGGTTGAAGCCCCTTGACGAAGCAGCCACGGTGGCGAGAAAAGACGCACAGGACGACAGGTGCAATGGCCGGTGCACAATGCCCCCAACACAACCACGACTGTCAAGTCGTGATAATCCAGATTGCTCTTTTCGTGCTCAGATCCCGCGAAGCAAACACCTTCTCGATTGTTCATAATAAACATGCATTAGGCCAGCGCTTCGGAATCGGTCCTCGTGCACCGCCCACTATTTGCAAGCACATTGCATCTCATACCGCGGCACCATCTCTCGTGCTGTAGACTCGTACGCTCAACATTTAGACAGCCTTTTACATGAAACTCCCGGATCCTAGCAGCGCCACTTCTGACCAGAGCTCTGGGCCACAGCGAGACGGCCCGCAGCCACGGGCGGCCCGCGGTGGCCATAGCTCCCTTTGTTGCCGCACCCCATAATTATGTCCAGAGACATAGAGTTGGTATTGCACGCACCTGAGCTTTGGGTGTAATTTGATCTGTGGCCTATTCCGATGTGATGCTTCCTTGCGATTTGCTTGCTTTTGAAACCACTTAAGACAGCCATTCCTGCCTCTATCAGTTGAGTCAGGATAACGCTAAACTCAGCGTCACAGTGGATGCAGGAAGAAATTAATCTGTCTAGATTCATCTCATGTAAATAGCAGGGTCCCACACTTAGATGCACTTATACAGAATATTGATACTTGCATCTACCTCCGGATTTCTTCTTTATCTCCTCGTGAAGAAAGGCTGTTCGAACCTACATCATCGACGTTCGAGTTTCTACTCCGACTGCCTACACAAAGGACTGCTGTAGATCAATTTCTTTTTGCACCTACCATGGCGTCCAACATCTCCCACCTAACATTCTTGAAGCTCAATATCTTATGACCAGCTGCAATGAGTGAAGCTATCGTAATCCACACAAAATGTAAAAAGCACTCGTCCAAGCTTCAAAGGTAGCATTCTAATTCCCCTCTTGCATCTTTTGTGTTCGATAGTCCCTCCTAGAAGCCGTGACCATCCGCCTTGCTCTAAAACTAGTGATATTAGAAAACACCGCCCAATCACTAATCCACTAACTTATTGATCGAGTGGATGATGATGAAGAAACATTGCAAAAGAGGGAAGAACGCTCGATAACAAGACATGCATGCATTCAGAAATAATGACGGTGTCCAATGGCACACACAAGACATAAAAATGATAGTTCGTTCTCTTCATAAAAACCCCTCCAACACGCGGAGCGCCCCTCCCCAATGATCATCTGCAGACACTGTAGTAAACAACAACGGCATAAGCATAACCATACATTCTCGTGCCCCACCATCCACCAATTCATCCAGCCAGCCAAGAAAGAGACAGTAGCAGACAAAACCCCCGTACTCACTTAAGCCAGGAGAAGGAGAGAATAAGAGAATAAGAGAGAAACAAACAAAACACCCCCGATATAGAAAGACAACCCTTGCCGAAAGTATGAACCCCGTGCGGTCTCGATGCCACACGCACAGAGAAATTGAGCATATCCATAGTCTCATCTTCAGTTTTTTCTTTCGAGAGAGAGCAGCCCTCGGATCGCCTTTACACTCCCGGAATCCCCACCCACCCACCATTTTAGTCGCTAAAGAGAAGCAGCAAGCAATAAACAAAGCGGAGTGTACCGTTAGATACTTGACAGTCAAATCAAGCCGTGACACCCTCGCTCTTGCGCTTGCGCTTGTTCTTCTTCTCCGGCTCAGGGGCAGCCTCAGCAGCAGCCTCCTCAGCGCCCTTGGACTTCCTGCCGCGCTTCCTCTTAGCGGGCTCCTCGACGGACTCCTTAGGAGCCTCCTTGGCCGGTTCATCCTTCTTGGCGTCCGCCTTCGCCTTCCTCGTATTCGTCGCCTTGGCCGGAGTGCTCTCAGTGGCGACCTTGGGGTGAGAGGGAAGAGGAATGGGGCTCGCCGTGTGGGCGGGAGCGGCAGCGGACGAGGCGGCGACGACGCCGTTCTCCTTACCCGTCTTGCGGCGCTTGGGCTTGGGAGTCTTGTTCTCGGCCGGAGGGGTGGGAGCCTTCAGAGGGCTGGCCTCCTTCTCGCTCTCCTCCTCGGATGGGGAAGACTCATCGGCGGTGGCACCAGCAGCAGTAGCTGCGCCTTCAGCCATCTCGACGTCGGCGTCCGCGGCAGCAGCGGCAGCTTCCGCCTCGCCCTTGGAAGCCTTGTACTCGGCGATCTTCACAAGGTACTCATCGCGGTTCTTGTTGTAGATGTCCTGCCAGGCCTGGATTGACGGTCAGCATAAGAAGTGCATGTGGACTAGATCGCGACTGACCTTCTTCTCCTCGTCACCAAGCTCCCTCCAGCGCTTCTTGATCTCCTCCTCGACCGCGCCAGGAGTGACAGTCGGACCCATGTCCTCCTTCACGACGGGGCGCGCCTGGGCTGAGTACAGGAAATACATGGTCAAAGGGCGCTTAGGCTCATTGGGGTCCTTCTCCTTCTTCTCCTTCTTGGGCTTCCTGCCCTTCTTCACCGGCTCCTCCTCTGCGGGCGCTGCGGGAGCGACAGCGGGAGCCGCAATGGGCTGAGGAGCGGCGGCGGCGGCGGGGCCGGCGGCGGCGGGAGGAGAGTCACGCAAAGCACCGGCGAGGATCTCATTGTTGTTCAGAGGATTCGAGATGCCAAAGGTGTCAAGGCGGTAGGGCGTTGAGCCAAGCACCGAGTTGGTGTGCTTGAGATATGAACGGAGGAGGTCGCTGACGGCAGTCTGCAGGGTGGTCAAGCCGGTGACGACCTGGACGAAGAATTGCGGGTCAGGATACAATCTCAATTGCGCAAGAACGAGTGGAATGGAGCTGATGAGCTCGCGCAGCTGGCGTGACATGTCGCCCAGGCCGGCGCGCACTTGACGCGCCTGGGCCGGTGGCAGGAATGCGCCAGCGGACATGGAGGGAGCATGATTGCGCTACAGGAAGAACGGAGAGCAAGCATCAGGGAAACCATCTTCAATGGCGGCGCGCGCGGCATGAGGGTGAGGCGGCTTGAGGGTGGCGCGTGGGCAGACGGCGCGCGTAGCAAAACAAAGCGCGACTTACCGAATCGCGCGTCCTGGCGAAGTCCTCCACACTGATCATCAGCTCAGCAGTCTCCTTCTGCTGCTTGTCTTCCTTGCGCGGGCGACCCATGGCGATGCAGACGCGTGGGCGATGGGGAAATGGATGGATTGGTAAAATTTCGTCGCAGAGTGGAAGGTGTGGGAGCGGCGACGCGAGCGACGGGCGGCTAGGCCACTTATGAGGCCCGGCGGGTGTCGGTCAGCAGGCTACCCCCCACTGCAACAGGCCCCTCCCGCCCACGACACAGCCCGCTGCGAGCTGTCGTTTTCGCCTCCCGCGCCCCAGATGCAGTGCACTCTACACTGCAGCCCAGCGCCGTGCCGTGGCCATTTCAGCTCCATCTCTTCCGTGCCATGCTCTGCAGGCCCCGCGCCCGCTGTTGCTCGCGCGCGCCCGTCTCGCAGAGGCTGCACCATGCCCTGCGCGCGGTGCGGGTTCCTCGTGCAGCAGCCTCCGTCGAGACGGTGGCCCAGCGCGTGCGTTCGCACTTTGCTTCTGCCGGCCTATTCCACAGGGGTCCCCAAGGGCTTGCGCAGGCTCGCCCGGGCTTTGGCACTACCCCTTGGTGAGCCTGTTTCAGCGCTTCCAGGCCTCGACGGTCGCCCAATAACCGCTGTTCCCCCTTCCATGTCCTCTCGTGTCCTGCGCCGAGCCTTCTCAGCGCCCGCCCGCCCCACCGCCGACGCAGCGTCCACGGCGCCCCGACAGCCCCCCCTCCATCGATAGCCCATACGCCCCGATGCGCAGGCCCTCGGCGTGGTGTTCTAACACACATACCGCCCGCCTATCTCTACGATTACTGTCCACCGCTCAGTGCCTTAGTTCCACCACGCTCACTATCCCCGGCTCACGTGAATTTTCGAATGTATGACGCGTTCAGCTGCTGCCGCCTCCAGGTCTACAATCCAAATACACACACTCGTTATTGACTGTGCCTACCGATATCTGCAGCGACTAACTCTCTACCCATACTCGACACTGGTGCTAACCCACCGAGACTCTCGCTGCAGTCGAAATTAATAGCCTCCTAATGCCATCTCTTCTTTTCAGCAACCTAAAGTGTGTAAGGTGAGGGACTACCGACACGACAGTCTGTAAGAGTGTACACTATGAGCCTCGATAAGGTGCCGCCGACTTTTAAGTCAAGGCTGACTTCACTACCGTCATCTTGTATCTTCTGTCGGCTGTGCAGTGCTACCGCAAATGTCTTCCTCAATTGCAATGTTCTTCTGGCTATCAAATTCTACTTCTCCATCTCAAAGAACGCTCAGGCGACGCATTCTGCAGCCGTTTCCCGCTGGCTGATGGTGAAGTTTATTTCTGCTGCCTGTCTGTTATGTCACCTTCAAGTAATACGCAGCAGTATGATCTCCTAAGCACACTTTCCATGTGATGTATTTCGTCACACCTCGTGTTTTGAAGGTATCTAAAGTAATCGCATGCCAGGCCTCTACAAATAGCTGAATTGCAAGACTTAAGCAGTTAGAAGCGTTTAGCAGCTTAAGTTCCTTGGGAGAGATACATGGCGCATCTTTCTTACAGCTTTGGTCCGATATAAACAGCGTGGTACGGAACAGCCAGGTATCAGTGCTCATTTTAACCTTTGTTGAAACCGCGCCGTTAAAGTTGGACTGCACCGCGGATTCGTTCTTTTATCATAATTAATCCCTCAATATGAAATAGTGAGCTCTAGAGTATGACTCCTACGCATAAAGCTTGTCTTAGAGTGCTTATAGAAAAGTGTGTTTGAAGTAGATTTTAGGTGCTTTCCGGGGGTGGTTTACTGCTCTACGAGATGGCTGGTTTGAAATACCTGTTGGTCATCTTTACAATACATGAAAGCATTTAAATCGAGTTGAAAACGTCGATACCACGCTCGTTGAATTAATTCCATCAAGTATTAAGACGTTGGTGGGTCTCGTTAAGTACTGCTGCTGTTGGACACCATGCAAGTACCCATTACCCTCGGACTCAAATGACGCCCAGCTCTGCCAAGTCTTGTTTTCAATTCTGTGAGTACCAGTCGCCCTTGTTCTCAAGTCGAGATTCTTGTTAGGCAGAGCAGATGCTGATTGTGAGTAGTATGACCATGATGACACCTGAACGATCCAAGATCAGATCCGCCTCTGTGAGGAGTATGCCAGACTCCGTTGAACCCTTACCAGCTAGCTGTGCTATTTCCAGATCTGAGTCGAACACATTTGTACAACTGGATAGAGATACTTCAATTAGGTAGGACTTTGACTTCCATCGGTAGCTGTGAAACCCCGACTGTCTGGCATTAGTAAAGCCTAATCTATTCGATCCATGACAAGAAATCTTCGTGAAGCACACGCATGTGGTCAAGAAGAAGTATCTCCCATATAGGCTGCAGTAAGTGTCGTAGCAGTCAAGTGATTATTCAAGTGTGCCATTCAATCTCTATTGAGCAAAAAATAATGACCGTCTATCGCTGAAACCCCAGAACGCCCAGCCGTCGAAGCCATTTTGAAGATAGGGTATATCTTGCGTGTACCACCAACACTGTCCCTGTCGGAAAGAGATCCAGCCGACGCAGCTTCATCACAAAATGTTCACATCGGCCTCAGCCAATTCTTCCTCCATCTCCTCCTCGGACTTCGTGACATCTTCGATAAGCTTCAAGGTAGCCCTCAGCGGCAGGCCGACAACATTGTCAAACGTGCCCTCTATCCGGTCGACCAGGATGGAGCCGATTCCCTGAATGCCGTAGCCGCCGGCCTTGTCGGCGCCTTCCCTTGTTCTGACGTACGCAACGATCAGCTCGTCCGTGACTACACGACCGCAACAGTTAGCATGCCGTTCGACTCCGCACTGGAAAAGCCGCCTCTCCACAACATACTCGACTTATCGAACTTGACCGTCGTGTCCTCCACATGCGTCTTCATAGCGTAGCCCGGGTCCCTGGCGCTCTCCAGCGGCCGCATGCACGCCACGGCGGTGAAGACCTTGTGCTCGCCGTGGTCCCGCAGGCTCTTGAGCATCTCAACGTGCTCGCGCTCCGACCGCGGCTTCTCCAGGATCTCGCCATAGTGGCCGACGACGACGGTGTCGGCGGCGATGATCAGCGCCGGCTCGCCCTTCTCCTTGTTGTCGATCTCCTGCTCGTACACCGTCATGGCCTTCTGCGTCGCCGTCTGCAGCACATATTCGAAGGGAGCGAGCGTCTTGGACAGATCTTCGGGGAACGCCGAGGGGATGACTTCGAGGTCGCGGAGACCGATCTGTAAAGACCGAGACGGGCTCATGTTAGCATGGTGGTGTTTTGCAAAAAAGGCGGTTTCGAGAGGTCGTCGGCGTGTGGCGAATTCCCCGTGGTGACCCTTCCACGCCGATGGGGGGAAAGAGGGGAAGGGGGTGGGACGCACTTGAGCGAGCAGTTGTCTCCGTCGCGGAGAACCCGAGGCCAGGATCACTCTCTTGCCACGTAGGTTCGTCAAGGCGGACAGCTCGAGGGGCAGCGGTGCGCGCGGCTGTCCAGGCCTCGGTGGCGCTGGTGCTCCGCCGGCGACGGGGGCGGGTTGCTTGTCGACGGAATCGTAGGAGGGCGGCGGCTCGGTGGGCGCAGCCTCGTAGTTGCTGCTGTCGTTGTTGTAAAACGACATGGTGAGTCGGCGGAGCATTGGTGACGGATTCGTGGGGGATGTTTCTCTTCTAGCCAACTTTTTTTTGCCGCGACGAGTTCCTGGGTCAATTGCTGTAACGGGAGTTGCTTGATCTGCTTGCGGGAGGGAGGGCGCTGCGGAGCTAACGCCTTGGCAGGCGTCAACGGCAGCCGGGTTTCTTAGTTCCGGGCAGGCGGGGGTGCAAACGAGGCGAGGGAGGACGCGTCAGGAATGGGGTGCAGACGCTCAGGAACAGGCTGCACGACGGTATCTTGCCGCCTTGTCTGCCTTGACAGATGCAGTAGAACATGCGGCAGTCGTTCTCACCAAATACGAAACCGCATTGCCAGTGCCAGTGCGGCCACGGCCGACGCGGGATTAAAAATAGCTCCCCGACCTCCCAGTGCGCAGTCGATCATGGCCATGACTTATGGCCGATCTATAATAGCGAGAAATTGGATTGTGCGCGCCGGTTCGTCGCAGGGCTAGGGCGAGCTTATAGTCCTTCGGGAGACCAACCTTGCCGTCCTCCTAGTACAAGCTTTACACCGTCTTTACATTATTGACTAATCCTGACTCGTGCGATGTGCAGGGACCCGGACAAGAAGTCCTTGCGTTGAGCAAGGAGCGAGATGGGACGATGAGGCGGTAATGAACGTATACTAGGCACTTATTGTGATTGGCAGTGCAAGCTTCTGAGGAAGAAAAGGAAGGTGCCCGACCAGAGTACGAGGGTCCAAAGTAACCATGGATCTTTTATATTGTTCTACGGAGACTCGAGGTTAGACCCGGACAATTCAGCACTTGCACCCGCACTAACGTTGTCCCTTGAACTCCGAAAGGCTCCCGCTAGACGGTAGGTGTGGTTTGGGGCCAGTCCGAACAGCCGGCCCGGAGGGGCGCAGCCTAGGTAGCCGGTCGGACAACAGAAAGATCGTGGAGATCATACCTTGGTGCTCTCATCTTCGGATACTATTTCTGAATCAATCTTACGTGTAGTACACACATGCCAAGAGGCGTTGTCCTCAACGGAAATCGCTGCGTGCTTATTAGTTGAGGTAGAGGCGGAGGTCAAATCTGGGACTGACGATCCTGGCTCTACTGCACACCACGGACGGCTTCGGGACCAGCCGTTAAAACCCCGACCACAAGCGCGAGCAAACACCTCCGAACAGGTAGTAATAAGCGACGCCTCGGCACCTGTAAAGGCAAGCTCAGATACTGTAGTAGTAGTAGTAGGCGGTGTTGGTGTTCCAGAATTTTCGGACTCGATATCGGGCTCCCCCGCAATTCCCGAGCGGACGCCATTCGCATGGGGATCCGTTCCCTGCATATGGAGCAACGACACCATATATCTTGAACAGGTTCACACATTATTATCACATTCAGAACAGCCAGTTCAACTTACCAGCCAAAGCATTGCACGATACCCCGCCGTTATCTTTTGTCAGGAAAGCATCATCACCATGGCTGCAGGCAACATTAGCTTTGAGGGTACGGTATCCAATAGTGTGGATCGCTGTTGTGAAACACCCCTGCTGAGACGCGACAGACTATTTGGGCCTCTGCGACGCTGTTGTTGAGTGGGCGGACAGCTACGATAGCAAGGTGAGCCCCACCCCACAGCGACTGCTTTTGCTGCGGCGACTGACCACATGCACAGGACTGGGATAGGCTGCGCAAGTGCATCGCACCAACGTTGAGGGTCAGTATTGGAGTCCTTGTTGAGGGAGCGCAGTCCGGATGACGTGGGCTAGATTGACTACCGCTCCTTCCTCGACAAGCTCTGGGAAGCTATGCCGGCCGAGGAGTTCGTGGCCATGATCTCATCGCCTGCCGTGCTGGGCGACCCGTTGCTCAAGACGCAGCACTTCATCGGCGGTTCCAAGTGGGAGAAGATCTCTGACGACGAGGTGATTGGAGTGCACCAGCTGCGCGTGCCCCACCAGAGGTACACCGACGAGAGCCGTACCACCGTCGCAGTCAAGGGACACGCCCACAGCACCAACACGCATTGGTACAAGAAGGTCAACGGCGTGTGGAAGTTTGCAGGGCTCAACCCCGAGATCAGATGGGGCGAGTACGACTTCGACAAGGTGTTTGCCGGCGGGCGCGACGAGTTCGGTGAGGCGGAGACCAAGGCGGCCGAGGGCATCCCGCCGCAGAAGTCGGCCGTGGCTGCGGCGTCGTGAGCGCGGGGCCTGAGGCGAGGGATCAGGGCGGAGGGCGGCGGGCGGCGGGCGGCGGGCGGCGGTTACGTTATGTCGAGTTTGCCAGGATCAGCAACGAATGGATCTGTGATGCAGCAGCTACCAGGCCACGAGCGCCAACGTGATCTCGCCGTGATGCACATCATGCTCGCCCGCCAGCACAGACGACGGGAAGACAGATCCCCCACTTCGCGAGGGGCGTGCGCTGCCGTCGCGTCACCGCGTCGCCCGGGGCGGCTTGAGGTCATGCAGGCACAGGCCGGGGCAGGCACGGGCAGGCACGGCAGCGGTTCGCTGGCCGTTGCGGCGATACGTGGCGGGCGGTGGAGCGGCGCGACATCATCGCAATGCGCTGGTGAGGCTCTGAGGTGAAGAATGCGACTGGTCTCATTTGCCTGGCTGTTTGCAGAGGCCCGGCGCCGCGGGTCTCCGGACCGGCATGAGGAAGATCATTGCTTGAGCGTTGGCTGAGGATTGGATGGCGGCGGGCGCTGGCGCGCTGCAAGCGGTGTGTGCTGAAGTCGGCCTTCAGATCGCCCAGCTGGCCGTGCGCCACTTTTCGCGGGCCCTGGGACGCTCGTGTGCGCGCGCTCGATCGTCTTCATCTTGCTGAAACAGCCCTATGGAGGCAGCCGGAGATCATGTCGTGCAGGCGCGGGCTGGCGGCGGCGTCGCAACCGGACGCAGGCCCGCTATGGGCTGTTGGGCGCCCGCCGCGATGCCGCGATGCGCAATAGACTCGAACGGTCCCAGCTGCGAAAAGACGCCAAAACATGGAACTGCTCCCCAAAGACCGAGCGAGGCAAGCCGCGCTTTGCTAGCGGCTTGGTCACGGGATTCGCCTTTCTAATGCCCCTCCACCTCGCCCGTCCTGCGCAACCGTCCTTCCACCTCCACCTCGACAAAAACGCCCCCAAGCCTATTTATTCACCGGGCATCTCCTCTCGTCTTCCCTTTGCGTTGCGGGTGTTGGGTCCTTTCGTCCTGTTTCCCTCTGCACGTCCCTCGCCTTTCTGCATTGCGGCTCTGCTTCACGTCGTCATTGGTAAGTCCACGTCAAGATTTTCCCGTCGCCCGCCCGCGCCCCAGCCATCACCGCTTGCCCGGCCGGTGCGCGCAGCGGGCCCGTCGCTCATCGCCGGCCATCGCCAGCGTCGCCAGCGTACTGCGTTGCCGCGGCTGCCCGGGGTGAGGCGCGTCGGGGCGGCTCAGCTGGTGCGGCGCATCGCCAGCCCAGCGCGCGTTGCTGCCCTCTCGCGCCCACCACTCGCGGTCCTGCAGCGCCCTCGTGCCACGCCCTGCACCAGCGCATGTGATTCAGCAAGTGCAACCCCGCTGACCAGCACCGCAGATTTCGTGGGTGACCTCTTCTGCTGCTTCACCAGCTTCAGGCAAACGACCGTTCATTCCCCGATTGCGCGTCATCATCTCCTGGGTTCCGCATCCATTCAGTATTCCTAGGATTTCAAGCCCTCCGTCGGACACTTCCTCTGCGCAGTCCTGCCCCGCTTTCAGACTGCCTCGCCAGCTCACTCGGTCTTAACCGCGCGCGCGATCCTGGTCGTTCACACACGGTCCCTCCCACACAAGCTACTTCACAGCTTCGGCGACATAGCCAATTAGCAGCAGTGCTCTCAAAGGTGCGTTGTGCTCGTGTCCCAAGCTCACTTGCTGCCGCTGCCCAACTTTTCCATGCCGTCAACCGTGCGATCAGAGCGTCCGTGCTGACAAGTGCCGGTCCGACACAGACTTCTGCCGTCATCAACGCTTGGACACTCACCACCACAACTTCTTCCCACCACATTTCCGCTCTTCCGAATATTAGTATCGACGCACGCGATCCTACGAACAAGATGAGCTTCCCTTACGACAACTCGTTCCAAGGCCAACCGGGCGCCGAGGATGCCAATGCGCAGGGCGTCGCTGGTGCCCAACAACAACCTCAGATGGGGCAGCCGATTGAGAGCGCGGCCGGCCAGTTCCAGGGCGGCAACATGCCCGTTGGTGCGCCTTCTTCCGGCCCTGGCAGCCAGGGCCCTGGCGAATCCAAGACCACTCTCTGGTACGTCTGCGCATCTGCCTGGAGGCCGCTCACCTCGGATGAAGTTTTTTCTTCGCCATGATGAATTGCGCCTTGGGCCAGTTGCCTTTTTTCAACAACGTTGCCATACTGATGTCTTGCAGGATGGGAGAGCTCGAGCCTTGGATCGACGAGAACTTTGTGCGCAGCGTCTGGTACGGCATGGGCGAGCAGGTCAACGTCAAGATGATTCGCGACAAGTTCTCTGGGTAAGTTCGAAATCTCTGCCTTGGGACAATTGATCGCTGACATCGGCAGTAACAACGCCGGCTACTGCTTCGTCGACTTCCAGACCGCGGATGCTGCTGCAAAGGCCCTTGGTCTCAACGGCCAGATGATCCCCAACTCGAACCGTCCCTTCAAGCTGAACTGGGCTTCCGGCGGTGGTCTCCAGGACCGCAGGGATGACCGCGGCCCCGAGTTTTCCATCTTCGTCGGCGATCTCGGCCCCGAGGTCAACGAATACGTGCTCGTCTCGCTCTTTCAGGGCAAGTACCCTTCTTGCAAGTCCGCAAAGATCATGTCCGACCCCATCTCCGGCATGTCTCGCGGCTACGGCTTCGTCCGCTTCGCCGACGAGAGCGAGCAGCAGCGCGCCCTGAACGAGATGCAGGGCGTCTACTGCGGCAACCGTCCCATGCGCATTTCCACGGCTACTCCCAAGAACAAGAGTGGTGGCGGCCCTGGCGCTGGCCCCATGGGTGGCATGCACGGCAGCGGCCCTGGCCCTGTTGGCATGTACGGCATGGGCGCCCCTCCGCTTGGTTACTACGGTGCTCCCCAGCCCATGAACCAGTTCACGGACCCGAACAACACCACCGTCTTCGTCGGTGGCCTCTCGGGCTACGTCACGGAGGACGAGCTTCGGTCTTTCTTCCAGGGCTTCGGTGAGATCACTTACGTCAAGATCCCTCCGGGCAAGGGCTGCGGTTTCGTGCAGTTTGTGCAGCGCCACGCCGCCGAGATGGCCATCAACCAGATGCAAGGTTACCCCATCGGCAACTCGCGCGTCCGTCTCAGCTGGGGCCGCAGCCAGAACAACTCGGGGCCTGCTGGCACTCCGTACCGCCCCGCCCCTCCGCCTCCGGTCTACCCTAACATGGGCATGCCTCCGAACCCATACAGCGGGTTTGCTCCCATGAAGGTATGGCAGCACTAGAGTGCTGACGCTTACCCCATTATCAAGGCTTGCTGACCCTGCTACAGTAAGCAACATTCCTTACATTTCTGAGGGTTCAGCGGGAGTTCGCGTACGTCGTGCATTCAAAGGTCTTTAAGGTCTTTCACTGGTTGGCTCGGTCACGCTTTTTCACTTTATATGCATGCCACGTCACGACTCTCATCAAGTTCGGTCTCATTCACGGGTTTTCATGCCTTTCCCAATACCAAAAAGTTGCTTCTTTCTCTTCTTCTTGACTGCGGTCTAGAGAAAATCCTGTACAACATGGCTTAGCCAAGGGTCTTCTGCTGCTCTAATTCCCTTCTCACGAAAACCACTTATTGCTTTGATTTTCATCATCTTCCCAATGGGAGGGTTTTTCTCGGGTTGTAGCTAGTCGTTTTCGATTCCCCTTTGCAGCAGAGCCAACGCTCTCGTTTGGCGGGAAGGATGCTTTTTAGAGCATATGCGTTTCCTCTAAATTGCAAAACTGCGAGTTCATGACTTTTAGCACGCTTACTCTTCGTTTGTGTATTACTGCGCGCGTTTATACCAATGTTTGCTTGGTTTGCTCAGTCGCCTCTTGCCGATGCCGCTGGTTGTGCATTTACTTGTTTGCAGTACGATCACGCCTCAGTTTCCAGCCACGGCCGCTGACACGGTCTTTTCGCCGAATGGTTGATTGGTCGACCTTCTCCCGCACGCGCACCCTCGACGCACGCCTTCCCTGTCCGTTGGGCTGCTAACACGGTGGTGCCTAGTATGTACATGCCTGCACCGCAACTCGCGCCGATGACGAGTTTGCCTCGACCAATCGTCTTCCCACCGCATACGCTCTCGAGCATGTCGGCGCCGCAATCCCCTGGGACCGGATCTGGCAATGGAGAACTGGCCGAGAGCCTCAACAGAATGGCGATTGGGACGCAGATGGAAATGGGGATGCCGAAGGGCGCTGAGAAAAGGGATTCGGTGCAGCGATCGGAAAGCGGGAGACTGTCAAGTCCCGGAGTGATTGGCCAAGGCAGCAACATCGATCAGCGGCTGGCGTAAAATGGGGCGGCACAGGCGGAGTCAAAAGAGCGGGGGTCCTCTGGTCCGGTATTGGGTGCGGCGTCGCCTGTCCGTTATGGAATGGCGTCTGGTGGAGCAGACAGGAAGAAAAAAAAAAAGTTATTTGGAATTGGGCCGGCATCAAGAGACGCAAAATCTTCTGCCACCGGACCTCGACCAGCTGGCTCCAGGATGAGCAGCGCGGTAAAAACCCACGCAAAGGGGCATATAATGTAATGTGTAACATGTCTGTAGGAATGTCCGACAAGACGGCGCGAGGGCGCCTCATCAGCGGGCTGAGCAGACATATTGACCCACTTGTTCAGGCCCATGTCCTGTTTTCTTTCTCGTTGACGTGAGCCAGCCACGGTTGCAGCTAAGCCGTTCCGATGCGCATAAACGCTTTTGTACAGGGATGGCTAATATGCGTATGCCCGAATCACGGCGCGCACAGCCTGGCTCCCAACGAATCTCAATTCTGCTTGCAACCCCAGGCTCCAGGCGCGGGAAAGGGGACCCTTGCTGCAGTATCTATCAAGCACCTGATCCAGCACGTGTTGACGCGTGTGGACTGAGGGCTGCAGCTTACTTGGGCTCTCGCACGCACTCCACGATCCAGAGGCGCGAGAGCAAGGGTGCGGGAAGTTTTCTTCACCCGCCGGCGCTGTTAGCCACAATCCTGCGCCGGCCCAAGACCCTGCTAGGGCGCTGACGCATTCCAGGCGTTTGTTTGGTAGCGGTGCAATGCGGCCATCTTGACGTACAATGGGCTTCGTCAATCGGCGATGGTAGGCGTGGAATCTCGAATGCTGGTCGAGGCAGAAGCATGGCATTGGGTTTGGATGCATTCAGGACATGTCTCTGGCAGCGCTGCAGGTGGTGCATCTCGGTCCTGCGCCAGCAGTTCGGCGTTGCGTCAGCGAGAAGCAGAGTCTTTCCATTAATTGCGGCGCAGCTCGGAGTTTACGTGTTATCGCTGGCGGCGGCGGGGGCGTTATCAGCGACGGGCGGCCGTCCAATGGTGGCGTGCCAATGGGCCAGGCTGACCGTGCGGAGGAAGGGGCCATTGTATAGCACTACTCTAGCTAGAGCTCTCAAGCTCAGTCCTCTTCTCCACGATCTCTCCAGCGGTTGAGCTCGAGGCAGCTTTCGGCCCTTCCCAGCTGTGCCATTTGCTGTGCCGTCACTATGCAGCTCGCACCCAAGGAGGTCTGACACCCCGGCATTTCTCTCGTAACGCCAACACCTCCCGTGCCCCGCACGCCCGCCTGCTAACCACCCACTGCGCTCCCTAGGTCGACAAGCTCCTGATCTCCCAGCTTGGCTTGCTGGCACAGCGCCGTCTAGCCCGGGGCGTCAAGCTGAACCATGCAGAAGCTACCGTGCGTGCCATTGACGCGTGACTGATGTGCGCGACCCCATGCTGATTCGCTGCAGGCCCTCATAGCGAACAACCTTCAGGAAGTACTCGAGACGCCGACTCCTGCCGCTCTAGACTCCTGCTGATCGCATGCATACAGCTCGTCCGCGATGGCAGACACACGGTCGCCGACCTCATGGCCATTGGCAAGACCATGCTGGGTCGCCGCCACGTCCTCCCATCCGTCGTAAACTCTCTCTCCGAGCTCCAGATCGAGGGCACCTTCCCCACCGGCACATACCTCGTCACCGTCCACCACCCCATCAGTACAGAAGATGGCGATCTCGAGAAGGCCCTGTACGGCAGTTTCCTGCCCGTCCCCAGCCTGGACGCGTTCCCGTCGTGGGACCCGAGCGTGTACGAATCGAAGAAGCAGCCCGGCGCCGTCGTACCAGTCAAGGGCAGAATCGTCCTGAACGAGGGGAGGAAGAGGATCAGATTGAAGGTCACGAGCAAGGGTGACAGACCCATCCAGGTAGGATGCTTTCCGCCTGTTGCTCGACCAGTGCATGTGCTTAATGTGAGCGTAGGTCGGCTCGCACTACCACTTCGTCGAGACGAACCCGTTCCTGGAGTTCGACCGCGTCAGAGCTCACGGCTTCCGTCTCGATATCCCCGCCGGTACATCTGTGAGGTTTGAGCCCGGCGACACCAAAACCGTCACGCTTGTCCAGATCGATGGCCACCAGGTCATCAAGGGTGGGAACAACTTGGCGTCTGGCCATATCAAGGATTTCTCGATAGCAGAAGGCTTGGTGGAGCGGCTGCAGGCTGGTGGCTTCCTGCATGTGCCGGAGCCTGTGGGAGATGCGGCCCACATTGACATGGCTTCGATGGACCGGGCCGCCTACGCGACCATGTTTGGGCCCACGACCGGGGACCTCGTCCGCCTGGGTGCTACCGACCTTTGGATTCAAGTCGAGAAAGACATGACCCAGTACGGTGATGAGTGCTCCTTTGGCGGTGGTAAATCGCTGCGCGAGGGAATGGGTCAAGCAGGAGGTCGTGGGGATAGCGAATCTTTGGACACCGTCATCACCAATGCTTTGATCGTGGACTGGTCTGGTATCTACAAGGCTGATATTGGTATCAAAAACGGCCACATTGTAGGCACTGGCAAGGCCGGCAACCCGGACGTCATGAAGGGGGTTCACCCCAACCTCGTCATTGGCTCTTGCACGGACGTTATCGCTGGCGAAGGCAAGATCATCACTGCTGGAGGTTTTGATACGCACATCCATTTCATCTGCCCGCAACAAGCATACGAAGCTGTTGCTTCTGGTATCACAAGTATGCTGGGTGGAGGAACTGGCCCGAGGTCTGCTTGTCCACTATCTCGTTTGCTTTAGGCCCTCACTAACCAGGCGATAGCACGGGGACGAACGCCACAACTTGTACGCCGGGCAAGACCCATATTCGCCAGATGCTCCAAGCTTGCGACGGCTTACCGGTAAATTACGGTATCACTGGTAAGGGTAACGACTCAGAATTGCTACCACTGCGGGAGCAGTGTGAAGCTGGTGTGGTCGGTTTGAAGCTTCACGAAGATTGGGGAAGCACGCCGGCAGCGATTGATGCTTGCTTGACTGTTTGCGATGAATACGATGTTCAGACACTAATCCACACGGACACATTGAACGAATCTGGTTTCGTTGAACAAACGGTCAAGGCCTTCAAGGGCCGTGCCATCCACACCTATCACACTGAAGGTGCTGGTGGTGGCCATGCCCCGGATATCATCTCGGTGGTCGAGCTCAACAATGTCTTGCCCAGCAGTACTAACCCGACTCGGCCCTACACGCGCAACACGCTGGATGAGCATCTGGACATGTTGATGGTCTGCCATCATCTTTCGCACAACATCCCCGAGGACGTCGCTTTCGCCGAGTCGCGCATCCGCGCCGAGACGATTGCAGCAGAGGACGTCCTGCACGACCTCGGCGCCATCAGCATGATGTCGTCGGACTCGCAAGCCATGGGCCGCTGCGGCGAGGTGATTACACGCACCTGGCACACGGCGCACAAGAACAAGGTGCAGCGCGGGCAGCTCGCCGAAGACCAAGGCACGCGCGCGGACAACTTCCGGGTCAAGCGGTACGTGTCCAAGTACACGATCAACCCGGCCATCGCGCAAGGCATGGGCCACCTCATCGGCAGCGTCGAGCCGGGAAAGCTGGCGGATCTGGTCGTGTGGGAGCCCGCCAACTTTGGCGCCAAGCCGAAGCTCGTCATCAAGAGCGGCATGATCTCGTACGCGCAGATGGGCGACCCCAACGCGTCGATCCCCACCGTCGAGCCCGTCGTCATGAGGCCCATGTTTGCGCCCCTCGTGCCCAGCACGAGCGTCACGTTCGTCAGTCAGGCGGCCATCGATAGCGGTGTCGTGAAGGGATACGGATTGAAGAAGCGCGTCGAGCCGGTCAAGGGGTGCCGGACGGTGGGCAAGAAGGACATGAAGTTCAACGATGCGATGCCGAAGATGAAGGTCGACCCGGAGAGGTATACGGTTGAGGCGGATGGGGAGTTGTGCACGGCGGAGCCGGCGGAGGTGTTGCCGTTGGCGCAGGCGTATTTCGTGTACTGAGCGATGAGGATGTGATGAGGAGGGAATGAAGTGAACGGAAACTGAATATAGTGGGAGAGTTGTTGTTCTGAGGGTGGATACTGCTACTGCTGAGGAGGGTTTTTCTTTCTTCCGTCTATCCTGTTTATATTTGAGTATGAAGCTTTTCCCTGTGTTGTCGTATGTAATGCTAAGTTGGGGGTTCGAAATGGGCCAATCATTGACTTTTTCTTTGGAGGTGCTACTTGAGACGAGGAAAGTGTCGGTCGATGATCAGTAGTCTTCATACAAGCTATAGTTCATCCCAAGCCTCCTTAGAGTCCAAGCCATGTGGTTGAAGTACCCAGGCCGATTATCGCGTCATGTCAGGGACTTCCGACAACGGAAGCCTAACCCCAGACCCATGTCGTCACACCAACACATCAACACACCATCCCACCTTTCCCTTCACTCCACCACGTCGCTGAATATCTACTCGCTTCCGCATCTCTCCTCCGAGACAGCTCCAACAAGTCCATCCGACGACCCTCTCCATCGATTGCGAGCTCCACCCCGAAGCAAAGCGAGCTCTCTCCAAAGAGAGAGGGAAGAGGAAAAGCTACCCCGCACCAAAAACACCGCGGCCGAGGGCAACCCACCAACGGCACACATATAATACACACCTCCGAAAGAGAAAGGCGACGACACACAAAAAGAGTGGGGGGAACAAAAGAAAGAAGCATGTCGGCCAAACTCCTCAAGCAGCCCGTCAAGCTCGCGCTCGTGCAGCTCGCGACGGGCGCCAGCAAGGCGGACAACCTGGCGCGCGCGCGCAGCAAGGTGCTCGAGGCGGCCGCCAACGGCGCCAAGATCGTCGTGCTGCCCGAGTGCTTCAACAGCCCGTACGGCGTCAAGTACTTTTCGCAGTACGCCGAGACGTTGCGCGGGGCTGCTGCTGCTGCTGGTGCAGCACCGTCGCCGCCGACCGAGGACGAGTCGCCCAGCTACCACGCGCTGAGCGCGCTGGCCAAGGAGGCGGGCGCGTACATCGTCGGCGGGTCGATACCGGAGCGCGTGAAGAAGGAGAAGAAGGGGGCCAGCAGTGGCAGCGCGGACGCGGACGGGAAAAAGGACGACGACGAGACGCTGTACAACACGTCGCTCATCTTCGCGCCGTCGGGCGCGCTGCTCTCGACGCACCGCAAGGTGCACCTGTTCGACATTTCGATACCCGGCAAGATCACGTTCCGCGAGTCGGACGCGCTGTCCCCCGGCAACAAGGTGACGCTGGTCGACCTGCCCGAGTACGGGCGCGTGGCCGTCGCCATCTGCTACGACGTGCGCTTCCCCGAGCTCGCCACCATCGCCGCGCGCAAGGGCGCCTTCTTGCTGCTGTACCCCGGCGCCTTCAACCTCACCACGGGCGCCCTGCATTGGGAGTTGCAGGCCCGTGCGCGGGCGATGGATAATCAGGTGTATGTCGGGCTGTGCAGTCCGGCGCGGGATATGGATGCTGAGTACAATGCGTGGGGGCATAGCATGGTGGTGGATCCGAATGCCGAGGTGCTGACGGAGGCGGCTGAGGGGGAGGAGATTGTGTATGCGGAATTGACGGGGGAGAGGATCGAGGAGGTGAGGAAGGGGATTCCGATTTATGGGCAGAGGAGGTTTGATGTTTATCCGGATGTTAGCGAGGGGAAGATACGGTTTGAGGAGTAGGGTGGTGGTGGAAGGGAGAATGGAGGGAACGAGGGAGTCCTTTCACCTTTTCACTGTTCAACATTCTGCTTCGAGAGAGTTGCAGGATCAGCTGCTCGTATTTATATTAGCACATCCTGGCATTGTTTGCTTCGAAGCACGTGTTTTGAAACCGTGATACTACGACTAGAAGTGCGAGAATAGTAAACCAGAACCACCGTATGAGAGGCCCGGAGTGTTGAAGATTGCTTCCAGGATATCGAGCGCCGTAGCATTTAGTGAGCAAGAAACCAAGCACCACAGATTACCAACTATTGCTGGAAAATGGCATAAAACCGAGGTTGATAACAATATGTTGTTGCAAGGCCACTCGACGACCTTGATACATAGAGAAAAGCAGAAACTAGTACAATAGGGACCCCTTCCCCATCGAAGGCATAATGGTATCGAACACTCCCCCTCAATCGAGTCCACCAAGGAAAGAAAAAATAGAAGAAAAAAAAAGGCCCATCGATTGGCCAATCAAACCCAACTAAAGTCATCGCTCATGATTACAATGCAGACGTTGCCGGCGCCCGAAGCAAAACCAGCAGCAGAACCATACAACGCGTAGGCATCTGGCACGCCTATACCTGCGCTAGCCCACCACTAGCCTCGTGGTCAGCTACCCGCGCGTTGTCTCTGGTGCCGGCTGGGCTATTTCACCAACCGTCAGCAGGGAGTGACGTCACAGCGGGAGAAGAAGAAAACATTATGCGAGACCAGGGCGGAGCGTGGACGGCGGGCGGTCGGGTGGGCGCAGCGCATGTGTTTACTTGTACTGCGGGTGCTGTTGTGGCGGTTGACCGTAATCTTGCATGGGATGGCCACCGGGCTGTCCGCCGGCGCCGCCGTTGACCTGTGCTTGGACGTCGGGGCGGTACCTAGAAGAGGGGAAGAAAAGAAAGACGGTTGATCAGCGCGCGGTTTGCAGAATTTCTTTTCGCTCTTTCTTTTCTTCTTCTTTTTTTTTCCTGCTTGGGAGAGGGAGGATGGCGGTGGCGTGACGACATACTTGATATCTTGGTAAAAGTTGCAAATGTGGCAGCCGACCTCATGCCACGGCTTGAACGAGAAAGGAATGATTGGGACAAAGCAGAAGGTGAACCATTGCCTGTTGGCCAATTGGCGCAAATTGTCAGTCAACGGGTCTTGTGCGACATATGTGGTTTGATTGAGAGCGCCGGCTTGGCGGGCACACGGGCGCGCTACACATGAGAGCAGCGGGAGCTGGGGGCTGGGGCAGAGGGGCCTGTATGTACCAGCGCTTGAAGACGTGACCGGAGAAATTGCCGCAATTTTGGCACTGGCACGTGACGTTTTCGTAGCCCTTGAGGCGTGAGGTGAAGGCTGGAGAGAGAGGTCAGTTAGCCGGATGCCGGGGGAGCTATGCGCGAAGCTCTGGTGGGAGCTGGCTGCTACTCACTGTGTTCACCGCAGGTGAAGAAGAAGAACATGGTGGATGCGGGCGCGGGCTGGCGAGGCGATGGCGGAAGAGGGCGTGGGAATCCAGGCGCAGGGTCGGGCGGCGATGTGTGCAGTTAAGAAGTGTTGGCGAGGGAGGCACTGCCTGGTGCTCTCGAGCTCGCCATGGGCTGGGCGCTTGGCAGTGACGACGTTCGCGGCGCCTCAGCCACGCGCCCGAGACGCGGCTCCACGGCTGCACGGCTCCTCCATCCTGGCTCCCCAGACGCGTGCCCCACCCAACCCTCCGCAAACATGGCCTCCACCACGACGCGCCAAGTTCGCCGATATGTCGCGCGCTCACGCCGCTGCTCACCCTCCACCGCCAGCCTCCTCCCGCCGCCCTGCCCGTTGCTGGGTCAGCCTGCACCCTGCTAGCCCGCAACCAGGCCCCTCGTGCCCGACACCTGGTCATGTCGCCGGTCCTCATGACCCTACCTACCCGCGACAACCCCCAGATCTGCTTATCGATGCCTGAAAGCCCCCCCAAAAAACGCCGCTATGACGCTGCTGTTGTCGCCAGCATTCGCAAAATGTCGCAAAAATAAATATACATATATGCGCCTGCCCTCTCCTCTCTTCGGCATCGCTCTTTCCTCGAACGCCGTGCCCGTTGACCGTCCGCTTGACCCGCCCTTGATGGCTGCTTGCCCGATAAGACTGTGAATTGCTCTGCACAGAACCCCGCCTGGATCCCATAGACGTACGTAGCATTGCCTTTGTCATTCCTCGATCCGTTGCTTCGCCCGCATGAATCTCATCCTAAACTTACCCATGGCTTCCGAAAAGGCGCCCCTCCTCCCCCCAAAACCCCAATTCCAATCCCAATCCCAATCCCAATTCCACGCAATCCCCTTCCGCCGACGCCGACGCCATCATGGGCGTCACCATCTCCAAGACGTCGGAGCTGTCGCCCATCTCCATGGTCAGCACCGTCTTTGGCTTCCTCGGCTTCGCCTTCACCATCGCCACCTTCCTGCGCGTCACGTGGGAGAACATCCAGACCTTTCTCGGCGCCTCGACCCAGATCTCAGACCTGCTGGGCAACCTCAAGCAAGGCCTGTACGAGGAGCGCTCGCACCTGCGCAAGGTGCGCCGCTGGCAGCGCCGCCGCAGCAGCTTCCAGGGTGGGCCGCGCGACGGGCCCATGTCACCCCCGAGGACGACAGGAGCGGCGGCAGCCTATTACGACCAGTTCCTGGACGAGAAAGAAGAGGCCGATGCTGGGCTCTACTGGCCGTACGGCGGCGGCGGCGGCGTCGACGGCAGCGGCCGTCGTCGTCATCGGCACGGCGGTGGTTACCACCCGGATATGAAGGACCTGCACGACGACGACCAGAGCACCAGGGTCATGCGCGAGGCCGTGCGCAACATGATCCGCGACTTCAGGTACCTCGAGCAGCCCTTCCTGCGGGACGACGTCGAGGCCCCGGGGAGGAGGTTCGGTCGCGACCCGCACGTCAGGAACGGCGAGGGCTACAACGCCCCGTCCGACGACGACGAGTACTACCGGACCGAGTATCGCACCACGGGGTACAGGGAGCGCTGGCTGTGGTTGAATCGCAAGGGCGCCGTTGTCGACATGATGGCCCAGCTGTCGAGGCTGGAGACTAGGAGGATTGCGAAGGAGGTGGGCGAGGCGTGCTTGTAAGTGCTGGTTTCTTCTCTCCCTCTTTTTTTCCCTCTTCTTTTTTTGCCGGATACCGTGCGAGTATGTTATTTGGTGTGACGAGGCTGATATTCTCCTTTTTCCTTTTTTTTCCTGCGTAGGATTGTGAGAGGTATGGAGAAGGACTTTCAGGTCATGGATGATCGGATATGGAATCTGGAGCAGAGAATGTCGAGAGTGGTTGGTCTTCGGCGAGTAGACCCCCCGTCCCCGTGAGAGGATGCTAAGATTGCGGGATGGGTGGCGAAGCACAGCTGTGGAACTGACAAGAATCCGCCCTTGAGGAAAACATATTACAAGTTGGGCCAGATTGGGGCGTCTGTTGGCATGGGGCCCCGTCATTACCAATGCCGTCTTGTGCGACGATTAACGAGAGTACTAAGACCAGTTCAGTTGGGCGGCGCAACCGGTCCTGTGTATCTTCGCAACGCGGGAAGACTACCTACCGGCTGCAAGCAAATTATCAACGTAGCAACACTAACGCTTCTTCACACGTATCCACGTACCAAATATATGCGTATCGGATGTATCACCATCCTACAACTGGCGCATTTGAACAGGTCATCAGGATCTTTGCAACACGTTAAACAGGCTTGAGCAAACAACAACCACGGTCCGCCATAAAGACTCTCAGCAGCCTAGTGAAAACCCCATGTCCCCCCTCCCTACCTCTTCCCTCAACCATAGCTAGAAACCACGCTCGAAACAGTCACGATGATACTATCCCCTTTGCCGACTCTCCTCATGATGTCTGCGGCACTCCTAGTGCACGCGGACTCTACGAGCCTCTCGACAATCAGATCCACGAGCACGAGCACGAGCACGAGCACGAGGACCCTACACGTCCAATCGGCTTCTCCGGTACAGCAGCACCAGCAGCAGCAGCAGAACCAGCCCCCCTTCCCCAGCAATGATTCCACTTCACCCCCAGAAACACCACCAACAACCACCGTCACCACAACCATCCCACCCCCAACCACCTCCACAGTCACCATCATCCTAACCATCACCCCTCCTCAGACTCCTCAGACGACGACATCGACGCCGCCACCGCCTCCTCCCACCACCACCAGCGAACCCTCCTCGTCCTCCTGCCGCACAGCAACAAAGACAACCACGCTCCCCAACCCCACCCCCACCGTCTACATCACCTTCACGCCCTCCACCACGAGCTTCGCCGCCGCCACCGCCACCGCCACCGCACCGACCGGTTCCCCCACCATCATCGACACCTCCTCGACCTTGACCCTCCAGCCGCAGCCGCCGCCACCGCCGCCACAAAGCACGACCACGTCGACGACGATCGAGACGGCCACCGCGACGCTGAGCCCGAATGCGAACCCGAGCACGAGCACGAGTACGGTGTATACGCCTGATGTATCGGGGGGAGCGGGGGCGGGGGCTACTTCTGCTACTGCTAATGGTACGGCGGTGGGGACGGGGGCGGCGAGTGGGACGGCGGAGGTGAGCGGGGTGCAGACGGGTGGGGTGGGGGGAATGGGACGACGGGGGGGAGGAGGAGGAGGGGGGGGTTTGGCGGTGGTGGTGGGGGTGGTGGTTGTGGGGTTGGGGTTGTTGGGGGAGATTGTTTAGGGGTGGTGGCTGTGGGTGTTTTGGGGGTTGGATGGGAGGTAGGGAGAGAGGGAAGAGGACCGGGAGGCCGGGGTGGCGGGTGGTGGATGACGAGACGGGTTAATGGTGTGGATCAGTGGAGGGGGTGGGGAGGAAGGAAGGTGGTCGTCTCAGTCGATTGTGTGGGTTCAGGTTCTGTACTTTGGGTCGTGTGTGGTGTGGTATAATAGTGTATTTTTTGTGCGTTCATCCGCGCGTACGATGTGCCGTGGAACGCGCACGTAACATGGCAGGCCTCTTATTTGCTGGTTGCCCCTGGGCTGGGCCTTTCTCGGCTGTGATGTTGCGCTTGTTTCACGTCAAGTGCAGGAAACCCATGGCTTTCCGGCCAACATGATTCAGACTTTCCTACTGCGTACGGGATGAACCGATTATCCGGACATATATGCAAGTGAGAGATCCCTCACTCTACGGGAATCCACTACGCGAGGATGAGACTCGACCAGCCGAGTGTCTTCGAGGGTCGGGGACATACTAAATCGACGCGCAAAGAAATACTCGACAATGCGCTCCAATACGTCCACCATGTAGATGTAACATTGCGCGAGGTTGATCGTCATCTCGTTTGTTGGGAAGGGGTCCTTGTAGAATTCCACTCTCGGAAGAACCTCACTCAGCCTTTCCATACATTCCAAAGCTTTCTTCTCCGCCTCTACAGCAGCTACGATGCACTAGTTTCTTCTTCAGCCTTGTCGAGAAACATGGAAATTGAACTTACGTGTGCGATGAACTTCAGAAACCCGTAAGTATGGTCTGGGTTCCGGGCTACGTTTGGGCCATTTCAAACGAGCGGCAGAGGAAGCTCTCAGGCTGCAAAACTACTTCGACGACGCAGATTCGAGGATGGGAGGCGCCACGGCGCAGATGGTGGTTCCGACGTAAAGTGGTAGAACTACAGGCAGATCCAATTTCTTCTCTTCTTGAAGCGACTTATTCCAAGGGCTGGCCTTCAATTGTCTTTTCTTATTGGTAGTAAGTTCGCGTGCACCAATTCATGATAGCTTGACACATCCTTTAAAATTTACGACATTACCAACCCACCACCCTTCTGTTTAATACAGGCTTATCCAACCTTAAAGCACATGGGTATACAAGGAATCAACACTGGATTTTCCAAACTTGGCCCTAAATCCCGCCGACTCACCACAAAACGTAGTCGTATTGCCTCTCAAAACTTAAGATACATCTACGTAATTTGTGGCTTGCAGACTGGTCATTGTGATGATGCTACTCAGTTAGTAACCGTGGAGTATCCTTAATCTTCATCGCTGCACTCTTCGTAATCAGAAATGATACCGCATGCTTGCCCCACTCGCAAATCTGGCTGGGGAAGACGTGGCTGCATCTGAAGGTAGTCAAAGTAGCACATCGGATTTGATGTCGACGGCTAGTGCCTCTTGGCTGGCGATCTTCGTGGAGACAAGGCAATCGCGGATGCTAGTGCTTCAGAGTTGTAAGTATGGTGAGGTATAGAACTAAAATTTGTTAGCTGCCTACATATACATTGGTCCATGGAGAAATCCTTTTGGGAGAACTGCGGTCATTGGGTTGATGGTCTTTGTTTTCTTTAGCATGACTGAATTACTGGCGATGACCTGGCTGAATTTCTTTCAAGTGATTTGAACAAGGAACGTGCTTCGAAGTGGACATATTTGACCTATTTAAAAAAGAATTGTCCTGTCTCCTGGTGATAGAGGAGATCAATCTTGCAAAGCGGCAACTCTCGGCTGTCAGAGTAAGCGCAAGTTGCACAATTATACTATGCTGAGAACAAAAATAAAATCATTCAGCTCTATCCGCTGAGGGAATATGGCCCGGCTCGCTTTTCTGTTGCTGAGGCTACCCCCTGGGCAGCTGCGCAGCGTTTCATGGATCATGCGGGTACCCGAGCAATTCCAGACATTGTTTGTTGTGTCAGCACTATACATGAAATCCATCGTGGCACATGGTCTGCCCGGATCTTTCTTGGGGGACCTCTATTCAGCGTGCCGCAGCAAGTGTTGGTGTTGCTCCTGTATGTGTTTCCATAGACGTATGCACTGAAGTGCCACCGTCGGATGTACTACCCCTGCCGTGGGCAGATTCAGCGCTACCTCTGCCACCATCACTACTGCTCCCACTCTCGAACTCCACATACAGTGGCATATCACTAACTTCTCTTAGCCCCAAAAGGTCCAACGGTTCTGCCATTCCGGCATGAATTATAGGCGGGCCGATAGGAACTGGGTGACTTTAATCACAACCGAAATGTCATTCGTGCTAATAGGAGAAAACTTACCCCATACATCCCGATTCCTGTACGCTATCTTCTTACTTGTGCGGAAGCGTGTTGTCAGAAACTCCGACAAAGATCGTATCTTGCTTCTTTCAAGTCTCTGACAGCAAATTAGCGCCGCCTCACTGTAAAGTGGAGAGTCATTGATGGCGACGGGTGCCGTTTGGCCGGCTGCTGATGCCCAGCGGAAGCATTCTCGTGAGGCTGAAATTTTTCGGGAATAATCGCAGCCTCACTCACCTTCTCCAGCCCCTGCATTAAATGCGAGCCGCCACATTGCGGACACGAGTTCTTGCAGTGCATCGTTTCCCCGCGGATTCTGGTAATGCGGCCGCAGCCCAGCTCCAGCGCAGCGCACTTGAGCACCCGGACACAGCCAGCCACTCGCTTCCGATAAAAGTGTCCGCACTTGAATCTGTAGAACTCGTATTCGCACATGGATAGCATATATGTTGTGCTACCGTGATTAGCTGACGGGATATCAATTTTCGAATACGGGGGAGAGTAAAGCGCAAGCCCTTATGCAGGTCTTATATATACTCGTTGCTTAGGGACAAGTCAGCAAGATCTGAGTAGGAACAACTGACTCCCTCCCTTTGGCGAAAAGGCTCAACAGCCGCGTACATGTGATGCTGCTCTGTAAGAGACTTCTTGTATTCAGAAAGTTTAGCACGCCCTTCATGAGGTATTGTTCGTATCAACTAAGCTCATTGGAGCGGAGATGAAGAAGCTCAACGGAAAGCAAGCCGCCGATTGCGAAGCCTTACTATAGCGGCTTCACACAAGGAACTTCCCAGCTACTTTCTGAACTCATCATGACGGGAAAAGCCGTAGACTTTGGGCGCGTGCATATGCGACTATGAATACCTAGCCATACACATCCTCAATTTCCCGGAGAGAATCCAGTATTTCAGCCCGATTGTTGGAAGGCCCCATTTACCAGGAACCAGGGATGCCTTTCCGCCATTGCTTTTTCGGGAGACAACGCAACGTGGTGTGCCTGCCACGCCCAGGTCATGCCTGTAAGGGACGGAAGCGATGATGGAAGTAGGGAGGGGGAAGACATGGATATCTTGCATCCACGCGGGGGACGTGCGCTTCAGCTCACCCTTCTCCCGTAGCACTTTTCACGCAAAAATCGTATGATCGATTGCTGTGATCTGACGTGACATGACGAGCACCATTTTTTGCTGAAGAAAAAGAAACAAAGAAGAGAAGGTAGGAACGCCACGCGCCCGGCGGGCAAATTGAGACGACTCGGCACCCAACGTCCAGACAGGAAAGAGAAAAAACAATGAAAAAAGAAAATGCCTCAAACCACGAAAGCTCAGTCCCCGCCCAGTCCACATCCCCATAGCCCCATACCCCTAAAAAAAAAGAGTAAACCACCATGACATATCGTATTCTCGTTCTCCTTCCTCTAGGCCCAGCAGAACAACACCCCCAACAAAACCCAAAATATAGACTCCGAACGACCGACGCACCGACCCCCGACGCCGACGTACCCTTTTCTAACGCACGCATCGCCCTGAGAAAACCATCAGTCAGCACTCCCAGCAGCAAAAAGACGGCATTCATTACCCGCTTCCCCTCGTTCCCCTCCCCTCGTTCCTCCCCCTCCCCCCAACCCCCCTCTCTCCCCCTCCCCCATCAATCAAATCACCCCCTCTCAAACCAACTTCTCGCACAACCCCATGCCCACGACCGGACTGTCCAAGCGCTCGTACCGGTGCGGGGTGGGCGGGCCGCCGTGGCCGGGGCAGTCGCAGACCAGGGCGATGGGCTTCTTCGCGTACGACGTCGACTTGCGGCAACAAGAGGCCGTCGCCGTCGTCTGGTGGTGGTGGTGGTGGTCGGCGGCGCAGGCGCGGGCGAGCCAGCGGTACTGGCAGCCGCAGAAGAATTGGTAGATGACGTAGTGGCACATTTTTTCTTTTCTTTTCTTTCTTTTTTTTTATTGGTTTGGGTGGGTGGTTGTTCGGAGTCCTAGGAGGGGGGGAGGAGGGAGGAGAGAGGAAGGAGGGGAGATGGAGGGGAGGTCTTTTTCGGGACTTTTTTTTTCGTGTTCTTTTTGTTTTTGTTTTCGAAAGTCGGTAGGGGGAGTTTTGGCAGTAGCTGTGGTGCTGGAGATTTATGTTTGTTGTTGGGGGGAGAGGAAGGGTTGGTCCGGTTCTCTTGCTCTTTGAAGGAATGCGAGGGCGTTGTCACGGCGGCGATAGAAGATGAAAAATTGGTTGGTTGGTCGGAGAGGTCGGACGGGGTTTCCAAAATGGGACAAATAACGTATGGCGCGAAGGAAGAGAGAGATAGAGAGAGATGTGAAATTGGGGGCTCGCAAGTATCAAAAAGAAGAAGTGAGAAAGTAAGAGTGCGGGCAGGGGGCTGGTGGTGGTGATGAGGAGGAGTGCGGGAGAAACAGAGGCATATGTACCGCGCGGAAGCAAATTGAGAAACCATGAGTTTTGTTTTGCAAACGAGTGACGTGTCCGAAGGTAAGACGGGGCGACTGTACCTTTCCTTCTAGATCGCGTCTTTCTCACAGGAAGCCTGGGCGCGGCAGTGAGCGGATGCGGCAGCTTGCCAAAAGAGGCTATCACAATTATCCCTTGGAGCCCGAGAAAGGCAAGGAAAGTGAGACAAGGCTGAATCTCAAACGGCAGGAAAAAGTAAGGAAGAGGTGCTGTTGGTCAAGACTGTGTTAAGGGCTTCTTTCTACTTACGGCAGGTGGTTGGAATGCGGTGCAAAAGAAAACGGATACAACTACAAGCCGTGCCACTCGGATATTTGGAAAGACTGGCCTTGCCCGTGTCCCATGTTACGTGTCTGAGAGCGGACAGGTAGTGCCACGGGAAAAAATTTTAGGGTCGCTGAAGATAGCTTGTGTAACTTTGTTGCCTCACATCAACATGGCCGGTAAATACAGAGGATGATGATTCCGCTAGACGATCTATCGCATTGCATCGAGCACGATGCTCTCCTGAAGAGCCCCTCGCGTGGAGCGAACCCGGGCTGTCGTCCAGGAGCCCGCTACCCAGTTGACGGTATCGCTCCGCTCCTGCAGCGTGCCGCCCCGTTCCTCCACGGCTCATGGCGGCACGGTTCGGCGGCTTTTGCTGGTGTCCGTTGTGAAATGTAGCAGGCAGTCCTCAGTGTAATGGAGCTGGCCAGAACCAGTCGTGCTGTTGCCGACTTTGTACAGCGGCCACAGGGCTCGCAACGTGCTGACCGAGTTGGACGAGCAATCTCGTCAGGAAACGTCGTCGAAAGATGTAGAACGCACGCATGCCGTGCTGGTATATCCACTCTCATTTCTTGGCCTTTTCCTTCTTGCGCTCCTTTTTGGCCAGAAATGCCTCAACCGTCATGCCCTTCTCCGCGGCCTTCGCGGCGTACTTCTTCAGCTTCTTCTCCGAGCTGGCTTTCCCAGCCTCCCTGGGAGCATCCGTACCCTTGCCTTCTCTTGATCGCTTCTCCTCTCCTGTGTTGGACGCTGTGGTCTCGCCCGCGGGAGTAGCCGGCCCTCTCTTCTGCGCCTTGTCCTCGCCGTCGCTGCCAGCCTGTTTACTACCGGACTCCCTCAGAGCCCTTTTCTGCCTCAGCGCCTTCTTTGCAGCCCGGCGCAGCAGCTTGGGATCCTCCGTGGCGGCAGAGTCCAGTTTCGAACGGCGGTCCTTTTTCTTGTCCTTGCCCTTGCTTTGTGCGACACTGCCCTCTTTCGTCCTCTTCCGCTTTCCTTCTTCGCCATCAGCCCGCTTGCGCTTCTTCGGCTCGGGCGTCGATTCGGCGTCGGGGGTGGTTGCGGGCGTGGAGGTGTCGGAGGGTGAGGAAGTGCTGCTGGACAGCGGCTCTGAGGGCAGGTTGTTGTCGGAGAGAGTGCCGGCCAGGCCCTCGCCTCTCACGAAGAATCCGTATAGGCCGCCTTTGTTGACGCCGTTTTGTCTGATGGAGGCGAGCGCGGTCTGGCACGGGTGTCGTTAGTGTCAGCAGAGGAAAGGATGGCGGGACGGCTAGCGCGCACCTGCTTGCCGGTGCCCAGCTCTTTCAGACCCGTGTCATATGCGCGCATCCACCACTGGTCCGCGACCTGGAGCTTCTTCTTGCCGACGCCGAGGGCGTCCTGCTTGTTGGAGACGAGCAGCGGGCGTGCGATGCCGTGGCCGGTGCTTCCGAGACCGTGGCCGTGGCCGCGCCAGCCCTGCTTGGCGAGAAGGGCGGAAGCGTCCATGGAAGCGAGTGGAGGGGAGGCCACGGGGCAATGCGTGTGAGAGGTCGGGCTGTGGCGGGCGGAGGTGGTGATGGGGAAATGCTTCTCTGGAAATTTTGGCCGAGCAGACAAAGCCGAGTCGACAGGGCCGCACGAGTCAGGCTCCAAAATATTTTTGGTTGCCAGCTTCCGGCCGGCAGCGCAATAGCAGCAGCCATACCGCATAACAGAAGCTATCCTCCGTCTGTCTATACCATGGTCGCTTGGAGACTCGAACAACTTTTTTGCAACTTTCAAAAAAAAAAACCCTGGATGGAAGAACTGCCTTTGCAGCCGTGAATATGCTGAACGAGTCAGTCCGGCCCGCGCCCCGTGGGCTTCCGACATGCGTCATCTCCGCATCCACTCCGCATCCACTCCGCGTCCTCACTTCTACATAGCTTCTAGATTCCCGTGTCTTGCGTGTTGTTCAGGCTCTTTACTGGCAGACATGCCACTGTAGCCTCCCCCAAGGCCAGCTCGCAACCGCAATGTTCGGAAAAGCAGCTGGAATGTACCGTCGTGTTATAACCAAGGCCTCCGGGTCGATGACCTGCATGTCAGCCCCGCTCTTTGCATATCCCAACCCCCGCCTGACCAGATAAACACCATTGCTTGTCGTCACCTCCTCCCAGCTGCATCAGTCAGTTTCCAACCACCTCACCACCCAAAACCATCATCAGCACTTCCCCCCAGCTGCCCAGCATGCCCACTCCCGGAATTCTGTACGTCGGGGCCGCAATTAAGGACCCAGTGCTGGACGAGGCAACCCTCAACAAGTGGTACGACGAAACCCACGTCCCAGAGATGTTCGCCCTCCGCAACGGGCCCCCCGCCGCCTTCCGCTTCAAAAACACCGACTCCACCCGCCCATTCCGCTACCTCTGCCTCTATGTCCTGCCCGACCTGGCCTGGGCCGACTCGGACGACCTCAAGGGCGCCACGCTGACCCACGACGCCCTGCCCAGCGGGCGCTCGTACCTGGAGCTCCTCGACTGGGACCTGCGCCACTACGAGAAAATCCAAACCTTCGAAGGCCAGAACCCCAAGCCGGACGGCGCCCGCGTGGGCAGCTGCGTCATCGCCGTCGCCATGGAGCCCGCCGCCGCCACCGCCGACTCGGACGACCCGGAGCACGACCTCGACGCGTGGTACCGCCTGCAGCACCTCGACATGCTGAGCACCGTCAAGGGCTACCGCCGCTCCACCCGCTACAAGCTGCGGTCCGCCGTGCCCGCGACCGCCGACGCCGCCGCCCGCAAGCTGGCCGTCGACGAGCTGCCGCGATACCTGGCCCTGCACGAGTACGACAGCCAGGACGTCCCGCCCGAGCAGATCAAGCTGGCCGTCAACACCGAGTGGAGCAAGAAGGTCATTGGCGGCGCCAGGGCCTTTGTGCGAGACGTGTGGCTGCTCACCTCGGAAGCCGGCGATGCGGCCACGAAGCTGTGAGAAACGCCGCGGCGCGCCACCAACAGCCCCTCCCGCTCCGCAGAAGACGTTGTACCCTTACTCGCCGTAGGTGACCGAGTCCAATGTCGGGGCGTAGACGCGAGTCTTGAGAGCGGACAAATCTACCCGGACATCGGATCAAGCCATCCACCTAGAAATCAGCTACGCCTACCCACCCGCATACCAACAGTGCAGCGTCCTCCGCGGAGACTGAGAGGCTCAGATCTGCTGTGTGGGCGACGCAACCGCCAGTCAACCGCCAGCCAACCGCCAGTCCACTTCTTGTCATATTGGACTTCAGCATCCCTCTTTTCCATCAACAACCGGGTCTGTGGTTTAGTGGTATAATACTCCCTTAGCACTGAAAACCCTTGTCAACACACTGGGTTAATTGTGGGAGTGGTCCGGGGTTCGGTGAGTAAATTCGACGTTCGAGTCTCGCAAGGGTCAAAATTAACAGATCATAGATTCCCCGCGGATCCATCAGTAACTGGTTCAATTCCGGTATTATATCTTTTTTGCCCGTGCGTTCGATTCCCTGCGAGCTCACTAGTCATGGAATCGCCAGGACTTTCCCTTTCTTTGCCCTTGGGGTAGTGCACAAAGAGGTGTCGAAGTACGAGGTGGGCCAGCGTGGCGTTTGTGGCTTTTCTTTTGCTCTCCACAGCCTTTGGGTCGAGTGGAGCATCAATGCACTGGACAGGATCGAACGGGACTGTGAGAAGGCCGTTGGATTGGTGTGTGGGCCCGTACATGGGTCTGTCACCACTTCGGGGGGCGGCTGCGTATGCACAGTGTAGCATGAATTATACGTTGTTCCTCTGTTAGCAGTTCGATTCGAAACTGGACGGAATTCATACCTACAAAACGGCTATGCGAACAGTTGACGGGCTGCACCGATCTCGAACTCATCAAGGGGTGGTCCTCAGAGTTTTCCACAACCGGCCCGGTGCCGATGGACGCCCGGGCCCTTCCATGGTCGGAACAGCTTGGCGGCCGCTCCCGGCTTGGCGCGGGCAATCCCCGGGCACGCGTTGCCGCACGCGCAACTCCGCAACTCGACCTTCGCGAAGCTCGACAACTCCACCGCACGACACGACTTTTTCTCCCCCGCCGTGCCGCACCGCGCAACCCGCGCCATTCCTCCACCTCACCCACCGCGACGCGCTTCGAACCACGAAAGCCCAAACCCACAAACACACACACACACACACCATGGCCTCGCCCGTCACCGGCGACGCGCCCAACGGCATCGCGACGCCCACCGGCGGCGGCAGCGGCAGCGGCAGCGGTCCCAGCCAACCCGCCAACCCAACCACCAGCACACCCCCCAGCAACCCATCCGCCAACCCCGCCGCAACCACCACCACCCCGGGCGGCGGCGGCGGCGGCAGCGGCGGCGGCGAATCCTCCGCTCCCGCAGCCGGCGGCGCCTCCACAGCGCCCGCGCAACAACAACAACAACAACAACAACAATCCCCACCAACCACAACGACAGCAGCCGCCGGCGTCGGCGCCACCGCCTCGGCACCCACAATCCAGCCCAACACGTCGCTCACGGACACGGGGCTGACGAAGCGGCCGCGCGACGCGCGGCTGCTGCACATGGTGCTCGCGCACCTGGGCGTGACGGCGTACCAGGAGCGGGTGCCGCTGCAGCTGATGGACTTTGCGTACCGGTACACAGCGGGGGTGCTGGGCGACGCGGTGGCCATCTCGGCCGAGACGACGGCGACGACGGCGGGGGCGGGGGGGACGGGCAAGGGCGGGGCGCCGGGGAATCCGAGAGGAGCGGGTGGTGGTGGTGGTGGAGGAGGGGGTGGAGGTGGAGGTGTTGGGAGTGAGGAGGGGACGGTGAGCTTGGCGGCGATTCGGTCGGCGATTGCGAGTCGTTTGAATTATCAGTTCAATCCGGTGTTGCCCAAGGAGTTTTTGCTGGAGCTGGCGCAGGAGAAGAATCGGGTGGGCTTGCCGAGGCCCGAGAGGGAGTATGGCGTGAGGTTGCCGCCGGAGCGGTACTGCTTCACTGGCGCGGGGTGGGGGTTGAAGGAGGAGTGGGACAGTGATGTTGAAGATGATGGGGACGAGCAGCAGGGCGTCAATGGTGGGGACCAGATGGAGGGTGTGCAGGAAGAGGGCATGGATGAGGATGAGGACGAGTTCGAGGATGTCATGGGTGTTGGTGGAGAGGACCGGGAGATGGAGGACGCTTGAGGGAGTATGACGCTGGCGTCGAAGGAGGCGCGCTAGCGTTTGGTGGACGGGGCCGAAGTATGGACGACGGGCATTTTTTCTCAAGAGCGATATTCTCACAACGGTCCCGCCAAATAAGCGTCTGACTTGTTGGTAAAGCGGCCCGAACGCGGAAAAGAGGTCACAGTGGAAAAGTAGTAGGCGGCGACAGCGTCAGGCGTTGGGCGTTTCGATATCTCAGCCGGCGAAGCTGAGCCAAAAGGTTAATTCATGCGTTGCAGAGAAGCACGCAGCGGGATTTCGTACGGTGGATAGAGCACTGCAGCTGTGGGGGTGGATTGTTCCAAATTCTATCATCCCTTCCAGCTATAAAACATTCCATACATTCATGCAGGACTTCTGCTGCACGGTTTTCATGTATACATTGCCACATTTATCATCTGTGACGGCACCGAAGACGCGTCTAAACGCCTTGTTCTTTTTAATTTTCCCCACTCCAATAATATCGACCCTGTTGAACACCTTACGTGACGCGTCGTCCAATAAGCTCTGCACATTTCTCACCCCGGTAAGCTGCAGGAGATTTGCTCCTTTCATGCCCCATAAAGAACGTTACACTCTCTCCTACGTGGGCAGTTGAAACAAACATCCGGATGTAAACGCGAGATTCCAAAGAACTCTTTGGACACATCCAGACACAGGATCCAACTACTCACACAAGGTGCAAGATCTCCGTGAGACAAGCCGCGGGAAAAGAAAGGCTCAATTCGTTCGCAAACCCGCTGCGTCATACATGTGGCCGGCGCTTCACAAGCCGCCACACAAGACGATGCCGAATATGATATGATGCCATGTCAATCCACAAACTCCAGAACCGCACAAATCACCTCACTTCTTCTCGAACTTCCTCTTCCCTTGCTCGTCCAAACCCCACCATTCGCGGTGGAACTTCTCCTGCTCGATGCGCTTCCTCTCCTTCTCTTCCCGCTCGCGCTTGCGCAGCTCCCGCGTCGCGAACCACTCTTCCCGCGCGCGGTCCTGCTCTTCCTGCGTCGCGTGCGCCACCATGCAGGTGTTCATGGCTAGTCGTTGCTGTCGGCACGCCCATGTTGCGCTGATGGTGCGATTGAGGGCGCAGGAGGCGAACTCTGAAGGAGGAGAGGGATTCTTGTTAGCCTACGGCCCCATGAATGAGAAGACAAGCAACGGGGTAGAGGAAAGCAAAAAAGAAAGAAAAAAGCAAGGGTGAAAAGAAGACTCCATCAAGCTTTCCAAAGGAACAACCTGCCCCCAGACATCGAAAGCCAGAAGTTAAAAAAAAAGAGAGAGAGAATCCCAAAGCAAGCAGGCCAAGAACCACCCCAGCACCGTCACGACCCAGCACTCCACCACACGCTCCTCTGTCCCTCCTCCCATAACAAAACTCAAACTCAAAAAAAATGTACCCACGCCCACGCCCAGCCTCCGCCCCAAAGAATTGATAACAAAACGCAAAACCCCTTACCTTTAACCTCATCCGCGCACCTTTGCCTCACCCGCTTGTGGTACAAGTCGCGCACCTGCTGCTCCTGCCCCGCCGACAGCGGCACCGGGTTGCGCGGGACGGGGTCGCGCGGCACGGTGGATGCGTCGAACGTCGATGATGTTGTTGCTGTTGCTGTTGTCTGACTTGCGGCGGCGGCGGCGGCGGCGGTTGTTGTTGGTGTTGTTGCGGCTGCCATTGGGAGTGTGTGTGCGCGTGTGCGTGTGCGTGTGTGGAAGCAATCTGCGGTGGGGTGGAGGTGGTGCGGCGCGCGCGCGACCCTGGTCGGAGGGGTGGGAGAGGGAGAGGTTTCGGAGAGGGTCGAATCGAATCGTCGAGAATGGAGAGCGAGGAGGAGGAGGAGGAGTCCAGGGCAGAGAGCTTCCCGGCGGCGGCAGGTAGGTGGCAGCGGGTTCTTTTCGGGAGGAGGGTCTTTGCGCGGCGCGGCGCGACGCGAAAAGGCGGGCGGAGGAATCGAGTTCAATTGGAGAAGATAAAGGGACTTTGGCAATACCCGGGGAAGAAGAATCACGAAACGGGGGCGGTAGGAGGGGTGTGCGTGCTGTGTTGGGCCAATGCGAGCCGATGAGACGAGCTCGCTCGAGCAAGCTTTGGGGTCTGGCTTGATGGTGGTTCGAGACTGGCTGAGGCTCCCCCGATCTGCGGAAGGGACCCTGCGCGCGGGGGGCAGGTGTGACGGGCGGTGAGTGGCGGCAGTTTCGCATAGGTACCGTACCTTGCGCTTGTCACGAGCCGAGGTTTGTTGGTTTGACATCTGAATTGATCCCCGCTCACTCCGTAAGCTTCACGGAGCTTCTCCAAAGCAGCAACATCCTCGAATTTGTGCCTGAGCAGAATTACCATATATTCGACCCCCATCTATCGAGCTTCTTTCCCCACCCGTTGCGCCTTCTACTCCCCTGGCTGCGGCCATGCAGATCCCAAACCGCCTCTTCATCGTCTCCGGCGGCGCCAGCGGGCTCGGCCTTGCCACCGTCAAGCTCCTGCACAGTCAAGGCGCCTACCTCTCCATCCTGGACATGAACAGCGGCGCCGGCGAGGACGTCGTGAAGGAGCTGGGCGGCCAGCGGGCCCGCTTCTTCGAAACAGACGTCACCGACACGGAGAGCATCGCGGCGGCCGTGAAGGGCAGCGTCGAGTTTGCAAAGGAAAAGACCGTGCCGCTGGGCGGTGTGCTGGCCGGCGCAGGTGTGGGATTTCCTGGTTTGGTAAGTTCGTCTTTTTGCGCCTCACGAACCATGGGTGAGGAGGGAACGTTGAATGGTGGTTTGGCCCATGTGCACGATATCATGAGCTCTGGTTTTAACAGTCTTTTTTTTTTTCGTCTCCGTCTAGATAATCTCCCAAAAGAACGAGCCCCTTCCTCTCAGCTCCTTCGACTTGGTCGTCTCGATAAACCTGCGCGGCACCGTCGACCTGATCCGCCAAGTCCTGTCGCACCTGGCGCAAAATGAGCCATATGGCCCGGACGGTGAGCGCGGTGTCATCATCATGGTATCCTCGTCCGCAGCCTTCGATGGTCAGATGGGTCAGGTCGCATATGCCGCATCCAAGGGCGCCGTGCGCAGCATGACACTGCCCATGGCCCGCGACCTTTCGCGCTTCGGCATTAGAGTTGTAACGCTTGCGCCTAGTCTGTTTGAGAGCAACATGACCGCCATGTTGAGTGATAAAGTGCGCAAAAGCTTGGAGCGCGTAATGGAGTTTCCGAGGAGACCGGGCAAGCCCGAGGAGTTTGCGAGGACGGTGAAAGACGCGATAGAGAACAGTATGTTGAACGGAGAGGTCATAAGGCTGGATGGTGCAATGAGAATGCCGAGTAAGCTGTAAGCCGGGTCGAGGTGGCGCCGTACGTAGCAAAACTTCACGCTGGATCGATACCGTCGCTCAGCGTTTGCGTTCCCGCACCTTGAACTTGACACCGTTCTTGTTGACGCCGCCGACACTGTTGCTCATCCGGGCTCTTTGCTCTTCCAGCTCATTTTCCGCAGCCATGAGATCCTGTTCCTTCCTCTTCAACGCCTCCACCTTCGAACGCCGTGATTGTTGTGCCTTCTCCCGTCTCTTCTCCAGCGCTCGCTTCTCCCGGTCGTCCATCTCCTTGTCCCCGCCTTTCCGTTGACCGCCCGTTTCCTCAAGGTCCTCGTCATCTTCAAGCTTCCCTGTCTGTTTCTTTGGCCGGTTCCACGTCCTCTCCAAATCCATCTCATCCTCGACGCCAAACCACTCCTCCGGCGCAAAGCCCTTCTGCTCCTCCCTGTCGCCCACGAAAACCGTATGCTTGCCCTTCCCCGCCCGCCTGCTCTTCAACGCCTCGATCTCGCCCTCCTCATCATCCAGCACGAAGCCCTCCTCGACCCTCTCCCTCTCCTTGCGCACCTTCTGCAGCATGGTGCGAATGTACCCGGCATCCTGCGTCTTGAGCAGCTTGACGACGTCGTCGGTGAGGGCCCTGTTGCCGCGGTCGCCGACCTTGGTGCCGGTGCGCCGGTCGACGCTCGACGACATCATGCCGAACGAGAACTCGTCCGGGTTGCGGTCCGCCGCCTTCTCGCGTAGCGTCTTGAGCCGCTTGCGCTTCTCGTTGTGGTCCTTTGCCCGCAGTGAGTAGTCTTTGTGCTTCTCCAGCAGGCCCCATTTTTTCCGCTCCAGCGGTTGCGCGCGCTCCTTGTGGTTCTGTATTTGTTGGAGCAAAAAAATTAAGTCAGCTACCATAGTAAAAAAAAAAAGCCCCCCGGAAGGCTGCTGTTTTGTGGTTGGACTTACGCGCCGCTGGACGGCATTGCGCATGGACGACATGGTGGGCGACTGTTATGAACGAATCCTGAGTGTATGCGGAAGCAGAGCGTGAGGGTGGTCGTGGACTGGAGTAGTTGCAGTGGAGGGCGCGTTGATGATCCGCTCTAAGGAAGACGAGCCCCAAAATCTCAAATCCAGTCGGCCAAACTTTTGCCGATGTCCGGCCGCTCGCCGACCCCCTGCCGAATCCCTCCAAACTTTGACTGCCTGGAACCTTTTGCTTTCTTCAGAATCTGTGTCATAATTTCTAGATAAAATCCAAGACAAATCGCGCTGTCATTATCATGAGCCAGTGACCAAAAAAGGGAGAATGTTGTACGAGTGTATAATCGGCCTGGCCAAGCGCTTCACTTTCATGAACCCAGCATCAAACCATACTTTTGCTCCCTTGACTCAACACTAACATCATTCGGGATTTCAAACAGACACAAAACTTCTCAAGAGCATACAAATGCGTGCTAAGGCTAGAAACAGAAGCTGGGTAATTACAATAATCTAGCAACTCCGGAATGACAAGCGCCTTCGCAATGCTTAGCGTCTCCTTCAGACAAAACCGAAAGACACCAATGCCGTTCCTGCGCCATCTCTTATGCACCTACTAATGTCCCGAAATCAAACTATGAGTGGAAAGAAACAACGCCGTCAATGCGGTCATCTACCTCCGAGGAGAGCCGGGCTCCATGGTCTTTTCCGAAAGCGCCGGCGAACTGGGTGCGAAAGGTTGAGCCTTCGCTATGCTCGGGGACGGAGCCGAGTCCGAGTCAAGATCAAGCGCATCGAGCTGCCTGTCCAGTTCTTGTGCCTCCTCTTCGTCTATCTCGTCCTCCTCTTCGTATTCCTCTCCCTCATCCTCATCTTCGTATTCCCCTTCTTCGACCTCCGCGCCGTCGCCCTCGACGCTCTCGGCCATGGAGCTGGCCATGATCGACTCCTCCATCATCGAGTCCTCCATCTGGCCAGTCTCGTCAATGGAGCCCCGTGATAGGTAGCTGTCGCCTAGTTCCCCTTCCATCTCCGCCTCGTCCTCGCTATGCAAGCTCCTCCGGTCCTCATCCCCGTCTTCGCTGCTTGAGCTCTCGCTGCTCTCGCTGGCTGAGAACTCATCGAGATCGAGGGGCCGCTCACGCCAGTAGTTGAAGTCGGTGAACTCCTCGCCTCCGTTCTGAACCAACAAGCCAACAGGCGGGAAATAGTGGTCAACGATCTCGCGCATGCTTTGGTAGCCGGTCTTGTATTTGTTGAGAGACAACAGGTCAATCGACACCTCGGCGTTCGAGTTGATCGTAAAGATGCGCGTCGACGGAATGTTGACAGAGCGGTAGCTGAGGGCGTCGGTGAACCGGTTGCCGAAACCGGCGTAGAACGGCGTCTGGCCCACTGGCTTCATGAACAGGTTCATGATGTCGCGCAGACAAGCCATCTTGAAGACCTCTGGCTTACGCAGATATATTTCTCGGCGAAGGGCAGCCATTGTTCGGTCCGGGCTCATGATGACAGGCCCTCTGGGTAGTTTGTAGCCCTCTTGGACGACGCCATTGAGGTAGGCTCGGGTGGTGTCCGCCTGCCCGACCGACCGCGAAGTCAGATACAGCAAATTGTATCCGTTCGTGGCGATGTCGGTATAGAGCTTTGCGACCCCGAGATGGGTCCAATCGCGACCAATCATGTTCAACACATGACCCAATGCATCTGACCTATTCACATGTCAGCGTCTGACGTCACGTCAAAGTCTCACAGAAACATACTTTGTGATTGTCCCGTCGATGTCAGAGATGACGATTGGAACGTCGTGCCGCCAATAGTAGATGAAAGCCGAGCAAGTAGCCCGGTTCACTGTAAACGACATGGAGTTCTCTCCAGGCTTCAGGTCGAGGGACTTGAGTTGCTCGTCCGTGAGCCGTAGGGTCTTGGCAAAGCTCCGAGTACCCTCAGCAGACGCTTGATGGGGGCTTTTTGGCGGCGTGAGAAGGCCGACGCCGCTGTCCGAGTCGCGGCGCATGCGGTGTGACTGTGTTCCGACCTCAGTCTCGGCGTCGCTAGGCGAGTCATCGCTGTGATAGCCAGGGTCGCTGATGGCATCCGACGACCTCATGGCTTGAGGCTGCAAGCCTTGGATTGCAAGCTTGCGCGCTGCAGCGTCCTTTGCCTCCTCGCTACTGTAGATCCAGAGGTTGCCCTTTTCGTCAGCGCCGATCAACGCGCCAATGTCGTAGTTCCCCTCGAGCTCCTCCGACAAAATCTTACGCGCCACAACCTCCGCCCGCAGAGCGTCTTCCTCGTTGCTCTTGTAGCCCGTCATGTCCAGCATCAAATCGCCCTCTTCTGTCACCTGCGAGGGGACGTTGGAAGTCCACAGCTTCTTCGACAAAGTCATTGCGCGTGCCACAGCATCACTACGAGAAACGGGGGGCGGACTGGTGGACCGGTGCTGAAGGTGTCCCGGCTCCGGCTCGTTTTGAGTGGTAATGGTCGGAATGTCGTTGTCGGTGAAGGCCTTGGAAAGAGCGGCTCTGGTGGAGGGAAGAATGTCGTCGCTGATGCCGCGATCAAGGGTCGCTGGAGGGTGATCCATGCTGATGCTAGGAAAGTCCATAGAGGCATTCTCGGCCAGCGGTGAGATGGGATTGTCGCCTTGGTCATGTTAGCTGGTTGGGGTAACGGGGAAGCCGTGGGCGCTCACCGAGATCGCTCTTGGCCCTCGCCCTGAACTCGCCCGGGCGGTCATTTTGCGCGTCGATGGCTAGACTTAGAGGCGGCGGCTCTGAAAGTTGGTCTGCGGAGGCCGGGTCTGCCTTGGACTCTGGACTCTGGGCGGGCGACACCAGGGGCGAGGTTTGCATGGACGCGGGAATGCTGTCCGTGGTCTCGAAGACGAAGAAGGCCTCGCCGCCCTCGCCCAACTTCATGGAATATGGCTGTTTCGTGCCATTTACGCAGAACTCGACCTTCTTCTCGTAAGGGCGCAGGAGCGAAAACTTGCCGAAGCGGACGTGGAAGGGCGAACAGGCCAAAGAGCCATCGGCGTGCTCGACGACAATGACGTCGATCGCGCCGCTGAGAGTGGCAGGGTTGATGGAGTTCCAGGTCTTGGACACGGAGCTGGACAGGCCGCGGACGTACTGCATGTTGGCTGACCTCGGCGCGCTCCAAGAGAAGGGGCAGGAGTCGAGCGCGGGGGGTCCGTGGGTTTTATGTAGTGACGGCGCCGGGGCGTGTCGCTCAACAGCAGCGCTTGTTGGGCCCGCGCGGAGCGCGCAGCAAATAGAAAGCGGTCGGGCTGCAGGACGGAGCAAGCGGTGGCCTGAGGCTGGGGAGCGCAAGACGGGAGGGGCAGTGGGGTGGAGAGGACAGGAGCGCGGGCACCGGCTTAGGAGGAGGAGTCTGACATATGGTCTCAGAATGCGATGGTGGTGCCGAGCGCGTCACGAGCGTCTTCTTGGTACAGCCGCGGCAGAGCGCGGACGCAGCCAGGCGCGGCGACAGCTGCTGCGGCGCGGGCACGCGGGGCTGGAATGTTGCACGGGACGGTGGGAGCATGTGCCGCGGGCGCAAAGAGGCGTGCAGAGGAGGCGGCCGATGCACCAGCCGGTGCTCTGAGCCTTACCTGCGGTGTGGGGGACGGGATCGAACAATGGCATGGCAGGAGTGGCGCCGTCTGTCAGTCTGCCAGGCCCGGCACGCACCCGCGAAAGCGCCGGCCGCAGAGGGACGCCTAGCTCTAGCGCAGCGCAAAGAAACACCACCTCCGCCCTGTCGCTTTTCCACGACAGACACCTGCCTGCTCTCAGGCGCGCCCACATCCGCGAGGAGGCCGGTCAAATGCCTTCGCCAGAGCTCATCACCCACTTTCCCGCCCGCGCCGCCGGCATGGAGCCGCTGGAAGCTCTCGCCTCCGCCCCATCGCTCACGGCGCTGGCCACCTGCGCCGCGCTGCTCTGGTGCGCCTGTCGCGTGCTCCTCCCGCACCTGCAATTCCGCTGACCTGACTTAGGCTTGTCTACCGCGCATGGCTGGTCATGGTGATCAAGGAGGACGACCTCATCAAGCTCCTCGGCCTCGACGTCCCCGCAGCACCCCAGGTCTCCCTCGCAGGCATCAAGGCCGACGGCGCCGTTTTCCACTGGGAGCCCGCCGAGCCCCGCAGCAGCATCCAGGCATACCAGATCAAGATCAATGGTGTTTTCGGTGCGCTACTTCGCCCCCCGACGGCTGCCCGTGCGTGCTGACCGGCAAAGTAGTTGAAGAGGTTGGGCCCAAGGATACCTCCGTGAACGTCGCAAACCTCAAGCCGGGCACCGCCTACACCCTCCGCGTAATCGCCATCAACCACCACAATTTCCACACCCAGAGCGAGCCTCTCCGCTTCCGCACGAAGCCGCCTTCCTCCGACGACTTCTTCGACTTCGCCGCATACAACCGCGCCGTGGAAATCGCCAACGATGACGAGCATGAACACGACGAGAAGTGGTGGGTGGAGCCCAAGATCACCCCTTGCAAGGGATTTCTCGAGCCAACCTCGCCGCTTCCAACGCCTTCGGACATGGTTCGTTCGCAGAGCAACAGCACATCGCATCCAAGGAGGGCCACCACCGGCCGACGGAATTCCCCGAACACAAGCGCGTACCAGCAAGCTGACGACTCGGCCGACGACACGAAATCCGGAGAAACCGAGGCCCAGCTGCAGGCGGAGGGAGACAAGCTACGCTCGGATATCGCCGTCACTCGCAAGGCCATTGATGAGGAGGAAAAGGGTTTCAAGGACCAGAAGGACGTTTTCAGCGCAAAGCACAATGAGCTCAAGGACGAACTCGCCCGCAAGACGGCCGCCAGCTCTGAGCTGAGGAAAGAGGTTGTTAATCTTGAAAAAGAAAACCAGCGCGCCCAGGCCAAGAAGACGGCCGAGGAAAAATCTCTCGACAAGAAGCTGAGCGAAAGAAAGAAAATGCAGGATGACGTTCAGCGTTTCAGGGCTGAGATGGACGAGATGGCCGGGGAGATCGAGCGCTTTGGACAGAAACAGGTCGAGTATCAACAGAGCTCTGAACAGAAGGCTCAAGAGCTCCGGGACAAGCACTCCGAGGAGCTAGGGGTCATCAAAGCCCTCGAGGATTCCGTGCGGGAAACCGGTATTCAAAACAGAATTCTTGAGGAGGAACGCAAGAAATACGAGGGAGGAGAGGGCGACATTGATGCCGAGCTCAGAGCGCAGTGGGCCGAGGAAGAGCGCCAATGGAGTGATCGTATCAGAGGGTTGCAGCAACGCTATCAAACTGCATGGGCCACTCTTCAAGCTGCGGAGAGAGCATACAACGAGGCGCAGAGCCAGCTGCACATACTCTCACAAAGAGCTGCAAATCAACCTCAGGTCTTTAGACAGCCTCCAATCCTGGATGCAGCTCCATCCCGAAGGGCCAGCCAGAGGCGCAGACCCCACGCTGGCAGCGTTGGACAAGACAGCTTCTCTGCCGCTCCCAGCTTCTCCGTCACCACCGCACCATATAACAATAACAGCATTTCGAACATCTCGCCATCGGTCATGTCCTCTTCGCCATTTTTCAACTATGCCAACGGCGCAGTCCCTATATCGAATCGCGAAAGTAGCTTTTCACCTGCCGAAATCGAAATGCTCACCGGTGGCGCGCCTATGAGCCCGAATGCTGGTGCACTTCTTCCGTCGGACCTGTTTGCCGGTGAAACTGACCGATCTGCCGATGAGGGAGAATCTGACTTCAGGCCTGATCTCGACGAAGACAGACATTCTTCGGGATCATTTGGCAGAGGTCCCGATGCTCTTGCTATTCCGGGTCTGGGCGCACACCAAGCCCGAGAAACAGCGAACAGGAGCCCCAGCTCCCCGGCGTCTGCTCAAAGTCGATCTCCTAGCCTTTTTGCGAGCCCACGAGCTAGTTCGAATCAACTTCCCATCGGATACCCGTCTCAGGACTCCGGCAAGGAAGCCGACGCACTCTCAGTGAAGTCGCTTTCTGGGTCTGCCCGACACGTCGGGGGTTCGATGCTGCAAAGCAGGTTCGGTCAGCTGTTCAGCCGTCAAAGAGGTAAGACGCTCTCTGATGAAGGACCGGCATTAGGATCGTTGAAGCCTAGCCAAAGTCACTCGATGCCTCGCCAAGATCCGGCAGAGCTGGATCCTATTGGAACGCAGAGGCGGCGTGGGAGCCATTCCGGCGGTAGTAGCTGGATGGATTCCATGGCCAAGCCTTTCCGGAGCTCTACAGGCCCGAGCACAGTCAGCCCCAGCCATGTGCAGACAAGAAAACGCGGATTCAAGCTGTTTCCTGGTAAGGAGGATGAGTCGTCTTGGCCCGCGGCTTTTGGCATGGAACGCCCACCATCTCCAAGGCCTAATTCGACCAAATCTTTTGGCGATGTAAATCAGCTCCCACGACCCTCGACAGAGAGCTCCCAACGTTTCGGATGGGGGCCAGCCGAGCCACCTGCACAGCGGTCGAGCCCGTTGAACACTACCGTAGAGCTCGGTTATAACGCAATGAGCGGCTATTCGCGTCATCCGTCCCGGCGTCCCTCCATCCAGTACGGTAACTCTTCGACTGGTTTGGGTTATGAAGATATCGTGGAGGATAATTATGACTACGGGCCGGTAATGCGATCTCAAGCGCCTATTGGCACTCGTCCTCCATCGCAACCGCAACAGCAACCGCAACCAGCACCAGCGACGCCTCCGAGCGGGAAGCTGAACCCTGCTGCGCCCGTGTTCAAGGGCCTGTGGGATCGTTCCGCGGACAAGAATTCGATTCCAAAGTCCGAGAGTTTCGACGCCACCGCCGAGGAAGCCAGACCATCGGCCACTGCAGCAACAGACTTCGCCACGTCCGTCTCATCCACCGTGCCCACGGTCGAGCCGCCCGAGTCGCCCAGCGACGTGCTGGCCAACCTCGACGTCTCGCCGATTTCGATGCGCAAGTCGCGCGACGGCCGCGCCAGCACCGTCACGTCCAACGCCGAGACGGCATCGCTTTCACTCTCGGCTTCGTGGAGCCCGCGCGCCTCGCTCGACCGGTCCGAGTCGCGCAACACGTCGGAAAGTCTGGCGGGCACGTCTGTGGGCAAGGAGTCCTGGATGAGCAAGCTCTCGCGCAAGGGCAGCTCGTCCAAGTTCCAGCTCCCGGGTTTCGGCAGCATCAGCGGCGGCAGCAGCAAGGACAAGGGGTCTTCGGCTAGCAGCTTCTTCTCCCGCTCGCCCCGCGTGGACAGAGACCACAACAACGACGAGCATGACGACGATAGCGCTGCTGGCACAGAGCCGCCGACGCCCGGCTTTGTGTCGAGCTTCGCCAACAGTGCGTCTAGTAGCCCGTACATTGGCGGAGGCGACGGGCGCGAGAGAAGCAAGGAAGAGAAGAAGGCGGACCGGAGCAGTGGGCTTAGTTGGAGCAGCTTGCGTAGGAAGAAGAAGAGTAGCGAAAAGGCGCCGAGCATCAACGAAAGTATCGCGAGTGAGCGCGAGGGGGATGAGAGAGATGAAGGTGCTGAGGGATTGGGCGTGAGTGGGGCTTGATCTTTTGGGATGAACTCTGTCATCTCATTGCTCTGCATCGGTACATAGACCACTTGAGACTATAAAAAAAGCGGGATTTCGGGATTTCTCAAAGGATGGGAATTGAATATCAAGGGAAATTGAGGTCAAGCATCAGGGCGTTCATTTGGTTTATGGCTTTCTTTTCAGTATTTTTTTCCTGCTGCGAACCAGTGAGCGAGCAAGTCAGCATAGACAGCGAGCGAGCAATCGAGTCTTCAGTCTTCCACTCTTTATGTTCGCGTCGTCATTTGAAGCTATTAGACTTCAGCGTGGTATTTTTGTTCGGTTAGGGTTGACGTTGAGAGCTAAGTCAGGGACCGATTTTTTTTAACAGTATATGTTTGAAGTATTTCACCTTCTAAATCACGTAAAGCTGACTATAGGTCGCAAGATAGACCGAGATACTTCTCTACAAAACCTCCACCCCATCCACCACGCCCTCCCTCCCTCTCCGCCCTCCAAACCTTCAGCGGCAACGGTTCCGGAATTCAAATAAAAATGCTTCCACCCTCGCCTGGTCGTCCCACCACCACCATCTTCCAACGCGAACCCATGCCGTTGCGTACCTGGTGCAGCACGAGGCCATCGAATTTCACATCCACGTTGATCAGCTCCTTGTATCGGGGCGACACCAGCCGCACCAGCCGGTGCACCACGTGGTACCAATCATACGCCCATACGAGCTGGGACTGCGCCGTCAGCTGGCTGTACAACGACACTGCTACCTCTTATAGTAGGTCATTCAAGCTATCATTCAATGTGCCAGTTTACGACTCCTGGCCTATCAATTGCATGTGGTTGCTTTCATCTGTTAGATAGCATCGTCATGCATCATGCTGGGTTCCTCATAAGAGCAAAGACGGATTATTATTTGTAGCAGTTTTGCAGAAACAGGACTTACGATGCCTAGCGTACAGACCCTTTATATGAAATCCCAAGATTTAAAGTCGTAGGTTATCATTACTACTGCTGATTCACTGGGCCCTTGAGTAGCGGCGGGAGTGGCTAAGGGATAGCCGGCACAGCTCGCCGACAGAGTTTATTCTATTGTTCATAAACATGGTAAGTCAATTCCAAATATCAACATTGGGGGTGTGGCGCAACGGTAGCGCGTCAGATTCCAGATACCACTGGAGATTCCTGAAGGTTATGCGTTCGAATCGCATCATCCTCACATGTCTTTTTGTTTTCTCTCTAGCACTTCGGCTGCCGCTTTTTACTAGGGCTATTTCTTTTATTCACATGAAATAGTTATGTTATGATGGAGAGAAAGTCAACTTCTTGTCGTTGTAGACGTAACGAGCCTCTTCCTTTTAAAATCGAAGTACTAAGCGAGTGAAAATTCGTAGGTTTCTTTTACTAGTAGGTAGCCAGGTTTACATGTGTATGAGCAGGAGTATGTTGCTTATCGCACGTCTTGAAAGCAAACTCTTCGGACTGTTTGGAACTTTTATTGTCACTGTCACTTCAGCATCCAGCCAGGCGTGAACTTTGTCCGAGTCACGCAGATAATACTCTAGCTCTCCACATCAGCGCTTCTTCTCAAACAACGGATCGTTTTACGTGGCATACGAATGGGTCTTGCTCTTTCTTGTGATTGACGTATAAGATGCACCAGACAGCACAAACAAAAAGTACTTACAATCTGCGTTTTCCCTCATACAAACCCACGCCACGCAGCTACACGCTCTCCCATGACTGCCAACACCAACGAGCAACAATTGCCAGCCCGCAGCAAGCATGCTACATCACACCAGCGCAGCGCTCACTCCGGCCCTCCCCTCCCCTCCCCCAAACGCTCCGCACACACAAAGCCAACCCCCCCCTATCTACCTCCCCACCCACCACCACCACCACCACCAACACAAAGCAAAAACCCATTTGCCTACCTACATAGAGCAACATCCAGAAACGTCCCCGAAAAAAGAAACACACAACCACAGCCACAGCCACAGCCACAGCCACAAACCACAAATGTGCCACTACCACGACACGCTCTACGCCTGCGGCTGCGCCTGCCAGGTCCTCACGCGCAAATGCTCGCTTCCCCGCGACACGACGTCGCAGCCCGGTCCACCCTCTGCCTGTCCGCGCGCGCGCATCGTCGCGTTGAGTTTTGCGAACGAAGACTGCGCGGTTTGCGCAACGGCGCAGGCGGTGAGGACTCGGAGGGAGGATGAGGAGGGTGGGAGTGTTGATGGTGGGACTGGGCGGGGGAGGAAGAGGAAGCGGGATGAGGAGAGGGATGGGAGGGAGGGAGTGGGGGAGGGACAGGAAGGGGGTGGAGGTGGGGTGACAGAGCAAACGGCGTGGTAGGTAGGCGGTTCCTTGAGTTTGAGTTTGGTTTTGGCGCGTGGAGGGGTGGATGGGTGGGTTTGTTTGTTTGCTCGTTCGTTCGTCGTCTCCCCTCTGTGTACTTGGTTTGCTGATCAGTTGGTGGATGGCGGCGGATAGGAGTATGGCGTGGGATATCCTGAAGACGTTGTCGCGGTCAAGGTATGATCGCGTTGGACACGGAATGTCCGGACCGGGGTGGGCGGGAGTCTATTGATGCAGCGAAAATTGTGCTGGGGAGTGGGGTGGTTCTGGAGGGCTCGGCAATGGAAGAAAGATGGGAAGTGTTTAATGGTGTTTGTGCTATTGTCCTGCGGCTAAGATTAGCTGCGTTTCTCCGAGTGTGTTCAAGACACACCCAGAAATCTGGCATGCGACAAGCAACGCCAATCAGTCCGACACTTGATTGTTGATACTATCTTTTGGTTTTCATGGGAGAAAGCCTTTGAGAGCAATCCATAAACTTGCGTGCTTTTCATACAGACAATGCCACGTGCATACACTAATGCATATGTGCTGTTGGCTCGTAAAACTGCTTCAGTAAGACTTGTGTTGATATAAAGAGTAAGATCACGCTCATGCCATCAGTCAACAGGTTTCATTTCTTCATTCGGTCCACAGTGAACGTTCACTGAAGAAGGGACATTCATATGACCGACCGCCACCGAAACCCTCACTGATCCATCAACACACACCTCTCTTGGGGTAACAGCACTGCCGCGCTGTTATGATTCAAGCAATGGCCTCGACATAGGTTGAATTGACCCAGTATATACTAGTCTCAAGGTACGTCTGAACGCGTTCAAGGAGTGGCTCTCCACCGATAACGCGCTGGGGCTGGACCACCATTGCCCGGTGTGCGCCGTACCCGAATCGCACACGCATACGCTACTAAACATCTGTCTTAGTGGCGTGTTATATAAGCCATGCTCTAAATACCACCAGAACTTGTTCTGGCCGAGCAAGACGCACGAGTGCGACCCGTGCAACCGCTCTAACTAAGAGCATTAGAAGAGGCACAGAGCCATCGCTGCCTCGCTACGTGATCTCGAGCAAGCGACAAAGCCCGAGATAAACCTACCGCTAACCTCAAAGGCTAGCACCGAACGCCCTTAGAGAAGGCGTAAGGAGAACAAGCAAGAAAAAAAGATGGGTAAGGCGATATCGCGTCGGCCACCAGCCGACAACATTACTAACGCTGATGTCGACCGCATGGCAGCAGCGTTCCACCCAGACACCACCGGCCGCCATGAGAGCAGCGGCGAAGAGCTCAGACTTACTTAGTCAGACACTGTGGCTCCTTCTTGTTTGTCATGATAGTTGTGACAGCTGTTTTGGTCCAGATCGAGAGATCCTTTGAATAGGTCAGTACCCGTTCAGTATCACAGGATGGTGCCGGATTGTACTAAAAGCAAGGGCAAAAGGGGTTAGAATTTCCACAAAGGGCCGCCTCGACCTGCCGATACTTCAGCGGCACCAGCGCAATGCTTCTGGTACTGGCCGGCGCGTCCCACCATCACACCTTTTCCCCCCAATGCGACAACCTCCCAGCAAATCTTAACTACCTTGACGATGGTGCTTCCACAACCGATTGCTCCCATGGAATCCTCGCTCACTGCGGCGCGCAAAGCACAGCAATTCGCAGAACACCTCTTTCTCTCTCTCTCTCTCTCCGCGCCCGTCAGCCCGGAATCTGAGGGATTCGAGGAAAACAGGAAATCGATTTCATCACTAGCTGGCTCGGCAATCTCTCGCCCGAAAGACTACATGCCCTTTTCTCTGTCTTTTCGAACATGCGGTAGGGTCGGAGCAACAGGGCAGCGGGGACACGTAGATAACCAAACCAAACAATATACTTCCAGTAAACTTGACCCCCACTTCTACTGACACCTGACTTCTCCTTTCCGTAGTCCCCACCTCCAGCGATATCCTTACCCCAAAAGGAAACTACACATGATCTCACACTCCCACCCTCCCACTTCACTCCTTCAACTTCCCCGCCCTCCCACTCAAGATCCACGGCCTCCTCAGCCAAAAATCATCCCTAATAACATCAACATGCTCAACCGCCACCGTCGCCTTAGCGCGTCGTTTCCTCTCCTTCTCCGCCGCCGTCTTGCTCAGCACCACCACCGCCGCATCATCATCCTCCTCATCCACGCGGGCCTCCCCCCCATCCTTCTGCTTCTCTGTCGTCGTCGGAACAACGTCGACGAGTTCGTAAGCGCGGAAGACGACGCTGCCCTTCTTGAACAGGTCGTCCTCGTTGTTGTAGTTGATGCCGAAGTCCTTGAACAGGATCTCGTTCTTGTCGGCGGCGACGGTGCCGCTGAGGCGCTGCTCGGCGGCGGCGGCGTCCAGGCCGCCGCGCTGGATGAGCGTCCAGAAGGTCGTGTTGTAGAGGTTGTTGATGTGGCCTGGTAGCGTTTATGTTTTTCTTTTGGTCAGTGACATCCGTCGACCATCACTACCACTACTAGCAGGGATGAGGAATAAGGTGGTGGTGGTGAGAGAGAGAGAGAGAGCTGGAAGTTCAAGAAAACAAAACGGATAGATGGAACGGATGGACGGATGGATGATGTTGGGGGGGGGGGAAAGCAAATCAAGGACGAGGCACGCACAGTCAACCTGCCGCCAGCTCATGTAATCGCGCAGGTTCCGCACGCTGGGGTACATGACGGCGCGACCGTCGAAGCTGGGCATGGGCGGCGTGAGCGGCGGCTTGCCGGCGAAGTAGGTCGGCCACAGGTGGATGTAGTGCGAGGTGAAGGTCGTGGCGACGGTGGTGATGAGCTTGCTGTTCCGCATGTCAGGAAGCGCGCATTCTATTTCCATCTCTCTCTTTTCTGCGCGGTGGGCGGACGAGGGTGTGTGTGTGTGTGAATGACTCACGCTGCCCGTCTCTCGAAAAGGTTGCAGTCCTTGTGGAAGATGAAGCTGTGCGCGCGGTAGACGTTAGTTTTTACGTTGCCGCGGCTTTTCTACTCCAGCTACACACGTACCTGTACTCATCACTAATGCCATACCCCAGCACCAAGTCCGGCAGCTCCTTGAACACACCAACGGCAGCCGCGTTCATCAATTCGAGCGCGCGGCGGTCATTCGGCTTCTCGAAGCCATATTTCGCCGTCAACCTTTTCCCTCCCCAACGTCAGCCAGCCGCTCGCCCTCTCCGCAAAACCAAGCGGGAGAAAAAAAGAAGAAAAAAGAAAGGTAGAGGGGAAAAGCAGCACACTCACTTATGAAAGCCCCTCCCATCGATACGGATGACAATCCACGTGTTGGGCAGAAGAATGTCGGGCTGGCACCGCTCGAAGCTCTTTACGTATTCGTATCTGCTGCCCTCGACGGGGTTCGAATCAGCTACGCTACCTCATTCTACATCCCGACTACTTCGGACACACACAGAGGGCTGGAGAGGGAGAGAATCTTGGTGCGCGTACTTGGAATTCGCCATGGCGGCGTAGCAGAGCCGACGGGGATGTGCTCGGGGTGCCGGGCAGTGGCAGGGCTGCTTGATGTTTGCAAACCGTTTGCGTTGTTGGGTTCGTCGATCGTCTGCGCCGGCCGCCGGCCCGCGCCAAAATTTCCTTTGACTCAGCCGCCCAAGGGTCGCGCGCAGACAGACAGTGACAGACTCACATTTCCCGCATCTTTCAACAACCCAAATTTTTTTTTGGCGACCACAAAGTCATTTTCATCATATTTTTCGTACTTAATCCCAGCCCTGCCTCGTTCCAGTCGATCCTTGCGAAAGGGACCAAGTACGAAGGGTATCTGCGGCTAGTTTTTTCGTCTTTCCTACCACCTAATCTTACGCTTTTTCTAAGCCATTGGGCCGAGTGGATGAAAGACTGAAAAGCAAGAAATCAACCCCTCCCCTCCATTTCACATGTAGAAACCCGTCATCCCTGTCATCACCCAGCCGTCCAGCCCGCGTTTCGTTTGTTTGTGCCTTCGCCCCGCCAATGCAAATTCCTTGGTCTCCATTCGCGCGGGCAAAGTCTTGTTAGACAGAGAAAAAAAGAAAGGAGAGAGAAGGGAATAAAACGAAACCGCCTGCCCAAAGGTTCCCAAAGAGGCCCCCTCTCAATCTGTTTTTGGGCAACGCCGAATTGCATGCACATGAAAAGAGGAAGAAAAAAAAAGAACCCAGTCCGTAGAACCCACCAACACCATCGCATACGCAAATTAAGACGGGTCTTTTGTAGCCTTGATAAAGGGCGAAACCCCCCAACCGCACCGGAAAAGCCGTGCCCACGCTTTCCGTCATCGGGGCCTCGTGTTTCTTTTTGTTGCATGATAATATTGGTACACAAACGCACGTGCCGATATGGGCCCAGTCAAGGGAACACCTGCAAACGCACTGAATGCTTTCGCTCACCGACCTTAGTCCTGACGCGGCGAACTACATGACATGTTAGCGTGCGTCGACCCATCCACCCGACTATACAACTTACGTAGGAGAGTACTTCGGGGACGTAGGCGAATACTTCGGCGTCGTGGCCGAGTACTGCCCCGCACCCGGAGACGTAGGAGAGAACCTCGGTGACGTCGGCGAGTATTGGTCGCCAGCAGGACTGGTCGGGCTGTACACCGGGCTGGTCGGCGAATACCCCATGGCAGGCGACGTCGGCGACCGTCTGTCGCTCCCGCTGCCGAACTGCGGGCTCGTAGGCGAATACATCGGCGAAGTCGGGCTGTATGCCGGAGACGTCGGGCTATACTTGGGTGACGTTGCGTGAGCCGGCGACGTCGGGCTATAGCTCGGAGATGTCGGCGAATAAGCCGGCGATGTGGGCGACGACGGCGACGTGGGCGAGTAAGAGGGTGACGTTGGCGAGTAGTTGGGCGACGTGGGCGACAGGCTGTTGAACGCTGGCGACGTCGGCGAGTAGCCGGGCGATGTGGGAGAGTAGCCCGGCGAAGTGGGCGAGAAGGCTGGCGACGTGCCACCGAACCGTGGGCTTGTGAGATTGAGGCCTGGCGACGTGGGAGAGTAACCAGGCGACGTGGGCGAGTAGCCGGGAGAGGTAGGACTCTGTCCGCTGAAGGGGCTGGTGGGCGCATACCCAGGGCTGCGGGCGTACGGACTCATGCCGCCGTCACTGAAAGAGCCATACGAGGTAAGGCCACCGCTGTCGTCGCCACCAGCCTGCACCATCGGCGAGAACGATGCGCCGTAGTCCGGACCCGCGAACGCGCCCTCGTGCGACGGGGAGCCGATGTCGTAGGGCGTAGCCGCACCATCGGCAATGTACCCAGGAGCAGCAGCCAGACCAGGCATGAGTCCATAGCGAGCATTGTCCGACGCACACGTGTTGAGCATGTTCTTGTCCACCATGATGTCCATCTCGCCGGTACCAGCAGGTGCCAGTTGACCCAACATGATGTTCTCCGAAACACCGCGGCAGTCATCCAGTTCACCGCACGCCGCCGCATCCAGCAGAATTTCGACCGTCTCTTCGAAAGAACAACGCATGAGCGCACCAGTATCCGCACGGTTGATACCGTGGCGAGTGACAGCCATGATATGGCCACGAGCCGTCATGACGTCGACCAGGAGCGCCAAGTGACGATGATTGACGTATGAACCGTCGAACGCCAGCACCTGGGTGAACTCCTTCAGAAGAGCTGTACGCGTGGCCTCGATACCGAAGACGGAGAAAATCTCGAAGAAGTTGTTCGAGTACGTCCGATTGGCATCGACTCCCTCAACCGTAAGGACCGCAGACAGAGCAGTACCAGTGGTGTCGAGGAACCATTCCGTGCAGTCGTTGGTCTTCGCCATGTAGAGGGTGCCGTCATCTCTGATCACCTGCGTCTGGCCGCTGTTGATGAAGGCACGCTCAATGTCCTCGACACCACGAAGGGTCAATTCGTCGAGCAGTTTCTGCTCAAGCATGGCAAGCAGCTTCTCATCATTCTCTTCGTCGTCCTCCTTCACATCGTGCTTGATGAGGCGGATACGGATGACCAGCTCTTCAGCGTTGTTGTCACTGAAAATGACGGCCAAGTTCTTGTGATATTCCTCCTTGATCCTGCTGGCGACCTGAGGAACCGTCAGGCCCTTGTCGAGAAGTTTGCCACGGTTGAGCACGACACGCAGGAGCCACTTGGACTGTGAGTCGATATCCTCCGCAGTATCATCGGGAATGATGAAGTAGGACTCGACCAGGTCAGAATCGGCCTCGATCACAGTCGACTGGATGTCGGGGTCATAGTAGAGCTCGACGCACTCGGTGACGGAGCGTAGCGTCGTGTGCTCAATACGGCTGCGAAGGAGCTTGGCTTGCTGCCTCTTCTCCGCTTCCGAAGCCTCCAAGGGAGTTTGCGTGTACACCTTCATGGAAGGAGTCTTGATTTGCTTGGCAACGTTGAGAATTTCCTTCAGACGTGGGACACCAAGGGTAACGTTCTTCGAAGACACACCAGCGAAATGGAAGGTGTTCAGAGTCATCTGCGTTGCGGGCTCACCAATGGACTGTGCAGCAAGCACACCAACCATTTCTCCGGGACTGACGATCGCTCGGTTGAAGCGGTTCTCGAGATCACCGAGAACGTTCTCGAACGCGAGCTTGTTCAGAGAGTGTTCGCGAACAAGACGCTTGAAAGACAACCTCGAGCGCAGTTGAGCCTTGAAGAGGAAGGTGGCGTTCTCCTGAGCCTCGCTCGACAACGGGTCGTCTCCACGTACGACAATGAGTCTGTTCAGGACCTCCGTAACCTTAGGAATGACGTCGGCAGGGTGCAGGTCACTCCGGGAACCGTCCTTGATGCGGAATTTGCTCTTCGCCGTTTCGATGATACGCTGGATGTTCAGCGGGATCTGGCGCTGGTCGTCCGCATCATTCGTGATGTTGCGGACATATTTCCTGTCTTCCTCCAGCTGAGCGAACTCCTCATCAAACAGGCGTTGCACCTCGATATCACCGGCGATGGCATCAGCCTGCTCCAGAATGTCGCTCGAGAGCGAAGTTGACGGGTCCATGACATTGACGTAAAACTTGCGTTTGAACTGCGCATCGGAGCAGTTGACGAAGTCGCAGCCCTGCTTCTCAATATAGACACCATCAAGACCATCTTCACCGTAGATGAATTGGACGATGTCACCGAGGGAGTTGCGGACGGTTCCGTCGTACTTGGCCATGACATCTTCAAGAGCCTTGACTAAACGGCGCTGGATATAACCAGTCTCGGCGGTCTTCACGGCGGTATCGATGAGACCCTCGCGACCAGCCATGGCGTGGAAAAAGAATTCAGAGGGGGTAAGACCACGTAGGTACGAGTTCTGAACGAAGCCTCTGGCTGCGGGGGAGTAGTCGTCCTTCGTAAAGTGCGGCAGAGTCCGGTACTTGAAGCCAAACGGGATACGCTTACCCTCGACGGACTGCTGACCGACAAGCGCCGTCATCTGGGAAATGTTGATGGTAGAACCCTTGGAACCAGAGGCAGCCATGGCAATGGCGTTATTGCATTTGGCTACACTTTTTTCGGTAACAGCACCTGCATCGTCACGGGCCTTGTTCAGGCAGACCGAGACCCTACTCTCGAAGGTTTCTCTCTTGGTCATACCAGGAAGCGGGTCGAGTTTGTCCTGCGTTGCTTCCTCTGTGATTTCTGAGACGAACTCCTTCTGCTTGTTGATGGCCTCTTCGATCTTCCCCGTGGTGACAGCGTCAGGAATGGTGTCGCCGATGCCGATAGAGAACCCGGTGTGCAGCAGCCAGTAGTTGACAATACGCTGAGTGCCGTTGAAGAAGCCCACGGTTGCTTCCCAGCCCTTCTCGTTGAAGACTGTGTGGATAATACCACCACTGCTGGCACCAACAATCTTCTTGTTGAAGAGCCCGTAGATGAGCTCGCCACCAATGATAACAACTCCGCTGTCATCAATTGGCGCGTGCGTCTTGCCAGGTTTGACCAGGTTGATGTCCGGAATGGCAAGACTGATGATCTGCTTTCCAGTCCAACGAGGACGGGGCTTCAAGATCGCTGGTTGAGGAATCACGCCATCCCAATCCGGCACCCAGAGAAGTACGTTCATAACCTGCTCCTTGGTGAGGAAGATATCACGATTGCAAAGCTTGTAGACACCGCAGAGCGTGTCCTGCACGATACCCATGAGCGGACCGTTGCGCTGAGGTGACACAATGTTGAGCGGCACCATGCAGAGCTGCATGACTTCTGCACGACTCTCTTCAGTCTGCGGAACGTGCAAGTTCATCTCGTCACCGTCGAAATCGGCGTTGTATGGAGAAGTGACCGACAAGTTCAAGCGGAAAGTCGAGTAGGGCATGACACGGACGCGGTGACCCATCATAGACTCCTTGTGTAGAGAGGGCTGGCGGTTGAAAATAATGAAATCTCCGGTGACGACATGACGCTCAACCTTCCAGCCATACGCAAGCTGGATCTCTCCGGCGCGCTTGTGATGACGAAGATCGATGCGCGTGCCGTCATCGCGGATGATGTACTTCGCACCAGGGTGCTCATTCGGGCCGTTCTTGACCAGTTCATGAAGCTTTGCAATGTTGTATGGCGTAACAGTCTCAGGATAAGTCAGGGTCCTAGCGATGGATCGCGGTACACCGACTTCGTCCAGATCCAGGTTGGGATCACCGGTAATGACGGTACGCGCGGAGAAGTCGACACGCTTTCCCATCAAGTTGCCACGAAGACGACCATCCTTACCCTTTAGACGACCACGAATGGTCTTCAAGGCTCTGCCTGACTTCTGTTGCGCTTGCGGCTGACCGGCGAGGTCGTTGTCCATGTAGGTTGCTACGTGCCATTGGAGAAGCACCTCAAAATCGTCGATGACGTGCTGCGCAGCACCCTCCGAGTGACAGCGCTTGATGCTTCCGTTGGAGCGGATGATATCAGCCAGCTTATAGGTCAAATCATCCTCTCCACGCATTCCCTGTCCAGTTCCATCTACGGAAATGGAAGGCCTGACCGGCGGAGGCGGAACGGGCAACATGGTAATTATCATCCACTCAGGCCTGGCAAAGTTGATGTTCAGGCCAAGAGTCACGAGCGCCTCGTCGGTGATCAGCTTGAAGATGTTCAGCACATCCTGAGGCTTGATCACGCGCTTCTCCGGCTGGCGAGCTTCCTCTTCATCTTCACCCTTCTGGGGCTTCCAGGTTCCCATCAACTTCAGACCGTCCTTGCGAATCTCAGGTTGGCGGTTTCCGCATCCGCCATGCTGAATCTGGGGCTTCTTGTTCTTCTGAGCACCGTCGTACTCCTCCGACGGTTGGTCCATCTGACAGAGGGTCTTGGGCTTGCAGACCTTCCATATCGCTTCGAAGCGGTTCTTCGGGTCTCGTAACCGCAAGGCATCTTTGAAATGTTGCTCAGACTGGAGCAGGCGTCAGTAAGAGCGATTCAACAAAGACCGTCATCCGCCAGGGATGACTAACTTCATCTGCTAAGATCTTGCCACAGTTGTGGCACACGCACTCAAGCAGCTTCTTGATCTTGTTGATGAAGCCTATGACGCGTCAGCGACGTGTCGACGTGCGTACTGTGAGAAACCTTACCAACGTGAAAGACGGGCGTATGCAGCTCGATGTGTCCAAAGTGACCTGGACACTCCTGCATGTTTTCACCGCAGGTGGCACACGAATACGCCCGATCAATGGAGCCAAGCTTGGGGTCGTTCAAACCACCTTCACGGGGACGCTGCTTCGCCTCGTCCTACAAAGACATCAGAATGGAATTCACTACGGATCGGAGTTGACGTGACGCACCATGGTCTCCGGATAGATGATGTGAGCAACACTCATCTCTTGGATCTCCGCCGGATCCAGCAGACCGAACTGGATTTCTTGAATGCTCTTCAGCGGCGCGCTAGACGCCGCGAAGTGAAGGTTCGCCATGTTGGAGGTATTGGGTCACGACGGTCCTGGGCAGGGAGCGCGTTGTGACGACAGGCGCGGTGGAGACGGCTGCGCTGGGTGACGGCAAGCTCACAGCGGCGGGTCCGACAGCAGCCTCGGCCTTCCTCCTCACTTTACGATCGTCGTGCGGACTCGAGGATGTCCTCTTTGTGCGTTGGCGCGACGGACAATGGGCCCGGGACTTGGCAAATGGAAACCGGGGCGCTGGACGCGCTGGCCGCACGGCGGCGAACGTGAAAGGCCTGCGGGCCTGATGCGACCGGGACGGCGTGGGCGACGCGATCCGGGCGCGAAATGAGCGTGGGTGGCGTAGCGAAGTCGACAGCGGGCGGGGCGGGGCCGTCGACAAGGCGCTCAGCGATGAAGAAGTTGGGATGCGGGTGGTGGGTGTGGTGATGTCGAAGTGAAGCCCTCCTGGCTCGCGCTCCAGGTTGGAAGTTCGCTCAAAGACAGCGGGTCGGCGGGTCCGAGCGCCGCCTGCCGCCTGGCTCGCCACAACTATCACGTGATCTGGAGCCGCACCCGCGCTAGGCTGATCCGTTGCAGGAGCCGACTCGCCGACCGTCGTCCCGCGCGAATCATAACGCGCATATCCAGACGTCGCGCCGCTCATCGCGCAGCTCTCGCCGCTCGCTCTCGTCGCCCGCCCTCGCCGCACAACCATGCGCGTTGTCTGCGCACCGCCGTCGTCTCCATGAATCTTCCACTGATCGACCCGGCTGTCCTGGCCCAGGATACCCCCGAAGCTCCAGCTGGCAGACTCCGTACGTCGCACGGCTCCTACTACGCCGCTACACAGATAGCGCGCGATTTTCCCTGGGAGTGCTCTCGGTGATCAATGTACTGACACCGCGATTACCCTACCCAGATAGCGGTCATTCGACATGCATGCGATTCAATCACCGTGGTGACTACCTCGCCTCTGGACGGGTAACCCTTCCCGGACACCGCCACCAAGGCCTAGACTTACACTCTTCAAGGCAGACGGATGTGTTGTCATCTTCGACCTCGAGACGAACGGCGTCGCGCGCAAGCTGACCGGCCACACGCGCCAAGTGCAATCGTTGAGCTGGTCCGCCAACGATCGCTATCTGCTCAGCGCTTCACAAGACTGGAGATGTGTGTTGTGGGATCTGAAGGATGGCAGGCGGGTACGGACTGTCAGGTTTGGGGCTCCGGTGTTCATCGCCGAGCTCCATCCGCGGAACCAGTGAGTCCACAGATGTCGTGTAGTATGCGCGCTTTGTATCTGTCTAACCCAGCGCAGTCTGATGTTCGTAGCTGCTCTGTTTGAGGACCAACCCGTACTGGTGGACATGGCCGACGACATTCCGAAAAAGCATGTCCTCCCCTCTGCCCCTCGCCGATCTCAAGTTGAACGAGACAACGCGACCGAAAAGCAGACGGCCCAGGATGCCAAACAGACAACGACTGTGACGGTGTTTACGCCTACCGGAGACTACGTATTATCGGGGACCAATAAGGGATGGCTCAATGTCATCGACGCGAAGACATGCGACATTCGCTACTCTATGCGGTTGTCCAATAACCTCGTCATCTTCATTCGGTTGAGTGCCTCTGGACGGGACATGGTTGTCAACTGTAGTGACAGGATTATTCGCACGCTGCAGCTACCTGATTTGACTGACCCCAAGCTCGACTTCGACAGCATGGCGCTCACGACCGAACACAAGTTCCAGGATGTCGTTAATCGTCTGTCATGGAATCACGTCTGCTTCAGCTCCACTGGCGAGTATGTTACAGCCTCGACATATATGAACCATGATATCTACGTCTGGGAAAGAGGCCAGGGAAGTTTGACAAAGATTTTGGAGGCAAGGGAAGAGATTGCAGTCACAGAATGGCACCCTCATCGCCCGCTCGTAGCAGCTGGCGGCATCGAGTCTGGCAGAATCTATTTGTGGTCCATTCTCACACCGCAGCGATGGTCCGCCCTGGCACCAGACTTTGTGGAAGTGGAAGAGAACGTCGAATACGTTGAGCGAGAGGACGAGTTCGATATCCAACCTCTCGAAGAGCTTCACAAGCGCCGTCTCGACCTGGAGGACGAGGACGTGGATGTCCTCACGATAGAGCCCGGCAAAGCAGAATTCGAACCAGCAGAATTTCAGATGCCCATCGTGCTGGACCTCGGCGGGAGCGACAGCGAAGATGAGGAGATCATGATCGGAGCCGGTCAATACCGCCGGAAGAGCCCTGGGGCCGGCAAGGAGTGGATGAATGGCCAAGATGGTAGCGGAGATGACAAGAAGAGCGCGACGAACGGCACGGCTAGATCGCAGAGCGCGAACAAAAAGCGCAGAGCAGACTAAGTGGCAATGAGCAATAACGACATGCTTGCATGGGAGCGGCGTTTGGGACAAAAGACGATATACCACTCGGTTCTGTATGAGGTTTCCTGCTTAGTTTTGAACGTTAGGAGTTAATCGATGGCTCGTGACCAGCCACTCTTCGGCGCAAATTTTGGTCATCGGAGCCACGTACCGTTGCCGGATAAGGAAAGGAAGAACGTGAAGGATTATCACAGAGGGTATCAGCTGTCTCCTCTTCGGAGATCCACGCAAGGCGAATCGCACAATAAAAAGAATGATCTTCAAGTGAAATACGATACTAAGGCTACAAAATATTCAGTGTCCCTGCTTCTTCGTAGGCTTGGGACGCGAACTACAATCATCCATCATTACTGGGGTCAGGCCTCAATGCTTCGATAGTCTAATGACGGTTCCATGTTCTTCACCTGTAGTAAATCGTTGAATGACATCACAGATCCACTGACGGTAGTACCAAGGGCCATCTTCGTCAACGAGGTCCGCGTGCTGTCCTGCTTGTTTGAGCAACACGAATGCGCTCCCCAACAGACTCATGGAGCTTGGCGACAAATCCGCTACGGAACTCCTTGCCCCGAAGAGCGCCACTACCAAAGGTGGTCACTTCATGGTCTTGAAGTCTTCGGCGGATGGCACCAACAGTGAATACGCCGCAGTCATACCCACCCTCTTGCTGTGGTGCAGCGACATTTTCGAGCATCCAGTCGCAGCTCTCACTAAACTTGATGAAGGGGACCCGGCTTATCATGCGTGCCAGTGCCAACAGCTCTTGGTCATACAATACCGATGGTCTTTATCCAGGTTTCTCATGTCATGGAATTGTAGACCTTGATGCGCTGTTTCGCGGCCTCGAAATTCCACTCACACCCAATGATCACCGTTGACATCGTAGACAAAGACGACACTATCTCTCAGATCTTCGATGACAACACAGTTCTCAAGAGCAGCCACTTGCTTGGAGAAGACTCTCTGGGCCCGCTTCAATCTGTTCAAATTCTGCACATTCCGCGTCTGGACGACTCGACGACTCGATGCATGCCGAAGGACTCCATTTATGCCTGAGAGGTCCAAAATTTTCAAGTACAGGTGTGTATGGACAAGCCATGTGCCCACCCTCCCCCACAACGCCAGTCTCATCTCCCGAGATACTGGTGTCTACTAGAGTAAGAAACGTGCTTTCTCCAAACAAATCAAGCCGAGGCTGTGCCAGCGTGCTGTTCAAGTTGCTATTCAAGCCAGCCCCGGACATGGAGGTCCCTATGGTGGACTGCGCATCCGACTCCATTCGCGTCAACTTCGAGATGAGCTCGGCGTGGCTTTGGACTGCAGCTCTTGGGGCCTCTCGGGAGAGACGGGACGAAGATTGTCCAAGTGCGATGGTGACCTGCGCATAGGACTAATAGCAGGACCCGTGTTCTCTTCAACGACCTTGCTCACCAAAGTCGCAGCGACCACGTCAGCTTGTACTGGAGACCTGAAACGTTTCCACTTTGCCATGCGAGGTTGCTCAACCTTCAACGGGGCTGGGCGCTTCAGCCTGGACACTGAATCTTGCCCAAGATGACTGCTGGCACGCTTTTCTGATACTGGCTCAACTTCTCTCAGGCACACGGCCTCCTGCTCTACTGCGGCGAGGTGATGATCCCTTGGGTCTCGACCTTACAGTGTACTTTGACTGCGTACGAGTCGGACTTGCAGGTCTTTCGTAGGTGCAATCACGCCAACGAGGGTCTTCTGCCATATACTCACGCTTGGGACTCCTCGAGCCACGCCTTGAGCGTTCTGAGCTCCGGGCTCTCCATTCACGCCCGGGACTTCTTCCGCGGTCGTGATAATGGCGATCATTCCTCAGATGATCGCTTCTGTAGTCTCGAACATGAAGGGACACCTGTCCTTTTATCACACTTTGGAACTCCTCGTTCGCGGTCATGTAAATCAGAGTGTGCCCTCTGACTTCGAGATGAGTCATCTCGGTCCAACCAGCGAGAACGCGCCTTCTCGCGGTGTTCACTGCGCTCCGCACTTCTCCGCCGCCGATCGTCTCGGTGTTCAGGAGCGTAGTAACTCCCTGGCGCATCTTGCTTCTGTCAGCCAACGGCACATCTGCTGCTCTCGATGATGACTGTTGGATGATGGAGCAGCTGCTCTGAGGGGAAGTGTCAGGAAGGACTTAGGGAAACGGGCTTGGCTCTCTGAGAACGGAAAGACTTGGAGAAAGACGGGCTTGGCTTTCTGAGAATGGAAGGTGCGCGGCCACCATTATCACGCCAGTCGTGATTTTAGCGAAGTACACGCGATGCGGCCACGATTTGTGTCTTTGCCTAGACGTAAAGGTCTTTCAGTACGCCGGGCAGCGAACTGGATCGAGGTTTCGGCCACACGCCTGTCTTCCAGTGCGATGATCGAAACCTCGATAGACAATTATGTGGACCTTCGAGAAAAAGCTCGCCACATAGACCCGGTACCATCACACCCGCGAGTCGAACAAAACCTCAATACCTTCGCCTTTGGGGACGCCCACGCGAAAGCTGGAAATCACACTGCCATTGCTGAGTGGTGATGAGCCGGCCTCTTTTCCTCCTCCTCCTTCTTCTCAGGCTGGCGCGTTAGTGAAGAAGTTGACGGCGCCAGCATGTTCGACGAATCTAGAGAAAGTGCTTCTCATAGCGCACTGTGGCGGGCCGAACAAGGGCCAATGCGAATACAGCACACGCGTGTGAAGAGTTCAAGCTCGGGCGAGGAGGGCAGTAAGATGGATGGGTGTGAGCGTAGCGGGAGCGTAGCGGAGGGGTTATAGCGGGAGGGTGTAGCGGATGTGTGGAAGCGCAGCGGGAGTGTAGCGGAGTGATATAGCAGAGGGGTGAGATGGATGGGTGGAAGCGCAGTAGAGGGTGAGGTGCCAGTACTTATTGTTAGCTCAGGCTAGAGCATGAGGGTAAGGTAGGCATCGCAGTGTGTGACGGAAGAAATTGACGTATAGAGATCCTTTGCGTAGGCAGTTGAAGCAAGGATGCGGACGTAGATGTAGGCTTGAACGATCTTTCTTCGTAAGCAGCTGAAGCAGATGTCCGGATGTAATTTCGCGCTGAGATGAGTTCCCGGATGGTTGGAACGCCGAAGCGAGGCTAGCGCGGCCATGATGCCTTGACATCGTGGTGAGGTCGCGCCGCCTCTGGTGCCGCACCGATGCCGTGATGCATGCGACAGCGGGCAGGGCGGGTTCAGCGCCGAAGCGTGGGCATCGGTGGTGACGATCGACGATGCGGGCATGACTACGGTGAAAGGCAGCAGCAACAGGTCGGGCGAGGGTGGAGTCTCGCGGCGGCGCAGCTGCACAGGCAACCTTGGGCGGCTGGCTGGATTGGACAGGCTGGCGGGCGTGACGCAGGAGGTGACGGGGAGGAGCGTGCGAGGTCCGGCGCAGATGCGTGGGAGGCCTCAGCCCCGGGCCAGGGACGCGGTCTCTTTGGGCGTGGCGCTGACGCAGGCCCCAACTGTCGTGTGAAGTCCAATCGCGGCGGCACTGAGCGGACGGCGATGGGAACCGGGGCGACGATGCAGCTTAGATCAGAGTGGTTGTTGGTGGCGCCGACTCGCCTAGGCCTGGGGTGATGGAACCTCGAATGTGTCATTTGGGCTGTTGATCACCGGCGGCGTTGAGGAGCACGCCAGGGCTCGCTCATCGCGCTCCGTCGGCGGCGGCCATGAGGCGCGGCGGCCCAGCTCAGAAACACCAAGGGCGAGGAATGCTGCCAAGCACTAGCTGGCGCTGCATGCGTGCCTCTGCCTCTGGTGGCGGCCCTGGTGATAGCGGGCGGCAGATAGCGGGCGGCAGAATTTTGCCTGCCCGCTCGAATTCCGGACCCCGTGCATGAGGATGGCTGAATGGAAATCTCGTAGCGCCGCAGCAGGGGCGGGAAGCGTGAGGGCGCTCGACAGGCCCGACGCACACAGTCCACTTGACTTGGCAGCTTGCGACGACGGCACCTGGAACGCAGAGCGAGCGCTCCGCCGCTCCGCCCAGCCCGCCAGCACCACCACCGCGCAGTGCAGACCGATGGAGTGCACGCAGCCGCAGTGGCAGCTGCGCGAAGGGCCGCGGGCGCGCGCGCGGTGATTGGCTTTCGCGCGTCGGGGTCACGTGCTGAATAGAGCTCCCGGTGTGATCGCAAAGACCCTAGGTCCTCAGCGAGAGGAACCCACCACAGCCCAGAGTCCATACAATGGCCGAGCCACCCGACCTCAAAGGCAAAATGCCGCGTCTCATGCCTGCCCTCCGCCTTCCCGCCGCCCACTCCCTCCTCCTCAACTATCACCATCCACCACCACCGTGATCCGCACCGCAGCCAGCTTCCCACCCCTTACGCCTCCATCCCGCCGCTGCGCTCGGGTCACACCTGACTTTGACCGATTCACCTCACCAGCCGCCCTGAGAAAGGGAGGCGCCAAATTAGCAGGCTTGCGACCGTCGGCCAACGCCCAACACGCTCGCACCACCGCATCACTCAACACCACGACGCGCCGCCATGTCGAGCTCGTCCACCACCGTCACTGTCACTGCCTCCCCAGCCTCCAGCCTCAAGATGTCGGCCAAGTCGCCCAGGTCGCAGGTCGCCGTCCTTCGCCTTGCGCCTTCGCTGCTCGCGCGCTTCCCGTCTGACGGCCCCGTCCGTAAAAACTCGCGCTCCAAGTCGTCTTCGTCGGCCACGCCCATCGACACGCCTACAGACCCCATGGTCGTAGAGCCCGCCGAGCTGCAGTCTGCCCCCGACGCCGATGCTGCATCCGCCGTCAACGGCTCCACGCCAGCCCTCGACAACAACTCGCTCGCGCCTCCGCAGAATGGTGCAAAGAGGAAGGGCATACCCGGTCCGAAGCCTGGCTCGAAGCGCACGGCTGGACAGTCCAACGACGGTACCCCCAAGCCTCGCGGCAAGCCCGGCCCCAAGAAGAAGCCTCGCGTGTAAGTCATCCTCGACCCATCAACGGAATGCGACGGCATCCTCTCGATGCACTGCATCGTGTGCCAGCACTCGCATCATTGATGGCTTCTACGTTGCCGAGACTGCGACTGACTTCAACCCACAGTGGCGAGGCTGCCGAGACCCCCATGAACGGCGTGATGCCCATCTCAGCCCAGAAGCTCGGTCCCAAAGCCAACCAAGGTGCCATCAATGCTGGTCTTCGTGCCCTCGACCGATCTGGCAAGCCCTGCCGCAAGTGGGAAAAGAAAGGATTCCAGCTCAAGAGCTTCACCGGCATCGCCTGGTCCGTCCCGACATGGCGTTCGCCGAAGAAGTCGACTGTCGACGAGAACGGCGACGTCAAGAGCGATACCACCAGCAGCAGCGAGACTGCAAAGATCAACGAGAGTAGTGCCGTGCCAAGCGAGAAGAGCAGCATCGCCGGTCTCCTGGATACTCCGAACAGGTCTCATCCGCTTGCTCATGGTGCGAGCTCACCATTGCCCGAGATGACACCCGTGTAGGGCGTTCCATTGTTTTGCTGGTAAGTTGTATTCGGTTGCCGTGATTGTTGTCGCACATCTCGTCCATCTTCATGCCATCCTAGTTTCAGTCCGCAAAATTGTCAACTGTGGGCTGCTCATCAACCCAGCCTGCTCAATTGTTCTTGTACATCACCCAAGACCCATGGCTAACACGTCAATAGATTCCCTTGCTCTACTACACTCTCAACACGCACAGAGAGAGAGAGGCCTTTTTCCTTTTTATATGTATAATATGCTTCAAGCTTTGCGTTGACACGCATTCGTTTTCAAGTTTGCGAGACGAGATTCCAAATGGGTTATTCGGGGGTCGACAGCGCTTCATGCACGGTGTTTAGGTACGGATTCAAAAACAGAGGGGAGTCAGGAGGGAGTGGTCATGATCAAAGCGAATGGCGCGTGACTTGCTCTAGCTGGATAGGGATTTGGAAGAGGTGACACGGGACAGTCATGCCGTCGGGTACGCCCAGGCTCAGATCAGGATTGGGGATACCAGGCGTTTTAGAGTATAGGCGTCAATGAATGATTCAGTTCCGACTCTGGAGAAGCGTGGGCGCGAGGCGTGCTGGGGCGACGGGCGGAGGGAGGAAGGCGCAAAGCGGCGCTGGTGCAGGTACGTGCATAGATAGTGAGTAAACAGCGGGTTCGGGCGAATCCGAGCTTGGTCCGCCCCCGCAACTGCACCCGCGTCCAGGTCGCATCACCCAACATCGATACGCCCTCAGCATCCTTCTTGTGGCCTGCGCGCGATCGGTCTTGCTGCTGAAGCTCCCAAGCGACCCGCAATGCTTATGATGATTGTGCTTGGAGCTGGCAGTGTGCAGAGCCGCCGTTGATTGACGCCGAACCACTGCCATCTCACCGACGATACCCGTAACATCACTGCCAGCATAACGCACGCCGGAAGCCTCTCCATAGGCCGGCCGCTGCACGCAGCCTGTTGAGACCCAACGTCCGCCGTCTGTCGTCTCCGAACACGTCAGCTGCGCTCGTTCAGAGAGAGAGAGCAGCTCCCGTTCGCTGCCGCGGCCGCGAGGAGTGTCAGTCCATGACGAACCGCTTCCCTCACATCCCGGGCGACGCTCCTCACGCTTCGCTCACCACCACCCCCGGCGTCGGATCAACTATGTTTCGCCGGTCATCGTACGCCTCTGTAGCCGCAGGCACGGCAAACAGCGACAGCGCACAGCCCTTCGCCCAACCCACTCGCTCAGGCGCCTTCTCCCACCTCCTCAACCAGTACTCCTCATCCCATCACCAGCCGCGCAACCATTCCAGAAACCCGTCTCGCGGCATGGACATCGACGGCCACGGCAGCCTATCCGGCTCCTACCGCGGCGCCAACCCGAATTTCAGCGCTTCCTACGGCACCGCCATGGACGCCTCCACGCCACCCTTCTTCGTCCCCTCCTACCTCAAGGGCTCGCGCCATGCGGAGCGCCTCGAGGAAGCCCACAAAGCGCGCCTGAACGCCCAGCGCGACGCGCGCTCCTCGGGCACCGGCTCGCTCTCGAGAAGCTCGTCCAGTGCCAACCTGCACAAGATGGTCCCCTCGCACCGCGGCATGACGCACGACATCATCGAACGCGCACCCCCGGCTACATACACAGAGGAGAAGGAGAGATCTTGGCCGACGCGTTGGAACGAGGAGGACAGGTCCGCAGGCCTCGAGCTGCTGAGGGAAGGCTTGGACGTCAAGTGCGGTTCCATGAGCAAAACCCATGACGAGGCGCTATCGGTCAGGACAGACCATCCCATGCCCAGGCAGTGCGGAATCTACTATTTCGAGGTCACGGTTGTCGGAAAGGGAAAGGAAGGGTCAGTAACGCGACGAGGGAATGGCGTCGACGGACGTGCGCTGACTCGGCCCTGCAGGTTGATTGGCATCGGATTCTCGGGACCAAAGGTCGCGCTTCACAGATTACCAGGCTGGGAACCTGATTCCTGGGGATACCACGGCGATGATGGATACAGCTTCTGCAGCACGTCCGCCGGCAAGAGCTATGGGCCGAAGTTCTCGATGAACGACGTCATTGGCTGTGGAATCAACTTCAGGACGAACGAGGCTTTCTTTACAAAGAACGGCCATAGAATCGGTATGTGCGATTGCTCGTGGTATCATGCTTGGCTAACTTGACCAAGGAACTGCTTTCAGAAACATCCCAGTTAGCTTGGACCTCTATCCTTCGGTTGGCGTTAAGAAGAATGGCGAGCATCTACGCGCGAATTTCGGACAAGAGCCCTTTGTTTTTGATATTGATACCGAGTACAAGGTAAGCAGCGTGTGATGGACGTAAGATTTCGTCTGCTGACCATCAAACAGAAGGAGCAGGGCGCCATACAAGCCGACATTAGCCGTACGAGTGTGGCATCCTTAAAGCCAGGAGCGGATGAAACAGCATTGATCCACGAGCTAATCGCTCAATATCTCGCCCATGACGGCTATGTCGAGACTGCCCGTGCATTTGCAGCAGAAGTACGCGAGGAGTCTCGGGCGCTCACTACAGGAGGTCCTTCGAATGTCAGAGACCTTGAGCCCGAGGAAGACATCGATGCCATCAACCGCCAGAGTACGTTTACATGCTCGTTGTCAGGCTTGTCAGGCTAACTTTGTTCCGTTTAGAAATACGTGCAGCAATCCTTGATGGGGATATTGACAAGGCTCTGAAGCTTACAACTGCATATTATCCGACGGTTCTCCAGGATAACGAGAACATTTACTTCAAGCTTCGCTGCCGCAAATTCATCGAGATGATCCGGAGATGTCAAGAACTGTCAAACCCACCTAGCAAGGGCGGGTTCAGAAGCAATGCTGGAAACAACGGCTACTCCAACTCTGGTTATGACGACGTGTTTGATGGTCAGATGGAGCTCGATGACTCGACTAACAATGTCAATAATGCAAACAACGGCGAAAGCATGGACATCACAGGAAGCGACGCGCTCAAGCTCAACGAGTTGCTCGGCGAAACTCTGCAATATGGCCAAGAGCTAAGGGGGGAATTCAGTGGGGACTCCAGACGCGAAGTTAAACGGGCGTTGGAGGACACTTTCGCGCTCATGGCATATAGCGATCCCAAGCAGAGCCCGCTCGCATACATGCTGGACCCCGACGAGAGGACTCCGGTAGCGGAGGAGCTCAACAGCGCCATCCTTGGTATGACATCACACTGGCCTTGTCTGTTGATTCTGTTCGACTGCTAACCGTTCATCAGTGAGCTTGGGCAAATCATCGAGTGCGGCATTAGAGCGCCTTGTCCAGCAGACAGAGGCGCTCGTCGAGAAATTGGCTGAAGACGGCGGACCAGGTTCCTTTGTCAATGTCCGCGGCGACTATCTCGGTGCACATGAACGCGAAAACGAACGCTACCTCTAAGATGGGGTGCTTCTAGCTTTGCGATGCTACCGGCTGTCGATAAAGTATTCGGCTGCCGGTCTTTTTTCTTTCTTTACCAAATCAGGACAAGGGGGAACCGGTGGGCAAACAGGGCGCACGGGAAATGGAAATCCCCAACGGTCATGTTATATTCCTTTCTGCTTTCATTTTTCCACCCGAGACTAGGGAAGCGCATGCGATGGCTATTCTCCACTCGCCCCAGTCTGGGTCATGGGCCGTTAAGAGGCGCGTGGTTGTTTGTGAAGCATTGGCGGGATAGCATGCTCTTTTTCTGTTCTGTGTTTCTTCTCCCTCTCTACTTGAACGGCACAGCGCAGTAATCACAGTCTCACAGCGTCACTTTCGCTCTTTTCGCTTCACGTCGCAAAGAGAAAAGGGACCGTTGCCTCCTGAGAGGAGATGCGACCACACTCCGGCGCAGCCTCGGGGGTGCTGATGCTGAAATACGAAGCAAGCCCTTTGCTGGAGGAAGGACTGACCTGAGATAGGTAGATCTATAGGTGGTCCAAATCATGCTTGCACAACGACTTATGCCATAGGATCGGTGAAGACAAGCGGTCCGCCAGCGCTCAGACGCGCAACGCTATTGTGGTCATTGCAAGTCCTGGGTCCTGACCACGGTGACACGACAGCGCGCAAGGGTACGTACGTCAGTCTGCTTTATCAGCACACGTCCACGTCGGCAGCCGAGAGTGGGCAGATGGTCTAGCCGTGCAAGCGCGGGGCGGGACCAGACACGCATTACAACCGGTCAGTGATCATGTTGCAGCTTGGCAACGGTGCATAGCCTGTTCGAATTCACTGACTGTTGCAAGCGAATTTCACCAGCTTTCACGTCTCTGTGAAAGGAAGAGGAGGTGTCTGTTAAGTCCTGAGCGTCGCTGTCCGGGTCAAGCAAGCGGCGGACTGGTCCTCTCACGACTCATATAGCCCCACAATGCTTGCGGCCGGTGATTCGAGCAAGCAGACCCGTCAACGCCAAGAAGCCTCCCCATCCTCGCCCCACCCGGGGCTCTAACTTTCGCCATCTATTACGCCACCACTTCAGTAACGGGGTCTGGTTCTCCGTAAAACAGTCCGGTCGTCGCATGCTCAGAAGGGGTGGTTCGAGACAAGCGTTCTCACGAATTGGTGTGGCTTGCACCCGCGGCCTAGGCTCTTCGGTAATGACCTCATAGAAGCCGAGTCCGCGAGGCTTTTGGCAACCGTGCTTGTGGTTCGGTTTTTTTTTTTTTTTTTTACAATACGGCGGCGGAGACGTTGGATTTGCCCAATCCTCTCGGGGCCCGCGGAGGCCGAACATCACTCAGAAGGCCCAGAAGACGAGCCACCCAGCTCCGTTCGGACGGCCCACGCGCATGGCGGATTTTCCTCTGTGGTTTTTCTGGATATGTCATCGAGACCTGTGGGTCTGGTCTCCTCTATGGACCAGCCGATAAGCCATGATGTCCTGCAGCAAACCGCCCCCCGTTTTCCCTTTCTCCTCGCCTTCTACTTACCCTTGGTCGGTGTGCGGGGTGCATGACTGCTCTCTCTCTCACGCTTCTCGACCGCTGCCCCTTACGGAGACGCACTTCTTTTGGTTACCGGTATTGTAAAGGGTGCCATATTTCCACCGCTTGTGGACTTGAACAAGGACCTTGTACTTTCTGCGCCCTTTCTCCACTACTTTCCCCACGTTTTTGCCCCGCCCCCTCCTTGTCTTGATTTGCCAACGTGCTGCTGCTTGGACTGCCTTGAATTCCACTTCCATCCTACTTCGTTCGCCCGCACACGGACAGGCCGAAAGAGTCTGGGGAAAAAATCGTTGCCGCGTCTTGCTTCACTCCACTCGAGGCCATGGCGACGTCATCATCATCATGGCTCGGCAGCCTGAAGGAGGCCGTCTTTCAGAATAGCGATAGGCCGCCCTGGCTGCTGAAGTACAGGTCGAACGCGGCCTTTATCAGCGCCACGGTGTCGATTGCCGTGTTCACGGTATGCTGCCTTGTTCATTCCTTATGCTTTCTATCTTGTACTTTCTCCCGAAGCGAAGACGATATCTTCTTACTCATTATGCGAATCGCGCTGATGACTGCCCTCTCTTTCCTTCTTTCTTTCTTTTGTGGAAATACAGTCCACCTTTTGAGGTTTCCGAGAAGCTCTCTCTTTTTCTTTTGTAGGCAACTGCTTCGCGTTTGTGAATTACTCTTCCAGGAAGCAAAGCTAAATCAACCTTTGGCAGGACATCTTCTTATACGCGGTCATCGTGCCGGTCATGCCGTACACGCTGACAGAAAAGACGGGAATCGATCCCGCTGCGGGTGAGTTTCCCACACTGTCTCCTTTTCGAACAAACACCCCCGAATTGGGATCGATCGATCCCCCAGAAACTGACTCCTTCCCCTCCTTCCCCCCCACAGTCCAACACTGGAACTCGGTCCTGATCGCCGTCTACGGCGCCGCTCTCCTCGCCTTTTCACGTACGCAACCATCTCTCTCTCTCCCTCTCTCTCCCCACCTCCACGCTGACACGCACAACGAACAGCCATCTGCGGCCACATCGCCGACCGCACAACCACGCGCCGCCTCCCCCTCCTCGGCGGCCTCGCCGCCCTCGCCGGCGCCACCGTCATGCTCAACGTCGGCTCCTCGATGGCGGTGCTCGTGGCCGGCCGCGTGCTGCAGGGCGCGTCGGCCGCCGTCGTGTGGGTCGTCGGGCTGGCGCTGCTGGTCGACACGGTGGGGCGGCAGGGGCGCGTCGGGCTGGCGATGGGGTGGGTGAGCGCGGCCATGAGCCTGGCGGTGCTGGTGGCGCCGTTGTTGGGCGGGGTGGTGGTGGAGAGGGCGGGGTATGGCGGCGTGTTTGCGATGGCGTATGCGCTTTTGGGGGTGGATGTGGGGTTGAGGGTGGTGTTGGTGGAGAGGAGGGTGGCGGCGAGGTGGGAGGGGGGTGGGGGTGGATGTGGATGTGCTGGCGGAGGTGGGAGGGGTGGGGTTGTGGTGACGGCGGCAGCGACGCCGGAAGAGCGCTGCTGCTGCTGCTGCTGCTGTGGAGGAGGACGAGGAGGAAGCGGTGGAGACGATGGTGACGATAAGAAGAAGGAAGAGGAGGAGGACGACGAGGGGAAAGAGAAGAGCGCGGAGGACATTTCCCCGGTTTCCAACCAATCCGCACAGGATGAAGACCCGGAAAAGCAGCAGCAGCCACCACCACAAAAACAACAGCAACAGCAACAAACCGCCCGCCCATGCCCCCACCACCACCACCACCACCGCCCTACCACCACATCCTCCCACCAGTCCCGCCCCCAGCCCCGCCGCCGCCTCCGCCTCCGCGACCGCCTCCCCCCAACCCTCTCCCTCCTCCTCTCCCGCCGGCTCTGCGCCTCCCTCTGGTCCACGCTCGTCGTCTCGATCCTCATGTCCAGCCTGGACGCCGTGATCCCGCTCTACGTGCGGCAAACCTTCCACTGGGGCCCCACGGGCGCGGGGCTCATCTTCCTGCCCGTCGTGATCCCCTCGTTCCTCGCGCCCGCCTTCGGGCGGCTCGCGGACCACCACCAGCGCGGCGCCGCCACGACGTGCTCGTGCTCGCCGCGCTGGCTCACCGCCGCGGGCTTCGTGGCCGCGTGCCCGTGCTGGGTGCTGGCGCGGCTGGTGGTGCGCGACGCGCTGGCGCACAAGGCGCTGCTGTGCGCGCTGCTGGCCGGCTTGGGGGTCGCCCTCGCGGCTGTCATGCCCTGCGTCATGGCGGAGATTACGCTCGTCGTGGCGGAAAAGGAGAGAGCGGTGCCGGGCAGGTTTGGGAAGATGGGCGCGTATGCTCAGGCGTATGGGCTGTTTAATATGGCGTGGGCGGCGGGCGCGCTGGTGGGGCCGATTTGGGCGGGGTATGTGAAGGAGCGGGCGGGGTGGGGGACGATGGGGTGGAGTTTGGGGTTGTTGGCGGCGGTTAGTGCGGTGCCGGCGGTGCTGTGGACTGGTGGGTGGGTGTTTGGGAAGGGGGAGGAGAGGAGGGTTGAGGGAGGTGGGGAGGGGAGGGCTTGAGAAGGGAGGGGGGGGATTGGGTATGGCGATTCATGAGGAGGATGGCGGTGGCCGTCATACGGTTCTTGGACTCACTTGAAGCTGAAACGAAAGAAAACAATGTCAAAACTTCAACATTTGGGAAGAGGTAATGAAATCTGATTTCCTTTATGGCAGAACCCTGTCGTCTCCCAATCCCCATGCTAGAGACCACCCACTCCACCTTCCCTCACCCCCTTCCCCTAAGTCCCTTCACTCATCCTCATCATCCTCCCCACCATACGTCCGCCTCCTGCCCGCAGGCGGAACACCACCAACCCGACGAGGCGGCTGAAAAGCCGGAGGCGGACCCATTCCCGTCATGGGCCTGCTTCCCCCCGGCACCAGCAATCCGCTACCAAACAACGACGACGACGGCGGCACAGGCGCCGCAGAACCCAGCCCCAACAGGCGACGACCAGGCCTGTACCTCTCCGGATCGACCACCGGCCCTCCCTCCCTGAACGGCGGAGCCTCCGACGGCGCCCGCATCCAGTCCGCGTCGTAATCCACAACCGGCAAATTCCCCACCACCAACCACCGCTGCGGCCTCTGCGGGCCCGTCCTCCACCCTGCATCTTCCTCCCCCATCCGCGGCATCACCACCGCGCCCTCGCACCCCCCGCACCAAAACGCAAACGGCCGCCACGCCCGCAGCACCGGCGCCCTCCCGCACCGACAATACGGCACCACCACCACCGCCGCCGCGACGTGCCTCCCCGCCCGCTCGTCGTCCGACCACCCCCCACCGGCCGGCCCGTGGTGCCGCTCGCGGTACGCCAGCCAGCGCCGCGCTACCCTTTCCGCGCCCGCGTTTTGGTGCTGCAGGCAGAGACCCCCGAAGGCGCCGTCGTCGCTGCTGCAGCGACACCCGTTGTGCGCGCTGCCGTGGCGGGCGAGCGCGGCGATGGCGCAGCACTCGCACATGGCGACGAGCGGGCCTTGGGTGAGGATCATGCGGGCGAGGGGGGAGCAGTGGTGCGGTTGCGCGCGCTCGCAGGGGGCGCAGACGAGGTGGGTGTAGGTCGGGGAGGCGAGGGGGTGCAGGTGGCGGTGAGGGCAGATGAAGTAGGGGGAAGGAGGGGCGGTGGTGGTGGTGGTTTCTTCGTTGTTGTTGTCGTCGTCGTCGGCGTCGTCGGCGTCGGCGTGCGCGTCGCGGTTGTGCTGCTCGTCGCAGAGGACGGCGCGGCGGGCGAGGGGCCCGGCGGAGGCGTGGGCGGCGGGCGCGGTGGGCGAGAGAAGCCAGGCCCAGTAGGGGCGGCTGAGGTTGAGGCGCGCGCGGCCTGTGTGCACGATGGTGCCGGCGGATGCTTTCAGGCAGTTGTTGTTCTTGCGGAACTCGCCTGGGAGGTTTTGGCCTAGCCAGCTGCGCATGACGGTCTTGTCGCGCCGGATGCCTGCCGCTGACGGGTGGATGAGGAGTTGCGATTGCCGCAGCTGCTGGGGCGTCATGGCTGAGTCGGGCAGCGGGGGCATGGCGAAGAGGTGTGCCTCTTGGATGGGGGTGAGGTGCAGCGTCGGCATCGTGCGCGGGTCGAAGAGGGGCTGGTGTGAGCCGTCGGAGCGGCGCTGGTGGGGGATGGGTGGTCAGTGGCTTGTTTCCTTGGAGGAACTGTAGGTGGTGAGGGAGGACTTACGATGTAGTACTCTTGACGTGCAGGAAGGCCGTATGGCGAGATGTGCTGGTTGGCCGAGGGGAGCTGGCCAAAGGATCGCATGTGCTCAACATGTCCTGGAGGGTAACGGGTGGCCTGCGATGTGGAATCGCGTTGGCCAGAGAGGTTGGACTGGTTGCGATGAGGGGCCGACATGATGTTAAAGCTGCGAAGGATCGTGTTAGTGGGCTGGCCGTTCATGGTGGGCAACATTTGAGAGATAGAGAGTAGGTGTAGGTGGACTGCGGATATGGCTTACTGTTGTATGCAAGGGGTTGAAGAGGATTGCTGTGCTTGCGCGTATATACGTGCGGCAGTCAAGGATGAATCAAAGCTTGGAAGAGTAAAGTTGACGTCGAATGCGCTTGACTCAAGGTGGGAGGTTGAAGGAGGGAGTGTGATGGTGGGAGGCTGGAAGATTTTATGCCTATCCGCCTCATGAAGTGCCTAAGCGAAGCAGACCAGCCTCGTGCAGCTCTTGCAGGGCTCTTACCGCATGAGGCAATCCTGTATATCACGGGCGACCTCTAATGTGGGGTTTCGTGACCCAAAGAGCAGAACAATACGATTGTGCATGGAACTCATGAGGCATTCAGTGCCGGATCAGGCCGTGCACTGCTAAAACGGTTGCCTAGAAGGGGTGACAACTGCCCAACAAAGGCAGTACAGCACGATCATCGGACGCCCTCCCTGTGTGTTAAAGAGCATGGGGCGCACTTTCACGGTCTTATGCAGTGGTAACAGGCGCAAGTGGAGCCGCAATCAACTTTCTATACGTCATAGGTTCTTGTGCCACTACCGCAGAATTTCTTTTGTCACCTGCAGGATTTTCTTGGCTCACACTTGTGACTGTGGAAATATTGTCATAGCTGAGAGGTGATTGCTGGAAGCATGACCGATGGCACTGTCGCTGCAAACCCTCGCATCATGCGCAGAGCACGGCCAGAGGATAGTCAACACTGAAGAGCATTGCGACGTCCTCTGATAGAGTAGGCCAACCTCCCACCCAAAGTCATGGGAAAATGTCTAAAGAAATATGTGGGCGCCCAGAGTTCCTGAATATCTAAGCTATGCATCTCTTGCGATCTTCCAACCTTGGGGCCTCAACCGTCTGGTGGTACGCTTTATCGCTGGAGCTCAAAGTCAGCTAAACAGGTTCGAAGCCATCCGAAACTATCATTGTAGTTACAGTGAAGATGTTTGGTATCTAGGGCAGAGAGATTTCTTACTGTGTGGCTTGTGTGCATGTTACTCGTGGCAAAGCGCGGCGCTTCCGGTATGGTGCTGCAAAGACTACTCAATTCGCTTTTTCTCGCGCTTCTCAGATAGCGATTGCAACAGCCGATAGTGCAGGAACATAATGTATATTTAAACAAGCAGGATTAGAAAGAAGAGAAGAGCTAGCAGACAAAGTATGCCTAGCAATGTAGTCGGAACGACGTGGCGGTGCTCAAACCACATGGTGACTTCGAAAGGCAGAATCCCGGTGCGCGAATGTGTGAGAGGATGAGTGGCCTGTTATTTGAGCGCTATTGTTCAGCGAAAAGAGGTTCTGTCTGTAATTTTCAATTAAGTGAGGTGAAAACAAACATGGGCCCAGCTACGTGGAGCCAGACACGTATGCAGGCATCCTTGCATCGAACGCGCCAGAGCTTTCTGCTTTTTCGACAAATCAACATCAGCACATGGGAACCAATTACACCATACTACGAGACTTGACCAATCCAGGCGCAATTGATGGATGGGTACAATGCGCTCCCTTGACGAACTGCTCGACCGTAAGATTTGCTACTAGGAGGTGATGACGGAGGTCGCAACGGTCTAGCGCACCAATTATGCGAAGAACAGGTCACCACAGGTTGATATCCGCTTCTGCTAAGTCATCAAGTCTTGTTTGAAATTGTGTTATGTCTTGCTTCGAAGGCCGATTCTCAATGCGACGGTTGAAAGCGGTGCGTCCGATGACAGTAAAGAAAACGCTGCACGTCAAAATCTCCCCAATACCCATACGGAATATAACAATGTCTATCAGTGGGCCTAGGAGCCGCACCGTAATGACAGCATCACTATTTATCCGCCGCGCTGTTGCATACCGCGTTATCGTTTCCCGCCTCAAGACATCGGCATCCCCGGTTGCCAGAGGTCGTTCGGCCAAGGTCGCGGCGAGCCACGTACGCTTGAAGGAGGCCAGGAAGTGCGCCAGAGATGTGGTTTTGGGTGTCGTGGGCGGAGGCGGAGGCGGACGTGGAGGTGGAGGTGGAGGTGGAAGCGGTGATGGCGGAGGATCGGTCAGTGCGGTCGCTGTTGTTTGAGGACTGTTCTTGCTGCGGAAGGTGGCATGAAAGCTGCTGTTATGAGAATTAGTATTTTTTCTGTAAGGATAGCATGGTTTCAGTGGTCGTGCTGCTGATTTTGCTGCTGCGGAGGAAGAGACGGCGGCGGATGGTCTGCATCGTTGACAGAGGCAGGGATCCGTGTCGCAGGAGATGATTTAGTGCCTGGCGGATGGTATCTGGTGTCAAGAAGGACCTTTGGCCGTCATAGGTATGCGTTGTTGCGTTCGAAAGGTTGTGAGCTACGGCTTCGCGCTTTGGGCTTGTTTGACTTGCCCGATGATATCTGGTCCATCTCTAAAGGTTGAGCCGTCCGTATGGCAAAGTATGGGTGGTGCGGTTGTTTGATCATCATTAAATTTGCGCCATTGGAGATATTCGTCACCGGCGCTGAGCGTCATGTGTGCCGCATCAAGGTTGGATAGTTGGCTGGTGGTGGAGACTGGAGGATGCTCAACACTTCGCCTGACGAGACTGGTATGTACGCACTGCACGATGGCCGGTGATCTCTTTATCGCTTACAATCACTGAGCGCACCTCTGATCTTGGGTCCATCGGTACGGTCGGATCGTTGGGCCGGGTAGGTTGCGTCGTAGAGTGCCGCTGTCGCTTCGAAGCCCGCAAGATTGACCACCACTCTCCGATCCGACTACGGCCTTTAGTCCACCCGTTTCTGCAGCAGAACAGCCAGTAATGCATTGTCTCAGTACAACTCCGCCGATGAACTCCGCCATTGACATTTCCAATTTTGCTCTTAGCGACAAGTGATGCTCGCAGCGCCACATCTGTCATCATGCACTCCCAAAACAACCCTGGTCGCGTCCAAGAAACACACTTTAAGATGATCACAAAAGCTGACAGTCCCTCTCATCCAACTAGTAAGCGCCATCACCCCCTCAGCGCCCCAGCCCGCCAACCGGCCGCCCACGCGCCGAACGCCAGCTCAGCGTCGCATGCCCGCCGCCCATCAGGAAGCCGGCCTTTTACATTCTCTTTACCCACAACGCAAAGATAAATTGGGCGCCATGAGCCTACATCATCAAACAGATCAGCTTTACCTATGCGACGAGCAGGCTGAGTGCTCCGTAACAGATATATGTCTCTGCCAGTGCAGTCTTCAATACCAGGAAACACTAATTCAGCCACGGAAAAGCTTTTGCGCATACAGTCAAGCTGCCGAGGGGCCCATAAGAGATGCTGTTCGGGGCGAGGGGAGTAGTTCAAAATTATCTAAAAATATCTCGGACAGGCATCCAACAACCTCTGCGGAATGATTGCGGAGGAGGGAGAGGCGCAGAAGGCCACTTGTATGCTCGCTGAATACTTGGCATCATGCGCGCGGTAGTATGACGTAATGAATTGCATTCTTCCTGTCACAGAAGCCTCCCTAGTTTGAATGACATCAATTTTAATTGGCCAGGCTATGCAGTTGCGCTAAGTGAACAGGCGAAACGACACGTTCTCCTCAACCCTTTTACTGTACTTCAATATTTGATCCGGCGGAGCCCTCTCCGTCAAGCCGTAAGTGCGAGCTTTAAAGATCCAACAGACTCGCAGGAGATGCGTTCCGGGTCAAAAAAGGCGGACATGCTAAGCAATCACGACTCTACACTGATTTGAATGCCTGAGCAGTTGCCGTCGACAGAACTGGCTTAAGTATCGCTTAGGCATTAAATCACTCCCTCTATATGTGCGACGCATGGAAGTGCTTCATCCTTCACATCATATCCATGGACAGTGCTTTCTCGTCAAGTATATCGTGTTTTGTGGCTTTTTACTTTTCTGTCTACTCTTGCTATTAACGCGCTCTTTCTGCGCCTGTCTATCTCTCGATCCCTAGCCGCAAGCCCTCCACTATCAGAACAGGAAAAGAATAGAGACTGGAAGCAAAAACCATGCTGCCTGCAAACTAACAACAAGAGGAGGAGGAGATGGTCCCAGATGTAGTGTCCCAACCATCAAGCCACTACCAAGTTGAGAGCCGAAAGCCGAAAGCAGAAGATGGAATAAGAAGAAGGTAAGCAAGTAAAAGTCCGTCAGTCAACAGCAAACCTCACCGTAAGAAGTCACGAAGTCTACGTCGGTCGCATATGTATCAACTGTCATTGAGCAGCATCGCAGGGTATATGGATGCTGTGTAAACGCCACCATCGCCGTCGCTAATAGAATAGGAAAGAGAAAGCAAAAGAAGAAGAAGAAAGCAAGAAAGCCACAAAGACACCCAAATAGAATCCAGCCGAAAACCCTTCCCCCAGCCAAACAGCAAACCCAGCAAAGAACGAAATCCCACACCGTCGCATCATCCATCGCAAACAAACCCCCCACACTCAACCACCAGCACGCACCTCATCCACCACCACCCTCCCTTCACACCTCCTCGTCCTCCTTGTCCTCCTCCTCGCTCTCACCACGCACAACACCATCATCGCCGCCGCCGCTGAAAATTCCTGCAGACTCAGCCGGTAGGTGACGATCAAAGTACGCGCTGCGCATCCGCTTGATCGGCCGCTCGGAGGTCCTGTCGTCCGGAGCAGCAGCGGTGGTGGGGCTGCTGCTGCTGCTGCTGCTGCTGCTCATGGGAGCATCTATGGCACCAGGGGAAGAGGAGCCAGAGGCGCGCTTGCGCTTGGTGCTCTTCTTCTCGCCGGGCTCCTGCTGCTGCTGCTCGGTCGTGGTGTCGGTTGGCGTGGGGAAAGTAGTGGTAGTGGTGGGAGCGGTGGACGGGTCCATGGCGCCGGCGAGGTTCAGGTGGTACTCCTCTTCAGGAGTGAGGCCGTTGTCGGCAACGTCGTCAATGGTCGTCGTCACCGGAGTGTCGTCGTGCTGTTCGACGTCGGCGTCGTTGGAAGCCGCCAGCTCGTCGTCAGCAGCAGCAGCATCGCTGCCGCCAGAGCCAAAGTCGGACTCGACGTCCTCGGGCCGTTGGTTCGCAGCGAACTGCTTGAAGATGTCCACCCAGCGCGGGTTCCAGTCCCCCTTCTGCTCCAGCATGGGCAGCGAGCGCGCAACGGGCTGTCCTAGGTTCTCGACGAAGGACTGCGGCTCCTCGCAGACGGACTGCCACCTGCTACCCTCCTCCAGGTCCATGGTCTCGTCAGGAGCCGGAATGACGACCTCCTGTTCGCATTGGATGCAGCTGTATGCGAAGTGAGTCGGGACAGGCGGCGGGAAGTTCGTCCTGCAGTTGGGGCAGACGGGAGTGACTTCGGGGTAGATGAAGTCCTCGTCGCCGGCAGCCTCCTTCTTGTCCGCCTTCCTGTGCAGCTTGTTGTAGATGCGGAGGGCCGGGTGGTCGCCCTTGGGCTGGTTTTTCTTGACGTAGGCGTCGCGGACGTCGGCCAGCTCCTCCAGGTGCTCGATACGATGGTTGAGGCAGCGCCGCTCCTGGTCGCAGGCGCAGCCATTGAAACCGAAGCCGTATTGGTCGACGGCAAGGAGGGAGCAGTCCTGGCACAAGGGGACGAGGGCGCCGTGGAAGTGGCCATCGCCGGCCTTGGGGGTCAGGTGGTAAAGTTGCTCGTCGTCGCATGCCACGCAGATGGCAAAGTCGTGATCCTCCCAGGTGTGGACCTCTTCCAGGACGAGCTTGTCGGTGATCTTCGCTTTCCTGGCTGTCCACCGTGCGCTGTTGCGGCGATTCCTCGTCTTCTTCGTCGCCTTGGACTTCCCCTTCTTCTTGCCCGACTCGTCCTCAGACTCGTCGTCACTCTCGTCCTCGCCGGCCTCCTGCCCCTGCTGCTGGTCAGACTCCAGCTCCCTGCGGCGCAGCTTCATGTACAAGTCGAGATGTGACTTGCGACTCTCGCAGCACGTGAAGCCGTCTGGGTGCTCGCCATCATTCGCATGGCGATGAAGGCCAAAGTTCTCATCACAGCGAACAACCTGTCGATCAGTAATGTCGACCGGCTCCTTGACCGACTCGCCCGGCATGCCGTCATCCCACAAGAACTTGACAAAGTCCGGCTGGAGGTTCAACTCGTTGACCCCATGCTCCGGCCTCGACCAGTCGCCAAACTTCTTCTTGCCGCCATCGGCACCCCCCTTCTTCTTCCCCTCACCCTTCTTGTCCTTGCCAGCAGCACCGCCAGCAACAGGCCCGTCCCTGATCGGCCTCTTGGAAAACAACTCAATGCCGCAGCTAGTCCGCATGCGCGTATTGTTGTTCTTGAACGCAAACGGCATCCGGCGGTTCATCCACGACCGCTCCATGGTCATCGTCGCGCTATCGCGCGCCTGCCTGATGGCCTTGCGCGGCGGGTGCGCAAGCAGCCACGCCGCCCCGCGGTATGAGGGGAGCAGCCGTGCCTTCTCTTCCGCACGTCGCCGCTTCTCCATGAGCTCCTGGCTGCGCGTGTCGATGGCGGCGGTGGCGGCAATGGATGTGGATGTGCCAGCGGCGGCAGCAGCACCCTTCTTGCTCTTCGTCGACTTGGTGTGCGAGCGCTTCGTCGGCTCGCCGAGGTCGAGGGTGTCGGAGGCCAGGTCCGAAGCGGCGTCTATGGCATCGTCGTCGGCGGCGGCGGAAGCGTCGGAGCCGCCGGTGTAGGCGTCGTCCGAGTCAGATTCGGGGTATGAGGGTAAAGATGGCACCATGTCGGACGAGGAGTTGTCCGAACTATCGCTATTGGAGTCCTGTTCCGGCTTGGGGACAGGCGCCGGCTTCGCGGCGATGCGGGTGGATCTTCTGCGTCCGCCGGCCATTGTTGATGAAGGAATGATGAGGGAGTGATGAGGAGCTGGAAGTTGATTGAACGAGGGTCTGCGTGTCAGTAAGCAAAGTCTGAGGTCTTGCAGGTAGAAGCCAACAGCGCGAAACGGAAGTGTGTGCGTGGTAGATAACTTGATGTCAAGATCAGGTGGGTGGGTGTGGAGCAGGGAAAGCCAAGGACAGGTGGAACGTTAAAAGCCGGCTGGCCTGTACACTGTACAGTGGTGCCAGTGGCGATGTGTTAGGAGGCGGGTGGGGTGGTGTTGGTGGCCGGGTGTTTAGGGGGCATGTGGGCAATGGATGAAGCTGCAGTGAATGGGCTAAGGGCCTTAGACGGGGTGGAGGAGAGCAAAGGCAAAGAAAAGATGGAAGCTTACTTGAAACCCGGTGTTGAGGAAGTTGACCTGCTTGGGCCGGTGGAGCTGGCGCAGGTGGGTGGACGGTCGCAGGGTGGGTTGAAAGGCTGCGGATTGAGTATGAAGGGGAGGATTGAGGGTCGATTCAAGAATGGGAATCGGGAAGAGCTTGAGAGCCGTCGAAGCAGTCCAGTAAGCTGAATGGCTTGTGAGGATCAAGTGTAAGGTCTTGGGAGAGAGATGGAAAGAGAGGAACGAGGGAGGGTTGGCGGCAGCCAGCAGAGTTGAAATAGGTCTGGCCAGCAGTGACGGAAACTGAGCACGCGCCTGGTGGCAGATGGGGGGGCTCTGCGCTGTCTAGAGCAGCCTTGATTGGACGCACGTCTTCCCAGACAGGCAAGTCTTGGCCACTGTCCACGCCCGTGGCGGGCTGCCCACTCACTCACTCCGCGCGGAACGGGCCGCAGCTGGTACCCACGGTGGGAGACCGGGCAGACGCGTATGGCAGACGCGTCTGCGCCCTCGCCGACGCGTCCCCCGAGGAGCTGGTGGATTGTGGAGAGAGGTATATAGAGCCGCCATGCTTACGCTCTTCAAACGCGTCGTCGCAGAACCGCTTTGCCTTTCTCGCCGTTTACGAAGTGCCATGATATACTTGGTACCTTCTGTCACAGCTTCTCCATAGGTCTGCTGTACTGTCGGAGTTGCACTTCAAAGCTGTCTCCAAAGCGCAACGTCTATGCATCGTATGTATCGAGCCGCATCCATGTATCATTTTGAGGCGTATATAGAGTGTCATTAGAAGGTGCTGATGCAAAATGTTATGGGGAAAGATTTGCCGCACTGCGCTTCGCCTATGTGCGCCTTTACAAGGAGTAGAGTGTGTGAGTAAGACTACATCCGCGTGATCCCGAAACAAAGAATAGTTGATGATAACAAACAAAGTACCCAGACATTGTCAAATTACCAAAGGAATCATGGCTCTGAGCGGTCCGTCTGTATGGCATCCGATCGCCATTGTTCTTCCATGACTGAGGAATCCGCAGTTACACAAGACAACGACAGTATACCCTTAGAGGACTTCCGGAATACATTATCTAAACCGCCTGCCTTGGACTGTCGCCAAGGTTGCTGATCATGAGAAACTTAGCCGTGGGTTGTTGGACTCGTAGAATCAAGAGTTCAAGCCACGCTCTCGTCATCATATGGCAATTGAATGCTATCAAGCTCAGTTCCAAGCTTTCAATGCTTGCTGAGGCTCCAATATGGTACACTGATGCTCCCAAGAAGATGTTAGAGTTTGCTTGATCAATAATGTAACCGTTATACTATGACTCCGGATGCACAGCTACCCTGGATCCGGCCCATACTCTGGTTTTCCATTGTATGCTCCCTAATAAGCTAACAGCGCCACCTCTCGGTCCAGGCGCTGCTTCGCCTCCATAAAGTGATGCTTGCCAAAGTTATACAGGTTAGCGGTCTGAGGAGGGTGTTTGGTATCGCACGCAATCAACAACGCGTAAGCGGTTGCGGTACTCGGTCGGAGGTAGCGGGCTTGTGCAGTAGGTTTGCAGGCTAATTGTGGCGTCGCGCTCGAGCGGAGGGAATGGGCGTTGGCTGGGGTTCGGGCGCTGCGACGAAATGCCAAGTAGAGTCAGCTAATCAGGGCAGCGTGGTCGCAGTGGGTAGACTCACTGCATCGGGGTTGAGCAAGGCGAAGATCTTCACCTGGTTGCTTTAATGCGCAAGGTTTGATCCGGTATCTTCATTGGTTTGTTCTGGCCTTATGCGGAGTTGGTGTTGGTGTTAAGAGTAGCGCGCATGCCATGGCGTAGTGCTAGCGCGTCGAACGGCTTGCAACGGTAGCCTAGCTATCCCCGCATTAGTGCTGCTCTGCATGGCGTGTGTTAAGTTGAGTGCAAGGACTCTTTCCCCGCCCCGAACACTTCTATCTTGTCGTCCCCCCTCGACAACATCTTATAGTTCTACTTATCTATCATGATGCAATCATTTTCAAGCCGCCATTAGCTATGTTTAGGTCCCCCACTAATTGCGACACATACACAGATTGGCTGAGAAACACAGGCAATCGTCGGCCCAATCTCTATTGCAAGCCACACGCCCTTCTTTCCCTCCGTCGTACATAATACGGAAGCCAATTTCGACCATTGCGTCTTTCTCTAGTGTACAGCCTCGGAAATTTAATGGTATGGTTAGCCACACGGAGGACATACATATAAAAATATCGGTCGGCTCAATACGATGTCAAGATACTCGCAAAGCCAGAAGACGCGCGTTCACATTCAATTTCATTATTATCTAGTACTGCTAAAGGGAAACAACCAAGGAGATAACGGCGGTAGCCGCGAACCCAGGTCAGCTTGACCGTCGGGCTGGTCCTTCTCGATCCTCAGTGGTGTTTCTTTCCTTTCTTGGCCAGAAGGCCGTGGAAGCTTGCGGAATATAGAAGCAAGCTGTGAAGAGCGGCGCGGACGAGGAAGAGCTTTGGCGGAGATCCGGTAGGGATCGTACGGAGGAGCTTCGAAAGCGCGGAACCGTAGGGTGGGAAGTCGTTCCGAACCGGGGTGCTGGTACGGAGGGTCGAGTCCCGTTGTTCCTTGCCTCAAAGCTGTCCGTCTGATCTGAACTTCTTCGACGTCGAGAGCGAATGGGAGCGGAAGCGTTGTGAAGGTTCTTGAGAAGAAGTCTTTGAAAGAGACGTAAGGTTACGGGCTCGTCGCGCTGGTGGATTGAGATCCTGGTGCGGTCGGAGGAAGACGATGCGCCTGGTGGATCAAATCCTGGTGGCGGTGATCGTATGGGATATGGTGCCTTTCAGCTTCCAATGATTGTCGACGAGATAAAGCTCGCTTGATGCGCGACTTGATTTCGTCAGATAGTTCGACCACGGTAACGGCAAAGACGTTGACTGGACCCAGAATCTCGGGGTCCGCCTCGGGTGGTGCGGCGGACTCATCGATGAGTCTGCTCAAGGCGTCCGGGACGAGGTGCGTCTTGCCTGGCCTGTAAAAGACCTTCATCCTGAACTGTGAGATGTACTGACTCGCTGCCAGTAATTTCAGATTCTGTAGCTGAGGTGGTCTGCAGATTGTAATGCGGACCAGCTGGCTGGATGTCTGGTAACGCGAGAGGCCCGCCACTGCTGATGGGCGCCTCGTAGAAAGCAAGCTTACGACGGCGGGGCCAGGGTGTCTTCTCCCAAGTGCTCACGGCCGGTTGTCTGGAGCCTCAGGGGCGCGGATCCCTTTCTGCCATGTAGTAGAGGGCATTTTGGTGTTGGCGAGGAGCAGAGGCATATCCGTTGTCAGCTTGCGGGCAAGAGTCCAGAGTGTGAAGCCGGAGCCAGGGGTTGGGCAAGGCAAGGCAGGCCATCGTGTGTTCTGGTGCCTAGACGTACGTAAATAGGAGTAAACGGTGTCCAAACGCGGAAGCGTAGTGCTGGTCAGCTACTGATGGTTCGTAGACGTGACGTTCTTCTCGATGAGACCAAGGGACGATGCGCGCGGGGCGGGCAGGTGGCAGCAGCGACGGCAAGCGTGAACCAGGCACGCCGTGTTTTCTGTGATGAGCTGCCACCCGGTTGGCAACAGAAGCGGCAGCTCGCAGGGGTGCATAGAACAGTCCAACTAAACCGCGTGCAACAACCATCGCTGGCGTCGTCATCGTCGGCCCCTGCCGGCGGTCGCCGTGAGGTGGATGAGTCCTGCCGCGTCGCTGATCTGACCTGAACTACCTAATTTCTTAGAGGAATGTAGCCGTTGAAGGGTGGGTATCGTCGAAGAAGAAAAGGAGGCGGAGGCGGCGGCGGCGAAGACAAGTTGGTGTGTGCGCTGGTACTGCATGTGGAATAGGAACCCGCTGCTGGGGGGCCGTTTGTCGACGACGGTTTCAATGCGGAGGAGCTTGTCATCCTAAGAAGATTGGCTTTGAATTGGAAGGTCATAGATGCGTTAGCTGGCCTGTACCAGGCTCTGTCTGAGCTGGGGGATGCTGGGAGAAGGGGAGGTACCGACCATGTAGGAAGAACATGGGGAAGCCTCGGCACTTCTGAGTATAGGCTCGTATAGGGATCTCTCTCGACGATGATTGGAGACATGCTGTAGAGGTGGGATGGGGTGTTATTCAGAAGAATTGTATGTCGTTGTTAAGGAGTGTGTGAAGTTGTTCACGTCCGAAATGTAAAAGGCAGTGTACGTGAAAGAGGGAATGACACACGCACGCCGCTGAAAGGGCTTGGGGCGTGAAAGCTTGAGGAGGTGAACGGCTGTTGTATTGAGCTACCCAAGAGAAAGTACTAAATACCCCCCTTGGTCATCGCGCCTTCCAACACCGCAAGACTCTGTTGACACCGCCAACCAGAAAACAAGCGCTTACCCAAAAAGACAATCTACCCCATTTCACGAAAGCACCGACTACAGCCAGGCCATCCCAGCTGACAAGCATCAAAAGTACATTTCATAGCATATCTTCTCTCTCGCTCTCTCTCTACAACACCAACCACACAGCCCACCCCCTCTAATCATCCTCCACCGCAACCTCATTATCATCCACCTTCTCGTCTCCCTCTCCCCTTGCGACAACAACCCCACTCCCCTCCCCCTCTGCATACGGCGGCGGCGCCAACGCCTCATCCACACCCTCAACCCACACCTGTCCCAACTCCCTCTCAATCTCGTTCCGGCGTTGCTTCCACTCCTCGACGCGCTCGAGCCGCTCACGCAGCTCCGCCAGCTCTTTCTCGACCGACGACTTCTCCTGCGCGGTGCCGATCCGCTGGAAATCCCACTCATCACCGTGCTCGCCGAGACCGAGGGTGAGGGTGTACGTGTGGTAGCGCTTGAGCGAGGCGCGGGTGGAGATGGTGATGAGTGCTGCGCATTGCGTTAGTCTTTACTTTACAACGGTCGAGAGAGGGAGGGGAAAGACAAAAAAAAAGAAGAGAAAGAAAGAGAGAAAGAGAAACTTACTGATCCCCCTCGCCTTCGCATTCTCATACAACAGCCCCTCCACATCGCTGCTCACAGCACTCGTGCTCTCATCGACAAACGCATACCGCGGCTCGTGATACAGCAGCCGCGCGATCCCCATCCGCTGCTTCTCGCCGCCGCTCAACACATCCTGCCACACCTTCCGCGTGTCCCACCCGCCCTCGCGATCCGGCAGATATCCCAGCCTGGCCTCCTCCAAGACCTTGGACAGCTCGAAGTCGCGGCGACCGGCGTGATTCATGTCGACGGCGGTGTGCGGGTAGATGACCTGATCGCGCAGGGTGCCGGTGCTGAGGTAGGGCCGCTGGGGGAGGAACATGATGCCGTCGGTGCCGGTGGAGCGGGGGCGCGAGACCAGCCCGCGGTACGTGGGCCACAGGCCGGCGACGACGCGCGAGACGGCGCTCTTGCCGACGCCGTTGGGCCCCGTGATGAGGAGGTGCTCGCCCGAGTGGACGATGAAGGAGAGCGAGTCGAGGAGCTCGTCGCCGCCCATGGGGTACAGGGCCGGGGCCACGATGGGCACGTGCTCGAGCCGCACGCCGTCGAAGCCCTTGTGCACGGTGCCTTGGGCGTCGGCGAGGGAGAAGAGCTCGGGGCGCTGCCCCGGCGGCAGGTAGTACGCGTCGGCGTGGGTGCGGTGGAGGGTGCTGATGAGCGTGTAGACGCGGGATGTGTAGCCCGCCAGCTCCTGCAGGTCTTTGATGCTGTACATCATGCGGCCGCCGGCGTCGGCGAGCGAGAGCATGAGGCGCTTGTTGGTGATGAAGTCTTTCATGCGGCTGCGCTCGCGCCCGCTGCGCTCGGCCGCGTCGGCGAGCTCCGTGGCGCCTCCCAGCCCGCCCCAGGCGGGAAGAAACACGGGGAGGGAGGTGATGAGATAACCGAATGCGGACCAGGAGTACTTTAGGACAAAGTCCTCTAGCATGTTATAGCGGATCTTCAGACTGTAGATCCCCTCCATCCAATGCTTGAGCTCCTTGAAGCCCCTGTCAAGGAAAGTTCTCTCCATCTGATCTCCACCGTAGAAGGCGACTTCTTCGGCGTTGGCGATGAGGCGAGAATGAAGGGCACGGAAGTCTCCTTCACGGCGTGCTTCCACAGCTTTGAGCTTACCGAATGGAGGCGAGAGCTTGCGGAGGATAGTAGCTGTAAGGAAGTAGTTTGCTAGAAGACCGCCCAATGCCAGGGGACCAAGAGAACGGAAAAGCTGGTAATTGAAAACACAAATATCAACAAAAGGCTTTCCAAGAGACGAGTACAGAGCCGCAGCCTCGGCGCAGAACTGCGTGAGATCCTGAGTAATGAACTGGTCGGCGCCCTGACCGATGCCGCCGTCGAGGTTGGAGAGCTTGTAGTAGTTTAGATGGTCGTTCAGGTACAGATCGTGGATGTACCGCGTCAGCCGTGTCCGGAAGGCGATGGAGACCTTGGACTGTAGGAACTTGATCATCGCGTTGGTATACGAGGCGAAACTGCCGATTCCGCACCACTTGACGATACCCCACAGGAAAGCTTTCCCGTTGCCAGCCACAAGGTCGCGCACAAGCTCTCCGTCCAGTCGGGCGACGACCAGCGAAAGATATGTCCGCAGCATCAAGAAGACACCGTGGCTGAGCAACAGCCCCGTCTCTTTACTGTTCCATCTCGGTATCATGATATTGAGCAGGCTCAGGAACTGGTGCAGGAAGGCAAGGTTTAAGCCGGGCTTCGTCTGCGGCGGGGGGACCTGGGGCGTGTGGCCATCGCTCAGGCCGGCGGCGCGGGGCGGCTGCAGGAAAAGTCGTCTGTGGGCATCGAAGGTGGTTGGCTTCGTCGGATATATGGTCACCTTGCTTGTCGATTCGCCCTTGGTGGGCACGAAGATGGTGCGCGAGCCGTCTTTGCCGCGCAGGCCAGAGTTGCGTCGCAGCAGCCGGCGCCCGTGTTCCTTCTCGGCCTTGCGTCGCCGCCACCACCGGTTGCCGCCATAGCCGGCGCCGATTATCGAGAGCAGGAGAGCGAGGGTCGAGAGGAGCTGTGTTGTTTTGGACAGCGACTTTGCGCGGGTGCGGAGGAGGGTGGTGTAGCGCTGCCACAGGGCGTGGAGGGGGTCTTCGCTATGGCGAAGAGTGGACTGGACAGCCATGCTGCCGCATCGTTCGGGGATCGACCGGGGACCGTCTAGGGAGGCGTGAGAGCTCCTGTGGACATGGTGGAGCTGGCGGGCGCGACGATTCGGAGGGCTGTCGTGGGGAGCCTCGGCCTTGGCAGGCATGTGAAGGGCAGTGACGGCAAGCTCGGACCCACTCCACAAATCCCTAACCGACCCCGGATTTTCATCACTTATCTGCACGTGACAATCATTCATTGATCTGTAAAACCCACTGCTTTTGTTCACGCGGGGATATCCATTGCGCGTGTGCCCCGAAACCCGGAACTCCTTGACCATGCTTCCGACTGCATCGGCTCTACTGTCAGCTACTCGTCGTCGCTGCCGTCGACTTCCATCTCATCGACTTCCTCGTCACTCTCGCTCTCCTCTCCATCCCCCTCCTCAAACCCCTCGAATTCACCCCTCCTCTCCTTCGCCTTCTCCTGCCTGTCCTCCTGCTTCTTCTTCTCCTCCTCCTTGCGGCCCTCCTCGATCAACCTCGCCTTCTCCTCGCGCGTCTTGCGCTGGCCGACGACATATGCCCCGAGAGGCGTCTTTTCCCATTCCGTTTCCTTCAGGAAGCCTTCCACCCCCGCCCGGTTGTTCGGCGCAAAGTCGACCTTGGCCCGGCGCTCCTCGATCCAGCGCGAGTTGGCCTCGAGCTTCTGGACGACGATGCCAATGGCATGGTTGACCTTGGTGTTCTTGTTGCCCTTCGTCTTGTTGCTGGCATCCTTCATCCAGCGCTTGAGCATCACGAGCATCGGCAGCGCCAGCTCCGGGAACGCAATGTTCTTGGACCAGAGGACGAAGAACTCGGCGAGCAGCTCCGCCACCTGCTCGCCCACGCCGTCCTGGTACACACGCGTGCGCAGGTACGACTTGGCGGCGCGGATGTTGGTGGCGAAGTCGAGAGGCTTCAGAGTCGCCGGCTTGGGCGGCTTGCGCATCTCGGCCGAGTTGAGCACCTCGTACAGCGCTGGCGCAAGCGGAATGTATGTCGATGTGGAAAGCGTGATGCGGAGGAGAGAACGGATCATCTGGAACCGCAGCGGGAAGTACTGCGCCGTAGGGATAAGGCGCATGGCGCCAAGCGTGACTTGCACGATGGGATAGATGAGGGGGCGGAGAGGCGACTCCTTGCCAGACTCGGCCTCGCGCATGGTATCGCAGTGGCTGGACACGACACGCGACCAGAAATCGAGTGAGTGCACATATTGCCAGTTGTACACAGTCTTGTACGATTCCTTTGACTTGTTCGTGATACTGGTCCGGAGGTGGATGGCGAGCTGGCGAATGAAGGTGAATCCGGTCGTGTAGCCCATGTTAGGGTCCAGGCCCCAGAGCTCTGCAGCAGAGTTCTTCATCAAATTCACGCCTGCAATCGTGTGCACCGTCGTATTGCGGCTGCCCTGAACGAACCCCTGGTACACAGCCTTGAGGGTTGCCTCCTTGATGCCAGCGTCTCCAATGACGATCAATCTGCGCAGAACGAGGAAAGAAGCGATTCTCGTAGCCTCGGTGTTGGACGAGTCGGCCCATATCGAAACGATGGTCTTGGCCAGGTCGCGGAGGAGCTTCTTGAAGGACAAGATATATGGCAGAAGGGGAAGAAGGGAGCTGACCGTCATTCGGAGGGTGGCGGCGTCGGAGAGGCTGCCAAGGAGATGCATGACGGATGTCGCATGGGATTTGAGCATAGGAGTCATGTTGCTGAATTTCTTGCCCTCGGTGGGAACGCGGACTTTGCCGGTGGCCGACTCTTTGACGGGAAGGTGGTGTTGGAGGACCTCCGGAACGCGGTTCAGAGCGAGCAAAAGAAGTTCATGGTAGACTGCGACAAATCAGCAAGCATGTTCGGGTAGCAGTTGAAAAGAAAACCTACCGTCAGGATTCGAGATGGAATATTTGTATTCCTTGCCGTCCTCCTCGTTCAAGTGGGCTGCGGCACGGAAAGCCAGAACAACTTCCTTGGTGGCACGCAGGGAATGCTTCTCAGTCATTGCGGTGCTCCACTTCTTGACCAGTGTCTTTGTGAGCTCATTGCTGGCGGCAGCTTCCTCGTCGTCAGAATCTTCCTGCTTCTTGCTCTTCTTCTTCTTTTTCTTGGGCGTGTCTTCCGCTTCGCTGGCGCTCAGTTCGTCAATCTCGGCCAGATCGGCGTCTTCAGCAAAGCCCAGCAGCTCGGGGTCGTTCTCCTGCATGTACTTGTAGAACTCCGGGTCCTTCTTCTTGAGCTCCTCCAGATGTTGCTTGTGTGCGTCGACATCGTCACCAGAATCGGCCTCGGAAGCACTGTCGTCGGCAACAGGGTCGGCGTCAAGGGAATCGTCATCGGATTCGGCGGGTCCAGGGGCGGGATCGGTACGCTTGCGCTTGCCGGTCTTGGAGGGTACGTCCTTGGTCTTTTGCTTCTTCGACTTGGGGTGCTCGGGGATGTCAAAGCCGCCCTGGAAGAAGTCGTCGACGGTCATGTCGCCAAAGGGATTGGTATCCTCAGCCTTCTTTGCACGCTTGGCCTGGTTCTCGGCCTCGACATCGCTGGCAACCTCATTGTCCTCGGCACGTCGCGCCTTGCGCTTTTCCTTGATCTGGACGCGCTGCTTGATTTTCTTGCCCTCCTTGCGGCGCTTGAGGGTATCCTTCAGGTGGTTCTTTTCGAACTTTCTGGTCGACTTGGATTGCGCCATGGTGTGGTGCTGCGCGGGCAGTGGGTTGGCGAGGAAAAGTGTCGCGGTGCTTGGAGGGCTGGGAAATTTTGTAGCTAGCGTCGCAGCATCCCGGTCGCTTGCTTGGCCCGAGCGCCGCGGAGCGGAGGAGCTCACGCCTCACATGTCCGCAACGCCCGCCCTCAACAACCACCAGCCTGCCCCACTGAGCAACAATGTACGCCCAAAGACAGCTACCGTACGCGCCGACGCCGTATAGCTACACTCCGACCTCTGCGCTTTCGGCCACGATCAATCTTGATGAGGTGCGTCGCACCAGGAACCTGGCCCGCCAGCGCCGCGCCTAACCCAGGCTGCTGCAGGAAGTGAAGCTGTCCACCACCAGCACCGAGCGCGACCTTTACGAATCATTGGCCGAGATCTACAGCATCATCGTCACTCTTGATGCTCTCGAGAAGGCCTATCTGAAGGACTCGATCCACGAAAATGAATACACCGACACTTGCAGCCGTCTCTTGAAGCAGTATAAGTCCAACCTTGCCAATGAGGCAGTGTCCAACGCATTCGTGGACCTGGACGCTTTCAAGCGTCAGTGGGATGTATGTTGTCGAGAGGCCGTGCTTTCACTGCACCATGGCTAATGCGCTTCACAGCTTGACTGCCCCCGCGCAACCGAACGCCTCAAGGTCGGCATCCCAGCCACGGTCGAACAACCCTCTCACAGGCCCGCTGCCCCTGGCAACGACACGGCGGATGCGACCTTGGTTGTCTCTGCCACGGAGAACTTCATCACGCTCCTAGATGCCATCAAAATGGGCCTGCTGTCCAAGGATGTGCTCCATCCGATTCTAGGTGACATCATCCAATCCGTCAACAGGGTCACGGACAAGGAATTCGAGAACAAGGGCAAGATCATCCAGTGGTTGATCACTCTGAACCAAATGAAGGCGGCCGACGCACTGTCCGAGGACCAGGCGCGCGAGTTCCATTTCGACATGGATCAGGCATACTACGGCTTCAAGGATGTCTTGAAATAGGGTGCTGGATGTTGCTGCCAAAACTGAAGGAGCGGTGGGCCATTTTTCTGGAACATGGCGTTCGAGACTTGGCCGGCGCGCCATCGGCGAATCGGCGCTTTGGCCACACCCTTTAGTTTTCCCCCACGATACCCTCTCCGCGTCCCTGAACTTTGCTCTTCCCCCGCAGATCATGGACGACGAGAACACAGAAAGGAATGGGATGGTCCTGCATGGTATGGAAATCACCTCCAGAATGTGCTAAACCCTGTAAGCTGACAGTGCCAGTGCTGGACCTTCCTCAGCTCTACACAAAGCCCTCGGCCCAAGAACTTCTGAACACGCTTACCCTGCTGACCTCGGAGCCGCCCTCGTGGGAAGGAAGCGACACCGAAGATGACGAGACGCCCATGACGGTGAAATCGGCGCGCCGACAAAGCATGAGTGCCGTGAAGGCCCAGCCCATGCAGATCAATCCGGAAGGCTTGGCCACCTACCTGACAAGGATAATTGCGAGCGATTTGCGCTGGATTGAGGACGACTCGGTGAAGGAGGACATCTGGGAGGCTGCTAGCGTTCGTCTCAGCGAACGGTCCGGCCGGACGGCTATGGGAGCGATATCGCGCAAGTTTCGGATTCCCGCCGCCAAGGACGGGCCCAGCGAGGACATCGAAATCCATGAGCCGGCGCTGACAGCAGACAACCTTGGACTGAAGACTTGGGCATCGTCGTACCTCTTATCGCGACGGCTTTGGCGACTGGCCGCCGATGAGAGCAGTCTTCCCGGTGCAAAGCATCTACCTCCGCATTCCGTACTTGAGCTAGGTTCTGGCACCGGCCTCGTCGGATTGTCCGCTGCAATGGTCATGGGCACAGATGTACTCCTGACAGACCTCCCTGAAATAGTGGAGAACCTAGATCGTAACGCGCTCTCGAATAAAGATATTCTCGACCGGCACACTGCATCGGCTCATACAGCAGTTCTGGACTGGACGGACCCGTCGTCAATGGATCTATCGCTCAAAGCTGTGAAGGAGGCTGACTATCAAGAAAGCCAGCGTTTTCGCTTCGTCCTGGCCGCGGATCCACTTTACTCTCCGGAGCATCCTGGATGGCTAGTGCAAGCAATCATGGCCCGACTCTCACGCGAGGCTGGTGCGAGAGTGGTCATCGAGCTCCCGCTCCGCATCGCTTATCAACCGCAGGTCGAGGAGTTCCGCACTAGGATGCAGGCGGCCGGCCTCAAGATCTGCAATGAAGGATACGAGACGGGTTACGACGACTGGGGCTGCCAGGGCGGGCGTAAAGCCGTGCGCTGCTGGTGGACTGTCTGGAGTTGGAAGACGGCGTACTTGGGCGAATCGCACGCCGTGGAGCACGACGAGATGACGGTACAAGCTAACGACATGGGAGACTCTTACCAGCAGCTGCTGGATGAGTTCAAGGGGTTGAATGACTGGGACTAAGACTTGTTCTCGTCTCATCCAGGGACCGGGCGCTTGGTGGGATTCCTTCGGAGCACAGCGGGTTGGGATTGGTTCGGTTCTAGAACTTTTTTGATTCCCGAGAGATCACAAGACAAGACGCATAGATGGCATGATAGACCTAGAAACAATCGAGCTGGATCCTCGAGCTGGACTTTTTTTTGCTGCTTGTCGCGAGACTTGCCTTTTTCGCGGCTAAAGCGGCGGGAGAATTGCGCTGGCAGGAGATTTGCCCGCCGGTCGCGCCCGCCGCAGCGGCGCCCACCGGGAAAACGTCACAGCTCCACCGTCGCGGGGGAACGCGTCTCGCATGATGCTCGCTGCACTCATGTTGTCTTCTCTCCGGCTCCCCCCTCCTTCTCTCCGAGCTTTTTTGTGCCTTTCCCCTCCCAAGCTCTCAGCCTCCCTTCACGAACATTGCCAACACTCAGCCTCCAACTGCGCCTTGCACCACAATGGCCCAGGTAAGTCACACCGAACTGGCCCCGCAACCCCGCCATTGCACCCCGCCGCTGACACGCACGATTCCACGACGGCAGAACAACTCCTTCATCCTCGAGAAGCCGGGAAGCGTCAAATATGAAGACAGGCCGATTCCGCAGCTCAAGAACGAGCATGATGTGATTGTGAGTTGATCTTTGCTCTGGTGGAGTGAGCGAGCCGCGAGGGGGATGCGCTTCCATTCTCCTTCTCATTTTCCTATCCCGAAGTAACAACCCCCCGCTGACGTTGGTGATGTCTAGGTCAACGTCAAGTACACCGGAATCTGCGGCAGCGATGTATGTATCCCGTCCGGGCACACACACTCTCTCTCTCACACACACACCCCTCTCTGACCGCCCTGCCCAAACAAAACAGGTCCACTACTGGGTCCACGGGCGCATCGGGTCCTTCGTCGTCGAGGCGCCCATGGTGCTCGGGCACGAGTCGTCGGGCGTGATCCACAGCGTCGGGTCGGCGGTGACGTCGCTGCGGCCGGGCGACCGCGTGGCCATGGAGCCGGGCATCCCGTGCCGGTACTGCGTGCGCTGCAAGGAGGGCAACTACAACCTCTGCTTCGACATGCGCTTCGCCGCCACCCCGCCCTACGACGGCACCCTCGCAAAGTACTACGCGCTGCCCGAGGATTTCTGCTACAAGCTCCCCGACAGCGTCAGCCTCGAGGAGGGCGCCCTCGTGGAGCCGGCGAGCGTGGGCGTGCATATTTGTCGTATGGCGAAGGTGGCGCCGGGGGAGAGCGTCGTCGTGTTTGGGGCCGGGCCGATCGGGCTGTTGTGCTGTAAGGTGGCGAGGGAGGTGTTTGGCGCCACGAGGGTGGTGGTGGTGGATGTGAATGAGGAGAGGCTGGAGTTTGCGAGGGGGTATGCCGCCACGCATGTGTTTAGGAGCGGGAAGGTGTCGCCCGAGGAGAATGCGAAGAAGATGATTGAGGAGTGTGGCCTCGGCCCTGGTGCCGACGTTGTCATTGATGCGAGTGGCGCCGAGGTGTGCATTCAGACGGCCATTCATGTTGCGAGGACCGGTGGCCGCTTCACGCAGGGCGGTATGGGCAAGGTGAGTGGAGCATGGTCGTCTTTTGGATGCCGAGCGAGCTGTGCGTGCTAACGCTGTGGTGTTACTTAGCCCGACATCACTTTCCCCATCGGCGCCATGTGCGCCAAGGAGCTCCGCGTCACGGGAAGCTTCCGCTACTCGTCCGGCGACTATCAGCTCGCTGTCGACATGATTGCCTCGGGAAGGCTGAGCGTCAAGGAGCTCATCAGCAAGAAGGTGTCCTTCGAGGGCGCGGAGGAGGCGTTCAGCAACGTCAAGCAGGGTAATGGCATTAAGTGGCTCATTGAGGGTCCGAATTAAAGGTGAGCTGGTAGCATTTCAGAGGAGTTCGAGGTGTATAGTAGGGGTGTAGGAATGAAAACAAAGCAAATTGTACATGTCTTCCTGAAGTTGCATTCACGCATTGGTTCCTGCCGCGCAGTCTCCCGGTGGCTCCTCCCTCGCCCCATTTGCTTTCTTGGCATCGCCATTTCTTAACGTCATCCCTCCTCTTCCATCCTTACACTCTCACTCAAAACATATCCATTCATTGACCACGCTGGCGACCAATAAAAAGCTCAAGAACCCACGCCGCCTTGCAATCATTCCTATACCAGTGGGATCTACGCAGTCTCTATCAAGAAATGAGCAAAATACTGACCGGAACGGGGTATTTCTGGTCGTTTAATACCAGTTGCGAGGGCCCGGAGCCTGTCCTTCCACCCCCGTAGGTACCACTCAATACATCAGATCCCGCACAGGCCGTCACTAACTGGCTTGTTAGCCCCAGTGCAGAACGTGGCGAGGTTGTGAAGGTCGTCGTCGGAAAAGGCGAGCGCTCTGAAGAGTTGGAGTTCCATCAAGGTCTACTGTGTGCCGCTTCATCGTACTTCGAGGCTGGTTTCAAGAAGGGTCGGTTCAAGGAAGGCAATGAAGGCGTCATCCGTCTTGAAGAAGATGATGTCGACACCGTTAAACGCTTCAAGGAATGGCTCTATGGCAGACCCACGCTGCCGAAAACATTGACCTCGGATCAAGGCCCAGATGGTCGCGGAGTCGCAGATATTGACATGTCTATTTTCCGCTTGTACTACTTCGCAGACTGCCGCGGAGTTCTGTCGCTCAAGAACGTCATCATCAACTTGGTCGCCGGCCTTCTCCGTTATACACAGCCCACAGTCAGCCTACCGAACATCCTCGACATCTACGAGAATACTCCCCCTGGTGATGGCATGCGCCGGCTTATGGCTCTCATGTTGGCGGCCAAACGTTGCAAGCTTGGACGAGTCCTGAATAGCAAAAGTAGCGGATGTCCAACCGCCGACGATGTCCCTAACGATCTTTTGCTCGACTACATACTCGCCTTGGAACAGTGTGTAGGAGTATGGACCACCAAGAAGTGGCAAGGGGTTCGAATATGCGATTTCCATGATCACCCAGGGCGGAAGCCCACATTCGACGCTGCCGCCTTTGGACTGGGGCTTCCGGACAATGGTAAGCGCGCGTGGTTCATTCATTCCACTACAGAGGAAACGTATTCGACATCGACATGATGAGAGTGGGATATTACTATACTGGTGGAAGGTACTGCGTTAGAGGGAAACCCACTAGTGACGTAATGGGTGGCTTCCAGGGAGGCAAAGACTGCGAGGGACTAATAGGGGATGAGATGGATGCATTGCCGTTCTTTCACGCACACATGGAACTTTCATGGACTCAAGCGTCTTCTGTATATTGCAGCCAGGCATGGTTTCGAACTTTCTAGTTACATAGCCTTGCGTAAGTCTATGGTCATTCATCTCCGATGCAAAAGCCGCAACGATCAGGGCATCTCTGTCTTTGTGTCGCTCTTTTAGGATCCGCCAGCGACATGAACCGCAGAGGACGGTCCCTCCAGTTCTTTTTCCTTCCAACACATCCGTATCCATCCACCCCCAACCATGTCCGCGCCCGGCCCGCACCACCCGCCGCCGAACGACGGCCTTGACGACAGTTCTAAGCGCTTTGAGCAGCAGCACGAGGAGAGAGCCTCGGCCACTGTTGCCACTCAAGCGCCTCCATCCGATAACAGCAACATCGCGCGTGATTCGCAGCCGACTCTCGCCACCGGTCACGGAGGAGGAAACTCACAGCAGTCGCAGGGCTTTTCCCTCCCGTCGTATCCTTACCAGCAACAGGGTGTCCAGCAGTATGACTCTCACCAGCAGCACAATGTTCAGCAGCACAATATCGACGACAGTGCGCTTCAAGTCTCGACCAACGCTGCAACTGGCGTGCCAAGCTTGAGGAGGTGAGCTAGAGTACTGTCCTTGCCGTGCTTGGCCGGTCACTAGATTGTTCGGCTGGCGCGGCGCCTGCTGAATAGCTTTGTCTGCAGGAGCAAACGAGTGGCGGGCAGCCGTGCTCTGAGTTCCATGCGCATGCTTCCTCCGAGCAGGACGATGACACCTGTGTCCACTCACCTCAGTCCCATTCCTATGGAGAGTACTGACGGCAACATGTCTTCGCCTCACAACCGCAACACCGAGCCCCCTACTTCCCATCCGCAGACGCCCAGCAAGATTAAGAGGAAGCTCGACGACAGCGAAGAGATCGACACTTCCACGAGAGCCACCCTGACGAACAAATCACTCATCGAGGCGCGCGCCATCGCCTTCCTCATGGCGCACCCGCCGGCGGACGCCTTCCACGGGACCACGCTCCAGCGCGCCTTCCTGCGCCACGCGTGGCCCAACCACTTCCACAGGCAGCCGCGCATCATCAGGCGGGACTCGGCGCTGTTGGCCATGGGCCCGGCGCGCCTCAACGTCTCCGACACCATGTGGCGCGCCATGATGGACGCCGACATCGCCACCCGCCCGCCCATGCCCGTCCACATCGCCGACCGCCAGATCGTGCGCTGCGACGAGCGCCACAGCCTGCGCGACCACTCGCCCCGCGGCACCCCCTCGGTGCGGTGCCGCATCTGCCCGGACAACATCCCGTGGGACACGGTGACCGACCAGCCCAGCTACCACATGATGTGCCCGGCCTGCATCGGCGAGCACGACGCCGCCCTGGCCGCCGAAGAGAATGGGGAGAAAGAGGGAGAGGGGGAGGGAGAGGAGGGGCAGACGGCGACGACGACGACGATGATGACGACGACGACGAAGACAACGACGACGACGACGACGACGCAGACGCCGCAGCAGGCGCAGGCGGGCAGGCTGCGCGCGCTGCTCGCCGGCGGCGCGTGGGCGCGGCTGTGCGACGCGTGCATGGCCCGCAGCGGGATGCACTTGATGAAGCCGTGCTCGTGCCAGTGGGCCGTCGCGCGCTGCTTCAAGCACCGCCGCGAACACCTGGAGCGCCTGGACGAGAAGGTGAGGTCGAACAACGCGGCGGGCGGCGACGGCGACGACGGCGGCGACGACGGCGGCGACGAGCAGGTGAGGTCGAACAGCGTGGCGGGCGGCGACGACGGCGGGGACGACCGCACCGACTTGTACAAGGCGGTCCAGCTCCACGCTGCGCCGGACCTCGGCGGCGAGACGTTTGAGGGCCGGCGCCCGTACTGCGGCGAGTGCTGGGAGAGGGAGGCGACGACGGCGCGGGTCCCCAGCGCGTGGAAGTGCTTCGTCTGCATGGGCGTCTTCGTCATGCCGGCTGGTGATGTCGTGCCGAATTGGTTTCCGTTCTTGGATCCGAGCGGTCGTGATTCCCCGTCCGGTCATTCTCCTGCTTCTTTGGAGGAGGAGGAGCGTTCGAGTCCGGCGTCCATTTAAGGCTTGCCTGAGGTTTGGTGTGAGGGATGATGGATGGTGTGGTTCAAAACCGGAGAAAAGGAGAGGAAAAAAGGGAAAAAAGGAAAAGCGCCGACCGAGCACAGATTTCTAGGAGTGTCTTTCTTTCTATTCATCAGAGGAAATTGGATTCACGTTGGTCTAGGCTGGAATTCAATGAAGGAAGGAAAAAAAAGAAGGGAGGTCGCTGGACCATTCGATTACGGATCAGGATCTCGAAGGACGTGGGGCAGGTGGTCTCGCACGTCGGTAGGATAGCAAGCGTGGTGGTTTGAAGTGAGGTCACAGTGCAGGTGCGTGAGATGATGCAGCGAGGTTGGCAGGCTAAGCCGGATGCGGACGTTAGTGAATAATGCGGGAGGCCCAGTGTCTGTCACATGGCTCCCGCGTCGCCCGTTGACCCGCCCGCACAGCTTTCTCCCTTGGCGCAAACGACTGAATTTGAGAGTCCGGGGGGCGGGTATTCGCGACTCCTCGTCGAAATCCCGAGTGCCACTCCTCTCCGCTCGCAGCGAATCCTTCTCGTCGAGGGGCGTGCGTGATCCGCGTCTTCGATCCGTCCCGTCGCCCGTCCTCAGCGCGTCCCCCGTCTCAAGCGCCGCCTTCTCCGCCACGTGTGGGATGGATCGTCTCACCGATCAGTTTGACGGCGGGAGTGGCGCCGGCAGCAGCCGCTGCTCGTTCGACGAATCCTTCTTCGCTGCCTCGGCATCGGCGGCGGGAGACAGCAACGTGGTCGTGCCGCCGCACCAGCTACGCGCATCCGCCGCCGCCGCCGTTGGATCGTCGGTTAGGATCAGACCCGCCGCCGGTTCGATGGCTTCTTCATCGCACCACTCGAAACGGACGGCGCGGGGGAAGGTGCGCGCTCTCCCCTTCCCCAACCTCATCGTTCCGCGTCGCCGGGGTTGAGCTGACTGCTGCCATGTACAGGCGTGCGAACGATGCCGCCGGATGAAAATCAAATGCGACGGCGCGACGCCTGTGTGTGGCACTTGCCGCAAACGGGCCCTGGATTGCGTCTTTGCCGTCGTGGAGAAGCCACAGAGGCCGAAGAAGAGGCAAGTGTCGATCCCCTGTCTTTTTCTTTGCTGCGCCACGTGGCTGTAGTGCCTTCGGGCCCCGGATGTTGCAGATACCCGACCTAGTGCCTGGCTTCAGCTCATGATCCCCATCTGCTAACTCGCCCGCCCACGCAGGGACGACTATGTCAAAGCGCTGGAATCCCGATTGGACCGCGTCGAGTCCCTTATCAAGGCCTCGGGCATCTTGGACGGCAAGCAGGCCGCCCCCGATGTCGCTGGCCATGTCGATTACGATGTCGATATCGATGCCCTCCTTGCCGACGCGGGCGAGTCGGCAGACTCCGATCTATCAAGAGGGGGTACCAACAAGAGCCAAGGTCAGTCTCCCCATCTGGCGTCCCCGCCGGTGCCATGCTGAAATGCGAGCAAGACTTCTGGAAGCATGCCATCTGGCAGACGAGACGGCCCAGATGGATCAGCGACATCATCGAGGACGTCGTGACCCGCAGCCTCGGCCCGCCCGTGTCACTCAGTGCTCGCGAAAACCACGTCGATGCCCGTCGCTTCAGCCAGTACGCCCAGCTCCCGCCCATGGAGGACGTCTTGTCTCTGGTCGCCGATTTCTTCGCTGGTGTCAACAACCTACTCCCCTTGTACCATGAGCACACTTTCATGCAGCACTTGTACGAGAACCTTTCCCGCCCAGCCGAGTCGGCCGGCTGGTTGGCGAGCATCAACACCGTCCTCGCTTTGGGTCACATCTCCCGCTTGAGAACCACTTTCATCTCCCAGGAGCAGGAGAGGGAGGCTTGGAAGTACATGAAGAATGCCATGGCCATTCAGAGCGAGCTTCCCGCGCTTGACTTTGACCTGCTCAGCGTTCAGGCTCTCATCGGAATGGTACCCAGTCCTGTGTCGCCCACTGCCCGTCGCCCGTGCTGACCTTTTGTGCGTCCCAGACGATATTCATGCTCCTCACATCGTGCAATTCCCAAATGCCTTCGATGATGCTCGCCACGGCCATCAGAGTCGCACAGGGCATCGGTCTTCACGTCGACTGCAACGACCCGCGCATGAGCGAGATGGACAAGGAGCAGCGACGACGAGTCTTCTGGATCTCTTACATCTTCGACCGGGAGTAAGTAGAGACCAACCGCGCATACGCCAGAACTACAACCATACTGACATGACCGCCACCGCCAAAGACTCAGCATCCGCACCGGCCGCGCCCCCATCATCCAAGACGCCACCGACATGTCCATCTCCCTCCCCACCGACAACCCCTCCGACGGCGGCATCGGCCACATCGGCCCCTTCAACATGTTCCGCGCCCGCTGCACCTTCGCCCAGATCCAAGGCAAGATCTACAAGCAGCTCTACTCGGACCACGCCTGGGCCCAGCCGCGCCGGGACGTCGTCCTCGACGCCATCACCGCCCTCGACGCCGAGCTCGAAGCCTGGCGCCAACACATCCCCCCCGACCTGCGCCCCGGCGGAACCGGCCCCTCGCCCTCGTCCTCGTACCCATCCTCCTCGTCCTCTTCCTCATCCTCCTCACCCTCGTGCTCGTGCTCCTCCCCCTCCTCCCCCTCCGCCACTTCCACCACCTCCACCACCACCTCCCCCTCCTCCCGCCCGCTCCTCCCCCCCCTCCCCGCCCCCTACGACTCCAGCATCCTCGTCCTCCACTTCTGCTACTGGTACGCCTTCTCGCTGCTCCACCGCCGCTACGCCATCTGCATCAGCGTCACGCGCGACTGGCCCGCGGCCCCGGCCTCGGTGCCCCCACTCCTACATCCACCACACCCGTCGCACTCGCACCACTCCGACCCCATCGTCTCCCCCACCACCCCCGGCGCCCACGTCACCGCCTCCGCCCGCGCCATGGTGCACCTGCTGCAGTGCCATCCGCCGACGGCGAAGGGGACGCGCTGGTACCTGTTGTATTACTGCGCGGCGGCGCTGGTGAATCTGTTTGGGGAGGTGGTGGATAGGGCGACGGCTACGACTACGGCTACGACGGCTACGGCTACGACTGCGACTACGGGAGGGGGTGGAGGTGAAGATGCGGAGGTGCAGGGCGATTTGGCGCGGATGCGCGACGTGTTGGGGTTCATGGCGGTGGTGTGCGAGGAGGACAATCGGGACGCGCGGCACATTTTTGGGTTGTGCGGGAAGATGGAGGCGATTGCGGTGGGGTGTGTTGGGAGGGCGAAGGCGGAAAGGAAGAAGGAGGGGCAGGAGGGGGAGGGGGAGGAGGTGGCGGCGGCGGCGAATGGTGGGGATGGTGGGGATCGAGAGGAGGGTGGGCGGCGGTGGTGGAGGGATGAGGAGGTCGTGGCGATTCAGAGGCAAATGAGGGTGCATGGGAGGTTCTTCTCGCCGGTGGATGTTTGATCGGTGTCGCTTGCGGTTGCAATTCTAGGTGTTGTTGGGGGGTCTTGTTTTTTTTTTGTGCTTCTTTGGGTCTCTCGGTGTCCAGGTATAGATGGCTGTGGCAGGCGTATTCTGGCGTTCATGAGATTGCATAAGCAGGTCTGCGTGGGGCTGACGTTGAGTGAGCGTACCGTTTATTTTTATATCAATCATCTTAGCCGTTTCATGAAGAGGAAAATAAACACCGCGGATATTCGCACGCTTGATGTTAGCACAGTGATGGCCACTTCTACTGATCAGGTGGTGCAAGTTTATCTACCTGCAGTGTAGCTGGGGTGCTGGATTAGAAGACGCTTCTGAGCTATACAGAGTATTTATTACCATACTGCTACGCCTGTGTCCAGACTGCTGCGTTCACATCATTCATGCTTCATTGCAGTAGTAAAGTGCATTCGGGTAGGTGCCGGGACCCGAGTGGTGTCCCCAAGTTCTCACATGTAGTAGGGATCGGTAAGTGCGATACTATGATACGAAAGCCATCATTAATTCTCTCTAACAAGTCAATCTATGTTTACATTTAGAAGTGTTCCATCACGACTAAGTGCACTATGCCGAGATTGAAGAGAAGCGTAAGTGTTGCACCTTGCTTCCATGTGAAGCCACCCTGTGGCATTACTACCAAGCTTGTAGCTAGTGTTCCGCAAAATGCCACATCCGAGTGAGCATTTCTAATGGAAGAAACGGGACTTTATTAGTATCGACACATCTGAGAAGGCGCATAGAGAATGAGAGAAAGCAAGGTACGTACCCTTTATTGGTTCTCTTCGAACTCCGAAAAGTGGATGGTGAGGAACAAGCCTTTGGGCATTCCATCCTTGCTCTGATTCCGCAGCATGAAAATCAATGCTCTGCACCGTTATATATGGGCTCTTATACAATACTTGAGGGGAAACTCACCGTGGAGCCAACCAAAATCAGTCAGAACAACGTACAGAAGACCAAGAGTTTGGACAATTAACGTCAGAGCAGCGATGGTGACTTCTGCAGACGGCATTTTTGAGCTCTTTTACTGGTATAGTCAAAGAAAGATGGCGTCGCAAGGCTTAAGCGTTCAAACTGAGGTCGAAAGGGTTATCAGGAAGTAATGCTGTTGGCTAAAGCTAGCGAGACTTGGGGCAATGGACTAACAGATTAGCATCACAAAAGGGCGGAGTATAAATATCAAAAGCAGACAGAAGACAGGATATTTACGGGAATATCTTTGTATGTAGCACACATCATCAACCCGTTTCAGCCTACACAGTAAGTTTAGGTGGACGCGACGGAGATTTTTTTTCGCGTTCTCGCTCAAGGCGCAGTTCAGCTGCAAAGCCCAGTACATCGTCGGTCGTGTAAGCTGGCTGGCAGCTAAGCGCGGGTCAGGGGTGGCAAAAGCCAGGCAGTGGCATCCAGAACACCGAAGGTGATTGGCGGTGGCAGCCCGACGGGTGCGGCAGCGGGACGTTTCCGGCTAATGGGGAAGCATGACAGCAGCTACAAATTGAGGCCTCTGTGCGGTCAAAGCCTTGTGCTAAAGGACTGGTGGATCTTCCAGCTGATCTCGTCATGCTGGTACAAACTAGCGGACCTATCAGGTGTACGAACAAAAGGCCTCGAGTCGTACGATGTGCAGTACGAGCTGCGGTACGGATATGTCGGTCGGCGGGCGCACATGTGCGTCCAGTACCTGCTCGCACAGCATTTCGATGTTGTGGAATCGTTACGGGCTTGAAGGCTTTCACGTAGCCTCCCATGTACAGATTCCGGGACGCGCTGCTGTATAAGCACGCAAGGCTTAGCCTTACTGCCTTTCAGACTTTCTTGTTGCTCTAAAGCTATGGGAAACATGAACTTGGCTGACAGAAAAGCCTCAATTGACGAGTATCGAGCTGTAATGGTATCTTCAACGAAAAGAAAAAACAGTAACCCTCCTTCCTTCTTTTACCAGTCCCTCTGCAGCCCAACCCATAACCATCTAAACCCTCGCTCCCCCTCCACAACACTCCTCCTCCTCCTCCTCCTCCTCCTCCTCCTCCTCCCCGTCCACCAACTCACTGCTTCTCCCCCTTCTCCCCACCCGTCGGCGTCACATCCCCACTCCCCCCACTCCCACTCCCAACCCCATCCACCTTCTCCCTCCCCTCCACAACCACCGCCTCAGCCTCAGCCTCAGCCTCGGCCTCCTCCTTCCTCCCATTAACCCCCTTCTTCCTCCCCCCACCCCTCCCACAAACGTCCGCCCAGACCGCCACCGCCGTCCGCCTCATCGTGTGCCTCCCCTCCCACAGCGGATACAGCCCGACGCAGGCGGTGCTGCAAAACAGCCACAGGATGCCGACGACGACCCAGCCGGTGAAGAAGGGCTTGGAGAAGACGTAGGCGCTGCCGTACATGGGCATGGGCCACAGGACGAGGAAGGCCACGGCGAGGAAGGCGCAGAGCGCGCGGGCGAGGCGCGAGGCGCGCGTGAGGTTGGCTTGCTCGGCGGCTTCTTCGTCTGGAGTCATGGTGGCGGTGGTTGTGGCGGTTGTGCCGGGGGCGGCGGGGGCGTCGAGTTCGGGGTCGGCGGCGAGGAGGTCGTGGTCATCGGCCTGGCGGATGGCGCGCATGGAGAGCCAGTCGTAGTTCTGGGGGCGGAAGGTGTAGGTGAGGACGGGGATGAAGAGGAGCGGGGAGAGGAGGGCGGTGACATTGCCGGCGAGCATGGGGTTGTTGGCGCCCGTCGTGTCGACCGAGAGCGTGCCCGACTCCTTCTTGGCCGTCACGAGCCAGGCGATGAGCGAGCACGCGAGGCCGAGCGGCGGCGAGAAGGTGGCGGCGGCCCAGTTTTGCTTGCTCCACAGGAGGGTGAGGGTGGCGGGGAGGACGGCAGAGGAGATGATGACGCCCATGAGGAGGTAGAGGTAGCCCATGGAGATGCTGCGGCGGTTTCGGCGGTTAGTCATTGGCGCGGTTGTTTGAGGTGCGGGACTGGGGTGGCTTACCCTGCGTAGTATAGGCCGGTGCTGAATGCGGCCATGACGACGGCGAAGCCCACGACCATGCAGTGGGACATGTTGATGAGTTGCTTGCCGGTCGCCTTCGGGTTGAAGTACGTCTGGTAGACGTCGTACGTGAAGATGGACGACACGGCGATCAGTTCGGCGGACATGGCAGACGTCACGGCCATGAAAATCAGCAAAAGCGTCGCCGCTGCACCGCCGCTTCCCAACAGCGCGACAGAGGCCTCCGGGAGCACGAGGCCGGCGGATACGTCGGCTGGGTTCATCCGGTTCGGGTAGGTCGGGAAAACGGGGTTGCTCTCCAAGGCGAGTGCCGCCATGCCCATGGTGGTTGCCGCGAGCCAAGGGATGGCAAACCAGCTGAGACCGCCCATGATATATCCGGGCAGGGCGTGGACGGGAGAAGCGGAGATTGCCTTGTTCCTTCGCTGGCGGTCAATAACGCAGTTCTTAACGATTTCGGTTTGGCGTATTGATATACTTACCAGTACCCGTTGTCCAGGTAGACGGTGCCGAAGTTGCCCACGATGTTGATGACAAAGAATATGGCGCCCTCCTTTGAGCGCATGGTCAAATAGCTGCCTTCGGCGTTGCCCTCGACGGGGTGACGTGCGGACGCCTCGACGAGCAGGTCGTATACGCGGCCAGGGCTGCCAGCGATGTCATGGGTGGCATAAGTGGTGAAAGCAAAGACGAAAATAATGATCAAGATGACGACAGTATGGGCATAGTCGGTCAGGAAGGTAGCCTTGATGCCTCCAAACATGGTGTACAGCACGACGCCGACTGGGAGCAGAAAGCAAGCGGCCACGGTGTGCATGCCAGTCAGGGAGGTGACCACTGCGGAGCCGCCAGTGAGAAGCATGGCGGTAACGAGGATGTTCGTCATCAGGGCAAAAACCATAAAGACCATGTGGGTGACTGCGCCGTAGCGTGCGCGAATGACTTCGAGAAAGGTGTGGGCGTTGGGCGCCCTTCGCTTCAGCTCGATGGCGAGGGTGGCAAAGAGGATGATCTGCACAGTTGCGCCAGAAGCGTACCAAAAAGGCCCCGAGATGCCACTGAGACAATGTCAGGTATCGGCGAATTGAGGTCTGGACGGGCCAGCTTACTAGTTGTAGGCCACACCAGAGGATTGCAGCAAAGTTGCGGCCCAAGTCCAGGACGAGACGACGGCCGAGGCAACGAGACCAGATTTGACAGTTCTTCCGGCAGTGCTGAACATTTCACTCGTCTGCAGCTCAGAGTTGTATCTGTTGTGTTGCGTGAGAATTGAAGAGACGAAGCGGGTAGAAATAAAGACTGAGGATGCGGAGATGGTTGCCATTGAGGTAAATTAGTGAACATACCTCTTGAGGATGAAGGTGGTCAAAATCATGCCGAAACTAGCGGCTACGTCAGTACGAGTTGGGGATTGGTAGTCTACGAAACTTACGCAAAGGCGAAACCCAGGCCAATGACAACGCCATAGCCGACGGCTTGGCTGAGCGGCGGCTCACCAGAGGTCACTGCCATGATGATTGAATTGCGTCCTCAGGTGGTGAATGGCGGTGCCCAAGAAAAGCCGACAAGACGCGGGCGGCGGAGGCGGGGTATAAATGACATTTTTTTGGTTGGAAGTTTCGGCTGATATGAGCCAAGCTTAATAAAGGCGTTGTACAATGGTCAGCTCTGTCCTCCCCGGGCCCCCCATTGATCGCCGGCGGCGGCGGTTGGTGGGACAAGATGGATCGGCGAGACTGGCGGGCGGACATTGGCCGTTCACCATGGGCGGCGATGGGCTGGGCAAGGTTGTCTGCGATTATGGCGAGCGGATCTCCTCGGAGACGGACACTGATTCGGCGTGCCGAAGTGATGGTGCTGCGGAGGAAAGCGGCTGCAGATTGGCAGAGATAAGCCATCATCTTGGCTCAGCTTGCCCAGTGCAGCACCACGCGATAACGCCCGTCCTTAGTCAACGCTTTGTCCCAAGCCCACGTGGTAAAACGTGGAGTTGGACAGAAAAAAAAAGAGAAACACGAGAAAGGCATCGCTGAACCAGACCACTGTGCTGCGCGCTGCCTGCGCCGATCAGCCCTGGCAAGCTCGACACCAAGCCCACAAACCACACCCCTCAGCTGCTTTGCAAAGCGACTTGCCAGACGACTGGCCAAGTAGACAATCGGCCGGGCAGCGAGCTGCGAGCAGCATTGGCAAAAATCCGTTGTCACAGGAGGGCAGGATTCCATCGCCAGCAGACGCCGAAGATAGGCTGCCCGCCTCCTCGCCCTGTGATTGGCCAGCCCGCGCCATCCTTATCTCGGCCTATCATCGACCAGATTCTTTTCTCACAACGCCATCGAGTCATCATCATCCAAAACGCCTCCCACCTCTCTGCACCGCCGGGGGAAAGGAGTTCGGCGATGGCCTCGATCCCTCTTCTCTTCTCTGCTGCCGAGCGTACGCATTGTTAAGATCCCTGCCCCCACCCCCCCGTTCGTTCCAATGCGGAAGGATGTTCAGCTTCTTGTAACCACGAACCTCCTGACAACCGTGCTAGGGACAAGCCACACTGACTACTGGTAAGGCGTTCCGTCCGTCCGCTCGTGTTCCGGGATCCGTGTGTGGGGTAAAACGAGAAACGAGGCGTTCAGCCGCCCGAGAAGCTTGAATTGACCTTCTGCCGTGCTTTCTCACGAGGTATCTACACCAATGGTTTGATCGTTACCGGTGAGCGAGCACCTGTGGCGCCCCTGGTACCAGGAATCACTTCACTCTCTCGCACCTGTCTGACATCTTTTCTCTTATCTTCGCCTAACCCTCCAAGTCCCGGCGATACCTCAGCCAAGCTCCACCCTCTCTCGACAGGGCAACCGACGTCTCGAACATATGGCAACAGCAGTTCATGATGGAAGGGCACCTAACGTATGACGAAAACTTTGATGATATTTTTCCCTTGCTCGACAGCAAGAAATAAGAATGAGAATAATCTCTACGTGACGTCAATCATGATCCATCACAATGCACCTTTCCTCCTTTCCTCACATCCCCCCCTTCCCTTTGTACGGGTATCAAAATGCAATGCTTTTCGTTTTCTTTTCCTCCTCTTCATTCCTGAAATTCAAAGAAGCAAAACTCTCTGCACCAATCCCCCCTCTTTTTACAAGAACTGCTTCCCTCTCGTCTCGATGGGCAGCAGACACATGGCAACAAATGACGCGAGGAACAGGGCGCCAGACGCGTACACCGGACCCGACGGGTTAGCCTGTCCAGCGTTGATGGCAACAAGGGGGGCGCAGAGGCCCAAGACGCGGTTGAGGAAGGAGCTGATGCCAGTGCCGGTACCGCGGTTGGGCGCGGGGAATACCTCGGGCGTGTAGGCGTAGAGGACTCCGTACCTGCCGGGGGCGTCAGCCAAAAAAAATAAAAAAAAAAAACAAGGAAAGAGGTTTCGTTCTTACATGATGTTCTGGAAGAAAGCCTCGAGAGATGAGAAGGTGAGTTGGTAGTCGGAGTCGCTGCTGATGGTGAACAGATACAGGAAGATGCCGCTCAGCATGGTGCTGATGGCCATGGTGCCCTTGCGGCCGATGTACTTGATGTCCACCGTGTAGCACGCGAACAGGCTGCCAGGCACGCCCACCACCGACGTGATGGCGTAGTTGCGGTAGACCAGATAGGTCGACGACGAGCCACTGTTGCCAAGATACTGCGGCAAGAAGGCATTGAAGAGCGGGTAGCCCATGCCAATGGCAGCCCAAATGAACCAGAGCAGCACCGTCGTGATGCCCAGCTTCGTACCATTGAAGAGCGGCCGGATACGTGCCGCGCTGAACTTGCTCAGGTTGCGCTTGATGATGTCCACCGTGCCAAGCTTCTGGCCCTCTACCATGATTTCGGGGTCGCCGCCTATCTCATTGAGGATCTCCTCGGTCAACCACGTCTTGGCCTTGTTCTTGTGCGCGATGCCGTGCACCACGGCAACAGCCTCGGCCTGCCGGCCGCGCGAGAGCAGGAACTTGGGCGACTCGAAAAGATGGAAGAAGAAGAAGCGCGCGACGAACATGGCGAAGGTGATAGCGCCCAAGGTGATAATGAGGTAGCGCCAGCCCCAGTTGTCTTCCTTTGCGCAGGGGCCTTCCGAAGCACACGAGTAGTTGGCAATAAATCCCCATGCAACTAATTCTCGTCAGCACGCCGAAGCCAACCCGGAGCTTGATCTAGCGCTTACTTAGAGACGAGATCAACTGTCCGACGGGCCACCAAATGCTCAGCAGGGTAAGCAGGTTTCCGCTCGCGAACGGCAAAAACTCGAGGAAGAGGGCTCCGTCGACGGGCAGGTTGCCACCAACGCCCAATCCGACGCAGGAAAAGAGCGCGCAAGTGGAGATCCAGTCGTGGCCACCGCCGGCAGCCAGACCGAAGGCACCAGCCAGAAACAGCGTGCAATTGAAAGCAAGGCGGCGGCCAATGACGTCGGACATGATCCCCCAGAAGCTTGCGCCAATGCACAGGCCTGTGAAAAGCGCCAGGGTCGTGTAGCGGATGGTGTTGTCGTCGACGTCAAACTCGCGACTGAGTTGCGGGAGGGTAAGAGCGACGCCCTGTCGCCCGTCAGCACACCAGGGAGGGCGGAGAGAAGCAGCAACGGCCACGCACCTGGAGCCAGAGATTGTCTGCAGTCCAGCCGAACCCGCAGAGAGCAAAGAGCTGCCATTGGTAGCGGCCCATGCCAATGTCCTGGATGGCCTTGTTGATGACCTTGGATTTGCCTACGCAGCGGAGGTCAGATCTGCAACTCTCACGTGGGGGCGAAGGGATCACAAGGAAACGGCACAAGCCCGACGGCGACAGCGGGCCGTTCAGGACGTACGATCGTATGCGGTGTTCACGCCGCCAGCTGCTAGATCAGCATCAACCTCAGCACGCAGGGAGTCGAGAGTCAGGCCACCGGACCACTCGCTGCTGCCGGTGGAATCCTTCTCTTTGCTCGCCTCATCGTGGGCAGCGGCCTTGGAGTCGACCGACGTGTTGCGATGGGGTGCGCCGGCGAGCGGAATCAGCACGCCCTCGAACTCGGAGACGTCGTGTTTGTGGAACGGGTTAATGAAGTACGGCATGGTGCCGGTGTCGCGTAGGCTGCTCGGGATTGCTGCTTTGGGAGATTGTGGCGCGCGGGCTGCAAGGCTGCGGGTTGTCGCTGTGGGCACGAGTCACAGTCGCTTCGGGCAGGCGGGATCCGAGTCGCGTGTGGACGTGGTGAGTGTTGGTGGGGGTTGCGGCTGGTCGTTATGGTATGGTCGAGAGCATCACAGCTTCACCTTCACACACTCGGGGCAGGCTGGGAGTCGCTGGGAAGGAAGTCTTGGATGACGGTAGCTGAATGCCTGGGGTTGGGCGAGATGAGTGCAGCTCAGCCGGGGCAGGCTGGGAATGCGGGTTTAAAAGGAATGCAAAGGTAGCTCGCCAGGATGCTGTTGTGCGTGCCGTGGACCCGGCTGCGGGGTGGGCCTAACTCTGCTGCGTGACTTTGGACGTGGGATAATAGGATAGCGAGTTAGCGCGGTTGAAGGTCGCGGGCGCAGTGCAGTGGAGCCGCTGGGGGCGACAGGGCTGGCCTTGGCTGACATGTTGCCGCCTGCCGCCCGCTGCTCAGCCGCACCGCACCTTCTTCACTGGTATTGCTGCCTCGGGCTTGGGAGCGCGCAGCTGACGTGCGCTGACAGGGCGCGATGAGGGCGCCGACAGGTCGAGGGCGCATCTGGAGTCGTTTCTGCTCGCTCGCTCGATGCGGAGGCTGCAGTCTCTGGAACCCACTCCAGACAGGGTTCGCCATCCTGCCGCGCCAGCCAAAGCATCCCGGTTCTGTCGGTTGCGGGCTGCACGTGATTGCACGTGGTGCGCTGCGCTGACGCGCTGGGGATCGAGGGCCAGGCATGCCTGCTTCATCGACGCCTGGATGGTGTGGAGTGGCACAGTGGGTGCTGCCTGCTCATCTTGGCAAGAACTGGCAAGCCCAACCCGCCCGCCTGGCTACCGCTTGCCCATCGCTGCGCGCCATCCCCCAACACCAAAGCAAAAAAACAACCGCCGCCAGCGACGCCGGCCAGAATTGCTGCACACCACACGGCCAAGCACCAGCGCCGTGGCGGCAGGTTTCCCGACCATGGCCCCGTCTCTCCACAGCCGCCAAGCGTGGCTTGACCTTTGGGGCAGCTCGGCCGCCGTAGACAATTAAACCTATCCCACTCTGCGCCAATCTCTTTACCTAATTCGCGTTGCACCGGTCGAGTCAACGGCCGCGCGAAAGGCTGCTGCTCACCGCCCGCAGTCTGCCACCCAATCGCCGCTCGCCTGCCGTCCAGCTTTTATTCGCCGCGATGCTCTTTGCCCGACTGCGGCAAAAACCAAGGTTCACTGGCTCCCCCGTGCGTCATCCCGGCGCGCTACTCCACACGCTCACTGAGAGAACGCCGCCCGCCGCTCCTCCCCCTCAGCTGATGCTCGCCATATACCGCGCACAATATCGGCGGCGGCGGCCGAACGGGCTGAACATGCTGCGCACTGTGCGTCGGTCCGGCCGCAGACACGGCAGCCGGTTTCTACCAATAGGTGACATCGGCGGGCAACCTCGGACCTGCTCGTTCTCGTAGCCACTTGTTGCATATATCTGCGCCCTGAGCATCGGGACCCAAGGGGCAGAGTTTTCCCACACGTGCTGAAACGGGGAACCCGCGCCACGCACCGGCGGTGAGCCCCGTTCAACCTGGATTATTCCATCATCAGCTCGTACTCTCCGTCTCGGCGGCATGGGTTCGTTCTCAGCCCATCACCTTTGCCGACGCCGGTCGATTCTCTGGAAATATCCAAAGAATGAAAATTTCTATGGTATGATCTTACGATGGCCTTTGTACGCGCGTCAGTGGACGACTACTGAGACTGAGCCTTTGGGCATTATTGTTTTCATGTTTGCTTTCCTTCACACTTGGTCCTCCCTTCAGCCGCCGGCAGTTTGCGTCGAGTCGTACTATTTCCGAAGCCAGGAACACCCCTTGCCTTCGACCTACCACATTGTCCAACCAAAAAAGCTGCAGAAATCTCAAGCCGCCTTGGGGATGCATGCCGTTTATGCGAGCCACCTCTTGCAGATAAAACGGGAATCGCCTACTGAAAAAAGCATACAAATCCCGTCTCTCCTCCTCGGTGCCTCTTCTTGCGTAAAATGCCAACAATACACTGCAGTCATGTATGATTCGATTTCTCCGTTGCATGGGGACTTGGTCAATCGTTGAAGTCACACCGAGATTCCGTGATCTCGGCGTATCGTGGTCCCATTGACTGGAGGTCGTCTATGCGCAAAGTGCGAAGATACCCATAAAGCAGTCCAAAGTAGTCCGTATGCTGGTCCACTTCTCTAATTCTTTTCTTTCTTTAATTGTAACTTTTTTTTTCAATTTCGCCCGGAGGTCCTCGTCAGTCTAGTCAAGCAGGATGTCTATTAGCGTTTTTCATTTTCTTCCTGCTGTTAGATCACCAAGTGTTCGACTTGAGAGAGCGTCCGCCCACCCCGCAGACGGTTGTTTGTTTGCCGTCGCATCTGCTTCTCGCCCAAGCGCTCTGCCGACGCCGCAAATATGGGAGACCGAGAGTGTACTGTGTTCCGGCCTGGTAGTTAGTTCGAAGAATAACTGTCAACCAGTTCGCCCTTTTTCTATTTTTCGTCCCCTTCGCCCCCTCTGGTGGTAACCGCCGAGCCAAAAAAAAAAAAAACGGGAAATGTGTCACGTTGCGGGACTCGAGTCACCCCACAACGCAACAGGCGGCGCGCGTTCATTCAACAACCCCCGACCGTCCGTCGCGATCTCAGGCCGCGGTGGCGATCGGTAGCAGCAGAACCTGTTTGGCGAGCGGCTCGCTGTCGCTTGAACGTTGCGGTATCAGTGGAACTCCGGCTCGGCTGATTGAGGTGGCCGTATAACGGTCAGTGTGTAGTCGTCACCGCTGATGCCGCTGCGTTCGTGGCCCGTGAAGGGAGTTGTGTGCTGGTGTTGTGGGTGAAGGGGGAAAAAAATTGCGATAGGTTCTGGGAGCAACCGCGAAACGGGTTCGTCTCATATGGCTTGTGTATAATGTGTAGATGAGGCAACCAAGAGTAATGGAGCATGATGAAGATAGGATGGTGGCTATGAGAATCAACACTATGGCACGTGCATGCATTCCGTCATGTTTTCATAAGCGAGAGATTCTAATGAAGATAGAGTATGAATCACGGTGAAGGGGCGGAAACACTTAGCAGCCATTTATAAATCTAGTCTGGATTGAAAGAACAATAGCATAATGAGGCTTAGAGTCACTTGGTCGATCATAGTGCCCTGATGCAGCAGGCGAGCCATGGCTGTCATCAGTATCAAAATCGACATGCACATGTCAGTCATACGCACCCAATCTGTGTGCGGCGCCCCTTAGTGACAAGCCGTGACAGGGGATCAGGCAGCGGGGAATCAAAGACACCATCGAATACCTCGGACATTGCAAGTAGAAAAAATGGAGTGAATGGATGCCAGTATCGTACATGGGTATGTCTCCAGACGACCGTTCAACCGTCAAGCCCAACGCCATGTATCCAAACTCAAGATACGCCTATGATCTGCGCCAACAATGTCAAGACCAAAGCCCAAAATAGCATGTAGCCAACCGTGATAGCATTCCGAGTATCATCAGCGCAACCTTTCGGCGCCAATCATGCGGTTTTCAGGCACACCAGCGCCAGAGCTAGTATCCCCGGTTTCCGCAGCATCCAGTATTCTTCGATGCCTGTCATCCACGGATCTTTGGTGATCCAAACGCTGAGCCTCTAGTCTATCGAGACCACGCTGAATGTTCTCAATGTGGAGAATGATGGGCACATCACCGTCAACACCGACGAGATCAGGAACAGCGGCGCGCTCCCGCATATCCTCCAGGCTGACGGCGATGGCTCTAAGCTTGACCATGGTGGAGCTGACGTGACTAACGGCTGTGCGGCGGTACAAGTTGACGTTCTTGAGGAGCTGGATTTGTTGGTCAAGCTTCTTGACATTGGACCGGTTACCGCCCAGCTTCGTCCATAGGTCGAGGAACAGTTCCTCACGCTTGCCCTGAAGGCTCACGTCGTCGCGGACAGAGATGTCGTGTATGGCACCGAGATGGCTTTCAAGACTGTCCAGGATGCCGAGCAGAGCGTCGGCTTGATTGATGAGCGCCGTGATCTCATCTTCAACCTTTTGGGTATGCGACAAGTATTGCGCAACGAGTCTCTCGCGCGGGCTTCGATGGGGCGAGAGAACCCACAGAAGCTGATCCCAGATGAAGCGATCGACAGAGCCACGTCCATCCTCGGTATTCTTGATGTCGTCGATGACTCGCAGAGTCCACCTGTTGGTGCTGAGCATCCTATCCACGGCCGAGCCGATTCGCGAGTTGAAGCGGGTAAGGTCCCAGGAGGCTGTTCCGGCTTTCTGGATGAAGTTGTGGAATTCCATGTCCAGCTCGCTCTTTGAAGGAAGCTTGGAGTACCGCACGACGGACCTCAAGTCTCGAATAGCAGTTTCACCCCGCTTCATGTCTGCCGGCAGCCCGTCATATCTGGACGCATCTGATATGATTTCTTCAAATGCTTGCTGCGCCTTGACCAGCTCATCGAACTCGACCGCCGCAGCGGAGGCGGGGTCGGGTCGCTGGGGGTAGTTGCAGAACGGAAGGTTGAGCAGAGACACGCCGGGGACGGCGCAGACGGGGGTAAGCGCAGAAGAAACACTGGTTGTAACCCAGTAGCGAGCAAAAGACAGGAAAGCAGTGACGAAGGCGACAGCGAGGGCAATGGAGAACAAAGGTTTCAACACATTCAAGGTAAAGGCTAGGACTGATAGCAGGTAGCTGGCGGTGGGGCCAAGCACGTTGATCCAGAGTAAGGCAAGAGGTGTCGAGGCATCATTCTTGTCCTCCGGGGGCGATACCCGTTGCATCGGTCGAGACCTTCGCTTCCGCTGTCTCAGGTCGGCGGACTCGTCTGCGTCGGGAACGGACTGAGAGAGGCGTCGCGATGGAGGCCGCGAGCCGCGCAAGGGAGAGCCGGCGAACGAGCCATCGGGCGAGGAAGGCATGACGAACTCGAGTTCGGCAGAGGTTGGCGCAACAGGGCGTTTGAGGGGTATGCGGGATGCAGGTGTAGAAGGGGTGGCGGACCGTGGCTTCGCGGAGGGCCGTGGCGGAGGGCTCTTGCGCGCCGAGCTCGTCTTTGTCTGCTGGACGGGTGCGTCACTGTCCGAGCCTGAGGACTGTCCTAGGTCTGCGTCTTCACTATAGGACAACGAGGCCCATGACTCGCTGAGTTCCCTGGTTCGGGCTCGACCTTTCCCCCGGCTCATGACACGGCGGACTCGTGGATGCGGGAGGCGGAGTTGGCGCGGGTGGCAAACAACCAAGTGCGACGCGAAGCGGCAGTGGAAGGCGGGGAGACGGCGAGACAGCGAGACAGCGATCAGGGCACGCGGGCAAGTGCACGAGTGCGGTCGGATGCTAGTAGTAGGATCAACCAGTTGCGCGCGACAGATGTCATGGCGAGAGGGCAAGGGGTGCAGCCAGGCTGGCAATACGTTGATGCTGCCACGGCATGGACGCGAAGCGGGCATCCCTCACGTCACGCGCCACGCGCTAAGCCCGAGCTTAGCTCCCGCACCCGCGTCCAACACCAGCTTTTCTCCACCACCGACGCCTCGATGATCGCACGACGCCCGCCGCGCTGCCACTCGCTCATCGCTCGCTACGCCAGGGCCGCCCGTCCGCAATTGACCCCCCGCCCTGCACCATGGACTCGTGCGTGCTCCTGCTCAGCTCCACGGCCCTCGCCGCCCGCGCAGACATTAAACCCGACGACCGATGATCCGCCAAAGCCGCCAGCCGACCACCGTGAGCTGGGCGCCCAACAAGACCTCTTCACCACTTCGCTATACTCGCCCGGCTCGCCTCTCTTCCTTCCCAATGGCGCCGACATGTTCAACAAGCTTGCCAATTTCCTGCGCACCCAGTATCCGCTCTTCGGCTTCCGTGAGGTCATCACCCCAACTATATACAAGAAGTCGCTGTGGCAGAAATCCGGCCACTGGGAGAACTATGCCGATGACATGTTCTCTGTGCAAGGCCGCGGCGCAACCGGTCAGAAGGAAGCCGCCGAGGCCGGCGAGGACGAGGAATTCGGCCTGAAGCCCATGAACTGCCCGGGCCACTGCCTGCTGTTCGCCAGCGAGAAGCGTAGCTACCGCGATCTGCCTATCCGCTACGCTGACTTCAGCGCCCTGCACCGCAACGAGGGCTCTGGCTCCTTGAGCGGGCTCACGCGGGTACGCCGCTTCCACCAGGACGACGGCCACATCTTCTGCCGGCCGTCGCAGATCCAAGGCGAGATCAAGCGCACCTTGGATTTCGTGGGCATGGTCTACAACACCTTTGGGCTCGGCCCGTACAAGCTGGTGCTCTCGACGAGGCCGGAGGACCACTACATCGGCAACGTCGAGGAGTGGGACCGCGCCGAGAGCCAGCTGAAGGCGGCGCTGGACGACAGCGGACGGGAGTGGGCCACCAATCCGGGTGACGGTGCCTTCTACGGGCCCAAGATCGACATCATCCTGCGCGATAGCGACGGCAAGGAGCACCAGACGGCCACCATCCAGCTGGACTTCCAGCTACCGCAGCGCTTCAACCTGTCCTACAACGCACCCGCGCCGGAGCTCGAACGCACCGGTTCGGTGTCCGCCGACACGGCACCCGAGCTGCTCTCCCGGACGGGCCCCGTCACGCCCGTCATCATCCACCGCGCCATCCTCGGCTCGCTCGAGCGCTTCCTCGCCCTCCTGATCGAGCACTACGAAGGCAAATATCCGTTCTGGCTCGCGCCGCGGCCCGCCATCATCCTCAGTCTGTCGCAGGACCCGGCGTTGCTTGCCAACGTGCAGCAGCTGGCGCGAGAACTCGCCCGCCCCCAGCAGGAGCAGGGGCAGGGGCAGGGACAGCAACGAGACGAGCGGACGGATGCGATGCTGCCGGCACCGCTGGGCCGCCCCCCGGTCCAGGTCGACGTCGACACGAGCCCGCGTGGGCTCGGCAAGAAGCTGCGCGAGGCGCGCGAGCGCGGTTACAACCACATCCTCGTCGTCGGCCCCCAGGAGATGGAGGAGGGCAAGGTGCAGATGCAGGTGTGGAACCAACCGAACCTTGGCGCGGCGGAGAAGGTGTTGCGTATGGCCATAGACCCCCCCGTCGAGGAGGGGGGTGATTTCCCCTCTTTGTCCAAGGGGAAAGGTGTAGCGCTTGAGACACGACACGTGAGGAAATACTTTGAGGGAATGATGGATAGCTACTTGTAAATCTTGCACGGTAAGTTCTACCGAGAAGAACTGGCGTTTATTTGGAGAAGGAAAAAAAAAGAGACGGTTTACAGGGCGGAGGAGTCGCGCTTTGTGCACTTGCTGTCCCGAGAAAGAGGAGAGGGGGGCGCGCGTGGGATGTTGACACCGATTGAAAAATGATTGTACTATACAAATGTGATGGATCCTCTTTTGGGGCTCATTGTTGGATCACTCCAGCTTTGGCTTTCTCCCCCCATGGCGCCACATTTCATTTCTATCCGGCTAGTCATCATTTTCTGACACTTTATTGTTCTTTTCATCCGTCACCCACACATTCCGCCAAGGAATTCGGGGCCATTGAAGGACCGTTTCCGTTTTCCTTTCCCCATCCATTACACCCCTACATACCTCAATTTCTTGAAGGAAACATACAATATCGGGATGGGATGGCGGTGGAGAGAGAGATGCAGCAGCGATGGTTCGAACCACCCTCTTCCAACCCCCGTTCCTTCCTTATACCCTACCTGAACGTCCACCGCCACCCACCAGGCGAACTGTTGCACCGACGTTCAAGAGTAAAATAATACCGCCGACCATGTGCTTTAGCCCTCTCCCCACGCCGAAGCCACCCGCTCGCCTCGGTTCGGCTCGGCCGTATCCGCCGCCGCCGAGGCAAAGGATGTGTTTCATTTGGCCGAACCGAGCCCACGGTAGTATGGTCATCGGGGTTTCTTTTTTTTTTTTTTTTAGTTCCCGTGTGATGGTGATGATTGGGTGGGATGGCCAAGGTGCTGCGCCGTGCCGCTGCGGCGGCGGCGGCGGCGGCCGCGGTGAGAAAGTGAAGCCGCTGCGTTGGAAGTTGGTTACGGTGGAGGTGGGGCTGGGCTAGGTTTTGTGGGTGGGTAGGTAGTCAGAGTTGCGGCTGTGAGAGTCGTGTGGATGGATGCTGGGATTTGGGAGGGCGTGATCGATGAGCGGGCTTGGATAGGCATTCATCAGATCTGCCTTGCGCGCGATGACGGAACACAATTGGGCGGCTGCGTTCTTTCTGGCCAGCATTCTTTTGGACCTCTCGGACCGTGTCAAGGTCAAGGCTGGCTTGATCGCATGCGGACACTGAGGAGCAAACTCGAAGCCCGAAGCATTCATTTGATGACAATGAGCGGTCTTGTTGTGCAGCGCAAGTGACCTACCTCATTTGCACTGCAAAAACACCGAGAGACGGGCGGAAACGGGTCCCGTGCCTCTTAGATTCTTCTACAAAGCAATCTACTCAAATAACGTCAGTAATAAACAATTGCTTCCCTAACGGAAGCACAGCGAGATCTAATGGGCTCTGCCAGACAAGGACACACCTTACGTCATCGGTTCCAACCAAACAAAGAAACAGAGCTCGGTCTCGACTCCTCGACAACACATTGAGCGGCTCGCGAGCCAAATGCGATGACATCAGGATGCGGTTAAGCCCGGCGATTGATAGGGCACACCGCACCCAAGCCTACCCGGGCGCTGCCGTCCCTGCACAACCGTTCTCCAATAATAATGGCCTATTCTCGGACCGTCTCTGCTATGCTCTGCCGTGAGACTGGCAGTAATCTCGATCGACCCCACGATCTTTCTGATAGGCGCAGCCGGGGACGGGACTCAGCGCCGTAGACGTTCGAAGATGACCCCGGCGGGTCACCCTGCGTGCCAAGTACCCCCAATCTGGGAGCCTGCATCGAGATTTGGGATTGTCGATAGATGGGGCCACTTCCGCCGCTGGCGTCTCACCTTTCCTCTCCCCTTTTTGGAGCGGGGGTCCCGGAGTACAGCATAGGGGGAGACGTCACGTTAGCCTTTTGTTCTAGACCGTCATCCATGCCTTCTCCGGAAAGAGGCGTCCAACCAGGCCGTGTGCTGGTTTCCGAGTAAATCATAGGGTCCCAAACCATGCATCTCTCAATCCCATCTGCTCGTCGAAGCTGAGGCTTGAGTGAAGCTCCATATCGAATCGCCGTATACCCGGTGTTTAGCACCGTTTCAGAGAAAAGGCGGCCAACGCGTACGTGCTACAGGGCTCTCAGTGAAGACTCCTTCGCTATTGCCTGTCGCGTTGACTTAAAACGGCGCCGCAATCACCGCTTTGTTCTCTCGCGTGGAATAGGCGCCAGGGATGCATTAACTGAGTTGCAGCTATGAGCATGGATAAAGCGTTGTTTAAGCTTTCCGCCGCAAAGCACCCCTGGTTCGAGTCTTTGAAGATGGGCTGACACGGCAACGCCATAGGCGTCGGAACCCAACTCCGCCTCCGTCTCGACGATTGAAGGTGGAGTCCGTGGCCTCCCCTTTTTGGGATGGCTGCGATAACACCCCAGCACACATACTCGGCGTGGGATGGGGAAGAGCATGCCTCCTTCGCTGATTTGAGGAGAGCCGCGTGTATCACTTCGGACTCGGGCACTCGTACCGTGGGGCTCTGGCCGGAGCAGAAGTCCACCTCCGCGCTTCAGGATTGATGTAATTGGCTGCGGGGCGCTCTGCCGGACGACATATGTTCCTTTCGTGCTTTCGACGCAATCAGCATCCCTGTTGGAACTAGTGTCAAAGAAGGAAAGTTGCTTGTGCGACTACGGAAGTCAACTCGGTGAGGTTAGTCAGTTGCCCGCATTGTTTAGCGCTCTGTTCGGAATCCGCAAAGACCTTGCAAGTAGTTCGAACTTTGCACAGTTTCGGCAGTCTATTTCGCGATAGTCACCGCATGTACCACATATACGGCCAAGGATGGCGTGCGACAAATGACGCACAGAATAATTCCGGGGTGCAGTGTGTATTGGGGGGTGGGAATATGGGCGAATAAGAGGCTTACGAAGATCGGATCGTTGCCATGTCTAGTAACCGCTAAACAAAACTCTATAACACCTCACAGCGACTTTCTAATTTCTGATGTCTTCCAAGGAATGTGTAAGATCCTTGGCAGAGTCGAAAACACCCCCTTACCGAACCCCCCCGTCAAGGGTGCAACTCTACGACCTAAGCATGTGCATCCAAGCGGCTGGGACGAGTTCATTGAGACGCCGGCGCTGTATATCGCAGCGGTGGAAGACTGCTAATAATGCAAGGAAGTCAATTTTCAGCATCCTCTAAGCACTACCGCGGAGCAGGCCTTTCCTCCGAGGATAGCTGCAGGCATGCCGATCGCGGCAGCCCCCTTCCTGTACACTCACCGAGCCCATTGCAGGAGGTCGTCAATGAAGACAGACAGGTTCAGGATGGTATCGCGGAAACGTGACTGTATTGTCAGTCATGGCAGGATTAACGACAGCGACTTGATAACGATGCCCAGTGATAACGCTGGGTTGGAGGCAGAACATTTGAGATGATGGGTGTCACGGTAGCGCAAATCCTTGGCTTGCCTCATCAGCTCGTCAGGATCTCTGGGCCACTTGATGAATGGACGGCTGCTGAGGAAACCGGGTTCGTCTTATGGCTCATACAAAGGATTGGTGGCTGTTAGGAAGACGAGGACACCTCGATATTATGCGCTTGAGACTGCCGGTTGATAGATAGGTTTGCTCAAGCTCAGTGATCTATTATGACTGTGTAGTAAGTTCTAGTGAATGTTAGAACCAGCTGGTCGTGCTGAGGTTCAGAGTCGGAAACGTCTCCGCACAACTCAGCCCAAAGTGGACGCGAGAGGGCACATTGGGGAGCAGCATAATCATGGCAGAAGCTACCCTTGGATGTTATCATCAGCTCCGGCATAGCTGTCGTCCAATCACGATCTGCAACAGACGAAAACCCGGGGGGTTTTCTGTCTGTGTAATGTTCGATTGGCCAGCGGAGTGGAATCCTCGAACTCGAAGAGGACGGTGCAGCAACGTCGGACGTCTACAGGAGTCCGTTCCGCGGCCAGGGCAGTCGAGGGGAGGCCCCAACCGACCTGCCATTGGATGTAGGCGCACATCGCATTCTAGAATCGCACATCGCATTCTAGAATGGCACATTGAAGCCTCGAGCCGAGCCACGACATGACTATTGTATGTCGCAACAATGACGAACAAGCAGTGCTCATGTGAACCCATGACCGCAGGCTATACGATGACGGGTACAACAGCCGTGGAAACACGGGTCAGTCAGCCGCCAGAAATGATGATTACACACGCCCAAGTTTCTACAAGAGACCAGGAGCGCTCTCACATGTTGGCACCCGCAACGGTCAAGTCCTGCTTTCCTCTTGTCTGGAAACAAGCAGATGATGGAGAACACTACAATCCATGTACAAGGGCGGAAGTCGTTTCAAGGTATGGTACACTCCACGTGGTGCCCTGAGTCTAGCCCCATCGGGTCCAGGACTTCTGATGACCAACAGAGTCGCTGGCACGTTGTTGGGATCCCGCGTACCCCAGATGGCACGTGACCAGTCGGCATGGTACTTAGTCCAAGTATCCGTACACAGCTCTGCAGTGGGCGCAATGCAGGGCATTAGACTCTGGGACATTCCTGGTCCGGTCTTCGTCCACAGAAAGAAAAGCTGTGGCGGGGACGTCAGCGAAATGTGCGCGGCGTCGATCCGGCGGGCTGGCCTGACGGGGATCGCGTGGAAGTCTTTGTAGTGTCGCGGATAGGTTGGAAAGGCGATCAAGCTGGTCAGGGCAGCGAAGCTATCGTGGGGTGCAGGCTTGCCGGGACGAGAAGCGAACGGGCATGGGCCTGGGGAGTTGCGGCGGCATGGCCAGAGAGCAGGGCCGAGCAGCGTGGATGCTGTGCAAGGCGATGAGATTGCGTCTGGATGCAAGGTGTTGGGGCTCGGGGGCAGGGAGGGCGAGGCGCCAGGCCCCGTCATTCGCCGGTCGCGCGAGATGAGGAGCCTTGGCGGCCGCCCGTCGCGCGCGCCCACGCCGTACGACGTCAACCGCTGCAGCAAACTGCCCTCCCTCAGCGCCATCCCAATATCTCTTCCGCAAGTCTGCTCGCAGTCGCACTCTCGGCCCAGTCGTTGCCCAGCGATCCGTTTTGCGGCCTTCCCTGGTGGCCCGGCCCACCCTCCGTTCGCTCCGACCGTCGCTCGTTCCGTGCCCTCACCTCCTCATTTCCAGCAACTCGTCGTCGCGACCCGTCTTGCCTGGACGCGGCCTGTCGCCGAGACACCTTCTCCGCCTGACACGCTCAACCAACGCCTCCCTCCTCCTCCGACCGCGTTCCGCCACCTCTCGGCCTCCACAACCTCTCGCGCCGCCCACTCCGACCACCATCCGCCTGGCCCTGGCGCCGCCGTGACGCGACAACAAACACAGCTCCGCCGTTGCGCTCCCGCAAACGCCATGACGACGCCCTCGAGCTCGCCGGCCCCGGAGGTCTACCGCGACCGCCTACCAACCCTCTACGAGGTGCTCAGCCGCAGGACCTCGGCCCCCGTCGACCTGTTCTTCTTCTACATCTACATGCGCGACCAACAGCGCTCCGTCGATTATCTGGATTTCTGGTGGGCAGCGCACTTCGCCCGTCCCATCTGCTGCTAATTGAATCCTCAGGCTCGATGTTTCTCAACACATGGCCCTGTGCCGTCACTACGTTCGTGAGCTTCGTCGCACCAACCTGTTCGGCACCCCGGAACTTGAGAAGTCCGGCAGCAAGAGATCTTCCGCCATTCTGGACAATGTGACCGAGGCCGGGCCCTCCAACGAGAAGACCACTCCCGAGCAGCGCCTTTCGGCCTTCCTGCGCGAGGAAGATGTGACCAGGCACCATTCACCTCACAACAGCGTCGGCACCACCGACTCCGCGCGTTCGAACAACGACCCGCCGCGCCCGAGCTTCATGGCAGGTTCCCAGGCCAGCGGCTCCCCCATGCAAGACTCGTCGGGGCACCAGCAATCCACTCCCGACCAGCACACCGTCACCCGCAACGATATCCGCGCCTCGGCCGAGAAGATCTTGTACACCTACCTCCTCCCGGGCTCCGAGCGCGAGATCATTCTGCCGCAGAGCATTCTGGACAGGATCACCCATGACATTGAGGTCGAAAACCGTGACGATCCCGAGGTTTTCGACACAGCCAAGGATTACGTCTACCAGGCCATGGAGCGTGACGCTTTCCCTGGCTTCTTGCGCTGCAAGGCCTTCGGCAACCTGGTGCCTCCGAGCATGATGGTGCGCATGATCATCGGCTTGCTGGCTATGTTTGGTGGATTCTGGGCCGCTTTCACCCTCATTTTCCTGAACCACTCGAGAAGCAACCGTTGCTGGGTAAGCATTTCCCCCATGCCTGTATCTATAACCCCAAAGCCCTTGACTAAAACAGTGGTCTCGATACCAGCTCATCCTCCCCTTCACCATTGGCGTCTACATGCTTGCATCACACCAGTACATGCTCGACCCTCTTCTCGTCTTCGCCCGCCGCAGCGAGACGACATTCGGCAACTTCGGCATGATCCGTGAGCCATTCGTCAAGAAGCTCCTCATGAAACGCGCCATCATGGTCCTCCTCATCATCATCCTCGCCGACGCCGCCCTGTGCCTGCTGTTCATCCTCGTCCCGGGCAAGCGCCTATGATGCGGCGGAAGGGTCATGCCGTAGCCTTCCCTGAATTACCGGTCGTGTTATTGCCTTTTCTTTCACTTCCGACTTAAACAACAAAAAGCGCAGCACTAGCGATTGTGCTATCTTACTCTCTCGCTTTTCTTTTGCCCCCCATCCGCGCATGGGGCGTACAGCGTGCTTGCGGGTTGAAAATTTTTTTTTCCTCCCAAATTATACCCTTGCTCGAGTTATTGTCTTCGGGATCCAAGGCGCACACACGGAACCCCGGCCGGCCACACCCGAAAGCGTGTGTTTCCTTGTCCGTTTTGTGTCGCTCATCTTTCTCGTTGGGCGGCGAAACCAGGCGTATAGCGGGAGTCTTTTTTCTTTTCCAAATATCCTTGAAATCATTATAACTGTCCCCAGATGGAAAGATTCTTACTATCGTATCTTACTGTCGTACTCGGAACCCTCACCTCTTTCCTCCTCCCACCTTTTTTTTTCGGTCTCTTTACTCTCTTGGGCGCTGTTCGCTCGCCTGAACGAACGTTTGGTGCTCGATTGATATTCACACTGGACCATGGATTGACTTTGTTCTTTTCTTTTTCCCTTTTTCCTACACCTCTCGATATGTTTCGGACGTCGCCATGGTTCTGGATTTGCGCCTCTTTATTTTCTTCTTCTCTCCGCTTCCGCTGTGGGGATTTTAATGATTCTGTTCCTCTTCCTCTCTTCCTCTCTCTCTCTTTGCCATTGGCGCTGCGGAAAAGCGGTATGAGAGGAAAGGAGAAGAGAGGAGAGGAGATGTGCCTATTCGCCAGCGTTTGGGGAGGGATCTTGGTGTTGTTTAATTTGAGAAGAGAGGAGAAGAGATGGTGGGAGAGAGGGGAGAGGAAAGGGCAGGATGAGGGTTGTATTGTAGGAATGGCGTGATGTGTGGGTGGGAGGGATAAGCGCGGTGGTTTTTTTTTTTTTTTGGTTCTAGTCTGGAGGAATTAATATCCCCACAATTGATGGCTGTTACCAAAATATGTGGTTTTCCTTTTCCTCTAGAGTACCATTGAGACATCATTGACCACCTCCCGGTGTTCACGTACGGACAAGGTGTGTGTATGCATGGGATAATCGACGTGTGTAGGAGAAGACTCTGCTTGCTCCTTCGTCATCCGAAGCTACGGAGAAAGATTTGTCTGGACGAGGAGAAGAGAAGAACAATGACAGAAAAAGAGAACGCGTTTTCTCCAAGAACGCCGAGATGATGAGCCCTTCCCTTTCCCTTTCCTTCACCCAATGCAAAATAAACACCGTCGTCTTTCTTCCCGCCGCAACCAATCCCAACCCCGCCCAAAAAAAAAAAAGAAAGGCTCATGATTTTCTTCACTGTCGATGGGCTCCTGCAAAGAAGAGGGGAATATCTATCTATACAACGCCGAAAACGACAACGATTATGCGGGTAGAGAATGCGATCGTGCTGCTGTTTCTGCTGCTGCTGCTAATACCACTGTTTCCACTCCGGCTGCTATAGCAGATCCTCTCGCGGCGAGCACATGGGCAAGGGCACGCCACGACCACCCACCATAAAGGCGTTCGCGTCCGAAGCTTCCTTCTTCTTGCCCTGGGTGAGGATGCCGAAGCGGAGGAAGACTTCGGAGCAGGTGACGAGGATGGAGAGGATGATGAGGATGATGATGATCCAGGTGATGCCTGGACGGGGCGAGGGCGATGTTGTTAGTCGTGTTTGGGGTACGGTGCTGGCTGTATATTCTCTCGTTCTCTTCTCTCGTTTTTTTTTCCGGAGAGGGGATGGAAGAAGGGGAAGCCAACTTACGGGTCATTTTCTTGTCGGCAATGGAGTCGCTTAGGATCTCGGCGAGGTCGAGGAAGACTCGGCAGCGCTCGTTGAGGACTTGGATGCGGGGCTTGATCTCGAGATACTCGCGGATGGCGGCGTAGAGCGGGTGCAGCGTGGGTTCGGATTCCCAGAAGAAGTTGGGGACGTCGAGCATGTTCGACGCTGTGGGGAGAGAGTTGTCAGCAAGGCAGTGGCAAAGAACCAAAAGGAGTTGAAAGGTCGAAAGGCGGGGACAGGGCAACTTACAAAGGTTGACATCTACTCTGCTGGCGAACAACTGTCCCAACATGCTGACGACTTCCTCACGCTGCATGCCCAGCTTTCCGGTGAGGGCCAGGCGGCGTGGTACGTACTGCGCCTTGATCATGATCTGGGCCATCCTTTCCTCGAAGAAAGACAGCTTGGTGCTCTGGGCGATGGCATGGCTCATGGCCAACTTGATCATATGATCTCCGCTCCGCAGTGTGATCATGTCGTTGTAGACGCGGGGCCTGCTGATGTTAGGGTTGTATTCGAAGTGGAACTCTTCGGTCTCAAAGTCCTCCTCCTGCTGCGGTCGCGTGACCAGAGGCACGTTGGTGATGGACTGCGAGAAAGTGAGGTCGGCCAGAATGTCCTTCTCCTGGCGTTCGGTGAAGTTCCAGAAGACGACGACGCCGTAAGAATAAACGAACATTTCGCCGAAGCCGAGGGCGTCGGGAGCGATCCTCGGCGGCGACATTGAGCGCTGCGAACCGTCTCGATGTGGAGAGCGTGGAGACTCATACATGTCTTCGGACGTCCTCGACACGCTGCCGTTGCGAGGGCTTTGGCTGGGGGACTCTCCCTCCTCATGGGCTCTTATGCCGTAGCGCTCATTGTCCCCGAAGTAGCCCTCGTGGTACTCCCTGTTCTCGTTCCGCTCAATCTCCTCGTCGAGCACGCTCTTTCCGCCAGGGCTCTTCAAGACCGGACTGCTGCGGACGCGGTAGCCGTCATGGCCGCCCAGCAGGGGCAGATGGTAAACGGTGTACAAGCAATCGTCGTACAGCTTGGTGCGGGCGGCGTGCTGGCTCTTGACGAAATCGGCCGTGGCGCGCAGCTTGTAGGACTGGGCGGTGCAGTAGGCCGTGACGCGGGCCAGCTTCTCGGCGCGGCGGGCCTTGGGCAGGCGCTCGGCGTACGACTTCTCCTTGACGCCGGCGCGCTCGCTGCGGATGCGCTCGAGCTCGTTGTCGTCGGGCGGGCCTTGGTCCTCGTCGGCCCTGAAGCCTTCGAGCAGGTCGTCCTCGTTCAGGTCGTCCTCGTCGGCCTCGGGCAGCAGCACCAGCTTCTCGCTGACCTTGCTCGACCGCGACGGCATGTACTGCGGCGCCAGGCGGCCGCTCAGCTTGGGCTCGAGCGGATGCCTGCCCGACGGCGTGCGCGTGTGGCGCGGGCGCTCCGGGACCGGGCCGCGCCGCTGGCCCGAGGGGATCTCGGAGGCGTACTGGAGGACGTTGTCGACGCTGATCAGGCGCGTGGTCGAGGTGCGCGGCACCATGGGCGGGCGTTGCTGCTGGGCGATTTCGCGGGCGTCGGTGACGAGCACGGTGGGGCCGCGCTTGGGCTTCGCTGCTGTCGTGGACGCCATTGCCGGAGGGTCGGGGGCGCGGGAGGACGACGTGTTGTGTTTGGGGCCGAGGGTGGATGCGGTGTCGTGGGGAGCTTTGGCGGGTTGCATTGGTGTTGCAGCCCTGCGAACGTCATCGCCCGGCCGAGCTTCTCCATCATCCGCCATTCTCGGCGGCCTCCATGCAGCCATTGGGTCACAAGCTCATCGGAGTGGCCACGAACCCGTCATCAATTGGTCTAATGCGATAGATCGGCTGGCACGGCAGGCCACGAACTCTCCTGCCAACATGGCGACGCCGGTCGAGTGCCCCTGCCACGACTTCGGCCTGCCGCTTCCCTACCTTTTCGATGCTTCTTTCGGAGGACTTGACTTATCCGGCACTTGTTTCGATTCCCCCGGCGCCTCGCCATCACTAAACCGGAATATCGCTCTCCATCCAGGAATGCCATATAGTGCTTCGAGGTCTTTGTCTGGTGTTGCCATTTTCTCGCCCCTTGCCGGCTGGTCGTTCCCAGGCTTCCCATTGGACGCCGGGGGTCGTTTCTTTTTACTTTGCTCCATGTCTATAGCACTGTAGTGAAGTTTTCTCACTCAGTATCGTCGGTCTGCAGGATTGATATCGCTAGAGAGACCCCAGGGATGGCTTCCATACCGTGCGTGGTTGCAATTTCATTCAACTTCTCCGGTGCAGGATTTCGTCGCTTTTTGAACGGCTGTGGTGGAAGTGCAGATCGGCCAATGCGGCCACTATCTCGCGCGCATCACCGATACTTAAGACGTGACCTGTTGGGTGCGCACATGGCAAACGGAACCGGTCGTCACTTTGAGGTGTTGGCATTGCAACGCCTCCGTTGATACGGATTGCTACACATGTCTTGCCATCAAACCACGCGGGCATTATTGACGACACACCGCAGATCCGGGACGGGCGGGCCGATTGCATTCATTTTGGAAATGGCTTGCGGGCTGACGATTTAGCAAACGGCGTGGCACAGATAGTCAACGGCTCTGCCGCACGCCACACCAACGCCAGACTGCCAACCGTCACGTCCTCGCTTGGACTGGTAGCATAAGAAGCAACACATGATTGCCACCATCCTCAACCGCCATGCTGGCAGAAATAATGGCATTTCACACACAACATGTGCTCCAACTACCTTTCTTTCTCAAATCTGGACTGGCGTGGATGCACTCCTGCCCTAGTCTTTTTACCAAAGAATGCAAGAATAGTTGTCGAGGAAAGGCTGTCGGGAAAGGCTGGAACATCTCGCAAATTTATGTTTTTTGTACGTCTCCAGTTCGAACTGAAAATCTGTGAGACTGAATGCCTTCTTTGATTTTTGTTGACCACTGAGCTACGAAAATCTGAAATCATCTTAACGAGTGTACGTTTAAAGCAATGTATGTACATGCTTCGGTCGGACAAGTGCAACATTACACCCCACAACGGTTCATTAAACTCGGCCCACGTCGCTCCCCAAGCAATAAGAAAAGACATTTAAAACTTAAAGACCCTCGCCGCCCTCTTCCTACGGGCACTACTCCAGACGACGTCAACATCATCAATGCCAGCGATGCCAAAGCTGCTCAACGCCTTTTCGTACGTTTTTACGTATTCCGCCATGCGCTACCATGCCCTCCTACACCTCCGAGTGTATCTGCGCCTCCGGGCGCTTGTCTTGATTGTTCCCCTCCATGCCCTCCGCGCACGTTCTCACGCGTTGTTCCACCACGAGGTCTCGGAGTCGGGGTCAGCGTTCCCTGATCAGAGCCGTCTTCAGCGCTTTCTTCCTGGCTATCATCCGGGTCGACCTATGGCGTCTTTGACGCCGGACGCAGACCACGAATACGTCTGCTGGCACGCAAAGTCGGAGGCGGATTTGGAGTAGCCGCAGCAGCAGCAGCAGTTCTCGACACATTTGCTTGTCGCACCTGAGAGGCTGCCGCTTGTCTTTGCCTAGGCCGGCTTGACGGGCTTGTAGCGGCGTTAGCTGGTGGCAGCTGGGTTTCGGCAATGCTACTGTCGGAATCATCGTTCTCCTGATCCTCTTGTTCTTCCTCATCTTCGCCCTCATCCTCCAACTCATCCTCGTCTTCCTCCTCATCTCCCTCATCTTGCCCTTCACCCTCGTCCTCGTCGTCCTCATCCTCTTCCTCGTCATCCTCATCCTCTTCCTCGTCCTCAACCTCCAGCTTCACCCGAGGCCTATCATACTCTTCCTCTTCCTCGTCATCTTCTTCCTCGTCGTCCTCAACCTCCAGCTTCACCCGAGGCCTGTCATACTCTTCCTCCTCCTCGTCATCTTCTTCCTCTTCCTCGTCGTCCTCAACCTCTAGCTTCACCCGAGGCCTGTCATACTCTTCCTCTTCCTCGTCATCTTCCTCCTCATCATCCTCTTCCTCGTCATCCTCTTCCTCGTCATCCTCTTCCTCGTCATCTTCTTCCTCGAGTCTCTCGCGCTTCACAGGGCGCAGGTCGGCATCGTCGTCGTCGTCATCAGACTCGTCCTCCTCGAATAATCCGCGGTCGCGACGACGATTTCGTCTGTCGCTTGGCGGTGGTGAGCTCGAATCACGACTTTCGTCGTCGTTGTCATCAGACTCGTCTTCGTCGTTGTCATCAGACTCGTCTTCGTCGTTGTCATCAGACTCGTCTTCCTCGAACAATCCACGGTCGCCACGATTTCGTCTGTCGCTTGGCGGTGGTGAGCTCGGATAACGACGTCGTTCTGCAGCTTGCGCCTCACGTCTGGGGCCTTCCACTAACTCGGCCGTATATCTCACGAGCTGGATCGACGCATAATCCCCTGGCGTGGTGAGGCGACCTGTCCCTCCCATAAAATGGATATCCTCAGTCGGATCTTCGGTATGAGTCAGATTTTCAATCCTATTGTGATCGGGATCGCGGGTCAGAGCATAGTTTGGGATCCTCCGATCTTCCCTTCTGAGGCGATTCTGGACCAGCGGCAACGGCCAGTACAAATCTTCCACAATAGGGCGGAGGTGGTATTGGCTGGGACGGTCCAGCTCCATGTGAGCCGTGTAGATGAAGTCCTCGCGTATGGGACTAACGCGCGCCCATCGATTAATCGAGGAGTAGTTTACCAGATGAATTGGCGGGGCTCCCGATCCTCGACTCAATACCTTCCATTTTAGTCTCCACCCCCGTAACTGAAATTCAGAATCAGGAGCCCTGTGGGGAATGTGGACAATAATCTGGACATTGTAGGCATCGGCCAGCAGCTGTACCATTTCCATGCTACCTTCCACCCTCCAGTCGAACAGCTGGTCCAGAAGGCGTCCGCGCCCGTAGCGTCTCGTGGAAGTATCTAGGCGTTCATATAGCAGTCTTCGCTGACGGGCCACCCTATTGAATTCCACATAGCGGTCGTTGCGGTCGCCGCGTCCGTTGCGGACGAAGGCTCTTCTTACGTCCATTGCATAAAGCCAAAGGTTTTGAACCGCTTCCTGAACTGAGCGCCAGTCCGCGATGTTGTGGGCACTTGCAAAAGATCGAAACAAGGTCTTCATCCCTCTCCAGTGTGTACCCCGGGCGCCAAGCAAAGGGATCGTTTGGTGCCATCGTTCGTTCTGGTGTCCTTCAAAGCCGCTCAATGTGAATAGCCTCTCCAGCTCTACTTCCATGCGTTCTTGATCTGTCCGAGGCGGAACAAAAGAAGGATCGCCGTCGCCGATATAGGCCCCTGTCCACAGTGAATACCGGGGATGCGGGTGCAACTGTTCATAAATTCCTGTTGTTTGGTGAGCGCGGAGTTACAGACAGATAGATGGAGAGAAATTACTTTGTTGGTGTAGGGTCAAAGGAGCAGGAAAGTAACATGGATCCTGATGGTGAATCATCCGCCAATCCAGCCTATGTCGTCCAAATCTTTGAGGTCGATCTTGAGCTATTTCGAGCTCATATTTCAAAAGCTTGAATAGGAGGGAAGCAGGATCATCCAGCGTGCCTCCAAGCCCGCGAAGTTGACAGAGGTTGAGGAGTTGCTCTGGAGTCCACAGCTGAGCCAAAGGGACATATTGATCATCGTGCCTTCTGTCCAGTGCCTTTCTGAGCGCGTATGCATCTCCGTTGGAATAAAGCCCAAGGTCTCTGCACCGCTCTTTTAGCGGATCCAAACTCGGCCTGTATAATGGTCCCTTGAGCAGTGCAACTATGTCCCTTTTGGGCCAAGGCACAGCCAACTGCTGGCGATTCAGCACCCTGCGCAGTTCTCGAACGAGTGCATTTCTGCTGAACTCGTCGAGATTCTTCGCGTCGTGCCGTGGTTCTACATAGGGTTGGCCATGGGGGATCACTAGGATAAGGTCGGGCTGTATGGGATTCTGATTTGCACCAGTGTAGTTGTCCTGTCTGACTGGCATCTCGATTGGGTGGGGGAAACGAAGAGGGATGCGATGAGGAGCCAAAGAGGAGAAGATGGCTTTATCATGGAGGTGACAAAGGACGCAGGATCAAACGAGTACACACGTTCGCAGGAGGGGTACACGCATTGTCTTCATTGTTTGTGGTGCCGGAAGCGGCGTAAGTAGCGAACATGTCAGCGGCAGGCGGAAAGCATTCGGGGTGAGCTTGGAGTCGTCTTCTCTCGGCTTGGCGTGACGTCGCAGTCGCAGACAGTGGTCGGGGGCGAAATCCGACATGAAGGAAAAAAGCGCCGAGCACCGGTTGCGGCAGGGCTGGCTTACGGCACTGAGGCAGAACAACGAGCGAGGGTGGACTTCTGCATGCCCAGCGTCGAGGGGATTGGGGCAACCCGAGGTCACACAAGGTGGGCGTGGTTGGAGGAGACGCAGGCGGCGGGAGGGTCTGGCGCGAGACATGTTCGAGGAGCGGCGTCGCATGGCGGTCAAGGAGGCGGCAGCTCTCGCGGGCGACACTGACGGGGTTGACAGTACCTAGTGTTGACATGGCGGCAGCGGAGCTGTGGCCGGCTGGTGTGGGCGGGGCGTGCCGGAAGGAGCATGGCTTGGTGGGCGGCTGGCGGGCGATGGCGGGCGATGGCGGGCGATGGCGGGCGGAGCAGCAGCGGGATCTGACACAGGTGGCAGCTGCAGGTGGCAAGGGCCGCTTGGGGCTGGATCGCGACTCTGGCGCAGATCCATCTGGAGTAAAGCCGTCCAGCGGCGATCGCCTGCCCAGCCGAGCGCCCAAAACCCACCGCCGGGCTTACCAGAAAGCGGCCCGCGGCGTCCACCTCGCGACAGTCGTCCGTCTGCCTCGCTGCCTGCGCCTGCTGAGCCTGCCCGAGCCCTTCGCGCTGCACCCCGAGCCCGCCACCGCATCATCTGGCCCGCCGCCCACGCGGCACCCCTGCTGCCCTCTGTCTTCGCAACTAGCCGCGCTAGACACGCACTTCAGCCGCCTGCTTGCGAGCCCACGCCGGAGGCATGCGACTCGGCCCTCGCCCTCCCCCTCCATCGCGACCCTATGATTAATCCGCCGTCAATCTTCACAGGACTGCCGCGCGACCACACACGCTCGTCCACCCCGGAGCCCCGCCCCACCGCTGCGCCCGACCACCCCCCAACCCGCGACGGCCGCAACAGCTCGCTGCCAGCGACAAAGGCCACGAGCGCATGGCTGGCTGCGCAGCCGCATGCCACTGATCCAGAGCCGCCCCCAGGCCCCGTCAACCCGCCGTCGTGCCGCAAGTCAGTCGCTGATTCGTTTGTCGCTCCTTCGAAGCCTGCTGAGAAGCGCCTGTTTCCACACCAAGGCCCCGCCCACAAGCACCCCCACAGCGAGCCGCTGCACAAGCGCCGCAAGCTCCAGAAGCGCTCGCGCCACACGCTCGACTGCTTCGATCTCCCCGCTCCGTCCCTGGACCGCAAGCAGCCGCCTTCGCCTCTCTTCTTCTCCCACACCAAGCGCGCCCGCCCGCCCTTGCCCGCGCGCTTCTCGAGCTCCGAGGCCGCCGCGAGGATGTTGAGCAATGCGCGCGAGGACAGCGGCATCAAGACAGTCACTCTAGCGCGCGGCACATATGCTGGCTCGAGCCCCTCGACCCGCACATCTGTCGATCGCGCGAGCCTGCCTCCCGCTTCGCCCGAGATTCGCGACAGGCCCGAGGTGCCGCGCGCCCTCAGCAACATAGGCATTGGAGAGCTGCTGGAGCAGGACGGGCGCCCTACTTTCATTGTCGATCTGGGCGAGCCCACCAACTACGGCCCGGGATATTTTCATGTAGTTTTCGCCAATTCAGCTCTGCGCGCCAGCATCGGCCTTCTCGACCTCGTGAGCGGCAAAGTCGTGCATGGGTCCCAGGACCCCGCCACTTTCAAGGCCTTTACCCACTTCAAGACGTGGGTACTCAGCGCCGTCGTGCACGGCGAATCCCTGGACGTCTGCATTCCTGGCATGCTCTACGGCGGCCTGTCGTGGACCATATACACCATCCGGAAGAAGTACCGTGTCGTCAGCGGCAACTATGCCGCTTCGCCCACCCCGACCACAACCTCGTCTCTCCCGGGTTCGGTGGCGACGCAGCAACCGTCGTCTGCAGGCCGGTTTGCAAGGGGGCAGAAGCTTGGCCCTCCTGATTCCGAAGGCCTGGTTCTGCCGAGTACCGAATCGGATGCTACCGACTACTTCGGCCTCGCCACGGGCGACGGCCCTTCGCCTGATGACATGCCCAGCACCCCACAGACGGCCGGCACCATGACGACCGCCGCGGAGCCCGCCGAGACGCCGCAAACCCCGGCTGGCTTGACCGGACGCCTTTTTGGGGCTACCTCGGATGTAGCTTCCTTTGTCACTCATCCGTCGTTAACAAACGAGTGCGTACTCCGGGCTGCTGTTGCCGGCACCGTTGATCCATTTGAAAGCTGTAATGACCCGAGTTCCAGGAAAGAGATTGGCTTCTTCGACTGGACGCGCCTCCCCATCGACTCCAATCTCCCCAAGCACATCCAGTTCGCGCGTAGTGTGGACTGGGCATCAACTCCTTTGGGGCCAATCGAGTTCTGGTCAGCTGACTTGCGGCAAATGTGTAATTTGATCATGGCCAGCCCTCATCCTGCAGCCATGTACTGGGGCGAAGACCTTGTAGCAATATACAACGAAGCATACATATTACTTGCCGGACAAAAGCACCCGACTCTGATGGGCCAAAGCTACAAGGATGCCTGGGCAGAAATTTGGGAGGACGTCAAAGATGTATTTGCGAGCGCAAAGACCACCGGCCAGGCCACAATGAAGGTGAGTTGGTAGCGAGTCGTCTCCTCGACTCTTGTCAAAATTAACCCGCCGCCTTCCAGGATGACGATTGCCTTTTTATCAAGCGAAGCAACTACCTCGAGGAGACGTACTTTTCCTGGGCGATTATTCCAATGATCGGAGGCGATGGAACCGTCATGGGCCTCTACAATCCGGCATTTGAAAAGACCCGGCGGAAGATTGCCGAGAGACGGATGCTCACCCTCCGCGAAGTGGGCGAGCGGACCGCTGTCGCCCGTGACATAAAATCTTTCTGGGACCAGGTCATGAAAGCACTCGCGAGCAACGAGTATGACACGCCATTCGTGCTCCTATACTCAGTCGCGGACGACTCCGACAGCGACTCTTCATCGATGCATTCGAGCAGCGTTTTTGGCACCAAGCAATGTTTGTTAGAAGGTTCAATGGGCGTACCAGCGGGCCATCAGTGTGCACCCGACCAACTGGAGTTAAAGACGAGCATGGACGGCTTTGCGCCTGTACTACGGGAAGTTATGAAGACCGATAAGCCGGTTTTACTGGACATCGGCAGCGGAGACCTGCCTACAGAGATGATGGAAGGCATCGGGGGCCGCGGTTTTGACGATCCCGTACGGTCCATTGTGGTTTGCCCGATACATCCGACCACTGGAGAGTCCATTCTGGGATTCTTGGTCCTTGGCGTTAACCCGAGGCGGCCCTACGATGATGATTACAACCTGTTTGTTCAACTTCTAAGCAGGCAGTTAGCCACGTCTTTGGCGTCGGTGGTTCTTTTCGAGGAGGAGATTCGTCGGGGTCAAAGAGCTGCAAAACTGGCTGCGATGGATCGGATGGAGCTGTCCGAACAGCTTGCCGCCAGGACCCAGGAGGCAAGAGACAGCGAGACGAGATTCACTCGCATGGCGGAGTTTTCTCCGGCCGGCCTTTTCATTGCCAATTCAGAAGGTCACATCATTTACTGCAATGACACTTGGTATGAGATATCCCGAGTGCACAAGGACACGGCCAGCACGGATCAATGGATAGACGCAGTCAAACCGGAGGACCAGCAGATGGTCGCTCATCTGTGGAATACCCTGGTCGAAAAGACGGAGGCTGTCACGGCCGAGTTCCGGTTCAAGGCGCCCTGGGAAGACAGGAACGGCAACTCCACAGACACTTGGGTCCTGTTCAGCGCCTACCCGGAGAAGAATGTTCAAGGTACTCTCAAGAGCGTCTTTGGAACGATCACAAACATCAGTCAGCAGAAATGGGCCGAGGGCTTCCAGAAGAGGAAAATGGAGGAGGCTGTGGAGCTGAAACGGCAACAGGAGAATTTCATTGATATCACTTCTCATGAAATGAGGAATCCTCTGAGCGCCATCTTGCAATGCGCCGACGAAATCTCTTCCTCTCTGCTCGAGTTCAGACAAAGCGGATCAAAGGTGATCGAGGAGGAACTCGTCAGTAACAGTATCGATGCTGCCCAAACCATCGCACTCTGTGCGCAGCATCAGAAGCGTATCGTGGATGATGTGCTCACTCTGAGCAAGCTCGACTCTGCCATGCTTCTTGTGACGCCTGTCGACGTCCAGCCGTTGACAGTCGTCCAGCGCGCGCTGAAGATGTTTGAGGGAGAGCTGCAGACCGCCGACATTCAAATGGAGTTCATAGTGGATGAGTCCTTCAACAAGCTCGGCGTAGATTGGGTCAGACTGGATCCATCCCGTGTGTTGCAAGTGCTAATCAACTTGACAACAAACGCCATCAAATTCACCACGACCGAGGCCAAACGGACAATCAAAGTAACCATTGCGGCATCGACAGTCAAGTTTTCCAAGCTAGAGAACAGACTCGTCAACTACTTCCCCACGCGATCGAAGAGAGTAGACATGACGGAAAGCCACGACTGGGGGACAGGCGACGACATCTACGTGCATTTCGCCGTGCAAGACACCGGCCGTGGCCTCAATGAAGAAGAAAAGAAGCTCCTCTTCCTGCGCTTTTCCCAAGCCTCGCCCCGCACGCATGTGCAATACGGCGGCTCTGGCCTCGGCCTGTTCATCTCACGCGAGCTCACTGAACTCCAGGGCGGCGAGATCGGCGTCTCGTCAGAAGCCGGCAAAGGAAGCACCTTCGCCTTCTACGTCAAAGCCCGCCGCAGCAGCCCGCCCGCCGACCCGGTCGAGCAGCTGCCGGTCAGCCTGGCGCGAGCGCCCAGCGACCCGCGCAACAAGCGGGCCCAGGACCCCATCATCAAGACCAGGGACTTCGCGGCGCCGGTGCCGAGCCGGCCGACGAGCGCCGCCAGCAGCAGCCAGAAGAACAACCAGGCGCAGAGCAGGAAGGACATCACGGTGCTCATCGTCGAGGACAACCTGGTCAACCAGAAGGTGCTGCAGAAGCAGCTCAAGAACCAGGGCTTCACCGTGCACGTGGCCAACCACGGCGGCGAATGCCTCGACCAGCTGCGCACGTCGACGCACTACGCCGCGCCGCTCGAGACGTCGGCGCCGCCGCTCGAGCTCTCGGTCGTGCTCATGGACCAGGAGATGCCCGTCATGGACGGCCTGGCCTGCACGCGGACGATTCGGGGGTGGGAGGAGAACGGGAAGCTCATCGGACACGTGCCCATCATCGCCGTCACGGCGAATGCGCGGGCGGAGCAGATTGCGCAGTTGATGGCGGCGGGGATGGATGACGTTGTGAGTAAGCCGTTCAGGATTCCGGAGCTGGTGCCGAAGATTGAAGAGCTGGCGGAGAAGTTCAAGAAAAGGGAAGAGGACAAGAATTGAAATGAAAACGGTGGGGTCGAGGGAGATTGTTTTGACGACATTTACCTGCACGGCAGCGCGCGAGATTGTAAAAGAGGAGGGATTGTAGCATTACGGACATCTTCTTCTTCTTCTTCTTCTTCTTCTTCTTTGCTGTCTCGTCTTTCGCTTTCGGCGGCTGGCAATTTATTGATTTGGTCTCCTGACCACAGCGACATGATGTTTTGCGGCACGGCGCATCTAGAATCGGAGGGCGTCCCGAGGGCACGCACGCACACACGCGGGCAACGAGAGAAGGACACGTGTTATGTGCTTACGGTTTGATGGTTTGGCATTCTGCATCGGCGACTGTTTTTTTGCATAATTTTCCGGCTCTCCTTGTTGAATTTTTGTCTAGAGGGAGACACATGTTAGTTATCGCTTGCTGCAGAGATTCACTTTCGCTCACTTCATTACACCATACCCCCAGTGGCGGGAGCGGCGCGGTTGGGATAGTCGTTTTTGATTGGACTTTTTGGGCTTTTCTGGCCTTCACTTTCTGCAAGCATGTTGGCGTCTTTGCTAGATGCATATCCGTCAGCTTTCGTTCTTGGTCAAGCGGTTCATGGGTATATCGAAGCGGCCATTTGGGTCCGTTGGGCGGCACGGCTCTTGTCAGCCCTTTCTTTCTTCTTTCCTGCGGCACCACACACGACAGTCGGTACGAAAAGGATTTGGGTATAAAAGCGGATGGATGCTGCTGGTCTTACTAAGGCAGTCTTGTTTCTGGCAACAATAGCCCACGCACACAGACCACGAGACCGGTTTTGCCCCCCCATGTCTTGTCCTGCTCGAGGCCGAAGCCGCGGTATGTGTGTGTGAGTGGTCGTGTCTCATCTGCAAGGAGCCAGCCAAGCTCTCACCTCAAGGGAGGGGGGGGCCCTTGATCACTTCATACTCAAAGATTGGCATCTCATCGAAGGTGCAGCAGGTGTGGAGCCTGATCGACGTCGGGCCGGTTGGATGACAACATGTCGGACAAGGTGCGATGCTGCTGTCCGGAAGCGAAAAAGCAAGGCGCTGGTGATGACCGAATCGGGTTACTTCATGTAGTCAGCACGCGCGCAAGATGGACTCGCATGGCCTGAGCGGGACGGTGGAGTGATGGTGCTATCGGTAGCACTTATCCGGAGACGGGCATTGGACGCCACAAACGAGGACGTGGTACAGCTGGAGAGGGTAACCCGAAAAACCCAGCAGGCGGTCCTCAGTGAAGATTTACTTGTTTTTTTCTCCTCAACGGGTCTGGAACATGTTATGGTCATGGCTGGTTTTCTTGTTCATCCAACCATGGCCTTGATTTTTTTCGACTTGAGGAGAGGGGTGGTTTGGGTACGAGTCGTGGTTGAGCGCGAAGTGAGGTCCGACTCAGAACGGGGGCTTGCGCCGCCCATGCGCCCACTTTCCGGGTCCGGTAACGTCGACAGAGCTAGTCGGCGATTACTACCTCCGACGACGACCTTCGATCCATCCACGGAGCCTGCCACGGACATAGATCCTACCGGACACTCTTGCACGGGTGTGCTTGGGCTGACGGTCTGCAACAGGACGCTTTGAGACGACATCGGAAGCTTCCACCACCAATGCTTGACACGAAACCAAGTCGGGCCCCGGAGTTTTAGTAGCGCAAGTTCTGCAGGCCCGACCGATTCCGAGCTGCAGCAGGGCTATGCGGGATGAGAGAAAAGAACGTGTCTCTGACTCTGGGGCTCATGCATCCCTCGCCCCGTCCCCTTCTCCGGAGCTCGGGGAATGGGTGCATGGAGCTGGTTACAGCCGTAGGATTGTCCGGAGCTGCGTGCTAATTGTAATATATACATTATGCTCGTAAGCAATTCGGCATGCAGGTACGTGCAGCAGCGCCCGCTCCGCGCCCGCTCCGCGCCCTACCGCTTACGCCATCTGACTGGCGGCAGACAGTCCGTCGGGACAACGCGGAATACGAACAGCCACACGACACCTTATGTACGGCCGCCCGCAACCTGCGTCATAAAGTCACTGAGCATCTCATGCGTATAAGACGCCGCCCCCACATGCAGAGTAAGCAGTAGTGCCTGGGGATCAGGGGTTCCAGCAAATCTTGCTTAACCGACGACCGACTGCATGCATCGTGGGTTGGGCCTCTTTCAAACGCGAGTTGACGTCATGAAATTCATTCCTATGTGCGGGAAAAAAAAGATCAAGGAGGTATTAGGACGGTGTGGCTATAAGGAGTGACCCGTACATGAGTAGTGAAACAGCGTTGACAACAAAAAAAAGGAATACAAACGCCCCCCCATCCGGGAAACCGAGAGCTAAAGACAAGAAGAAGAAAAAAAGGGGGGTAACAAAAGATATTCAAGCCGCCGTTGAAACCATCTCAGCCCGCTTCTCCCGCAGCTGGCACTGCTGCTGCTGCTGCTGCTGCTGCTGCTGCTGCGCATCGATCGCCACCGCCGTCACTGCATCAACGGCTCCACCAACGCCGCTATCCGACGCCGCAACCGCAGCCGCAGCCACCGCCTCAGCCTGCTCTTGCAGTTGCTCCTGCTCCTGCTCCTTCTCCTGCTGCCCCTGCTGCCCCTGCCGCTGCCCCTCCTGTCCCCCTTCCCGTCCCCGTCCCTCGCCAACAACTCCCCTCACCGCCGCCGCCGCCGCCGCCCCCGGCCCCGCCACCGCCATCATCCCCTGCACCTGCCTCTTCATCCGCTGCTCCGCGCCGTCCAGAAACCGGCGCGCCGACGCGACGTAGCGGCGCACGCGCTCGCCGTTGCGGTGCTCGGGCCAGCCGTCGATCATGTCGGCGCGGCAGAGGCTGTCGAGCGTCATGTTGAGCCACAGCTCGTTGGTGAGGTGCGGCAGGCGCTGGAGGAAGCCGGCGGCCATGGGGTTGGGGTTGGGGTTGGAAGAGACCTTGAGCTGCGTCTCGCAGTGGAAGTTGGCGCCGCGGACGACGGAGAGGGCGCGCGCGTGGCGGCGGTGTTGGTAGGTCGTTAGGAGGTGGGTGGCGGTGGGGTGGGGGATGCTGGTGGGGGTGGTGGGGGAGGTGGTGGAGGAAGAAGAAGAAAAGAAGTCGGGGTTGGAGGCGCGCAGGGCGAGGAGGAGGCTGGAGAAGACGGCGGCGGATTCCATGGCTTGCATGGCGCCCATGGCGGCGTGGGGCGTCATCTGCACGCGGGGTGAGATTCGAGCAAGTGTTTTTTTGTTTTGCTACTGGTTCGTTACGTACCTTGTGGGCCGAGTCGCCCAGCAGCAACATGCGGTCGCGGCACCACACGTCGGCGACGCCCTCCTCCAGGCCGGTCATGACGGCGACGCGCTTGGCGGCGAAGACGGCGGCGAAGCTGACGCCGGCGGTGACGGTGGCGCCGGCCACGAGGGCGTAGGCCGCGGCCAGGTCGTCGTCGGTGAAGCGCCTCTTGCGCTCGGCGGGCGCGTGGAAGCCGATGGTGTCGTGCAGGTCGACGAAGAGGAACCAGTAGAGCGTGCCGCCCGCGCCCGAGAAGATGAGCAGCGACGCGTCGGATTGGTGCACCGTGAAGGCCCGCCCCGGGTTGATCTGCGGGAGCGCGTTGGAGATGCCGTACACGCAGCCGTATCTGGTGGCGAAGTCTGGGCGAGGGGAGGGACATGTGTGGTCAGCGGCAGCAGGGCTGGAGAATCCCGGTTGTTCATGCATGTCTGGGGGGGGGGATTCGTTTTTCCTTCGGGTGGAACGGGGAAGGAGGGGGGGGGGAAAGGGGGAGGGGGAGCGTACTGTTGGGCGTGTAGTGGAGCTGCGGCAGCGCGGCTTCGATTTCCCGCCGCACAAGGCTCCGCACTCCGTCGGCACCCACGATGAAGTCGCAGCTCAGCCGGTCGCCGTCGGCCGTGGTGATGGTGGCGTGGGTGCTGCTGCTCTGCACCGAGCAGACCGTCTTGCCCGTGAGCACCCGGGACTTGTCCTTGATGCCCTCGTAGAGGATCTCAAGCACCCGCTGCCTCTCCATGAAGTATCCTCCGTAGCCGAGGCTGGCGTCGATAGCGGGCGGTTAGCGTGGTTCGCGGGCGTGCGAGGGACTGTCTGGAAGTGGTTTGGACTTACATGTCCGGGTAGGATCTCATTGCGTGCAAAGTGTTGTAGAGGGTGCCGTTGCCGTCACGGTATTCCCAATAGTCGTGTGCCACTGCATACTCCTCGACCTCGTCAATGAGTCCAATCTGATCGAGGATGCGGAGCCCGTTCGGCATCAGGCCGAGGCTGGCACCCTCGGGCGGAGCAATGTCATCGCGGGCTTCGAAGAGGGTGTAGGAGATGTCGGCTTGCTCAAGGATGTTGGCAAGTGTCAGACCGGCAGGTCCACCACCGATGATGCCAACGGTGACATGTTGCTCAGTTGCCATTTTGTTCGAAGGTCGTAGGGTCTCTGGAGTGCGACTAGGCCGAGAAGTTAAACAGTTGTGTCCAAGAAGTATCGATGACCATTTCTCGACAGCCTTTATATATCCCCCGTGGCCCGGTTTTTTGTCGCATCTTGCTTTTTGACATGATCTTGTTTAGCGCCACGATGCAGAGCCACGATTCAGAGCCAAGAGAAGGGCTTGGTTCGGCCGAGCTGCACTGTAGCTGTTGGGCGCCTTCGCACGAAGCTTCCTAGATGCCTGCGGGAGGGCGGCTGACCCCCCAAGACCCGAGTGTGAGACCTCTGAGCGCCGCTGAACGTGCCTGACCCGGGCTGACACGGCTGCCACTCGGCCCGTGTCGGGCCCCCGGCCCCGTACCACCGTCTTCCCCCGTCCACGCTGCTTCAGGCATCGCTCGCAAGTGATGCCGTGGCCGCAGGGCTTCTAGCGCTTATGACGTGCGTCCAAATTGGCAGTAGAGTTTATGCTGCTTACCTCACTGGCATGTAGCATCATATGGTGGAGTCCCCGCAATACTAGGGGACCCGCGTATTGACAGCATCATCCCCACATGGGAGGCGCTCCCGGTGCCCTTGAAAATGGTTAAGCATATCGTTAAGCCGCCTTGAGTGGCGTTGGTTGCACTGGTAGGGCTGTGCCGTCGTTTTCGGGTGGCACTGTTCTTGGCTCCGCTTCCTACTCAGCTGATGGATGCCGACCACTATGGAATTCGAGCGTATATGTTCCGGACTCAGGCATCTGCATCCTCTGACTTTGCCACTCGAGTCCTGAAATATCCTTCAGTGCGCGCCTGACCCGGTTCTTACGAAGCAAACCGCAGCAACTCTCCATTCAATAGGGGCTCCGGCTCATCCTTGTTTGCGTCACAGTGAGAAAACGTGACCGCAGTGAATAAGGCTATTACTTCCGAATCCTGCCATTTCCTACGCGCAGATACCTCCGGCAAGGGACACGGACGAGTTTCAACGGATGAGCATCTGCTAAGTCATTCATACGGGATCATCTCTCAGGTCCGATGAATCCATTACGGACCACACTTCCTCTGAATAGTCAACAGGCGTACACAACTCCATCGCTTATGGAGTTGCTTACGAGTTGGCGCATGCCGAAGTAAAAATACATTCTGAAGCATCCATTGTTGCACTGGATGCTTGCGCAAGCATGCCTGCTCTTCACTCTTGACGAGTATAGCTTCCTCCCTGGTTCTATAACGAACATGGACAAGTATGACTCCATTCACCATGCTATCCGACAGAGAATTCACGGCTCAGGTTGAGCTCCGAGGAAGATGGCCAAATGTGTGGTTCATCTTTAGTTTGAAGCTAGTGTATGTGGCGTTGGTTTTCGGATAAGCAATTTGACGGTACTTGATGCGCACTCTCGTGACTGGCCCACATCCCATCTCAGACTGCAAATCAAAGTCACTATTGCAGAAAAAAAAGGCTCGTCCAGAACATATTGGTTGTGTCCATCGCTACTGTCTTTAAACTTTTCTCGTCGGAATGCGCAAAGGCGAATATTCAATGACGACGACGGCGATTACAAGAAAAAGCAATCTGCCTCAAACATCCTCCGTCAACCCCACCATCTCCTTGCTGATCCTCCAACACTTCTCCTCCATCTCCTCATCAAACGCCCACGCCGCGTACCCCTTATCCGACATTTGCGCGCCCGCTCCCACCACATTGTCGGACAATTGCACGTCCTCGAGATACTTCCCGCCCTTACCCTCCCAGGCCTTGCCCACAGCGGCCCAAACCTGGGTGGCAGCACCCTGCACCGGATTCAGCATGACGCGCTGCACCTCGGGCGCATTCCATGACTCGACGACCTTGGCATCGACGTGGACCTGCAAGCCGGTCATGATGCCGCCGGGGTGCAGCGACAGGGCGTGGAGGCCGCGGGGGCCGTAGCGGCGGTCGAGGGCGTTTGCGGTCCAGATGTTCGCGGACTTTGCGTTGGCGTAGGCGGTCCAGGGCTTGTAGGGGGTGGCGGTGAAGTTGACGTCGTCGAGGTTGGGGGGCCCGGCGCGGTGGCCGATGCTGCTGACGTTGACGACGCGCGAGGCGAAGGCGGGGGTGGCGGAGGCGAGGAGCGCGGGGAGGAGCAGGTTGGTGAGCAGGAAGTGGGCGAGGTGGCAGACGGCCCACTGCGTCTCGAAGCCGTCGACGGTCTTGGCTTCGGGCGTGGCCATGACGCCGGCGTTGTTGACGAGCACGTTGAGCTTGGGGCTCTTGGCCAGGAACTCGGCGGCGCCGGCGCGCACCGAGTCGAGCGAGTCGAGGTCGAAGCGGAGGAGCTCGAGCTTGCCGGTGCCGGGGCTGGTGGCGAGGATGTCCTTGATCACGGCCTCGCCCTTTTTGAGGTCGCGCACGTGCAGGAACAGGGTGGCGCCCGTGGCGTGCAGTGCTTTGGCGGTTTCGAGGCCGATGCCAGATGAGCAGCCGGTGATGAGCATGACCTTGTCGGTCATGGTGTTGACACGGCCTTCATCCTCGACGATTTGCAGGGCCGTAGGGCGCGCGTCTCCAGGGCCTTGCGGATTCTCGAAGAGAGCGGCGTACGGGGCAAAGTTGGGTGCCATGGTGTGTTTGGATCAAGGTAGGTGGATGGCTTGGCTGTGTCGAGGCGAAGTGGATGGCTGCACTTATACTTTGATGCTCCGCAGTTTCTGGTCCGGGGCTAATAACATGGCCAAGACCGCGTTGGGTATGCAGCCTTTAGACCGATCGATCCGCGCTACACGACGCCAAGGACCTTGAAACTTCAACTCAGGAGAAATGATGGGGTCATTGTAGTGGAGCTCGATGGGTAGTGGACAACAGCTGGGCCTGAAAGGAGATATGGAGTCGGAAGTAGTAAGAGCTTAAATCCGTGGCGGCGCAGTGGCTGCTTACTGTGGCATTGTCAATGACGAGATCCGCCACCGTCGACCTCGCCCAGCATCCAGGGACGGTGATACAGCCCTAGCTTGAGCCGCGGTCACGTGGCGCACGTTCGGAGGCCGGGCGTGGTGAGATGGTTGGAGTTGTAGTGAGCGTGTTGGAGCTACCCGGAGAGGCAATGTAGTGGCTGCAAAAAAGCGTCGGTGGCCACCAAACACCCGGCAACGACTTATCGCACGGCGCCCCTCTCCGGAGCCGAAAAAAGATTCGTCCATCGTTTGCAGCCTCAGCTCCACACCCCACACTCTCACCATGGCCCAACCTTTCAGTTTTGGCTTTTCGGGCGATGATATAGAGATCGACGCCGACCGAGACCAGGGTCCTCCCGCCGTCGCTCCCGCTGCTGCATCGACTGCCACGCAGCCCGAGCCTGCCCATGTTCCCGCCCAGGTCCACAATGTTGCCGAACTGGTACGTACCCATGCTTTGCTAGTCGGAATGCCGACACTCAGTCTTTTCCACAGCTCCAAACCCTACCGGATAAGATATCATACGCAACGCAAGAGATCGAATCACCCAGCGGCAAAATTCTCGCCCTCCCCCGGCGCGAGCTCTTCGATGTCCGTGTGCAGCTCATGGCCGAAGACGACGGCTCCAACTCGGAGCCCGTGACTGGCCTAGACGAAGCCGACATCCGCACCAACGTCTACGAAGGCGGCTTCAAGACCTGGGAATGCTCCATCGATCTCGCAAAACTCCTTCTCGACCGCGGTCCGCGCAAAGACATCGACGACCTCTGCCGCGTCGACCACGTCGTCGAGGTAAGCCAAACACCATCCCAATCTCCACCCAGTCACATGTTTGCTTAACCATCCATCTCCGCTCCACAGCTGGGCTGCGGCACCGCCATCCCCACCCTCGTCCTCTTCCACCACGCCCTCACCCAATCCCTGCCCCTCTACTTCACCCTCGCCGACTACAACCTCCCCGTCCTCCGCCTCGTCACCCTCCCCAACCTCATCCTCACCTGGGCCTCCACCCTCCCCGCCGACTCCCCCCTCTTCACCCCCGACACCCCCAACCCCTTCCACCCCGACCACCCCACCACCGACCACGGCGACCTCTACCTCACCCCGGCCCTCGTCGCCGCCTTCCAGTCCGCCCTCGCCGACTGCCCCCTCACCCTCACCCTCGTCTCCGGCTCCTGGGCGCCCCCCGCCGCCTTCCTCGACCTCGTCCCCTCCTCCGAGCACATGAACACCTTCGTCCTCGCGTCCGAGACCATCTACAGCCCCGCCGCGCTGTGCGCCTTCGCCGACGCCTGCGTCGCCCTGCTGCGCCGCGTGCGCCTGGGCAAGGCCCTGGTCGCCGCCAAGCGCGTCTATTTCGGCGTCGGCGGCGGCGTCGACGCCTTCAAGGAGGAGGCCGCCGCGAGGGGCGCCGTCGTGGCCGAGGTCGAGAATAGTGGCGTCGATATGGGGGAGGGGGCGGGCGTGAGGAGGTGTTTGTTGGAGGTGCAGATGATGTGATGCGATGGGATGGGGTGGGCGGGTCTGGATGGGCGGTTGGTTGTGTGCGTAATTGAGTTACTTTGGGTTGTCTTCGACAACAGACTTTTTATCAGCCGATTGATATGGACAGCTGTTGCTCTATCAACCAAGATGGTGCTTTCTGGAAAGAGCTACAACTAACTATGGATTGCGAAGACCTTCCGGCATGAACGCGAGTGATACAAGTCCGATCACACAACACTTGGCAGAGACTGAATGTTTGCTGCTCTCTGACATGATACTTCTTTCCCCACAGAGCATGACCTACGTTCCACTTGAGTAAGCCCATCTTTAACCAGTGGCTGCGTTGTGAGAATGCGCCTTATCCTCACTCTACTCTGATGAAGAACATCATCGAAACCATGCAATATCGTCACTCACCATGACGAACATGATCGCATATGAAGATTCGTCTTTATCAGATACTTCCTCCATGCGCAATTAATCGGCTCGCCGCCACAGATAACACAGTCATAAACATATTTCGCATATTGCCATACAGCCGCATACAACTTCTTCACTTTTCAGAAGACGAAGAACAAAGCAATCCTCCCGCCATCTGCAGCACACGCCCCGAATCCTCGCACCCATGCACCTGTCTGAGCCCATCAACCCGCTCATAAAGAAAGAAAGAAAAATCGTGACTCTCCACCACTGATCTCATGCCCATGATCACCTGCCAAACACCCCAGCCGAGCAGCGCGCCTCGCAGCCAAACTACAAAGCCACAACCGCATTCCATCCACCCAGATTCGGCGCGTTCACCTCCCAGAGCCTTGCGAGACATGCGGGAATCCGTCAAATCCTTGTTTAATTATGCTTTGACGGATTAACTGTCCTTTTCCTTGTGCAGTTGTCTCAATCCCAATCCACATTGATTTGATGCTAGGCAGATCCCGGTGACAGAACCTCGAGAGACGATGTGTATACCATCATCGTGTATTGGTGCTGATTAGTGTCAACGACGCATTATGCGGCGACGACACGGCAAGTGCGGTTGGTGTTCAGGAGTTGATAGGCATAACGGCGCTACGGGCGGGGGCAGCCAGAGCAACAGAACACCTGGGAGTCGAATGTGATGATAAGTAATGGACTAGATCGCCACTGTATTGCAGTGGTTCCGGGTAGTTGACATGTGAGAGGTCCAGAAATGGTAGACGATGGCGCTTATGTGCGGCCGATTTATATGCATTGCTCCTTCCGCTGACCAAAGGCGGAGAGAGAGACAGAGACAGAGTAAATAAACCTCCAGCCAACCCCACCCCCACCAACGCCTCTTTCTACCTACCCATCCCCAAACGCCAGACCAACCCATTACCTCCACCACCCAAAACCCCCCCGTCACCTCAGCTACCTACCACGCACCTACGCAGCCCCACACCCCCCAACCTCCGCAAACGCCCCGCCGCCACCACCGCTCCCCCCGCTCCCACCACTCCCACACCCACCACTCCCACTCGCACTCCCACTCCCCCCACTCTCACTCGCCGCATCCTCAATCATCCGCAGTATGTCCTCGGCCGCGACCTCGTTCCACAGCCTCCGCACCTCCCTCTTGGCCCGGAACAGCTCCCCGGCCACGCCCCGCACCTGGCCCGCCGCCGTCTTGGCCAGCGGCCACTGCGCCGCCAGCTTCTTCAGCGCGCCCATGCTCAGCCGGATGAGTTCCTTGAGCACCGCGTCGTCGGCGGCGTCAGTTGGCGGCCCCGCCGCTACGGGCGGGGGCATGTTCCCAGCCTGATCCAGCGAAGACGACGGGTTGGGACAACACGCGTCTTGCAAAAGGGCGGCGCCGGCACCGGCGCAGCTGTTGTTGTTGTTGGCACCGACGTTGTCGGAGCCGCCCGCGTTGGGCGGGACGAGCGACCAGGCGGAGAGGTGGACGACGGAGGCCATGACGACGGCGCACGTGAAGAACGGGGTGAGCTTCGTCAGCGGCTGGACGGGGAGGCGCACGAGGCGCGAGAGCCGCCGCGCCGCCGCGGCGCACTTTGCCGTGTGCGTCTCGCGCGCCTGCGTCGACACGAGCGGCGCGCACTGCTTGACGCACGTGCGGATGTCGTCGGCCGAGCGGTAGGCGTCGAGCGTCGAGCGCGGCTTGTGGAGGAGGATGGTGCTTCTGCGGACCGGCCGGTGGGGCGCGGGGGCGGCCCCGGTGTGTCAGTGGGAAAGGAAGAAGGAGAAGAAGAAGGGGGAGGGGGGGAGGGGGAGTAGTGTGTGGAGCGGTTTTCAATGGAAGTATAATGAAAGGGCGAACTGGGGGGAAGGGAGGGAGGGGGTTTATTCTGACTTACGTATCTGTTATCATGTGTGCTTGGAATACCATGTGGTCTAGCTGACCGTCGTGGGAGACGGCCTCCCGTTTGCTGTCCGGTAGGTGCAACGACCAGTTCACAAGACACGAATCGGCAGTCTCGATGGCGCGGAAATCGAGCACGTCTTCGCTCGTCACGGCTAATACTATACCCAGGTTTCGCACGGCGTCAATCCGGTACGCAAACGATGAATACTCCACGTCGTCTTCCGCAAAAGCCGAGGCGTCATATTCCTCGAGCGTCCCCGACAGAGGGACGTACTGGAAAGCCGTCTGTAAGCAACGGTCAGAACGTTAAAGGTAACGGGCAGCTTACCCCCGAAGCATATTCGGCCTCCTCGCACGGCAGAGGGACGTCAGTCAGAACGTCCCTCAGCCGAAAATTGGTGCGCTGGCTGACGCCTGCAAAAAAGCCATCGGCAACGTACAGCTCCCACCACGTCCGCCTCCAGCTCTCCTCCAATACGCGGTTGCCACAGCCGTTGCGGATGGCAAAATCCCGCTCGTTCATGCCGATGGCGAGCGCAATCTCAATGGCCTTCGACAGCATGTCATCGGCCATGACTGATCTGTCGTTGGCCTTGAGGCCAATGGCGTAAAGCAGCAGCGCCTGGACCATAAAGCCATCTCTGGGCAGATTCTGCTGGAACAGAGTGTACCGAAGCGCCTCTTCCGTGAGGTGAGGCGAGGCCTGGGGCACGTAGCAGGCTCCGATGTACTGGATTGCCATCTCGAGATGAGGTTGGCGTTTGCTGTTACTGCCACAAAGCCAGTCAAGTAGGTAGCTACGGGGCATCAAGAACGGATGGGCCGGGGCGAAGAAAGAGAAGAAAGCGCTGCACACCATGTTTGAGAGCCCACACTCGCCCTGCCGATGGTTGAGCAGCTTCGGTGCTGCCGTCACTTGGCTCTGCGGGCTGACAGTCATCGCCTCGGCGGATTGAAATGTGAAGCTGCCAAACTGATCTGGCGACGACGAGTTACCACCCGCTGTGAGCGCCTCTAGCGCCGCGAAGGACGGCGATTGCTCGTGCTGTTGCGAGGGAGGGCTGACGGAGATGGCTGCCGCCGCTGCGGGCCCAACCGCACACGCTACGAATCGCAGTCAGGAATCAGAGAAAAACGGAAGAGGAAGAAGGCAGCTATGCACAGCTCTTGGTCACAAAGGACGTACCCTGCTGATCCGGCCGCGATTCTCTTGGGGACGGCCTGCCCATCTGATCACCCGCAGTCCTCTTCCGTGGGCCTTTGTACCCCTGCAGCGATCGTCAGCAACCCGCGCCTTCGTCTACTCCATCACTCCATCACCAAAATGCCGAACAGTAACGTGAGAGGCATGGGGGAAGGAGTAGTGCGATCTCACTGACCCTGCGTGACTTGACGTAGCTACATTCGCTCCCGTCGGTGGCGCATCTCGTGCACGGCTCGCCGCCACTGCACTTCAGATGCTTGGACCGGCAGGCGACGCACGCCAGCGGGATGGGCTGCTTGCCGGCGGCCGAGGACGACGACATTGACGACTGGTGCTGGGGGTGGTGCTGCTCCCCCGCGGCGACGGGCAGTGGGCCCGGCACGCCCAGACAGGACATGGCGCTGAAGTCGAAGCTGTCAAGATGCGCTGCCATTGCGGCGGCCGCCAGTACGGTTTGGCTGGTACGTGTGCGACGTGAAAGAAGGCTGGGGTAGCGTGTCAGCCGTTTGGTTTGCGGATACTGATCGAGGCTCCCAGCTGTGCGTCCCCAGCGAACATCACTCCTGCGAGCGAGCGGAGGTCTAGGCACGTCGGTGGTGATGTAAGCGCGTTGTAAGAGAAGTTGAGTGGACGAGGCGGCAGGAGACCCGTTGCAGTCAGCTGCCCGGCTTGTTTCTGCGCCATGCTCGGCCCGAGATACGAGAGCGAACCTAAACCCCGACGTGAAGCCTACTGAACAGCTCCGCCAATTGTGGTTTCCAGGAACAACGTCAACGAGCAGCACGGGATCGGCCAACATCACTTTAGCGGAGCAGGCAGCAAGAAACATTGTAACATATTGCATTCCTTTTTGGGTATCCAAGATACCACCCTCCGGCCTCCCTTCCAGAGTAGGCTCTACGGGTGTCTTAACCAACGAGAGAAGACCGCCTAGATTCTTTTCATCACGTCACATCATCCACAAACAGTAGGGTATTACAGCGCTCGGAGTCGTAGCTCCGTCATATGCGCAGGCACTTCCAACAAAACACGCCGCCAAACCAAGCCCGCACCAGCCAATTACTTACGAGCTCGGCGTGAAGAAGCTCTCCTGATCGATAATCACCATGCCCGCAATACTGGCCGACGACAGCGTGGCCAGGATGCCCGTGAGAAGAGCCGACACGGCCACGCGGGAGACGTCGCCCGAACGACCGGGAGACAGTTGCGACAGCACACCAATCTGGTTGCCCAGAGATCCGATGTTGCCGAATCCGCAAAGAGCATATGTCGCAATGAGACGAGACCGGCTGCTGAGATCGGTGTAGTAGGGGTCCGTGGTAAGATCGCTGTACGCAACAAACTCGTTGGCCACGATCTTAAGTCCGATAAGACGGCCGACGCGCAGGAGGTCCGCGCCGCCCTTGTCACGGCTCACGCCAAGCAAGAAGGCGACGGGGTAGAAGAGGTATCCCAGAATGAGTTCAAGGGTCAAGTCATAGTCGCCGTCGAGGTTAATGTCTGCGAATATCAGGATCTGCCCTTTCAGTTTCACGTGAGGAACATTTGGACTTACAGCGACCCCACCAAGTGAGCAATCCGTCAATCAGCGCAATCAGGGCGATGATGCAGAGAAGGTTGGCCAGGATCATGCCAGCAATCTTGAGACCAAGCCAGGCACCGTTGGCGAAGGCGTGGATGAAGTTGGCAGCCCGGTGCTCATCATCATCCGGAACCACGACGCGACCAGCCGTGAGCGTCTCCTCTTCCTCGGGATAGCGGAGCTTGCTCATGGCGATCGAGGCAGGAATACTCATGACGCAAGACGAGACAAGCGCCTGCGCGTTGATGCCCATGCTGATGTACGAAACAAGCACGGAACCGGCGATGGTCGCAAAACCGGAACACATGACCTGGTGGATTTCGGCCATGGTGAGGTGAGCAATGAAGGGCTTGATGAGCATAGCAGATTCACCCTGGCCGATGAAGGGGGAGGCAGCGGCGACAACAGCCTCGGCACCAGAGATGCGCATGGCCCAGAAGAAGAAAGTGGCGAACTTGCCAACAAACCACTGGATGAGCCCGACATAGTACAGGAGCTGCACGAGAGAGACGAAGAAGATGATGGCCGGCAGAACGGTAATCAGGAACCAGTGGATCGTCTCGGGAATCGTATCCTCGGTCAAGAACGCGGTACCCTTATCGGCGAAGCCAAGCAGCTCACGGGCGAGAGTGGAGATGAAGTTGAAGATGTCGCTGCAGGCGGGTTAGGCGTGCACTCACGAGGCGAGAAAAAGGAAGAACTTACTATCCGGCCGTGGTGCGCAGGACAAACAGGGCGATGATGAACTGCATCAGCATACCGACAATAACGGTGTGCCAGATGATGCGCTTCCTGTTCCGGGACGTGGCCCAGAGACCGAATATGAAGACGATCAGGCCGAAGATGCTGACTGCACGGTTGGCCCTGGTGTTGTCGGCGCTCTCGGGGCTGGCAAAGGTGCCAATGAGGAAGACGGCGACGACCAGCAGGGCGGCAGCAGGCGTCCTGAGCTTCTCGGGGATGAGCGCAGCAAAGCGGACCCCCGTGTTGCTCCACACGAAGTGCATGGGCTTCGTGACGATGGAAATCGGGACATGGAAGAAGATGATCCGAAGTGTGACGCACAGGTAGAACAAGAATGGGATGATCCAGTTCTTGTCATTGCGGTGCAAGATCAGACTTGCGATCCACCATCTGTCGTGCCAGTGTCAGCCCAAAGCTCCACACGCAGACGCGTCGTCTCGCGACCCCGGCGAAATAGTTTTTTTGTTTTTTTTTTTCACGCCGACCGCCCGACACGCCACTCTACCACCGCACAAAGAACACGGGCGGGGTGCAAAATTGAGAGAAGTGGCCACATACCCAGTGAACAGCAGCCAGATGGCCAGGTGGAAAAAGATCCTGAACCTGGAGTAGAAGCGGCCGACAGGGCCGCGCTTCTTCTCATCCTCGGCGCGGGCGACTTGGCTGGTGCTGCCCTTTTCGGCGTCGTCGATATCGATCACGCCCTCCTTCTCCAAGCTCTTCTCGCTGGCACCGCGGTGGTGCACGGTGGACTCGGCGGGAATGGTGGCGGCGCCGTGGGTAGTGCCCTTGGAGTAAGCGATCTCGTCCCGGTGGCCCTTCTCGGCGGTGTCGTCGTGGTGCAGGTGCGGATGGGAGTGCTCGCGCGACACATCGAGGGCAGGGTCCGGGTTCGCCGCGACGTCAGACTGGGGCGACGAATTGTGCTCGGCGGCCATGGTGCAGGGAGGGGGGCACGCTGGGTGCTGCTGGGTCGGCGACGGCGTGCTGGGAGGTGCTGCGTGAAAGGAAGAAGTCCCCAGTCGACGTCGCGCAGGCCGAGCTCGTGTAAATAGGAAGCAGCGGCGCGCGACTCACGCTGGTCAGGCCGTCGAAGGGACCGCAGCTATCTCGACTGCCACACCCTTGGCAACTGCCGCATCCAGCTAACGTCCGTTACATCGGCGCCCTGGCGGCTCAGCAGACGGACTCGCCGGTCCACTTCGCCCCAGCACCGAGGCCAATCCCAGCGAGCTCGCTTTGCGGCCGCCGATAGACGCCGCCCTTATCAACCCCGTCGTCGCACCGGGCCAGCCTGGAGTCCCGGCGGCCGGCCTTCGCGTCCGCTGGGCGCGTGCTGATTTGCCCGTCGCAGCACCCGCGATAAAGAAGTGCCGGCGCTGACTCCCCGATGTGGCAAGGGTCCAGGACGCGGTGGCGTTGCTCCCTCCGCGATTCTGGCCCACGGTTATCTACCCACGCCCACCACGCTGCCACACTGCGGCGGCCCCAGAGAAGCGCGCCCGCCTTCTGGAAGCCCGTGGGAGCCGTGGGAGCCGTGGGAGCCGCCCCCATCCCATGCATGCAATCCTGCCAGCTCTCTCCAGGCGAGCTCCGATCTGTGCAGCCTGTGGCATGCGCACTCTGATTCGCCCACCCCTCAACCTAGGTTGGACCTTTCCGGCCCTGCCGTGCCGCTCTGGGGCTCACTTGCTCATCTCCCGCCCGTCCAACGCTTTCCCCGGACTTCCCAATGGCCACGGGCTCCAGTATGATGGCTGCGGGGGCGAGGGCCCACTGCCTGAACGCTGCAGCAGCTGCTTCTGGCCGTCCGCAGAGGGAGCGTGCTCGCGTGCCGCCCGTTGGAAAGCTGATGTCGGACAGGGTTGTAACTCCTGCGTCGGTAATGGGCAAAATCGCCCGCTGGCTGCTATCGCTGAGGAAACGCGGATGGCGCCGATGAAATATCTCGCTTTGTTGTTTCTCTTTCCATTGCAGCAATGGCCCAGATAAGGGCCGGCCATTTCGCGCGAGATTGGCGCTCCAGAAGCCCGGAAATATCCTATCTTTCCCACCGCGACCCAGCATCTGGTAATGCGATTCCGAACACGGCCCACCCCTCGTTCTTAACGTGGCAAGGAGCATCTACTGTGTACGTAGTACGCACGTACTGCCGCCCAGCGAGGCTCGGCCAACACCCTGCCGGAAGCTTTTCAAAAACAATAAAAATAACTTGACTCGGCCCTTGCACACGTGATACCCAATGCCCCCATTTCTATCCACAATTCACTGGTTTCAGGCACTATTTCTGCAATTGCACCCCATCTCAGCCTTCAGCTTTTTTTTTTTCACGGTCTCTTGATATTCCGGGCCTGTCCCTGGTATGAGATCTGCGCACCATCACGCAGGAATTCGTAACCTCTCGTAAGCTCGCAACTACTCTGTCAAGATCAGACGACCGAGCTCAGCAGCTTACTCGGACATGGACGCCCTCACCCCACCAACCAGAGCCAGATCGTCTTCGAATTTTCTCTTTCCGACGATAACAGACTCGCTCCATCGTCCAACGCGACCGCGTTGCTCTCTGCCCCTCTCCAAACGTGCACGAAAGCCACGCCGTCAGGACACCCGTCAGCGCGCTTAACCATAGGTAGTCTCAGATCCTTCCCGTCCGAGCCCGCCGCCACACACGAAAAAAGCGAAGAAGTCAACGTGACGGCGGGACTCGGCGACAGCGACGCCACAATTCCCTCACACTGACTCCGCGCGTCCTCCGTCCCCTTCCCCTCCCTTGCGGAAAACATCTGTTGTGCGTGTGCCCTTGCAACGTATCAGCGTACGTCCGATGGTTAGCGCTGAGTCGTGCAACAATGCCGGCTTGACCTATCAGGCGCACAGATCGCGTCAAACAAGATCTGATCTTGAATTATACTCGCGCTAACGCGAGCACTGTACCGACGATCATAAGGCAGGCACGCAGTTTCACGCTCGCCCCTGCTCTACCTTGCCCTGACAGCTTCGTTCTTTGCGCCAACCACTAGAAATACTTTTTTTTTTCAACAAAAGGTAAAACAAAGGTGGGCTCGTATGTACGTCTCACCATTCACGACAATGGCGTTCCGCGGTGGGCTAGGTACCGATGTTCTCGCGTGACGTGTGATGGGTCCCCATTCTAAAGCCGCGTGTAGCCTCGACAACAGGGCAGAGCATCGGCCAGGGCAAAGGCTGCTAGAGTTGGGATACAATGCACCTTGGGTCACATATTCGTGGTTCATCCCGATGATCAGTGAGCCTTTGATAGTACCGTTGAGAGACTGTATTATTAACGCTATTTCGTGGGACTCTTGTACGGGACGACGCTACCTCTCGTGACAAATTTTACAGCGCGAAGAAAACAAGGGTAAGAAAACCACGATCACTTCCTGGAAATGTCAAAAACATGACGACAAACCCCGATGTTTATACATGGCGCGCCCAAAGGTAAAGTATCCCAAGGGTGAATATGGTAGGCAACGTGCCTGAGGCTCATTGCACGTGCACGTGCCGGGATTGCCAGACTGACCCCGCGCTGACGTCATTCTATGCAAATCATTCGTCCCCCCGCCGGGTGAGCTGAAAGCTGGCGCAAACGACACGAAGGGGCAACCCCGCCTCAGAGGAAGATGCCAGTTGAGATCAGGCGACAGTGGAAACATGCACAGTTCTTCGTCTCGTAGACATCATGGCCATTCATATCGTCTCGTGAGACTCTAGTACTATGTAAATTTTATGGCGGCAGGCCCCCGCTCTTCCGCTATTTGGGGCGCCGAAGCCATATCGACTGCAAAGCGGGGTAGCTGCACTGCCTTGTAATGCCCCTCATCAGGGGCTGCGATGATGCCGTGTAATCGAGAATAAAAGAGACAGATGAAAACCCGTTCCCATTCGCCTAATCATCGCTGGGTATCCGAATGATGCCGTAGTGGAAATGAGAAGCTTTACGCGACGCTGCCGCCATAGCCGTGGGCGACATTGGCGCCCTTGGACTGGTTGGTGTCACCAAAGCGACCCTTCTCCTGTTGTGGAGTTAGCTGCCTGCTCACTGCATCGAAAATGAAGGGGACAGAGAACATACCTCGACCGACTGGACGTCGCCCTTCTCGAGGATCTGCTTGACGACATCCTCCTCTTTGTGCGAACCGAACTCGTTCTCGAGCAGGGCGTTGGATGCAGTGTCCAGGATGCCCTGGTTGCCGTGCCTGTAGACGAAAGGGTCAGCCACAGTCCATCACAGGTGCTTGACTTTCGGGACGGCGGGGTGCGAGTGATGTCGCGTCTTGCGGAGCGGGGCAGACTCACTTGTGGGTGACGAAGATCTTCCAGCCGTTCACAACCTGTGCCAGAGGGACGGAGCTGTCGGCCTTCCAGTCCTTGACGGCCTTCTCGTTCTCGACGAAGATGACGAAGTCGTCCTCCTTGCCCTTGTAGTGGACCTTGGTCTGGGTGGCATCGCCGCGGGTAGGCATTGTGATGTTGTGGGGTTGTGGGTGAGAGATAAGTTGAGTCGTGGAAGAGCGTGGGGTAGCGTGTGCTGCAGGTGTGTGGTTTAGAGTGTGTGCCGGCAGCTTGGTGGGATGAGGAGGGGTTTTGTAGCACAGCATCGGACATCGACGTCATCGGAGCCGCGCACGGAGCACCCGCCCAGCTGCCTTGCTCTGATCCCAATACCTGGCCTCCAGCCCTGCCCCGCCATCGCCCAACCCACCCAAGGCGTGCGTTTCCATGCCTTTCCGCTGCATCACGTCAACGCCCAATCTAAGGGTGCGCAATCATCCATTCCCCACAGTCTCGTCGGAGCCCGGCTGATGACGCAGGGGTATGATCGTGCTACAACCTTTATCCAATGCAACCGAAAAAGCCGAAGGAGAGAGCAAAGGGAATCTAGCATCGCTGCAGAAGCCTAGTCACTGTTGAGATACCCCAAGCACCCGCACGGGTACCTTGCATGCCTTTTGCGCCATCCCCCACCCAAGAGAAGCCTGCTGCCCGAAAAGAGAAAAAGATGCACCATCTGCGCCCCAAGACCCCTCGATGCGCCGTCCCACCTCCCTACAGCCAACTGCGCGTCCAAGCTCTCTCTCCAACCTGCCCCTTGCGCCAAGTCCCTGCAGGCCCCAATGATATCATATCCCAACATCCTAACCATGCCCAAAAATAACCGTCATTAATGCAATATTCAAGGTGTCGATCCCGAAGTAGATGCCCTGGAGGAGGCCAGGGCCGCCTTGCTGGTTTCATTTCTTGTCGACCAGAATTTGAAGAGTCTTGTGCGCGGCTTGATGAATCGCCTGAGAGGAGAGGCCACCGGCGTCGACTCCCGTGCCGGCGGGTGGAGGCTGCTGGCCCTCTCGGGTGTCGCCTTTGCCTTGGCAGGTTTGACTTGTGCCGGCAAATCGACCGTGGACCTCTCCACCAGTGCTGGCAGCGAGAGCTTTTTCCTCAGCGTGAAGGATGGAGGCCGCGGCGATGGCGATAGGCTCATTGCACGAGGCAAGACACCGGGGGCAACGATTCGCTCGCCGGACCTATCCGACAAGTATGCCCGGTTGCCACGTCTTCTCTGTTGGCTGTTCTTGAGGGGCGTGATAAGCTCAAAGTCCGCCGGCAGGAAAGCATCCGGTGCCGTGTGGAAGTCGACCTTGATTCCTGGGACCGAGACGGACTTCCGCATAGCAGATGGTGGTGACTTCCGCCGAGGTCTCGACCTTCCAGCCTCTTCTCTGCGAAGCTGGCTGAGGCTGGCGTAGCTTCCTGAGCGCTTGGAGAAGTCTGAGCGCCTCGAGAAATTGCTGGTAATGCTGGCCATGCTAAGCTTGCGCATGACTGAGTTTGCAGAAGCTCGGATAGGATTGTCGCCGCGTCGTGGTCCCATTCCCGGGTAAGGGAGCGTGTCCTTCGTCCACACGTCACTGATGATCGTTTCCAGCCGGATTCGTTCGCCTCGTCTTGGTGCGAAAGTGGGAACGAGCTTCGATGCAGACAGCTGCGACTGCGATCGTCCCACAGGAAGCGAAGCTGCGGATTGAGCCGAATCCGTCCTCTTCTGGGCCTGCGTGTTCTTAATGATTACCTGCTGAGGGTGCATCTTGGGCCCAAGGGTCGCCGCCCGCCGGATCGACATTTTGCGCGAGAAGTTGTTGGGTGGGCCGAAGGTAGTCCCGATACTCTTCAGGTCAAGCAGCAAAGAAGAGAAAACATCTTGAACGCTGCTCCTTCCTTCAATGAGGTCACTGTTCTCAGCAGCAACCCGAGAGCGTAGGCTTGTCTTCCACACCTCCTCTTCCTCAGCGGAACAAGCACTGAGTATCACCTCGTAAAGCCTGTGACCGGACTCAAAGACGAGCTTCCATGTGAATGGCGCAGTGTGACACTGTAGTCCCCGTCCATTATCCGACGGTTCAATGCTCCCATTGGCCAAAGTAATGGTAGCGACGACTTCGTAACCTGACGAGCTTTTGTCTGCGAGCGCGAGCAGTAGACAAGAGTTGAAGAGAATACAGATCATGTATTTGCCTTCGGTCCGCTCATTGGTCTGATATGTGACGTGCAAGATTCCGCAAAGAGACACGTGGCCCAGTAATCTTGTCAGGAGCGCGCGAGGCAAAGGCTGATCTTCTGGAAATATCAAACGATCTTGCAACAGCCACGTCGTCTCAATGAGCCTTCGCGTAATCGGATCATCCTTGGCATTGTTGATTTCCTGGTTGGCATCTTTCAGACGGTAATAGGTTTTCTCCAGCTCTGCATGCGCAACTGGGTCGTCCGCGACTGGAGTGTGCTTGAGCAGGTCGGCGAAGAGCAAAGGGTATTTGGAGGGCCGTTGGATTGGTTTGATCAGCAGATCTGCTAAAGTCAAGCCCTTCTTGCCGTTTGATTCCTTCTTGTTGTCCGACACAAGTGTGGTCGACAAGGCTTCGATGCCTCTTTCGTAATCATGCCAAGCGGCAATTGCTCGATGCGAAGACTCCAGCTCGCCGTTGACGGACTCAAATTGCGCACTGTATTCCTCGTATGCGAAGAATCTTTTCAAGAATTTTTCAAACAATCTCGCAATATCTGCAACAGTCTTTGTGTCTGTGGTCAAAGCGATAGGAGTTGCGTCTTCCTGATGTTCGAGATCCAGTGAATGGCGTTGCTGCCGCAGGTGGACCGCTAGCCCCACAACACGCCCTGGCACAATGTCCACACTATGCCACCTGGAGTGTTTTGCTTTCCGTGGGCGTGGGCTACTCGAGACATCGTCGTGCGTGTACTCGGAGTTTGGTACGATCCTGTGGAGTTCACCCAGAAGATCCTCGTGGAGTTGTAGTATCTGCGAGACGTTGCGGTGGATGGCGGTCCGAGTCTGGCTTGAAACCGATGGGGCCGACTCAAGGACAGAGAAGTATACCTGGAAAAGGTCAATTGTTGACTTGCGTGCAATCAAGGGCAGGCGTCCTCACATTGACAAGAACCTTCAAATCGCCGATATATCCTTCTTCGGAAGCAATGATCTCCTCCACAATCCGTCGTCTGTGCCTCGCTCGTTCCAAGACTCGCTCGTCCATGATGGGGGTGATAGACGGATGGACGGAATCACCAGGAATCCTTGTATCCGACAAGGTGCTGCCTCGGTGGGCATGACTGGTACGACTGCGTTTTGTCCCGAGCCTGGTAAGGGGTGCAATGCTGGTGCCGGCTAGGGTGATAGAAGCTGACTTGACTGCAGTGACAAATGCGAGAGATGATGTCAAAGATGAGGACTTCTTGTGACCATCCTGCCTTGGTGAGCCGTCCATCCTTTGCTTTTGATGTTCTGTCTCCGACCCATCAATGGTCCAGCGTTCGAGGGGGTTTTTCTCGCGCCGTTTGTTGCGACGCCGAAGAGTACTCACCCATCGCCTAAAGGGAGCTGTCTTCACGTTGGAGTCGAGGGCCGAGGTGTCATCGTGTATGCTCTCGTCCGACGACATCTCTTTTTCCAATGGTTGCTCTGGGCATGGCATATCGAATGCGATGCCATATGCACCCAACCCCTCCGGGACTTCAATAGGCCAACTGATAGAGTCAGTCTCAGAGATTGTGTCATCCTGTATGGTGGAGGCTGATTCCTGGAACGTTGAGGCCGGTGATGAGACGGCGTCATCAGACTCGGTAACATGGATAGAGTCGGTCGTTTCCTTGGGGACTTCGCGGATGCTCGGCGAGGGCGGCAGAGGGATGTTTGAGACCCATGTCATTTGCTCTGGGAAGTAGTCATCTGGATGCTTGAGTGTCAAGGCGGATGCCGAGAGCTCGCCGATCAGGTCTAGCAATGACCGAGAAGAGAGTTTCGGAGGTGCATTTTCGTTCGTCTTGAGCCAGGGACCAGGGTGGATGGAAGTCAATGAGATAAGTGAGGTAGCAGATACGTTGCTGGGTTTACAACGTCGAACAGTATTGACAGACTCGTTGGACAGGGGTGTGGCTGGACGCAGGTACGGCGTCTCGCTGAAAGACCGCTTGAGCGGGCTCTGCGCAGGCACCGAGAGGTATGCCATGGCTGGAGTAGGCAAGGCTCAACAAATCACAGACGGAGCTTTGGCTTCTGGCGAGACATGAGAGATAAGAGCTGATGCGACGGCGAAGAGAAAAGTTGCATGGCGGTGCGGCAAGCTCAGCTAGACGCGAAGGGAAACTGGAGAGGAAAGAGGCGGGAGTGCCAGCACTTGCTCGCTCATGGGGGCAAGAGCAGAATGCGCAAATGAACAGAAATAAGACGCGGTCCCAGGTGCCTGCGACAGGGTAGCTGCCATGCAGAACCAGGGGAGGGCAATTGCTCAGAGACATGCGGCGTGAGGCGGACCTGCCTCTCGCCAGATAGAAAAGCCCCAGGGTCTGCGCCGAGCTCACAATGGATCTTCATGGCAGCCCACGGCGCGAGAGAGTGAGCAGGAGTAGCGGGAGCAGCGGGTACAATTCAGATAGATTCAGGGCTCGCTGATTGTTACCATGAGCGTCGGTCGAGAACTCGACTGACTCATTGCGTAATAGATAGCAGGGCGACGCACGGGCGCGAAGGTCTGATAAGACTGGCGCATGGTGGAATCGTAAGATGATAGCAATTTACCGGCTATACGAGATGGGAATCGTGGTGTTGGAGAAGACGAGCGGCGAGTCAGCGTGTGCGCCGCAGGGCTGACGGGCGCGTGAACTTCGGCTTCAGTTCCCCGCCATCGTGCGCTCGCCGCCTTGGAGCTCTGGCACCCAAGCCTTCCCGCTTTCTGAGCTGCCCGCACAAGCTCCCTGTCCGCCGCTCCACTCCAGATCCCTAACACGTCGGCCGACCTCCCACCGCCTTCTTTACGGAATCGATGGGCCTTCACATGGACGACTTGCACACGCCGTCGGTGGTCTCCGGCCCCACTAGCGGCAGCTCCAATGGCGTCGCCAAGCGGGACATGTCGCTGCAAGAGCTCATGGTCGAAAAGGACCGCGTCCAGAGCGAGCTGTCGGCTCTGAGCTCCGTCCTGGACTCTGTACGTAGCCTCGCTCCGTAGGCGGAAGGTTGCTGACCAAGCCTGCCTGCGTGCAGCATGGCGTGAACATGAGAACCAGCTTGACCACCTTCGACGGCTACCCTAGAGATGACATCGATATCGCACAGAGTACGTTGGTTCGCCCTGCTACTGTCACGGCGGCACGTCTAATTCAAGCCCGCCAGTCCGGACCACGCGCGCGCGGATAATACACCTCCAGAACGACCTCAAAGGTCTATACGAGAAGATCGAGAAGGGACTGCATGCGCACCATGCATCTCTGCAGCGGGAGGCGGCAAACGCTGCAGGCACAGGCAACACATCAAGCGCGGCAGGCGCCAGTGCCACGGACGATGCGGCTCTGCAGGCACCCTTCGCAAAGGTCAACGACGTAGTGGCCGGAAGCCCGGCCGATAGCGCAGGCTTGAAAGCAGGGGACAAGATATTGAAGTTTGGAGACGTCAATTGGATGAACCACGAGAAGCTCAGCAAGCTGGCCGAGACGGTTGCGCAGAACGTGGAGGTGAGTTGCTCAGCAAGCTTATTTCTGCGGTTTGCCTCGGCGACTAACGGAACGGGGACAGAGGCCGATAGCGATTCGAGTGGCCAGGGAAAGCGGAGGCGCTGGGCAGCTAGACCTGCAGCTGACGCCGAGGCGCAATTGGGGCGGAAGAGGTATGTTGGGCTGCCACCTGCTGCCGCTGTAGAAAACAGCATGCACCAGGCAGCGGCGTTGGGCGCGGGCGGCTTCGTGGCACGGAGGGAATGGGCACGGTATCATTGTAGAGTGAATTGATGGCGCAGCAATGCATGCACGCCGGGCTCGAACGGGCGGGGGAGGTGAGAGCGTCAAAGCAGGCTTCAGCGATCGCCTGCTGCCTTGCCAACTCAAGCGGCCGCCTGCAGTCTTGGCGGAATTTTCCTGATGTAAACAGTCACGTGCGCCGCTAGCTGAGAGCAAAGGCTGATCACCGACCTCACAACAAATCTTCCGAGCACTTCACTCCCACCCTGCTCGTTTGCCGCACGACCATCTTCGAGGCGCCGTGCTCATCCACCGTCCTTCCCATCGACGTGAGCCTTTCCTGACGCCCGCGAGCTGCCGGTGCAGCCTCGGCAGCTCGCCCTACAAAAAGAAAATCCCACTAACCCGCCCCGCTCTCTCAGATCCAAACAACCGACTCCCACGACACAACCCCGCCACATCTTTTCTCACGACATGGCCGACGCCCAGGCTCCCCCGACCTTCAAGCTGGTCCTCGTCGGTGACGGTGGTACCGGAAAGGTGTGTTTTGCAAATCCTCGCTCTGGCGCTTGCTGTCGCCCATGTTGCGTCATGCCACAGTGTCTGCCCCTCAAAACCTTTGCGACCTGTCTCACTGACCCGCTCCGCCTGCAGACCACCTTCGTCAAGCGCCATTTGACTGGCGAGTTCGAGAAGAAGTACATTGCCACTCTCGGTGTCGAGGTTCACCCTCTCGGCTTCACCACCGTACGCATCCCCTAGCGCCTAACAGCGACTTTCGTCGACCGTACGCTCACACGCGAATAGAACCTCGGCGCCATCCAGTTCGACGTCTGGGACACCGCCGGTCAGGAGAAGTTCGGTGGTCTGCGCGATGGCTACTACATCAACGGCCAGTGCGGCATCATCATGTTTGATGTGACCTCCCGCATCACCTACAAGAACGTTCCCAACTGGCACCGTAAGTTTTCATGACCCCAAATTGCAGCTAAACGCAAATCTGAGACTGTTGCAGGTGACCTCGTCCGTGTCTGCGAGAACATCCCCATCGTCCTCTGCGGCAACAAGGTCGACGTTAAGGAGCGTAAGGTGAAGGCCAAGACCATTACCTTCCACCGCAAGAAGAACCTTCAGTACTACGACATCTCGGCCAAGTCCAACTACAACTTCGAGAAGCCCTTCCTCTGGCTCGCCAGGAAGCTCGTCGGCAACCAGACTCTGGTATGTTGTTTCGATCATTGTAGCAAACGCAAGCTTGCTAACCACGCCGCCACAGGAATTCGTTGCCGCTCCCGCCCTCGCTCCTCCGGAGGTCCAGGTCGACCAGGCCGTTCTGGAGCAGTACCAGAAGGAGATGGAGGATGCTTCCAACATGCCTCTCCCCGACGAGGAGGACGCCGATTTGTAGATTGCTTGCGAACGAGGGGCTTGTCACACGGACAGGAGCCAAAACTAATGATTTTTCTGGGCATGCTATGATATCAAGATAGCATTCGGACGGTACGAACATCAGGAAGGCAGCAGTTCTATGTACGGGTTTGCTTGCTAGCGATTTCAATTAGACAGTCTTGCTTGAAACGCAGACGGGCGAGACGGGACCTCCGAAAAATTGACCTCACATGGCACAGCCAAGCCACAAACAGCCTTCCGATTCTCTATACCCTTGGAGATGAGCAGGACCATTGGCAATAGGTAGTTCAAAACTCTAGACCCGCAAGCTCGCGGCAATCCACTTCTTTAGCTGCGGACCTTTTACCCCACTTTTGCATGTGTGTACGCCCATCCGAGGAACATTCAACCTATCAAGCGCGCATTAAGGCTTGGGTATCTGCGTCTACCCCACATCGATTGTTGTTCCAGTACGGTGCTCTCAGAGGCTCAGCAACGAGCGCCTGGGGATGTTGATGACGCATGGCTCTATCGTCAAGGCTTCCCCGCTAGTGACTTCAACACATTGTTCTAGGCGTGTTTTCCTACCCTTTCATTTGCTTGCCCCTTCATGCCTCGGGGAACATCCTGTGTGTACGCTATTTGCAAGAATGCTTTGCAACGATGTGTATCCCCACTGACAAGTCATCTTACGGCGAGAATGATGTCAGCATGCCCGACAGCCCACGCACGCCATCACAGCCTTTGCCTGCTGCCCTTGCGGGGAAAGCTCATGGAGTGAATGGTAAATGGCTTTCACCACAAACCTCTCACGACGTCGTTCTACATCGCCGTGCAGTCTGAGATTGAAGCTACCATCTTCAGATGTTCCTGCGTGAATTATTCCCATTTAGATATCCGCACCCTTATCCAAAGTTGAGCCACCCTCAACCATCACATACGGCAAAATATAATCAAGAAGCCAAATTTCACACCACCCGCACACGGGGAGCCAAACTGAAGTCCCCCAATTCACTGCGACCCCTCCGTCGCCAACCCGAGCACATCCACCCAAGCGGCGGGCCGCCTCCTGCCGCCCTCCAGCGCGCCGTTCAGATACGCCTCGACGTCGTACCCGAAGCCCAACAGCGCATCCTCGGCGCCCCACTCGGCCATGCCCATCAGCGCGACGGGCACCTTCCCCTCGCCCTCGACCGGCTCGACGTACGCGACCGGCGCGCTCAGCGCGGGGCAGCCGGAAAAGTTTGCGAGCCAGACGTACTCCATGTTGCGGATGCTCATGTTGCCGTCGCTGACGCCGTAGCGCAGGTCCGCCGCGCCGCCGGCGACGTGCCAGCCGGCGTTGGGCGTGGTGGGCGTGACGACGACGAGGCCCGGGTGCGCGCGGTAGAGGTGCGCGAGGTGGTCCATGAGGAGCGCGCGCACCTTTTGCGCCTGCAGCAGGTCGACGGCGCCGGCGCGCGAGCCGACGCTGATGAGGATCTTGTTGGCGGGCGTGAGGGATGAAAGCGCGGCCCCGAACCCGGACGCGATCTCGGAGAGGATGGTGAGGGCGTGGGCGGACTGGCCGGCGGCGAGCAGCGGGAGGTGGATGGGCACGGTGCGGTAGCCCTGGGCGGAGACGAGGTGGTCGATGGCGGCTTGGACGGCGGCGCGGACGGGCGGGTCGGCGCGGTCGAGCCAGGGCTGGCAGATGCCGAGGAGTTTGGGGCGCGAGGGCGAGGCGGTGGCGGCGCGCGCGGCGGGCGTGCTGGGCGAGGCGAAGAGCGCCGACGAGACGTGCTGCGCGTCCGGCGCGGCCATGACGCGGTACGCGACCTCGAGGTCGGCGACGTTGGCCGCGATGGGGCCCAGCACGCCCGTCGAGGCGGCGAGCGAGGGCGTGGGCCGGCCGGAGACGCGGCCGTGCGACGTCTTGAGCCCGAAGGCGCCGCAGTAGCTGGCTGGGATGCGGATGGAGCCGCCGCCGTCGGCGCCCAGCGCGAAGGGCAGCAGGCCGGCGCCGACAGCGTAGCCGCTGCCGCCTGACGAGCCGCCGGTGTAGTAGTGCGGGTTGTGGGGGTTGAGCGGGGTGCCGTGGTTGGGGTTGGGGTTGTTGTTGGTCGTGTCGAGGCCCAGCTCGTGCATCGTCGTCTTGCCCACCACCACCGCGCCCGCCTCTTCCCACCGCGCCACGCAGAAGGACGTCTCGCACTGTCCGCCGCCCGACCAGTCGTGCTGGGTGCCGAGCCGCTTGCGGTACCCCGCCACGTCCACCTCGTCCTTGACCGAGACTGGCACCCCGTCCAGCACCCCGAGCGGCTTGCCGTTCTTGTAGCGCTCCGTCGAGGCCGCGGCCGCGGCGAGGATCAGGTCCTCGCGCAGCTCGATCCAGGCGGTGGCATGGGGCGACGGATTGGTCGCATCGCGGCGGATGAGCGGCAGGAGAGCTTCGATCACGGCGGTGGGCGTGGTGCGGCCGGTCTTGTAGGCCTCGTGGTAGTCGTACGTGGAATGGAACCGACCATTGGCGGTCGCGGGGGGGAGGCGAGCCTCTTCTGGCGATGCGGCGGCGTCTATGGGGAGGGATGAGTCGTGGTCGAGAGGAATAACGGTGGGGTCGTAGCGCGGCGCAACGTCCTCAAGCTCCTTGCGGCCGCGCAGCCGATTGAAGCCGGTATTGTTCCAGAGGTGGTTCTGGATGAAGCCGACCGAGGAGATCCTAGCAAAGCGTCAACGCCGCAGGCTCTTTGTCCGTTTAGTGGTGGTATCGAGGGAAATGGTGCAGGACAGAGCGGGGCGCGTACAGTGAAGCTCCGTAGTAGAGAGGCAGGCCCCGTACGACCGGGTTCTTCGGCACATCAGGTGCTTCATAAGGAATGTCGACGTTCTTAACATCGGGATAATTGTAGAACTTAGGGAGACCCGACTGGGTTCCATTGCTTGCCATCTTGGACCACGATTTTGGCAAAGGAGCAGCAGATGTTTCGGTGTCGTCTGTGAAGGAGCCGGGGGAGCTTGAGACAAGCTCATGACCTAGGCCGGCCCATTCTCTGAACCGAGCGCTCCAACACAGCTGCATGTGAATATGAGCCGAAAGGTTTCTGCTGTTTATATAGTCACACGTTCTCCAACGAGCAGCGCCGAGTGGCATGCTTCTATTGGCCGGCTTGCCGTCCTCCAATATGCAAAGGCAATCAACAGGGACTTGGCTATCTCATAGTAATCCAACCATTCCAGCTTGACAATGCAGGTTTGCATGCGCTAATCAGCCTCGCGGTATGAATGTTTCTTTCTCTCTTCTTCACTGTTCTATACAAAATGTAGACATACAGGACTCCGTGGAGTCTGTCAGGACTGGGGTAAAAATCAATGGTCGCAACACAATGCCTGATGCTTATTCACTCCATGCATGTACGTCGACTCCACGGCGTAGGGTAATTCCATCCAAAAGAGAGCTAAAACTTGCAATAGACCCAGCCGACTACCCTCTCAGTGCCCCACACCACCCGCGACCCAAGCGTTAAAATTCGGGTCATCGGGGGGTGGGAAGAATCCGCCATTAGCTGGAGGACCATCCTGCCGTCTCTCGTCCCCATTGTGGCCATTATTAGCCCCTTCCCCCTGGTGAACACCTCCGGCCTGTTGCTGTAATCGCTCTTGCTGCTCTCTTAAACGTCGTGCGCGTTCCGCTGCCTGGTTCCGATAGTAGACCAGGAAAGCCAAAACACCAGCGAGACCGAGAATAACAACCGTATCAATAATGCTCTCATCGATGTCGTCGTAGTAGTCGTCCGCAAAGCCCGTTCCATCCTCCCAGTCGTCGATTTCCATGTTCTCGTAGTAAGCGGCATCACCGTTTTCGAGAAACGTAGTGAGCCATTCAGCGAGTGACCGGGGTTTGCTGGGTTCTGCGGATCCATGGGTTAGCGATTTTTCGGGATCATCCATTGTGGTGTCGTAAGATGTGTGCCGTAAACATACCGGGATCATCTTGAATGGAGTTGATGCGGCCGTGGGTGACGGTGTTCCACCAACTTCTCGCTCTGAGCTTCATTAGCGCGAGTTTGACGGGCAAGTAGGCCTCTCTGTTGGTCTCAAGAGCTTGGTCGTAGAATCGCTTGGCCAGATGGAAATCCTGGTCTAGGCCGATGCCATTCTCGTGCATCCAGCCCAGATTCCAGAAAGCCTGGGCACTCTGCATTGTCTCCGCGGCTGCTTGATAGCAGGCTGCCGCCTTCTCCTGATCGGATCCATCTGGCGTGCCCAGTCCATCGAGGTAATAGTCACCCATCTTGACCAAGGAATCAATGTTGGACTGCTTGGCCGAGCGTGTCCAGTAAATGAGCGCGAGGGCTGCATCCCCAACAAGCTTCACCTGGCGCTTGGCGACAGGCAAGATCTTGTCGAGCGACAGACGCGGCCGGGACTGGTCCAAGAGGTAGGCAACGTTCGCCTGCCCGGCCTCAAAACCTTGTTCGGCGGCCATCATATAGCCAATAAGAGCTGACTCGGAGTCGCCAGCTTCATACGCTTCGTTGGCCTCGCGAATCGGCGAGACGACTGCCTCGGCTTTTTCGGAAACGATCTTGTAGTACGTGACAGCCATCCCACATGACTTGTCGCGACCGACTCCTTGGTTGGCGAGTTCGGCGAGATAGTAGAATGCCTCGAAATGGCCGTTGCGAGCAGCAAGATCGAAGTACTTGGTGGCGACGGGGACATCGCCTTGATCCAAGAAGAGTGCACCGAGGCGAACTTGTGCGGCCGCGAGATCCAGATCGGCCGCCGCTCCGAAGTAGTCGGCAGCTTTCACAGGATCTGCCTCCACGCCGAGCCCTTCCAAGTACATGATGCCCAAAGAGAACTGGGAGAGTGAGTCGCCGTATTTGACACCACGTTTGAACCATGTAAGGGCAATCGGGTAGCTCTGCTCAATGCCCTCACCGCGAAGGAACATGCGGCCAAGGTAGCCGGCAGCTTTTGCGGCCAAACGCTCGACACCAGGAGGGGCATCCTTGTTCTCTTTCCCGTCCTTGCTCCAGTACACTCTTGCCACGTCCAGAAAATACGACTTTGCCGCCTTAAGGTCACGCTTCAGCTCTCTGGAACCGTCGTAGTGGAGTTTCCCCAAGCTGAACGTTGCCTTGTGGTCTCCCTTCCTGGACATGAGATCCAAGTATTCCAACACATCATCGAACGATGCGTGGGTGTCGGAAGCCGCGCCTCCAATCTTCGCATTGGGCCCCGCGCTGCTCACGCTAGCACCCTCTCCATAGACACCACCGACATCGTCGGCAATACGATAGGCCTCCTTGATCATGACATGGCCTCCAGGCGGACCAGAACGCATGTATTCCACCGCCTTGTCGGCGACCTTCTTGTACCAATACACAGCCTCGTCGCAGTCTCGCGGTGTGGCAATTCCAGTATGGTGGCGGTAAGCGATAGTCATCTGCGATCTGACGTCTCCGCCTTCAGCCGCAAATGTGTGGTACAGCATAGCCTTCGCTTGATCTTTTTCAACAGCTCCACCAACGCCGGTAGAGTACATCAAACCAAGCATGTGCTGGGCAGTGGCATTCCCGTCAAGGTTGGCCAGCTCCTGGTATCTTCGAAATGCTTCGTGATAATCGCGGGGGTGGGTGTGGTTCCCGTAGAAGTTCATTTCGGCAAGGAGGAAGATGGCGTCGGGGTTCTTCTGCGCGGCGGCGGCTTCCAGCAGTTTGGTGGCATCGGCCAGGGGCTGGCTTAGCTTCTTGGGATGGTCGCCGGTGGACAGAGGCTCGCGCTGGGGCGGGCCATTCATGAACAGGAGAAAAAAGAGCTCCTTCGCATAGTAGGCGGTCGAGCCCAGCACGCCGGTTGGCTTGGTCAAGGTGGTCAGGCGACTGCTCGAGGGGCGGATGGTGTGAAGGAGAGCTGCTGCTTGGTGAAATTCGGATGCGCCTGGCCTACAAGGTCAGTGTCGGGCCATAGCACGCGCTGCTGCGGCTGCACGCACCTCGCTCGGGGCTTCCCTGGGCTTCCTTGTGCCAGCCCGCGTCTGCGAGCACCTGCTGGCGGTGTTGGTCATCGTAGGCGTGAGCGGGAGCTTCTTCTTGGGCGTGGCGGGCGGAGGCGAGAGCGGCGATGGAGAGAACGAGGACTGGGTTGCGGGCAGTTAGCAGCTGGCAGTGGGGCGAGGACAGGTGGGCGGGAACATACAAAACAGCGGCCAAAGCCGCGGCGAGGGTATGTTCATTGCGCCGGGGGCAAGTCGTGGAGATGCAGAGTCCCTGTCGGGAATGGCATGCTACCGCAAGAAAAGACGCAGCATCACTCTCCTGCGACGCGCGTTTGGGGACTGAGGGCGGGAGAATGGACGGTTGGCGCAGCTGGCAAGATGCCACATTGAGCTCTGGCGGCGGCGTCACGCACCGGTGCCAAGCCGGCAGCGACGCCCTGCCGCCCGCGCACCGACGAACAAGGCCCCCGGCACTTCCTGGATGCGGCTTTGTAATCGTCCATTCCTCTATCAAGCCACAATGACGGCCTCATGTTCCCGTCCGCTCGCTCCTGCTCCTGCTCCTGCTCCTGCTTCTACTTCTGTGTGCCCGTTTCCTGCCGTGCTTCTTTCCTTCTGCCCACGCGTCCCAGAGCCAGACTGAGCGCCAACCATGCTTTCCGAACCTCATGAATCCGATCCCTCAGAGGCATCCCCACTCCTGGGCCAGCCGTCGCTGTCCTCTCTTTCCAGAAAGTCCTCGCAGACGACAATCCCCGACGCTCCTCCCGATGGCGAGGACACGCGGATTTCCGTCTCGCGCGGAACGACCATCGTCGCTTCACTTGGCTTGATCATGTTTTTGCAAGGCATGTCTACCTGTTCAATGCGTTCCTCTGTGTTGGCATTGCTCGGCTTCTGCCTCCATACCTAGCGGCAGATAGCTGGCTCTCGGCTCCAACCTTAACCGCTGTTCAAATGCCGCCTGTGCATTGGATCCCTGTTGCCATGCTCGTCTCTCATTGGCCCATGCTCGCCTGCTAATCACCACATAGCATGCAACTTTTCGCTCTTGACCACCACTCAATCTGCCATAGCAGCCGACCTTGATGCCTTCGAAGAGGTCACTTGGTTTACCTCGGCTTACTTGGTAAGTCCTGACCACGGCATGTTCGGACTGTTAGCTGACCTCGAGTAGGTGCCCATGTCAAGCATCACGCCGCTTGCAGGACGCCTCAGTCAAATATTCTCGCCACGCGCCTGTGTCTTTGTCGCCAGTCTGTTCTTCTCTCTGGGCGGAATAGTCACGGCTTTTTCACCAACTGTTGAATGGTTTCTCTTTGGGCGTGCCTTGACTGGTCTAGGCGGCGCCGGCATTCTCTCGCTCACCATCATCATCGTACTGCAAGTCGGTGGGGAGAAAAAACGCGGGCTGTTTCTCGGTTGCGTTAACTCAATCATAACGTCCGGTGTATCGCTCGGTGCCGTGCTAGGCGGGGCGATTGAGCCGAATCTTGGTTGGGCAAGTCATCACAAGTACCTTGTGGCACCGGTATAGTGACCACTGACTGTGTTACAGAGAGCCGTCTTCTGGATGCAAACTCCCCCAAGCATTCTGGCCGGCATAGTCGTATTTCTTAGTATACCATCGCATCTTGGCGCTGGCAAGGGGGATAACCGGACGCTGAAGGAAAGGCTCTCCCAAATAGACTATGCCGGAGCCGTCCTACTGGTAAACGCCCTGTTTTCTCCAAACCCAGCGACTTCTCTGTACTTACACTTTTGCAGACTGCCGCCATCACCACCCTGCTCATCTCGCTATCCGGGCCCAAGGTTCTCATCCTTCCGCTCATTCTCTCCCTCGTCCTCTTTCCCACCTTCATCATCACCGAGATCTACTTCGCCCGCGACCCCATCATCCCCATCACGCTCCTCAAATCCCGCGGCACAGCTCTCACTTGCCTCGCCACCCTCGGCTTCATGATGGCACGCTGGTCCGTCCTCTTCTACACACCCGTCTACGCCCTGGGCGTACGTCTCTGGGCCCCAGCAGCCGCCGGCTCCATCCTCATCCCCACCAACCTCGGCTTCGCCACCGGCGGCGTGCTCGCCGGCCTCCTGCACATCCGCCGCGCCGGCTCCTTCTACGCCCCCAGCCTCATCACCATGGCCATCTTCCCGCTCACCCTCCTCGCCCTCGGCCTGGCGAGCCGCGCCGCCACCCCCGCCGCGCTCTACGTCGTCCTCACCTTCCTCAACGGCCTCACCACCGGCGCCGCCGTCAACTACGCCCTCGTCCACGCCCTGCACCTCACCCCCAAGCACACCCACTTCGTCCTCACCTCGCTCGTCGCCACCTTCCGCGGCTTCGCCGGCTCCTTCGGCTCCGCCATCGGCGGCGGCGTCTTCGCCCGCCTCCTCGCCAACGCCCTCGCCCGCGGCTTCGCCCGCCGCGGCTTGCCCCCCCGCTCCAAGGACGAGCTCATCCGCCGCCTGCTCGGCAGCCCCGCCCTCGTCGCCCGCCTGCAGGGCGTGGACCGCGCCGTCGCCGTCGAGGGGTACGAGCGCGCGCTGAGGGGCTTGTTCCTCGCCGCCGTCGCGCTGGCCGTCGTGACGGTCGCCGTGCAGGCGGGGACGGGCTGGCGCGGGTACGACGACGAGGGTCGGGAGGTGACGGGCCGCGAGGTGGAGAGCGAAGAGGAGAGGAGGAGGAGGGAGAGGGAAGACGAGGAGGTTGGCGAGGCGGCTGCAGTGTAGCGTAGGGCCAGGGTCGGGGCCAGGAGAATCGATCGGGAGGTGTAGATGTGTATATGTTGTTTGCAACACTGGTGGCGATCTGGATCATTTTCCGCGTGGGAATGCTGCGAGCGCGCTTTGGGACTTGCGATTCGACTTTGAAAGCAGTCGTCTGATATTTACAGGTTAGCATTGAGCCAGCTGTAATGCAGCCGTGTTGGTATTGCGATCCTTTGTTCTATACATCGAGATGCCGACACATGTAAAGAAGTCTACGAAGCACGTTATTTGACATCAAGATTAGCGTAGATATAAAGTTCGATGTTTCCAATTTTGCAAAGGAGAGTGTAGTTCATTATCAACGCCTTCCAACGCTACAAACGAATGGTGTATCTCAATTATCCTAACATCCTCAACCCAGCGCTTCGCTCTCTGACAGCGGGTTTTGACACGGTTCTGCGCGTGCACTGATCCCAAAAAAAACTGAGAAATAGCAATTGCATCCCGTGCATCACAACCAATTTCATGTGTACCAAACCCACACTCCCATAAATTTCCTCCCAGTGCCCATCCGCTTTTTCTTTCTTTACCAAACAGACAGCAGACAGCAGACAGCAGACACTATGCGGCAGTAAAGACCAACATGCAGAAAACACGAATCATGACACCACAGTCCTGAAGAGAAATACAGACGACCCACAACGCCGTGCTGGAATCAATATACAACCAATTGTGAGACGTGACAAATGTTCTAAGGACCTCATATCTTGCGATCTTGCGACAGGATCTTGAATCGTCGCCGAGAGGGCCGGAAAGCGAAGGATGGTTGTTGTTCTACGTATACTGCCATCCTCAAATGAAACAACATGAAGATAGGAAAAACAGTCAGAGAAGGAAATGAGGGTATCTTCAAGAATCGACAATAAGGAAAGCAAGTCGACATCATTGCCCTTTTCCTCTTTGCCACCATACTGGGTGTAGCCTAAACAGGTTCCCCAAGTGCAAGGAAGTCGAGGCTCTGAGCGAACAGGACAATTAAAAGTATTAAGAAATCATGATCTTAAGACTTTAAAAAAAGGAAGACAGCATCTGCATATGGATTCAAGTGATCCAGAATGCCGACAGATTCATTCTCGGATTGGGGTTACCCAAGAGTTGGCCAAATGCGGCCGAGGACCTTGCGCCAGCGGGTTCGGCCAGGGGCATCATTATCGTCAGCAACCGTCGAGGCATCTGGACGGTGTTCGCGACCTAAAAGTGTCAGAGCGCGTTGTCGTGCCCATTCGCGACGCGACGAAGTTCCTGGGGCAGGACGATCAGACGGACTCGGAACGCGTGTGGTCTCAGTCGTTGGACCATTCGGAGGTGCTGCGGGACGCGAACGTGCTGTAGGAGCCGGGACAACGATTGTATCGCGAACTTCATCATCAGGACAATCAACTGATCGAGATGCTGCTGGCGACGTGTCGGCCTGTTGCATTTCAAGATCGGCGGCAGTTGCGGGCCGTTGTCTCGTCGTGTGCCCTCCCATGACTAAAGCGGCAAGAGAAGTCAAAAACCCACTCCGGGTGCGTTCTTCCATTCTAACACGCTCCTCCTCTTGTCGCATCTGGTCGTCAGACAAGCCGCGTGCAGCCGCGCGTTGTCTGACCCGGCGGACCCAGCGTTCTCGGCGTACCATCGCGTTCGTGATCACAGCAGGACAATAGCCTCGGGGCAACACCGTCTTCTTGCACAAGGGGCACAGTGAAGAGCTGTCGCGCAGGAAGTTGTCGATGCACTCTGGATGATAGATGTGCTTGCAGGGAAGCTCGCGCACGGCCGTCTCTTTGTCGATGAAATCGTCCAGGCAGATGGCGCAGGTTGGTTGGGAGAACGCAGACGTACCATCGGCGACGGTCGGTTCTGGAGTGTCACCATCAGGTTTTGGCCCTTCTTCGTCCTGCGATGAGGCCGTATTGGCGTGGTAGACGTAAATAGGCATTCGGTCCAAAACTTCCTGTGGGACGGTGAGGCGCCTGATCCCCAGAGCTTCGAGGTCCACTTCTCCCCGAACGACGCGGTCGCGCAGCTGATTTCTCATTCTTTTCTGATGCCAATGAACACCGACAGATGAGCCGCAGATTGCCAGAACCATGAGGCCCAAGACGATGAGGAGGAAGACCCACAAGCTCGGAAGCTGACTTCCGCCGTCTGAAAATTGTTAGCAACCGCCGCATTTGAGATTCATGAGGACTTACTAGTAGGTATTTGAGCGATCTCGCGGACAAAGTCGCTTGGGTGATACTGGCCGGAGAGTTCGTGACCGTGTGGTACCGAGGTGAGGTTGCCGGAGTAAGCCGCAAGGGCGTTCATGACAAGTCGTCCTGTGGAGCTTGGCACAGCGTATATTGCGAAGTTGTGATCTGTCTTCCAATGGCCTCCATCATTCAAGTCCCACAGTGCATCGTTCGCCGGGGGAGGGAGGGTTTGGCTGCCATCTGTGGGAAAGAATATGATGGCGCGAAGCAGAGGATCGGCATCCGCACTGTTGAGGAATTCGTAGATACATTGAGCCGATGTCCAAGGAGCCATTGCTATCTGGTGGTAGTTTTTGGACGGAGGCAGGTCGTCGAAGCGCGTTACGTTGGCGGGCACGAAGGAAGCAGTGGAATTTCTACATTGATCCGTCGCTAGGTCTGGGACGTATAGCGGGCCCACGACGTTTTCGCCCGTACTGACGCCGTTCGTAGAGAGAGTGCGCACGTCTGGTTCCGGCCAGAAGAAGGCATACGCATCCTGCACGAATTCGAGTTAGGATGCTGGAAGCCGGGCGATGCGCAATGGGCGGTTAAGCAGCACTCACATCGACGAGTGTGACATTGTCGGCGGCTGCAGCGTCTCCGCCGGGGAATACGGCTGTCCGGAACTGCACCTGTTGCGCGCCTAGATGGCGGAAGAAAAGCCGTGTGAGCATGGCAGCGGCAATCCGAGGCAGCTCGAGGCAGCTCAAGTCCTCGAGTAACGCGGCGGACGGGCGGGTGACGTACTCATAATTACGAGGGCTGCGGCGTCGGGAAACGACGACGGATGCGGAGACAGGCGCAACACATGCGCGGTTCGACGGCAGCAGAAGACGAACGGAAGCGATGTTGTTCGGGGCACGAGGATCGCGGCAGGTGAGGGCAGGAATGGTGGTGGCGCGCACGGAGCGTCCGGGCGGGTGGGTTGCGTGGATGGGCCAGACGAGCAGCGCAGCGATGTGGAGGCCCGCTGGCGCGCATCCCCAGCCCCTTCTCGATGAGGCGCTTGGCCCGTGCGAACGCGGCTTCCGAAAGCTTGTTTGAATGGCGCTTATCGATTGTTGTGCCTGCCTTGGCGTGCACCATGCGACATCAGCCCGGCACGCGTTCCACTAAGCCCTCCCCAGCCTGCAGCACCACTGCACGACCTACTCCATCATGCCCTCGGCTCAAGGCAAAGGCAAAGGCAAGACCGGCAGCTCCGGCCGTGACGCCCGCCGTTCGCGTAGTCGCAACACCACCCCAATCTCCTCTGTCTCCGGCGTCCACCAGTCTGTCGAGCCCGTCACTACCTCGCCCTCCGGCATGCAGTCGACCCTGAACCACCTAGGTAGCCCGTCGAGCGTCTTCATCGAGGAGATCTTCAACAATGGCGGCCACAGCGCCGGCATTCCCTCCCCCGAGGCCCTTCACAGCATGCTCGAGGAGGTCAAGAATCGCTTTCTTCCCGCCCAGACCACGCGCAGCGAGGCCAACGAAAAGTTCATGCGCCATCTTATGCAGCGCCGCAAAGCACGGCTCGAGCACCAGCACGCTGAGGAACGCGCCGACCGCGAGGCTGAGGAGCGGAAGCACAAGCTGAAGAAGGCGAAGAAGCGCGAGCCCGACGAGGACCGCCCGTTAGCGGTAGGCGCACACGGTGTAGCTAGGCAGGATGGCACAGATGGAAAAGGTAGGAGACTCCCATACCTTTTACGTTGCAATGCAACAACCACGCCTTCTCCCTTGTGCCTCTCTCTACTTGTCATACTACACGCGTCGTCCGCGATATCTGTATCGACACGTAGTGTCCCGCCTGCACCTCTTATTCACTCCGATTATGCGATGCCCGGAGCCTCGACCCACAACAGGGTCTTCTGTCCAGAAAAGATGGACCAAGAAGCTCCCGCGATTAATGCCCGCTCGTCTTGGCATGTCACCCGCGGTTTTTTGTCTATTGCTCCTTCTCGTTGTTTTGCTCATGTTACTCCGTTTACACGTCACATGGGTTGTTCAGCATGCAGTGATTAACAAGGCTTTAGATGCTTCATCAACCATCTCCTCTCCCATCTCGCAACCTCCCCCTTCCGCTACCGGTGCCGGACACGTTGATAATGCAGCATCTCCGAGCGGCTCTGAAGATTCACATCAGCCCGAAAAGGCACCTGCAGTACCGGCGTACCAGACTTTTGGCCCCGATCCAACCAAATTCGACGACCCCACCATCTACCATATTCGCGACATTACCGAGGATACGCCCGAGGAGCTGAAAAAGGAAATCCTGGGCGTGGCCCGCTACCCACAGAGCGAGTTGAAAGAACTGACTCCGGGCACACCCCCTGACAAGGATTTCAGTAATCCAAAGCCGCAGACACAAGTCAACGCAAGCGTTTTTGCCAACTACGTGGAACCCTACGTAAGACCTTTGACAGAAGAGGACTTGTCTTTCCTAAAAGAACGGGTGAGTTCCACCTTGGAGCGTGATTATACATTTCCGCTAACCCAAATGAGGGGGACCGTGTTCTACCGTTTCAAATGCCCCGGCGTGGGCCGCGGCATTACAAAGAGATATGGGCCGATGAAGATGGAGCCATGGTCGTGGATCCACCTACGGAAAAACTCCCGCCAAACGAACCTAGGGGCAGCATGGATGCGATGAACGATGACATTGCAGAAACTGACGCTGTGGCCCCTGGTCCCTTGGCTTCCCGATTACTCTCCACCTTGCGATCTGAAGGCCGCACCTCCTCTGGCGAACCGAATAGCGCCATCAACGGTGACATGGAAGTAGACGGTGAAGGCGGAGATGCGTCCTCTGCACCCCAGCAACCTGCGACACATATGTCCGAATCGAATCAAGCATCGTGGAAGAACGCACCTGCCACAAAGATTGACTATGCAACAATGGATGAGCGTGCCATGCAAGAACTGATACACATCGGCTTCCTTCCAGCGGATGAAAAGCCAGACTACGACGGACACTTCGATGACGAAGTTGCAGCACGCCTACGCTATCTGCAAGACGAATTGCGGAAACAGTCGATTATCAACGGTGCACGTAAAACGAGACTACTCGAGCTCGCGCAACACCGCATGGCTCAACAAGAATACTGCGCCATTGAGGATGACCTCAACAACCAACTCAATGCCGCCTACCTCAAACGTAACCGCAACCTTGGCAAGGGCAAGAAGAACAGTAAGCGGCCCGGCGGTGCTGGTGGTGGTAGTCATGCCGTGGTGCAGGTTGGTGCGGGCAATTCGCGCGGGCTCGGCGAGGAGATTCGCGCGCTTATGGAAAAGAAAGAACGCTGGACGAATGTCATTGGCCCTGTTGTCGACTATGGCAAGGCAGGAATACCCGTTGAGAGCATCTTTGATGATGAACTAATGAAGAAATACATGGAGAAGGAGCAAGAAGGCTGGACAGAAGTCGAAGAATAGGATGTGCGCGAAGGACAAGGCTCCTTTGTACCAACGGGCGTGTTGTATGGAGATGGCTTTTGTCCAATTAATCTATCCATGGCCGAACCGGCCGAAGTACGAACACCAATGACTTCGCTATGCATGGGTGCACGGAACCGGGGTTTAGGAGCAGAACATGTATTAATAAGAGTGTAACAGGATTGCAGCCAAGCGTTCATTTCAAGGGTGTAGGCCCTAATTGAGTGGGATGAGGCAATGTACACACTTTATCATGACATACGAGAGCATGTAACCCGATAGCGTGGGGAAGGGGATCTTATTTAAATATTGTGGCAAACTTGAATTGCCGACCTCTTAACATGCCGCATTTTTGGCGGCACAATAGGTTACAACAGGTTTGATCGTTATGTATGTATGTACATGCCTCATAAAGGACGTTACACTCTTCCTGCGTGGATAGTCGATAACGGTCTAGGTATTGGTGTGAGACTCAATTGTTCGGATACGGTAGGGGAAGGCTCGATGATCTTGCGACAGTTGTGGTGGGATGCTGCGAGCTCCTAGAGTAGTGGCTGTTAGTTAGCATGGGTAGTCCTGAATCAATGACTAAGCGACGAGATTGTGCATAAGGAGGACATCAGCAACACGAGAAGATGATCTAGATAACTGGTTTTGAAATCATTTCAGCCATGACAAGCCAGCGGGCGCTGGCCTGCAGCGGGCGAGTCTTATGGCCCCAGCGTGCTCATCAGAAGATCGGGGGAACACCATGCGGGACGATCGCGGCAAGCACATACCTATGTTACCAAGGCTAGTGACGCAAGAAGCATGCGAAGAAAGAGGATGACGACGGCGTGGCTGCGATGGCGCAGGCCTGGGAGGTGGAAGGGCGGGAGCGGGCAAGGCTCGCTCGTTCCAGGCCAGCGCGCACGGGCTTCGATGTGACGTATTCCTGGCTCGACTGCAGCTTCGTTTCCCACCTGCCCGCCCGCTGCCACATATACTCCATCGACACCGCACACAACAGCTCGACATCCTACCACTGCAGACCGGCTCAAGAGACTCTTTTTGAGCTCACCCATACTTTGCAAAGCGACTGCTGCTTCTCCTCCTCCGCCGCCACCCGACCTCGCAGCATTCCAGCCGGTGCAGCCTAGCCAACATCCACCATGACGCTCTACTACAGCTTGGTACGTCCATGAACCGGTTCCCGCCACACCGCAGACACACACGCGTACACGAGCCCTCTGGCATCTGTGAGGTGCCGTGGGTCTTTCGCGCTCGGTGCACCATGAAGATGGCGTCCTTGGAGCAACTACCCCTCAGTCTGCAGTCGCGCGGCATCTCGAATCACCCCAGTGCTAACACAGCTGATCGTAGGTATTCATGCTCCTGGTGGCCGAGATGGTGATCTTCATGTCACTCATCGTCCCGTTGCCGTTCACCTGGCGTCGCAAGCTCTTCACTTTCATCTCCGAAAGTCCACTTATAGCGAAGCTACAATATGGAATGAAGGTATGTGGTGATGTACACCTGTAGAAAATGGCCCATGCTGACTGGATGGCCAGATCACATTCATATTCATCCTGATTCTGTTCATTGACAGCGTCAACCGCGTTTACCGCGTTCAGCTCGAGCTGTCTGCGGCCTCGAACGCCGAGAAGCAGGGCCGGTGAGTACATTTCCACCCGTGCAATGAACTCCAACTGACAATGACGACAGGGCGGCGGTCATTGGCGGACCTGAACGCATGGAGGTCCAGGCCCGCAAGTTCTACTCGCAGCGCAACATGTACCTTTGCGGCTTCACCCTCTTCCTGTCGCTGATCCTCAACCGTACCTACGTCATGATTCTCGATGTTCTGCGCCTCGAGGAGGAGAACAACTCCCTCCGTGGCACCTCCAGCGGCAAGGGCAAGGATTCCGCCGCTCTTGGCAGGGCTGGCGATGCCGGCGAGATTGGCCGCCTCAGGAAGGAATTGGAGGCCAAGGACCGTGACATCGAGCACCTCAAGAAGCAGGCCGATGGCCTCTCCCGCGAGTACAACCGCTTGGGTGACGAGGTCTCTGGATCTGACAGCGCCCCCAAGAAGGACCGGTAAATGCGCGGTACTACCGGAGGTTCTTCTGGAACTTGGAGTATTCGCCGTCACTTATCATTCTCAGAATGACAACTTTCGAGATCAGCGGGAAGATGCTGTGCCCTGAGCTGCATAGCAGGGAGGACACCAAAATGGAGACGGGATGCAGAGACGAAGTCGGTTTTGTAGCAGAGAGATCAGCCTGGTCTAACAGAAATGGAATATGCCCTTACTGTGTAATCCTGCACGTGATGCCATCGGAGATTGCGGGGTTACGGCTGTCGCTCGTCGCGAACGACTCGCCCAATCCCACCACCATGCATTGTCACCACCAGACCATGGAGCCAGAGAGTCGCGCCTAGACCCTACCACGCTCAAGCGACCTGTGGCAGCTACTTTGCCAGCCATGATCAAGGGCATCTTCTACACTCGGTTCCATCCCGAGAAAGGCACGTTTCAATCAGACTTGGTTTCACCGCGCCGCTGACGCGCATAGGCTCTCGCGTCCTCCACCAAGTGCCTGATGGCTCAATCACGCCTTCGACAGCGCCCTGCGCACAGTCCGCACCATTCTTCAGCTTTAGCGACGTCTCCGAGTACGTGATCCCGCGCCAGGAGTTCTGCGACCGCCTCGTCACCGTGTGCGCCAACCACTACCGCATCATCGGCTACCCAGTCTGCATCAACAACTACAATGGCAAATATGACCGCAACCAATTCATCTTCAACTTCGCCTTGGTCGTCGAGGAGGACTTGTTGGACTGGAACAGCTACGCCAGCGTTGTAAGGAAGCTGGGAAAGCTGTTGCGCAACCTGGAGGAGCAGGGCAGCTTCTTGAGCAACGAAGAGAAAGACATACCGTGGGATGTGCTTGGAGATCCCGCCAGGACCTCCAGCATTGGGCTGGGCATCAGGAGAACGGAAAGGGCTGCCTCGCTTGCCGAAAGCACGAGCGAGAGCCAGTCAGTGAAGTCGCTGGGCTTGGAGGGACTCAGTCTGGACAACGAGCCGGCTGAGATGGGCACAAGCAGTAAGGTTTACGCACTGTGCGAGATGATCTTGGAGGACCTCAACAACTACTGCGAGTGCATGATTCCAATTGGTAAGTTCCAAGCTTGACACATGTGGAATCCAAACGCCATGGCCTTCGTTAACAAAGCTTCAAGACGACTCGAATACCATCAACCTAAAGCTCTTTCCGACTCGCTTGCCGCCAGCTCCCGTCCACGCGTGGCATGTCCCGCTACTTACCATCGACATCGACATGTATACGGCACCGTCTGCCATGAATCCACACTCCTTCAGTAATCGCTGTGCTACACTTTCTTCGGATCTGACCCTTACACGGATTCTCCCGTACATCGACGGCATCAACTCGGTGTACTTCATTTCCCAGCTTGCTGATACAGACATCGGACTCACCCGGAAGGCAATTCAACACCTAGTCTACTACGACTGCGTCGTTTTGCTGGACATCTTCCAATTTGGTGCCATGTACGCGCCCACTCCTCTGATTGCTCATTTCTTCACCGACGAAGCTGCCCTTGCCGAATGCGCACGCTATGTTCGTATACCACGCTTCTTGGATGCCTCCATTGGCAACGATACTGCCACTCTCCCCGAGGAACTTCGTCGGGACTCTCACAAGCCTTCACACGGCCACTCCCGCAAAACAAGCGTCGGCAGCACCCTCGGCGGCTCCACTACAACCACGACTGCCGCCGGAAGCCCGACTCAAGCGACCTTTGTCCACAACCGCGCCCATCGCTCCTCAACTATCGGCACGCATTCCTCGGCTGCTCTAACCAATTTCACCGCCAACCTCACGCTTGCCCCTAACCAACCTGTGGTCAGCGCCGACACACTAATCCAGTTGTACTCGTCCATGCGTCAGGGCGTGACTTTGCGTGCTTGGGTGCTGGAGAACACAGCTCTGCTCACACACATCGACGTCCGCCGCCTCGTCACCTTCGGTGTCATCAAGGGCTTCCTGTACCGAGTGCACAAGTACGCCATCACGACGAGCGCAGGCGCGTTGGCCGGCACAACGGCAAGCTACGACGGATACGATCATTTACACGGCGCACGGTGGAGGGGCCATAACGGTTACGCGAGCCCGTGGCGAGTCGATTCGGACGTCGAGGATGGAGGTCTGGAAGCAAATGCGGATGGCGGGGATAAGGCGAGCGGGAACGGTAGCGGTGCTGCGTACGGTAGGGAGCTGCCGCTGGCAAGGTATTTGGATGGCCTGCACTGCTTCGATGAGATATGCACGGAGTTGGGCATGAGCGAGAGGGAGGTGCTGGCGAAGATGAAGAAAGGGTTTGGGGATGTGTTGGTGGTGAATCGGTGATTGTGTTACAGCAGGCAGAGAGCCACTTCATCGTCGGCAGAGGCGTTCATGGAATATGCACAAAGGACTTTGTACTCGGATGATACCCAGGTAAACCCGCATCGAACTTGATCAGAATAGAGGCTTTTCTCTTCCAAACTAAACTTTGACTGGCACTCGCTTGTCTGTTTCTCCTTCCCTTCCCATTGACGGCTTAGGTCCCACCCACGTTCTCTTGGCTTAGTGCCTCATGGACCTTCGTCTGTTCGCGTACTGGCTGGCGTCACTGCACTCATCCTAATCGATAGCAGCCTGTTTGTAGATTGGCTCCCCAGACCAGATGGGTTCGCACGGATGCGGCTCTGGCTTTTTCGTCTTTACGGTGCTGGCAACCCTATCAAACACCCATACCCAATGGTATGATTCTCTGAACAAAAGGTCGAAAGGAGCATCGCCACGAGCGACGAGAGTCGACCCACTCATTGTGTTAAGGCACAACTGAGGGCGGGTAAAGAGATGGGAGAGAGGATAGCGAGGAGCTCTGAAGTACCGACCGATATGCTTTTTTTCTCTTGGTCGCCTTGTTCTATGTCACGCGATCCCGTGTCTGGCGGTTCGTATCCTACATCGCCAGTTTGGCAATTTAGCACAGTCTCATCCCAGTCACCTGGGCCATGCGTTTCTAGTGCGCTTAAGGGGGAGCGCGTAGGTGCCCGCGTGCACTCTGGCAATTTAGTGACCTCACTGACATTGTAGAAGGAGATCAGTGGCTAGCGACATGCAAGTTCAGACAATACGTAAATCTAGTAAATAGGAATAAACTTATCACCACCAAAATTCAGATATGGGCAGTCAATGGCACTATGTAGCACTCTTATTTCACTTTGGACTTTTGTTGGAATATGGGGCTCCAGATCCTAAGGGCTGCCAAAAATGCCCTCAGTCGCTCGCTTCGCATTCTTAACATGTTTCGACCTGGGCTGCTGTCTCTTCTTGTTCTGCTCTTCATTGCAGGTGACCTACTCGTTCGTGCCATTCCGAAGGCCCAAACATCGACTCAATCCGGCTGGCGTCTCACTCAACGACGTCTTTCACGAAAGAAACGATGGCGAGTCGTCCATCGAGCTTGCTTGGGACCTCGTTGTGAAGAGCTCCGTGGACATGTTTACGACGAACGTCAAGCCGCAGTTCCCTGCATAGGTCGTATAGGTATTGCGCCTGACTTTCGGGCACAATCTCGTCTCGCGCGGCGGTGACTATCTGTATTGGTAGTCTTCGATGGCCTTTCAAAGCCGCCATACTACGAAGTGCTCCTTCATTGTCCCACCAGTTCCGCAAGAATGGCCAAAGGTAGCGGTAAGGGAGCCACTTTTGGGGGTAGAGGGCAAGAAGCATCTCTTTGATTCCGATAAAAGGAGTCTCGAGAATGATTCCAGAAATTGCGAGCTGCCGGTTGGGGTTCGTCGAAAGGGATACTGACTTGAGTTGCCGGGCTACTAAGTCTGCTGCCACACCTGCTCCAAGACTCTGGCCCCAAAGGATGACCTGAGCACCAGCGTAATTCTGTTCAACCCAGGCGAGAGTGGCTTGAGCGTCTTTCTCGATGCCTCTTTGCGAGGCTCTGCCCTTGGAGGTCCAGAATCCGCGGTAGGATAAGGCTACGATACTGTAATCTGGATGATTCGCAGGTGGATTTTCGTTCAGTGCTCTGAGAACCTTAGTCAAAATCGGCAGGCGCGGCGGCATGGACGCCCCATTCCTGCTTGACATCAGCATGGAGTAGAGCAGGGAAAGCCATTGCAACTACCCTTGGAAATACAGGATCACAACTCGCTGCTGGGTGGTTCCCGATGCTTCATTCGGTGTATCTTTCGGTGGTATACTACCGAGACACAGAGATAATCGGGTTCCGTCCAGAGACCTGATCCTCTTCTCTTCCCATAGCACAGGTCTACAAGCGGCAGCGTAATCGTCCATCTTCTCGGAACGAGCAAAGGGGGGCATGTAAGGCATGTAGATGATCTTGTTTTGGAAGACAATGGTCATGATGATCTTGTACGACCAAAGGCCCAGGAAGCAGCCGAGGAAGACTGCAGGCGGGACCAGGACCGTAGGTAGCGTCTCGGTGAACAGAGCGCGCCTCCCATGCTGGTAGCTTGCGACCAACGCGGGTCTGAAAAGTCTGCGCGGCTGTATTGGCGATGCATGACTGGCCGACGAAAGCGCTCGTCTGGCCGATGAGCAACGGCAGTGGAGAGCCATCACCGTTCCGGGAGGCACGGAAAGTGGGATGGAGGCGGTGCGCATTGTGTCATTGGCAGCGACGCGGGTCCAGACTCCAGATTGACGGCGCACGGCCACATGGACGGAGCGGCGATGGCGGGCGGAGATGTGGTTGCGGCAGGCGGGCGGGAGAGATCCCCGGGGCAGGCGCAAAGTGTCCGGGACCCCTTGGACTGTGCGCAACGCCGTCGCTGCCATGCGAGATCACAGAGCTCGACGACAGCTTACAATAATCCACCCACCGCCCAGCCCTCCTTTCCACCCACCGCCTCCCACATTTTTCCTCCTCGACAGCCTTCGTCTGCATCGCCGCTCTACGCTCGACATCCTACTCAATCTATCTTTGCAATCCCTCCACCAAAATGCTTCGCTGGTTCGTCTTCCGGCATCCCTCGACCCAGTCGTAGCCGCTCGAAACTGATGGCTCCATGCGTACAGGTACCAATTGAAGCTCGCTCAGCGCCCGCTGCTGACCCAGAGCGTTACCACCGCTGTATGCGTCCTCTCCCCCCTTCCGCTCCAGTTCCTGCGCAACTACACCGCCAGATGTCCCTCTTTGGCGACCATCATGCAATTCCCCCCCGAAACCTGCACAAATGGCCAAGATGCGGCACAAAAGCTGGAATGCCATGGGCTGACTTTGCGGGACGCCTGCAGATTTTGTTCGCAACCGGCGACACCATGGCGCAGCAAATCGTCGAGCGCAAGGGCGTAAAGAATCATGAGTGGGATCGCACCGCCCGCATGGCCGCCTACGGCGGTGGTAAGTGATGCTCCAGCCTGCAAACTTCTCAGTCCGCCACCGCCGATCAGCAGAATTCTGACATTCGGCCGCTTTCGCAGCCATCTTCGGCCCGGCCGCGACGACGTGGTTCAAGGCGCTGCAGCGTATCCAGTTGAAGTCGACCAACGGCACCATCCTGGCCCGCGTCGCCGCCGACCAGCTGCTCTTTGCTCCTGCCAACATGTGCCTCTTCCTGTCGACCATGGCTGTGCTCGAGGGCGGCAAGCCCAAGGACAAGCTCAACTCGACCTACTGGCCCGCGCTCAGCAAGAACTGGATGGTTTGGCCCTTCGTGCAGGTCGCTAACTTCAAGTTTGTCCCGCTTGAGCACCGCGTGCTGCTAGTCAACGTCATTTCTCTCGGTGAGTGGAGCTATCCCGGGTTAGGACGATAAGGCGAGGCGGAAAAGCGGTGCGGACTTAGCGAGTGCTAACGCCGAATGTGCCTCCAGGCTGGAACTGCTATCTCAGCTTCCTCAACAGCCAGGGCGGAGCCACAGCTGCTGGCTCCGAGGCCGGGTCCTTGGCAGCCGAGAAGATGGAATGAGCAATGCCTCTTCCTGCATCAAGACCGACACCGACTGCGCCGCTTTCCATCATGCTTTCTCCGTCGGAGCATTCCGTGCGGCTGAGACAATGGGCATGGCGGACGCATACGTCAGCTGCGAACAGAGACCAAGCCTTCATAGGCAGCTGTGACGTTTCAGAAAAGTACGAAAAGACCAATTCAAATAATAGACGAGGAAGGCTAGAGGAAGGAGACCATCCATAGAAAAGGAAATGGGCATGTCCGATGGGTATCGAATCCTGCTGGCGGCGGCGCAGCAGTAAGATGGTGGTCCGTGCCACCTGGACCTGTGGCGGCGGGCGCGGTGCGGCGCGGCACAGCCGCAGTGGAAGTGGCAGGGCTTATTCGTCGTTTCTTCGATTTCTCTCTTCACGTTGACATCTTTCGGTTCCTTTTGGTTTTGACATATCCTGTCTTTCATGCCTCTGTTGCGCCCCGGTTCGGCAAGAGCGGCACGCGTCACTCGGTAGCTGCGACAGCTGAGACAAACCCACAGAGCCAAAGCAGCAAAAGCGATCTCCGTTCGGCATCGCCGAAGGGGGGCTGCTCCGCTTTCCGCAACCATGGCTGCGGTGTCTTGCTTCGCTGTGTGCCCCACTTTTCCTTTTTTTTCCCTTGGCATCACCTTCTCCACCACACACCCGCCTTCCCATTCGTAACATGCAGCATCATCAGCAAGATTTTCATTGCATGAGACATGAGACAGCACCTTGAGGTCACAAGACCAACACATAGATAGACGAACAGACATAAGACAAATGACATAGATCAGAAAGAAGGGAAAACAGTGATTCGTTGTTGTGGACAGAGGTCCTTCGTCGTTCGGTGTGACAATGCTCACTATCCAATTTAATTGCTGCTAAACAGCTGATATTATACCCATAGCCAAAGATGGCGGTCTGAGGGAAATCCGACAGACTACCTACATATCCGCCCGTTTGTCGGGTCGGTCCGAGCTCTCGCCCTACAGGGCCGGTGATTCAGTGGTGTATTCTCTCCGAAACACCCAGCCTTCTTTCTGATATCTTTTCACGATGGTAGAGATGGTCTTGCTTCATTTTTTTCTTGTCTGGTAAATGCTTTTAGACTTGCCAATAAACTTAAGCATGTTACTCAGCACGTGTACCTGCGCGCTGGAGGCACCATGCACAAACCGTGCGTTCCAATTCCACGCGCAAAGTCCACTTTCTCCCGTTCCCCGCCGAAAAGCTTCAGCCAGACTCTATAACAGCGTGAAGCCATATACAAACGAGAACGGGATCCAGGCCACATTATTATTACTACCAAACGACTCGCAGAAGTGCGTAGCTTCTTTTGTGCGCACGCACATATGAAAAGGTTATTAATGAAGGACCTACGGCTAACCGGGGCCGGGGAGCAACAGCAAAAAAGAAACACGGCCAAAACATGGCTTGAGCGCCCGTCCGCCCACCCCTCCCGACAGCGACCGGACCCTTCTCCTCGCCGTTCCTCGCACGGAAACTCAAAAATGGCCATGTCGCCCTGTAGAGCGAGATACTATACATAGGAAACCAGGGACGCGAGATATGGAGGGGGGGGGAAAAAATAGAAACACGGCACCTTCCTGAGCCCTTCCCGTTCCTGTCCCTTTACCCCTGGTGATCGCCCAGGCACAGGCTCGCTCCGACGCGCGCCGTCTTCCGGGTGATGACCTTATGTATGATGTGCACATCACTTTCCCCCTCTAAACAAGGCACACGGCATGCGTATGTAGGTAGCTGAGTCAAGCCCGCTGCTGGCTCGGCCGAATCATTGCTTTCCCTCCCCCCATGAAGAGCGACGTGATGCATCACTAGTGACAAAAAAGTGGGGTTTGCTGCAGCCGTTGCACGACCAAGGGTCGTCGAGTTTAATGCATTTGGCTCCGGACTGATCAAAGATGCTCGGGGATGAACCGCCAAATTTTTTTTTCTCAAAGACCTTGTAAGAAGTTATGCTTCTCTCCTCCAAAATTCTATAATTACGATAGGTGCAGAGCCCGTGAGGTACCCAATAAGACGGCGTACCAAGCCGGCACCATTTAGAACCTTATCTCTCTGTGACGGCGGGAAAGTCGGATGAACGACGAATGAAAATTTGGACGGAAGTGCGGGATTGGGTGGTAATGAAAGGCACGTGGGCCTTGAGATGCAATTTGCCAGGATGACGAAACCCCCCGTCTCACAGAAGCATGGACTTCATGACATGGCTGACCTATAATAAGAAACATGCAACACACTGCAGCCAGCGGGCAGTAGGAGAGTGGGTATGAGTACTATGCAAGAAAACGGAAAGGAAAATAGCATCAGAAGGAAATATGCCAAGGGAAGAGATCGGCCGTAGTCGAAAACTCGCGCGGTTGGCAATATGCCTTTCAGTCCGCTTGTTGAAATCAAGTAACACAGATCCGGGAAGAGCAAAAAGCCGACAACCAAAAAATCCCTCTGGTATCCTTCTCCACAAAAAAAAAAGAAAGAAGCACTTGCGATCCACGAAATGTCCTCTCCGCAAGCCCAAGGCTCGGTGGGATCGAATTGGGTGGTGCAATGGGTTTGCTTCCAGTATGGCAAACAAGAGTGGCCGGTATTCCCGATCTTCGCCTTTGTGCACCACATAACGCCGTCGCCGTGAATTCCCCGTGCCCGGATCAAACCTAAAAGAAAGACTGAAAATCCATTGTACATGCTTTGATTGGACGTATCGAGCGATCGCACCACCATCTGCAGGGTGGGACGGAAGACACGATGGAAACATCAGTCAATCGTCATCCTTGCCGGCATAGGACCGGCAATTGCGGGCATCTCGGTCGTATACTTGTGCTCCTCGAGATCCGGCACTTTGCGTTTCGCAATGTGCGGCTTGAGGCCCTTGTTGAAATTATGGGTGCACATGCATGCAATGATGATGGTCACCAGCAACAAGAGAATGGTAATGACGGCGAAAGTAGTGAGCGAACGGCGGGCTGGTAGGTAATCCTGAACGCGGCGACTGTCGGTGCCGTACATGCGTACAAGCTTGAAGAGGAAGTAGGCAAGCGCACCGAAGTAGACGGTCTGTATGTGAAGTCAGCGGCCAGGGAACATACGGCGTTCTCTGCAAGACATACGATAATGGCGGCCATGCCCAGTACATTCTCCTTCTGGGTCCAGTAAGCCGCAAGCAAGAGAAGGATAATGGTGATCGGAATGGCGGCGATGGTGAGGTAAAATTCAGCGTCTGTCGTGTTGCCGACGACGACAAGGAACTGCACGGTGAATCCCAGGAAGAAGAAGAAATCGAACTTCAGAAGGGCGATGTAGATCTAGAAGCCAACGTCAGCACGTGTGCATGTGTGCATGTGCCAAATTTGGCGCAGTTGTCCCTTGCTTACCTGATACGTGAGATACCTACGCTTCAGTCTCAGGTCGGCGCTGATGTGCTTGTAGATGGTCCAGGCGAATTCGTCATACAGCTTCCAGGCAACGAAAGACATGAGAATGGTGCCGAAGGCCATCAAGCAAGGCTCGACGACTAGGAATGGCTTGATGTCGTCCCAAAACTCCAGGTTGATCATGCTGTACTTCTTCAGCTCCACGACGGCATCGTTGATCTGATCCATTTGGATCGACGCATACACCAGGATGCCGACGTTGTAGATGCAGAGGCCAATGACTTGGATGGTGTTCTTAAGGCGGAGCGCATCGTAGACCAGGACCATCTGGTAGATGTAACCGAACATAAAGACGGAGAGGTAGGTCGGGATGGTCTGCGCCTGGGGGAATTTATTCGCATTCATGTGCAGCGACAACTGGAACTTGGCGAAGATGTATCTGTGACAGACAGTCAGTGGTGAGGTCGCAAAGCTGGGCGAGAGCCGGGCTTCCGAGCCGACGCGGCAGCCGTAGTGTGGCTGAGGGCTAGACGTACGCTTCCAGCGCGAGCGCAACGAAGGCCTGTAGCAATGCGGTGAGGAAGAAGGCCCATGTCCAGGTAGTGGTCGGTCGGTACATCTTGCTTGGTGTCGGGCGCACGCCCGGGGTTGCCGTGAGGCCTTCTCGATCGCGGTAGCCTCCTGGCAATGTGTCGAGGGTGGGTGGCTGATATAGCCGGTCGATGCTCTGGCCTCCGAGGAGGGATGCGCGTGACTCGTGATGGTAAATTTTGACGGTGTTGTGCCGCCTCGCGCGGCTGGTGTGCGGAGGTTGTAAGAGAGGAGGCGCGGCGGGTGGTGCTGGGGAGGAGCAAGGCTGGCGCAGGCTCGAGCCCTAACAGCTGCGAGAGGGCGACACAGGCCGGACGAATCGGTCGCGCGGTCTTGGGAGCTGTGAGTCGCGGCACACTCGGGCCAAGCGGACAGGCGACACAACTGTGGGTTTGAGCGTGGCGCAGAAGCTCCAACGAGTGTTTCGCGTGGGCGCAGGCAATGCAAGGGATCGCAGGCGCGCGACGCTTCACGGCGACAACGGCAACAACGGCGCAGCCGGGCGAAGACCAAGAGACAGACGGGCGGGTGAGCACGAGCGAAGGGCAGCGCTGCCTGGGGCGACAACGCGGGCGTCACGAGGGGGGGGTGGTAGCGATCGTCGAATGGGCGGGCGTGGGCGCCGGGTGGGATGGAGAGGTGGACGGAGGTGGAAGCGGCTGCAGTAGGAAGATGCGGGAGGCCCCAGGGTCGGCGACGCGAACGAGTAGCTTAAGGGTAGCCGGGCGTGGGTTTGGGCTGTCAGGGCCACAAGGCGGAGGGTGGAGAACGCAGCTCTGGGCCTCTCCGGAGCTTGGCCGCCGCACGAGAAGGCCGCCCGCCCGCCGGCGCTGAGGCAGCAGCCGCGAGGCGCAGCCGCGGATGACCTCACCGCTTCCTGCACCACACCCAGAGTCTCCATACGCAAGCGCTCGTTCGGTCTGCCTTGTTGGTGCTCCCGCTACTGTACATGCACAATGGCCCGCTGCGCCCCAGCCCGCCGCAGCCCGTCCCGCCGCAGCAGCCAGCCCAGCCCTGCTCGCCCCCCGGCCGCGCCAAGGAGCCCAAGTCCGCCTGCCAACGCTCAGCGCCCCGTCTCCTGTCGCTCCCACCCGTCCACCGGCTCATTGCACGCGCGTGTCGAGCTCGTATTTTACATGGATGCCAACCCCCTCCAGGATCTGCACCTGGCTCTCGTTGTCGCCCTTGACGCTGCCGCTGCCGCTGCCGCTGCCGCCGCCGCCGTCGTCGCTGCCCGCCCTGCCCGCCGCGCTGCAGTGCGTCGTCACCACGCTCTTGTGCGCCAGCCGCGAGTCGACGCTGGGCAGCTTGACCCCGTTGTAGCTGCGCGAGCGCAGCGTCCGGCTCTGCAGCGCATACGTGTCCTTGTGGTCGGAACTGCTGCCGACTCTGAAGACGGACGAGAACAGCGGCCGCAGGCACGCCGTGCACCCGCAAATTACTGCAATTCCAGCCTCGGCGTACGCCCAGATCACCAGGTTCACGACGCCATCTGCATGTCAGGGGTCAGCGCTGTCCGTGGTGGCTGATCTGCGGGGAAACGTACACAGGTAACCGTCGGTGGGATTCATGTAGCTAACGGTGTAGTTCAACCGGATCATTGCCGAGACGCTCGCACTATCTCAACGGTCAGCCAACGGCTTCTTGTATTCTGGGCCATGTCTTACAAAATGCCGAGCCCAAGGAGCCCCACGACCGACATCTTGGTGTTCGAATTCATCTTCACGTCCCAAAGGAGAGGGATCGGCCTGGTTCCTGTACTCAGCATTGCCCTGCTTGGTTTGCACTGCTCGGGGTTCTTACAGCACGGCGCAAAGCCAGTCGGTGATGATGTTGATGCCAGACTGAGTGAAGCTGACTACAGTGAGGGCAAGTGATGGCAGGCATTTTGCGCCAGGTGTCGATGGCAGCCAGTTGGCCCTAGGCTGGGGTGAGCATGTGACCGACTTTTCTCTCTCGTTGGAGGGGACCTACGTGATCGGAGTGCACTGCGACAACAGGAAGATGGTTGTGAAAGAAAGAGAAAGCACGATGGTGCCAACGATGCACCATAACCCGACGAGGTATGGTCGCTTTTGAGATGCAACGCGCACAAGCTGCAGGGCGATGCTGACTTTTGCAAACATGATTGAGATGCAAAAAAACACCTGCCCAAGGTAAAACCACTGCGATATTGATCAGTGAAGTCCAGAGACACCAAAGACTGCGCATGAGAAGCAACGCGGCGACCCTTCTCCGTGAGTATTCTTTTGCTTTCACAAGTCCATTCGGGTCAGGGCTCGAGCGTTCTCATTTTCCACATGGGAGCTTTGTTCATTGATATCTTACTTTCAAGAGTCGGGAAACTTACTTTCAATGCAACCACCTTCTCAGCCGCTGTGGTTCGGTAGTCGTACGCTCCAATTCCGGAGTCGGCGGCTTTCAAGGCGCTGATTGTAAAGATGAGAAAGAATGGCTGGTTCAGTCAGTGATTGCAGCAACAAAGGGGAGAGAACAAGATGGAGCCATACCATAGCCACCGACATCATCCAGTCGTCCCAACCCCATTTTGCCGACGTGAGGCGAACGTAACACCGAAGGCCAAATAAAGCGAAAGCTGGAATGGCCAGGATAATCACAGCTGCGGCCAGCTTGGGTGCAGCGTCGTAGAACATCGGGTCTGCAGAGACGGGACAGGCGACTATGGTAGAGAGATGGGCGTGCGGTTTCAACAAAAGCTGTATAAAAAGTACCAAACGAGGGGCAGCGGGCTGGCGGCACACTTCAGTCGCTGAGGAAAGTCAGGCAGCACTTCCTTTTTCAACACCAGAACAGGGAGTAGTATTTACATCTGATATCTCGCCGCAGAACGCCACGGACCCAGTGCACACCAGATCTACGATCCTACGCCATTGTCAAAAGAAAGATCATCCAAATTGCCTGTTCCTGGCGTCGACATCAAGTCGCATCCCGTCAATTGAAGGAAAGAGAAGGATCCAATGGCGAAAGCCGGACGGACAGGCACGGGCCACGGCGGGACGGGGAAGACGGAATGCCACCAGCCTAACGACGGAGGTAGTTCATCAGTGGTTTGGTCCATGCAAAGATGTGGTTCGGACGCGGCCGAACCAGCACTGAAGGGTCAAACTTAAAACGGCTAAACTGGCCCAGATGTCAGAACTGTCTGACACCAACCTTCTAGAATTCCGTGAGCCATAATTATTATCGGCCCCTTTGGCCTGTGATATGGTAAGGTGATGCTCCGAAAGGCAGCGCTAACTACGGCGGCTTAGCAGAGCGCGCGGCAGGCGGGTTTGACAGCCACTACGACCCGCGCGGGAGCCCACATCCGACTGCCATGGTGCAGCTGTCTCAGCGGGATCAACGCCGACCCTTTCTTGGCCCCCACTACTCCCCTGACTACTTGGGTCCATATCCATACTTGCGCAGCGTTACAACGACTGAGCCACCACAAGCCACGGCCGTGGGGCTTGGCTGCGCTTGGCCCTTTCAGGCACGCAACCTACAATTTCGAACCCCACAGCGAACGCGCAAGCCCGATGCATCTCAGACGGACTACTTCTAGCCGCAGCTGACTTGCTGTCCGGTGTTCCCAACACACTCTGCTTTCAGTATGGTCGTTGTGTTTATTTCTCCAGTGCTGCGCGCCCATCGTCTGCCACACTACTGTGCTACCCTACGGTCACGCCGGCGATCGATGCTATGCCTCTTTGTCGGCAGCAAACCTCTTGAGGTCGCCCAGATCAAGCTTCTCCAGCGCCTTCTCGTTAGTCGCGTTCAGAAAGACCCTAGTATCCGTTAGCAGCCGTCCGGAGATTTAACTTCTCCCGACACAGCAGGCAATAGTAAGGGTTGAAGCAGGGAAAAGAAGAGGACCACCTACTTGGGCACCACAGGGTCTTGATCGTTCTTGCGTGCCTCCAGAGCTTCCTTCCAGCGGCTTGCGCAGAGGCACCACTTGCAGCCTCCGGCCAGACCAGCCATGCGGAGGTCGTTTCCACGCGATGCCGAGAATTCCAGAAACTCGTCCGTCACCTCAGCTACAAGCCGACTTTGTCAGCACGCGCGTTTCAATCCCATTGCAATCTCACCTGCAACGCTATGGTTTCCGAAATCTCCTGCCGGCACCTCGCAGTAGCCGTTGCGCAAAAAGCCAGTCATGGGCTTGGTCGAGTGCAGCGCCAGAGGCTTCTTGAAGACTGTCGTGTATTGTCATCGGGCTTGCTTCCGGACAAGCATGGGCAGACGGCGACGCTCACCGTTGAGGCTGGCCATTGCTGGTCTAGACATGCAGAGTTATACTGTGATCGTCAAGGTTTCTGTGGGGGATATGCGGCCTTGCGACGGATGAGTGGAGCGGTTGTGGAGTTGGTGCGAGGTAAGGTGTGCATCTTGTGGCCTTCCACGATCGCCTGAGTCCGCTGGCCGCGTCAACTCTAATTATGACGTGTAGAGTGGACCCTGATCCCCGAGAACGATCTGGCGTCCATCCCTGCGGGGCTGTGCCGATCGCCCTGCTTCGGCAACCCTTCGCCGAGACCCTTGCCGCACTTATTTCAATGTCGAGTGGACCGAGACCTGGAATGCTCGAAGCCATCGATGAAATCAAGTCCGCTCGGCTTCGGTAGTGCTCCCGAAATGCTGCGGGAACTACGAACCATGTGTCCAGTCTTTGGCACACAAAATTGAGCAGTACCTCTGCGCGTTGGAGACAGCTTCTCTCAGCTCTCCGCACTGCGTGAAAGCAGTACTCCGGCTCAATCGAGGAATGGTTTTGCTCTATTCCGCACGGTCATGCGGATGCCTTGCATCGGGTGATCTACAATCGGAATGTGGCGTTCTGCTCCCCACAGATCGCATTTGCGCCAGGGCAAACGAGGCAATTGAAACGAAAACGGCCAGAACGCCTTCTGATGTCCGTGTGCTCTCACCGGAACCCCGCTGCCATTAGCCTTGATGATGAGGTATTAGTAGGTAGACCGTACGATGGCGTCGGCTTCCGAACCGCCGGTTCCGTGCGTCTCATCTCTAGTCCCTGAATATCGCCAGTGGCAGGCGTAATATTGGACACCTGACTGGCAGGGCCTAATGCTGCGCAGGCGAAATACGACTGTTAATTTGGAACCCTTCCCCTGTTTCCGACCGCCGCACGAATTTTCCGGAACTTTAGCCTATCTACAACGACACGCGACGTCCTCTCACCCCATTGGTCGGGTGGTGAAGAGAATTTTAGGCTATCGACGGCAAACACTTGGAACGTTCGACAACTACATGACTCATATATAGCGTGGCATTCAATTCGTCACCCAAAAGTTAAGTTTGTTTCCTGAGGTTGCTCTTTTGAGAGTCCCTGCGCGCAGCGCATAAGCGAAGATTGAACGCCACTGCGGTACTTCCGGAACAAGTTGCGGGGCTGCAGGCACACTTACAGCTAGCATTGCTATATGTGCTCTTTTCTTATACTCTTTGGTCACACCATGTTCGCACTCGCTTGCTCAGCCGTATAGAGAAGGTATGGACTGTGGAAAGTTCTGCCGGAAAGCCGCTGCCAGTCCCGCTCCACTGCGCTCCCGGGCTTGGTAGTGTGGAGATGCCGTGGGTCGGTAATGGTTCCTTTTGAGATCCTTCATGCTAGCGTTGAATGCTTCCCGTATGCCGTATGCTTATAAGGAAAGGTCCCCCGATGGATAGGTTGATGTTTGGCCACTCACCTCCATACATCCTTTTCTCTTTCACGGCTGAGCTGCTTTTGCTTACTCAGATATCTCTTTTGGCATTTCAACCAAATCCCACAATGCATCTGACTGAGGCTCTGCTGCTGCTGCTGGCGACCGCCCCGGCTTCGTATGCCGCCGTATCTGCCTGGGGCCAGTGCGGAGGTTCAGGCTATAGTGGCGACACTACGTGTGTGTCTGGCTACACCTGCGTGACTGTGAACCAATGGTACTCCCAAGTAAGTAGCTTCTGTGATTTCTCCAGCTTGAGATGGGCGCTCATATTTTCGTAGTGCCAGGAAGGGTCCGCAGGTCCCTCCACCACGCTCACCACAATCACTACGACGGGCAGCGGCACTACCCCCAGCTCGACCTCAGGCAGCATCGATGCCAAGTTCAAAGCGCGGGGCAAGAAGTACTTTGGTGTGGCGACGGACCAGGGCCGGCTCACGAGCGGGCAGAATGCAGCCATCATTCAGGCCGACTTTGGCCAAGTCACGCCTGAAAACAGCATGAAGTGGGACACAATTGAGTCATCGCGCAACTCGTTCAACTTTGCGCAGGCCGACTACTTGGTTGACTGGGCGACGACTAATGGCAAGCTGATCCGCGGCCACACGACTGTTTGGCATTCACAGCTGCCAAGCTGGGTCTCGAGTATCACCGACAAGGCCACTCTCACGACCGTCATGCAGAACCACATCACCACTGAAATGGGCCGCTGGAAAGGAAAGATCTACGCTTGGGTGAGCACTTGACTAGCAACGTACTCCCATCCGGGATGTGACGGGCATAAAACGGGACGAGTCCTGAAACTGGATAATTCGCGCTGACTGTACGTGTTTCGCAGGATGTGGTCAACGAGATATTCAACGAGGACGGTTCGTTCAGGTCCTCGGTTTTCTACAACGTCCTCGGCGAGGATTTTGTGCGCATCGCCTTTGAAGCTGCGCGCGCCGCCGACCCCAACGCCAAGCTATACATCAATGACTATAAGTGCGTCCACACTCTTATTCGCGCTTCCCCATCGGAATATACCTCAGGAGGTTTGTTTGAAGAGAGCACCCGTAACTGACTGCTTTTACAGCCTTGACTCCGCCACCTACGCTAAAACCACCGGTCTGATATCCAAGGTCAAGGCCTGGCGCACCGCTGGCGTCCCCATCGATGGAATTGGCTCCCAGTCGCACCTACAAGCCGGTCAAGCCTCCAGCTCTGGCGCGGCCATGAAGGCCCTCTGTGCTGCCGCGGATGAGTGCGCCATCACCGAGCTCGATATTGTGAATGCTGCCGCTGCCGACTATGTCGCTGCGACAAAGGCTTGTCTAGATGTTGCGAATTGCGTTGGTATTACCGTCTGGGGTGTCCGCGACCCTGATAGCTGGAGAGCGAGCAGCACACCATTATTGTTTGATGCAAACTTCCAGCCGAAGCCGGCATATACGGCTATTTTGAACTCTTTGTAAGGTTTCAAGATAGTAAATTTAGTATGTTACTCAGGTACCTACTATGAAAGGAGCGACGGGCAGGTGTTATAACATTAAAGAGGATACTAGAAATGCTATAACCTTAAGTGTAAACGATGCCACCGTCAACGACCATGGTCTGTCCAGTCACGTATTCACTGTCTGGTCCAGCTAGGAAACTAACAACTTTGCTGACATCTTCCGGGACACTGGTCCGGCCAAGTGCAATCAGTTCCTTTGTGTACTTTTTGATAGTATCGCCCTTCTTAGCGCCAGTCGTCTTGCCCAACTCCTCGTCGATCAAGTCCCACATGGCGGTGCCGACGATTCCCGGGGCGTAGGCGTTCACGGTGATTTTGTGAGTTGCCATCTCCATGGCCATAGCCTGGGTCAGACCGCGGACAGCCCATTTCGAAGCCGAGTAGTGGGATAGCATGGCAAAAGGCTTGAAAGCGACGATGCTGCGGTAGCAGGCGTCAGCAAGAAACCGTGTGGAGGGAACTCGCGTACCTTGCACAGCCAATGAGCTTTCCGCCCCCACCTTGCTTTATCATTCGCTTCGCTGCCTCTGTGTAGCAGTAGAAGACGCCATGGACGTTGACCTCGAACATGCGGCGGAAGTCCTCGTCGGACAATTTGAGCAGCGGCTTGACTTGAGCAATGCCGGCGTTGGCTACCATGGTGTCCAACGGCCCAAGCTCTTTCACTGAAGTGTCAACTACATGCTTGACATCTGCACGCTTCGAAACATCGCCGATAACGAGGGTGGACTTGCGGCCCAAGCTCTTGATTTGGGATACGACTTCCTCGGCTTGGGCTTTGTTGTGAGCTATGTCATTGACGGTGACGTCGTAACCATCTTCAGCAAGACGGATGGCAATGGCTTTGCCGCTGTTAAAGGGTGAGCGAGGTATGTGCAGAGGAAGGTGCTTCGACTAACAGTCCCCTTGCGGAGCCCGTGACTATGGCGGTCTTCTGTAGCTTAGGAGTAGTCGCAAATGAGCGCGACCACGGTCGAATGACGGTGCGAGTCGAGGCACTCAGTAGGCTTCTTGGCGCGAAACGAGCAGACATGATGATCTAGCAGATTGGAAGTCGACGGAATAGCTATGGATAAACCAAAAGAAATGCAGGGCAAAGGCTTCAGCGGGCGTCGCAGGGAAGAGTGCATTTGTATGTAGTAGTAGCTCGGGGGCTGCTCCGCCGCCTCCGCCGGCGGAGCAGCCGGGCGTGCGGAGTCTTGCGAGGAGACGAAGCATGGCGATGTAACACGGTGTGGGGTAAAGCGGCTGCTGCACATCCGTACAAAGTGCGGAGAAGCGTGGGGCGAACACAAGGGTGGTGGGCGAGACGTTGGGGTGCAGGCGCGTCCCGGCGCGTGGGGGACGCGTCTCGGCTTGCCCGAAACGGAGCGCTACATGGCGGCGGCCACAATTATTTACGGCGGCGCCCGTGTTGACATTTTGCCGCCCGCGGGACGGACCCGACCCCTCCACCCCTCCAACCCAAACAACATGTCACGTCCCAGCAGCATGATGGCGCAGAGCAGCGCAGCGGCTCAGCGCAACCTCAGCTTGACCGAGGAGCTGGAGAAACTCGAACAGTCAATTACTCTGACGCTGCAAGGTGCCCACCCCGCTGCCGCGCTGTGTTGCGCCGTGCGCTGACTCTGCCCAGAAATCGATCACAACTTCAGCCGTGCTCATCGCATAGTCACTGGGAGCATCCTGCCCGTGGTTGAGCAGTACGCGAAACATTCCGAGGCCGTGTGGGAGGGCTCAAAGTTCTGGAAGCAATTCTTCGAGGCCAGCGCCAATGTCTCGCTGTCGGGCTACGAGGAGCCCGCCGCTGCAGACGACACCGCCATGCAACCGGATGATTCGACACATGCGTCAACCGCGTACGACGACAGCCCTTCAATTCGCGCCGATAACACGCTCCATTCCGTCGCTGGGCGCCCAAGCCAATTCGACGACGACGACGACGACGACGAAGGACTCGAAGACTCGCTACTCTCCTCACCGTCCATGGCCAAGACGCCTCGCAACCCTGCTAGATCCTCCTTTACCGATGAATACCCCTCTCCATACGAGGCACTGAAGCGTGAGCTACGAGGTGACGGGAGTGAAGGTGCCGGCCACGGCTCAGACGACTTGTCATCTGAGGCGAGCGGCTTGCCCGAAGGTGGCACTGTTCTCGGCGCCCCTACAACACCCGGCAAACTCTCGCAGTCCACGCTGCCCGACATGTCCATGACGCCCGAGTCGTCACCATTCGCACCCGGCTCGGCCGACCAGCACACGCGCCACACGCGCCGCAATTCCAACAACGACCCTCTCCTCCATCACATGCTCGACAAGACGTACCGAATCGCCGCCACGCCGCACACGGCGACGCAAAAGATGCGTCCCGGCGCCGCCGGCGCCAGCGCCGCGACTTCCGGAACCTCCAACCGCACCAGGCGACGCCTGGCGTTCGACTCCTCGCCCCTGTCTTCTCCCGAGGCTCCTGCCCCGCAGTTGCGGGCTGACATCTTCTCTCCCGCCAAGACGCCTCGAACGCCAGGCGTCAGCGTCTACCAACAAAGAAACAACCAAACCCCTGGCGGCAAGAGTGGTGGCGGACTGGGCACCGTCAGCAAGTTCACGGGCGGCGCCAAGAGTGCCGAAGACTTCATCACGTGGGACAGCGACAGCGAGGGCGAGACCGAGTTCAGTCCCCCGAAGACGATGCAGTTCCACGTGCCTCAGAGCCGCCTCATGCAGACCCCTGCGCGCGAGGCGAGCAGGAAGATCGTCGAGGACCTGCTGCTGACGGCGGGTGGGGGGGGAGTTGACGGATTCGAACGTGACGGAGGATAGCCCGAGCATTGTGCGACGGCAATTGGACCTTGACGATAGTTTCTAGCTGTCTCGATAGGGAGTCGTTGTGCTTCCGTTTTTATAGCATGGGCGTTGTGGGATCTCGTTGCGTTATACTGATACCCGGTAGTACATACATAGAAAGAGTGGCCATTGCCTATCATTGGGAGAAAGGCCGACGCGGGTTGATACCGATCCGGTCTACAATCTACTCAAGTCGTAAATTTGCGGCATCTTTGGGATTTGAAGTCATACAGAACGCGTGTAGATTGACTATCTATCCGCAGCATGCAGAAACAAAACGTGATGACGTATTAGGTCATGTCCTAGTCGCCTCGGAACGTGACTTTGATGCGAAGCCGTTCGCTCTCTAACATAAATCGAGGCCACCCACCAACCGTTCGTAGGCCGATCCCAAGATGGAGGTATTCTACCTATGCCAAACAAATCCGAGAATTGATCCACCCTTACATGACAGCCCCTCTACATAGCATAATTTTTTTTTTACAACTTCGCCTTAGGCGCCTCGAGAGAAGGAAGCATGACGTCCCTGATGTCGCCAGCAGCCTCATTGAGATAGAAAGACATGCGCTCCGAGCCCAAGTTCTTGGAAACCACGTTGAACTGGATGCTGTTCTCGTTGATCATGTAGGCGATTCCCCAGCCATCGTCCACGACCTGGCTCCAGCCGTAGCCATTGAAGTACTCCGAGCTGAGCTGGGAGCTGGAGATGAACCAGTGCGACGAGTAGGCAAAGGTCGGATCGTTGTAGATGGACGGCACGTCCTCGCCTGGCTGCAAGCACTTCTTCAGGCCGAACAGGTGGCGATCAACACCACGGCCATCGCTGGCATCGGTAATGTATTTGACATGGGCGTCGAGGGCGGCACGGAAGAGCTCACGGCACTTCTCGGGCGAAACGGAGTGATCGGCCATGGCTGAGCAGAAGGCCACGCTCTCGTCCGACACGGTGCGGCAGGTCTCGGTGCGGCCCTGCTGGAAGCGACGTGTAGCGGCGGATTCGTAGGTTGGCCTGTTCTTGCCATAGAACTTGTGGTAGGCCAGTTGGATAAGCATCTGCACGTATGCGTCTGGCGAGCACTTGAACTTCTTGATCAGACCCTTGCCGTAGCCCTGGTATGCCTGAACACGGAGCTCATGCGCGCCAATTTGGCCATCGAAATGCTTTTGCGCGTCGCGGATGTCATTCTGCAGGCGGGTGTTGAGCTTGAAGTCCAGAGGGATGGGTTCCGGTAAGTTAGAGCGGACAGATGGGTCATCGAAGGGCAGCGCGTTTGTAGTAATCAGCATGTTGATGTGGTCGTTCAAGCGATGCGTGGGCGTGCCATCCATCATGCTGTGTTCGCCCATGAAGCCAGAAGTGCCGTTGTCGTTGACGATGAACTGAAGCGGCTTGTCGAACCAGCGGTTGGCACCATCGCCATGCCAGTACTGGCGCGCGCGCTCCTCGAGGGTCACAGGCGAGGCATCGTCAAGGCAAACAACGAAAGAAGCTGACTCGATGGCCTTGAGAACACCCTCGTTGGAGGGGTGGGCGGCAATGAGACGTTCGCGAACCTGATCTGGTCAGTCTTGCTCCAGTCCACGTCTTGCTAGATTCCAACATACCTCAGTCCACACGTCTCGGTTCTGGCTGGTGTAGAGGCCAACAGCGGGTGCTTTCTCGGCCTTCTGGTATATTCTCTTGAATGTCTGCTCCAGCTCGGCGGTGGTGAGCTGCCTGCCGTCGACCTCGTGATCGACCTTGAAGAATTGATTCTTGCGGACGACGACGATATGCTTGTTGTTGGCCTCGTCATACTTCTGGGGGTAGTCGGCGGGCTTAGCGGGGATACGGCAGCAGTTGAACATGTACTCGTAGCTGGACATGGCGATGGGCAGCTTCTTCATGTACTCGGGCTCCAGCTCCTTGGTATCGACGAGCTTCTTGAACTCCAGCACGGCGGTCGTGATGGCTGCGGCACGCTTCGAAGGATCGCGGCGTTTGCGGTCGTCGCGATGGGAGTAGAAGTAGCTCACATACGGCACGACAGGGTCCCGGTAGGCCAGATAGGCGGCATCGTTCCACCACTCGTATATCCAGTTCTTGACGCTGGAATCCTCGCGCCTGGCAACCAGGCGCTTCTGGAGAGTTTCGCCCACGCCGCCAGGCTGAACGAAATCCTCAACGGCCTTCTTTGTGTTCTCGTACTCGGTGGTGTTGAGCAAGGGGTGTACGGACTTGAGGTAGCGCTTTGCGGTCTCCTCGAGGGTGGGCACAGGCAAGCGGGGCAGGGACTCCTCGAAGCGGAGCATGCGGCCTTTGCTGAGGTCCTCCTTGTAGCCTATGCGAGCCAGGGCGTGAGTAAGAAGCGAGGGGGGAGCACCAAAGGACGAGTGGGCATACCAGCAGGCAAGGAGGACTGTTTCCGCACGGAAGCCATGGGCGTGAACTACAGCGCGGGGCTGGTGAGTTTGCGGTTGCACGACAGCGGGGCACAGAGGGAAGTACCTTGCTCAGAGATGGCGTCGCGGGTCTGATCTGCGAGCGGAGGAGGGATGCAGAGGCGCGAGACCGGCTCAGTGCATTCAACATGCCTCTTGGGTTGAGGGACTTGGGATGGATGGCGGGCAGGTGGATGGCAAAGCAGGAGGCACCAGGTGCGAATATTTACCTCTCAGCGTCAACTTCCTCGGTCGGCGGGAACTGGCAAAGCTGGCCGCTCGGGATCGACGAGGAGCTGTTGCGCGCTGGGCCTGGGGCAGGAGCCGAGGTCCAGGTCGGCTTGTCTGATTGGCCGAGGGTGGCACGCGCACGCGCACGCGCTGGCCCAGCCTGCTGCGCTGCTTGCATGGCTCCCCTTGCCGTCACTTTTAGTGGCCGTCCTGAGGCTCGGAGCAATGGCCGTCAGTCTATTTCTGCGCTTTGGTGTTGCTGTTCACGAGCGGTTTCCCCAGACCGGGGCCCCGACATGTGAAGGAGTGACGCAACGCCTGCGTGGCCTGTGCTCGCAGCGGATCTGATAACATTAACACAACAAACTACGGCCGTATTCATCCAGACCACGCGCCCCCAGAGCCGTGGCTCTTTTCAGCCAGTCTTGCCCTTCTCCGCATCCTGCACCTGAGCACGCACCCAGTCCGCGTGGGCCGTCGGCTTCCGTCCGATCAGCCATTCGAGGACGTTGGGGTTGCCCTTGAGCCCGTGGTAGTTGTAGAACAGGACCATCCGCTGGGCAATGTCCCGCGTGCTGGGATGGGCTTTGTCCGCGCCAAACATCATGGTCAGGAGCGCATCCGCAGCTTCGGTCACCGGCCTCGTTTCCACTCTCACGTTTTTGCCGATTGCCTGGCCCACCGTCTGAATGACCTCGTCGTACGGCAGCGCCCGAGTGGAGCTGAGCGGATACTGCGCCAGGTAGTGCTTATCCCTCTCCTCAATCACCGTTGCCGCAGCCTCGGCCAGGTCCTGCAGCGCAATGAAGGAGAAGGGCACGCTTGTGTTCCAGTTGGCTTGGTACACCGGCTCCGCCTGTGACAGCAGATGCGCCACAGGGAACGTGTCCATGATGTGGGTGGGCTGGAGGATGGTGTAGTCTAGACCCGACTCTATGAGGTACTCCTCGACGTAGCGTTTGCAGTCATGGTTCATCATCTTGCGGAGTTGGGTGTTGAGCACCGACGAGTATATAAAGTGCTTGAACGTGCCGCGCTTGGCCTCTTGTACGGCTGCGTCGACCATGAAATAGCCCATCTCCGTCTCGTGCGGGTGGAAGGATGGCCCGATGTGCAAGACAGTGGTCACCCCGGCCATGATGCGTCGAGCCTCGTCGACATTCTCCAGGCTGGCCCGAGTCACGTCAGCGCTGGGGTGTTGTTGCTTGAGGCGCTGCTCCGACGAGGGCGAGTTGACGACAAGGCGGAGGTGTTGCCACTTGTCGTGCACCAGAGAAGACGCGAGGCCTGCTTTCCAGAGGCGCAGGTAATCAAGAGAAGATCGTTCTCGTGGTCCACAGGCATGGCGATGGACGCGACAGACAACTGAATGGAACGGAGCGCGCAGCGGCAGGAGTAACGCGCCTTTTCAAGCGGTGGGTAGGTCGGCGGGACCTAGACGTCACGATGTGAATTGCGTCAGCTCCAGATGCAGCCGATATCCGGCTCGTGGCGCTTTTCATCTGCGGGGGCAGTCGGAGTGCCGCATGGACGAGTTAGGGTCGGAAAAGCCCGGATAGCAGCGTCAATTCGTCGCGCAGGAGCAGGGTCTGGCAGCCGGGGCAAGGGAGGAGGAGCATACCGGTCACTGAGATAGCTGCTAGCGGCCGGTGTCCGAGAATTGTGCGGCGCCAAGCTGGGCGCAAGCTTTCCGTGCCGACACACCAACAGAACTTCCTCACACCCGTCGTCTCCATCCATCCACGTCCTTTCTCCATCGCGCTCTCCCGCCTCCACCTCCCACCCGCATCTATCAACATGTTCGCTGCTCGTCAGGTTTTCGGCGCCGCCCAGCGGAGGGCTTTCTCCATCTCCGCCAGGCAGGTACGCAAGCTCCAAAATGCTTCGCCCGCGCTCGCGCCCGCGTCCGCGCCGCCCGCATCCCGCATCCATTGCTGACGTCCGTCTCGCAGAACTCCAAGGTCACCGTCCTCGGCGCTGCCGGTGGCATTGGCCAGCCTCTGTCGCTGCTGCTCAAGCTCAACCCGCGCGTCTCTGAGCTGGCGCTGTACGACATCCGCGGCGGTCCCGGTACGTACCGCAGCCTTCGCCGACGACCTGCCTTCCGCTAACGCGCCGCTGCAGGTGTTGCTGCCGACGTCAGCCACATCAACACCAAGAGCAACGTATGTTGTTGCCCGTCTTTGCTTTGCCATTGAGCTTGCCGCTCACCCACAACTCAGGTCAAGGGCTACGACCCTACTCCCTCCGGCCTCCGCGAGTGCCTCGAGGGCTCTGAGATCGTCCTCATCCCCGCCGGTGTCCCCCGCAAGCCTGGCATGACCCGTGATGGTATGGATAGTTCTACCCCAACAATTGCCGATCGCAGCCGTATTGATCGCTCGCAGACCTTTTCAACACCAACGCCTCCATCGTCCGTGACCTCGCCAAGGCCACCGCTGACGCCGCCCCCAACGCCAACGTCCTGATCATCTCCAACCCGGTATGTCTCTTGCGATCCCCCTCTCTTGCCCTAGCCTGTTGACCCAAGACCAGGTCAACTCCACCGTCCCCATTACCGCCGAGGTCTTCAAGTCCAAGGGCGTCTACAACCCCAAGCGCCTCTTCGGCGTCACCACTCTCGATGTCGTCCGTGCCTCGCGCTTCATCTCCCAGCTGAAGGGCTCCGATCCCGCCAACGAGAACATCACCGTCATTGGCGGCCACTCGGGTGCTACCATCGTTCCTCTGCTTTCCCAGGCCGGTCACAAGCTTGAGGGCGCGGAGCTCGATGAGTACGTCAGGCGTGTCCAGTTCGGTGGCGACGAGGTTGTCCAGGCCAAGGGCGGTGCTGGTTCCGCCACTCTGTCCATGGCCATGGCCGGTGCCCGCTTCGCCGAGTCCCTGCTCCGCGCTGCCCAGGGCGAGAAGGGCGTCATTGAGCCCACCTTTGTCGATAGCCCTCTCTACAAGGACCAGGGCTGCGACTTCTTCGCCTCCAACGTTGAGCTCGGCCCCAACGGTGTTGAGAAGATCCTCCCCGTTGGTGATGTCACCGCCTACGAGCAGAAGCTCCTTGAGGTCTGCGTCCAGGACCTGGCCAAGAACATCAAGAAGGGTGTCGATTTCGCCAAGCAGAACCCTTAAATTCCCTTATGATGGGATGAAAAAGAGAGCGCTGGCGATGGAGAGCGTAAAAACTAGGCTGTGGTCCGGTGGGAATCGTGATTAGTTGGGGATGGAAGTGCGCGCGTTTTGGAACCCCTTCTCTTCTTTTGCGCCCGTTTCATATCTTCCGGCTACAAAGACCTCTTGCATGTAGATTCCCTTGTATCCGCGTATCCAGTATTTGTTGAGCTGTGTTATAGTGACTCAGTTTATTACGTGCATCTGAGCATCAAAGCGCTAGCGCATGCTGCACCACATACCTGCGTTCAGGCTAGTGCAACGCTTAATTTGACCGTCAACAATACGCTACTTTACTACGAGCTTCATGTCTTGCCCGATGGAGTATACCAGGGTTCGATTGAGACAGCCCGCTGGCATGGCAAAAATCGATAAAGTGTAGCTGATGCTCCGGCTTTTTACGGCATTATTCCCATGTTTCCCTTTTCGCCGTTCGTAGCGAACAATGTGCAGATCTCATCAACGCAGGAGGGCAGATCATGTCTTGGTCAGCCTCATGCCGATGCAATCTGTATACCTAGCTTAACAGTCTAACAGGGCGTGTTGTCTCGGCGAATGGCTACTCCATCGCAACGTAAAGTTTTCACGTCTTGCCTTCCTATGTATGTATTATATTAACAGGTAAGATGCGATTTGCGGCTAGTCTAGCACCTGCACCATATTCTTGATCATTCTATCATCATGCAAAGCGGGCGTTCATCCGTACACAGACGTCACAGACCCAGGCTCTTCAGAATAGCGGGGAAGTTGGGAGTGCCGAATCCAGTGGCCGGATCCCAGCCCTCCGCAGCCACGAAGCCCTCGACACCACAACCGGCGGCGCTGCCATCGGTGACGTCGTTGAAAGCCTTCCAGCCGCCCTGGTAGAGCCAGGGGTTCAAGAAGCCGAGAGGGCTCCTGCCAGCAGCGATGAGGGCGTCGTTGACGAGCGAGACGATGGCAGACGCGAGGGGGGTGGACGCCGACGTGCCGTCGAGACGGATGTCGCTTCCCTCCCAGGCGACGACGAATTTCTGGCCCTGGGCCGCGATGTCCGGGTATGCACGGCCGGAGGCGTTGTACAGGCCGGCGTAGGCGCCGTCGGCGAGGTGCGCGGCGGAGTAGTTGTGAACGGCCTCGGCTTGGTAGGGTGGCTGGCCGAAGTAGTTGCTGAATCCGCCGCCGGACGTGAAGACGCTGCCGGAGCCGGAGCCATCGTAGGCTGCGGTCTCGGGCGAGAAGCCGGTGGTGGCGCCCACGGACGTCACGTATGGGCAGCCGTCGGGGAACGACGGCAGGAAAGTGGCGGCATCCGTGCCGTTGTTGCTGATGCAAGCACCTTCGTTGCCCACGCCGGCATCGCCAGAGGCGAAGAGAAGGGTGACGCCACGGGCGCCAAGTTGGGCGAACATGTTGCAGACGGTGTAGGCGTACGAGGGAGGAACCGTTTGCTCGTCATCGCCGTAGCTGGTGGATATCACTTGAGGCACGTCGGATTGTTTGAGAACGTGCTGCACCCATTCGAGGTATGGCTCATTGGTGTTGGTTTCCTCGTTGGCATCGGGTTGGAAGGGAGGGGAGCCACCAGTGTTGTAAGCAATGAGCGGAGTAGGGTAGCCAATGCCCAGGATAGTCTCGGCGTCAAGGTTGCCTTCCATGTTCTTGCCCTCTCCATTCTGCTCGGGTGTGTTGGGAGTTTGAGTGTTGTCGCCTCCGTTGACGACTTCGATGGTGAAGCTGTCGGCGGCAGAGGCGGCATCGGGGCGAAACTGTTCCAGGAAGAGTTTGACATCGGTCCGTTTGCTGGTCTCGCTGAGATAATTTGCAAGTCCGATCTTGTTTTTGCCAGGGACCTGGGGAACATAGTCCACGGTGCCATAGTAGGTGCGCAAGCAGTGAGGAGTTACGTAAGTCGTGTTGCAGATGGCAGACACGTAAGGCGCGCCGGAATCCGAAGAGGTCTGGCTGGTGACGAAATTCTGGTGAGCAAGAGGCTGCAGAAGGTCCTCGATGATGGGCCTAACATTGCTCCTACGAGGAGCGGCTCGGAAGAACGAGTTTGTGGGCTGGATGGTCTCGACGTGGTCATGGAGATGGCGAGGCAGAGACCAGGCGGGAGTGCGGACGATGTGACCGCCAGTCTCGTGCTGATAGACCGAGTATTCGGTGTCTAGGAGAGCTTCGATTTGGTCGACAGGCAGTGAAAGCTTGATCCAGTCCTTTGCGGGACTGTATTCCAAGTGGGCTTTAGCAATGTCATTGTCCTCGAGCCACTCGTGAACAAGGTCCAGGGTGTCATCGGCGGGCGTGACAAGCTTTTTGACGTCGTCTGCGGTCAGATGCTGGCCATAGCGCTCGTGCCTGGGGTTCGAGACTACATTGTATCAAAAAAAGAGCTTGCCCTCATCTAGCTTATCACACGAACCTTCGTAGAGGTGCCTCTCGAGCTCGGCAAAGCGGGCCTGCTTCAAGCCGATCTGGAGGTTGACGACATGCTCCGAGGGGGCACGGCCGACGCGCGACCAACTGCGCGGGACGTGGATGGTTTCCTTGACCTGGTACTCGGAGCGGGCGCGCAGAGGCAAGGCGCTGGCGGCAGCGGCCAGCAGCACGAGAAGGTGGGAGCCAAACATCTTGGGCAGGCAGACGGACGGACGCAAAAAACGACCAAGCTCGAGCTTTAAAAGGTGGCCATAAATTTGGACCCCCCCCCCCAACCAGATTCTGACCCCCCGCCCCCTGGGAAAACAATTTTTCCTCCGTCGCTCACCTCAAATTTATGGCGGCCCTCTAAAAAGGGAGGGTGTGGAGAAGCGGGCGCCAGCGGAGAGGGCAGGTGCGGCCGGTCGCGCATACTGTCCCGGGCGAGCACCATCCGTCCAGGCAGTGGCACAAGTGGCAGCTCCACCCCTCATCTCCGCTAGCCGTGCCAGTTGCAGGTTGTACGGCCTCTCGCCGGTGCTACGAGCGGCACAGTCTACCAGCCTAGTAGGCGCCGTGATGGTCTTTGCTCTTTCGCGAGCCCGTACCCGCCCGCCTACCTAGTCGACATGGCCACTTAGGGCCGCCAACCCGCCGGGCGTATGTAGTATACTGTCTTGGAGACACTCGTTCGCCGTCGACACTGCCTGCTGTGATTATTAGCCAAGCAACCGCCACCATCGTACCGCATATAGCAGGTTGGCTTCGTCTGCTCTAGCAAGATGCGCGGCCGAGCTTCCGTCCCCGGGACAGAAGCGGCAAATGCAGAACCTCCAGATCTCGACCTACCTTTCTCGTAATAGCTCTGCATCTCCCTTGCCGTAGCCTATACGGCCGCGTTTCTGTCTGTCACGCCGTTTGTGCAACCCTCAATACCATAAAAAAGCAACGACCTTCTTCACGCGACACCGCCTCTCCGTCGAGCCACCTATCGCACCACAATTAGCAATTCATATCCGGTTCGAACACCCTGCAGGAAAAATTGCCTCAACTTCACAAACGTGTGTATTGTAATTCGGGCCCGTTCGCTGGGGAGATGTCTCATGTGTATCGATAGTTGCGCTACGCACACGAGGACTTGCTCCTCTATCGTCTATTGCTATTCTACAGCAAGTTCAGCACTCAATGCAGCCCTCTACTGCTCCTTCTTCCTCTCAGCCTCTTCGGCCTCCAGCTTCTTCCTGGCCTCCTCCCTCTCAATCTGGTCCTTCCTGCGTACCGCAATGTCCTTGGGTTTGTAGTCGCTGAAGAAGAACTTCAGCGTCTTCTCAATGACAAAGCAGCCGACGTAATCGATGATCATGACCACCGTCATCGTAGCCTTGAACTCGTTCGTGAAAGGCACCAGGCGTAGCTTCTCGTTGATTTCGGGAATGAACTCGGTCGCGCAAGAGAAGGCAACAAACGCCACGCCAACGAGACCGTAGTACATGCCCTTGTTCTCACGGATCGATTCCCGGAACGGCCGACCCTGGTAATTGATCGCGAACGTGGAAATCTGCTGGATGAGTTGCAGGAGATAGATGGCACTGTTGAGGAGGGACGGTTCAAACTCGCCCTCCAGGTCCACGTCGTCGCTCTTACTAAAGTCAAGTTAGCATTCGCCAATCACAGTATCGGCTAGATGGTACTTACGGCTCCGTGCGCTGCACATATTGAGAGATGTAGATGAGAGTAACAATGTGGATGGCGAACTGCCCGAGGACAGAGCCGATGATGTAGACGTTGAAGATGTTGTGCTGCGGGCGTTCCTTAGAAAGCGCCTCGACAGGCTTGGCCCGAGAAATGGACAGGAAGCAGACGCTCATCATCATGCCGCTGATGGTAACCTGCCCGTCACCGAATTTGATCCCGTCCAGGTAGAGCACGCTCAAGCTGTATGCGCTGATGAGACAGTTGAGGGCCAAGATCTTGTACATTTGGATCGTAGCAACGAGGGTGCAGCGTCCCTGGCGGATGATGTTGGGTATGGCGATAACGTTGGCCAGCTTGCTGGTAAAGGGCGCCGCAACGGACGCGTCGCCGAGCTTGATCGTTGGAGGCTCACTGTCATCCAGCTCGTTCTCCATCATGGACATCTGCAACCTGTCCGCCAGGCTTTGTGCCTTTTCCTGAGCCAAGCGTTGATTTCTCTGGGAGGGGGTCTCATCCGGGGCCGCGGCAACGGCGCCCGACGCTGGCAAACTGACTCCGTTTGCCTTTGCAGCCTCCTCGGCAGCTGTGATACCCTTGCTGATCTTCTTGTCTTGCTCACGTTTCATCGCCTTCTCATAATGCGGGTTCGTCGGTCCAGGCGGATACAGGTGCGCAATCATAGGCGGCACTGGAGGCGTGGGCTGATTGAAGCGCTGCATGAGAGACACCTGCTTTTCGTACACCTCCTTCATCTTCGTCGTTCTGAAATGCTCGGCAATCCTGTCCAGGTCGTTCTTCGTACCATTGAGAAGAGCGACGCCGATGTGAGCCTGTTTCAGTGCACCAACATCATTCGTGCCATCACCACACATGAGAGTAGTGTAACCAGCGTCCTTCAGTCCAAGAAGAATTTCTTCCTTCTGCTTGGGCGAAACACGCGCGTAGACCCAGGTATGGCGGAGGAGCTGATGCCACGCTTTCTGATCCTTGAACTTACTCAGGGCATATCCTGTAACGCAGATGTCCTTTGTGCTGATAATTTCCGGGGAAAGCTCTTGAGTAGGGTCGACTGGGATGTTGACCTTGTCGTCAATGCTTCTCCAAACAAGATTCGTGCCCGAGTCATCATTCTCCGGAGCATCCAAGATCCAGCAGTCCCTGTCAACGATCTCCACTTGACGAGCCACATGGACAGCGGTGAGCGGGTTGTCACCGGTAATCATAACCACGCGATGGCTGCTCTCATTGAGCATTTGAACGGCCTTCTTTGCGTCATCTTTGAGTGGGCACTGAAGGACTAGGAAACCAGCGAAGTGGAGATCGCATTCGACTTCCTCACGCTTCAGGTCGTTAATCCTCTTCTGGCTGATCTCGTCCTCGGTGGAAAGACGCTTGTATGCCAGGGCCAGCACACGACCGCCGTTTCTGGTAAAGTGCTTGTAAGTTTCCTCGTACTTGGGCGGGGTGTTGACCAGCATGTTACGAATTGTCTCCGGAGCCCCTTTCACGCCAACAAAAGTGTGCTTCGCTTTCTTCCCAGTCTTCGGGTTCGTGGCCAAAACCGTGGCGATGGAGCTCTGCCTCTTGAGGGCTGAGGAAAACTGGAAACGGCGTTTGATCTGAACTAGTTCCGCGACGCTCGTACGCCCGATTTTGTTGGTGAGAGTATCCTGCTTACCAAGGACCCACCCAAGAGCCTGCAGGGTTGCTTTCTCCATGGGCTCACCAACAATATCTCCTTCGTCGAGTTTAACCAGGGCATGGGCTGTGGCGAGAACCAACGTGGAATCAGGACCGACCTGATTAACCGGCACCAGCTGAGTCTGAGCCCCATCGGCCTCGGCCTTAACTTCTGGCCGGCCGAGACCCAGGCCGGCAATGCCGTCAACAACAAGATCTTCACCAGTCAGGGTACCAGTCTTGTCGAAACAGGCGACATCAACGCGGCCGGCGAACGGAATGCGGAAAGGCTCAGTGCAGAAGATGGCGTACTTGCTGAGGGCAGCAAGGCTTGTGTTGACGGCCAAGCTCAACTCCATAGGAAGCTCCGGCGGGACCACACTGGTGATGATGAGGACACAGTCCAGAAGCAGCTTCGACCGCTTACGATCCCTAAGCACACCCTCTTGCCAGACATACCAAGATGCGGCAATGGCGAAGATGAGCAGGAAAAGGATGAAAAGCAAAGCCTCGACGTTGTTGGCGGATACACGCTCGGTGGAGTAAATCATGGTGCGCACGAGGCTACCCTGACTTGTTTCGAATCCCGTCTTGACTACAATGGCAACAGCGCCTTTGTCCGGTGGCGGGGGAACGCCTGAGGCAAGGCGGGGAATGGCATCGGCAGCGTCCTCGCTAGGATTTCCGTGGCTGACCTGGAGGACCTTGGTACCACCCCACAGCAGTGCGTTTTTATCCAAACCTTCGGGATCGATGTGAGCATCTCCCGGGCGCAGCTGGATAGAATCCTTCAGGACAGGCGTGCTCTCTCCAGACAACATTGCCTCGTTCACGATAGCGGTACCCTCAACCAGAATCATGTCGCATGCCACGCCACTGTCTTCCTTGGTGCGCTCCACGGAGACAAGGTCGCCAGGAAGCAGCTTGTCGCTTTCGATTTCCTGCCACTTGTTCTCCCGGAAGACCCAGACGTCGTATGGCTTGATACTCATGCCGCGGAACTCGTTCAATGTCCGTTGACGCTGCCACACAACGGTGCTCTCAAAGGCGACCAGCATGAACAGGGTGAACAGCGAGTAGTACCAGTATTCGTCCAGCATCCACAAGCCGACGCAGAAGATCTGGAAGACGAAGAAAGGCGCGACGGCGTGCTCTTTGAAGAGCTCGAGAAAGGTGGGGACGGGGATATCGAACGAGTTGTCGCCATAGTGCTCGTGGATGCGCTGCACCTCAGCAGCACTGGTCAGGCCACGCGAGCTTTGGAAGGAGCTGATGACGGGCTTTGGCTCGGCGTCGATCGAGTAGGACAGAGTCGCGAACGTATCCTCCTCGGCATGGTAGAGGAACCGGCGCTTCTGGAAGAGGAAGGAGAGGTTCTGCTTGCCGCCAACATTGTCGCGCTTCAGCGGGCAGATCTCGGCCGCGCCGGCATTGGCAATGGGTTGGACTTTGATGAGTGTTGCGCTGCGGACATCTTTGGCCTTGGTCGCGGTGAACAGGGCCTTCAGGTCAACGCTCCAGTGGGTGCTGAGCCAGATGAGCGACTGAACAGTGATGATGGAGCCGCACCAGACAAAGGTCCACTCGGAGGACTGGATGTGCTTCTCATACTGCGAGGGCGACAGGTAGACGGAAAGGAAAAGCGGCCAAACGATGAGGAAAGGCCAGACGTAGAGGTGCAACGAAAGTGGCAGCGGGTTGTGCAGGGTGGCCGCCTGGATCTGGTCGTTGTCGACGAGAGGCATCTTGGAAGCGGCGTGGCCTGGAGACCAAGATGGGCGTCTGGAAGAAAAGGCCAGCTCGTCGCGAAGGCCAAGGCGGATGGCGGCGTGGAACCTAGTGGCGGCCGGAGATTCGTGACTCCGGCAGCTGTGGCTGACCCGGTCGTGCCTGACTCATGTTTTAAAGTGATTCACACACCACCACGCGCCTGCCCCTCCACCGCTCGCACCCCACATTGCACTCCCGCTCCCTGCTTCTCTGCGCCCCGCAAGCTCCAGCACGCCATGGCCGACGCTCCCGCTCCCGCGGCCCCTGAGATGTCCAAGCGGGCGGCTGAGAAGGCTCGCAAAAAGGCTGAGGCCGCCGCGAAGAAGGCCGCCGCGAAGACCGAGGCCGCCCTCAGACCCAAGCCTACCGACTCCAAGCCGGCCAACGTCTTCGAGGAAGGCTGGTTGAAGCGCGTCTACAACGAGAAGCCCGTCGCCGACGTCCGCACTCGTTTCCCCCCCGAGCCCAATGGCTACCTGCACATCGGCCACGCCAAGGCCATTGCCGTCAACTTTGGCTTCGCGAAGAACTACAATGGCGTCTGTGTCCTGCGCTTCGACGACACGAACCCGGCCAAGGAGGAGGAGAAGTTCTTCACCTCTATCCAGGACATGGTGTCCTGGCTTGGCTTCAAGCCCCACGCCATAACCTATAGTAGCGATAATTTCGACAAGCTCTACGAGCTGGCCGAGGAGATGATCAGGCGGGACAAGGGATATGTGTGCCACTGCACTAGTAAGGGCTCCGTTCACATACGAGAAGCACACCCGCTCACAATGTGCAGGGGAGGACGTCAACCGCCAGCGCGGCGAGAATAAGGGCGGCGACCGTTTTGCCTGCGCACATCGCGATAGGCCTGTCGAGGAATCACTGGCCGAATTCCGCGCCATGCGCGATGGCAAGTACGAGCCAGGTGCCGCCCATTTGCGCATGAAGCAGAGTCTCTTGGATCCCAAGGAGGGTAACCCGCAGATGTGGGACCTGGCCGCCTACCGTATCGTCGAGCAGAACCACCACTTCCGCACCGGTGATAAGTGGAAGATCTATCCCACATACGACTTCACCCACTGCATCTGCGATGCCCTTGAGAACATCACCCACTCGCTGTGCACCACCGAGTTCCAACAGTCCCGTATATCCTACGACTGGCTTCTGGAGATTCTGGACATGAAGGTGCCGAAGTCGGAGGAGAAGGGCCCAATGCAGCGAGAGTGAGTGCTGAGATAGCGCCTCACTTCTGATCCCCAACTGACCGCTCTCAGGTATGGCCGTCTCAATGTAGAGGGCACCATTCTTTCGAAGCGTCGTATTGCTATGCTCGTTGAGGGATGCACTGTCGAGAAGAAGAACCAGGACGGCACCATGACAACCCAAAAAGTCTCCCCAGCTGTCCGCGGCTGGGATGACCCACGCCTTTACACCCTTGTTGCTCTTCGACGCCGCGGCATTCCCGCCCAAGCTCTTCTCAACTTCGTTCACGAGTTGGGCGTGACCGACGCACTTACTAGCATCCAGGCAGTCAGGCTGGACAACGCTGTCCGCAAGCACCTCGAGCGCACTGTACCTCGTCTCAGCTTGATCATTGACCCGATTAGGGTTGTTATCGAAGACATACCGGAGGACCACCAAGAGGAGATCTCCGTGCCGTTTGATCCAAAGAAGCCCGACGGTGACAAGCGCAACGTGCCTTTTTCACGTAGCCTCTACATCGATCGCAGCGACTTCCGTGAAGAGGCCGATCCCAACTTCTTCCGCCTCGCACCTGGCCAGACCGTCGGTCTTCTCAACGTCGGTCCCATCAAAGCGACATCTTTCACAAAGGATCCGGCAACTGGCATCGTCGATGAGGTTCGTGCTGTCAAGACAGACCCAACAGTCAAGCCCAAAGGTTGGATCCACTGGGTCGACGCGAAGACGAACCACCGCGTCGTCGCCCGCCAGTACAATGCTCTATTCCGCGCTACAGAGCCGAATGCTCTGGACTGGAAGACTGGTGGCTACGCTGACGACCTCAATCCCGAGAGTGAGGTTGTCCACAAGGATGCAGTCATTGAGAAGGGGCTTGACGCTCTCACTGCCGCACATTCCACGAAGCCTGATGGTGGCTCAGATGACCTTGTTCGCTTCCAGGCTATGCGTACTGGTTACTTCTGCATCGACCCCGAACTTGAAGGCGATACGATCGTACTTAACCAGATTGTGACGTTGAAAGAGGACAAGGATAAATAAGGGGAATTTTGTCATTGAACAATGAGAATATGAGGCATCTGCAATTTGATGGTGTCCCCCTCGAAGGGGTGCTAGCAGCGGCGTTTTGAAATGAGCAAGTGGGAATGGTTGATGCAGGGGAAAACTGCCCGGGAGAACATTTGGCGTTGAGACTGTTAGACAGGCGAAGCTAGTTAGCTTTGATTATTACCATTGACGGTTCTGTTGCGCGCAGCGGATTCTGTGCAGGCACCCACAAAAAGTAAGGTAACGGGAAAATATCACGAAAGGGTGCACATTCTGGCGATTGATCACTGCTTGGCATCAAATGCGGACAACTGTTGTGTCGAAAGCATACCTGACCTTATATTCGTGCTTCGAAAATGTACCGCAATACCCCATGTTCCCCTCCGCATATTGGTTCCCACAGCAAAAATCCGCAAAGACGCAGATAGTGAACCCGGATTTTGACTTGAGAAAATAAAGAAAGTGTAAAGAGACCCCAATCTACTTCATTGTCTCTCTTCAGTACCCACTATTGCGACCACGGAGGGGTTCCAGACCTTCCGTCACTGCCCACGGAAAGGAAAACCTCGGGAAACGAGCAAGACACTTGTAGTGAAGAGCTTGCATTCAGCCTCCAGAAACGAGTTCTTTTTAGTTTCGACCATAGCCCTGATTGGTCTTTCCTCGACGAACACACCACTGGAGATGTCGATGTTAAGCGCTGTCTGCGGCAGACACCAGATCGTGCTAGAAGAATCCTTGCGTATTGCAAGGAAGAAAAGTGTAGTAGATGTGGAGCCAGACAAAATCCGAAGGCCTCTCTGCAAGAATCGAAAGCGGGTTGAGGTCGATACGAGGGATACTCCTTCCTTACAGCTCGCTGATGATTTCATCGACAAGAGCCTCGGCCACAGAGTCGTCAGTCATGTAACCGTCGTCGTCTTGCTCTTCAACAACGTCACTCTCCTCGTCATCTTCGGGTTCAGAGTCGATGCTAGATACTTCATCATTGAACTCTTCGTTATCATCATCATCATCGAAGGAGTCCGACAAGTCATCGTCCTCGCCGTCATCAAAATCGTCCAGAAAATCCAGAGAAACTCCGAGCGCGCTCTGGAAGAGATCTTGCATGGCACTTATCATGTGAGGCGGAGGTACTGGCAAGGGCAAGGTACCGCCAGCAGGCCCACCAGCGCCCCCAGGAGTTCCATCAGCTGAATCAGGCGCATCGTTCGGCGAAGATGTAGTTCCAGATGCGACGCTGTAATCCTGCGTCTCAGCCTGAGTAGTGGACGGGTGGCCCAGAGGTGGAGCCGGACCCGCGACGACTGGAGCCCCATGAGCTTGATCGTGGCTATGTCCATGGCCATTCGGAGCATTGTCAGCGCCATTCTGTCCATGATGATGGTGCTGATGGTGCTGATGGTTGTGATGATGGTGATGGTGCTGTGTAGGCTGGCTGTTTACAACAACCGAGAAAAGGCCTGCTAAATCACCCATGGTGTGAGGTAGCTTCCTGCTTTCCATAGTATCCCAGTCGACCTTTGTAGATTTCTTCAAGATGAAGCTGTTCACATTCTCACCAGTGATGTGAATGGATTCCTCGTCATCTGCCAGGAAGTGAAAGTAGACGGACTTGAGATCAAGGTTGCTTCGCATCTTGCGGAAGACCTCACGCCACGTTCCGGTGACGAGGGAGGAGTAATCCAGTTGCAAGTGTTCAAGCTTGGAGCCGTTCTCAGTGAGCCAGTCAACGAGATCATGGGCATGGTAGGCCAAGCCACCCAAAGACAAAGACTCGAGCTTCTCAATACGCCGCCCGAGAAATTTGGCCAAGGGTACGTCGTATGGCTGGTTGTAGAACTCGATGCTCAGATTTGTCAGGTTCTGGACTTGTTGAATGAAGCGCGAAAGAAGGCCAGACCGAAAGAGCGCAGAACCCGACTCTGAGGGGAAAAGCTTGGGGTCCAACAAGCGGAGACTAAGGTTGTGAAGATGCCCGAAGCCTATTTTGCCGAAGCGGTAGCGCTGAGGGGCCGACAGTTGTAAAGCACTAGCGTTCAAGCCGGCGGTCACTAGGGTGCAGGGCTCCACTTCACTGAGGGCCATAGCGCGAATGACGCTCCCCATGGTCACAGAATGAAGAGCGACTTTCTCCCTAAAGAAAACGTTAGCTACGTCGCGGTTCTACAAGATATACGAGAATGACTGACTTGTGGAGCAAAGATATGCCACATTTTTGAAGAATTCCGCTAGTCCAAGCGCCGGTGAGAGGAGACTGTGCGCCGTTGATGCTGATGGTGCGGAGACTCCCGAGACCATCGAATGCCTGAAGTGAGCGCGCCAGCAGGCGAATATGAGCGAAGTGATCGTAAAGTCTGGCCTGGTCATCGACCTGCTTCTTGTAGGCACTGTAAGCGGCCCTTGCATTTGGCCAGTCTGCGGCACGTTCAGCATCGCCTAAGAAATGCTCCTTGACGCGGTCGTGGCGAAGGAAGCAGCTCTCATCACGCGCCTCCTTCTCCATGCGCGCAAGGAAGACGGTGAAGCTTTGGACAAGCTCGGAGCGGAACTCGTAGACGGCGATATCAAGCTGCGCAATGCGTCTGTTGAACGGTGAGGTGGTAGCGATGTGGTAGAAGTTGAGCAGGCTCTTGCGCTCCAAGACGATGGAGCGGTGGGAGAACCATGTCTTCAGGAAGGTGTCGGCTGCGGCGGCTTTCAGCGACTTGCAGGTGAGACGGACGGATTTGATGTGCTCGAGGAAAACGTCCTTGGCGAGCGGGTTTTCGTACGGACACGACGGGTCCTCGTACAGCTCCTCCACCACCTTGATTTGCAGTTCTGCCGGCAGCGAGAGCAGCGGCGAAGCGTGGCGGGCCATGGCGGGGGTGGGGTTGTTGAGAGCCCAATGCAATGTGGTCGGGTAGAGCGGGTGTCGGCGCAGTGGAAGTCAAGTTTGGGTGCCCTCCAAGGCGCGGCGGGTTGGCGGCGGAGGTTGGATGCAGATGCGTTGGAGGGTCTGGGGCGGAGCAGAGGCAGAAGACGCGTTGCGACTGCTGGCAAACGCGGCCAGCTTCACCTGACCTGACCGCCTTCCGGAAGACAGAGCGAAGCACCTAGAACGGTAGTCGCCCGCAGCCTTGCGAGCCCGCACCAGCGACTCTGGCCAGCCCTTTTCCCACTTGAATCGCCCTGCTGATGGCACCAACAAGGTCAGCCGGGTATGTCCATCAGGGTCACCCGAGGACAAACATATTCAGCGAGCACAGGTGCCGTCCCCTCCCTGCGCGTTGCAGCTGCCAACGCGCACTCTTGCGTCCAGGTCATCATAGCAGAAAAGCTCTTACGGCAGCAGCTCGATGCGACTCAACGGGCCGTTCACCCGTATCTTTCCTTCCTATCGCCCTACCTGATGGCCGCACTGCTCATGGATTTACGCCTTCAGGCTGTGCATCAAGCAGCAGATGTCACATGCGACGCCTCGACCAACGTCTGCGCCTGTCGGGCTCGCTCGCGGGCTCGAGGCGGGAGGAAACGGGTGTGGTTGGAGGTGTCGGGCTGCGCTCAACGAGAGTGCTGAGCACGGCAATAGAAACCTGGCGCGACGTCGAGGTGTCGGAGTGAAGAGGTCGATCGGCTGTGCCCGCGTCCCACTTCGCCCGTCAGATGCGCTAAACCCAATGTGGCGCCCGCCGTTCTTGCTTTCTCAGAGATGCAGCCCACTCGTAACACCGACCGCCTACCTGTGCAAGATGGAATGCTACTGACAGACGCGCAGCCTGACATCATTGGTGAGATGTCCGGCCTTTCCTTGCTTGTCACGTCCTGTTGTCTGTCCTCGTGCTAGCCAGAGTCAGCAGTCGCCCACGTATTGATCGTAATTCAGACGGCCCATGGGAATCTCATCAATTTCATGTGTCCGTATCGGTAATTGAAGCATGTGCGGCACGACTCCTAAGGGCGCATTCAAAGCAAGACACAGGCTACCTGCCCAACCTCGCCGCCGCTCCCGTCGTTCGTTCTCATGTAGCTCTTCGACCTGGGTCTCGCGGGAAGAGCTTAATTCGAAGTGGCCCGTCGTCGCGCGACTGTGCCTCGCACATGTCGTTGTTTCTTTCCCTCCCTGTCTTTTTCTTTGTCCCTGTGGTATCGCTGTTGATGTCCTATAATAATAGACACTGGGAAATAAACCGGGTACAAGAGCTGCAGTGGAAGCTGCTCACCTCTCTAATTCTCCACAAAATCCACTTTCCTGAGGAACTCCCTCACTCGACCAACCTCGACCCCATCGCCAATTTCGCTTTCAACTGCTTTAACGAGGTTGCCGAGCAAAACCTCAACCTGGTCCTCTGCAACCCCTGTGCAGAGGCAAACGACCTTGCGGTACTGTGCCTCAAGCTCGCCATTGCGCTCCCGTAGGCCTGCTGCACGCGCTCGAAGCTCTGCATTGTTGCTGTCATATGCCGACAGGGCTGCTCGCAGCGTACTTGCGCTTGGAAGGGAGACAAGCGAGAAATGTTGTGACGATGAAAGGGCGTTTAAATCCAAATTATTGGCCGAGTCAGGCGACATATCCCGTAGCTGGCCGAGCTTCGACTGGACTGGCGACACCGTATCGGCGTCGCCCACCCTAATGCTGTCTTTAGACGCACTCATAGCCTGCTCCACTGAGATGGCTCCGGAGCGGGCAAGGCGACTGCGTTGGTCTTTGATTGCGTTTTTGAGATTGCTGATACGTTGACTTCGTTCCGCATGGAGACGCTGCCTACGCTGAAGAGAGGCAAGCAGGTTGGAGAGATGGCGCTGCTGGGTAGATAGAGACTGGATGCTGGCATTCGTGCGATCGATGAGATCTTGCTTCAGGCGAATTTCGGCGTTGAACTGTGACTCCGTCTGCGAAAGAAACGAGGACATAGCTGCCAGAGGTTAAAGGCGCTTCATGATGTGGTGAGAAACGAATGTCTTCCACTTACCAGGCATCATCTCTCTACTGGCCTCATCCACTCTGCTTGCCGGTCCCCTACTTTTACTAGGCGATCCAACCTGACTCAGGGTTTGCTGGCCATTCCTTTCAGGGTCTTCGCCAACACCGAAGTCCAGAGGCCTCAGCCCTTTGTAGTTCGGTATCGACGGATCCGCCTTGACTTCTAGCAGTTGCTGAATGATGCTGCGGTTTCCAATGCGGGCGACTAGATTGAGCGCAGTATTTCCAGCGACATCCCTCGCATTCACCATCTCGCTCATGAACCTCATCAGACCGATGGGCTTTGATGTACTGCCCTCGAATGAAGATTGGCTGTTCTGACCGGTATTGCTGCGCACTAAGAATTCGAGAAGGGCTTCAAGGTAATATTTGCTTGACGCTGCTCGGCCCTTAACCCCTGAAGCAACAGCGATATGGTGTAAGATGGTCCGGCCGGAGTCATCTCTGACTTCAATGAGCGGCGCAAGCAACTCCAGTAACTCCGGAAAGCAGCTGTGATCAAGGCAGTTGTTGACTGCTACGGCAGCCATCAGTGGAGTTTGGCCAGCCGCATTGCCGCGGAAAATATTTGCACCCTTGGAAATCAGTAGACGCATGATAGATACCCTAGCCAGCGTTGCTGCCCAATGTAGAGCAGTATTCGCAGATTGGTCCAGTGGCATGTCAAGATCGCTCCCAGAGAGATGGATAATGGCAGGGTGATTTGAATAGTCAGTACGTGACTGGTTGTCTTGGAATAGATCAAGCAGCGCAGCTTGTTTCTCCTGAGACGAGGGGTCGGAAGGTCCTGGAAGAGGAGGCAAGGCTGCCGGGACATCACCATCAACAGTTGAGAGGTGGTGTAGCGCCTGGTGATATACAAAAGATTCGCTTGGCTCGGTTGGAGAACCGTCGCGAATGAGCTCACCATCACCATTGCGTTGCGCAAAGGAGTCTTCCTGGCGCAGCCTCTTACGTGGCGGCTCGAAGCCGTCCAAAGGTCCATCAACCTGAGCCTGGGTCGCATATGTGGAGTCACCGCCATTGGCACTAAAGCTGCGCTCGGAGCGCAAGCCTGGGACACTTTGCTGGCTTTCGCCGCGAAACGATTCCTGGCTTCCAAAGCCAGGGCGTGAAGGGGTGGATGCCATGTGACGACGTTGTGCACTTCCAGGGCGTGGGGCTGGGGAGTTCATGCGGGCAACCTTGTTCATAGCGGCGATTGCGTTTGAAGCAGTAGAGGAAATGTTAGAGAAGAAGGTGCCGCCAGCAGCAGCACTTTGAGTTCGGCCATCCATGGTGCTGGCATAGAAGCGCTTCCGGTTCGCGGCCATGGCCTGCTCTTTGGTGGGCGTGTCGACCTCTTGTCCCTGCGACCCGCCATCCAAGCCATAGTCGAGCAAAGGGCGCAACAGGTCCTCGACGCCATACTGACGGCAAAACTCGCGACCGCGACGGTAGTTGATCCAGGTGCCTTGGTACTTGCCGTAGCCACCTTGGACCTTCTCGTGCTCGCCGGTCAGGATCTCCTTCTCGAGGACTTTCGTGCGCTTTCCCTTATCAACACCTGCAACCTTCAGGATTTGTGTCGCGTTCAGCCACGAGTCGGAACGACGCTTCATGACGGCGATGCCGTTGATCTCCATTTCGTAGACATTGACGTTGGAATATACAGCCTACGCAGGAGTCAGTGTGAGCTCAGTTCTGGCGCGGCTGGTGCGTTTACGGTGTAAATTTGCGGCGGATGCTCCATGTGGTGCTGCGATAGACCGTTGCTCTCAGAAAAGCTTCTTGCGAAGCCATTCTGCTGCTGCGGCGCGCTGTCCCCGTACAGCGACCGATGGGTTTGCGGCTGGGTTGGCGTGAAGGAGGCGGCGCGGCCCTCGAAGCCAGCCATTCCGGTGGGCGCGACCTGCATGGCAGATGGCGGCGACGTGGAGCGCAGTCGTGCGCGAGCTTGTCGCGGCGATGGGGCGCGCAACGGTCGAAGGGATGGGGAGCTGTGGGCTGGCTGAGCTGGTGATGCTCCGGCTCATATGCGTCAGGAAGTGGAGACGGAAATCAGTCGCGTATGCACGCGTTACGCTAGCCCCCATCCGCGCGACTCGCGCCCACTCGTCACCCATCTTCACACGACCCGCACACTTGTCTTGCTGCAGCCGTTCTCCATCACACGTCGCCCAGGCTGGCTCCATACGCATGCTGCCCGCCGCTGACGCCTCCGGCGCCCGTCATCTACTCCGTGCGCTTCTCCGCGAGTGCACCTACCTCCCCGACCCAGCCGCCCGTCTCTACGCCCATCACCAGGTTGTAAGCCGCTTTCTCGATTACCATCCGCTGCAATTGGAGGGTGGCTATTATAAGGACCCCTCGGATAACCCGGCACTCTCACCGCGGCGCCTACGCGGCGCTCTGCAAAATGCGCGGAAGAGTCTCAACTTTCTGCGCCGTGCCAATGAGGGCGAGATGGCGCCTCTCCAGCAGCTTCTACTACTGACCTACGGGCGCACTGGCAAGCGGCGGCACGAGCTGATGCGCACGTTGCTCACTCCGGACACAATTAGCGAGAGCGAAGCCGTTGAATTGTGGCAGGCAGAGGTCGAGGCAACACTCGATCCATCTAAAGCCATCACCGGGATCCCAAGGGCCGTAGAGGAAGCCCCGAGGCGTGAGGGCCGGCCCCACAAGTACAAGATTTCTCCACGCTACTCTCAACTCCGCGCTCTTTTGGAGAGTCAGATGTCCGATGCACGTCCTATAGAGATGAGGAGAGCGAAGCTGAAATCGGCACATCTGGAAGTGCCGCTGACCAACATTTGGATGCGCCCATTCCCGCGAAAGCGTGAAGTAAACATGGTGCATAAGTGGTATGCCACAGTGCTGGACAAGGTTCTTCCTCCGCTACCCGAAGACGAATGGGAGAGGCTTAGAGATCTGGTATCGGGTGCGCGCAAGTGGAGCGGCTTGAAGCGCAGGAGACCCGGTGTGCCAACTCACATGAGCACCTACGATGTGGCTAAGCTGGCCAATGTTGGTGGTACTGCAGGAGAACGTTTCTTGTCTCTTGCTTGTCGAGAGCACATGTTGCCAGAACATGGCTCCAAAGCAGATATGCTGCTTCGACTGTCGACGACGGCAAGCACTCGATTTCAAGCCGCAGATCGGTGGCTCACACAAGGATCTGCTAATCCAGATGTGCTGGCTTCTTTACTGCAGGACGAGCTGGAGATGAAGCGTCTCCCAAGGCAGTCGCCCGGTAGACGCCGAGCACAAAATATTACGCCGCGTCTCATGCGTCACATTTGGGCCAAGGTCTTCTCCCAATGCCCCGTTCTTCGTTGGAACGAGCAAAATAAGGGTTGGATAGTTGAGTGGGGGACATGGGAGCATTTACAGCGAGAGCCTGAAGCCGTCTGCCACAACAAGTCACTGTTCGAGGGTGTGGACGAAAGAGGAAGAACACCGCAAGCAGTCGGTATTTCAGAAGCTAGAAGCCCACAGGCGGAGCCGCACTCGGAAATACGATAGCCCGTGGCCGAGTGAGGAGTAGTATTACTGGTATAAGTGGGGCAGCGTCACCATGATCATGTTGTCGAGCGTAGGGCGCATGCCGTTTGGTAGTGCACGCACGACATAAAAAGGGCTTCTTCCCCGCCAACTCTGCATCAGAGCAACCTGCGCAACAACCACCAACATGTCCGACAAACCTTCCGTCCGTCTGGCCACACTCGAGGGTAAATGTTACGGAGTGGGTCAAGTATATTCGATTAACGACTCTCGCAGATGTCGGCGCCATCTTGGGTTTAATAAATGAGCTCGCGATCTACGAAAATGCACTCGATTCCGTCCAGGCCACCGAAGAAACTCTTGCAGCCACGCTTTCCTTTGCCCCTTCATCCTCCGACCAGGCTTCCTCCACCGTCCGCTCTGGCTACGCGAAGACCCTCCTCGTAACGGCCCCCGAAGGGGAAGTAGCCGGCATGGCCCTCTTTTTCAACAATTACAGCACTTGGCGCGCGAAGCCTGGCGTCTACCTCGAAGACCTCTTCGTGAAGCCTAAGTACCGCCAGAGAGGATACGGCAAGCTGTTGATACAGGAGCTTGCAAAGGAAGTGCAGAAGATCGATGGGGGAAGACTGGAATGGAGCTGCCTGAAGTGGAACGAGCCATCACTGAAGTTCTACGCGGGCCTTGGGGCGAAACAAATGGAGGAGTGGGTTGGATTGAGGGTCGATGGCGAGGCTCTTGTCAATCTGGCGGAGGGCAAAGCAACGTCTTCTTGACACTAATAAGACGCTCAACAGAGGGAGTTCGAAATCATTATCATGGCATGAAGTCCCAGGAGTAAAAAGATGGAGATGAAGAATGGAGGCATGGGTCTAGAAGAAAATCCAAATTGGCCTCTAGGCGTGTGGCATAGAAGCAGACAAGATAAGAAGCAATAAAGATGTGTGGAGAAAGATAGGACATTGACCACGCGTAAGTTGAATCCCAACAGCGTCTTTCAAAGACTTCATCATGTTTGCTTCACAATGCGACGCTACATTTGGAACTTTTACTCGCACGACTGAGGACCCAAGGTTAGTTTCTGGTGTCCATGGTGATCGGAAACAACATACCTGCAGCTCCGGGTAGTCGCCTCCGCACTTCTCGTAGCAATCCATTTTGCCCTTGTTCGCACAGACGCAAGACTGACGGCACCTGCATTAGCCTCCACATAAAGCAGCAGTGTTGGTTATTCCTTACCTGAGGCCACGATTGGATGCAGATTCTAGGCTCGCAAGAGCAAGTGGCGCTGCTGGATGGGGTAGAAATTGGTAGCGTTGGCGTGGGTGTGTCATATGGCTGCCGCGGTTGCACCGGCGTGGCCGTGGACAGGGTGAGGAGAAAGGCGAGAGGCAGGACGACTCCAAAGTACTTCATTGTGTGTCGGGACGTTGTGTTTGCTAACGAGTGTGAGTAGTTGGGTCCGACCGACTAGAATTAGGCCAGCAGATAGAGTGGCAGAGTGGTAGGCTGGTAAGTCAAGGGGAAGGAGGGAGCGGCAAAGTGTAGAAGTGGGTACCGCGGCATGATATTCTCCAGAACGAGAGATTTCAGGAGCGCCAAGGTCCGTAAGGCGGAAACCCTAAAATTGCCAGCACAGGCTGAAGCCGCAGGTCCGGCGGCCCACGGTTGTGTTGGCACCGTTCTACTTCAGCTGATGGCGGGGTGGCGGCGTCCTCTCAATGGCCTAGTTACTTGAAGGATCTGAAAAAGGCGTTCCAGCCGCAAAAGGGCATTCTGGATCGAATCAAACAGCTGTTTCCTGGAAGTCGATCGGTTACACTTGGCGCGCACCGACCAATGAGCACTCCATGGTGCGGGCGGAGCGGAGTGCTTGGCAGCGGAGCATCCCTTAGCCAGCAATGTCCCACTCATCAAGAGTCAGGCCGCCGAGTATTGCGTACGGTTTCCTTGCAAGCACCCCGATGGCTGTGATAGTCTCAAGTGAGGGAATGACACGCTCACTCGAGGAAGCGTCGGCTGGTCTGTTCACTGTGCGGGTACCTCGGTAGACTGTGCGCAGGATGAAACAAGCCAGACATCAATCATTTCTCTTTGCCCTGACCGCTTCCAAAGCGTCATTGTTTCTGGGCAGATCGAGATACAGCTGATGCGTGGCTGGCGAGTGGCCGCTCGCAGCCTCGGACGGAGCGAAGCGGTGGCCATAAGTATGTGGTCGAGAAAAATATGTCGTGCAGATGCGAGCTGAGCAAATACATGTGAGACTTCTTGGAGGCCCTTCACTGCGGAGCACTTTGCTGAATGCGTGTTATATGGCGTGACGCGCCTTCCATTTTGGCTGTATTTATATGCATGCCGGTGTTGCTGGTCTATCTATGTGGCTGTCTTACATGCAGGAACGAGCCGTGGCGTCAAGGCGAATATTGAGTTGCAACGCCGTAGGAATCGATGTGTGCGGATACGAATACTGCTCGTACGTAGAGCATGAATTTCTCATGCCATGCTTGCTATTGAGGACAGCCGATGCGTTGAGGTTAAGAGAAGGAGGAAGCGAGTTTGCTGTCGTTCGTAAAAATAACAGCAGCCGGGAGCAGTAGCATTGTGTCTTCCCGTACAGCCCCGGACAGCTTCACGACGTAACGTGGTGCAGCACGGGAAGTAGCCCGTCTCCGAAGAGGCTTTTTTTTTGTTGCCGATTTAAGCAGCACCAGCAGAGTGCACTACTGTCTAGGTATTGCATCACAAGGCGGTGAGAGACCAGGCAGAACTTCGCCAGGTAGGCTTCTGGTGGATGCGGCCATGCAGGCGCTCGGCGGTTCTGAAATCTTGGCGTGTGTGGCACTTCGCCCCACCAAATGTGCCTGTGAATTCTCGCCTGTGAACCTAGTCACCGCCGCCGACATCCTACTGCCTCCAACACGCCATCCACCCCCGCGCTCCGACTCCTGCCACAGCGCTCCACGCACCTTGCTGGCGCCGACACCTGAGCACTCGACAGCCAGAAGCAGAGAACCACCCACCGCGCAAACACCTCGTCGAGGAATAACAACCAACCATGTCGTCCGAAGGCTCTTTGACGAATTGCCGCTTCTATGAGGAGAAGTACCCGGAGGTGGAGAGCTTTGTCATGGTCAATGTCAAGCAGGTGCACAGCTCTCCCGCCCGACTCCTGCCGCTGCGGCCATGCGCTGACCGTGTTCGCAGATTGCCGAGATGGGCGCGTACGTGAAGCTGCTCGAGTACGACAACATCGACGGCATGATCCTGCTCAGCGAGCTCTCGAGACGCCGTATCCGTAGTATCCAGAAGCTCATTCGCGTCGGTCGCAACGAGGTCGTCGTCGTGCTGAGGGTGGACAAGGAGAAGGGTGAGTAGGCGACGCACACGCGGGGCGGCCATGGCGCGCTGACCGAGTATAGGTTATATCGACCTTTCGAAGCGTCGTGTTTCGCCCGAGGATATCGTCAAGTGTGAGGAGCGCTACAACAAGAGCAAGATGGTTCACTCGATCATGCGCCATGTTGCCGAGAAGACGCGCACGCCTCTCGAGGAGCTATACCAGACCATCGCCTGGCCGCTGAACAGGAAGTACGGCCACTCGCTCGACGCCTTCAAGCTTTCCATCACCAACCCCGACGTCTGGAACGAGATCGCATTCCCCAACGAGCCGGTCAAGGCCGAGCTCCTGTCCTACATTGGCAAGCGTCTGACTCCTCAGCCGACCAAGGTGCGCGCCGATATCGAGGTTACGTGCTTTGGCTACGAGGGCATCGACGCCGTCAAGGACGCGTTGCGCAAGGCCGAGGCACACAACACGGCCGAGAACTATGTCAAGGTCAGGCTGGTATCGCCTCCGCTGTACGTCTTGACCAGCCAGTGCCTGGACAAGAGCACTGGTATTGCCAACCTGGAGAAGGCTATTGAGGAGGTCACCAAGACCATTACGACCTACGACGGTGGCAGCTGCAGGGTCAAAATGGCGCCCAAGGCCGTCACTGAGAGCGATGACGCGGAGCTGCAGGCTCTTATGGACCAGAGGGAGCGTGAGAACCAGCAAGTCAGCGGTGACGAGGATGAGAGTGAGAGCGACGAGGGCGAGATCCACAGCTAAAAAGTGGGCGCAGCGGCGCATGTGTGATGCAAGGATTTCATTCGGAAAGCATGGCGGCTGGATGGAGTCGCGGCGACATGCCAGTTCTGGGGTGGCGTATGAGGGCGGGTAAAAAGGATCCAAAAGTCGGGACGAGATAGAAGGCAGTCTAGCTGCCGCACTGCAGCAGGAGGAAGAGCGGCGAAACAGCCAAATTTACCATTTCACTGCATCCTGGCTCGAGGCGGCGCCGTGCGAGGCGAGTATGGGCTTTAGCTATATGTATGCTCTGCGCTGAGGATTGCATAAGATGGCGATCTGATCTGATAGGCCGTTCGGCGCGCGCGAGCCAAGACTGGATCTGGCAGCACACGTCACGCGTCGCTGCCGCCCGGGAGCTATGGCCGCCCGCCTGTGTATCCAACTTTGCCCACTTTTTCACTGCAAAGATAGCTGCACCAGCCCACGCATTGATCGCCAGCGCCGCTGCGATAGACTTTGTCGGTCCAGCAAAACATCGGCCACGGCCTTTGCGCAACATTCAACCCTCGCCACTTCTGCACAGAGCTCGACGAACACGCCAGCCGTCGCCATGGTACGCTGGGCGCGCCTTTTCAACCTCGACAAGAGCCGGCGCGACCGGCCTCATCTCCGCGACCAGATGAGCGCCTGTGAGTCTAGAGCCTTGAAGGCTGCACCACTGCTCACAATCCGTAGTACTTCCCACGCGCCGGGACGATGTCCCTCCCTCGCCTATTCCAGCCAAAGAAGTGACCAAGATCGCCCTCCGCCTCAAGCACCAGATCGAGACCGTGATCCCCTGCGAAATGGAGGAATCGCTGGTCACCTGTGCCCACAGCCACGTAATCACTCCGTCGATCGTCAAGCTGGCAGCCTCCGCGGGTGGTGATGACTACAATGCATGTGTCGTCTACTGCTTGCTAGTAGTCAACAAATGGTTCAAGAGGCAGGCTACCCTCGAGCTGTGGGACTCGGACCTGCACGATGTCCGTGCTGTGGCTTGCGAGGTCATAGCAAAGCGCATGTGAGTCTGGTATCTGTTACTGGAATGCGGGTGGCAGTGTACTAACTACTCGTAGCATTGAGAGCGAGGAGGACATGTGTTTCTTGCTCGAGGACATTCTGCTCAAGCGTTACTCCATTATCGTCAATGGCCAAGAGACAATGCCTGCCAACGTTGTCGAGCGTGCCGTCGACTTGCACACCCTGCGCGTCATTGGCTCTTCCGGGTACCAGAAGTGTATTAACCATCTCTGGCGCGGGTGGTTGGTACAAGATGACGAAGATGCTTCGCGATTCATCGATTGGAAGCACAAGGGGAACACCAGCTACTGGACTCACTTGGACCCCGACCGGATGCGTGTGCCTGCCTACCAAAACGCTCTGCAGATCTTGATCTCCGTCGTCTACCTGGCTCTGTACACGGGCGCTATAAACACGATCAACCCGGACGGTGACCTTGACATAGTTGAGGGTCTCTTGTACGTCTTTACTGCAGGATTCATCTTTGACGAGATAGCCAAGTTCTGGAAAGTTGGTCGCTACTATATCGGCTTCTGGAACGTCTTCAACAGCACTCTGTACGCGCTTCTTACAGTTTCGCTCATAACTCGTCTCATCGCACTTGGTCACGATGTCGATTCGGAACCGCGCGTGCGATACAACACACTGAGCTATAACTTCCTGGCTTTCAGCGCGCCAATGTTCTGGATGCGCATTATGCTGTACCTCGACACCTTCCGATTCTTCGGTGCCATGCTCGTGGTGCTGAAGGTCATGATGAAGGAGTCTCTCATCTTCTTTGCTCTCCTCTTCGTTATCTTGGTCGGCTTTTTCCAGGCTTTCATCGGCATGGATCAAGTTGACAACAAGATCACAGCTTTCGCATTCATCACCAAAGCAATGTTGAATGCTATTATGCAGTCGCCTGAGTTTGATGGATTTGAGCGGTTCGCGCCTCCCTTTGGCTTGATCTTGTATTACGTCTTCACGTTCGTGGTCATGGTTGGTAAGTGAATCTCGTCACGGCTCGGCTACTCGGCGTTAATTGACAACCATCTTAGTCCTACTCAACATTCTCATTGCGCTGTACAACAGTGCTTACGAGGATGTCACTGATAACGCCATCGACGAGTACATGGCACTAGTGCGTATTTCAACCCAGAAATTGGATGACACCATGCTAATGTCCGTTGCAGCTCTCTCAAAAGACCATGCAATTTGTGCGAGCTCCCGACGAAAATGTCTTCATTGCGCGTGAGTACCGTTTCTCACTCGAATTTTGCTTGTGCTGCCTAAGCTGACCGTCGAAGCGTTCAACCTCATCGAGCTCTTTTTGGTGATCATCCCGTTCGAATGGTGGCTGGATGAGAAACGCTACAGCCGCCTCAACGACTACGTCATGGGTTTCATCTATTCCCCTCTGCTGCTGATTACGGCTGCAATCGAGACGGCACAAGCCCATAAAGTCCGGGATAATCGCAAGCGTGGGGAACAAGATGATGACACGATAGAGGAGTGGGAAGAAATGGCCGGGGAAATCGACTTCGAGTCTGAAGGCTGGGCGAAGAAATGTGAGGAAATCGCCCCTGAGATCGGCGTCGAGCAAGCCGTCATCGAAGTGAGGCAGCTGAGACGCGAAATCACGGAGCTTCGCGAGATGGTCAGCTCCATGATCCAGTGAGCTCGTGATGGCCTTACTGGGACTTGTGCCGTCAATCCGTGGTCGCAAACACGGTCTAAATACGCCGTTGACGAGCATCAAAGTTGCAAGATCAGGGTACGTTGACGAGGCAACCATCATTTCACAAAAGTCATGCGCATGTTGTGGTGGCAAATGTTAACCGGGGCTCTGCGGTCTATGGCCCGTTGCTCCCTCCAGCTAATTTGTTTTTCTCACTTCCTTTCGTAGCAAGCCTCACGCACTTCGTTTGGCGCCATGAAGTTTGTCAAATTCCTGTGCTTGATATCTCCCGTGTTTTATTTCCTTAAACTTCGTTTTATGTCTAGAAAATCACTCGAGGCTCAATTCTCTTCCCACGCATGCTCATTTATCCAGAGGCCCCTGAGGCGCACGTAACCCCCAAAGCACTCGGGGTGTTTGAACACAAGATCTGGTTCTCTCCTGACGGAGCCTTGACCGTCCAATCAGAAATGGTGATGCCGCAGGTACCGCCTGCTCCGCAGTTGATGTTGGCCGTGGTCGGATCATACTTGTCAGATGTCTCGCCAGAAAAGTCCTTGACCACGACGCCGCTGATCTGCGCATTTCCAGGGCTGGTTTGGCAGTAGTCGGCATCCTCGCCGTAGCAGCTCTGTACTTGGAACGCATAATCGCAGTTTTGCACGGTGAAGCCAGTGAAGGTCACGTTGGAGACGGTGGACAGACCGTGACTGCCACCGCTCGGGTAAGTCTTGATGCCCGCCGCCTTGGTGCTGTCGACCATTTTAACGTTACTTGCGTAGACGTTCTTGACCGTGTCGTCACTCGACTTGCCCAGCGATCCCACCGAGATGCCATGCGAGCCGGTGCATGTGATTTGGTCGATGGTCACATAATTTGCCCCCGGCTTGAAAGCCACACAGTCGTCATCGTTGGACACGTCAATGTCGTAGAGCGTCACGCCGGTGCTCTCGCCGATGTCGAAACCGTCGGTATTCTTGGGTGGGTTGTCCGACTTGGAGGTGGCGTCCAGCTTCAGGCTGGAAAAGGCGACGCGCTCCGCACCGCCTTTGACCGAGACGAAGACGTTCGGGGGGTTCTTCTGTCGCAGCCCGCTGACGTCGATGTCGGAGCCGCCGGTGATGTAAAGCAGCGTCGGCCGCGCGTACGAGCTGTCGGACGCGAAGAGATCCCACGCGTCCTGGCCGTTGCCGTCGATGACGCCGCCGCCCGTCAGACTGCGGACCTTGACGCCGGAGGCATCCTCGAGCAGGATCATGGCGGTCCTGCCGGACCAGTAGGAGGTTGAGCTGGAAAACTTCAGGAGCCCCTCGAGCTGGATGTCGCAGCTTGCGCATGCCGAAAGGTCGAGGACGCTGTTGGCGTAATAGGTCACTCCGGCTGGGAACACGATGGTGCCGCCTTTGCCGCAGGTCGAAAGCGCAGAGGCGATTGCGGGGACATCGTCTGTCGAGGACGAGCCCCCTGCTGTGGGCGTGCAGACGGCGCGAGGTGCGAGGGTGTTGCTGGGGTTGTCGTCTGCGGGAGCAGGGAGTGCTGCGACGATGGCAGCGATGGTGGAGAGGCAGGCAAGGAACTTCATGGCGAGTACAGCTGTGCCTGTCTCGAGAGCTGAAAAACAAAGGCAGAAGCGAGAAGTTGAGAAGGGTACGAGAGGTGTTTTTCGGCTTGATGCGAGACGCAGCTAATGATTCTCAACCAGGGCTCCTCGTTTCAAGTGGAGGTGTGCATATTGTTCCTCCGCCGGATGGCGGGTGGGACGGGCCGACGGTTTGACAGGCAGTTGATCGGACTTAGCTCCAAAGCTTCTTCTTGACAAGCTGCTGCTTAGCGCCGTTCCAGCAGAATCCAGCTACCTTCGGCACCGTTGCAATGCGCTTGCTCCCGGTCATCTGTTTCAAACGTGCGCATCAAACAAAGCCCCCACTCTAGATGAAGACGACTGAGTGGCTTGGGTGCAGTCTGTCGCGAGGCACTTGCGAACCGACCCACGACCAATACAGCGCGAGGCTCCCCTGTGTGGCGGGTGCTATGGCACAGATTGTTTCGTTTACCCGTTCGTCAAGACAGAAGCAGAGCACAAAACCCCACCACTAACATCACACAGTACACTCGCCTTCGGCCGCAGGGAGTTGGACTGGGGTAGGCCGGGGCTGCACATTTGTGGGGTAATTCAGCCGGGACATGCCGTGGCACTGTTGCGCGAGACATGCCGGGAAACGAATCTTCGAAGTGGCTTGCAAGGACACGATCCATTGGAGGTTTGCAATGGAGCGATCCGGGAACAGCGGGATTGCTGTAAAGCTCGCCTGAATTCCTCCGGCTTTGAGGTTCCTCGGGGATCTTTAGCGCGACTTTCTCACGTACAAGAAGGCAGGTTTCAATCGCGTTTTCTGGCCTGCAAAGCGGTGCATGTCGAAGATACTTGGGTGCTCACGATGAGGGTAAGATCAATCGCTGCTTTCCTGCTCGCCCTCGGGATCCCCGTGTCTTCAGTCCCCACGCCAGACCTTGCGAAGAGGACCAGCAGGACGACTGCTCCAGCAGGATGCCTTACGGTCGGATCGAGCGCGACTTACAAGACCATAACGAGTGCACTCGATGCGCTTGGGACGAGCTCGACCACCGACGCCTGCATCTTCGTCAGTAGCGGAACCTACGCCGAACAGCTGACCATCACCTACGCCGGATCCCTGACGCTGTACGGATCAACCACAGACACGGGCACCTACAAGTCGAATACAGTCACCATTACCCACACCGTCAAGTCAGCGGATGCCGGCTCTCTTGATGCCAGTTCGACCGTCAACGTCAAGGCCGACGGGTTCAACATGTACAACATCAACGTTGTCAACGACTATGGGGCCGGCGCGCAAGCCGTTGCGTAAGCTGCTTGGCGGTTTCCCTGCAATCATCATGGACGATGAAGCTAACCGGATCGTGGACAGCCTCACCGCCAACGCCGACAAACTCGGCTTCTATGGCTGCCAGTTCAAGAGCTACCAAGACACGCTGTACGCCAAGAAAGGGACGCAGTACTACTCGAACTGCTACATCGAAGGGGCGGTCGACTACATCTTCGGCGCGGCTAGCGCGTGGTTTGGCGAGTGCACGATAGCGTCGAGCGGCGGCGGGGCCATCACCGCAAGCTCGCGCGAGACGGCCGACGACGCATCCTGGTACGTGATAGACAGCAGCACGGTGACGGCCGCGTCGGGCGTTCCAGGGCTGGAAGGGGAGGTGTACCTGGGGAGGCCGTGGCGCGTGCTCGCTCGAGTGGTGTTTCAGAACTCGAAGCTGTCGGACGTGGTCAACCCCGAGGGCTGGACGACCATGGCCGAGGGCGCAACGCCGCTCTACTACGAGTGGAGCAACGAGGGCGACGGGGCGTCGACGGCGGAGAGGCTGTACGAGAGCGAGTTGGATGCTGCTGTCAGCCACGAAACGGTGCTGGGAAGTGACTACAAGAGCTGGACCGACTCGAGCTACTAGTGGCGGAGGGGATAGGGGGGGGTGGTGTGCGGGGTTTCTTCCACGAGCTCTCACATGTGGACATGGCGTGTACAGCGTCCTTGGCGGATGGCAAAATGGAATCCAACGCTATCTGCGTACAAGACAAAGTGATGAAAAGGAGTGACTAGGAGTGTGGACAGCAATGACCAAGTGATGGCGAAGCATGGGAAGCGCTCGACGGTGTCTTTCAAGCGTTGCGGAAACGCCTCCTAGCGCGGCCCATGGTCAGGCACCACGAAGCTGGCGTAAGTGACGGTCCGTCGGTAGGAGAGGCTGATGATGAGTTGCATGGAAGGGCCCGGTACCTTGGCCGCGGGCCGGAGCGGAGGGTACGCCATTTCAGGCGGTTAGCGCGCAGGAGACAGGCAGGGGCGTTGAGCGTGCACTGCGTGCTCCTGGTGAGAGCAGATGTCGACCTCTCTGCATGCGGGTAGTGGTAGCGCAGGGCCGCCGGTCGGAGGAGACGATGGTGTCGATCACGGCGAATTTTCAAGGCGACCAGCCGGGATGGTGTCGCAAGAGGTCGAAATTGTGAAGAACATCTCGGGCGGCTGGCGAGGCTAGGCCCAGGAGGGCAGTGGGCTTGAGCTTAAGATCGGCAGATGGTTGACAGGCAGCATTCCGGCAGCTGTGAGTGGTGCGGCACCGATCGAGAGCTGGTTCCGGCTGTGACCCCGAGCCCGATTAGCACTGGCGGGGCGTTTTCTCCGCGCTTTCTAGCGCCAGGAACGCCCAGTAGACCCTCACCGGAAGGCTATCCATTGCCGCCAGCACGCTAGCACGCCGGAACACCTTCCGCCACTCACGGCGCGCACTGGTGGGCCCGGGGAGGCAGGCCGGCTCTCCGCCACGCATGTCAGTAACCATTCTTCACGCAGCCGCCAGTGGATGCTGCAGCCCGACCTGCGTGTGGTCAGCGCCAAACAGCTGGTGAAACAGCCGCTGCGCTTCCTCGCCTGCCCAGGCGTGCTGGACTGCCCCGGATGCTGCCGGTGTCTCCCGCGGCGCAGCCCTCAGGCTGCAGCTTGCGACCACTGAGGCGTAGCCGGGGGCCGAGGGGTGCTACTCGGGCGGCAGGCGGCAGCCACAGCACCAGCTAGCGACTCGGCTGGGCATCAAACGGCTCTACCTGGGAAAGGCCCCGGAGGTGCTAGTGGCCCGCCTGCTCGCCGGCTAGCATGCGCCACGCACCCGCGACCATCAGGAGCCGTGATAGCCTCTTAAAGCTTGCGAGATGCTGCTCTCTGCCGTGTCCCGGAAGCAGTCGTTCCCTCTCGCTGCAAAACATGAAGACTTTCTTGGCCCCGGGCTTCAAGCTCCAACCCGTCTCCGAGGATGACATTGCCCTGGCCGGCCTGGCCTGGGGCTTCACCCTCGGCTTCGGTTTCCTCACCGTATGGACCGCCATCAAGCAGACCCGGCACGTCTCCAAGCTCCATGGCACCGGCCGCCTCAACTCGCCCTACATCTGGATGATCTGGCTGGAGATTGCCGTCTGCACCGCCTTCAGCATCATGTGCTGGATGTACCTGCGAGGCAACCTCTCTCCCAGCCTTGCCTTTTACTTTTGCATCCGTACGCCTGCTCGCCCGCCCGCCCCCTCCGCCCCAGCACGCGCCGGCTGACCAACCTCCCCCCACCCAGTGACGACGTGGGCGCTGCAGGTGCAGTTCCTGCTGCAGATCATCATCAACAGAGTCTCGGTGCTTCTTGTCAACCGGCGGAAGGGCCTCCACATCAAGATCGGGGTTGCCATTCTCATCACGGCCATCAACATCTCCGTCTACTGCATCTGGATCCCCGCCCGCCTCCAGATATCCGAGACGTACATCCACATCAACGAGGTCTGGGACCGGTGCGAGAAGGTCATCTACCTGGTGGTCGACGCCTCGCTCAACTGGTACTTCATCCGCATCGTGCAGAAGAACCTGGTGCGCCAGGGGCTGAAGAAGTACGAGTCGCTGGTCAAGTTCAACATCTACATCATCGGCTTCTCGCTCAGCATGGACGTCCTCATCATCAGTAAGTGCACGCCGCCCCCGTCTGCCGCAACGCCCCCACGCTGACCCGCGGCCAGGCATGATGTCATTGAAGAACTCGTTTGTCTACATGCAGTTCCACCCTCTCGCCTACATCGTCAAGCTCAAGATCGAGATGTCCATGGCCGACCTGATCGCCACCGTCTCGCGCTCGGCCAACACGGGCGGGCTGGACTTCAGGCGGAACAGCAACCGCACCCGCGACAACAAGCAGCAGGCCGTCATCAACGCCTTCGCCGGCCGCACCGAGTCGACGACCAGCTCCGACATCGAGGCGCTGGACAAGAAGCACAACGACTACCCCGAAGACCAGGACGAGGTCGAACTCCGGCGCATCATGCGCAGCGGCGGCGTCGGCCGCCCGGCGCAGAAGGATCTGCACAGCACCGGCGTCGACGACGATCACCACCACCACGGCTACCAGCAGAGAGAGGGCCCGCTGGTCGTGCACCAGCAGCAGGAAATCTCGGTCGAGGTGGAGAACGTGTCGTACGCGGCATCGGGTGCCCCCAGCCTGGGCGACGACAGCGACGAGCGGCCGCTGCAGAGCACGAGCGTGCCCGGCGTGAAGCAGAAGACCGGGTTCGGCATGCACACCAAGGTGTGGGGTGCGGGGAACAGCGAGGAGTAACACAGTGTTTTTTTTTTGTCTTCTCTGGCCGGCGGGCGCCGTATACCACCACTTCTTTCTGATTTCTTTTTTGTTCTCTTCCGACTATTATACCCCACGATTGTAATTAAAGAAGAAATGTACATACAATATAGATAAGAAGACGAATGTTACACGTCTAATAATATTCAAACGAAAGACTCGTGCCGCGCGCTGACGACACGATTGCTTGCCAAAGTTGATCGGAACCACACGGCTGACGACAGCGGCGCCGATCGTTGCTGGAGCGGGCATGGCGCAGAGACAGGCGCGCATCTGGTGCACCAAACGGAGTAGGCGGCGCTAGAGACGGACAACCCCTCAGCAATAATGATCACATGCCCTCGAACCACCCTTCCAGCGTCGACTGGGGAGGATTGTAGGCTTGTAGGCTGCAGGTCCTTTCTGGCGATGTGGAAAGCAGATAAGGTTGGAGCGCTGCCGCCCCCGGATTCTCGCCCCGTGCGTTGGCGAATGATCGCCCCTGATCGGCCCAGCTCCCGGCAATTCTTTCACCAACCGTGCCCTGCAGGCGCTTGCTTCCTTGCGGGAACTTCACGACAGATCTTCGCCTGTCCCACGGCTTCGAATGTGCCAAGGCCCGCGGAATTGCTAGAAGACATATATCACTTTACCGTTCAGCGACGTTGATCCACATCATATCGAAAGAGGAGAAGCAGTACAAATCAGGCATCGTGGAGGCGGTGCGAGAGGGGTGCTTAGCTGTGAATACGCCCGAGGCCTTCATGTCAGCTGGAGTGCCACAAAAAGAAAAAACCCTTGGCAGAGGAAACATGTCTGCTAATAGGTGTATATATCAAAGGAATCTGGCATGATCCAAACCGCATCTGTCTACTACTCAGAGAGTGCTTCGAATCAGCTCGCCCGAGAGCACGGGAGTTTTCCCGCAAGCGCCACGCCGCCCACCGTGACTCGAGCTTCATCAGCTGAGTGAGCCTAATGCCCAAAGCCCTCGCCGACGCTTTTGATTAGTCGCATGAAGGAAGCAGTGCAATAATGGCTGGCATGTGACAGATTCAGCTGCGTAAACTTGGGCTGGATGGCTGGGAGAGCAATGATAATCCTGAGTCCGGTAATGCCTCCGCCTGATTGCGTGCTGGTAACCCGTCTCGAGGCCCCCCGTTAGCACGAGGGGCTGTCTTTCTGGGTTCCAGCGGGCCGCAAGAGGTGGTGTACCTAGAAGAAGATCATGCATTCGGCGGACTCGGCGGACACTACTACAGTGGATCCATGTGGAGGCCGGCTGCTGCGCCCCAATATTTGCAATCCTCCAGTAGCGATCTGCGGAAAATAAATAATCATCAGGAGGATTCGGCCTGTGCGGTGTGCCATGCCGCGATGCTACCCACCGCGCGCGGATGATACAGCGCTCCACCCCTCTGCTCTGATGATGATGATGAATCTCCGCCGCCAACCGAACACCCACCATCATCAATGGGCGCAGGGCCCCACCCTCCCCCGCCAGGCGTGAGCAGGACACAGCGATCACCAGGCTGCATGGCCACCATCGCCTTCGGTCCCATGTTGATCCAGCGCTCCTCCCCCTCCCCCTCCTAACCCAGAAATTCCTCCCCTTGGCCCCCTCGCCCCCGCCCGCCATGCCCCACGGCGCGACCGCGCGGCGCTCGGAGATGACGCTGAAGCGCAGCGGCACGCGCGTGCACTCGACGTCCCTGACGGCGCCGCACCCGCCGCGATGCCTGCCCGCGCCGCCGCTGCCCGCCCGCACGCAAAACTCGCGCAGGAGCACCGGGTACCGCCGCTCCAGCGTCTCCACGTCCGTGATGCGCGTGTTCGTCATGTGCGTGTGCACCGCGTCCGCGCCGGGCCCGTGGGCCGTCGCGCCCGATCCGCCGCAGACGGTCTCGCCGAAGGCGAAGGCGTGCAGTTCCTGATCTGCCGGGCTTCCCGGGTTGCGCACGACCTCGCCGAAGAAGCCGAGGCAGTTCATGCAGCCGTGCGAGGCGGCGGCGGCGCCAAAGGCGCGCAGCACCACGTCGCACACGCGCTGCGACGTCTGCGTGTTGCCGGCGCAGACGGCGGCGGCCGGGGAAGGGTTGAGGAAGCAGCCGCGGGGGAGGGCGACGGCGATGGGGGCGAGGCAGCCCTGGTTGAGCGGCATGTCGACGCCGATGAGCAGGCGCAGGCAGTAGATGATGGCCGAGTGGGTGATGGCGGGCGGCGCGTTCATGTTGGAGAGCATCTCGGCGGCGGTGCCGGCGAAGTCGAAGGCGGCGGCGCCGTCCGGGGCGATGCTCACCGTCAGGCGGATCTCCGAGCCGTTGTCCATCTGGTCGGCGGCGGAGAGGACGGCGCCTTTCTGCGCGCGCGTCTGGCGCAGGAAGCGGCGCACGGCGACTTCGGCGTTTTGCTGGATCGCGCGCATGTAGAGGTGCACGGCGGCTTGGGAGTGTTCGGCCATCAGGGCTTGGATGAGGAGCGTGCCTTTGCGGTTGGCGGCCACCTGGGCCTTGAGGTCCGAGATGTTGTCGTCGAGGCGGCGGCTGCCCACGCAGCCTGGGTGCTTTCCTGGCTCGAGGAGCATCTTCTTGATGCCTTCCTCGTCGAAGAAGTTGCCTCCGTGTATCAGCTTGAAGCTCTTGATGGCCGCCCCTTCCTGCCAGAGTTCGGTGGAGTTGGGTGGCATCGAGGTGCCGCCCAGGCCGCCAATGTCCGTGTGGTGGCCGCGCGAGGCGACGTAGAAAGCTATGCGCTTGCCGCTCGATTCGAAGACTGGCGTTATCACCGTTACATCGGGGAGGTGGGCCCCTCCGGCCTCGGGGTGGTTCGAAACGAGGACGTCCCCCGGAACCAATTTGCCCTTGAGGAGTTCGTGCTGGTACTTGACCGCGTAGCTCATGGAGCCGAGATGGACCTAGCAGCCGTCAGTGATTTCCATTTCGGGACATCGCAACCGAAGTGGCGTACAGGCACATGCGGGGCGTTTGCGACGAGGCCGGCATCCGGGCCGAAGACGGCGCAGGAGAAATCCAGCCGTTCTTTGATGTTCAGGGACACGCATGTCTTCTGGAGGATGCGCCCCATCTGCTCTGCGATGGACATGAAGCGATGAGAGAACGTCGACAGAGCGATGGGATCGACCGTTGTCGAAGAAGCGTTGGTTTTGGCTATACGCGGCACGTCGATGACGACGTGAGCCGACAGGATCTTGGCTTCCGTCCCTGGCACAAGCAGGATGCTCTGGGTGCTGTCCAGAATCATCGCCGGGCCAGCCACCTTCATGCCGGGGAGGAGCTGCTCCAGTAGATATACCGGAGTAGAAACCTGGCCGTGTCCTTGGAAAAACGTCTTGACCTGGACAGATGGATCAGCTTCTTGATGGGGGCATGGAACTCAAGGGAAGCACCGACGTTCGTCTCGGCCAAGTCTGCCTTCGCATGGGAGAAAGCCGTCATCTTGAGTTCAGACGCAAGCTTGTCCGCATCCGACGACACGGATCCGCTGCTGCCGATACCACGGACGCGAACGTCGTCGACAAGGATGTCTCTCGAATCGGGGAAGACGAAGTTGAACTCGCGCAGGTGCTGCTCCAAAAAGGCATCCCTGAAACTGCCGTTTGGCGGTTGGAGGATCATCATGGCCGTCTCGGTTCCGCGATACCTCATGTTGAGGTAGTGTTCGTAACGCATGTCACTCTCCTTGATTCCCTGGTTCACCAGACGCTCAGTGACAGTGGATCGCAATGATGCGAGCTTCTGGTCGAGATCATCAACTGTCTTGCCGGCGTAGACGACATTGACTGGATCCTGCGCCTCTTGGACGATGTCGGCAAGCGCCATGCCATAGGCCGACAGGATGCTGGAGTACCTGTGGATGATGGCTGTGGAGATGCCGAGTTTGGAGGCGATTTCGCAAGCATGCTGCCCGCCAGCTCCTCCGAACACGGCGAGATGGTGTTTGCCTGGCCCCGGTCAGTACTCACATGGCCGCCATCCAGAGGGACGTACCGATTTCATGGCCCTTGGCCTCGGTAAGGGCTCGAATGGGTCTGCACATGGACTCGTTCGCCACGTCCAGGAATCCATACGCCACCTCTTCCGGGGTGAGAGACTGGCCCCCTTCGGCATTGATTCTCTGGGCCAGCTCTGCAAACTTTTGCTTGACCACCTCCGAGTCCAGGGGCTCGTCCTCGTTCTTGCCAAAGATCTTTGGGAAGTAGTGCGGCAACAGCCTGCCCAGAAACAGATTGGCATCGGTGATGGTGAGAGGGCCGCCCTTGCGGTAGCACGCCGGGCCAGGGTGGGCGCCGGCGGACTCGGGCCCCACCACGAAGAGGCCGTTGCGGAAAAAGAGCATGGAGCCGCCTCCGGCAGCCACGGTGTTGATGTCGAGCTGTGGAGATTGGATGGTGACGCCGGCCGTGGTGGTTTCGAAGACGTGTTCCAAGACGCCGCCGTAACGGCTGACGTCTGTCGACGTCCCGCCCATGTCGAAGCCGACGACGGGCACCTTGGTCTCGGGGCTGTAGCAGGTGCGCGAAAAGCCGACGACTCCGCCGGCGGGGCCAGACAGGATGCCTTTGAGGCCGCTGAAGCTCTTGTGGCTGACGAGCCCGCCGTCGGACTGCATGAAGTCGGCCCTGACGTCGTCGAGGTGCGAGCCCTCGAATCCGCGCCTGAAGCCAGAGAGATATTGCTTGATGTTTGGCGTCAGGTACGCGTCGGCCGAGGCCGAGCTCCCTCGCGGGATCATTTTGATCATGTTCGCCGCCACGGCCGAGGAGAGCGAGACGTGGGAGAAGCCTTCCTCGGCTGCGAGCCGGCCGACCCTGGCCTCGTGCTCTGGAAAGATGTACGAGTGGGCAAAGCAGACCGCGATGGTGTCGATGTCTTTGCTCCGGAGCTCTTTCAGGATGGTCCGGACCGAATCCTCGTCCAGCGGCTTGATGATGCGGACCATGTCTCCGCTTGACGTGCGTACGAGCTGGCCAGGAATCTCCGTCTCGACCTTGTGGGCGCCAAACACGTCCTCGTCAAAGTTTTCGACCGTGACACGCTCGTCAACTTCGCGTACATCGGTGTACAAGACGCTGGGTTTGACGATGTTGAGGTCGAACAGGCGCGGCCGCGACTGGTACGAGATGGTCAGGAGATCGCGCAAGCCTTTGGTGACCAGCAGGGCGTGTCTCGCCCCCTTACGCTCCAGCAAGGCGTTGGTGGCGACGGTGGTGCCCATCCGGACAAACTCGATGTCATCCTTCGGCAACGGGACACCACGGGGGATCTCCTGGCCGCGGATAATGGAGAGCACTCTGCGGATGCCTTCGGCCGGGGCGTCATCGTAGTTTTGCGGATCAACCGAGAGGAGCTTCAGCACGATATCCCGGTGGCCTTCCTGCCGAGCCCATACATCGGTAAAGGTCCCTCCTCTGTCTGAGACACCACCGTGTCAGCGTGGCAACCGGATCATCCCTTATGGATGGGACGCACCGATTGCGATCTTCACGGGCTGTTTGGCGCCTGCGGTCGTCATGGTCGATGGTGATGCTGCATGGCCCGCCCGGTCTTGGGGATGAATCCAGGGCTTTATATCGGCAGCCTCTTGATGGGGCAGCCCCCAACATGACCAATCATGGTGCACTGCCAGCCAGTCAAAGAATGAGGCGGGCCTGGATCCAGTCGCGGGAGATGCAATACGTGTGGAGCTCGCTCCAGACAATGTTGGGGCGGGAGCGATGGGGACACGCCGGCAAGGCCATAATGCTGGAAGGTCGATGCGGCCGGGGTGGCGGTTGTAGTGATAAGTGATGGGCACAAGGTGGGGAAGACCCGCCTTTCCCGGCCTAGCGTCCGCCGTAACGACCATCCCTCTCTTCTGACCCCGGTGCAGATCTGGAGAATGAAACGACTGTTATCGCCATGATGAGACATCCCATAAGTCTGCGGGCGCCAGCCCGTGCCTCGACCGTGCTGTTTCACTGTCGCCATGTCCGTCCATGAGAAATCCGCCCATATGGATGACGAGCCCAGGAGCGTCGACCACAAGGTCGGTAGCGTCAGAGACGTCGACCAAGCTGCTCAATTTCTTGCAGAAACCCAGCATTACCCACCGCTCTCGGCGGCGCAGGAGAAAAGGCTGGTCCGCAAGATAGACTGGATCATGATACCCATGGTGAGTCCGACCACGTACGACGTGACAACCATGCCTTATACCGACACCCGTCTTCAGCTTTTCCTTACCGCAACCCTTGGCGCAGTCGACAAGGTTTCGCTCAGCACTGCCGCCATCTACGGACTGAGAACGGATACGCACTTGGTTGGCCAGCAGTATTCGTGGCTGGGTTCAATCCTGTCTCTCGGGGTACGTTAAGCAAGCAGCACCCGACCTCGGTCAACGAAGATGCTCATTGTCCCAGGCGCTGGCCGGCATGTTCCCTGCCTCGTATCTCATGCAGAGGCTTCCTTCGGCAAAGTTTCTTTGCGGATGCAGCCTGGGGTGGTCTGCAATGGCGCTGCTCATGGCCGCCTGCCACAACTGGAGCAGCCTCATGGCTCTGAGGTTCCTGATGGGTACATGGACTTCCCTCACGCATGCTGACGCGATGGCGCTGATGCACTGCCAGGTTGCTTCGAGGCCATCATCGTGCCCGGCATTTCCCTGATCGTTGCCGCCTTCTACAAAAAGGAGGAGCAGCCTCCCAGAAATGCGCTGGTGTTTGCTGCCGCGAGCTCGGTCATCAACGGGTTTTTGTCGTGGGCCGTTGGCCACATTGACGGTGCCCTGGCAATCTGGCGGTATCTGTTCCTGATTATCGGTGAGTGCTGGCGATGCACCCGGCGGCCGAGGTGGTCCCTGATTGACGTCTCAGGCTCCATCACATTCGCGTGGTCTGTGTTCGTCATGGTCGTTCTTCCTGCCAACCCGATGGAGGCCATTTTCTTGTCCAAGGAAGAAAAGTACCACGTGGTCAAGCGCGTGGCTGTGAACAAGACTGGCGTTGCGAGCAAAGAGTGGAAGTGGGGACAGGTGAAGGAAGCCTTCATCGACCCCAAGACTTGTGAGCACCGTCTCGGCTGTTGCACTCAGACTCGGCACCGTTGCTGATGTCGCCCAGGGATCATCTTCTTCTTCAACATTGCAATCAACGTCCCGAACGGCGGGCTCACCACCTTCAACAGCATCATCATCGCCAACCTTGGATTTTCCTCGGTCGAGGCGTCGTTGCTCAGCATGCCCACGGGTATCATGAGCACACTCTCGGCATTCATCTTCTCATATGCGGGGGCGAGGTGGGCCAATCGACGCTGTCTTGTCACTGTAGCCGCCTGCATTGTTCCGATTGTGGGCACTGCCGTGGTGTACGCAGTACCCCGAGACAACATAGGCGGACAAATGGTCGGCATCTATCTCGTAAGCATCCAAGCACCCATGGCCAGACTTGGGCTGACGATTGTTTGCCAGCTCTACACGTACTTTGGTCCGTACGTTGTCGGAATCGGCCTCGCGCAAGCCAACACAGCCGGCAATACGAAGAAGACGGTTGTGTTTGCAATACTGTACATCGGCTATGCTGTGGGAAACCTGATCGGACCGCAAACCTTCCGGTCTGAGCAGGCGCCCGCGTATACCGGTGGGGTGGTGGCCATGATCGTCTGCTACTGCGCCTGCATCGGCCTGATCTGCTTGTACTGGGCGCTGTGCGCGGCTCAGAACAGACAGTCGGAAGGCGAGGGGAGCGTGTCGGAATCGAGTGGAGAGACGATCGAGTATCTGCTTGATCAGACCGACTTTGAGCAAAAGGGATTCAAGTACACGACGTAGTCAGCAAAGCAAGAATGTAAACAGGTGACGCACGTGGGGGAGTTCCGCGCTCATTGGCTGGCATGTTATCTTCGCCATGCCGGGGAAATGGGCCCACGTCCCGATCGATAGCCAGTGCTGTCCCGGCATCTTTCACACCGCCCCTTCAATCCCTGGTCTGCCCGCCCCGAGGCAGCCAACAATTAATTAATGCATGGAGCAGCGAAACCTTTGCATCGACGCCTGCCTCTGTCGTTGGTCAGCCTCGACATCTCAAATCTCTTTAAACTCTTGCGTGTCACTAATTCCCGGCCCGCGAACGACCGCGGGCTCCCCACTGTGATCCGCGTCCGCGATGCCAGCCGGGGAGGCACGGCGTCGCACCGGGTGCTGGCCATGCAAGCAAGCCCACAGCCGATGCCAGGAACAGCGACCGCGCTGTGCGCGCTGCCAGCGCCTGGGGCTGCGGTGCGCGTACGGCATCAAGTTGCTTTGGAAGGAAGACGCGGTGCAGCGGGGCATATGCCTCGGACGGCAGGGCGTGTGGTCGAAGAACAGTATGCAGGAGGAGAAGAAGAACAAGAAGAAGACGTCGAAGAAGCAAGGCAATCAAGTTTTCCTGGATACAGGAGGGCGACGGCCGATTTTCCTGAACACGACATATATGCACATGAGCAGAGACGGATGCTTTGTCGATGACGAAGACGTCGAGCAGGAAGTGGTGCCAAAGCCGGCGACGCGGTGGCCGGACGACAGCTATGGACCGTTGATGGGCTGGAGGCTCGGTGCAGAAACGCAGCTGTCGTGCAGGGAGGCGTATCTGCTCGACTACTTCACTTCCTTCATCTGCCCGAACTGCTCGCTCAGCCCGACGCACAACCCGTACCTGCGATACATCACCCCGATGGCGCGATGCTACGCACCGCTGCAACAGGTGATCCTGTCGGTAGCCGCCAACCAGCTGCGGCTCCTGAACGACCACAGGTACGAGCGCGAGGCATGGCTGTACAAGGCGCGCGCCATGAGCGGGCTCCGCGCCAGCATGGACGCCGGCGCCGTGGGATGGCCGTTCGTCGCCACCGTCCTGATGCTCTGCTTCTACGACATCTCCGACGGCTGCGACGAGTCGTGGCTCACCCACCTCAAGGGCGGGCTCGGCGTGCTCCAGCACATGCAGGGCGCGGCCGTGTCCCAGCACACCGAAGGCGCCGCCCTGGCCAAGTTCTTCACCATGTACTTCACAGCCCACCAGATCATGAGCACCACCGCCCGCGAGACGGACCCCGCCATGCCCGCTCACACCTGGCTCGACGACGACTGCATGGACGAGATAGACGCGCTGATGGGCTGCTCGCGCGGCCTCCTGAGCCTGATCGACCAGACCTCAGCAGCAGCCTCGCGCTACTCAGCAACGCGACGAACCCGCGCCGCCGCCTCCTTCTCCTCCTCCGAGCTCACCGAAATCCGACTCGTCTGGAACCACCTCTCGCGCTCCATCAGCGCCGTGCGGCAGGTAGCACCGCCAGGTACATCGTCCACCCTCGTCGTCCTCGTAGCCGACTGCAAGCGCACCGCGGCACTCGTCTACCTCCACGACCGCTTCGCCTCCTTCCTGCCACCACAATCAGACGTGGCCCTCCTCGCGTCCGAACGCAAAAAGACGTCCCTCGCCGCGCTCGTCTCCCAGCTCGCCGTCCTGGAGGGCGACGCCGCGCCGAACATCACGTCGCTCCTGTGGCCGCTCTTCGTGCTCGGCCACGCCAGCCCCGCGAACGAAGACCACCGCCGCTTCGTGCTCGACCGCCTCGCCGCCATGCAGCGCCTGCGCAACCTCGGCAGCGTGCGCCTCGCCCGCCGCCTCGTCGAGGCCGAGTACAGGAGACACGACCTCAACCTCAACCTCGACGTCGACTCCGGCGGCCGCCTGCAGGTGCCGCCGCCGCCGGGCGTGCGTGGGAAGTCGATCAGTCTGGCCTAGGACGCAGTAGTAGTGTCGACGCCGCCGCCGCCGCCAAAGTCGCCGCCGCCAAAGTCGCCGAACCAGGTCGAGTCGGGCGGGGCGGCGCCCTTGTCCAGCCCGTCGGCGGTGCAGAGCGCGAGATGCTCGTCGGGGATGCGGATGCCAGGGGAGAGCCCGACGTCGTCGACGCGCGTGGCGAACTGCATGAGCATCCCCGCCTCGGTGTGCCAGCCGATGTGGCAGTGTAAGGCCCAGACGCCCGGGTTGTCGGCGACGACGCGCACGAGGAGCCAGCCGAACGCCTCGACCGACGCCGTGTCGCGCCGCAGCGGGTTGGACGGCGTCGTCGTCGTCGTCGTCGTCGTCGTGTCGAGCGCCGCGCCGTGGTACCTGCTGAGGAGCGAGGCGGGCGGGTAGCCGTGGCCGGACCCGAGCACGAAGTACTTGTAGCCGTGCAGGTGGAGCGGGTGCGCGCCGTCGTCGAAGTTGGACACGAGCACGTCGAGCGTCTGGATGCCCGTCGTTTGGTGCACGAGCTCGACGCCAGTGTCGAAGCCGACGACGACGTCGTCGTCGTCGTCGTCGTTGGTCTTGGACGGGTGGTGGTGGCTGGGGGTTGGCGGCGGGAGGAGGCTCGCGTTGTTGCTTGCGTGTCCGGTCAGCAGGCGGTGGAGCGTCGGGGAGGAGAGGGAAGGCCGCCATGAGGAGGAGTTGAAGAAGCCGCGGCTGAGTCTCCAGTTGCCGATCTCGAAGTTCGCGCGGAGGTAGATCAATGTGTCTGGCGGCGGGGGCGTCATCTTTTCCACCGGCTGGAGCTCGGTGGTGTTCATGTCGAGGCATTGCATGTCTACCCGGTCGTCCCAATCCGTGCTTGAGGGCTGATCCGCCGCGTCCGCTTTGCCGCTCGCCGGGGTGTATTGCACGATTGCCCGCACTTCTTCCTCGAGATTGGGGTTCTCCTCGGCGAAGCAGGCTGTCACCATCTTGGCCCTCAGCCAGAAAGAGGTTCGGTCCGTGATGTTGGTGTTGACGACGATGCTGTATCGCTGCGCAGGGTGGATGTTGAGCCTGTGGTGATATGCCGGGACCACGTCCGTGCCGTCGACCTCGGTGACGGCGAAGACGTGCTCGTCCATCTTGACTTGGAACTCGGCGAACGCACCCGTGTTGATGATGCGTAAGCGGTGCTTCTTGTTCGCCTGCAGGCCGAGAACCGCCCTCTCTGCGCTTGAGCTGTCACAGTCACGACCACGGATGGCATTGCAGTCCCTCTTGTTCATCCCGTTGATGAGGCCTCCGTCCGGCACTGGCTCTGCGTTTTCGTTGTCCGGCGCGAGGTAGCGAGGCAAGAGCGCGCTCGTCAGATCATGGTAGTAGTCCTGCACCATGATGACGCGGTCAGAAGCGTACTCGAGCTGCTGCAGGCTCGCATTCCTCGGGTGGATGATCAGAGGCCCGAACAGGCCGTCGGAGCTCTGCATGGCCATGTGTGCGTGGTACCAGTAGGTGCCGGATTGGTTGTCGGTCCCGAATCTGTACTGCATACTGGACCCAGGCGGTATTGGGCACTGCGTGATGCCGACTGTGCCGTCCATGAAGTTTGTACCATTCTGGTAGAGCCCGTGCCAGTGGATAGAAGTCGAGTTGACTGCTTCGTTGTGTACCTCGACAAGGAGCGTGTCGCCCTCGTTGCACTCGATCATCGGGCCTGGGAATTCCCCGTTGATGGTCATCATGGGTCGTTTCACGCCGTCCGGCCGCAGCTCGACGTCTTTGATGGTCCAGTGATATTTTCGAACACGCGGCACAGCGCTGGAATCCCAGTCAGGATCCAGCACATATTTTCTGTGCCGGTCCGCGGTAGCCGTTTGAGAGTCGGGATGCCGTGACCAGACGAGAGTGGCGAGCAAGGCTATGATCAGAACGAGGCCGAGGAGGGCACAATCCAGGAACACGGAGCGACGCCGGGCAGCGCCGCAGTGTCGTTTTGTCCGGGCGACGGAGCTCTCGTCAAGCAACCCTATATTCTCTTCTTGGTCGCTCTCGTCGATGGCGGAAGCGGAATCCGAGGCCTCTGCGGGTAGCAAGTCTTCCTTGCAATGCTCGGCTTCGGGCGCTTCTTGGTCCAGGGCTGCGTATTGGCTCCCGTTCGCTCTTCTTTCCTTATCTTCCATGTTGACAGTGTGTGCTCATGGACTCCAACGGCGGTCGACCGGCTTCTCTTATGGCAACGGAGTGGCGGGTGGGTGGGGAAACGCGATTGGGCGAGGGCTGGTGGAAAATGAACGGCGCGTTCAGGCGCGGCTCAACAGGGATGCGGCACAAGTGAAGGGCCCGGGAAGCCGGAAGTTCGTTGGGCGCGTGAGGTTGTATTGCCTGCGACGGGGCGAGCTAGCGGATAGTGGCGCAGGGCCAAGCAAGAAGTATGCTTGATCCTGGCCAACCCCGGCCATCGGGTGGCCCGGCTGCAGGGACAAGCATCTACAGTGCAGCGGCCTGGAGTTTTGGTCCTTTGGCCGCAGGCATCCTGCCAAGCATCAGGCCAATCACACGCCCTTGCGACCACACATGCTCCCAACGGCAATCACCTTCCCGATCGGGACTTATCCGCGCCCCCAGGAAACGCTCCCGTGTGTCCGCTTATTAGGCGGCCCACAGTACCTATTGGTCGAATTATGGCTCGGCATCTCTGCATGCCATTACCGCAGCCCACCCCATCTCCCGTACAAAAGCGTCCAGATACCTCCATCAACCCGTTCCAGACTTGCTCAGCAGCTGCAGCCATGTTGACCCGCCAGGCCATCAGCTTCTTGGCCCTTTTGGCCGCCGCCTCGACGGCCACTTCGGTGAAGGGCAAGGCCTTTGACCGAATCGCAATCATCTGGATGGAGAACACCGACTACGACAAAGCCATCGGCGACCGCAAGTGCCCACTCCGCACGAGTCGAGAGCCTCCGCTGACTTGTTCCAGCCAACCTCGCCTGGCTGGCTTCCAAGGGCGTCACTCTTGACAACTATCATGCCGTCACCCATCCCAGCCAGCCGAACTACCTTGCAGCTATTGGAGGAGACTACTTTGGAATGAAGTAAACCTACCGCGCTCCTCGGAGTCGAGTTAGATAGCACCCGCTGAGCCGTTGATAGCCACGATGACTTGTCCACCTTCGATGCCAACATTTCGTCCATCGTAGATCTCCTCGAGGACAAGGGAATCAGCTGGGGCGAGTACCAGGAAGACATGGTAGGCTTCCAGCTGCCAGCTGCGGTATAGCAACCCGCTGACTTGATTTTTAGCCCTACACCGGTTACACTGGCAAAGGTGAGTTGCAAACCACTGCCCTACCTCCCCATCTTCACTGACTGGTTGCAGCGTATCCCAACCCAACCACCGGTGCCAACATGTACGTCCGGAAACACAACCCGGCAGGTACGTCTCCCACGATTCCCGCTGGACAGCAGCAGAGCCGTGTCGCTAAGAGCCTGTCAAGTGAGCTACGGAAACGTCCTGGCCTCGCCTGAGCGTCTTGCTGTCACCAAGAACCTGACGCTCTTCCAGCAAGACCTGGAGAACGAGACGTTGCCGCAGTGGATGTTCATCACGCCAAACATGAGTACGAGGCCAACCCTGCATCTTCTGCCGACGCTGGCGCTGACCGCTGCAAAGCTTCCGACGGCCACGACTCCTCCGTCACGGTTGCGGGAGCCTGGAGCCGCAACTTCCTGGAGCCGCTCCTCGACGACCCAAAGTTCATGAACAACACGCTCGTCCTCGTCACCTTTGACGAAAACGAGACGTACACCATCCAGAACCGGGTGCTCGCCATCCTGCTCGGCGACGCCGTGCCGGCGCAGCTCGTCGGCACCACCGACTCGACCTTCTACGACCACTACTCGGAGATCTCGACGGTGCAGGCCAACTGGGGGCTCGACACGCTCGGCCGCTTCGACGTCGGCGCCAACGTCTTCTCCCTCGTCGCCAACAAGACGGGCGACGACGTGCGCGAGTGGAGCGGCCAGGGCGCGCAGGCGCTGGAGAACCGCTACTTCAACTACTCGTACGCCGGCGTCTTCAATGACCGGGACGGCGAGGTGCGCACCTACGCCAAGCCGAACGTGGACCTCGAGTACGCCGGACGCAAGGTGCTCCAGAGCATCGTCGACGTGTGGAAGGATTCGTCGCTCCCCTCGTACTACACGGACGCTTTGGAGATTCCGGACGGGTTGAGCCCGCCTGCAGGGTACTGATCTTGTACATAGTTCGCCGGGTGAAAACTAAGGACTGACTGACAGTGGGGGCGAAATAGATATGGTCGTAGCTCTCCGTTTTCTCCTCTCCAGGCCTCGGCGTCGTCTCGTTCAAGGCTCTCGCCGCCAACTGCTGGCCTCTACCTTGTTGCCCAAGCTTTCAATATCTTGTAATGTCATGCCATGATGACCATCTGTCCTCGAATAAGGGAATCGACGATTAGTCAGCACAATTGTGCTCAGCCAACGAGCTCTTGGAACAACCAATCGGTAATCAGCCTGGCGCTAACCCTTGGAGATGAGGCCCGTGTTAGGATGGATGCCATTTGATAGACGCATGAGGCAGACATGGTAGAATGCAATGCATCATATCGGACATGTCGATTTGTCAGCTCTGACCAGAACAACAACTGTCAACTCCCACGCAGCCGAGACCATGACAGCATGTTTACGAATAGCATGATCTACTTTTTTCTTCTTCTCTTTCATAGCCATCTTCTATGCGTCTGTTTCGGCTGGGACCGTCTCACTTTTGCTATTCTTTAACCGAGGATATCGCGGGACATAGTGTCGTCGGGAAAGACGCCGTCATGCGCTAGCTTAGCCTGCAGGTGAAACGCACAGGAATGACAATATTAATAATGTGTGCATGCGAGTGAGATGATGGTCCTCTCATGTCATCCTGTACGAAAGGCAGCAATGTCATACGGTGTCTGTTTGGATTTGTCAGTGGCAGCCCGCTATGGAGTCAGACAAGAGTTATATCTCCGCTTTCTTACCGCTTGCCCGCCGATCGTCGCTCGGCTGATCGACGGCTGCTCCAAAGCTTTTGCCCATCTGCGCCGCGGGGCCGAAGCTGCTGAGGAAGAAGCACATAGGATTTGCCCAAAACAGAAGTTGTTCTTATCTCGCACCCCCAAAACCTCCGTCTCAGCTCTTGAAGGATGTTGCTCGAGCAAGCTCGGACTCGGCCTTAACGTCTGTCGTCGCTCCGAGTTGGCGGAATGGCGGCCGGGGACCTCGGTGGAACATCGCCGAAACGCTTGGAAGGATCCGGTGAAGGCGGGATTAGAAAGCAGGGGCAAACGTCCGCCCGGACCACCGCCGTTATGTGGAGTAGGCATTACCAAGAGTGTTTGGGAAGAGCCGATGGGCTGCTTGTTACCCTTTGCGGTCGGGAGGCGGGCTTTATAGCGGCTTCCCGCTCCTTCTTCGACCTCGACATCAACAACAGCACCCTCTTCTCCCATCCTCAAAGCCAGCCTCAACCACCTTCACCTCGGGCATAAACCAATTGACACCATGGCTCCCATCGGAAAGATTTACACGTACCCGGACAACCCCAGGGTCCAGAAGGTACGTCGTGTCGATGCCGCAACCCGGCAGACGGCCAAAGACTGACGTTGGCTTCCCACGCAGGTCCAGGCAGTGGCCAGACTCAACGGGCTCCAGGTGGACGAGGTTCCGGACTTCAAGATGGGCACGACCAACAAGACGGCCGAGTTCCTGGCCAAGTTCCCGACGGGCAAGGTGCCGGCGTTCGAGGGCGCCGACGGCGTCAACCTGCTCGAGTCGGACGCCATCATGCAGTACGTGGCCGAGTCGGGCCCCAAGGCGGCGCAGCTGGTGGGCAGCACGCCGGCCGAGAAGGCGCGGGTGCAGCAGTGGGTGTGCTTCCAGGTCGGCGAGGTGTGGCCCGAGGTCCTGAAGCTGCTCTACCCGCGCTTCGGCATCGCCAAGTACGACGATGCGGTCGAGCAGCCGGCGCTGGAGAAGCTGGGCAAGGGCCTCGCGGCGGTGGAGCGGGCGTTGGAGGGCGGCAGGAAGTGGCTGGCGACGGACGCGCTCAGCATGGCCGACCTGGCCGTCATGTCGAGCTTCGTGTGGGCGTTCAAGTTCGGCGTCGACGAGGAGCAGCGCAAGAAGTACCCCAAGGCCATGGAGTGGTTCTTCCGCACGCTGCACTCGGAGGGCGTCAAGGAGGCCTTCCCCAAGGCCGAGCAGGAGATGTGCACCGTCAGGCAGATTCCGCAGTAGGGGCGCGGGGGACGGACGGCGGCAGGTCAAAACAGATAGCAATTGATGAATTGGCGAGATGCAGTTCGTTTAAGTATGAATGGTGCCAGCCGGAGGCTTCCGCGACGATTGCGCAATCCGTGGTGCTGCTTCCGCCACCCCGCCCTCCGCCCAGCTCCGCCCTCCGCCCTGGGTCCGCCCTCGTCATGGCCGTCACGCGCGCGCGCCGGCCTCCCTGTAGGCGTCGAGGATGAGGTCGGCCAGCTGCTGGCTCTGGGCGGGCAGGTGCGGCATGTGGTGGCCGCCGGTGTAGCGGAAGACGCGACGGGTTGCGGGGTCGCAGTAATGGGGCAGCTGCTCGCTCAGCTCGCGCCACTGGTCCGCCTCACCAAACGCGTGCACCGTCGGCACCCGCACCACCACCTCCGCCGGCCGCCCCTCGCCCTCGCCGCGCTGCCCCAGCAGCAGGTCCTCGGCCGGCGTCGTCCCGCACACAAACACCCCGAACCTGATGCCGCTCCCCGCCTCTGCCGCCGCCGCCGGCCGCTCCGCCTGCAGCAACAGCAGCTGCATCGCCGTCTTGGCCCCCTGCGAGAAGCCCAGCACGCCCGCAAACGGCCCTTTCTCGCCCACGGCGCCCACCAGCAGCTCGCGGACGCGCTCCATCTGCTGCGCGTGCCGCCCCGCGCGGTCCTTGCGCCCCTCCTCGTCCACCTCGTCGTGCCAGCGCCGGAACGGCTCCTCGCCCTCGAAAAACGGCAGGATGCCCGGCCCCGCGTCGCACTCGACGGGTGCGTCCACGAAGACCAGGTCAAAGTGCTTCCGGATCGACATGCCTAACCGTGCCGTCTGCGCTTCGAAGATGCGCGCATTGGACCCCGACCCGTGGAGGCAGAGGATCCTGGGTTTCGACATTGAGAATGAGGGTGGGAGAGAGGATTGAGGTGGTTGGAAGTGTGTTGTGATGGCCGGGCTCGTATTGTTGACCGTTGTCGCCTTTAAATGCGCCGATAACGGCTGCGCCGAGCCCACCGACTGCTTATCTATCTACTCCATTGACCTCAAGCACGTCGACGCTCTCCCACCTGTTGAGCAGCATCGGTCTCTTTTGGCGTTCAACTCAACGCCCATGCAGCCGAGCCCTCGCTAATCGCTCCTTCACACTCTCGGGACGTGACCTCGGCCGTTCAGCCCTGCAAGGTACGACTGCCACTTGCCGCTAGCCGCCGCTCAAGTGCCGCTGCCGTCTGGCACAATCACGCACTCTGGCGTAGTTGCATGTCATTGGTGGCATTTATGGTGCGTGGCTGGCCGATGCATCCGGCACCGTGAAGTGAGGGGCGACGGGCCGAGAATGCCACTTTCGCTGCTCCCACCGGTGGCGCCAGCGCTGTCAACTTGCCGTCGAACTCCGCCTGCGGTTGCCTATGCTGGCCATTGATCCGACCATGGCATCGCCGGCGCGTGTCGCTAGTCTTCAAGTGGTGACGGCAGGCGGACAAGGTGCGCGGGACGCTTGCTGCGTGTGGAGTGTTCATGTTTCATGAAACAGAGCCGAGCGTCGATCATGAATGCTTGGTTTCAAGGACAAGACCTTACGTACTCCAGCTATTGCCAGCCGCCGCCCCTGTTGGATCAAGGCCAAGGCTAGGTATATAAGTGATCATGATGATCTTTTTCCTATCCTTCTCGTCATCCAAGCACTGGTTGCCATCACTCTCTATCCACCTACATTCGTTCTGTTCTATTCTGATTTGACATCATGAAGTCTGCTACTCTTCTTGCCCTTCCCGCCCTTGCGGCCGCTCTGCCTTCCCTTCCTTCCGTCACCCGTCTTCTGCAGAAGCGTGATGACACTTGGGGTGGTGCCGTCTCTCTCGGCCCCACCAAGTCGACCATCGTCAACGCCGTCACCACCATCATCCCCGGCACTCCTCCTTCCTCCCAGAATGGCGAGCTCTTCCTGTGGCCTGGTATGAGCAACGGCACCGGCGATCTTGTCCAGACCACTCTTGAGCAGTGGTCTAGCGGAAACTCGTGGTGCGGCGCCGACTCGTCCCAGTGGTGCATCCGCGCCTCCCTCTTCGGCAGCTTCGGCCAGAAGGACTCGAACTCGTCTGCCGTCAGCGGCGACACCAAGGTCAGGATCGAATACAACCTGATGGACGATGGCACCACCTGGGAACAGTAAGCACCGGCCCCCAGCAAAACTCACCGACGCAGAAGCACTGACATGCCAATCAAGGATCGTCACCAACGCCGAGACTGGTGAGAACCTGTCGTACTTCTCCTATGACTCGGGCCCATACATGACCGGCTACGGCACCGGCACTGAGTGCGACGACAGCTGCACCGGCACCATCTCCGAGCAGCAGTATCTCAACACTACCATCACCCTCGCCGGCGCCGACACCTCCTTCAGTGACACCCTGACCAGCTCCGGCGGTGCCGTCTACACCGAGATGAAGTCTAGCCAGGGCGGCAAGGTCTGGACCATTGAGAAGATCACTCTCCCCGCCATGGACTAAGTCCGCCCATCTGCTTGCGCGGCCGAAATGAAGGGAATTTTTCGAGGTCCGAAGGACTCGGATGTAAATATATATTTTCACCAGCATGCGAATGAAAACGATGTTTGAGCACGTGCCGGAAGGCCGAGCAGATACGAATGCTTAGCGTAATGCTTGTCCGCATTTCTTTTTTAGCGACACCTTGTCAAATCCGAAGCCTGTTGCCAACATACCACACGACTCCCGTCCATGTGGAAAGATGGCTCCAAGGTGGAAAACTGGCAATTTCCGTGAAATTAATCCAGTTCATATATGCAGATATTGCAATGATGCAACCTCGCATTCATGTCTGGGCAGTACAAAAGCTTGGCTCGCCAGTATTTCAATCATCCCTACAAAAGCCTACCATCCCCTCCACATTCACTTTGATCAGGGCTCAGCTGACTCGAAATCCCTGATAGGATGATTATCGAGTTGTCAGAGTGAAGGATTGATGTGAAGGTAGTGGTCTTCAACAGAAAAGTATGGCCTTCGCGCATGCCTCAACAGTGACCTCATTTGCAAGTTTCATGCAGGGTAATTGCACGCGTCTTCAACGCCAAGGTCCATGTGCGCGTCAGCTGTCGCCCTTCGCAGTCGCTCCAAGTGGCTACAAAAGTTATCGCCGTCTTGCATCCTACGAAACCACAACATTCTCCCTTCTTCTGTCCAAGATCACCTTTACATCTTCACAACCATCACTTCTGAGTGATCCCAACCGTGCAACCATTATGTTTCTGAGGCTCAATTTCAAGATGGTCAACGATGACGAGCGGACGCATAAAGTCCCTGCCAGAGCAGTGCCTGACTACAAGGTATGCCTCACCGGCCATTGATCTTCTGCATGTCGGAGCTAACCTTGATGTGCCGTACTCGTAGGCCCTCACCTCATATGTCTTGAAGTATCTTGACAAGGAACCTCACATGGCCAAGATACACATCCATACCAAATCCGGGCCTTGTGTCGAAAGCACGCTTGTGTACGAGGATAACTACAACACTGGCTGTTTCTCGTGTGAGGACGCGGCAGAGGCCCCGCCTCTTCACGTGCATCTCGTTCCGAAGGAATATGTTCCCATATCGATGGTGCCTTCAGCCTCAGCCTCAGCCATTCGCTACGACTCCGCGGACGACCTGAACATCCAGGCCATCAAGAGGATTACGAACGGCAAGGATGAACGGCTCGTTGTTGGTCGCACGAAGAGGTGCGGAGCCGCGGTGTATGCAGTTCTGTGCCGAAACCACGTCATCAGGTACTTGCAGACGGATCTTGACCTCGATGGCAAGGCCATCCCTGGCAAAGCAACCCAAGTGAAGAAAGAAAAAATCAAGTTCTTCAGAGGCATGAACAACAACACCATTCGGGAGCAACTGGAATTCAGGCGGAAAGCGATGGTGGAAAAGCGCAGAGAGCACCAGGAGCTGCCAATTCTCAGAGACTTATGCAAGGTGGCGACGGCCACGGCCAGCACGACTCGTTAACGACAATGAATTGAATGAATTTGGCCCGCAGTAGGACTTGTTCCAAGAAGCTGGAACCTTGAATGTCTTCAGATTGCTTCACTAGCACGGGGAGAACAGATTTCTTGCGTTGGAACTGTGCAAGAATTATACTACGACTTGGACTCACTGGAGTTTGACGTTGGACTCACTAGAGTTTGACGCATGCAAGACCGGGCGTTGGAAATATCGAGGGAGCCTATGATTCCCCTTCTGCTTTTACTCGTGCCACTCGAGCAGGCCAAATAGTTTCATCCTTCTCAACAGATGATTTGATAGTTTCTCAAAGATTGCATCTCTTCTCTCTAAAAACTAAAGGTCCTTCCGAAATGAGTGTTGGCGATACCAAAAAAAAAAAGCGATCCGGCACATTAACCGCAAGGGAAGGCAGGCTCGACACGTCATAGTACAGCCTCTACTTTCACGCTCTTTTTCGTTTTTGATAAACCCTGGGCAGCGGAAGTGCGCGTTCCCAAGGCGCGTTTGGCGTGCAATGGATTGTCACGTGCTGCGATTCCCGCGCAGTGCGTACTCCGTTGTTGACTTGCGACCCCAGCTTTGCCATTACCTTTGCCTTACCTTACCCAGTCACTACAGCGCCTCATCACTAGAGATCGTCACGTCTCCTTCAAGACCTATACTTCTCTTCCGCCCCAGTCTCATTCGCTTTGAGACGCTCCTCTGCTACGCAGCGCGCGATTCAAGGCCTCTGTCGACAACTCGCACACTCGAGATCTTCCTGCGCAATCTTGACAGTCGAGCTGTATTCCGCGCTCGCCATCCGTGCGTCCAGCTTCTCGAGACACCCCAGAACATCGCAAGCTTCGAGGCTTGCTACCATCACTGCACCACACTGTCTCAGTGACAAGAGAACACTTTTAGAGATCTTCTAACCAAGGACCGTCAAGGCATTTAATCACGCTCCATATCCCGCTCCAGTCTCATCACAGACGATTTCAGAGGTTTTGAAGCCAGATATTCCAGCTCGCGCATTCCAGGACGTTGGGCCGGTCCAGTCTCCACCTCGGTCACAGCTTCCTTAAACTGCAGGAGAGCCACGACCCTGATCATCCGAACAAGCGTCTGTCAAGGTCCGCTCTTCGGAAGACTTCCTCACTGCTCTGTCAAGCTGCACGTTGCTGTCTGCGCGTCTGTGAACGCACCACACCCAAGTCCTGCCTCTGCCCGGCGTCCATTATTATCACGCGGCCAACCATCGGACGCGTACAGAGACATTCTTTCCTGAATAAATCACCTTCGAACATCTCAAGCCACCGGCGCACTCACCGTCGAAGCACACAGCCCAATCATCCCAACACACATCCACAGCGATAACAACCGACCGCCATGACAACCACCTGGGTCCGCCTGGGCTTCTACGAAGACGGGGGCAGGACTGCTCTCCTGCCCACCGACACCATCTCAACCATCCCCGTAAGGCTTCCCACCTTCCCCCCCTCCTCTCATCTTCCATCACCCAGCGCAACAGCAGAAAGCCATTGATATGCCTAACAGCCCGGCGCACAACGCACAGGACCTCGCCCAATTCCTCCACACCATCTGCCACCTCTCCGCCGACGGCCCTCCCGACTTCCACCTCCACACCGACAGCGGCGGCGACGACATCGACACCGCCACGGCCAGCGCCGAACCTTGCACCAAGAAAAGACCCTTGTACCTGCTCGGATGGGATGTCGGCGTCTTCTTCCACGCGTCGCAGGAGGAGGCAGAGGCGGTGTACGTCCACTTCGAGCCGGAGTCGGGCGTCAGCGGTTCCCAGATAGTCGAGGGCGCGCGCCGCCTGTTGAAACTCGCCCAGGAGCTTGAGCGTGAGCGTGAGCAGCAGCCGGAGCCGGAGCCGGAGCCGCAGCCGGAGCCGGAGAGGGGAAGCAAGCGTGAGAGGAGCAGCAGCAGCGACAGCGACAGCAGCAGCGGTAGTGACGACGGTCCGGCGGTCGTCCCCAAGCGCGCGCGTCTGGCTAGGCTTCCTTCTATTCGTGCTCCTCCTTCACCTGTTTCTAAGTCACCTGTTTCTACTTCATCTGTTTCTACTTCACCTGTTCCTACTTCGCCCGGCCCGCAGCAGGTGACCGACAACAACGGCGGCGGCAGCGTCGGCGAGCTGGAGTCGGATTTGGAGTCGGAGCTGGAGTCGGAGCTGGGACACGAGCAGCAGGAGGAGGACAAAGAGGATGGAAATGAGGAGGAAGAAGAGAAGGAGAAAGAGGAGGAACTGGTCACGGTGCGCTTCTCCTTCACCAACCGCATGACGCGGTCGCACGGCGTGACGGTGCCGGACTTGGTCATGCCGCAGGTGCCCGCCGCGCGCCTGCTGAGGGAATGCGAGCATGATGTCAAGAGCCACGCGTTTGAGGCGTTTATGCAGAGCAGCCGCCGCGGCGGCCGCGGTAGCATCAACGAAAGGCAGGCGCTTGCGCTGGGTGAGTGTTTGGCGGTGAGGATGTTGGTGGAGGGCAACGATGTTTTGATGGAGAGGAGTACGGTGGGGGAGTATGCGGTGGTGGGAGAGGGTGGCGAGAGGGTTTTGAAGGGGACGGTGGAGATGTGGAGAGAGAAGGACATCGATATGGAGTTGCTGAGGAGGGAGTCGAGGAAGTTGTAGGGGGCGGTGGCGGTGGCGGGGGTGGAGAGGAAGCGGGGTCGTGCTCGTGTCGTGTGATGGTGTTGTACTGGCCTTGTGCATGTAGGGACACCCGCCTTGTAGGTGGGGAAGATACTTGTCAGCGTTCCGGAGACTGAGCCAGGCGGAATCGGGGTTGTAATAGAACGGAGTATCGAGGATCGATACTATTAATACAATTGGAGCGAGAGCTCATCGAAAGAACAGCGATAGGGACTGGGGAGCAGCGAGAAGCTAGCATTTGAGCCCGGATCAATTACGGCTGCCGACATGTGATTGAAGTGGAAGGAAGGCGCATGCTGGGGCAGCTCTAGTCACGTGGGCGCGTGTCGAGACGCGCTGCAGGAGCACGTAACCCAGCCCTAACCTTCGCTGCATCCTTCCGCTGCCACTCCACCCGCTTCGCACACCATGGATTCAAATGACGGCGCGGATCGGTTCTTCGCCGCGCCTGCACGGCCAGACAGTAAGCCTTATACATGACCACTGCGGCGCACACATCTCTAATCTTTTCCGATTCAGTCGCAGATGAGAAAGCTCAACTCGAACGCGACAAATTTCAACTTCAAGGCAAGCCTCTTTCCTGTTCTCAGAGTGCGCGTGTGATTGACTATCGGCAGTTGAGCGCGATGCTTTCGACCGCGACAGGGAATCCGAGCGGGCGTCCATCAACCGCGAGAAAGAGGAGTTGAAAAGTGCGTAGCCGCGATAGCAGACTGAATGGACCTGCTAACACTCCGCAGAGCAGAAACACGAGACTTCTCAAATGAAGCAGCACTTGATGTTCGGTATCAGCGAGTTCTTCTGGAAAAAGGCGGAGCTGGAAAGTGGTCTGGTTCACGCTCCTGAATTTCTGGATGATGATCGTCTGCCTGCTCCTCCCCCGCTACAGCCTGAATCCGACACGGACAGCCAGCTCCAGAGCCCTCCGCGGAAGAAAAAGAGAGGCCGACCCAGGCTAGACAAGCAGCCGGTGTCACCCATCACCGCCGGCGAGAAAACCCCTGGTGGGATTCGCCCGCCTTCGACTGTGTCGCCCGCTAACTTTGCAGACGATGAAGGAGAAGAGACTGACCGTCCAAGACTTGTTCCGAAGAGGGGCAGGGGCCGGCCCAGACTCGACCAAAAAGTTGAGACCGCCGAGGCCGACAAGCAGGACAGCGCCGTCGAGGCATCATCTAATTCGGCCAAGAAGAGAGGCCGGCCGAAGCTCTACCATGATACCGGATATGGAACCAGACTGCCACTCACATACTTGTTGCCCAGTGGAGCCACCATCGAAGCCGAAGAAGCCCGATTGGCACGTCCCGCGCATTGGAAGTACGTTATTCGCTTCATCAAGGACCGTCAGGCGGCTGCCAAGTTCCGACTCCGTGACTGGCTGGAAGGAAAGAGCAAGGAGTGCATGGTGTGTTTTGTCGACCTTGGGATGAAGTCCCTATGGACTCCAGGCTGCGAAAGGGTTCGGGCATGCGGTGAGTGCCAAAGGCTGGGCACTCCCTGTCTTGTGCTCGACCCCACGGGTTCGAAAATGGTCCTGCTCCCGAGAAGCCATGAGTTTGCCGAAGCTTCTTGATGGATTTCTTTGAGCGATTTCCAGGACCTGTTTCTTAGCTATGAGAGCTGCTGCCGACAACCTCTGGAGGACACTGTCCGGGCCCCTTGAATATGGTGCAGGTGCCGGACTTTGGTAGTGGCCGCAGCCGGCTGGCTTAAACGGATAAGGTCGGGATTGCTTTGCTAAGGATTGATGGGGTTGGACATGATATAGGTTACCCATTGTCTAGGGTCGATATTGTCAGTATGCGCCCGGCAGGGCCCTCTCATAGCCGAGGCCACTTTATTCCGATGTATGTACATGTACATATTTGAGAGTTGCGGAGTAATGAAAGCGTCGGCTGGGCAGTGTGATGATTAGAAGGATGCCGTGGACTGCGCCGTGCGGGACGAGGATATCTAGATGAATCATGGACAGGTTGACAAAATGTGAGACGTGTCGCATGCCGACATCGCACAGCAGGAGGAGGGCCGGGAAAGCTTATCGATAAGTAAGTGGCATCCCCACTGCCAGCTACATCATCCCCACATCTCCTCAGCTGCGCCGTGTTCATCCTTCGAATCCATCAGCCACAGCCTGCCACCGTTCCTGCGATAAGCAGGACTTCCTGTTCAACTCACGGCTTGTCGCCGCTCTCCGATGATTAGCCCTTTCGATAGCCGGCATCGTCGCACAGCGTTGCACCAAGGAGCGAGCGGGATGCGCCTCGCTGCTGTACCTGCATCGCGCGTGACGAGCCGCTCCGCGGGACAGGCGCATCGAGCCTGGCCACTAGTCCGCCCCATATAAACATCGCGTCGCCCAGCACAAGGACATCGCTACCGCTTCGTCTCCCTCCGCGGACAGCTTCGACGCATACCACGCACACCCTGCGAGCAAGCAACAATGCCGTCCCCCCGCTCAACGACCGCTGCCGTGGGGCTGCTCGTCGCCGCTGCCCTCGCTCCCCTCGCGTCGGCCTGGAACATGGATGTCCACCAGCAGATCGGCTTCTTGGCCGAGCAGTTCCTGACCAAACGCACGAGCTCCGTGCTTGCGCAGATCCTGGAGCCGGAATACAACGGGTCCATTGGCAATGCGGCCGCGTGGGCGGACGAATACGCGCACACTAAAGAGGGCGCCTTCTCATACCAATGGCACTGGATCGACTCGGCTGACAATGTACGTACCTCCTCGACGTAGCGATTGGACGAACAAGAGACGGAACGTGTAGCATACACTATGAGGACGTACAGAGCGTCGTCAAGACACATGCTTCGAAGCAACCAACCCCTTCAAGAACCACCCGAAACCAGCTAACATCCCACCCCCCCTCCTTCCGCCCAGCCCCCATCCTACTGCAACGTCTACTACCACCGCGACTGCAGCCCCGGCGGCTGCGTCGTCTCCGCCATCGCCAACCAAACCTCCATCCTCCGCTCCTGCCTCTCCTCCTTCACCATCTCCTCACCACCAACCACCCCCACCACAACAACGAACCTCACCTGCTCCCACGCCCTCAAATGGCTCACCCACTTCATCGGCGACATCGCCCAGCCCCTCCACGCCTCTGGCGTCGCCGCCGGCGGCAACGGCATCCGCGTCGTCTACGCGAGGCAAAACGTGACGCTGCACAGCGTCTGGGACGGCCACATCCTCTACTCGGCCGCAAACACGACATCCCCGTTCCCCAACGCCACCGGCTTGGCCCCCTTTTTCGCCGACCGCCTGCTGCCGCGCATCCTCGCCGACGCTTTTCCCGACGCCCCGAGGGCGGGGTGGCTGGCGACGGAGTGCGCGGATGCGCCGGCGGCGTGCGCGCTCGCGTGGGCGCGCGACAGCAATGCGTGGACGTGCGATTACGTCTTTGCGCGGGACATGGGGGCCACGGCGGCGGTGGACTTGGCGACGAGCGGGTATGCGGAGGGCGCGTTTCCGATCGTCGAGCTGCAGGTGAGCAAGGCGGCGGTGAGGCTGGCGGCGTGGCTGAATGCGTTGGTGGACGGGGTGTACGGTGACGAGAGGGCGATTGTCGTGCAGACGGCGCGGAGCTAGGTGGGTGGGTGGGCCGAATGGGGGCGCTTGAGGGGATCGTTGGGGACAGGTCGTGCATAGTCGCGAAAAGGGAAAGAGAAGAAAAAAGAGGCGCATGAAAGAAGGAGACGGGGTACTTAACATCGCCATAGGTATCAACCACCGGTGGTGTCATGCCGGTTTTGCCGATCTTGTCTCTAAATCGGAGGACTCAATGAGAGGAAAAGCCTTTCGAGAAAGCTAGAGAGACGGGTGGAACATCAGGGTTGGTAAAACATGTTAGATGTGACATTCGTATTCCTCGTTGTTTCATGTCGACGTTAATGTCTACTTCCTATATACCCTTCGACGTCCTTCAAACAGCCTTCCCTGTTCCGATGTCTGTTGCGGATCTAACCAGGAAAGCGAACCCATGAGCAGTGTTCCAACACGAAACCGCACCCACACAATGCAACAAAAGCTACGCCGGCCTATACGCTCCGGGGAGAATTCTTGGACGAAAAGAAAAAGGTATCAAAGGAACAAATTCCCTTCCACTCTAGAACAAGATCATCAAGCTACCACCAAACATAGCAGAAATTACCACAACAACACCACACATGACTGTCTCGAGAGCGATCCTCGGCGCAGGCAGGCCCATGGGGGCGGCGCCCTTGGTCGAGGAGCTGGTGCCGGTCGAGGAGCCAAGGTCGAAGGTGCCAGTTCCAGGCTCGCCCGTCTCGGCGGCCGTCTTGCTCTGCTCGGCACCAGACTGGCGGATGGGACCGGTGGCGGTCTGAGTGACCGTAAGGCCGGACGCGACGGAGCTGACGCCAGGAATGGTGGAGTTGGAGATCTCCTGGACGTTGGACGAGGTGGCGTTGAATTTGGTGTTGGCGAGGGCGATCTGGCGGTTGTGCAGGTCGTACACGACGTAGGCCGAGCGCATGAAGGTGTCACCGAGCAGGATGGGCGCGTCGCCGGCGGGCTCGATGCCGAAAATGCAGGCCTCCTCGCCGCTGTTGCGGAAGCGCGCCGGGTTGCCGTCCGTGTCCGTCAACGGCAGCACCATCTCGTCCATGCCCACGCTGATGGTCGGGCCGCCGTCGCCGCCAAAGCTGAACTCGATCGTGGCACCCGTATCGCCAATGTTGCAGTTGACGACATAGCCGTAGTCGCGCGTGTTGCGCGCGCCCACGCCGTTGATGATGTCTGTAGCGATATCGTCGGGCAGCAGTGTCAGCGTGGTGCCGCTGTCCAGGATGGCGGGAACGGCGAGATCCGTCTTGCTGTACACGCTCTTGCCGCCGCTGGACTTGACGTTGACACCGCCAAGAGCGACGGTGAACGAGGTGATTTCGCCGCTTTGCGAGTCAGGCTGGATAGGCAGGCCGATGAGATTTCCCGAGTACTTGTCGCTATCAACACCACCGAAGAGGACGTTGCCAGTGCTGGCGTCTGCTCGCGGTTAGAAAGTGGCTAGCGTGTCTGCACGTGAAGATTGGGGAGACGTACCAAGATCGTTCAGCCAAAGGCTGTACGCAAGACTGCTAATGTGGCCCTGTTGCAACAGCTGGACGGGAACATTGGGGTAGGTAGTGTTGTCTGTCTGGGCCAACGTCTCGTCCTGGATGAAGCCCACGCCCATGATTCCCATGGGCGTGTCGTCGGCGTCTGTGGCGACGGCCATGGTCATGTTCCTGATCTCCGTGTCTCCAATGGCCAGGACATCGCGAATGTAGTCTCCGGTGATGGAGGTACCGTCGACATATTGGATTTGGAACTCATTCTCGCCAACATCCTCAAAGGTCGACGAATCAGCGGGCCGGAACGAGGACTCACACTGGCCCTCCTGGCACTGGGTCGAGCCGGCGTAGGGGAACCACACGTCGCTGCTTCCGGTGTCAATCTGTAGGCCTATGCGCTGGCCGGGTGTGCCGACGGTCACGTTGATCTGGTAAAGCGACTGGTAGTTGGCGAGGTTGGCGGTGACGGTGTCGCGACGGGCGAGGTTGCGGCGGGCAAGATTTGCCAGGACGTCGCGGCGGTTCTTGGCCATGGGGAAGCCGACAACCCGGGGCTTGGTGGCGTCGGCAGCTTGCGCGAGGCTTGCGAAGCCGGCGGCGGCGGCGAAGTAGGCGAGCGTGCTCGGCATGGTGGCGGGTTGGGGTGTGGAGAGGACTGGGGGATCAGGAAGATCAAGGTGGACTGGGGGGGAGGCGGCGCTTTTGAAGCGGTGGCGCGTGAGGGCGCAGGTACTCTTGCTGAGCAGGATCCCCGGCCCCCAAAGCGCTGACAGGCTTCGTAAGACATCATCGGCAAGAGCGACCGTGATGTCAGGGCGCAGACGCGGGAGGCGATCGAAGCTTGGCGAGAGCTTGTGGCGGCTGCGCCCAATCTTCTTTCAGCCTCCATTTCGAACAACAAGGACTCTGCCTCGCCCAAGCGCCAGCTCAGCCTCCCTCAATAATAGCCGCCGTGGCTCTTTCATCGCCCAGCACCGCCAGCACCACGGGCACCGCGGGCACCACGGGCACCGCCAACGTGAGTCCTCGCGTCTCGCAGCCCGGCGAAGGCACGCTGGCCTCTCAGGCGGCAGCAGGAAGCACGCTACAGGCCGACTTGCACGACTCAGGGCTGGCCAGTTCGCGCCAACCAGGGTGCTGCTGCTGCGCCACCCTGCTTGTGACCAGCAACATGCGACAGCCGAACGCCAGGTTGCCAAGCCTCAAACCGATCCAGCACCTTCCAGGTCGCAATGCTTGTTTTGCCGCCGTCAGCGCCCCCTGGCGTCGCTGCTGCTCTCCCCTGCCTCGTCTTCTCCATGTCGCATCGTCTCAGCTTGACTTGTCGTGCGGGAGTGCGGACCCTGCTGCCTGACCGCAGGCCCAACGCATGGACAACCGGCCGGATGCGCGCGGGTCCCTATCCGGTGTTTTATCTCCGCCAACGCGATGCCGGTTATTGGTCAATATTTGCCTCGACCGCATGCGGAATGGAGTTGGCCCCCAGACGCGGATGCCGTTGCGACCACCCGTCGCCCACCGCCTCGTTGGCTGTTGTGTGGGGATGAGGAGGCCATGTCTCAAGCGCGTGCCCTGCTGCTTGCCACACTCGCCGCGTTGTCACTGCCCCCGCCCTCGGCCCAAAGGCTTTGCTGTCTTTGTTCATGCACTGCCAACTGCAAGGGCCGAAATGGCCCGACTCTGTGGAGACGAGTATAAGCTGACATTACAACAGCCTTGTGAATTCAAAAATACGAGTGCAGCACTGCTCAGCAATGACCTACTCGGGCTGGTAGTGCACAGGCAGCACTGCAGCACACGTTCCGCCGCCCTCTGTCCCCGACACCCAAAAGATAGCAATCAACTCCGCGGATTTATTTGCTTGCGACAAAAATAGCTATTCGGACGGTCGGCAGGCAAAGCTGCAAAGTCGGTGACGACGTGGAATGCAGTGTGTAGCATAGACGCATACTGAGCCATCCGTCGAGGGTACACTATACTCTAAATCGCAATCCAGCTGCTCCAGTCAGGTTTGGTTACCTCTAGTGCGCCACCAAAGCATTCGTCAGCCCTGTCTAGACGCTGACACTACCGTGGCACCTATCTGGCATCTCGAATAATGAGCCCAGAGTCTGGTCTCCAGGGACGATTCCGTCCTGTACCAACAAGCGTCCCACGACCGAGAGGCGTTGGATCAAGCCAACTCAGGCGAGTGGCAACAACATTGTTGTCTCGCCTACCTGCGTGAGGGATTTCATCGCAAACAAACAAAGTGGTTGCCGAATTCCTTGCTTCCCTGTAATCATGACTAGCAAGCACGCACTGCCCGCAGTTCAACTCCGTTCAGTTGTACTTGTTGGTAGGTGCGTCCCCCATCGGTAGGGTGAAATGGAACATCGTACCAGAACGAACTTCCATCTTGGATACAGACAAGACTTTGCACGAGGTCATTTGCATCAAGTCGATACTAACAGCATTTTAGAGCTCCGACCCTGTTTCGCTGTCAATGGCCGAAAGCTCGGACCCACGGAGCTTTGATGGGTCGCACTACCGTGGCTGATTCTTTCATGACCAAACCAAAATTAGACATGTGCGGGGAAGCATGGAAAGACGAGATGGCTTCGACTTTCAGTACACAAGAGATGTTATTATAAGAGTGCGGGGTGCTTTAAGCTTAAACCTTCGGCGATGACGCGTCCTCTTGGCTAAGTGGGTCAAATGGAAGCTAACCAAAGAATTCCATCGGCTGTGAGATGTGAGATGATGCGATATATGCACATGGCAGGTAAATCGGGATTTTTTATAAACGTTTCGATGAAATGTAGACGCGCTAAAGATACTCACACAAAGTAGATCGATTAAACTTCATCCGCGTTGACATAGTCGTATCATTTCATTTGGGATTCCACTATGTGTACAACACTGCACTGGCTGAGGGTCATATATAGCCAGTGGGCAAAGCTCCAAATAGCAAGATTTAAATCCTCGCTTTTTGTTGAAGCTCAATCCAGCAGTTCCAAAGAGCTATCACTTTTCCTCAAGAGCAACATGCCGCAGGTTTTATAATAGTCTGAGATCCAAGCCATTCACCGCTGGTGTCACCAAAAATGAAACCATGCTGTGTATCACCGTCCGAGTCTGCACCGTCTGTCCGGGGTGTACGGTACCCACGTTCCTACCCCGCACCTGTGGCTGCGCTGCAGTGCAAGGGTCTGGGGCGCTCGGAGCGCTACCATCATTTTTTTCTCACCACGACCTGAGAAGCACTTGTTTGGGTCTCGCGTCAGTGCAGTATGTATTTGGTATTCGGAAATATTCCCGGTTACAGATCCACAAGAAAAGAAAGAGAAAAAAAGGCCACCCAGATGCGGTCACGACAAACCCCGCATTATCCGAGCACAAATGACATGCGACTGCCGGCTTATGTACCTTCGCCTACTAACGCCATAATGACTCGCCCCTCCAAGGCGTTTTCCTGAGTTCGTCTTGCAAGAATCCAAGTCTTGGGATTTCCCCACACCGCTGCGGGGAAGGAAAGTGTTCCGGCTCATTGAATGAAGGTACGGCGTAGCGCTCGGGTGCATGGATCCGAACAATTGAAATAAGGACATACCCCTCACGATATGATTTATGAGCTCTTCCCAGACTCATCCCGTCTGATAGAAAGCCAATTCCCTCTTCTAAATACAGGAAGAGGAAGAACAAGAACAAGAAAGACAACAAGAGTGAAGCAAAGCGGTTAATCTTCCCAAACAGACAAACCACCATGGCAAACGACAACATCGAAACCCGCCTCTTCATCGACGGCAAAGTAAACCAGAACCCCCCATCCCCATCCCCCTCCCCACCCTCCAACCAACACACCCAACTAACACCAAACCCTCCATCCAGTTCGTCCCCTCCTCCTCCTCCGACTCCACCTTCCCGCTCACCTCCCCCCACACCTCCACCCCGCTCGCCACCGTCTCCGCCGCCACTCCCACCGACGTCTCCGCCGCCGTCGCCGCCGCATCCCGCGCCCACCCCAGCTGGTCTGCCCTCTCGCCCGCGCAGCGCGGCGCGCCCATGACGCGCCTGGCGGAGCTGATCGTCGCGCACAAGGCGGCGCTCGCGGAGCTGGAGGCGCGCTCGATGGGGAAGCCCGTGGGCGAGTTCTTCGAGGCGGACGCGGCGGCGGGGGCGTTCCGGCTGTACGCGGGGCTGGGCTGGAGCGCGCGCGGCACGACGAGCCTGAACACGCCTGGGTACGTCAACGTGACGGTGCGGCAGCCGTTTGGGGTGGTGGGCGTCATCATCCCGTGGAACGCGCCGCTGCTGTTTTTCGCGAAGAAGGTGGCGCCGGCGGTGGCGGCGGGGAATGCGGTGGTGGTCAAGAGCTCGGAGAGGGCGCCGTTGACGGTGAGTTGGGATCGATGCGGAGCTTGTGATCACTGGGGTGTGGGGTGGGCGAGTGGACGTTGGTGGATGGGCACTTTCCGCTTCTCCTCGTTGCACGCCGGCCTTTGATCATGCGATGTGCTGTCGGACGTTTTACGCTGACTTGCTGTCTCTTTCCAGTCCGCGAAACTAGCCACCCTCATCAACCAAGCAGGCTTCCCGCCCGGCGTCATCAACGTTCTCTCCGGCCTCGGCCCCGTCGCCGGCGCTGCCATGTCCTCGCACCCGCAGATCCGCATGATCAGCTTCACCGGCTCGCTACGTGCGGGAAAGGCCATCCAAGCCGCGGCGGCAGCGTCCAACCTGAAAAATGTCGTCCTCGAGCTCGGTGGCAAGTCGCCCGCCATCGTCTTTGCGGATGCGGATCTCGACGAGGCGGCGCGGGCGACGGCGTACAGTGTAAGCACGAATGCGGGGCAGACGTGCATGCAGAACAGCCGTGTATACGTGCAGCGGGCCGTCGCGGATGCGTTTGTGGAGCGGGTGAAGTCGTGTTTGGCAGGGGTGAGGATGGGCGATCCGCTGGAGGCAGAGACGCAGATGGGGCCGATTGTGGATGCGGAGCAGCAGAAGCGCGTGTTGGAGTACATCAAAGAGGGGACAGAGACGTCGAGGGAGACGATCACGTTGGCTGACGCCGCCGCGGCGGGTGCTGGCTCTACGCATGTCAGCCCGACGGTATTCTTGGACACACCGGAGGATGCGCGGGTCATGAAGGAAGAGGTGTTTGGCCCTGTCGTCAACATCAACGGCTTCGAAGACGAGGAAGAGGTGGTGAAGAAGGCTAATGATACCGAGTTCGGCTTGTATGCGTCTGTCTTCACCAGGGATGTGGATCGCGCGCTGCGGATGATGACGCGGTTGGACGCTGGCACCGTTGGAATCAACTGCACCAGCCCCACAACCGCGGTTGACATGCCGTTTGGAGGATACAAGCAGAGCGGCCTCGGGCGCGAGGGCTTGGAGCATAGCTTGAGTAATTATCTTGAGGTCAAGACGGCTTTGATCAAGGTAAAAGGACTGTGAGTTGGAAGCACTACGATCGGTATACCCATAGCGAAAGCCTCAAGCAGACTCATCCATACCATGGTTGACGTGATCTGGAAATCTAGCGATGCTGTAGTGGCATCTTATCGCTCTGGGAGAATCCCGGGTTGCCCTTTTCTCCCAGAGACGGGATCTGAAGTATAAAAGTTCTGAATGGACAAGGAAGAAATGGCATCTTGATATGAAAAGTTCGTGAATTGTGTCATGATCTCGTACTGGGATGTACGGGTCGGACTGGCCTGTGCATCGAGTCGAAGCCCTCAAGCTTTCTGAAGCTGCTCGTACTCCGACTTCACGATGCTCGGCAGCTCTTGCTCGAGACTCGGCGCCTTCGGGCTCCAGCCGAGGAACTTCCTGGCCCTCCTCGCCTTTCCTCTAGAGTTCAGACCCCAGCTCAGAGCCTCGAAACCGGCCAGCTTGAACGCCTCATCCTTGTTGAGACTGAAAGTCTCGTTCTTGGGAATGTAGCCTTCCTTGGCGGCCTCGGCGGTGATCTGCTTGGACACTTCCCCCCAGACGTGCTCACCGTTTTGAACGAGGAAGTAGCCCTTCTCGCCCCACAGCTCCTTGTCGTCCTTATGACCTGTGGCAGCTGCCTCGGCCAGGAGAACGAAAAGGTCGCTCAAATCGTGAACATGAACGTTGTCCCAGTATGTCTTGCCGGCGCCAATGATGGGACCCTTCTTCTGCTGGAGGGTGATCTTGGCCAGTTCGTACACCTGACGGCTGCGTCCGGAAACGGGGCCTCTTCCGGGACCTTGTAACCACGTTAATGACTGGGTTCTCCACGGGCAGCGGCATCAGTAGCTTACCGTAAATGGTCGGGGGGCAGAGAACAGCCGTCTTCACGGAGTCTGCATTCTTAGTTCCAGCTTCCAGCACAATTTTGTCGACATTTCGGTGGAAGGCATGATCCGGGAGATGGGTAAGCTCCTCGACTCCATCGAGATCGTCATAAACCTTGTCGGAGGCCTCGCCAAGCCTGCCGGCGTCGGCATCGGCAAAGCAGAGAATGCCAGTTCCACTGACGTGCAGCCAGTAGCCCGGGTGATGCTTGGAATGGGCGCTGGCAAGGCCTTCAGCAATGGCCTTTGCGGCAGGCTCGTGATCGGAGGCATCCGCGGTGTCTATATGGTCGCGTGAATGGGGAGTCCGGTACGATGTTTTGCACGTTACTTACGAATTACAATGTCAGCCTTTGACGCCTCTCCCTTGATCAGATCATAGCTGTCAAGGTCGCCGTAGACGATGTCGACGTTGGAATAAGCCTGCTGGACCTTGGCTCCCTTGTCCTTGGTTCTGACCAAAGCAGTGTAGGACCAGTCAGGGTGAGCCTTGTGAAGAGCATACAAGGCGTCTCCGCCAATGTAGCCAGTGATGCCTGTGCTGATGCAGGGGTCAGATGGCGGAGATGGTTGATCAAGCGAAAGGAACGGCATACATGAAGACCTTGGGAGCCATTGTGTTGAATTGCGAGGAAGGCAATGCTCTTGGTTCAACCGTGCTGGTGCTGCCGTTCCCCTGGGGCTTTTTGAAGTGCAGTGAGGGAAGGATTTCAAAGCATGTGCAGACAATCGAAGCTTCGGTGAATGGCGTCATGCCAGCCGCTACTAGACCCAAACAGGAAGGAACCCCCACCAGCTGCCCACTCCCCACCTCCGTCTCCATTCTAGAGCACTCGAAGCATGCAAAGCGATGATATATTGGGGGGAGGTTACTATTCGGGCTCGCTATCTAAGCAGGAGATGCAGTAGGCGCTGCCTTGGTAAGCATTAGGTGAGAACGCGAGGGGAAGCGAAGCCTATGTTTAGCGCTCATCCGCGAGAGGTGCGAAGAGTGATGATATAGGTATCCTTGCGCCAGTTGCAACTCAATAACATCATCGCGCCACCACCCACGGGTTTACACCCCCGTACAGCCGGTCTGCCGAAACGGCCACCCCTCACGGCCCGTCGCTCGCCTGCACGGCCCAGACCCACATCCACAGCTTGCGGCTCAAGTGCGACGGCATTCCTAATCACTGAGTAAGCCGCCATCGTAGATGCTGGATCTACCATCTCTGCCGACGTCACCCAGTTGAACAGCCGAGCTTGTCGGACTTGCGACCGTGTTTGCATCACATGGCTTGTTCCGGCACTCCGATCACGGTTTGCTCGTTTCGCAGTCGATGAGCGGAGTCAGGTCCTATCGTTGCCTGCGCGATCCTGAGAAAGCCGCTTCTCAGCTGAGTCGTGGTCGTTGCCAAGCGAAACTTTCTCGCTGTTTCAAGCCGGCGGGGCAGTAAAAGGAGAATCGAGGGACGTGCGACGCGAAATCGGAGACGTCGAGAGTGAGACGACACTATAAGCTCCCGAAATCCGTACAGGTCAGCATAAGCAGTAAACTAGCAGCTCTATCCCGCGCCTTTAACAACCCGCGTCCGCACCTCTTCCTCCCTGCACCCATTAACAACAGCCTGTGCATCACAATGGCACGCACGGATACCAATGGCGTCAACGGCTCGAGCGACTCGTCCACACCGGCCGATGCCAGCACGCCCGACGACGTCCAGCTTGAGCTTGACGCGCTCATCATCGGCACCGGTCCAGCAGGTGCTTCATTGGCGTGTTTCCTGGCATCCCATGGTAAGCAAAGAAGGCCGCTTCCCTCTTCTCTCCAGCCGTTGCTGACAGCTTGTGTGCCCAGGAATCAAGGGTTTGATGGTTAGCAGAGCGCCGACCAATGCGGACACTCCGCGAGCACACATCACCAATGCCGCTGCTTTAGGTGAGTCGACGATGGTTGGATGAGCCCCAAGAGGGGCGCAGTCGTCGTGTATGCCGTACTACAGCAGTCTGTTATCCGGCGAATGCCCAGGGACGCGAATCACCCGGCATTTCCCCTCTTCAGCAGACATCACCTCCCCAAAACAAAGGAAAAGAAAACATCAGACCTCATTGCTGACCACCGTCCAACCAGAATGCCTCCGGGACATCGGTTTGGAGGACCAGATCAAGAACCTGGGGACCAAGAACGAGAACTTCATGAAGCACACGCGGTGGTGCTACAGCATGGCCGGCCGCGAGTACGCCCGCATCTACTCGTGGGGCAACGACCCGGCCCGCAAGGGCGACTACGAGCGCGCGAGCCCGTGCAAGCACGTCGACCTGCCGCAGACGCTGCTCGAGCCCGCGCTGGTCCGGCACGCCACGCTCCACGGCTTCAGCTGCCGCTTCGACACCGACCTCGTCGGCTTCGTCGACGACGGCGCCCGCGTCGTCACCACGCTGCGCGACCGCCTGACGGGCGCCACGTACGCGGTGCGGTCGCGCTTCCTGTTCGGCGCCGACGGCGCGCGGTCGCACGTGCAGCGCCAGCTGGGCCTGCCGCTGGTCGAGAAGCCGCAGCAAGGGTTCGCCATCAACGTGCTGGTGCGCGCCGATCTGTCGCATCTGATGGAGTCGCGGCCGGGCAATCTGCACTGGGTCTTCCAGCCGGACAGGGAGCATCCGGCTTTCGCGTGGCAGGCCGTGGTGCGCATGGTCAAGTACGAGCCCCCACCCTTTGTTTTTCATACCTGCCTCTTCCCCATCTTTCCAGGCTCTCTCTCTCCCTGAAAAAAAAATATAAAATAAAACGTCAGCTAAGAGATCGACACAGGCCCTGGAACGAATGGATGTTCATCCTGCTCCCTGACCCGGCTGCCGGCGCAGCCGCCGAGAACGTCACGGATGAGCGCTACCTGGCGCGCGTGCGCGAGCTGATCGGCGACGCGACCCCGGCGGAGATCATCAACGTCTCCAGATGGTACATCAACGAGACGTACGCCGAGACGTACTCGTCGGCCAGCGGCAACGTCCACTGCCTCGGCGACGCCGTGCACCGGCACCCGCCCTTCAACGGGCTCGGCTCCAACACGTGCATCCAGGACGCCTTCAACCTCGCGTGGAAGGCGGCCTACGTGCTGCAGGGCCGCGCCGGCGCCGCGCTGCTGTCGTCGTACACGGCCGAGCGCCAGCCCGTCGGCAGGGCCGTCGTGACGCGCGCCAACGACGGCTTCCGCGAGCACTTCGCCGTCTGGGACGCGCTGGGCCTCGTGCTGCCGACCCCGGGCGAGCGCGCCGCCGCCGTCGCCGAGCTCGAGGCCCCCACGCCCGCCGGCCGCGAGCGCCGCCGCCGCTTCCAGAGCGCCGTCGCCGCCACGGGGCGCGAGTTCCACGCCCTGGGCGTCGAGATGAACCAGTCATACACATCGGCCGCGGTGGTCAAGGACGAGGGCGTCACGGGCGACGACGGCCTGGGGGCTTCGGCCGGCGTCGACACGCAGCTCATGTACGTCCCCAGCACCTTCCCCGGCCGCCGCCTGCCGCACGTCTGGCTCGGCCGCGCCGTGCCGGATGGCCTGGTTTCCACCGTTGACCTTGCCGGCAAGGGCCGTTTCGCGCTGTTCACCGGCATCGGCGGCGTCGACGCGTGGTCGCGGGCGGCGAAGAGCGCCGAGGCCGCGCTGGGCGTGCGGGTGCGCGTCGTGTCGATCGGGTATGGCTGCGAGTTCGAGGATCCGTACTTCGAGTGGACGCGCGTGCGCAGCGTGGGCGAGGACGGGTGCGTGTTGGTTCGGCCGGATCGGTTCGTTGCGTGGAGGGCAGAGGGAGCGAGTGGGGATGAGGAAGGGAGGTTGGGCCGGGTGTTGAGGAGGGTCTTGGCGAGGGAGTGATGTCCGTCTGTATGTGTGGCTCTCTTCTTTTGCTTGAAACAGGACGGTGGTTTGTTGTTCTTCGCGTCAAGTGATGAATAGAGTAGCTGGTGGGTTTTCGTTCGATATCGACGAGCTGTAAGCATCCGAAAACGCGCATGCGCGAGATGATCAGCAGTTACCTAACGCTTGACTTTTGCTTGGGGGTCACCGTACCTACTTTCTGTGACCCTGGTCAGGGTAAAGGCAAGTTGGCAGTGTCGAATGGCCGGAGTCCTATGAAAATAGAACACAGAATGCCTTGCCCAGCATCCACGAGTCGAGACGCTGTCTCATCCGGGTGCATCAGGAGTGTGGAGTATAAAACATTCTTGCCGTGGGACTTGGCGGCGGCAGAGGTGAAGCCCAAGGGAGTACGGTGACTATTTATCCTAAACATGGACTGTTTCTCCATGTTCCAACCCTGGATTTTCTATGTCAGTTTTGCTTGATCTGCCCCGAAACACAGTTGCTACCCGGGAGTACTTGCGAGCAAAGTAGCTACGAAAGAACGAGGACGGGTGCATTGTTTTGCAGCATCTAGGAGGTGACGAGAAAAGCCGCTGCGGTGGTGAAACGTAAGAAAGGACTGCCCCGTGAAGGGTGCAGGATTGCGACTCTTGCTAGTCGAGTGTTTGAAGAATTGCCCGGTCAGTAACTCGAAATTGGTGCTGACTCGCCCGGACTTGACGGTCCAAGTATGACAAAATGCGCCTCAACTTTCTGCAGAGGTTCTTTTAGACAGGAGTGCCGCCTTGTCGCCCTGACTCGTCTTGCCACTCAAGTGCAGAGGGTGTTCAAGGGACCGGCTCCCGGTGGTGCTACCTCTACGCTGGAGCAGGGAGTTGCCCAGGAGAAAGTGCATGGTTCCCCGCATTTGGCTTGCCTCACCTACAACCGACCAGTCGGTGTGCCGGGTGCCCTGAGACCCTGGGTAAGTTGGTGGTGTTGACAGGCTGTGGCGAAATTATCCTGCTGGGCGATGCAATCCTGTTGCACCTGCATTGTTGCCCAAGCTCAGCGTGGAGACGAGGAACAGCCTCGAACAATCAAGTCCGATATAGTGCTAAAGCTTAGCTACGCAGAAGGCACAGTAAAAGAATTTGAGATAATGCTCGGTGCATGGCACTGTTCAGGGGCTTGTTGATACCTTCCCATGCGTAGGTGTCCACGGCATGTCCCGAAGGCTGCTTCCGCTGGAAGGAAGAGTGTTACTAGCCACACTTAGGAGAAAGCAGAGCCATAGATGCTACCATTAACCAGACACGCAGCAGTGTGTAAGCCCAATGGTAGGGTGCACACATGCAGCGATGAGACATTTTGCCTTCTCGTCGTCAGGCCCTCGCGCCAAATGAAAGGGATTCTTGCGCCTGCCTGCATCAAGCCAGCACATGCCGATCATACTGATAAGAGTAAAGGGGAGGAAGGCGATGAAATAATGGTTGGAATAGTTTGGCCGAAGGTAGCATCGCACAAAGCTCCACTTGGTTAGCCAAAGGAGATTCGTGAAGGGAGTCAAAACTGCATTAGCGAAAGATGCTAGAAATTGGCAAAACGCCTCCCACGTGGTGCATCCGCAGCTATCTGGAACGTGGTTCAGTGGTTGTATACCACCTTGGCACCGTCGTGACACGGCGTAAGCCATGTGTCGAGCCGTGTGTAACGGGTGATGGGAAGCAACGAGGCGAAGGATTCTTGCAGATGGTGGAATCACAGCGCTGCAGGAACATGTCGCATCCTACTACGTAGGTAGTGATCCACGACGCTGCCAACACATGTGACAGGGGACCCGGGTGAGACAGAGGGCTCTCTGCTTGGGCATGGAGGATGCGGATCACGGCAGTATTCCGCCAGCTCTTCCCGGGCAGCCGCGGTGGCTAATAGGGGTCAGCTACGACGGATCCCAGGATGCGGAGAGTAGAGCGTCCGGGTGGGTGGCAGGTGGCTTGGATCTTCAGCAGCGGTTCGGCAGACCCGCGTGGCTCGCGGAGCCGCGGGAAGAATGGTTCTGGCTTGTCGTCAGGGCACCTGTCCTGGGAGGGCTGGTTCTGGGCCCGCATTTGAGCTGGCTAAAGGTCGGTGCAAGACGCGAGGCCTCGCCCGCGAGCCGGCGCGCTTAGTGTTGAGCCGATTCGAGCACCGTTGCACCAGCTTGGTGGGTGGCAGGTTGCTGCAACGAGCGGGGTCCGCGACGCAAACGTCTGCCAGCGCGTGCTAGCGCCCAATCGAGGTCGAGGAGCCCACGGGCGACGCCAGGGTCCCTGTGGTCGCGGAGGCAGTGCAGGAGAGCTGGCTGGCGCGCGGTCGAGGAGCGGGCAGCAGGCAGCGGGCAGCCGGGCGCGCATCTGGCAGAAGTGATAGTGCTTTGGGAGGTGAGGCATGTGCACGGGAACAGCGGAGCCGCAGGACGACGACGATGTCCACAGCGCGGAGAAGGCCAGGGCTCGGAGTGGAGATGGGTGCAGATCGCCAGGCCCGTGCGCACAGATCAGACGAAAAGCCAAGACATTAGCGCAGTCGGCAAAGCTGGCAAATCTGATCGCCCGGAACGACTTCCTGCCCATCAACCCCGGCAGCCACACCTCCTCCCACCGCGGCACGTGTGGCCACGCCAGCCTGCGCTCGAGAGCCAGCGCCCTCGCCCTTGCGCCCGCGCCCGCGCCGCTGCCCGCTGCTGACGCCCTCCCGCCTGCGAGTCCTCTGCCTGGCCCGGGTCCTGTCCACACCTGCTCGCTCCGTCCCGACTGCATCACGGCATGCCGTCCGCACGCCGCACGCAGCACGCCGCAGCGGCGACGGCGGTGACGCGCTGCCGCCACGGCTGCAGCTCCCCCAGCTGCATGTGCGCGCTCCTGGCGCCTCCGCGCCGCCCCGTCCTCTGTTCAGCATGCAATCGGCCCTTCGTATCCCTGAGGCTGACTGCCCAATCGCGCAGTTTGGCCTCTGGTTTCAGGCCTTTGCTGCCGATGATCTTCCTCACTTTCCCAGCGCGCTCCGCTAGCGAGCAGAGGACCCTCATCCAGCGCTCGTCCTGCCTATGGCAGATCCGCAGATCGCTCCGGCCTCGTGGCGACCGCTCGTTTGGGCCGTGGCCCACGCTCTGCGGCGTGCCTGGTTGCTGGCGCTAGCTACTGGCCGCTCGAGTCCCCGCGCTTCTCAGCCTCCCCAACTGGCCAGGATCCATCTCCAGTGCCTGGTCCATGAATCATGCCCCGAAAGCTAATTGTCAAAGCCAACGCGGCTGCTGTTAGCGTTCCATGCTTTGCCCAAGCCGTCTGCGCCATCATGGCCTCCCGTTCCCACGTCCATGCTGAGCCCTGCGTGATATAGCCTGTCCAATCTGCTCCACCCTGCGCATCACTGCGATTCGCGTCCTGTCTGCGAACTCCCGTCCAGGTTGTCTCCGGCCCTCCACACCTGCCAACCCGCCCTCTCTCTTCTGGCATCTGTGCAGTCATTCCCTGCCACTCCTAACCTCTCCGCTCCTCACGTTCCTTTACTCCTCTGCCGTCCCCTACCCTCGAAATGGGTATCAATTGGAGCCGAGAGTCCCTCCCCGGGCCCGTCGGGCCCTTCATCTCTCCCACTTATGAGGTCGAGATGATCAACAAGGGCGATTTCGCAGCAGCGACGGCAGTGTGGGGTTTGACCGTCATCTGGGGCGGTGTCTGCGCGTGGCAGGGTTATCACCAGACGAAGCAAGCTCGCAACCCGTGGCGGAGTGCCTACATTTGGCTCATCTGGCTGGAGCTCGTTGTCTCATTGATCATGGGCGCTGAATGTTGGATCTTCATGCTGCGGTTGATCCACCCGAGTTTCGCCTTCTACATGAGCATCCGTACGTTTCCTCCTGCATGCCTATCGTTCTACAACTGACGGTTCCAAGTGTTCTTGTGGTGTATCCAGGTGCAGCTTCTGCTTCAAGTCATCATCAATCGTGTCCGAGTCATCTCCATGAACAAGGACAAAGCAAGAAACATCATGATTGGTACCGCCTTCATCGTCACTATGATCAACATCAGCGTCTTCAACATCTGGATTCCCGCTCGTCTGCAGATCTCGCCGAGGTATGCTGCCCCTCGCCATTCGCTTTGAGAGCAGTGCTGACCGCTGGCAGATATATCCACATCAACGAGGTCTGGGATCGCGTCGAGAAGGTCATTTACCTGGTCATGGACGCCATCCTCAACGCCTACTTCATCAAGTCTGTGCGGAAGAACCTTGTCGCCAACGGTCTGCAGAAGTACAGCTCGCTGCTCAAGTTCAACGTGCGCATCATTGCCGTCTCGCTGCTCATGGACGTCATGATTATCGCTGCCATGTCGATTCCGAACTCCTTTGTGTATGTCTCTCCCCTGGGCTGGGCCTCGTAAGCACGCTTGCTAATCTCCCAAACAGGTACATCCAGTTCCATCCGCTTGCCTACCTGGTCAAGCTTAACATCGAGTTGACCATGGCCGACCTCATTCGCAGGATCGCCATCTCTGCCGCCTCCAAGCGTGGCAACGGTGTCAGCGTCCACCACGAGTTTGTGTATGCCAATGGCAGCAGCGGCAAGGGCACGCAGCACACTGCCATGGAGCTCTCCAGCACCCATGGCCGTTCCGATTCGAGATTCGAGTTCGAAGGAGAGGGTATCCAGAAGACGCAAGAAGTCGTGATTCGCAGCATGCCAAACCCCGACATGAAGAGCCCGATGCACGACGTGGACCAGCTTTCCAATTCCAGCACAAAGGACGAGGGCAGCTCCACAACCGGACCCGATGCGGAACTGGACGACGAGAGCCAACTGGTGCAAGACCCGTGGAACAACGGTAACGGCGTTTACAAGACCAAGATCTCTACTGCGCATCCGCACCACTAGAGAACGGAGAGTTTTGGATTCGCACGAGGGCAAGAAAAGGGGGGAGGCTAGACGGATACTTCTTCTTCATGGCGCATGAATGATTGCATGCGGGCGGGCGGACTTTGGATCCGTCCCCTCGGGCTACGGCGCAGTTCTTGGATTGATGACATACAAGAAGAGCATTTTTATCTTCACGTTGGATATACCACACAGGGCGGCATGAGTCTTTTTGATTCTGTAATTTTTTCACCGATTTTTTCTTTTGTTCACTCGATACCTCTTATTACATTTTATACCTAATCTTTCAGGGCCCAAAGCCTCCAAAGAACTCTACAGACGCCGAAGGCTGTATATAGACCAGTAGAAGACATTAGAAAAGCTCTTTGAATGACCATTTCATGAAGTAAAACATCAGCTGTCCCCATGACCGTGTCCAATCACTTGAAGTCTTCAGTTCCGCGACCTCGGGACTCCAGCATCCAGATCGACAGGGTTGAAAGAGGTTCCCACGACTAGGGACCGCAAGCCTCCGAGGAGAAAGCAAGTGCTGCCAAAACGTCCAGGCACGCGCGGAGGCGCGCGGCTGTTGCACACAGACGGGAAAAACCAGGACAAACGAACTACGGGTATGTGCGCGCGCTTCACCGGCCCAACGAGGCTAGTTTGAGGAAAGGAAAGCAGGCACAGGGCAGACGGGCGTCAGGCACAGAGGCGCACGCGCACACGTTTTTCTGTTTTTTCTTTTTTCCTCAACCGCCAGGGAACTACCTTGCAACGTCCGCTACCAACCGTACCACGAATATTGTCCGAAAGACGAACTTCCCGGGCCGTTTTTTGGTCCCGCGCCACTGACCACGACGATGAAGAAATCAAAAGTGTCTCAGCACACAAGGGAACCGATATGTCCCGAATAAGCACTAGAGAATGAAAGAGGGGGGACGGCCACCATTTCAAGGGGTGGTCCGCCTCCTTCCCCTGGTCGGTATGTTCGTTATTTACTCCGAGTTGAAGGCTGACTTGTCGATGACAGAGAGCTTGCCATATGTCCGATGTTCGGTATACAATAGGTAATCATATAGCCAGCCGCGGCACGAGGAAAAGAGGCTGACGGCTAGCTGGTCGGGTGGGTAGCTAGCTAGCCAAATGGCTGGCTGATTGATTGCGCGTGCGTCGGGCCCGGCTTTTCTGGCCCCTACCCTCCCATTCGGCGCATTTTTATCGTAGGTTGTTCTGGTCTCCCTCTAGCGCGGTCGGCGGCGGGCGCCACCCCTCGTGGCCCGGCCCCTCATCCCCCCTTCGTCTATGGCAGGAACCGGTTTCCGCAATGAAAGGGAAAAGGCCCGGCCATCACCCGGTTGGGTACACTACTATACTAGTAAAGGCGCGGGGCTTCTTGGGCCCCCCTCGACAAGCAAACCCTTTGTTTGCCACCCGCCCGTCGTCGCCATGATGACTGGTTGCGCTCTCGTTCTTGGCTGCTTATTATTATCTGTCGGGAGAGAGGCTCGGCAGTGCAATGCCGAAATGCCAGTTTATTATTATAATCTGCCGCCTACCTAGCTTGTGCGCCCGGTGTTCCACGTGGGTCAGGGCGGAAAAGCCTTGAGACGGGCGCGGAAGGGTGCGGCTTGGCTTCTGGAATCGGCGATGACGACGATTGAGTCTGAGTGTTCCTCCCCATAGCACGGTGGAAAGCGCCGTGGTGGTTTGCTGAAAACGGACAAGTGAGGGGCGGGCTGGGGCGGTACGAGCAGCAGGTAGGTGCGCTTTGCAGGCTCTGCTCTCATCAGCGTGAAGTGGATGATCGCCAGCAGCGGAGGAGTAATGGGCAGCCCGCTCGAGTGTTTCCTGGGTCCGCCCCGCTTGCCAGCCACTGTCGTCCCTCTGGCCGCAGCGCGTCGCTACGGTCGGAGGCCATTCCGGGAAGAGGAGCAAGATCAAAGGCCGATGGGTGGATGACGATTGATAGATAGACGAGATTGCGGCAAGCGAGGTGCGATTCAGGGCCCTGATTTGCCTGTGATTTGCCGATCAGGTCTTGTCGCGCAGGCTTTCTTTGCTTCTTTTCTGCGGTCCCAGCAAGGAGTCACGCCCGGCCGGTCACCGGTGAGCTTGTTATCGGGACGGGGCCCAATAATGAGAGGGCGATGGGCGGATCAGAATCCCGGCTGCGTCGTCGTCGTCGTCGTCGTCGTCGTCGTCGTCGTCGTCGGAAAAGGCAAAAGGGCACCTGCATGGATCGGAGAGGATCCGGCCGTGGGCCGATGATGCTCACTCCGCACTTTCCAGCAGAGCAGCTCGCAGCTCCATACGTGGCAACCGCAGGCATCCCAGCACCTCGGGCCCTTCGCACCCGCACTGTGGCACTTCCTTTCTGTGCGCAGTGATCCCGCGATTCCCCGTAGCTTCCGCGACCAGGGCACCCCTCCTTTCCCTCCCCTAGGCCGGAGTGAGCCCCGCTCGTCCGCGACTCGCGTCGCGTGGCAGAGAGAGTGCGCGAAGTCGCATGCAAATTGCGACCAAAATCCCATGGCAAAGCTTTGTCGCGCTCCCCTGCATGCGCTCCCGTGCGACCTTGGCGAATTTCTCGACCTGGAGTTCTGCCTTGATCGACGTCGGAGGTAGATGAACGGCGGTTGTCGCGGGAACGGCAGGAACAGAAGCAACAACAACAGCAGCAGCAGCAGCAGCAGCAGCAGCAGCAGCAGCAGCAGCAGCAGTGCCAGCTCGGGCCGCGCTGTGGCAATTTGGATGCGCCTATCTCCCCCTCCCGTGTGTGGGGCGGGGAGACAAAGACAGGTCGACTGTTGGGTTCGAAGAAGGAAGGCGTCTGGAAACAGGGCCGATGGAGCACCGGAGGCGCGGGTGTTCGACGGGGAAGGAAGCCGTTGAATCCATGGTGCTGGACCCTCGGCTACCTCTGCACTACCAGCGCGTTCCTTTGCTAGATTTGCCCTCATTCTCCCATTGTTATGGCCATTATTGATGAGGTTGCGCCGTCTGGCACGTGGCCAAGACGGAAGCGAGGCAGTGCCAAAGACCGAGACCGAGACGGCGATAGTGCAGGCCCGGGCAGGAGCAGCGTGGCAGGGCGTGCCTGGGAGTGGGGACGACGTGTTGACTCGTGTGTTCGTCAATCTCGCGCATGGACGTGGGGAGCAGTCGATCCTGTCCGATCATGGACAGGGGTGCGCGCAAACAGGCCAACAGCATGTCGTGCTGCGGGAAAAAGCAAGTCACTGCCGCAACACCGACACTGCCCTGAAAGCTTCGCCTGCCCTTCCACCGGAGTCGCGTCACGCGTGCTGGCAGACGGCCGCCGGCTGTGGACCATCTGCCCATCATCTGCTCTTCAGCTCCGGCCCCACCCCAGCTCGCAACACCAGCCAAGTCGGTACATGGCCAGCTAAGCCTCCAACGGCATCCCTCCCGCCGCCCGCACTGTGGCACTGCGTATCTCGTGCCCGGCCAATCACGATGCACCGCCGACTAGTCTTGCATCCCCTTCGTGGCCTGCAGCGTCTTTTTCTTCAGGGCGGGTGCGCCTGCAGCAGCAGCAGTAGTACCTAGTGTGGCGACGCCCTGTGCAAATCAAATGCGGTTCGCGCTACTGGCTGCCCGCCCGCATCGCCCGCATCGCCCGCATCCTACCTCCCGCCAACACCGCACCCGAGCACACGTGAACATGCACCCCATACTCTCATCTTCTGTGGCTTGCAGCATGCGCCTTCCTTCAGCCTCGCTAGCCTCCCGCGTGGAATGTTCGGTGTAGCGTGCTCTATCGTTTCACCAGAACTTTAAACCATTCCCGTCTCATTGCCCACGCCCGTCGTCACGCTTAAATCCATTGCCGGTGGTTCAGCTCCGCGCTCGACACGCCACCAACGCAACCCGTCTGTGTCTCCACATGTTCCAGAAGCAACCGCCGCTGCGCTTCGCGGAGAACCCCCGCGCTTAAACTTCGCAATCTTCACCCAGGGTCTGCTGTCAATGCGGCCCAAGTCACATGCCACCTCTCCCCTTACTCGCCCTAATCGTCCAATCGCCTTGAATCGCACACTGCAGATTATAGATGCACTCTGCGACAGCGTTGTACAGCTGCCATGACGGGGAAACGGAAAAACGCCAATTGCCCGGTGGAAAAAGGAAAAATAGGTTACCACATTATGACACTTCGAAGCAAAAGAACGGCATCAGAAGACGGCCACATGCCGAACCGACGGCTACAAGCGCCTTTTTGTTTTTCGGTGCTTCATGCTCTTTCAGCAAGCCTCAACTCAAAAAAAAAAAAAACTCCCACCTTCTACGTCGTAGTACTAGGTAGACGAAAGAACCAGCGCAACTGCTTCAACTAAGAAAACTCAGGACAAACCACTTCACCAACTCATGTCACCGCCAAACAACGTACCACAATCGCCCCACATTTGTCGGGCAGAGTCCCAAAACGCCCTACCGTCATTCCGTCGCCTCGTCGCCACACCGCCCGTGCATTCAGCCACAGAGAATTGGGGGCCGCTGGCGGCTGGCGTCGTCAGCCCAAGACATCATGATCGTCACCGATCTTCTCGTATCCAGGAGTCAGTCATGGGAGATTCGTGTCCAACGAAGAAAGCCAAGCTCTGTCTGGGCGGAGGGCGTGTGTCATGTCGCAGCCCTGATCTGTTACAGCCAAGATGGCTCTTCCCGGCGTTTTCCCGCTACTCCAGTCACCATTACTGGTGGGAGAAGAGGTTGGCTGAAAGGCGGTTCAGAGATCGCCTTTTCCCTTCGTCCGCTGCCTCAAGTGAAGTCGAACTATCGGTACAGATCGCCAGGGATATGTCCAAGGTTGCATCAGAAATTCCTCACGCTCAAGAGCCACACTGTCATGACACACACCCACCTGGAGGATTCAAGCCTGGTCGTCCCATCAAGATGTAACGTCTATCACTATATCTCCCCCACAGGAGGCAATTGTGGCTTTGGAGGCCATCATCAAACCAGTCACCGTGGCGGTCAATCTCGGATGCACAGAGCAAGCCTGTCTTCCTATGCTGTGTGGCTTGGCCTTATCAACTACACCACGCTGACATGTAGCCTACTTTCACGCCAAAAGATGATTGTCATGACTTGTAAAAATCAGGGTTTATTAGCGTGCACAGCATTCGCACCACCTTATCTGCGACAGCTCTGTTCAGCAGCATAATCTGAATTTCCCATCACGATTCAGTCCCACTGGAAGAGAAGGATGCTGCCGGTATTCACAGCAGACAACATGAGAAGTGTTGTTACCTGTACTCCGGAAAACACCATCCAGCTCCCCCTCGTGTTTCAAGCCTCTTCCCCTTTTCTTCTAGTCACCAAATACAGAAACGCATCATACCTAAAAGCTTTCTTAGTCCAGTTTGCCACGAATAGCCACATAGCACCAACTTCGAGTCTCTATGATTGCACTACAATCTGATCCATCAGAGCCCTCACTCTCGCGACCAAAGCGCACTCGTATATAAACAAGGCACAAACGTGGTGCTTCTCACTAAGGCCCTTATAGTGATCTCAGCTGCTTTCGTGTGCCTTCATGCGCTTTTTCTACTCACTGCACGAACGGTGAAGGGGAAAAGAAAACTGGAAACGGAAACGCAGTCAGGCCCCGTCACCTTTAGGCAGCCCAGGGAGCGAACAAGATATATCGACATGTGCGTGAGCGAATATTGACCAATCACTTTCTTGGGTGAGAGAGACGAAAAACCCCCAGGTGAAGTATCGATTCCAGCCAGCAGCCCAAGTGTCAACCAGCCCATGTTAATGGTGCACGAGGCATGGACCATCAATGCAGACTCTACTCCTCCGAGGCGTCGACGTCCAACGTACTATACAGTTCGTCTGTTGGGATTGACAGAGTGGACCAGCCATAGGAAGCTTTCTGGTAAGTGCTCGCAGGCTGTCTCACACTCCGCCGCACTCCTCTCTGCCTCGGGGAACCATTCTCATGTATCTCGTGTACTGCTTCGCCATGCGTCTCCCTTGTACTGAGACTGGCCTTGGATCATGGTACCCTCTTGTGTGTCGGGTGAGTGACTTTCTTGTAATCGTCGCGTAGTATGGTAGTCGTCGAATCACATCGTACACGAGATTGCCGTCCTCACTCACGGTGCCGTATATCACGGCCGGAGCGCCGTCGGCCTTCTTCGCCAATCGATTGTACGAGAGGCTTTTTAGTCATACCGTCCGACGACGCATTTGAATCGACATTCTAAGCATCATTGACTTTTTGTTTTAGGCCGATCTCTGTATTAAGTATCGCTCGCCTCCACCAGCGTGGAAAACAAAACAAAAAACAATAACGCATTTCAGCGAAAAGAGTTGTCCAAGTATGATTTTCTGTATGTTTATGTCCGTCCTCCCGGCCTGTCCTAACCAAATCCCAAACCAGTTACACTCATCCAGGCCAAGGAAAAAGCCCACGATCATCAGTACGAGATCTCGCCCCCTGGCGCACCCTACTCCCATCACAGGTGGGAAAAGGGCAAGCCAGGAGGGAAATCTCTCACAGCTCCAGACAGGCTGGTAGCCGTAGCCCCCCAAAACGACGACGAATAAAAAACAGGAAACACCCACAAGAAACTAACCAGAGTCCCCAAAAGCAAACAGTTGAAAAGAGAAGGAGAAATAAGATCCTCCAAGAGCCGACCGGTCTATGCAAACGCCGACAATAGAGAGATGGATGCAATGGGGTGAATGCAATGGGGTGTGGTTTGTATGCACTGTACTGGGTTTTTCTGATGGGAAAGGCGGGGGGGGAGAATGAGATTGCTGGGCTGAACAAAAGCAATTGGTCTTGTGAGTATCTGTGGTATCCGATGCATCGTCTCCTCCGCTTAAAAATCACGGTTCATCCCAAAAACAAAATGAAAGGCGTACTCCAAGGGCGAGTGTGCATTAGCATGCAAAATAGAGCGGCGAAGGGAGAAGAAAGACCAGCGGAGTGAGTAGAGAGGGTCTGGCAGAGCCCGGAGGAGACAGACGTCGGATGGCGCGGAAACATACATCTACACCCTATCGCCAGCGAAGTCCCAAACCTCGCAGTCGTCTTCGAAGAAGCCTTCGTCAGGCTCCGTTTCCTCGTCGATTTCCTTGCGCTTGAGGCGACGGCGCCTGGTTGTCACGACGACCTGCTCGATCTCTTCGTCACCCTCACGCAGAGCAAAGTCGCTCACCATGCCGGCAGCACCACCTGCGCCCGGACCATTGCCGTTCATGTCAAGGCCGAGAAGGTCGTCGGAGAAAGGATCGTCGTCATAAGCGTGCGATGACGGGAGAGTGACCTTGACAGAGGGGATATCAGATCCAAAAGCCCAGACAGTGCAGTCATCAACGTGATGAATCGCCTGAGCAATCGAGACTTCCTCTTCTACTTGCTGCTCGGCTTCACCTTCGACATGATCCTGGGCAGGAACGTCGTTGATGAACAGGTCAATCCGCCTGTCGGTATGGAACGGCTGATAAGGCGTATTGGTCTCAATCTCCGCAGTGGCTAGTGGATGAGCCATCATGCCCTTTGCCTTGGTCGCACCGACGGCAGGAGCTTTCGGGTTCCAATAAGAATCTCCAGACCTTCCAGTTCCAGGAAGCGGCGCAGGCTCTTCACCTGGCTTCGAGGTGAGATACGCAAACGTAGCGGGAGCGATAGTGCTATCTCTGATTGGGTTCAGGCCGTACTCGACGAGTTTCTGCTTGGTAATGCGTGTCTGGGGCCTGCCGTTCTTGCTACGAACCTCCTTGAAGTTGACTTTGTGAATGGTCAAAACACCACCAGAAACGAGCGCGATGCGAGGATCACGGTACTTCGGGTTGACGAGCCAGACCACCGATGATGCGTTCACGCCGTTGACCAAGGAAGGCAGCTGAAGCTTGTTGTCGCTAGCATGCTTGAGATTGCTGGCAGCACCACCAATCGACTTTCCAATGCCAGCAGCGACGGCTTTTCCACCTTTGGCACCGGCAGCGGGAGTCATGCTGAGGTTGCTCAAGCTAAAGCCAGACCCCACGCTGCCACCACGGTTGCGGACAGAGCTGAAGAAAGGCTTGGCTTTGCCGGTGATGTTCTGAGCAGCTGAGCCGATGATGCCGCTTCCTTTCGGAGGCTGTTCTTCCACAACTTCTTTCTTGGGTTGCTCATTCGGTTTGCGGACGCGCCTTGGTGGCGGCCACTGGAATGCAGATGCGGGCATCGGATACATGTGCACGGTTCCTTTGTCCGTCAGAATTGCAAGCCGACGGGCATTGCCAGCAGACCATGCAACATCAACGATGTTGGCGATGGTCATGCGCGTGAACTTTGCAACTTGCCGCACGTGCGCTTGTGAGGACCTGTTGCCACGTGTGCCACGAGAGCTGGTGTGGTGCATGCAGTTCAAGTCCCAGACGAACTGATTGTCTCCTTTCTTGCTGAAAGTCATCAACATCAGCCCACTGGGTGAGAAGGACAAGAAGCTGCAGCCAAGAGGTGCCGTGAAGGTGGTGAGCGGCTGAAGAGTGCTTCGGTTTTTCGTGGATTCGGTTTCCGCCATCTTTTGCATGTCAAAGATGGAGACCAAAGACGGCTCATTGCTGGATTGCGGAGGACTCTGGCTGTGTCCGTGAGTAGGTGGGAAGTACACTTGCCCCTGGTTGTCGATTGGCATGGTACCATTCGGATTCTGCTCGCTCGCAGGCTTGTTGCTCCAGTAACTCTTCCACGCCTGCATGCCGGTACTGGCAGCCCACTGCATGCCCTTCATGGCTTGCTGAGCCACCTCTCGAGAAGCGTTTTTGAAGAAACTATCTTCAGGAGCATCGACTTGGCAGTTTGCAGAAGGCGGTGGAGGTGGTGCGTGAGTAGTCATCCCCGGCGGCTTTGGTTGGGAGGGTGACAGAAGTGTGGTTCCGTTGAGAGAGTACAATGAAGATGACCCGGGAGGCACAACGGCTATCCAGCGCTCACTGAGCGCAAACAGAGGATTGCCGAAAGAAACCACGTTATCGCCTTCGAGGCTGTTCAACTCCGTCGAGCTCGCCGAGCTGGGGGTCGGGGTATGTTCACGGATTTGAACCGTCGTCCAGACCTTTCCGATGCATCTGAACGACGCCGGGTGGGCTTCCTCCTCCTTCGGTGTGAATACAAATACTTCACCGCTGCATCCCGAAGCAACCACTACGAATTTACCCTTGGCGTCGATCCGCAGATCACCCACTGGAGGCGGGGGCTGAAAGACAGGGCTGTCCAATGGTGTAGTGAGGGGCACTGGCGGGGCCTTGTACAACGTTGCGACATGCGTGCCTTTTTTCAGGGACCATATCTCAACGGTCGTCTGATAGTGAGTCACGTCTGCCAAGTTGGTGTCGCCCAAAGCGGAGGCTGGACGGGTGGGCGGGCTCGACGAGCCTTCGTTCTCATCGGTGCAAGCGCCAGAAGAAGAGCCACTTGAGTGGCGGGTATCCTTTACACCTTCCAAGAGTGGTCCGTGAATGACAAGTGCAACCAATGGACGATCGTCTGCACAAGGGTCTGTACCGCCAGACCACTGCACTATCTTCGCACCAATAACTGCACCCCTTAGGCCTTCCACCCTTCCCAAGACGTTCATGTGCGATGCTCTCACATCAAAGGCGTCAAGACCACCCTCATAACCCACCAAGAGTGCGTTCTGTCCCACCCGTGATGATGGTTTGTCTCCAGCTGCGTCAAGCGTGTCAAATCCACAGTAGTAGCCGTTGGCTCCAGGTGTCATCTCGCCCTGTGGGGCATCCAACCCAAAGTCGACATCAGGCAGATTATAGAAATGTGACTGTGGCTGGTGTGGGAGCGGCGGCTGCTGCGAATACTGCGAGAACATGGACGCACGGCGATCTCGGGGTGGCGACTGGCGCGGGGAGACGCCTAGCCTGCCGCCAAAACTGGGGTAGTGGTTCGGGTGGCTCATCGGCCTGCCCCCAATGGTAGGTGGGGAGTTGGAGACGCCGAAGTTCTGGCCGGGCGAGCCGCTCAAGCTTCTTCCATTGGGTGGGCCTTGTCCAGCAAAGAAGGGCAACGACTTTGTCCACTCGCTGGTGTAGTGTGCGGCGGTTGTTGTGGTAGTGCCAAAAGCGGAAATGAGAGGCGAGGTCGCAGGATTAGGGGAGGCTTGGTATCGCGTTGCAGACTGCGGAGACTTTGCTCTATTGAGAGGAAGACGTTAACAAAGGACTGGAGCTGGTGAGGAGACGCTGCAGGCGGGAAAGCGGGCTGTGGGCGGTGAAGTAGAAGCTTTATCGGCCACGTTTGCGCTGGCTCCCGCCAGTTCGCCGGTTCTGATCCGATCGATGGCAACCACGGCTCAAGGTGGTTGTCCACCATCATGTTTGTCGTGGAGCGGCAAGGGCCCCGGAATGTCTGCCGGATAGCCCCTCACTCTCGACTCCGCTGGGGTGACTCACATCTCTCTGGGGAAGATACGCGTAACGCGCTCCCCATAGCGGTCTCTTCGTCCAAATTCATATCGCGATATGTTCCGCCCTCGGGTCTGCACGGTGTCGACTCCTCGCGATCGGTTGCGGTTGTGCTGTTGGTATAGGTATCCAATGCCGGGCTGGGGGTTCGTCAGGGCTGCCGCGTTCTCAGGCGATGAGGGCATGAAATGAGCTTCGGCGGTTGCGGGCGGGAGAGCGGGGGCGCGAGCGCAGTAGTCGGGTTTGGGATGGAGAGCGAGCGGCGGTGTCTGGCTGCTCGCTGCTGCGTTGGAGGGTACCGGAGCTTGGACGCAGCGCGGTTGCGTGGCGGGGAGACGTCACCGGTGGTGCCTGAGACAATGGACGGTTGCGGCGTGGTACTCGCCCGTGATCAGGCCTTGTGCGCGCTTTTCCGCGTGCCGGAGCTGCTCTCGGTGCAGGTGGCTCTTGTCGCGTCTCACGGAGGGCTGGTTGCGATACGCGCCGGGTCTGGCTGTCACAGCGGAGCGGGTCGGCGGGCGGGAATGCTGGTACCGGCGAAGTCCGGGTGCGATTCGGCCGGTTATGCAAAGACAGGAGGGGGCATGAAGCGCGCAGAGAATCCGAAGAGCTTCAGGCGCGGTGGGTTTGTGGTGGGGGAGGGTGTTGAGAGCGGGGCAAGTGAGTTGTTGAGGCGGTACCTCTGGTTGAAGCTGCGCTGATACGGGGAGTATCTGCGAGCTGCATGCCGACGGCGGCGGGAGGGGGCATCAGCGCGGGGCCATGCAGCCTCCACGGCCGGCCTGGTCCCACCTTAGCCGCGCACGTGAAGCGGAGCTTTATCTTCGTCATTTTGCGGCCTCTCGCAGCCCTCGCTCAAGTCACGCCCTGTTTTACCCTCGACAGCCCGCGCGCCAGCGCTGTCACGAGGCCATGCCACGCCACTCACCGCCGCCCAGCGCCACACGCTGCCCGCGAAGACAGCGCTCCACCCCGCGCAGGATGACCCCTGGCCGACGTGCCTCACGCTGCGCTGCACGCCTGCTGACTGCCATGGCAGTAAGGAGCCGCTGATCCGTGACGCCAGCACTCATGGGGTGAACGCTCCATGCTCTTACCACACTCCTTGCCGTCTCCGCCACAGCACAATCAACGTGTATTGCACCCGAGCCCATGCCGATCCTTCGCAAATATTGGCTCAGTGCGCGACCGGCCAATCACAGTGCCGGTCTAAAGCGCTGATTACCCTTTTCGTCACCTCGTCCATCAGAGTAGCCTTCTAATAATACACGGCTAATCGTGCCGGCCGCCTCCGACGGAGCTCATTCTGGCCTTGAAACACGGAGCGAGCATATCTATTACCGCACTCCCGGCTCTGCCTTCCATGCATGCAACCCTCAGCGGCATCGTCGACTCCGTACGACCGGCTTCTCAGCCCCTCCCTACTCCACTCCATTCGTGTCGTCATCTATGGTTCCGTCCGACTCCAGGTGGCAATCTCCCGTACAATATCCGGGGTAAGACGATCAGATCACCACCTGTCTGGTGACCTTCTAGAACGTACGGTACCCTATGCTTCGCTCACTTTCAGGGGGGTTTCTTGTCCAATCCCGTTAATTGCCTATCTAAGCCGAGTGTAACCGTAGAGCCCGACCTTATGTCGTCTTTCCTTGCTCTGCCTCACGAATCGATCGCATTCCTGAGAGCCGTTTCCCAATCCCATCCAATCATCCTCAAACCCATGTTACTCCACAACCAATAGCTCACTCAGCCCTTGTTCAGTAGAGGGGGTTCAGTAGGACCAGTCTCCATAGAAACGGTCTCCATAGGAATGGTTCCGCTAGGAACGGTCCCCATAGAAACGACATTATCAGCAGGGATCGACTGCTCCAAGTTGGATGTCGCCTCCGTAGATGTGGTACCTTCCGCACCATCTGCCATCTCCGCATCGACCCGCGTCTTTGAAGGACGCTTCGGCGGCTCCAGCGAGGTCGGAACACAGCCATGGGGCTGTCCTGCCTCAACGAACGGCATGTTCTGCAACTTTGAGTCACTCGACTTGACCGGGATGACAGAGATGCGACAGAACTCCTCGTCACAGCCAAAGCGAACTTGCCAGTAGTGCGGATCGGCGATCGAGGACATCCTGAAGCCGCGGATGTGCGGTGAAGGTCCATCCTCAGTGACGCCATATGCACGAATCTCTTCGAGGCTCAGGTCGTCCCAGGCCTTCTGCATGATGTAGCGATAGTCCAGAGTGACACGCTGTGTGAACAAGTGGAGAGCGTAGTTCTTTGCGTCGGCCTGGAGTCGGAAGGCTTTCGTGTAATGTTCAACGGTGGAGAACCCGTCGGTCTTTGGGCGTTGATCCTGTACGGCGAACTCGAACTGCGATCCTCCATACTCCACCATGGGCTGGTACTGGATAAGCACGACGTAGACGGTGTCGCTCCGTTGAGAACTTTGGGGAGCCTGTGTCGTCTGGGCTGTATTGGCAGCGTCGTTAGTAGGGGCCGGTTGCTTGTTCTGGGTGCTAGCATTCACATCGACGTCGCCGTTTCCGTTGCGTTGAGGGATGCCTTGCGCATTCTGTATGTCAGAATCGTTTGCGATGAGCGCGTCACGCACAGGATCGAGAGGTAAGCTAGCGGGTTGCGACTGCAAGAGATGATCACAACCGGGTAGTTGTTGACGGCGTGCTACAGCAGGATGGAACGGCTGGATCTGAAACCGTCTCTGCTCAGCCAGACGCGCTGCCTCTTTCCTGTACTCGTGACTATCTAGGTCGAGTTGCTTCATATGCATCAATCCAACGAGTTCAACATGTGTGAGGGTGCAATAGTGGACACCAACCGTCACCTCTGTCTATGTGTTATTAAGGTATGCCATACTACCCTGAGGGTGGGAGGAAGCAGGGTATCACGGAGACTTACATGGGGCTTGTCAACACTTGGAACGACCGTGATCTCCACTCTCCCAGCAGGGTCAGTCATCCAGGCCGGCACCGGTGGCTTCTTTGTTTCGTTGTGTATGATAGCCTCGGGCACGCCACCGTGATCGGTCTGGTCAATCTCGTCGGTTTGATTGGTCTGATAGGTCTCGTCGGCCTGGTCGGTCTAGTCGCGTAATAAGTTCCACATACGAGAAAGATCATGAGAATACAGACCTCGTTGTTCGCAGTTGCAGGAACGCAAGTATCATCTGGCGCGTCGGGGTATTTTGGCGGTGTGGGCGAGGGCGTAGAGACCTCCATCTTTCTGGCCATTAGCGCAGTAATCGCAAGCAATATAGGAAAGTCTTACATAGTCGCTGAGCGAGGAGTCGCTCGACGCGCCGTCAGACGCCGTTTCCACGTCTTGCTGCATAGCAGCTGTCGATGGGTTCTTTTTTGAGGTTGAGAAGCTGGGCAAAGTGCGCGTTGTCCGGTTGTGTTCAGGCGTGGCGGCGTGGTCATCAAAAAGGAAGGAGCGTTGCCGCAGTGCCGAAGGGCTAAACTGCGGTCCTCCCATCTGCACCTCCGTATGCCATCACCCTTTGCGCACGAGCGCACCTATCTAGCTGGGCTGTAAATCTCTGTATGTAGGGAACACCAACTTTCAGCAAACTTGTGGTGGCTGTTTTGCTTGTGCGCTTTGAGCTGGTCCCTGCGGAATAGATCAGCGCACAACATACCGACTAGACCGAGCTGATTCAAACAAAACCTGAAATTTCTTTCCATAAGTCTATTAAACGAACCCAACCGGTACCCGCTTCGCCAATCCAACGCCAAAATGCTCGTTCAAAGTCGTAAGACATAAACTATGCTGCAGTCGCTTCTTCGTTGGCATCCTTGGCCGATGAACCGCCACAAACACTGCCGACAAATTCCTTGTAACGAAACACATCTCCACGACCCAACGCGCCTTTGCCCATCTTTCCTAGGGCTCTGCGGCCTCTGAAGCCTTCGACGACTCTCTCAATCTCCAGCTCCGTAAGTCTCTCCTGACCTGGCTCCGGCGCTGTGTTCATCAATGCATCCCTCAATTCCGCGACATCAATTTGGCCATCATCCTGGTCATCGAATGCTTCGAAAGCGGAGAGAAGCTCCCGCTCCCTGCTTAAAGGTGCGAGCAGGGAAGCCATCATGTTGAGGTATGCGGAGAGATTCAGCGACTGCGGCTGCCCGTCGAAATATGGAGTGATGGAAGCAGGACCGTTATCGAGGCCAACCTGAGAGAGAGCTTCCTGGACGTCCGGAGCGCTGATGTTGCCTTTGTTGTCGCGGTCGAGCACGCTGAATGATTCACGCATGCTGTGTAGCAAGGCCGGAGGAAGGTGGGCGAGTGGGTCGCTGCTACCGAGCAACGACGCAGCCCTGGCCGCAGGTGGTGGCCGTTGCGGCCGACGCTCAACAGGCGGAGAGGGGGGAGGCTTGATGGTACTCGTATCGGTGGTCATGGTGATGTTGCGTTGGACAGGAGGGCGGGTTGGCGAGGCTGGGGGATCTGGGCTTAAGGTGGTCTTGCGAGTTGTCAGGAACGGGCTGCCCAGACTAGGCCTGTCAGAAGTCTCCGCTGCGGATCCATAGCCTGACTCGTCGGGTTTGGCGCCGTCGGTTTCGTCATTACTGCGGACGGAAGATGTGGAGCGGCGAAAGGGACTGTCGCGTTCCTTCGCGGGTGACAACCGCGAGGGTGTGGTCGGACGAACTTCCGAAGGCCTCGAGGGCGACGCGAAGGGCGAGCTGCGCAATGCCGACGGAGAAGTCGTGTCGAGTCTCGAGCCTGAGCGACGGAATGGGGAGGCGCGATTGGGGTTCGCAAATAGATTTGAGGTCCTGAGCGGGCTCGAAGGGCCGGGGGCGGACGACTAGGCGCGGATGGGTTAGAGCAGCGCAGCGGCGTGCGGATGGGCTTCTTACCATGTTTGGGGCGTGAGGATCGGAGCGCGGTGTGGAGGGCGGTGGTGGCTATGGCGGTGACAGTCGCCGGTGCAGGTGGAGTTGCACAGGCGCAGGCAGGGCGATGACGCGCGTGTTGATGCTGGGCCGGCTTGGGCGCTGTCGGTGGAGCAACGCGCCAGGCCAAGCGGCGTGGCCTTGGGGGACCCGCGCGGGAATTAGCGAGTCCTTCGACCAGGGGCTCGCCCGTCTAGGCGCAGCCCTGCCGCACTACATGCGGCGCGTTTGGCTGCAGCTGGGCTCGCAAAACTCTCATCGTCTCTAGCAATGGCGTCCGGATAGAGTGCATCGTGAATTCTGCTCAGTCCTCCGTTGCACCGCGTCGTCAAAACACGCGCCGCGCAAGACACGCTCCCCGCACGAGTCAATCACCCCCACCGACCGTAACCCCTGCTCCACTTCACATCAGAGCTCTCCTGGCCCCTTCCACCATGGCCTCCGTGCAAGTCGCGCGGCCTCCACCGCCTTCTCCTCCCACGACTGTCGCCCCTACTGCCACCAAATCGCATCGCCAGTCGTCGCTCTCCAGTTTCCCGCCCTCGCGCTCCCCGTCCACACTCTCGCGCCCCTCGCGCTCGCCCGCGCCGGCTCTGATCCCCCGCGATTACAGCCCCTCTGCCTCGTCGCGCAGCTTTAGACCGCGCTCGTCAAGCCGAATGGGTCGCCCTCTGCGCTCGCAGTACCCCTCGAATTCGCGCGAGAACCATGTCGAGTACATTCTTGTCGCGAGCTTCGATATCGACCGGGGGAGTATCATGGAGCACCAATACCCCGGTCCAATCAGCGGCGACGAGCATATGCTGGCAGACCTGATGCTTCCGGATCAGGCTCACGTCCGTAGTCAGGACTGGACAATATTTTTCTTGCACAAGGATACCGAGGCTGAGGAGGAGGCCAAAGAGGAGCGGCGAGAGCGCAGGCGTCTGCGCAGTGAGCGGAAGGCGAAGAAGGCCGCCAACGGCAACGGCACCGGAGAGAATGGCGCCGTCTCAGACGAGGAGGAGGATGACGACGATGATGATCTCGACTCGGAAGACTCGGAAGAGAGTGACGATGAGGGTTTTGAGGGGCCGCCTTTAATATATGTGCTTAACTTAGTGAATACCAAGCAAGACAATACAGTAAAAAGGTATGTACGGCTGCGGTGAGCATCAAAGGCCATTGTTGACGCGGTAACAGAGGCGCTGTCTGCAAAGCAATGGCAATCTGCACAAGGCACAGCTTCCTCCACATTTACAAGGTAACCATGTCTCCCGCTCCCCTCCATCGAACGCCTGGATGCTCATTTGCTCCCAGCCATTACTGCTGCTTGCTATCGAGGAATACTTCCGTAACCCCGAACCAGAGACACTCGCTTCCCTATATGACTCTCTCAATTCCATGGATCTCTCGCTATTACCAAGACTGTCTTTCCTCGAACGCAATATCCTCCAGGCCTCTTCCGCACCCGATATGTTCATCGAGAAATTCGAGCAAATGGTCGCCCAAAGACAGCTCGAAGATATGAAGGACACGCGACTAGCGCTGTCCAAGACAACTTCGGGATCTCCAACTCGTGCGCCTGCCAACAAATACACTCTTCCAAGAGACACACATGAGTTTGAGTCTCGGGTCATGTACAACGGGATCCCAGTGCCCATCAAGGTTCCAACTGCTATTCAGCCGGAGACCGTTGGAGATTTCTCCCTCATCAAGCTCATCCAGACCTTCTCTACACCGCACGCCGCTTCTCCACAACCTTTCACGCTGCATCCGCACCTCACAACTTCTGGAGCCTATACACATCCGATTATTGTGCTGGTCAACGCTCTGCTGACCCAAAAACGCATCGTCTTTCTCGGTCATAATCGTCCCTCTGGAGAAGTCGCTGAGGCTGTCCTTGCAGCGTGTGCACTAGCATCCGGAGGCGTGCTACGAGGATTCACTCGCCACGCATTTCCCTATACCGATCTGACAAAAATTGATGACTTGATCCAAGTTCCCGGATTTATTGCCGGTGTCACCAACCCTGCGTTCGCTCATAAGCCGGAGTGGTGGGATGTGCTTTGCGATCTGCCTGCAGGTCGTATGAAGATCTCTCACAAGATCGAAGGCGCAGGGATAACAGACGGCCTACTCTACTTTCAACAGCAGCAGGCTATGCTGCCCCCCGGGCTTGCGAGCGCTCTTGGTCAAGGTCTGAATGCTAACCTCAGCATGAGCATGCCCAGCACCAGCGGAAAGGATGTCGATCCCACGGGAGACACCCAATTCATGGAAGCCATCCTCGGTGCCATCTCCAATCGTCTTGGAGAAGGAGCAATCCGATCGCGCTTCCGTGACTGGGTGCTGAAGTTCACGCGGCTCGCAGCCGCGTCCGAGGAGACGGTATACGGAGCTTCGGCTCTGCACATCGGCGCGCAATCCGCGGCTTCGGCGCTGTCGCCCACGTCGCCCGAAGCCGAGTTCTCGCCCATCGACGCCAATATCAAGGGACATGGCTACGTGTGGGCCACCGAGTCCGAGAGGCTGCGGGAGCTGGGCGCGAACGTGCATCGGGTGGAAGGGTGGCGCAACACGCGCTCGTACTACAGCTACGTCCAGGACCTGGCGCGCATGTGGGAGCGACAGCCCATCCGGCACCTCGACCTGCTCTGGTTGCTTGACCGCCTGCGCGCAACGCGCCTGACCCACGAGCAGAGCGCCGGCGTCTACCTCGCCCTCGCCCGCGCGGTCGAGGAGGCCGGCAAGCCAAAGCCGGGCGACAGCAAAGAAGACGCCGCGAGCAACCACAACAACAACATCGCCGCCATCATGAACGAGAACGAGAACAGCGCCTCTCCGGACGAAGACGGCAACGGCAGCCCGGTCAGTCCGACGGCAAAGGTCGGGCCGGACCACCGCGCGCTCTCGCCCACCTCGGCCGCGGCGCAGCGCCAGTACGACACGATCCTGCAGCTGCTGAGCGTGACGCCCGAATCCAACAGCGGCCTCTTCCACCTCTCGCTCGGCCTGTTCCACCCGCGCGTCGACGTGCGCCAGGCCGTCGTCGCCCTGCTCGAGAAGGTCATGGATCACCCGGCCGGCCGCCACTTCTGGGCCAGCCTCGGCCGCTTCGCCAAGCTGGCGCTGTACCGCATCAAGAGGGAGCAGGAGGTGGTGGTCACGCCTGGGCTGCTGTAGTGACTGGGTCGTTGTTGAATGAATCTTTGGCTTTTGTTTTTCTTCCCTTCTCCCCCCATTTTTTTTGGTGGCCTCTTCTTTTTCATTTTCGGGTGGCTTGTTTTGATTTCTCTCGTGCGAAAGAAGTGGGCAACGAACGCAGAGCGGAGGGATTGATTTGTGATGGGAACGAAGAAATGAAAACGATACCCGATTCTCTTCCATTCTTCTTGGAATGCTCTACTTCTACAACATATATACACATTCACTCGTATATAGTACAACAGCTATTTAGGCTTGTGGGAGAAGGAAAGGATTTCTCATGTCCGGTAGAGGAAGCTGTGTCATCCGGATCAACAGACGGGGCGGGGTTGTCTGTGTGAGTCAAGCAGTCTGTTTTTATATCGTTCGTTAATGGATTGCCGGATCGTTTCAGCTTCCAAGTACATAGATGGCGAATACTCTTCTATTTCCACGCAAGACCCCCTTCTCCAACGATGTAAAAGGTCTTCTATACTCCCGGCGTTGATGGGTTAGTAAGAGGGAATAAGTCGTGCACCGATGTGCCAAGACAAATCATCTTGCAGCGGGTTGCAAAAGAATTGAGCATACCTACGTCTGCCCCACAGAGGATTTGAACGTCTTCCGTAGGTGATAGGATCCTTTATCTGCAGATATTCCATAGATCTAACATTCGCATCTGTGTCCGGGTGTTCGCTTCAACTATCCACGCAGGAAGGGAAAAGGCGGGGCACGGAGGAATTAAATAGTCTTCCTTGAAATTTGTAATGGTGGAATTTCAGCGGACCCACACAAACATGCGGTAATATCTCTGTGAAGCAGATATAGGTGACTATCCTTTTGGAACGACCGGTTGCAGTGGCGCAATTCGTGACGATCCAGCGAGCGGAATCAGCTTGTCGAGTAGGTGTGGCGTCTAGTACTCTGCGGATGTAACCGAAAAGGAACATCTCAACGCAAAAGTGTGACTTAGATGCCTCATTACTTGTCTGGTCTCTTAAGGTCAAGTATGGCTGTATGATTGGAGGGCTGTTCGGTTGATGGGGGAAGCGAACCGATTGGGCGGGAGCTGCGTTATCTGAGCAGTGGTGGTTGTGTGGCGTACCCAACCTCGCAGAAGCTGCACGACCTCGACGCGCGTAAAGTTGTAGTAGTGATCATGTCGTCTCCAAGTTAATTCGAAGGGAAGCAATACAAATCATTTGCTAGAGACACGATTCCATTCGCTGCCACAATATGATAGGCCTCCATTTTTCGACGACTCATATGCTCTCAAGCGAATCCAAAGACGAATTTCCCTGAACAACAGCGTCAGCCGGTGTGGAGCTATGGTGGTCGTTCAACAAGCCTAGACTGTGCTAGTGGGACAAGAAGAGTGAACAAGCATCTCACGTCATATACTCCGTTCTTGTTCAGCCAGCCGTTGCCTTTCACGGTTGAGAAATCCTCCTGAGGGTTACGGGGCTTACAAGCAAGTCCTCAACCGGGGCTATTCTTACTGATTAGCTGACTGGGCTGAGCGCCACGATCCGATCTACGGTCAGCATGCTCCAGCTTACGAGTGAATCATGTATCAGTAGAGGCGTGGTAGCTTTTGAGTCTTCTGCAGCCACATCGCCATCAGCAGTCGGTCGATCATGCGGAGTGGTGACAAGCTTCTGCACCGCCTTGAAACCTCACCAATGGAGCATTGCTGGCGCAACGTCGTGGAACAAGCCAGTCCATGCAGACCATCACTCGGTATTACAACAACGGTGCGACACTACGTGCACTGCCGTAATCCACAAGCAGAGACCCGGATTGCATGCTGCCCGGCCCCCACTGTTTCAGGCTCTAACGGATACGCAGAGTCCAAGCTCCATGTCGAAGCTCCAGCATCAGAGTCACGGAGTGCCACGTAGAAAGTCGCTGCTTGCTACCTACGTCAACGATCGTCCACCGATAAGCTTACAAGGCCACAGCTTGCCAACCAAAAGGAACCTCTCCCTACATGACCAAGTTCTCTTGAGCCGTTGTTCTATTCTTGGGCAAGGTCCAATCGCTCAAACCCGCCTGCACCGTTTTTAGCTCGCCCCTTCTAACTTGGACGATGTAAAACGTAAGGCGTGCACAGTAATAAGAAGAATGCGAGTAAATCATCATCTCAGAGACTGCCCGATCTGTCGTCAGCATACAACGTATACACGCCGGAGCCGATGGCAGGAGGGCCAACGAACGCATGGACTGCGCGGGTGGTGCACGGCTGACGTAGGTAAGTTGTCCAACGGCCTTGAAAAGAAAAAGCAGCTACCGCCTTTTCGTAAGGTTGTGGCTTTCGGAGGAGCTAGCATGACGTCAGGATGGGGCCTGCGCGACTCGTAAACGACATGAGTTGGAAAACAACCGGCCGACGGGCGCTGTGTAACGAAACGTTGTGCCAAAGGATCCCGTGCTCTGCTGAAAGCGGCATGCTGTGGCCTGTTGCCATGGCTGACAGACCGAAGAGTAGCCTGCTGCAACGATCTGCCGCCCGTGGACAGAAGTGGTGGAAGTGCGGGGTCCCTGAATTGACGGACGTCTCCAGCCATTAGCCGTGCGTCCAGCGTCGATGGCCCTGGGCAGCTGGGGATGGGGATGCCGTCGGCTGAGACGTTTCGGGTCTCCGAATGGACCATCAGCATCATGACATGCATTAGCTGGGGCAGATCGATATGCGGCGAGCCTGGTGGTTGCGCTCAGGGCATAATCTCCGCCTGCACGTGGGCTTTGCGACTGGTCTCACGTCCGGACTCGCTCTCGTACACGCCATGTCCTTCGCAGCTGAAGCGAGCGGAGTGAGAAGACGTCGGTCGGGGGGCACGAGCTGGACGGTGGACGGGTGCCAGACGCGCCTCGTGGGTGCAGCAGATAGCGCAGATGCGGATGCTGCACGACGAAAACGTGACGGGCCTCGTGGGGGGGCGTCTGGATGTGCCACCGGCGGCTCGGCGCCACGGCGGGAGGTCTTGCGGACGCGGGCCAGGCGATAACGGGAGCCGGGTGACCTGTAGACTGATGAGGATGTGCCAGCGGTATCGCGAGCAAAAGACTTCTTGGTCGCAGGACTAGGCCGTGGCGGGCTGCGGGCGGGCTAGCTGGCGGGCGAGAAGGCCATTGTCAAAGGCGCGGGCCGCAGACCGCCAGCTCTGGCTGCCAAAAGCGGCGTGCACTCATGACCACGGCTCTCCACCCCGGCCGCGCATGACAGGTCGACGTTTGGCGGCGGCTGCACGCTGGGCGGGCGAAAGCAGGGCGGCGGCGCGCTGGGCGTTACCCACCCGGCGCGTTCGCACAGGTCTGGCGCTGTCGGCAGAGCAGAGCGTTACCCACCGCTGCTTGCCCTGCGATTTGCTAGCGCAGTAACGTGACGCTGCAGGCAGGGCGGCACCTGGCGGTCACGGCACTGGACGAGTCGCGAGCCGGCAGCGATCCTCGAAATGACCTCAGGTGAGATCTTCCCCGGAAGGGCCCGCTGCAGCAGCGCAAAGGGTGGGGCCCGTTTTGTTTCCGCTTGACTCGGCGGCGGCGCCGACGTAAGCCAGCGAGCCAGCGAGCCAGCGAGCCAGGAACGCGCCTCGCAGTCGCACAGCGGCCCTTGGGTGAGGTTGCGACGGCGGCGCGGTAGCGGCCAGGCCGGGGCTCGGGCGCGGTGGCATGGCGGGAGGAGAAACGGGCTTGGGCGCGGCTCGTCGCCTTGGCCGATCTGCGGTGAAAGCCGGCTTGGGGCGGTGGAGAGGGGCGCTTTGGGGGGATTTGGAAGGGCGTCGTGGTTCACGCGCAGGCCGTGGTGTGATATGGCCGCACCAGTTCCCCGCGCGCGCTCCACGATCATGGCTGGGCTGCAGGCCCCCCTGGTCCGCGCCGCATGCCCAGATATCTGAAAAGAAGACGCTGCCGCGCGCGCTCTTTGTCCAGGCCTGCCCCGTGCAAAGCCACACCCGACCACGACAGGGCGAATACACACTGAGACACGCCGCCGCGCGCACCGTCCAGGCCTGTCGACTAAATCCACCAGCCCGCCCCGGCCTAACCACCGAGCCCCGACCGCCATCCAGACACTGCGACCCAGCGCAGCCGCCTGTCATATCCAGACCCCCGAGCCGACATGTGCGCCAATTGCGCCGCATAGCTCCTCCGCGCCCTCAAATTCACCCCGGTCGCCGCTCAAACAAAGCCCGACTCCCAATCCACCATGAGCGCGTCTGCCCTCGGTGCTGCGCTCTTCCGCCAACACTCCACCATGCTGCAGTGCGCCATGCCCCAGTGCCCGCCGCCGTCGCAGCGCCCTGCCCCGGCAAACGACTCCGCCGCAAACAACTCCCGTCCGAACGCCGCTCCGGCCGCTACCACCACCGCCGCCGCCGCAAACGCCAGCACCTCGGCCGCCAACTGCTACGGCTATCACAACACCTTCCACACCCACACCCAGCCCTGCGACCTGGATGCCAAACCACCCGCCTACGCGCCGCGCCAGCCCGCGGAGAAATGCAGCAACGAGGCCCTGCCAAGCTACTCGTGCTCGGTGTTATTCGAAGGGCCGCTGGGCATCAAGACCGAATGCATCAACTTCTTCGACAAGCCGTGCCCAAAGGAGCGCCAATGGCAAGACGTCTACGCCATCCTGCGCGGCACCCAACTCAACATCTACCGCCTCAAGACCACCCTGTTCTCCAAATCCAAGAAGCCGGCGCCCGGCAAACTGCTGCGCACATACTCACTCCAGCACGCCGAGCTCGGGCTCGCCCTTGACTTCAAGAAGACTGACCTCGTGCCCAAGTCGCCGCTGGCCAAACTGGTGCCGCTAAACTCGCGCCAGGCTGTCTACCAGACCGACCCACACCTGTTCTGGCCAATCAGAGAGCACGTGATGCGGCTGCGTCTCGAGGCGGATCAGTTCTTGCTGTGCGCTGCCGAGCAAGAGGGAATGTTGGACTGGATCGAGAACCTGTGCGCTGCCGTCGACATCAGCCCGCCTCTGGAGGACCGGAGCGAGCCGCGGTACCGCAGCCTCCCCAGAAGAGGACGCAGACAGAGGCAGCTGGACGGCCGCCCGACCCGCCAGGAGGCCATTGATCTGCACGCCAGGAGACTGCTCGCCGAGCAGGAACGCATCATCAGGACCATGTATCCGAACCTCGCCCGCGACGGAGACGACGAGCACCCGGAGCACCCGGAGCAGTCGGAGCAGCCGCTTGGCGAAGCCGACGGCGACGCTGAGGATTTTGCCATGGATCTGCTCTTCCCCAACAGGCCGCCTTCACCGCGCCCTGGCAACTTTTCCAACAGTAGCACGCAGAACATGGATGACGCAACTGACCGCACCACCGCCCGCCGCGCTTCGGTGGATTCCCAACTTGCCCCCACTTCGGGCAAGTACCCCTTGGCCGAAAACCCGCAACCCTCGGCATCCTCCACTCTCCGCTACCGCCGCCGCTGCGCTCCCGTCCTTTTGGCAGCTTCGCCCCGGGCGAGCGATGTCATGTACTGGGACGGCATGCGACTCCGCATCAACGTGAAGAGGCAGATTGTCATGGAGTTTCACGAGTCGCCGCCTCACTACACGGCTCACCGCTTCACGGCCGCCGACCGCGAGGCTGCTCTTCGCACGAACTCACGGCCGGACGTGCGGCGCGAGGCGTCCGACGACAGCGTCGCAATGTCTTTCCACAGGGACGCCGACGTCGAGCTTACTCCGGTGGCCAGCCGCAGTACTCAGCAGCGATCAGACCTGGACGACGTCGAGTCGCACCAAGCTGACCAACAGGTGCACGAGAGCACGCCACCTAGCCCGACCCCGCTGCAGCTCACCAAGGTCAAAACCGAAGGCGAGCGCAGCGAGCGTCGCCTGTTGGACAGGGTCAAGGGGCCGCTCACGGGTGTTGCCGAGGCATTTGGCGGCCTTGTCGTCTAGGCAATGGTGGTGCCACACTCGCCACCCGCCACAAGACGGCACATGGTGGCACAATGCCTTTTTCCATTCATTCTTTCCTTTGTACAGCCCTTTCATCACAACGGCTTTTGCCGAGCGAACCAGCGAACTAGCATCCAAGCATCTCACAGCTTTTGCCCTCGATCCGGCTGCGACCACGGACCCCGCCGGACGGCAGAGGGACAAAGCAAGCGAACGAGTACTCTGTAACGATCGACGAATCTCCCAGAAATCACCAAACAAGCATCGAACGGCCGCGCAGCAGAGCTTGCGACGAGCTGAAACGGCGCAGGCGGTTGCTCAAGAATTCTTTTTGCACACGGGCGTCCTGGCGACATTGCTCAGGATGCCGAAAGGCGTTGGAAGATACCCCCCCATCAATTCATAGCACAAGCGTGGTGCTGCCTGTCCTTTTCTTTCCTTTGAACACACGTCCGTCACTCCTTTCCTTGAAAATGTTTGCTCGCGTTTTTCTTGTCTTTCTTTGTCAGCTATTCTGGGCCCGCGGTGGGGAAAAGGCTTGGGTAAGGGAAAGGGAACATGCAGTCGTGGCGTTTTTGCAAGCAAGGATACCCCGCACCAGACGGACTCTCGGGTATGGAGAAGAGGGTTCAATTTGCCGGCGTCAGCAGCAAGTTAGGTCGAACGAAACGAAACGCACCCAAGCTGTCGTTTCTGAATCAAAAGATTTCCACAATCCTTCCCCTTGGCGAAGGTAATCGTGACTTGGCTTGCAGCGGAGATCTACGAGATGCGCTTCATACTTTCACCAGCACTTGCAGGCCTCCTATCACACCTTCCGGATCTGAGACAAGCGGGTGACTCGTGCCTGCGTTATGCGCATAAGACGAAACGCCTCGCGACAACGCGCAGCAGGAAAAGAGCAAAAGGAAAAGCGCAGACTCCAGCCCTGGACCCTGTCAGACGGCTGGATGGCGCCAACCGCCCCCATCCAACCATAGCTTCGCCCAATAGACTACGGACGATTCGGTTCTTCCAGAACAGAGTTGAAGCTGCACCTCGGTCTTACCTCCGCCGCCCATCTCCCTTGTCTCTGTCAGCAAGGGAAAACGCTCATGTAATTCAGGCCGTGCGTGCACGACTCGTCAAGCGCCTGCAAGCCATGACGCTTCTTGAGAGTCCCTTTTCTCCGACGCTGGAGGCTACTGCTTTCAGGCGCTCCTACTGGCAAACGGACGGACTTTCCAATTCCGAAGCTCATTGATCACAGCAAGCTCCCTACCCCAGCGCCACGAACCCCCTTCTCGCATCCCTCATAATCTCATCGCCATCTAGTCTACTGAGTTCCTCCGCTGCGGGTCGCCACCGTTCTCTCCCCCGGGCCGGTCGCGGAAATGATCTCATCAACCCGACTTTTGCGGTGGTTTTTGTTTCCAAATCCGACCCGACAGGTCCATGGTAAGGCTGAAGAAAACCGACCTAGATCTCCGCGGGGGAAACGCCTCTCTAAAAAAAAATAAAAAAAAAAAGTCCGACTACTGCTTATGTACTTGAGTTTCGCACCCGCCCATCTCCCCGTCACTCTTCCCCGTTTCATCCTGACCTTCATCCTTCGACCCCGGCTGGCGGGATCAAAATCGCAGAATAAGGTTCGCAGGAGTTTCCGTCGAAACGGCGTCCGGCTCCTTCTCATCGCGCATACATGCCAGCCCAACCCACCGCTAGTGGGATATCTTATTAGTGGTGGGTGCCTAATAACAGGAAAAGCTGACATGTGCCCATCTTTTCTCTCTTTGAGGTTAGCCATGGAAGGAGGGACCAATGATGGATGGGCCCGGACACCCACTGGTGGTCGATAGTAGGTACTACTAGCGAAGGATCGCCACAATAATAGTCCCGCACGGCGGACGGAAGGGCGGGGAGGGAGGCGAAGCGGATAGTAGTAGTGGTGGTGGGCTGAAAAATCAAAAGGAGGGACCGACGCCATCTTAGACTCCCACCGTTCTTCTTTCCTCCTTCCTTTGCCTCCCGCGTCACCATTCTTTTCTTTTTCGTCCAAAATATGTCTTTTTTTTTTTGGAGGGGATTGAGCCGATTGGAGAAAGTAGTAGTGAGAACTCGGGAATGTTTCGAAACATCCCCGGGAGATCTACTTCGTGTGATGACTAGGTGATTATCCCCACTCCCCGGCTTAAGGGTTTGCCGCGACTCGCCGGGATACCCCTGGCGCGGGGAGGCTATGGTTGTGACGACGGAGGATCGTTGATACATAAAAGTCGACAGAAAATGACGACGCCAAGAGTAGTCCGGTTGGGTGGGTATGCAATGGAGGAGGTCCGAATGTGGTTGTGATCAAGGCTCTTCGGGGATACGGTCGGGGATCTGCTGGTGAACGGCTGTTGCATGCTTCCTACGACTGGGTAGGATGACTCCACACATGCATGGGCTTTTCTTGTTCTGCATGTTCCGTCGGAGATGGTAGTTACCTAGGTAGCGTACACGGGGGACTTCGTTCCGAGCTCCAAACGCCAGAGGAGGGATCATATAGAGTATGGGAAGGATGAAAGCCACTGTTGCCCAAAAAAAAATGAACCATGGCCATTGTAGAGTGCAGCAGCAGCACGGTCGGTTTCCTCCGCGCCACCTATGTGACTAGTTCACACGACTGCCGAGAACGGATGTCGGTATGGTTAGTTGTAGAGATGCTTGCTCCGAGGCCCCCCCCCCACTCTTGCTGTACTTTGTGATGGTCAAAGTAGAGTTGTGGATCTTCGAACAATGTGGCCAGAGCGCAGTAATGGCGACGATCTCTACTCCAGTACGTCCCTATCCGGAGTTGCACCATCGAAAAAATCGCGCAAACTTTTGCGTACCACAATGTGTACTGTGGTCTGTGGTACGGCGGGGAACTTCGAGGAAGCCTTCAACCACTTCTCAACCCCAATGCTCACTTCGCTGGAAGCTCCCCCCTCAAGAACATAGTATATAGGCGACCGCTCGCGCTCTGCCGTAAGCACTCTTCAAGAGGTGAAAGAACGCACAAGGCCGCCAATCGTATGAGCAGGACCCGGACGATGTCTCTGATGCCACCGGCAGGAAGCACGAAACGTAGCTCGAACGATCGTCGATATGTTTATTGACTGATGAGAAGAGCACCGTTGACGTGGCCCCGCAGCTAACAGAGGATTACACCGTCGCTTATCTCTTGTTTCTCCATCTATCGCCTCCGACACCGCAGCTACTCGCTAGACGCCAAACCCGGTCGAGTGTCAGGTCCACAAAACTTTGGTGTTGGGGAGGCGGCATGGGCTGCCAAGAGGAGGTTGGAGCTTGTGAATAGGGAAACAGGCGTGAGGGGTAAGTCGAAGAGGGAAGAGGCCGCGCACGCAAGTCAAATCCCCCGGTCGATATCCGCCAACCTCCGATTCGCACCGACATGTCGTTGACGCTCTCGCTTGATCGGGTCTCCGCAACCATACTGCGAACAGAATTGCCGCGTCATTCACAGTGCATCCCGAAGAAAAAGGAAAAAGAAAAACACACAGGCCAATACGCACCAGAGAAGGGAAAACGCAGAAGGCGAGGAAAATTGTCATCCGGCCTCCAATTACTATTGCATTGCGCTATACATGCCTGGTGCTACTATCGGAGGTGATCCTACCGCCAAGAAAAAAAGAAATCTATTGACCAGCCAAGGACCTTTGGCGGAGGGGATATCATTCAAGGCTTTGGATGCTTGATCCTTCTTTTTCCCTTTCATCACCGGCTAAAGAAACCGTGGCCAGGTAATCCTGATTAAGCCCACCAACAACCCAGTGCTGTAATTGGGCAGATCCCAAACGCGGGTATAGAAACAGAAAACGGGAAAGGTATGAGACAATGAAGGAACAACGAACAAAAGGAAAAGGCGTGCCAGTCTGGATTCAATCCACACATCGAAAATGCCCATCGAAACACCAGGCATTTCCAGCTTGCTCGATTCCGAGCACGAACTCGAGTACCACCGGGAGGCACCCAACAAAAAAAACCCAATACTTCCAGCGTAGACCAGTTCCAATAGATGAGGAGAGCGAGAAAAATTGCTCCCAGAATATCGCTGAACAAACGCCAGGGCCAGGACCGTTACCGTAGATGCATGCGCAAAACACCCATAATGCTGTGTAGCGTGAAAATACTCCGAACACCATGAAAAATCCGCCCGACTCTTTGCTTTCCTTTTTAAGGGTATTAATCACTCAGCTCTCCCACACGATGACCCTGCTTGGCTCGTGCATATGCATTGACCTCCTTTTCTTCTTGACCATTAAGTTCTCCTTATTACTCTTCGCTGCGGTCGTGTCTCCGCTGGTCTTCTCGGTCATTCTCTCTGTTATGAACATGTCGAGGCTTTTGCGGGGGATTGATTCAAGTTTTGCCCGACAGCCCTGGCAGATGCGCAGAGCACACCATGTGCAAGTCCAATGGAAGTCGGGGCTGCAAGAGAAGCAGAGCATGCACCCGATTGGAAGAAGGCGATTGTTGCTTCGATGAAAGCGCCGGTGGCCGTGAAAACACTGCATGTGGACGCAATTAAGCCTGGGTACAACGCTTCGTTCGGGTCGAAGCTGCGCGTTGAAGAGCTCGAAAGTGGGAGGAGTGGAGCTGACAAGGGCCGGACTAGTGGTGAGCTGGAGCGGCGAAGTAATGCTCATGGCGGTTTCCGGGGTCGGGGACAGCGGCGGCGAATGGGCATCTAGATAGCGTCTAGAGTTCTGGAGTTTGTTCGTCGACGACTAGGAGCTTCAGTTACTTTACAATCGCTGAAAGCAAACGAACGATTTAAGCATTGTGAACGACGCGCAACCAAAAGACAATTTGCAATGCAAGTTGCGGGCGCCTACCTTGAATATGTCGAAGCCCGTGCTACTCTTGCCGCGGTAGTGCATAGTAGCACCCTTCTGCTTTTCGATGGCGGGATTGCTGGGCTGCTTGACGACGCCATATTTGGACGGGCTTTCCTCGGGGACAGGACTCGGAGAAGGGAGCAAGTCGACGGCAGCGGGCTTGAGCGTTGGCGTGATGGGCTCCTCCTCCTCGGGCTCGGTTGGCGGCGAGTTGGAGCGGTCCCTTATCACGGTAGCATCGGACAGGGTGGTCGAGGGCGACTGCACAGGGGCGCCGGGTTCGGTCAGGGTGTGCTCTTCTGACTGGGAAGCCGAAGGTTGCGAGTCGCTGGCGGTTACTGATTGCTGCAGCGACGTGGTAGACTTGGGGTTGTGCAATGCGGGAGCGCGAGGGGGAGCTGGAGCTTGCGCGGCCGCGGCCGCGGCTTGAGCTCCAGGAGCGAGACCACCCTGAACCGGAGATTTGGCGGCGCCATTGGCAGCTTCGACGGGCGGTACCGTGTCCTTTCTGACGGGCTTCCGGCGCAGGGAGAATTTGGAGCGTTGCGAGGGCGAGGTTGGATCGCCGGCGGCCTTCGAGGCCTTGTTACCCATGGCAGCTGCACCCGCCGCGGAGGAGGTGTGGTCGGACGGCCTTGGGGGGTCGTTTTTGGCGGGAGGCTGCGGCGGGGTGGGCGGCAAGGGGAGCTCGTTGAGACGACGGGCGGTTGCGCGGGATCGGACACGGTCGGGAGTGGGCAGGTGTTGAGGGTGAAGAGCGGAGAGGGACAGGGAAGGTGACAGGGAGCTGGTGTCGGTCTTGGCAGGCGTGGCAGCGGTGGCCGGCGTGATGGCTGTGGAGCCGTTGCTGCGGGCCAGCTTCAGGTCTGGCGGCTTCTGGCGTCTGCCGCGAAACGAGCGCGCGGGCGAAGCAATCATGTTCGCTTGCGGCGGGTTCCCACTCGGCGCGCCTGGCTGCGAGGCTGCAGGCGCATCGGCCACTGCGAGAGCGCGGTCAGTGTGAGCGTGCTTGGCGGGCCGTCTTATACGGCGCCCATCGCCATCAAACCGAAATCAGCGACGCGACCGGACCGGGCCTGTTTACCACGCGCCGCCGCGGGAGCGAGAATGCCGCCGGCGACGATCGCGCCGTCTCCAGCAAGGGCTTCGGGGCACACGCACCTCGCAGTTGGAAGCCGACCAGCGGCGGCAGCGGCTTGTCCTTGGCCGCCGGTGGTGACGCAGGTGCGCATTGCACAGCCAGCGCTGCCGTGGCCGAGGGCACGGCCGCCGGCGCAGCTGCGGGCGACGGCCGGGCCTGCGTGTAGTAGTCGTCCAGCTCGACCTCGTCGTCCTGGTCTCTGCTGTCGCCGTAGTCGCTCAGGATGGCGCTGATGATGTCCTGCCGGCGCGCGTGGGCGGGCGCGGCGTCGAGCCGCATGATGGCTGGGTCGGCCATGGCGGGAGGGCGGTTGCGGCGGGAGCTTGCACGAGGGCGATGGGTACAGGCGGTTGTGCAGTCATATCCTCCTGCTGCGGGAGAGCTGGTTTAAGGCTGACGTCGCACAAGGCTATCGATCTGCCACCTCTTGAAACGCGCCGTGTTTTGGGCAAGGTCTGCATGCCAGCCATCGTTCCCGGCTGCTCTTCCTACACAGCACACGCTTCTGTCGCCGCGCCCCCAGCTTGCCCTGCCCGCCCGCCGCGACCAGGCCTGCCGCTCACGGAAATCCATAGCCGCGGCCGCACGAGGGAGCTAGCGATCCTCCGCCGTTGTTACTATCACGCCGGTTGATGAGCGTCCCCGTCGCCAAGCCACAGCCGGGAGATCAACCGGGGACGACGCACGCTACCCTGACCGGGGTTCCCCAGCCCCCCACCAGCATCATCACGTCTTGCAACCATCGTCCCAGGCCAGCCATTATGCTTCTGCGTCATTTCCTCATGCCTGCTGGTACTGCGTCTCATCTCAAACTAACCGGCAGCCTGGAGACGGGAGCGGGCTGTCAAGCGATCGGTGCCTGTCGCCTGCCAGCCAGTCGGTATGATCCGACTTCCCGCCCAACCGAGTCAAGGAACAAGGGTGTTGCGGATGCGGGATGCTTGTACGCCGATCCCCGGACCCGTCATGCGCGAAGGAAATTCAAACTGGAATTGAGAATGGGTCTATTAAACTATTTACAGCATCGTCAACATCATCAACAAGGCCTCGCCCGGCCATTTTGTCCAACATAACGTCAACCTGGGAAGGGTACGCGTGGTCCCTTGCGCTGTTCCGGTGGGGTATGAATCAAAAGAAAGTTCCAGTTCGCCTTCGCTGTATACGAGAAATTATGTATGAGAGCGTCTACGTAGTATGTGCGCCGCTATCAACATCGTGGCGAGCTGTTCTGAGGTGCGGAAAATTAAAGGAGAGCCGGCCCGCAAGCGTCGGCGAGTCGTGTCTAATCAGGTGCCGGCGCCAAGCAGTAAGCGGGATCCCTGCTAAGTCTGTCCAGCTTTAAGCTTCGGCCGTGTGAGTTCCATGGCAAAGTCCAGGAGGCGCCGAATGTGTCAGGCATGATCGGTAGGTATTGGGTATCATTTTACAGCAGAAGTGCGGACAAGGCGAGGAGCAAGGCCGCCGAAGACAGCCCTGGCACCGCCGCGTTGGGCGCTACTCCGCTAGTGGTGGACTTGGACACTGTCGCGTTCACAAAATTGGGCCCGCACTGTATGTTGACCACGCCTGCAGCTTGCGCATACGTCTGGCTGATCGGTTGCGTTTTATTCGAGGTGTATGTCCAGAACGCGTCCATGGTCGTTTGCAGACACGAGTTGCACGTTGGCCGGGAGCCTCCGGGCAATGCCACACCGACAGGGAGGTAATAAGGGTAGGAATCCGTGGGCGACGAGGAATTCGTTATGGCATTGGCGAAGCCTGAATTCCGCGCAGTTAGCACGACGGCACGGGCACGAGAGGTTCAGGAGAGAAAAACGCACAGTAGCTTCCCGAGTCATCCCGCAAGCAGCCAGCCTGATAGACAGGCTCGTACGCCACAAGTCCTTTGTAGGCCTGCAGCACGGTGGGATTGCTGGCCTTGTAGTCTGCGCCGCAATGGTCGTCGTGGATGAGCTGCGCGGCCAAATTGTCCATCAGGGCACTGCACTGGGCGAAATTGGCCGAGCATGACGCGTCGAGCACCTGTGTAGTGCGCACGAGGGAGCGGGTGACATCGAAGAAGGCGCTTGAGGTCTGTCACGGTTAGTGGGATCGTCGGAATGCAAATGAGATGGGAGGCCGCATACTTGGAGCAGGAGGGACAGCGGCACGCAATCGACAAAAGTGCTGTTTTCGAGGAAGGAATTGAAGAAATTGGGGCAGTTGGAGCTGGTAAAGTTGGAGCCCAGGCTGGTGTCGAAGGGCTGCGGAATGGAGGTCGCGGTGGAGCCAGTGTCGACGACCAGGGCAGTGGCCGACGCGGATCCGGATGTGCGCGTCGCAACCAGCGTGGTGGGCAGTGCGGAGGAGGCAGAGGCGTCATCGCCGGGCGCGCGGCGGCCGAGCTGCGGCATCCGTTGCAGCGAGGGAGGAGGTGCGCTGCGATCCCAATCGATCTTGATGTGAGATCCTCTGCGAGCTAGCGAACGCAGCCGCTGCCGATCGGTTTGAGTCCCTGCAGCAGAGACGCATCCGCAGCACAACAACAGCGCAAGCAGGACGAACACGAGTTGCTGGCGAAGAGCGGGAAACGCGGGCGCTGTGCGCGGCGCAGGCGCAGGCGCAGGCCGAGATATACGACGGCGACGAGACACGGCGGGCTTGGAAGGCGCAATACCATGTCTCAGACGGCGCCGCTCATGGTGCGACAGACCCGTTATCGCCATGGGTTTCTGGGCTGCAGCGGCCTGCCACGCCATATCCGCAGCGTCTGCCGGGCCGCCGTGAGCACAGCTGCAAGACGAGAACGAGCTGGTCATGATCGCAAGGCCGGTGAACCCCGCCTGCAAGGCCAAAGCATCCTTTAATCTCAGGCCGCGTCGGGAGCGCCTCGGTCGCCCAGCGGCAGCGCGCGTGCGCGAGAGCGGGCAGGGCGGCAGGGCGGGGGGTTTTCTGCAACGGCAGACGGTCGTGGGGAGGCTCTGCAGGCGACGGGAGAATGTGGGAGAGTCGAGTGCCCCTTGCAGATGGACACCAACCACGGCGGAGCAGCGGGCAGCGACGGGCAGCGAGGGCGAAGAGGCTGCGCAAAGAGTGGGGAGGAGGGCGGGCAGCGGTTGAAAGCGAGCGACGGCGGTGGGATCAACAATGGAGCTTTTGGGAGTGGTGATGGGCGGCGGCAGGCCGTCTTTCATGCGGGCAGCTGCAGAAGCCCCGAGGGCGTGGGTCAGTGGGCTGCTGCGGGCTGCTGCGGGCTGCTGCGGGCTGTCGACGCCATGAGCTCTAGCGTGTGCAGGTACGCCACGGTGGAAGCGCAATTAACACCTTGGGGCAGTCGGTGCGGCAGCCGAGTGGAAACACGCATCAACCCGGTCAGCATGGCCAATATCCTCTCCAGCCAGACGGCGCTCGCGGCGCCGCGATGGGGGGCGCGCCGTCCAGAGCAGGCAGCCCGCAGTGCAAGCTCGCTGCCTTCGACCATGGCCGGCTGACGGCAGGAGCAGTCAATTGCATCCTGCAGGCGTGATGGGCGGCTTCCATCCACGGCCTCCAGAGCGGGATGTTAAGTGCCGGGAGGCCAGACCAAAGGCCCAAAAATAAGCGTCGCGGGCCGTGGGCTGGCGCCTGCGCTCCTCGTCCCGCTTACTTAGCTCCCAGGCTGCGCAATGCCGCACCCTTCTCCGCGACCTTCTCTCTCTAGTCTCTCTCTCGCGTTCTCGAATGCAGCTGGCGTGCGGGCGCATGCGCGGTGCCGAGACAGATGCAGCCTCGGCGCGTGTGACCCTATCTGGCAGCGGGTGTTTGCCCAATTCTCCGACTGCCTGCCAAAAGGCAAGTGCCGGGCAGCCTGCCAAGCCAATACTTCTGGCCTCCTCCCCACGAGCTGCTCTGTTGGTGTTCTCGACCTCTGCATCCCGGCCCGCTGCAAGCACCATCCCCGTCCGCTCTCCGCCTCCTTCACGTGGCACGCGCCTGTAGTGCTCCTTCGCAGCCCTCAGCTCCTCCACGCACCCGCAATTTGCCGTCGCCCTGCGCCCAGCAAGGCAGAAGCAATTCTTGCTGCGCAAGGGACGTTGCAAGACGTTTCTGCAGCACTATGCTCGATAGTCAGCCACGCACCTGTGCGACTGACTCACTTCTCCCTGGACTACTACGCCTCACGTGTCCAACACTGCTCGAATCAACGTTCAGGGGATGCTCCGCCACTCCGCCGGCACTACCCAGCCTATGTCCACTAAGTCCAGCCTCTGCCGTTGTGGCAGCGCCCGCTGATGCGTCCTCATTTCGTCATGCGAGAAAGAAGGCCCCTGATTGGGATCAGAGAGCTTCTGGACGACCATGCCTGACCATGCCTGACCTTACTTCGAACCTTCTACCGACATAGAGAGAATCACGAGGCAAGCTGCAGCTACGTCTCACCATCCATTGCCGTACATGCAGTCTCATCTACTCGCCACAACGGCTGCAGCCCCGACACTCACCGGTCTTTATCCTTATCCGCAATCAGTCCCGCAATGTCGCCGCCTTCAGCCAAGCGCTCAGCGTCGCACAAACTTTACGCCCGGGTGCTACAGCAGAAGCATCCACGGCCCAGCCAGTCTCGATTGCCAGAGCCGCCTCATCGTACGATTTCTCTGCAGCACTTGGGCTATCCAACGCTCGGGGCCGGATACTTCGCTCTCCATTCTTTCCCCCAGATCTGCACGGCAATTATGGTCAAGAAACTTGCGACCAACAACGCCGCTTGTGTGCCAAAGGTAGCACCTGCGCCGGTGCGGGCAATCCACTTCAGCTCGAAATAGCCCACGCAGAAACCACCCGTTGTTCGCCTTCGTCAAAGTAAGCAGTGCATTCATCAACCTGCATGAGGTGATATATCATTCGGGCCTCACCAGAAGTTGATGATTGCGGAAGTAATAACCGAATGATCTGGAAAGACGTCCAGCAGATACGCTATGATCGCGACTGGCACCGCCACTGTCCAATAGACCCGAGTCAGCAAGGAGGGAAAAAGAAAAAGAAAAGGGCGAGGCTGAACGCGTTAGACCGGCTGAGGCCGCGTAATACCTACTTTGCGCCACAGCATAGACCCCATAGCCGACGGCCAGAACTACCCACGATAGTTGATGTTGCAAGGCTTGCCCATATATCACCAGGCCCGCAACTCCGAGTACCAATCCCGGATAACAGCTCCACAGCCGGTTCTCGGGGCGGTACTTTCCGTTGTGCTTTCGGATATATCGGGTGCACAACCAATCATTGAACCAATGGCCATATAGCTCGCCGACCACGGATCCAATGCATGGTGCCAGATAGAAAAGTCCAACCTGCGCTGGCGTGAAAAAGTAGGGCGCTGGATACAGAATCTGCGAGAGCGTGGTCACGAATCCGATCGTCCACATGACAAGCACCATGTAGAATCCAGTGGCTACAGAGTCAGTCATTGTCTGCATAGGTTTGTGGTGGGAGCAAGGCTTACCTGGGAGCAGCATTTGTGGTTTGATCTGCACTTGGAAGATCTGAACGAATACGGACCTCAGGCTCGGGCGACCTTTGGTCTTCCAGCCAGCTACGCCCGTCAAAAGTTCCAGTCTTCCTCGGATACCGCAGGACTTGATGTTGTTACCCGTATTTCTTCTGTCGAACGCTGTTTCGTCTCCCATGACGATGACAAGGAGCAGCGACAGGAAGTACATACCGGCCACAACAGCGAAATCTTCACGCCATCCGACCTTGGACAGTATCAAGGATGACATGACTGGTGCGAATATTGGCCCAACCAGGAATGCGACGCACCATATATTAATCTTGCGTGTTCGCTCGTGGAAAAAGAACATGTCATGGATGAAGGTCAAGCCAATAACTTGAGGCGGCGAAGTGAACAGTCCCTGCAATACTCGAACGGCTGTGAAACCCGTGTACGTAGTGGACAAGGTGGCACCAATGGTGAGAACCAAGCCAGCCAACTGCGACCAGAATAGTACCGGAAGCCTACGTCCGAGTGCGTTGTGAGTTCACAAATTCTTGATTGTTTGACGATGCCACTGCTCACCTCCCGAATCTTTCAGTCATGGGGACTGCAAGAACTCCGCCGGGGCCTAACATGAATAAGGCACCGCCGATTGAATTGGAAACTGCAGCCACGCTCATATCCCACGTCTGGGCTTGCTTCTCGAAGATAACAGCACCATAGGTGACGCTGAAATCGGAGAGAAACGAAGGAAGCATCAACGCCGTGAACACGAAGTGCTTCTTCTTCCAGCTCCAGTTTAGAGGATCGTCCGGGTCAGCTACCACATATCGTTGTCAGTGAAGTTTCCGACAACGAGATCAGTGCAAGACGGTAATTGTTTCATACCGCTCGGTTGTGGGATCAAAACAATGTTGCCATCCGCTGTGGTCTTGACGTTGCCCGACAGACTAGAATCAGCCAGGACCTTGATATCGCCGCTTCCGGGCTCGGGTTCTGCAGGCGTAGCTTCACATTCTCGAAGTTCGTGCGCAGTCGTCGATCTTGACACCTTCTCAACGTCATTGATGGCCATGGTGTGGTATTTTCTCGTTCGCACAGTGAAAGAAGCGATGCGGAGAACAGATTCTTATCCAAGAAATTCCAGAGCTGATCAAGCCATAAGACATCCAGCTGCATTAATGACAATCTCATAATGGTGCATATTCTAACGCGATGCTGACAGAGTAAACTAGCAGAGACCACGTTGTACGTCTCAGAACTCCCCTGAAGGCCCCGCGTAAGCCACGGAAGGGCGCACGAAGTACAACGACCATCGTGATGGCCGTATTCAAAGACATAGCCAATCCTCAGCAACAGCCGTCCTGGAAAGTGAAGACAAAAGAAATGATGTTCCAAGAATACTTAACATCACCATGGGGACATCTCTGTCCCCTCTCGTGCGTTGTTACTCAGGTTCGGGTTCAACAAACTAACTATGCTTACTGAAATCGGACCACCTTCACAGAAGATCAAGGTCTCACTCAGCCATGCGTCAATATGTACCATGCAAGCTGCAAGCCAGCCCTATCCGCCAAGGCTTCACTTCCGGCTTGCATAGCTAAGAAGTCGACGCAGACAACAGGATGCTCCCGAGGACGCATGTCCTTCCTGTTTTGGAACGAAGGAATCCGTCAGCGACACGATCCTTCCAGCACACATCGGTAAGATGCTTGCACACCAAAGAAGGAAAGTCGCAAAGTCCCTTGTTGCTCTTTTCTCTTCGTCTTCTACTTATTAATGCGGGGAACCTTGCGGGACCCGAGTTGCACTTTTCCGGGAAATTGCAATAACACTGATACCCAGAACAACGTCCTGCCGTCGCATCGCACAGATTGGATGGAAAGCGGACGACAAAACTCCGTGCTACCGTTCAGAACCTGGCCCTCGCTCTTGTTGGCTGCTGCCACTTCTCTGGTGTCAAATGCCAGCTGCTCAGACTTCGGTGACGCAGCGCTGGGGAATGCAACGTGTAGCATTTTCCGCCCGACTATTTATCGATAACAGCAAGGGATGCTTGCCATCATCTACGTGACTGCATCATCTCGTACCAGCCTGCAAATCTATGTATGTACATGCAGCTACTTAGCTTGCTTTTATTTTTCCGTTGTTCACGCAGCCGCCGGCCCCGGACTGACAAGTTGCATATATGACCTGCAAGCCCGACTCCCGAAAGGGCAACCAACGATAAACCAACGATAAACCCCGCACCATGGCTGCGATTTTGTCTCAATCCTCGAGATAACCCTCTTCTCCCGTTTCTCTCTCTCAGCTTCCCCTCGCGACCACCCCACCATCTATCTCCCCGCCCCGTCCGCTCCCGGTCCCACTTCGGCCTCGTACCTCCATTCAATTCACCACACATCCCTGTCTCAGCCACGTTTTCCCTCCTTTGCCCTTAGTGCGTTCCTGACTCAGGCCAAAATCAACATGCGGGTCTCGGACCCTTCCCGTCTCGTCTCATTTCCACACACAAAAAGAATGTCAGAAACGAAAACAAAACAAAAAGAAAACAAAAGAACAGACAACAAAAAATGAACGTAGCAGACGTTCGATCGCCTTGCCTCTTGCCAATTGACATCTATGCCCCCTATCGGAGTCGAACCGATGGCCTCGACATTACTAGTGTCGCGCTCTACCACTGAGCTAAAGGGGCTGACTTTCGTGAGATAAGAAGCCCTCCGCAATCCTGTCACATGACTATTGCTTCCATGGGGTTGGTATAAGTAACAATGCGCAGTAGAATGCATAATGCATGCACTTCGAGAGTATCGAGGAAGACGAGGAAGACACTGCTTGCCGATTGAGAAACCCCATTAGTTGGCTGATGTTCCTTTCTCTTTCGTAAAAGGGCGGTTTCAGCCGCGTGTAGAATACTGTCCATCAGTTGAATTGCTCTGTCAGGAATTTCAGCAGCACCGTGTACAAGAACAATAAGCAGTCGCATCAACTGCCTACCTGTCTCTAGCAGTTTGTACTGGATGCCTCCCGAATGTAATAGAGCTTGGCACGCAAGAATATCCACTTCTTCTTCTTCTTCTTCTTCTTCCTCTTCTCATCCTCCCCACCCACGGAAGCATTAAAGACTTTTGTCAACATGCGCCTCCACCCTTGTTCCCCCTTCCGACCTCAATTAGTCCAACTACGTCCACGCATCCGCACTCCCTCTCGTTCCCTTCCCCCTACCACTCCTCCTCTTCTTCCCACCTGTGCTCTGACTGCCGCCGGAACTTGCCTCCCACCAAGGTTTGACGTCTCGTTTCGGCGTCAGAAACTGCTTCGCGCCGGGAATGACAATGATCGGCTCGTCCTCGGGCCGTCTGTCGTCTGCACACAAACTCGCAACGTTGGAGGATGACGACACTCGTCGAGACGATTTTGAGGAGCTGATGGTGGTGGTGGCTGCAGCGGTCGCTACCTTGTGCACGTCGTCCGTGATCTGCGCGTTCGTGGTCTTTGACAAGGGAAGCTCTCGAAGTGGCGGGGTGGTGGTGGCTCGGTCGGTGATTGAGGGAGCTGGCGTGGGTACTATCGATTCGGGGCTCTGAACTTGGTAATGTTGGGATGGTGGCGCTGGTTGTCGTTCGGTAGAGGTATCGGCAATAGTGGTGGTGGGTGCTTGCGGCGCCAAAGTGTCCGTCATGGCCGAGATTGAACATTTGCTCGACGTAGAGCGGGACGATGATGAGGTTGTTGATTGGAAGGCCGTACCGGAGGATGGAGGATGCTTGTTGGACAAAGGACGGCGGGAAAAGCACACATGGTAATTGGAGGAGCTGACGCGCTTGCGAGAAGATAGCTCGCAAGCCTCTTTGCCACTGGACCAAGAAACTGAGGATTTGCGGGATGGTATTGGATCATTCTCGCGCGTAATCCATTGTGCGATGCGCGTTTCAAAGCCCATTTCATGGGCATAGTATGCTTTTGACTGTTCATGTGTAGGCTCTGCTCTGGTAGAGCGATGATCCGAGAGGCAGCCTTCCTCGAGTTGCGGGGGACAATTGGTCTGAAACGAAGATAGTGTATGCGTTCCGCTTTGACTCCTCAATGTATTTCGGATATTGTCGAGACCGTTTTCTTCTTCGGTTGCTTCGTGGAGTGCTGGACTCCAACATGTTTCGACCCTATCCGGTTCAGATTTAGGACGGCTGATATCTAGTGCTCCAAGTTCATACTTCTCCGGAGGAGCCCGCAAGACCTCATCCAAAGTGATGAGCTCGGAAATTTGCGTTGAACATCTCGACATTTCCTGCATCAGACTCTTTTCGTCCATTTCCGGTCTAGATGTGCTCATGGCATTACTGTGTTCGAGGTTGTCGATCAGATCAAGCGTATGGTGATTGAGTTCGTGGAGTAGTACAAGCAAGGAGCCTCCACGAAGTTGACTTTTGCGAGTCTGTTGACCGAAGAAACTCTCAAGGCTATGTTGCGACCGAGGAGACAGATGCTGCCCATGCTGAAGTGGCTCAATTGGTTCAGGCTGACTAGCCGGTCTTGAGGCGCGGATGACATGTTCGGATGCCAGACTTAGATTTCTTTGAGGGTTGTTTTCGGACGCATGCCGTTTTTCGACAGCTGCAACCGCAGTTCCGTGGCTTTGATAGACCCTTGGAGGGCCGGTATTACATGAGCTTTCCGGTGATTGGGTGCGTAGGGGCGGCAAATAAGCCTTGGCCTGTCTGATAGCTCCAGTGGCATTCTCGAGGTGGCGACGCATGTGGCGAAAGACATCTTGGATCCCCTTTACATTTAGACGTTTTTCTGGGAATGCTGGAGCCGTGTTCCCGGCAGTTTGGTATTTGCTGGCGGCGAAGTCCAGCCCTCCTAACACGCCGTTCCGAGAGGGACGAAATACCATATTCCCAAGCTTACCGACGAAGGTCAGAGATCTCATCCAATTTTCCTCGGTGAGCTCTTGGAGTATCTGAAAGCCTACACCGATTATGATTTTCTCTTTTTTCCCGTCTACATTGGTATAGCTCACCCAAGGTATAGAGATATCTCCGAGCCCCATCAGGTAGAATATCTCCCTCAGCGTGGAGGGCCGGACAATGTTGAGACGAGCGTTCTCGGATTCCTTCTCGTCGGTGAAGAAGCAGCGGATTTTCACGTGTGCATTGACATTGCGGTCGTGCGGCTCTGGAATTTTGCGTAATCGGCGTCGCAGGTCAGGTATATCGCCAAAGGGGAGGGCCCAGTTGGGGAGGTGGAACCAATAGAAGCGGAAGAAGACCTCGCGATAGATGTTCGAGGCCACGCGCAGGAGGGCGAGGCCACGAGGCTTATGGCTCCAATGGCGGTGTACCATGGTTTTCTCCCAATTTTCACGATTGAACAGTGGGTGGGGCGGCAGGTACAGCACGCGGATGTACTGCATGATGGATGGTCTGAGAGCGTCGTCGTATACGATGTCGAAGCAGAAGTCGTAGATGCGGTATCGGATGTTCTCCCTGATGTTGTCATCCTGTACGGTAAAAACGAAGTTGGCTTTGCTCTGCTTCTGCCTTGGTCTGGTCAAAAGAGCTTCGCGGTACGATTTAGCCATGCTTGATAGGCTACGGCCGCAATGGAGATAGACACTTGATTGAGTTGACAAAAGCCGGGGTTTGGGCAGCAGAGAAGTCGAAGCCTGAAGGACAGACAGGTAGGAGGACAGAGCTTGCCATAGCGTGCTTGCCCAGGTTGGATGGAGTGCTTGAAATGGAAACCGCGCTGCAAGAAGCGCCATGTCCGTCGAGCCCCACAACAGATCATCACGGCAGAAACTGAGCCCAAGAGTACACCAGAAATCGTCACGCTGGAATCGGCGAGTGATGACGAGTGATGGCAAGCGATGGTAAGTGATGGCACGTGATGGCGTGCGTGAGGCGCGTCGGGCTGCTGCTGTGGAAGTGACCAATGAAGGGACTGCGGTAATGGTGACTGGGCTGACAAGGCTCCGCGCTCGCCCATCTTAAAAGCCCACGGTCGTGCAGTGCTTTTGCCATGGCATCTCATTCTCCTAAACCACCAGCATGTCAAAGACGGTGACGCAATACCAGGAGCGTGTGTACGCGCTGCTCCAGCAGATCCCGGAGGGGCGCATCGCGTCGTACGCGGCGCTCGCTCGAGCGCTCGGCTCCTCCCCTCGCGCAGTCGGTGGCGCACTACGAAGCAATCCATTCGCGCCCGAGATCCCTTGTCATCGGTGCATCGCAAGCAGCGGGGTAAGGAAGAGCTTCCACATGCGCTGCTGACTCGGCAATCGCTGACATGGCTGGCCAGTTCATCGGGGGTTACAAAGGCGACTGGCGCAATGTCCCGAGTGGGCAGAACTGCGAGAAGAAGCTGGCAATGCTGGCTGCCGAGGGCGTCCTGTTCGATGACCAAGGCATGCTGGTGGATCAGTCATGCTGGTGGGAGGATTTCAAAGCATGAAGCGCGCGGAGGTGGCTTCGGGATTATCGTGTATACTCTAGGACAAGGTTCGGTGGTGGAGTAGAGAGTAGAGAGAGAGCGAGTAGGCGTCGTCGGGCGAAGAGTCAGCGATCGTCATGGGCGGCGGAAGCGAATTTTCGGACCCCGAAATTCAGCCCTGCCTCGACCTTCTCAACCTCACCGGCCTGCGCCTGTCATCAATTGCAACCTAGTGATATTTGCCGAGCGAAATCAGCACAGCCATGCCGAAGAAGAAGCAGTTCCTCCAGACCAGTGCTAAGCAACCTGCGCGCGGAAAGAAGAAGGAGCCCGTATGCCGCAGCATTATGTCGCGCCCTGGCCCATCACTAACCTCGCCCAGGAACCCCAGACCGAGGATGACTTTCTCGATGCTGCCGATGAGTTTGAAAAGAGCGCCGGCAAGTGGAGAGCAGGAGACGCTGCCAAATCCGCTCGCTTCTTCCAGCGTGCCGTCGACGCCTATGCCGCCGGTCTGCAGAAGTTTCCGCAGTCTTTCGATCTGGCTTACAACAAGTACGTTCGCTCTCGCGACATGCCGTCCATTTGTTTTTCTCGTGTTTTCTTGCTTCTCCCAAACACCACCCTTGCCGAAACAGCAGCAGTAAGCTGATGCACGTCATAGGGCGCTGTTAGAGTACCAGATCGCCCAAGACCTGCGCATCGCAGCACAAATCGGTCCCCCCCTTGTCGACCTCCTCCGACAGGCACTGGACTCACATCGCTTTGCCATTGTGCTGAACCCTGACAACCTCGACATCCTGTTCAACACGGCCAACGTCCTGTCCGACCTTGCCGACCGCGTGAACAAGGCCGAGGCGGTGCCGCTGCTCCATGAGTCTGTGCAGTGCATCCGCCATTGCCTCGAAAGGCAAGTCCAGGAGTATGAGTCTCTACAAGCAGCTTTCCTTGCAGCAAACTCCGGCGATCCAGATGCGCCTATGGATGCTGCCCCACCCTCCGCGGAGAAGTCATCTTCCGGCTCCTCTGCAGAGGAGTATGCCAGTGTTGAGGAGGCCGTGACCGAAAGCGCCATTCTCGACTCCGTGTTTTTCATGGCAAACACGCTTGCAGACCTTCTTAGCATCATGCCTGCGGAGGAGCTGGATGCTATTAGCAAGGACGTCGAGACGGTCGTTGGCTTCTTCACATCCGGCGCTCTTCAGCCATACTTCGAGAAGCTAGACCGTACAGTCCCGGAGCCTGGTACGCAAGCCCCTCCCGTATCTCCCCTCCCGCATCTTTCCATGCCCCATCCAAAGCTTTACACACCTCACTAACGCCCCTTTCTCCACAGAGAAAAAAACACCCACCCTCTCCCTCTCCCTCTCCGCTGCCCCACCCAAGCCCACCCTCGCCCAACCCAGCGAGCACGACTCCGCCCTCGCCGAAGGCTCCCTCGCGCAAGCCCGCCTCTTCTCCGCCGTCAGCGAAGCCGAATACCGCCGCGGCGAGCGCACCGCCGCATCCTGGTACGCCGTCGTCCTGGCCAAATTCGCCGACATAACGAGCCCACCCTCCTCATCCTCATCCGCCCCTCCCCCCTCCCTCCCCTCCCCCGCCGACGCGCACAGCGCCCTCATCGACGCCCTCTCCGCCATCGCCACCGCCACCGCCACCAGCGCGCCATCCCCCGCCGCCGCCGCGCAAGCCGAATCGACGTACCTGGCGCAAGCACCGTCCGCCGCCATCGACAGCTCGGCGGCCGAGCCGGGTCCCCCCGCCGCGCCGCAGGACGTGACGGACGACGACGCGGCCGCCGCCGCCGTGCACGCCGACGCCCTGAAGCGCGCGTACCACGTCCTCGCCGCGACGCTGTCCCCGCCCCCGCCCCCGTCCGACGACAAGGCGCCCCAGCTGTACGTCGCGCTCGGCGACGTGCACTGGCGGCTGCGCGGCGCCGCCGTCGCGGGCTCGCAGGGCGACGTTGCGGCGGCGGTGGCGCAGGCGCGGAGGGCGGAGGCGTGCTGGGAGGAGGCGGAGAGGAGGGCGAGGGGGGTGGGGGTGCAGTGCGCGGAGGAGGAGGTCGAGGCGAGGGGGAAGAGGGTGGTGTCGGTGGTGTTGCGGGGAGGTGGTGGTTCTGGAAGGGTTCTGGGTGGTGGGGGAGAGGCGAGGGAGGTGGCGGTGCAGGCGGTGCAGGAGATGAGGGAGGATGAGTTGTTGGGCGATGTTCTCGCGGAGCATGCGTTGAAGGTGCTTGGGGCGGCGTAGAGAGGTTGGGCGGGGCTGGTGGTTTAAAAAAAAAAAAGAATGGGACATAGGAGTCTAGGGGCTGCATGGATGCCGCATGGCAGAGCAGATGGTTCGACGGAAGAGCAGAGTCTCACTAGAGGCTCAAAAAAAGTGAGCAAAATTGGGTTATCTTAGGGAACGAGGCTGTAGGCTCCAAAATCGTGATGGTATATTGTTCTCGTATAAAAATCAAGCTCTAGTATGTATGAGAAAGCCTGAACAAAGCATCTAGAGACGTTTTTTTTTTCTCCCTTCGCGCCTGTCCAAACCACACAGCAACCCTCTTATGCAATCAGCTTCTAGAAGACGAGCCGGGCGGAGCAAAGCTCACACCATTCTTTCTTCCATCATCATCATCATCATCCAAGAAGTTTTCCCAGAAGACCGAACCAAATATCTTCCTTACTCATACCGCCCATCGTCCTTTTCTTATGTCCACGCCGTTCCCGCCCCCCGTCACCACACATCCTCCGGACTGACCCTGACCTCCTTCCCGCCCTCCCTCACGCACTCCCTCCCCTTATCCCTGCTCAGCGGCTTCCGCATATCAAACGCGTCCGTATCGTCGTTGTAGTAGCCGACCACGCGGCGGTAGACGCTGTAGCCCATGCCCTCGTACAGGCGCTGGGCGACGGCGTTCTCGGCGCGCACGAACAGGTCGACGAACCAGGCGTTCTCGGCGTCGCACGCCTGCTCGAGCAGCTGCGTCAGGCGCGTCGCGTGGCCCAGCCGCCGCGCCGACGGCGCGATGGTCAGGCAGGTGATGTGGCCGTGCCACGGCAGGTAGTTGGGGTCCGTGTTGGTCGACGGCGCGAACGGTGGGACCGGCGCCGGGTACGGCGAGGATTCCGTCTTGCCCATGACTGTTTTGTTTGCGCGCGCGACGCGGGGTTGGGTTAGCGGTTTGGTCTCTTTCTTTTCGCGCGCGCGCGCGCGCTCGCTCGCTCTCTCTCTCTCTCTCTCTTTTTTTTTTCTGGATGCCGGGGGAGGGGAGGGGCCTCGTACTGTATCCCTCGATCTTGCCGTGTGGGCCCTCAATGACCTTGCACAGGTGCGGCCACTTGGTCAGGTATTCGAGGTAGAAGCTGACGTTGTACGTCTCGGTGAGCGGGTCGAGGTTGCACTCGTTGAAGTGGAGGAGGTCCATTGGCGTCATTGGCCGGATGGACGCCATGGTCGGCTGCGGGGTGCGGAGGCGCACGGCTCGGTTCTGGACGTGTCGCGAGGTTGTGGTGCTGGTGGTGGATTTTTGGGAGGGGGATTTGGCGGGGATGAGACGAATGATCGCCGTGACGCGCCGGCGCGGCTTAATTGAAGGTCTGACGTCGCAAGGGTCCCTCCTCGGCTGGCGCCCTATTCAGCCCTACAGAGGCGCATGCAGATGGAGCTATTTGTAAATTGTCTGTGGCCACCAAATCTGGCGTTCTACAGCGTGTATTTTCGAACTCACTGAGATACGGGTACTTGAGAATAAGTCAACGCTTGTTTTTCATCTTGCAACCTGTCAGACGGTGATTACAGGCGGGTACAGGAAGAAACTGGTCGACTGGATGTCTCATTATACGCTGCTACTACATGTGGTTAATATAGGTGAACGATGAAGGGACACCCAACAAGGGTGTTGTAAAAGATGGCACGTTGCTGAAGATTACCCTGTCGGGTTGATGATGACGATGAGCCTCAACGTTATTGAATATACGTGATGTCCAACACAACCCCTTGAAAACAGATCCATTTCCCATTATTGACTGTGGGTATCGAAGCAAAGGAAAAAAAAAGAAGGGGAAAGCAACAAGGTCGTGCGAGCTGCGCAGCGCTCGAGTTCGAAGGTATGTATAAGATTCTGTACCGTATGTTTACAGCTAGATATGCAAATGCAGCCAAAACACAGAAAGGAACCGGCCTCAATGGGTATAACCACTCAACAAAACACGACGTAACACACACAGGAAAAAAAAAACATGTGGCATCAGCATTGGTACTCGGTGCCGTTTCAGATGCGGAACGAGTCCATGGAATTGGCGCCGCTGCCAGCAGTGCCCGGAGGATGCGGGCTAGCAGACCGTCCGGCAAGCTGGTCGGAATACAAGCGCGGGGATCGCGAAGAAGGCAGCGGCGGACTGCTGAGGCCCAGGATGCGGTCGCGCTCCTCGATCTGACGGTCAAACTCCTCCTCGGTGAGGTTGCGCTCGAACTTGCTGCTGACGGCCAGCGAGTCGATGATGGGGACGGGGTGGCGGCCACGGCCAACGGAAGGCGCCGGTGCTCCTCCTCCGCGGAAGGCGCTGGTGGGACTGCGGGGTTCCGGTCTGTTCGCACCGCCACCGCCGTGGTGGTGCGGGGACTGCCTGGTTCCGCCGACGGGTCGCGACACGGGCGGCGGTGCGCGGAACTTGCGCATGGCGGTGCTGGCATGGTCGTCGACGAGCACAACCATCCACACCCCGACGCTGCCGTTCTGCCCGAGCAACGGCGTGCAATGGATCCAACGGCTGCGGCCCTCGTCGTCTGGCCGCAGGCTAGCCAGCCACCGCACCTTGGCCGTCACGCCACGTCCCGCGGCTAGCGCCTGCCCCAGTTCCTCGCGCACTCGTGAGCTGCCGCCAATCCTGTCCATGAAAGCCGACTGCAGGATGCCCGGCACGCGGAGAGAGGGCGAGGTGAAGAGGATGCGGAGAGAAGGATGCGGTCGGACAAGCAGATACTATCCCAGCCGTTAGCACATGTTAAACCTATAGCTGGCGTTGACTTACGTGGCTGTAGATCCCGGCTAGCTTCCCGTTGTTTCTGACTTTGCCAAAGATCTCTGACCCGGCGCCAAGAGGTGGGCTGTCTTTGATGAGCAGTCGTGGCTGATGATACATCGAAGTCGTGTCGTCATCTTCAACGTGCTCCTTGTGCATGTGCCCGCCAGTCCTCCGCACCGTGTTGACCTCTCCTTGGTTGAACATCTCGCTCAGCGCCTGGAACTCGTCCTTTTCCTGCTCCGGAGGCACCTGTTCGTCGTCCTCCAGCTCTATCTCTCCGTCTTTGGCAAGCATCCGTCTCAGCCCGGGGAGATCGGTGCACTCTTTTGCAAGGCCGCTTACGTCCACCTGGGATCCGATGAAATACCTGACCTTGCCCCTGTTGTCCATCAGGGGAGCCATCATCAGGAGATTGAGGAACGTTGATCCATCGCGTCGGCTGTCTACGCGTCAGTGGGCACAAAAAATTGATAGTAATTCCGAGACTTACTAGTTCAAGATGAGCTCGTTGATCTCCGTACCTTCTCGGATCGCTTTGCTCAACCGCTTCACCGAAAACGGATTCGTCCGCGGGCCCTGCAAAAAGCGACAGTTGCGCCCGATTGCGTAGCTGACGCCATATTGGGTCGTACGATGGAATTCTAGAAATTGTCAGTCTCGTAGGTGGGCAATAAGCGAGGCTTGCTGACCTTCGGAGGCAAAGATAATGGGATTGTCTTTCCTTGACGGATCCGTGAGACAGAATGTTTCGGCCAGCCCTTCGGAAGCCTCCCGCAAATGTGGAGGCAGGGTCCCCGTGATCCTCATCTGAATGCTCAAGCTGACAACTTGGACCCACACATAGCTGACGTACGCAGGCAGATCTTCCTGGGCCAGCTGATCGAATGCGCGCTGGGCCTTCTCTTCAAGGACGGTATTGATTGTTGGTCTCGCCAGGTGCGCGGTGAACTCCAAGTCGTCAATTGGCTCGAGTGCCTCTGCCACCGCATTGGCATAACTGATTGCTCGAAGAGCTTTCAAAGCATCCAGATAGTACACGAGGAGGGGCAGCGATTTGGGTCTGTAGGCGCTCAGGAACGAAGTGAACTTGTTCAGCAGAGCCGGATCCGAGAAGATGGCTTGCAGATGTTCCTTGGACAAAATCTTCTCAGCCCGTGTTTCGAGGGAATAGTCCCTGCTCACTTGCTCTTCAGGAGCGACAAGATCAAAGTTGCCGGGGTCGTCTTCTATAAGAGGCTCAAGCCTGCCGTCGTCTTCGGCGCCCGCTTTCGTCTGTAATGGCGGGATGGTCCCCACCGAGCTAGCTCTCGTTTCATAAGACATGACGGAATCAGCAGAGCTTTTCTCGGTGGAGAGCCGTTCTTTAGATTCCGGAGTGGATGTGTCCAACTCGCGACTCTTGGGCCTGGAGAAGTTGCGCTTGGCACCCTCGATGCTGCTGCGGGATATGGTCAGAATCAGTACAGGCGCCGTTGCCTCGTCATGCAAGTGTTTTCTTTTTTATTGTTTCAGGAAAAGAAAAAAGCAATTGCGCTGGAGAAATGAACTCACGTTGTCCTTGTTGGAATGTGGATATCTTGGTTTCCACGGAGAGACGATGCCTCCTCATCCTCAGAGCCCATGTCGAAAGTGTTTGAAACAACTGCTTGTGGAGAATCAACGCCGTGAGACGCCGTTGAGTTCTGGCGATCTTGGAAATCCAGCACTACGGTTTGACTCCCATTGGCCTGATTTTTCACGGGTGATTCTTGTCTGAAGGCTGTACCAGGCCGATTCCCATCGGTGCTTGTCATGCTAGGGGAAATGCTGGTAGTAGAACCGCGAGCAGAGTCCTGGCCCGAGTAGACTTTGTGAGTATGGTTTCGCTTGTTGTTGAAGCGGCGGAGAGGCTGAAAAGAAGACATGTGCTCGGACGCGGCGGCTGACAAAAGAGTGAAGGGTGAGGAAGACAGAGTGTTCCGCGAGCGACCAAGGGCAGCCGGGTATAAGAGGGACGGCAAGGAGACTCATCCAGACCCACCACGTACCATGACAGAGGGCAGCACGCGGGCCCTATATTGATCAACCAATGGAGCCACGGCGAGCTGCGGGAAAGCAGGGTCTCGATGGCGGCTTGCGAAGACCGATGCAGGTGAAGCTCCCGCTAAGAGTCCGAATCGCGGGGCCCGATGACTTTTGGGACCGGGCTCTTGAGGGCTGGCGGGAATGAGATCTGCGAACGACCAATTGAGAGCTTGCGGCCCCCCAGCGGAGTGGCTTAGCCTGCGAGCCGCAAAAGGGCCTTGGGCTTTCTTTTTCAGCTGCGACAACGCCCTTGGTCTCCGAACCTCGTCAGCTCACTCAATCCTGCACAACCCCCAGCAGTCGGACAAGGCCCCCATGGTGTGCTCTGCAGCACTGAGACCGAGCAATTGGCATCCTGAATCGCGTCGGCCGGTGAGGCGCAGCGCCGGCGATGACGTACTGCATGGCGGCTCCCTCACTTCGTGCTGCCGAAGGTGGTAGTTGGCGCACGACGTGTGGCCAACCTGGTCGGCCCGTGGGCACACGAAACTCCGCGCTTTCACGCGCTGGCGGACGATCTTTGGCAAGGGTTGACCGGCGCATTGCTTTTTCTGTCACTCACCCTTGCTCGGATCACCTCTTTGGCTCTCGCGCATGCCTACGAACGGCCAAACTCAACCGCCCCATCGCGACCGGACAGCCTGACTTTCGATAAGTCAGTTCGACCACATGGCCGTCAAACTTTCCGCCGTGCCAGATCGTCTTCAGCCCCACACAGCAGTGACGACAACTGCGCCATATCCAGAGCATTGACTATCACACGACTAGCGAAAGCTACCGTAGTGCTTGAGGCTTTGCTGAGGCCGGAGCCGGTGTTCCGCTTCGAGACACGTCCTGTCCCCCCTCACAACATTGGCTGAAGGGGGCCGTTTTGCTGACAGGTGCACCAGGCATCAGGAACAACGGCCGGCTTGTGCCCAGCCAGCTACCGTTGCGTGCCACTCCTGTCAGACCATCATACCAAGCAGTGGGACTCGACTCAACTTCGGCGTTGATCTTCTCGATGTTCATGTCGACAATTTCCTCGCGAGCTGCTCGATCGCGGGGCCCATCGCAAAAGACCGAAACCACCCGAAGATCGAGATTGGCTCTGAAGATTCTTTGGGTTGTCAAGACGGGAACTCTAGCCCCCTTTCTCCTTGGTTTGCTCAGCTTTGGGACACAAGCCACAGCTTTTACAAGGTACGAGTCCGAGCTGCTCAGGTACCAGTCCGCTCTTGACATCACTCCGTCTCTTAGCTCGCCGCTTAGCGTCACCGTACAGCAACACTAATACGAATCGACCGCAAACGACGAACCCAGACGCCCGGCACGTATGCACAGGACCAACTTGCGTTTGGCGATGTGATCAAATCGCGATCCCACGTGAATAAAAATGATCTAATCTCGCAAATGTTCTGGTCAGCGACAAGCCGAGACAGTGTCATGAGTCGTATCTAAAAGGGCTAATCATCTTCTCTAAAAAAAAGTTCACGCGCCTGGTGACGAATCTCAAGATGCGCAAACGCCTGGCTCAAGCTCTAGCAAAGAAGCTACGGCCTGGCGCTCAACAGAGGTCGCCGTTCGCCGTTGGATTCCTCGTCTCTTTCCTCGACCTCTCTCGCATGCCGATACACAACGTAATGCTGGACAATGAATATGACATCGAAAATGATGCTCACGTTTGCGAGGCCAAACTTGACAGGGTTTCCGGTAATTCCAGACCAGTCCGCTTGCAGGGAGGAGTCGATGACCAGCTGGAGATTGGACAGTATACCACCAGAAAAGTCCAGCAACATTCCGCCAATGCTGAATCCAACCGTGGACTTTCGCTTGTAGTTCAACCATACCTGGGGAACGTATTTGACGACGGTAACCACGAGCTTGACGTATCCAATGGCGTAAATCTTGAAGAGTTGGTCAGCTCGCAAAATCCCATAAAACATCTTCTGTGCAGCATATGGCAGCCACTCAGAAAGTATCCTAGCAGTAGGACTATCCGAGGCAGTTGCAGCATCCGTCGAGACGTCGCGGTGCACCCCGAACGTCGCGACCAGATCTCGACGAGCGCTCCAAGTGCCTGCAAGAGCGCGTGCGTGTGTCACGGCGCGTTTGAGCTTGACGCACGTCACGACAAACAGGAAATTCGGGGCCACGTACCACATCGATCCACGCCCAGCCACTGGCATCGTGTCCACCATCTTTGCCCTTGACCCAGACCACGACAGTCACAATGACCACTCCGACAATATTGCCCCAGAAGATGCCCTTTGCCAAAGAGCTCATCTTCTGGTCCGCGCCGACCTTGAAGCCCCAAGTCTTCAGCCAAAATTGGCTGTAGATAATGAGTGACATGACCAAAGCATGCAACGCAAACGCAAAGTCGTTGAAGCGGACGGTGGGCTCTGGAGCGCCTGGGTACCGAGCAGCGTACTGTGCCCGGATGGTTGGCGACCACAACGTTGCCGCGGTAGAGACCGTGTATGCAACAAAGCCAATAATGTTGAGGGTGGGAAAGTCGATGCCAAATCCTAGCGTCGACTTCCGACGCCAGTTCATGAGCGGTTGGGGATAGAAGGACCCGGACCAGCATAAGAAGCTCGAGATCAGTCAGCCTTGATCCTCTGGCACACTACGAGAAATCACCGCGCTAGCATACTAGGACCAGCCCAGGAGCCGCGAGAGGCCCTGGGCGAGGTAGACGACTTCAGGCGAAGCCATGATGTGCGGCTGTGATGCACGGGAGCGATGGCGCCAGGTACCAGGTACGACGGACGGGAGTTGCAGAAAAGATTGATGAGCAAGCGAGAAGGCTGCGGTCCGGAGGATGGATTACGCGGGACTACACCCCACTTAAGGCGCGAGCTCCTTCCCAGGAACACGTTTAGTGGACGGTATGGCGAATGGCATCATCAAGGACTGGGCACGTGACCGCACGGGCGCCTGACGCCTCTCAGGGTCACGGCGGCGGCGCGTTTCTGCTCGGAAGTCGTGTCGCCAATGCGGTGAGGGGCGCGATGAGCCGCATGGATAGTGCTCATAGGGTGGCTTCGAAGGTGCACGACCAGCTGCTGGTCGATCGGGCAAGGCGCTGGGCGCGTGGGGAAGGCGCACGGGCCACATGCACTAGCGCGACCTTCAACATCACCTCCAGAGGTTGCAGCGGCGAGACGCGCCAGCTGGCTCACGCCTCGAGCAGACCCGTCGCAGCACCTCCCTCCGCGTCATCCGCCTCTGCCGTGCCGTCCACACATGTCTTTCGCCCGACCTCGCAGCACAACGCGTCCGCGCAGACGGTAGCTTGGCATCTGTTGTCCTCTCCTTGCGCTTCCGATCGCGCTGCGTGACCGGAGTCTCACTGCGCCCAACGCGATCATACGGACACCCACCCTGACCACCCATGGCGGTGCCATCAGACACGCCCACGAGGCGCAATCAACGCGGCCCCGGCCGCCCTCCACGCGTCGACCCCAGTGCCACACCCACCGCCCCTGCTTCTGCGGCCCCCAAGCGACCCAAGTACATTCCTGGTGGGCCTGGCGGTGGTGGCCGCTACATCGACCCAGAAACCGGCGCCGAAATACCCAAGGAAATTGCGATTCCGCTGCTCAAGGCAGCCGGCCGCAGGCACAGCGCGCCCCGGCCGCGTCCGTCGCGTACACCAGCTACAACCCGCAAATACTCTCCCGATGCCGCATCTCCCTCCCGACCCTACACGCGCCCCCGGCGCGATCGCCCAGCTGCCGGTCCCCGAGCCAGTTCTGCCTCCGCTGCTGCCGCTGCCGTGGCTCAGAATGATGGATACAAGCCAAGAGAGGAGCGAGGCTGGGAGGAGTTCCACCAGGACCTGGATATTGATATGGACTTTATGGTCTTCAGTGCGGAAGAGATAGACGGCGTCAGCCCGCCCATCACGAAGCCGACGACACCCATCCTGGGTTTGAGCCAATCCTTCTCGGCCCAAGACGATGCTTCCACTCCGGCTGAAATTCCCAATCTCAAGGAACAGAACTCGTTCGCTGAACAGGACGAAGACACCGTCCATGTTGGTGGCGCCAGCGAACAGTCTTTGTCCCCAGCGGTGATCAAGCGGCGGCCTGGCAGGCCTCCACGGCGTCCTGGATCCATGCTTACCGGCTTGGGCTCGCCTCCAGCACCAAGGATCGAACCGCTACCGACAAAAGACAAACGCGAAAAACTGAGCCTTCCAAAGCCGTCTTATCGGACGATCGACACATTTTCGCACTACGAACAGGACCCTTCGGCGCAGGTCAACTACGTCGATCGCACCATGGCGAGCGTAGGATATCAGGAGAGTGACATGTTCATGCGGCCTGAAAAGCGATTGATACGCATCGTCGACGGGAACCTTGATGAAGACCTGGACCTCGCGTTGAGCCTTGAAATGGAAGCACATGCTCACCCCGTCGGACGAGTCGAGTATGACATGGACGAACAAGACGATCGGTGGCTGGAGGCCTATAATGCGCAGAGGAAAGAGGAACAAGTCGAAGCGATCAAGCCCGCGATTTTCGAGATAACCATGACGCAGATCGAAAAGGAATGGCATGGGCTTGAGAAAAGTGAGTTGTCGATTACCTGGTGCGATCTACCTGTGCTGACTCGCTTGCGTCCAAGGAATCCCCAAGCCAAACCCGAAGCCTCCCCAAACCCATCGACCACGTTCGAGCTCGGCAGCTGCGGTTAACGGAGAACCAGTAGGAAATGGTGAAGAACAAGACACAAAATGCGCCGTCTGTGACGATGGCGATTGCGAGAACACCAACGCCATCGTCTTCTGTGACGGCTGTGATCTCGCCGTGCACCAGGAGTGTTACGGGGTTCCTTTTATACCTGAAGGCCAGTGGTTGTGCCGCAAGTGCCAGTTGATTGGCCGAGGAACAGCCGTGAGTAATTTCGTACCTCCCTGTGCTTCGTTGTGGTACTGACATATCACAGACCTGCATATTCTGTCCCAATGTCGATGGAGCTTTCAAACAGACTGCCAATCCTCAACGATGGTCACACCTGCTTTGTGCCATTTGGATCCCAGAGGTTTCACTTGGCAACACCACCTTTATGGAGCCGGTCATGGAGATTGAGAAGGTTCCCAAGCAAAGATGGAGATTAGTGAGCATGAACACTCCATGAATCCATTCGATTGAGCTGACGAAAATAGCAATGCTACATCTGCGACCAGAAAATGGGCGCATGCATCCAATGTGGCAACAAGAATTGCTATTCTGCCTTCCATGTCACCTGTGCGCGACGTGCCAAATTGTTCCTTCGAATGAAGTCTGCCCACAGCGGACCCGCCAACGTCGACGCTAGCGTGCTCAAAGCTTTCTGTCACAAGCATGTTCCGACCGAATGGCGCCGAGAGAATGATGTGGACATGGCTACACGTGAGGCCATGGCGTACTACCGCCAAACGATGCGAGGTCGACGGTGGGCAGAAAGTCAAGCCGCGGCAGCCCGCAACTCGTCCAGTACGATGAGCATGGACGACGATGTGGATGACTCGACCCAGGTGCCCGGCAGCAACAGGCGAAAGCGCAGTCAATCTACCAAAGGTGTGTGGAGGCTGCCATCCGGTGCACCGGTAGTGCCTCATCTCGTCTATGAGAAGGTTGAAGCGTCACTTGTGCGCTTCAATGTTCGCAAGCGTAAAGAGTATGTGGCTGAGGCGTGCAAATACTGGACACTCAAGAGGGAAGCCCGCCGTGGAGCGGCTTTGCTCAAGCGCCTTCAACTTCAGATGGAGACATTTTCATCGATGGAAATCACACGGCGCAACTTCGCGGGAATGGGCGCAGCAGGACGTCCAAGACTTCACCGACGGATCGAATTTGCGGAATTACTCGAGAAGGACATGGAGAAGGTCAAAGACTTGTGTCACTCCATCAAAGAAAGGGAAGAAAAGAAACTGGACGATGTCGACATTTTGAAAAACATCATCGACACAGTCTATTTTCCTATTTACCCTCTTCTATGGCCGATACTAGAGAAAGCCCAAAGGTTAGTTCAGGAGTACTCACTGAGATTAGGCACAAGAGCTGACATTCTATTAGTCTGGATTCTAAAGGTGTTTTCAAAGATGGCTTGGAAACGATCGAAAAGAAGCTTGAAGAGCGTTTCTACACATCTGTGTCGACCTTCTCAGGCGACATTGGCGCAGTCTTCCGATCGGTCCTCGGCCTCGACGAGACCACAGATGCCCACGATGCCCACGAACATCTCAACGAAGGCAGTGGCGTCCATAGCGATTTGACACCGGAACAAAAGGACAAGAAAAAGCTGGCAAAGCGTATCATCAGGGGAATACATCCGGCCCTTGAGGATGCCACCGTCAAGGAGGCGCAGATTGCTGGTAAGCAGTATGACCAGGAGCTGCGGGAGCTCAACGCCCTGTTGAGCAATGGCGGACGTTCCAGACCCACGTCAGCTCAAACTTCCCATGATGCTGGCAACAAGGGTAATGACAAAGGGGCAGAACGACCGCACATCTCCCAAGACGTGGAAACGTCCGAAGCCGTGGAGTACCTCACGAACGGCAATGTGGGGAGGAACGCGCTTGCCGATGGTGACGTCGAAATGAAAGACCAGAACACTGGAAAGAATGCTGGAGCGGAGACCGACGAGCCCGATCATGAGGCTGATGATGCGGCGATAAGATTGCAGTTGCAGCTGCCTGAGGAAACAGCCGATGCACCAGCTGAGAACTCTGGGGGCGAGTCCACGAATGTGCGCCAAGGCAGCATCGGAACCGCTCCCGCTCTATCCAACTCAGGCAGTACGCATCCATCTACGACCAACCCCGATCCTCTCACGCCCCCACAGTCCGACGCAGACATGCTTACGCTGTTGCACGGTGGGGTGCCGTGGTATCTGCAGAGTTTTGATCCCCATGGCACAACCATTCACGACGAGGTCTGGTCCGGCCGTGAAGTAGTGCGGGGAATGAGCGAGGAACTCAGTGAAATCGACGATGCCGAGCTAGACGGCATGTTAGGCGACGAGGAGATGGTAGATGCACCAGCCGATTCCATGGATGCAGAGGGAAGCACGGTGCAGCGTGCACAGCGCGTAAAGGCACGGGTGCAGCAGCGGAGGAATGCTTCGAGACGAGCTAACGGGACAACCCAAGGCTGATTTCTTTTGATTTTTCTTGGTTGCGTAACGGGGACATTTCTTTGGGTGGGGCGTTTTTTTTCTTTGGGTATGGGCGGTGACGAGCTGTATACCATTTCCTTGCCGGTCATAATATCCGGGCACATGGGGCTGGCTTTCGTACGGAAGACGGGAATGGTCGTCGGCGCGCGGCGTTGTGGCATAGGGCTCAGTATACCTATTTGCTTGCGGGCCTGTGTTGTTGGCTCGGTGTGGATTAGCTAGAGCGATGGAGCATGGACGCCTGTATTTTTACCGCAATGACTGCAGTGATTTTCGCCCACCGAACGCCGGCGAGCGCGGTGTGCCGCGACAAGGCAAGATGCGACCTTGCAATTGAGAGTACAAATCGCAGAGCTGCACGTTTGCGAAGGCAGTGCGGGAAGGAGCCAAGAGGCTGCGGCTCGCTGGCGGGTGTTCCTTGGTTGCGCCCCTTGATAGGCTGCCTGGATTTCTGTCAGCCTGCGCCTGTCACAGCGCGTTTGTCCAGCGTCGCGAAAGCCACTTCACTTCGCTCCTTCACCACAGCCTGGCAAACGTGCCGTTCGCACCGACGCGCTTTTTCCTTTACCCTCTGCCTCACTGCCTCACCTAGCTCTCACTGCGACGGTCCTTTTCCAGCCGATCGGAGCTGCCTTCCCGGCCGCCGCTTTGTCGCAACCACCTCTTCCGCCGCCTGTTTTCAGCTCCACCCAGCCGCCTTCATCCTCCTACACTGCACAGCTCTCCACCATGTCCACCATGGATTACGAGACTGAGCCGCGTCCGTACGATGGTAAGTCCGCCCCTTCGCCACCGCGCTGCCCGTCCTGCCGCCACAACGCGCCGCTGACACGCCCTTGCACACAGACGAGCCGCGCGACTACGAGCGCGACCGCAGCCGTTCTCCACGCAACGACCGCCGTGTCGATGAAGATGCCCGCGCTCGCAGTGCCTCTCCCGGTGCGCGCGACCGCATTGACGACCGGTACAGCAATGATCCAGCCCTCAGCCCGCTGCAACGCTCGCTGACAATGCCTACGACAGCCCCAGCCACGACATGCGCGACCGCGATGACGAGTCCATCAACCCGGGCTCCAACCTCTTCGTGACCGGCATCCACCCGCGTCTTTCTGAGGACGAGGTCACGCGCCTCTTCGAGAAGTACGGCGATGTCGAGAAGTGCAACATCATGCGTGACCCGCACACCAAGGAATCGCGTGGCTTCGGCTTCGTGAAGATGGTCACTCCCGACCAGGCCGACGCCGCAAAGGAGGGCCTTCAGGGCGAGGTCATTGAGGGCCGCACGCTTAGCATTGAGAAGGCCCGCCGCGCTCGTCCGAGGACGCCCACTCCGGGCAAGTACTACGGCCCGCCCAAGCGCGGTATGACAACCTATTATCACGGTATTCCCCTTTGAAATTCAAGATTGGATGAGCTGACCCGAGTAGCAGACTTCCGTGGCGGCCGTGGCGGTGGCCGTCCCTACGGCGACCGCTATGACGACAGGCGTGGCTACGGTGGACGCCGTGACGACTACTCCCGCGGCCCTCGCTACGAATCCTACGACCGTGGCTACGACCGTGGCTACGACCGTGGTGGTGACCGTGGCGGCGACCGTGGCGGTGACCGCAGCAGCTACTCCCGCCGTGACCGCGACTATGGTCCTCCTCGCGGCGTCGACCGCTATGCTTCTTCGGGCCGCGAGGGCCGCGAGGGCGGCCGTGAGGGCCGCGAGGGCGGCGGCCGCGGCGATGACCGCTACCGCTACGGTTCGAGCCGCGACGATCGCTACGGCCGTGACGGCGGTGCCGCCTACGGTGGCGCTCCTGCCGACGAGCCGTATGCCGGTGGAAGGGCTTACGACGACCGTGGTGATGACTACTATCTCCGCCACTAGACGCTCGGCTAACTCTCTCAGAACCCCCTCGCGAGTAAAGGCAGAAGAGTAGGGTCCTCACTCGTGCAGTGACGCGCACCCTCGAGAACGAGATCGTTTTTCGAGACTGCTGCCTCAATCTTCGCCCCTGTATTACTTGCTTCCTGGCTTTTGCATCTCCACGTCTCCGCTATGCGATCGGACTACGGCGAACTTCAGCGATATCTTCGGCGGGCGACGGTTTCACAAAAAACAGAACGGCTTTTTCACTCAATCTGACTGCTGGACGGAAGACCTCACCTAAGGCATGGGTATTACACGGCTCGAGCGATATGCCCACGCCACGTCTAAAGGTCTCGGCTTCCGGTGAATTTCGGTGGATTTCCTTTGACAGAGAACGGCTACGGATCTTTGCGGCAAAACATGCTTTTAATTCGAATTGGTGACGAAAAAAACTGGATCTCCTGGAGCAGCTCTTCCCTACCCGACTTCAGATCGCACTTTGTACTACTATGCCTTCCCATCACACTCGACATTCTCTGCGCTTGTCGACACGTCCCCATGTTCAACACCATGCGTGCAGTCACATTGCAGCCTGCCTGTACCGGCGACCTCGTTTGTCCACGTTCCCGTTGAGACCGTTCGACATCCATCAGCTTAAAGTGCCCTGCCGCCCTTGCACTTCTGTCTCTGGCGAGACGGGAGCGACCATCCTCGTAGTAAACAGCAAAATCGCCCAATCTATGCACGATGCCGCCATCCGGTGTAATAAAAAAAAAAAGCAATGCGGAGTGCAGAACGACCTCAGCCATGCGCCCCAGCTGAGGCCGTTTGCCGTGACGACATTTCCCGAGGCTCTGGATGCAGACACGTTCGCTGTGTCTGTCTGTCTGGAGAGCCGTTGCCGGCTTGCACAAGCTGCTGCAGGGAGCCGACACATTCTGACAACGCACGCGGCTGCTGTGCATGGTACTACGGTGAGTCTCCGCTCGGCGTGGAATTTTCCAATTCTCTCCAATCTCTGCAGTCGCAGTCCACGGCTGTCAGCTGTCGGGCTTGCCGTCCTTTCCGTTTCCGCATTCCGCCAAAGGACCCCTTTTGATCTGCCTCCGAACCAAAGGAGCCTTTCATTCCTGGGTCGTCCTTTTTTATTTTAATTTCTCAGGTCCTTTTCCTTTCTCGTTTCATTTAATTCTCATCGTCACGCTGTCCTTTGCAGTGGTCGGGTGGTGGTCCAAACGCGCCAACCGGATTTTCTCCGTGTCCACGACGTGGGCCTGACATCATCGTGTTGTCGCAAGCTTCGTGCCGTGTAGACCAGTCCGGAGCCTCCAGGTACGTCCAACCGGGGAAGAGCCTTTACTGGTGGAAGAAGAGAGTTGCATCTCTGCGTGTTATGGCTCTGCGTGTTTCAGGGAACGAGCCGAGACCACGGCGCTCCTTTTCACGTGCATTGCTCCTCCTCTGTTCGAGTATGAAGCGAACGCGAGGCGCGCTTGTAGGCAGTGTTGTCGCTTGATCTGGTGAGGTCAGCACGAGATGCAAATGCTGTTTCCGCATGTATGGATAGCCTAGAAGAGATAGCTGGAGAGTGTAGATACATATCACAGAGCAGCTGAAGCTGATAAAGCTACTGAGCGTCGTCTCAAGCGGGTGTGACCAGTTGTTGGGCCGCTTATAGCGACATGCGGATGTGCCGGCGTGGCGTGGAGGCTTGGAGCTGGTGGTGCCACTACTGCAGGCTGACTGGCGCTGAGCTACCGCTGTCACAGTCTGCGACAAGCAAGTGTTGGTAGCACTTGCGGCATGTTTGAAAAGGCCAACAGCGTCAAAGGTGTGGGGGGCTTCAGATTGACAGGCGTTTATACAACGGCGATGGCGTCGCACTCCGAGCAGCGGTTGTTGCGCGAACGGCCGATCACACAACCTTATCCAGTAAAGAGCAAGCTGGCCGCGCAAGCACCTGCGCCCGGGGACCAATTGACGCGCGCACCTCGAAACAAGTTGTCCCGAATGATCGTTAGTTAAAGCTTGGTTGCGGAGCCCTGCTCAACCTTGCTGGAAAGCTCCGCAATTTCTAGACAGGCCCCCCAGCTGCGATACGACAATCCTCCAGCTCTCGCAAGCCTTGCCCTCCGCCCTCCAACCCCACGCCCTCCGCGAGCCTGCCCTCAATCGCCTGTGTACCAAGTGATGCCGGCCCGAGTCTGAAGCCAGCGACAGGGCGCCGTCACCAGCAAGCACTCGTTTAGGTACGTATGTACGTCTCCTTCGCGCAGCCCGCCGACGGCGCAAAGGAGGGGTGTTGTCTTGAGTCCGCAGCTAGCAGCAAGATGCTGATCATTTACCCCAGCAGATAGGCCACATGTTGTCGTCTTAAGACGCCTGATTCCCTCCTTCTCCGCCTCCGCTCTTCACCCAACCTTCGCTACCCGCGCGCCTCCGTGGACGCCGCCCGCCATGCTCTCCCCACGCAACCTGCTCCCCCTCCTCGCCGTCGCGTCCGTCTCGTTCTTTTCGTTCCTGTTCTACAGCACCAATGTGCGGGAATCGTGGAGGGGTTTGCCGCAGAAGATCGGGCTGGGAGAGGCGGTAGCAGAGCCGCCGTCGTCATCATCGGCACCGTCCGCCGCCGCCGCCACCGCCGGCGGGGGAAGCGCGAACAGCGCATCATCCGGGGGATCGTCGCCGAGCGAGCCCGCCCAAGCCGCAGGTCCCGCAAAGCCCAAGCAGACGTGGAGCTCGATTCCGAAGTTCGAACCGGGTGTCGGCATGCCGGCCGACTACAACTTCAGCACGGTGCTGGTGATTCCGCGGACGAGCACCGAGGACGTGGGCTGGATCGACGAGCACCTGCCCGACTACCAGACGGCGATATACGTCGCCGACGACAACAGCGCGCCGCTGCACCCGCCGAAGAACAAGGGACACGAGGTGATGATCTACCTGACGTGGGTCATTGACAATTACGCGGACCTGCCGGATGTTGCGGTGTTTATGCATGCGCATCGCTATGCCTGGCACAACAGCGACATGTTGGACTTGGATGCCGTCGAGATGATCAAGCGGCTGAATCCCAACCGCGTGCTGCGGGAAGGGTACATGAACCTGCGCTGTCATTGGGACCCGGGTTGCCCTGATTGGATGTAAGCCTTTTTTTCTTTTTTTCTTTCCCCTTTCAACCACCGCTTCCCATTTGTTTGCCGTACATGATGCTAAGAAAGCGATTTTATTCAGGCACCCGGGCGAAGTGGAGGACGACGTCCAGAAGCACGAACAGAAGCTCCTCGCCAAGGCTTGGAGCGAGATCTTCCCCCTGGACCCGATCCCAGAGGTGTTGGCGCAGCCCTGCTGCGCGCAGTTCGCCCTCAGCCGCGACCGCATCCGTTCGATCCCGCTGCAGCGCTTCGTCGCGTACCGCGACTGGCTGCTGCGCACGCCGCTGTCGGACGCGCTGTCGGGCCGCATATGGGAGTACATCTGGCAGTACGTCTTCACCGGGCGCAACGTCTACTGCCCGATCCAGCACGTCTGCTACTGCGACGGCTTCGGCGTGTGCTTCGGCGACGAGGAAAAGTACAAGGACTGGACGAATCTGCGCTTCGAGCAGATTGGCTACGAGTACGAGCTGAGGGACTGGCACGACAAGGAGAAGCTCGTGGAGCAGTCGATGGAGGACGGCAATTTCGACGAGCTGGCCGAGATTGACGTGCCCGAGGTCGGGCGGGACGTGTGGCTGGAAGAGGAGATTGAGCGCATCAGGCAAGACTTGAGAGAGAGGCGGGATGCGGCGATAGAGCGAGGCAACGACCCTCGAATCAGAGCGCTGGACAGCGGGAGGGAGTGGAAGGAAGGAGATTGGTTTTGATGATGGTCGCCTGTTCGACGTCTTTCGGTTGGCAAATCCTAGGAGCCCGGGCGTTAAAGGAAATGCTGGTATTTGGAATTCTGGGGGGACACTTGATATCACGAGGGTATTTCATAGAGGTTGGGACAACAGCGTGTTGGTTTCTCGTGTTTGCAGCGGCGGCTCCGTACATACATTCCAGGCGCAAAGGGGCTAGACTACTACTTTCTTGTGTAAAGGCTTACACGAGTCGTATGATATGGCTCATCTTCACGTAGATAGAGACTTGGTATGCAGTTCGTCACGGACACCTATGCAGCAATGCGGTAACCAGCATGACCATGACAAACATGTCGGTTTGCAGATTTGTGAGGGCGCAGATGCGTGACGTCGTCTGAGCCATTTTGGAAGGAAAAGAAAAGGCCCCCTCGTGGCTCGTATGCTGCGGGTTTGAGCCAGGTGATAGCTCTCGGAATGTGGAATCCATGGGGCAGCCGCATGAACAGCAGTCACAGGGCTGCGTATGCATCATCGGAGACTGACGGCGCGATGCTCGAGGGCGTGGGCGAGAGCCAAAAATAGCAGACGTCATGGGCTGAGGAATGCAGCCTAGGCCGGATGCGGACTAGTGGGTGAGCAAGCAAGGCGGAATGCGAGACGGACAAACAAAATCAAACAACACAAACGCACAGAATGCAAACACCCAACCCGATCAGGCAAACACCTCCAGCTCCGTGAAGCTCCCTTCGCGACGAGCCGAGAGCTCGCCCGCCTGCTTGTTGGTGAGCACCGCACTCGCGCACCCACATCAGACATGCCATCCGTAGCCCCGTCGCCAGTCGAGCCGATGACCTGTGGTTCTGACCGTTTTCCGCCCTAGATGATTTGATTTTCTCAGCCCTTCGCCGCTCAATTGCACTCGCCCTGCTGCCTCTTGCCCGGGTTGCAACTGCCACTCTCGCTCCCTACCGATATCAAGTCTTTGCTGCGAGAACACTCCTCGTCTTGAACATCCCTGCCGTCAGATCCGCCTTCATGCCTATTCCTCTGCCATGATGAGTACGGGCGCCTTCTACGCCGCCGCCGGAGACCGCCGCAACAGCGTGCCGAACTCGAACTCCGCTGCCAGCGATGGCCAGGCTTACGACATGCACCCCACCGCCGGCGGACAGCATAGCACCGCCGCGTACGCGCCGTCTACGGCCAGCCTGGAGGGCAACATGGCGGAGCTCCTGGAAGCCGCGGCGAAGGCGACGACCGAGTCGCAACGACACGCCGCCGCACAACAGCAGCAGCAGCAACAACAGCAGGCAGCAGGAGTCGGCGGTCTGCGCAAAGTAGCGCGCGTCACGGACCTGAGGGGCACGGCCATGCATGAAGAGGCCCTGGGGGCGGCAGGACAGAAACGCAAGAGGACGGCCACGCCTCCGAACGGGGGCGGCGGAGAAGACATGCACCATCTGGAAGGGGGAGAAGTGCAAGAAGGGGGTCGTGCTGGGAGCCAGAGCCCACGCAAACGCGCGAGGCAGACGCCCACGACGGGATTGGCTGAGCTGCAACATCATGCACCGTCGGCCGACATTCACCATTACCACCACCAACAGCACAGCCCGACTTTGATCCATCAGCAGCACCAGCAGCAGGCCGGCTTTGGGCTTACCGACGTGAGAGCCGTGGGTGTGCACTCGGCCGCTGCACTCTTCCGGCAGCCGTCGGGCGGCAGCGCGACGAAGAAGCACACGCGGCCGCCCATGTCGAAGCTGTTTGCGTCGCTGCAGCTGACGCCGGAGAATTTCCTGCGGCTGCAGGCGGCGGCCAAGACGTACATGCTTGACGAGGCGCATCCGGAGCGCCAGAGCTGCGTGGGTAGTAGGGGCAAGGGGGACACGGACATGGTCAAGCTACGATTGTTCAACTGCTGCCGCGATTTCCTTAACGACGGCATCGGCGAGCGCTTCTTCGGGCCTGATGTGCCCGCTCCGACGGAGAACGAGGTGCTGGAGGGCGAGACAATGCCCGGCCGGAAGTGGGTGTGGCCGCGCGACGGCAATAAGATCGTTAGCCTGGTGACGCCACTGCTGAGGCGGATGGTGACGAACGAACGACAGCGGCAGTATGCACAGGAGGCGCGGAAAGGAACGGGGAAGAGGAAATCGGATGTTGCAAGTGGTACTCCTTCTGCTGCCTCACACGGTACTTCTTCGCAGGATGCCGCCGCCGCCGCCGCCGCCGCCGCTGCCACGGGCGCTACCGGTGCTGCTTCAACACCGCCTCCATCCACAGTGCCCTTCGATGCAAGCCATTCTCCGCCAAATCCAGCCATTGACCCTTCGTTAAGCACGCCTCAACCTCCCCCGCCCCCGGCTATACCTGCAGCGCCGCCGCATGTACAGCCACACTACCCAGCGCACGCCCCTACCCAAACGCTCCCCCACGGTCCGCCGCCGACGCAGTATCCACGGTTCTTACAGACACAACCGCCCCAATCAATATACAGCACGGCGATATCCCCCCCTGCACATCCAGCCGCAACGGCTACAGGGACGGCGGCGAACAGCAACCAGCACCAACAACACTTTCATCACCATCACCCTCAGCCCGCGCCAGACCAGAACGTCATCCAGGTCCTCATCACCAAGAACAACACGAAGCTGCTGCCCCGCATCGACATGCCGTCTTGGCCCAGCACGCCGCATCACACGCTGCCGCTGGTCGATCTGCGACAGGCCGTCGAAGAGGAGATCAGGGGATTGCTGAAGAGAGGATTGGATTTGGGTATCAGGAGGAGGGCGACGACGACGAAGCGTCCCATGACACCAGCAGTGCCGACAGTTGATAGGGCGGGAGAAAGCGTCGCTGCTCCCGCTAATGCTAGCACTACGACTACGACTACAAGTGCTGTGACGAGCACCGCCACGGCGGAAAGCCAGCAGCCCGCCGACGTCGACATGGCGGAGGCGGGCAATGAACAGGATCAGCAGCAGCAGCAAACGGGCCCGAATGAAAAGAACTCAGCGCACGAGGATGGCGATGGTGAAGATTTCGCCGCCACCACCGCCCAACAACGACAACAGCAGCAGCCACAACCACAACCACCACCACAACCACAACCACAATCAGCCGATACCGTCAACGAACAACAGCAAGAAGCAGTGGTAGAAGAAGCAGAAGAGGAGGAGGAAGCAGCCGAAGCAGGAGAAGAAGAACAACTCAGCCTCGAAGACATCACGCTCGAGATCCGCGCGCTGACTGGCCGCGGCCTCGTCCTGATCGCCGACGACAAAGACTGGCGCGCCGTCTTGGCCGAGGTGGGGCAAGCGGTGTGGATGGAGGGCGTGCTGAGGGTCGTCGTGGAGGTGATTTGATGATCTAGATGGTGGGAACGAATGATGGGATGAACGGACGGTTAGAGCTACTATTGATTGAGCCACGTGCGTGCGGCGCTTGGGTGGGTGCGAACGGAAGAAAGCCAGAGGGGGAAAGGGGGTGGAAACAGATGCTGTTTTTGTTTGTGCTTCTTTCTGTTATGATTACTGAAAGACGATCGATGAGGGACGACACGTTGGGCGGGATCAACTGAAGCGTGGCGTTCTTTTTAATTTTTTTTTTTGGGTCAGCCAGTGGCATTGTGTTATGTGGACCACAGGTAGCATCGGCATTTTAGACTTTTTCTTTGCAACAAGGCGGCGGGTGTTTCTTAGTGAGATGCTGGGGAATTCGGGCGAGAAAGACGAAAGAGAGAAAGGACACAGCGGTGGAGAGAGAGAACTTATCAGCGGGCCTTGGTATTATATAAGCCAATGAATGACCATGAACGTTGCAGACTGGGAAAATGCAGACAGGAAAGTAGTGATCTCGGGTAAAGTCCTCTTTCTGTTGTAGATGAAAAAAAAAAAAAGTCATGATCCTGGAGAAAAGATGATGGCTATATGGATTGATCTGCCAAGGGGCGAAGTTAGAAAGACGAGGGATAACAAATGCCGTTCGTTGGATTTAACTGCGCGTCTCTTCGCTGGTAGCTGAAATCGTATCTACAAAAACAAATTTACTGGAGGGTAGTGTTAAGCGTTATCACGTCTTAAGGCGCTTAGTTATTATAAAGATATATCGTCTTCTATTACCACTGTTTTTATCACCCTCCCCACCCTCTTTGTTACTACAAGCATCGCATATATAATCAGCCTTAATTTCGCCAATAGAAATGCAATAAAGATAACAAAATCACTAGATCTTCATCATGTTTGACATGTGAATATTGCAGTTAAGAGGATGCTAACGAAAAGAAGCGCTTTATTTTGGTATCATCGCATCCCGGCCGACAATCCCGCCCACCCACCATCTTTCGCCTCTCACGCACGCATGCATACGTACAAAAGCAAAAAAAAAAAAGAAGAGGCGACCTACGCCCTACATGAAGTCTTCCCACGCGACAGAAGAAGAAGAGGAAGAAGAAGAAGAAGAAACAACGGCCCAATGGGTCCCATCACATATCTGAAAAAAAAAAAGAAGTGGGAAATCATCTCTTCGATCCTCAATATCCCCCCCTCCCCTCCCCTTTCCGCCACCCCCCCTCCTAAACCAAATCGCCTCTCTCTTCCACCAATCCCCCAGGACAACAACAACAACAAAAAGGAGGAGATATGAAAAAGAAAAAAAAGAAATCACGGCATGACAATCCTCGTCCTCCACCCCTTAACGACTCTCCTAGTGGCACTCGCCACGACCGCCGCCAGAAGTATGACGTTGAACGCGGCCATGACGAAGAACGGCGCGCCGGGGTCGATGCGGTCGAACATGAGACCGCCTAGCTTGGTTAGGATCAAGATGCCCGCGCCGCCGGCCAGGCTGTACACGCCGGCGATGGAGCCTTTTAGGTGAGCGCGGTTGGACGAACGGTTGCGGGACGGCGGCAGACGGCGGAAGTGCGAGGGGAGTAGCGGTGAGGATTCGGAGTAGTAGCCGTGTCCGCCGCCGGAAGGAGCTCCGTTGCTGTTGTTGCTGCTGCTGCCGCCGCTGCTGTTGCGGGTCCCGAGGTGACGGCGCGGGGGGGTCGATGTGGCGGAGGTGCCGCCGCCGCCGAGTAAGGGGTCGCGCGGCGAGGCGACGTTGGGAGAAGGCACGGGTGTTACGTCGGGGTCGAGGTGGTGAGCCGCGTGTCGGAAGCCGCTGGGGGGTGCGCCCTGGATGTGCGTGCTGATGTCGAAGCCGCCGGAGGGACGCTCGTTTTCGTCCGTGGCGGCATCGTCATCCAAGTCCTCCTCGTCGCCTTGGATGCCGCGGCCGAGCAGCCCAAGGCTGCATACGATTGCACCGATCTGACTGATGCCGAGGAGCGCGACTATGAAGAAGACGCCAGCACTGCCGTCCTCGGACTGAGGATCTGGACTCTTGAGGAGGCCGAGAGCTATGTAGCCCGCAACACCCGAGAGAGTTGCGAGTATCAATGGCTGGTGGTACCTCTTGTATCGGCCGGCCAAGTAGCCAAACACAGGCGCACAGAGGAGGGCTATCAACTGTGAAGTGCCAGTCAATGCAGAGGCGACGAGGTAAGCTCGCCGGCAATTCCTCTTCACGTCGTCGGAAGTCTTCCCATCTCCGGGCTTGCAGTCGCCATGCTCAATGAAGTAGGCATTGGCGAACAGCGGAATGAACAACGAGATGGCGACAGAGGATGCACGTGCAACAAACCCTCCCAAATAGCCCAGACCGATATTGGCATCACTCAGGCCAAGAGTTAGGGATTCTAGTAGCAGTCGCGGATACGGGAGTATCGGCGCGGAAGTTGAGTCGTCCTTCTGCTTCACCGTGAAAAGGCCGCGCCAGCTCTTGTCCTCTTCGCCAGGGAGATGCCGCAGGCCGATCATGCAAGCAAAGGCGACCACGAAGGCCACAGACCCGACGACGTAGAACGAGTATTCGACGGCTTCGCTGGGCGCAACGCCGCTCTTCTGAAAGCGGGCGGGCAGCGGCAAAAACACACCTAGGGCGAGTAGCGCACCAAGGCCGGTGAACATTCCGACAAGGCCTGCCAAGTTGGAGGTGGACGCGGCGGAGTTCCCGGGCGTGCTGCGAATGGAGGGATGTGAGGAGGCCGGGTTGAGACGGGCCGGGGTGATTGTCAATTCGGACGAAATGGACGGCGCAATGTTGTTCCCGTCGGGATCTCTGCTGGGCGATGCGGGGTCTGCGTCCGAGGGGCGGTCTAGGACGTGTGTCATGGCGGGAAGGACGGCGGTAACCATGGTGGTGCTGCAGGGCGGGGGCAGTCAGCACAGCTCAAGCACATGTGGTGGGAGGGCATCATACGTTGCGGAGGCGCCAAGGGCGAAGAGCAGGCGGCCCAGCAGCAGCTGGGGATAGACATTGGAGGCCTGGACGAAAAGAAAAAGGCTCAATGCCACAATGGCATATCCGACGACGGCGACCTTTGCCACGCCGACACGGTCGCTGACCATGCCCCACAGCGGACAGCCGACGAGAGCAACCAGCTCGTCAGCAAAGCCCAGGGTGCCAACAGCATCGCCGACGCCATGCTTGCGGCCGATGCGGTCGGTGATGACAAACGAGAGGGTGCTGTTGAGGAAGACCAGGAAGGAGATGCTGAACAGGGCGACGCCGAACAGGTAGGTGGCGACCTGCCAGCGCGAGGCCGTGAAGGCGTACATCAGGGCGATCGGGAGGAGAAGCGGTCTGGGTGCAACCACATAGCCGGCGTCGTGGCGGCTGTGAGGTGGGTGGTGTGGTCTGGGGCGCGCGCAGGGCTGGGACGGCTGGGACGGGAGCTACCTAGGCTGGCGGACTGGCCGCATGGCGGCGGTGCTGGAGGAGCTTGGGCGCTGCATGCCTGACGTGTGCCTGACGCGTGCCTGACGCCCGCGCCAAGCCGGCAGCCGCAGCCGCAGCCGTCCAGCTGCTTCCAGTTCCGCGGCCGCTGCGCACGGACTGCCCGTTGGCTGCCTCGCGGCCCAGCACCGCCTGACGCACGCTTTGGCAGCAGAGCGAGGTGCAATGGCCGAGGGGCGATGATGGGCGATGATGGGCGATGATGGGCGATGGGCGATGGGTACGGCGACGGTGCCGGCTCCGCCGCCATGATCGCCCCACCAATACCCGGACCCCACCCCGGCACCACACTGCCGGCGCCATTCGCGCAGACCTCACCTCGTGCACGCTGGCTCGCCTGCCTGCCTGCTCCTCGTGTAATACCAGCAGCCATTGCGCGGCATCGAGCAAGCAGTAGCTAGGCCTGCTCGATGTTGCCGCCATCCTCAAGGCCTGGCCGGGGTTGCATCGATCAAAGCAAAACCGATGTGCACAGGGAGTTCCTGCAGCACGCGTACTGCACCGGCCGAGTGCTTCGGCCTACCTCCGAGACATGCACCCTCCGCTTTTGCTCGATTCCACATGCTGGCGGGTAACGGTGTGTGGAATCGTATGCGGGCGTGCCCCAATCATCGACCGCTTGTGCTTTGCCACGATCCCCGGACGGCACGGTCCGCTGGAACCCACTGAGGAGACCGAAAGCCCTGGGCGTCGGGAGGCAGGCAGCAGCGAGCCTGTATTTTGCCTCGTGAAGGCGGTGCTGCAGGGAAAAAGGGAGGGGGGAGGTGAGGTGAGCGGGGAAAGCATCCGCCTCCAACGACGGAGAGGGGGTTTATGTGGGTTGGGGGCACCGAAGGGAGTCTCGAGAGTGGTGGCCCTCTCCCGTGTGCCACCTGCCTCTCGCCCGGGAAAGCAGCGGAGAGGAGCGAGCGAACCCTACCTCCTAGCCACGTCCGGAACCATGGGATTGTCTCTCGAATGCCATAACGGACACTGGCGAGACCTTGGCCGCATGACAAGAAAGGGCTATCGATATGCATGGCCCGGCCAGCAGCATGTGCCGCCCCATCCATCTGGGTCTTCCGTGCTGGTCGCATGCGGCGACAGCGCATACCGCGTAGCACCAAGACACACGCGGATCGAGCGCGGTGAATGGCTCGCTTGGACACGGCTTCCAGCCACACCAACACAGGCACCCTTCACCCAAGAACAAGCCCACCCGCCCTTGGGACAAGTTTCACTTCTTTTCAGCCCAGCAGCTTCCCGTACTTCCTTGGCTTCGCTGTATGTTGAGCCGCATGTGGTAAATGCGGATCATCGACGCCATATGAGGAGCGACTAGGGGCCAAGTGATGCTATAATCGTAAGATGCTGTCTCGTTCCGCCCATGTCCAAGTATTTCTTTTCCTCGTCCACCCCCGGAAATGCGCTAGCCAGCAAACATGCACTATTACTATCTCTGGGCCTTGCAGTGAGACTTGTTTGTGAGATATGAAGATATTGGATCGAGGTGCCCGAAAAACCGGACACGTTGTGGGCTCTCCTCCTGACCCCGTCAGATCCGCACCACAACGCGAGATGGTTGCCGCGGACGAATGCTGCCTCATCGGCGATGGCCATGGAGAGGGAACCCCTCTTCAGAGGCCCTGAGCGTGCAGAGAGCAACGTGATTGGACGAGACTTGACTCAAACCAATGGGCCGACTTTGTTGAGGGGCTGCTGCCGCGGTTAGTTGCCATCTGAGAGCCTCAAAGCATCCTCTGAACCGGTGGTTATCTAACCAAGAGGGACTCTTGGCCCGACGTGATCAAGGGTCACCAAGTGCGGGATATGCCATGTGGAACTACACATCTCAACGGCGGTGGGGGCTCGTTCTCAACCGCCGCCGCACCGTTGGAAAAAGAAACCGTTGGTTGCTCCCCAGATGATTTCACATACGGCAGTCCCGTCAACGGGGACAAGAGGTGTGCCTCGTGACGCAGGCATAGCTAAAATACAAGATTTGCCAAGTAAGGAGGAGATCCGCGCCATGCTTTGCACACAATGCACGCCCCACCCTCGCCGGCTCTCGTTTGCCTGGGGGAAGAGATGAACTCTTGCATTGTGCGCCTCAATCTGCATGATTACGACATGATGCCATTAGCAATGCTTTTCCTATCGACACTGTCGGGAATCATTCCGAATTTCATATTTTAATTGGTCGCCAATCCGGAGGTCCGTCCGGGACTCCGATGCCTCGTCAGCAAAAGTGGAACGAGGCTTTGTAGCACCATCACGCAAATATGTTAGCGCTCGAGAGCTGGCGCGGGGCTCTGACTATACTTCCAGCGTGGCAGTAATCCTGTGGCTCTAGATCTGTCTTGCGCCCTGTAAGGCGTGGGAGATCCTGATGCAGGACACGCATGTGTCTGCTTATAATAACGCCTAATGCATGTGTGAAGCGAGGAGGACCCCCGCAGCAAGCCAGACGTCGTACAGAGGAAGCGACGAGGGGGGGAAAATAGACCAAGGTGGACCGACCGCCACGCACGACATGTGGTTTGAAGCACGCTACAAGGCTGTAGTCGCATGGGGATCCAATGATGCTCAACAGCACCTCCATGATCGCCTGGATGGCGGGCTGTGCGCCGAGGGGATACGTGCCGACGTGCATGTACACGAATACATGTGCAGCTCTGTTGCAGCATCCTAGGTCGAAAGGAATCATATATCATTGTGGGTCTTATTGGAAAGGACAACTTCCCCGTCTTCTTCCCGCGCGTGCTGCGTGACATGATTTTATAACGTGGTAGAGTGACACAGTCACAGCTTGTGTTCATGCTAGTGGATGTGGCACTGCCCTGCCGTTCTGGCCTACCAGAGACTCAGGTCAGTGTACTGGCTGCGGAGTACCGAGAATGAGTTTTAGCCGCTGCGAACTCCTTCGACAGTGCCTCGCTTCATGCTTACGCTGTGGCGGAGTGCTCCAGTATCAGACCGGGGAGGGGCTCGAAGCGAATGTAACAGTTAGGTTGGGAGCATCTTCTAGATCCCCTGCGGAGCTGTATCATTGGACTGATGCCCAACGGCAAGGTTGTGATTGAAGGTGCTCTGTCCGCGGCGGTGAGCGGCCGATAGGTTGTGCAGTGCCAGACCTCGCTTTCACATGCCGCTGTGCCCGCTCGTGGAAAACCTTGTCCGGACGTGCCAGCAAGATCTTTGGTCAACATGGTGTGGCGGGCTGTCTCCTGACTGCGAGTAGGACCACATGTGCCATGCCCGGCTACTATGCGCTGCCTCAAAGGATGTGCTGCTCGCTGAAAGGCCTGGTCAGAGCGAACGACCCTAGATTCCAACTGGCTCGACCCAGGGAGCCTTGGGTGCATTCCTGAGGCTCGCTAACTAGGCGGCTACGCTTCGGCGGACGGTCAATGTTCTGCCGCTTCTGGTATGCGGGCCGCCGGAGATGACGAGATTCGGGGCATCCAGTGAAGGGAACCTCTCAGAAAAGGTGGGACGAGTGGTGATGTGGCAGAGCAATCCTTTCATTCGTGCAAGACTGGGCCTCGAGTCTCGCATCGGGAGTTTTTCCTTCAAGGCGCTTCCGTAGCGGCTAGGAGCACTGGGCGGTATTACGGGCTCGCTGCCGTGAGTCCTTGCGTGCATTGTGCGGGGTCGGCCCGACCAATACCCGCTTTGGTGTTGCTCCAAAATGCAGGCTGATGTGTGTCAGGGTTAAGGGGTCGGTCTGATTTGGGGCCGTCTCCCGCCTGCCTTGCGCTATCGACCGACAGGTCGGACAGAGATGTTGCAGAGCGGGCGCGAGCGCAGTCATGCTGCGCTCCGTTGGCTGATCGCCTTTCCCCGCGTTGGAGCGTTTGATTGGCACAACTTGCACGGGCTCTGTGCGCTGCTGCAGGATGCTGATCGAGTGGCTGATTGAAACAGTTCGAAAAGGAACCCGGACGTTCTTCGAGAAGGGAGGCGACAGCAGGCGAACACGATCTTCGGCCGGACATTGGGTCTCTTGGATATGAGTTGTCGTATCCACGCCGCCCCTAGTGTGCCATAATAAGCAAAAAACTCTGTATCGTAACACAAAAGGGTGCCACCGGCCTGCTCACTCGGTCAGCAAAGCTTGTGAGCATCTGTGGACCGGCAAACTGGATATTCCTGCCTCAGCCTGAATTGCTTCCCGAGCAAGCTGTGGCCAGCGGACTGCATTGCATCAGAGTCACCCAATCGCTTCCCCCATGAGGCGATGCAGGAGTTATGGGGCTAAAGCGCATTGAGTCCCATGACGGCCGTATGCAGCTGCGATCGCCAGAGCGGAGGGGTCTCGAACCGGAGCTGGAGCCGTAGTCCGTCGGCACCGTCGGCCGGCAGCGTTGGCCGGCAGCGACGAGACCCCCAGCGTTGCCGTCCTTGATCCAGCAGCGATATCGCGCCTTACGAAGCGAGCTCAAACGAAGGCGGGACTAGGGCAGGCCCGGCATCTCCGAGTCGGTATGGTGGAGGCGAAGCAGCCGTACATGGGCGCAACGGTCATCTGATGATTGCTTCCCGTCGGAATACTAGGCGAAAGACAGCGCCAGGGGGGGTGGGGGGAGGGTGGGGTTTAGGTTGGTTACGGCTCGTACTTGTATAACGGCGACGGCCCCATGCGCGCGGTCTCCGCGGGCGTTGGCAGCAGCGCAGGGTTCGGTTGGATCATGTCGAGCGGTGATCCGGACCTTGTATGGGGCAGTGGTGCTCGCGTAGTGGTACGGGCCCAAGACCACGCACAGTGGCGGAATGGTGGCGTGCGAGACCATCCGGACTTGATACTCGCATCGACGGGTACAGCCGCGGATGCATGGGCCCGAGCAACGGTGCATCGATCCAGGAGATCTATCCCGCCACGACGGTCAACGTGAGTCGCGCCAAGGAGTTTTCTGGTTGCTGTGCTGATCCGGGGGCAAATACCTAGGTGTGGTCAGCGACGGGGCGTCGACCTGCTAGTCTCAACCGGGTAACCCGTTAGTAGCCGCTGCGAGACGCAATTGAGGTGATGGAGCTACGCAAAGGGTGCGCCGTGCTGTGGGAGGAGGCGCGACACCGGCGCGTCTGTAAGTAGACCCAAGCAGGAACACTGGACCTCACGGCGGGCTGGCACCATCCATCATTCTTGTATGTGCTGGCGCGCGGAAACGAGTCCGGTCTTGGGCCCCCACAGTGACAAGCATAAGGGCCGGCCCGAAGCATGGCTGGACACAGGCGCGCAATCCAGGATGCGCCATCGCTCGTTTGCCTAGTTGCCCAGTTGCCTTCTTCCTGACGGGCCGTTCGGCGGGCGCCCGCTGAGCCAACCTAGTCTTGGAGCGGCGAATGGCAACGCAGCGGAGAGGGGGAAGCGCAAATCCCGAGACGCACGCTTGACCTTAGGTGCCGACAGAAGCGTGGTTGCGGCGACGCTGGCGGCAGCGAGGGCCAACGGGAGAGCCAACGGGAGACTCAGCTGGTGTTCGGGCCTTGCACTCTGGGCCTTTGGCTGTCGCACAGACACGCTCAACGGCGCCCAGGGCGATTGGCGAGCACCACAGGCACCTCTTCGGTGGGCAAACGGAACTGGACAACGGCTGCATCGACCACGGCACCGAGGCGGACAGCGAGGCCCAGCGGGGGTTTTGTCCGGAGCGGCCGTGGGCGGAGCTGGGGACACGGGCGTGCGTGGAGAAGGGCGCCTCGCGCAGTCTGGCAGATGGCACGGCAGGCGCAATCAAGGGATGCTGCCGGACGCCAGGGCTACACGGCCGGCCTGCGAGGCCTGCGATGAACAGTGGGTTGCTGCGGGTGAGACGCGCCCGCCGCGTACACGGCGGCTGCAATGGCGGGGGTGCTGGACGTTGGCGACAGAAGCGCCAGCGGGCAGCAGATGTTCAGGGACGGCCGTAGGCGCGACAACGGCACCGCGACGACAACGCGTCAAGCCGACCAAGCGGAACGCCGCCCGCCAGAGCCGCTGCGCGCGGGCGGAGATGAGCGGTCGCAAAGCGCGAGCAGGGCAGGCCGGAGCGGAGCAAAAGAGCTTTGTGTTACACAGACTCACGAAACGGCACTGGGCCCCGACTGCGTGCAGCCCGGACTGGGGGGGAGGGGAGGGCCCCTGCCTCGCTTGGTGCTTCTTCATCATCGCAAGGCGTCATCTCCGCAACGCCTGTACATTTCCATGTATCTCAATGAGTAATCCCCACGAAAACAGACTTTGCTTGCGCCCCCACCGGCGCATCCCTCCCAGATAAACGCCCCCTGAACGATCGTCCTGCCCAGAACGCCATGCCTCGTCCCCGCCGCCCTCACCTGCCTGCCGGCGCTCTCTTCTGCCGCCCATGCATGTCAGCGTCCGTCAGAGAATCAGGCTGTCGGTGACGCATGCGCCGCACTCACCTGCTGCGGCGCGCTTCTGACAATCACCGGCTCTGAGACCGCCGTCGAGTCCCGGTCCTCCTTCACCGCAATCTGCCTTCCCTTCCACGTCCGCTTGTCCAGGCTCTCAATCGCCCGTCTAACCTCTTCCGTCGTCCCAAACCGCACCGTGGCGTAGCCTCGCTTCAGGTCCATGCCCAGCGGGCGCCCGTAGGGCCGGAGCAGTTCGCGCAGCTCCGACTCGGATGCGTTCCAGGTCAGCCCGGAGATGTGCAGCCCACGCGATTCCGTGCGGACCACGCCCTTCATGGAATTGATGGGGAGGCCGTGCTCGTTGGTCATTGCCAGCGCCGGGCTAATGGGCGCTACCATCGGCGGTGCTGCTTGGTAGTACGTCACCGGCGGAGCATACATGGGCATCTGCGGCACCGAGATGGGCACCGTCATGCTAGGGTGTTGCATTGGGATTGTCACAAACGGCACCGGTGCAATGGGCTGCCAGTCCGGAATGTTCTGTGCCGCCAACACAGATCTGGCCGTTATGCGAGATCTATGGTCCGAGTGGCCAGCCGCGCCAGGATAATAGCTCCGGCAGTTGCACTTGACCAGGACGGGTTCCGGGCTTGAGGCGTCGAAGTGATGGACTAGTAGCGACCGCCCGAGGCGAGCGTACATGACTCTTACTAGTAGGTCTGCCTTGCCATGTCAGCCACTGCTTCTAGATTCATGCGGAACTTGGTCTGACCGTAAACATTGTCCGCATCCTGCTGGGACTTGACGCTGAAATAGCCTTTGGCGCCTTCAGGACCATGCCAAGACTCGTCTATATTCGTCCAACCGGGTTCGTTGGTCGTGGCATCACGGATGAGGTCCTTTAGCTTTTGCCAATTGAAGTGTTCCGGAAGCTGGAGGTGAAGTCGGTCAGAACAAGGCTGGAACAGGACAGAACCAAGCATACCCCAGTGACAATAAAGAAATTTCTTTCGCTCTGCGGCCGCAGAGCCCCGGGGCGGGAGAAGCCCGGCATAATGGATTAACGAAACAGGAGTGACAGAGTTGTCCGTCTCGGCCGGGCAACTGTGGGAAGCCGCTTGACAGACGCTGAGTGACGCTGGCTTGCCGGGGGCTTGGAGAGCGGATGCACAAGTAAAAGAGGCAACGAGAGAGCGTAGTTACGGGTGAAGGATGGAGACTGAGGCGAGCAAGCGAAGCACAGGGTGGATTTATACTCGGCTGCTGCTCAGTGAGCTGGAGCAAAAAGCACGGCGATGCGCCAATAACATGCGTGGCATACAAGACAGCCGAGCGAAAGGACGGGAGACATAGCATGCAGGCCTCGACGACCCGCCTGCTCGGTGCTGGAAGCCCTTGCAGACAGGGATGGGCCAACAGCGACATGGTTCGAGGGGCCGCTTGCCGGGCGCATGCGAACAGGGATGATGGCATGGGGTAGACCGAGAACAATCCGGGGACGTCAGACGCAGACGCATGGCGGGCAGTGTCGCCGGCTTGCCGCTTTAGATACGTAGCTCGGCGGCTCCATTCTGTCTCTGCAGCTGCGCGCGCGTGGGTCCGCCATCCTCCGGGCACAGACACAAGAGATACCTAGCGTGGCGACAATGCCCGTTGGCCGCTGCACTCCAACCGGCGTTGCCCGCCGCATGCTGCTTGTGCAACGCGACAGCCCATCGCCCGGCCACCATCATGTGCGGCACGCGTCTGCGAAACCGTAGCGTGGAGGAGGGCAGGCTGGTGGTTCGTCTTCGTGCCCGCTGCAGCGCGCTGCTGCTCTCGCATCGCCAATCGCTCATGCTCCCCGCCAGCCGCTGAGCGCTGCGCAGCCAGCCAGCCAGCCAGCCAGCCAGCGCCCGTCACGCATGGGCAAATGCCGTCGAGCGCCGCGCTTCATTCTTGGGGCAGACGGCGGTCACCAGATCACCGCCCGCCTAGTTACGACGACCCAGCCCCCGCCGACGGTATTCGCCAGACGATCAGCCTCTGATCAAAGCCGCCGCTGAGCACCCACTCCTCGCCGCTTTGGTCCGCCCGCCCAACCTTTCCAGCCCAAACGCACCGCACCTTCGATGCCGCCTCGTGCCCGCTCAGGCTTGCGACCACTTTGCCCGTGCTGGCCTCCACTCCTCGAACAATTCCGTCATCGCCGTTCACCCACACACCGCTTCCATCCGGTCGCCATGACAGTGCCGGCGTCGAGTACGCTGTTTGCGGCGCCAGGGTGTTGCACTGGACGAGGATAGCCGCAAGTTCGCGTTCTTGCGTCGCCAAAGCTGCCCGCGCCTGCGTTGCTTGGGTCAACGATACGAACGGGTTCTGACTCGTGTTCGTAGCTGGGGCTGCAGGAGCACTGCCTGTGTCTTCCAACCCAGACTCGATGCCGGCAGCCGGCGGTACGAGCAGTCGCAAGATAATGAGCTTCATATGTGGAACAGCAGACGTTGCGACCGCTGCAACAGAAGAGTCCGTCGGACAGAGAGCAATGCTTGATGGTGTGAAGGCAATCCATGCGTTGGAAGTAGGAGCAAGGTTCTGTGTTCCAAGAAGTTGGAGTTTGCAAGGCCCGTTTGCAACATCGGCGGCTGAGTCAGGGAGAGCGTAGTAGTAGAGGAATGTCGAGTCTTTTCGGGTCAGCACGAGCAGGGGCTCGGTGGTTTCAGGGTGTTCAATGAATAGCAAGGCTTCCGGGTTCGAAGGAAGTGTGAGTGTGGCAACGGGAGCTCGAAGATGCGGGGGGCCGTCCGTGGTGCCTTCAATGAAGTAGAGAAACACCTTCGCATCCCACCCTGCCGTTGCAACCCAGGTGCCACCTGACTGCGCGTGGCTGGTAACTGTCACAGCATATTTGGAATGGTCTCGCCGCTCGCTGACCACAGCATCAGATCGGCAATCGTAGAGCACCGTCTTCCCCGACATGCTCGTCATGAGGAGATGGCTTTGACCAAGCACGCTGTACGACAAGATCGGCGAGTCCTGTGCCTTGCTGATCGAGCGCTCGAGCTTGAACGAGTCTTCGCAGACAGACACCATATGCAGCCGACGGTCTGCGGTTGTAGATAGTACGAAGGGTTCTAACGTGTCATCGGATACGGCGAGGAGCTCGACGGATGTGTTCAGAATGTTGGACGCAGTGGGCAATATCGTGAGTTCTGTGGCGGTTGACGGTGCTTGCAGCGCGTCAGAGGCACGGTCTTGATCTACAATGCAGAGAAATACCTGGACTTCGCCATCCTTTGTCGGCATCCTCGACACCCAGTCTCTCAAAGTTCGCGGTCAAGTCGAAAGTCTCTTTCTCGCGAAGCACCTGCTCGATGGTGAGATCCCCTTTCGAAAGCGTGCCGGCATCGGGTGGCAGATTCGCTTCTTCAAGAAAGGCGGCCAGAGTCTATTTGTAGGATGCCGGTCAGTGGACGGACGGACTCTGCGGCTGAATGAGGGGAGCGACATTGGAATAGTTGTTTCCCCTCAGGAAGCGAGCCACTAGGACAGCGGGCTGCGAGACGGGCATGACCACGCGATGGTGACGCCGGGCCCTTGGTTTGGCAGGCGCAGGTACAAAGTAGTGGCCGTGGCCGTCGGGCGCGTTCGTGGCTGGAATTGGTCGGGTGTCGTTGGTGGGGTTCGGAAGAGATGAGGTCAGTTGCGGCCACCGTGCTTACCCCGCCGCAGAGGCGCTATGTAATCGCCCCTTCCACTCTCCGTCAATCCGGCGCCTTTCGTTCGTCACGGGCCGCATCTAATTCAACCTGATTCCAAGATTGAACCCTACCTACTTACCACGCTCTCCTTAGGACACACGCTCTGCATTGACAGGCTTGCGTCTTGTACGCCCGGCACACTCGGTTCTCAACTCATAGCCTCGCGCTGCACAGCGAAACCCCGCCGAAGCCAATGGATCATCCAAAAACATATCTGGCCGAAGGCGGCCCCTCCGAAGATAAAGGTCTATCATGCATTGCGGCAGCGCGTTGAGCATCTCCACGACACCCACAGGCGGATCAGACCGCGCCGTCTGAATGCTGCCGCGACAGAGACTGAGCAAGGGGATGACGGGAACGAAGACGGGTAATCGAGAGGCTAGGGACTTGGTTGCGTCCCCGCACCGGCTACGACCTAGGTACGGAGTGCATCGCGCACGGCTTGGAGAGCCATCACACATCGTGACCAGGCTGCAGGAAAGTGGAGTGTCGTGCCGAGGAAGAGATGTTCTGCAGCAATGCGGAACGGCAAACTGCACAGCAGTCAAGCCCGCGATCCTCCATGCTGAATTGTGCAACATGGTGCGAGTGCAGGATGACCAATAGCAGTTGACGGCAGGCGCCCAAGGCTGAAAAGGTCAGCCTGCGGTAACCAGATGAGGAACGAAGCGCGGCATGTCAGGTGCCGTGAAGAAAGCTGGCGCCCGCCAGGGTCGCGGGGCCCCACACGTCTAGCCGCGAGGGTCATGGCGTGCGTTTGTGTTCAATCACACAACAGGAAAACCTTTATCTTCGCCCGCTTCCACCGACTGCACTTCGCCCAGATCTCGACACCATGGTTGAACAGCAGCCCGTTCCGTCCGCTCAGCTCGATCACATCATCATTCTCCTCCCTCACCGGGACCTGCTAGACCCTCCCCCCTGGATCACCTCCAACTTCACTCTCAGCCCTGGTGGCCGCCACGCCGATGGAAAGACGGAGAACAAACTCATCGTCTTCCAGGACGGCACATACATCGAGCTTATCGCTTTCATTGATGACAGTCCGGCCTACAAGGATGGTCACTGGTGGGGCGACAAGCGATACGGAGTCATAGACTGGGCCCTCACGTCGTCCGATGTCCAGGATGTCAGCCGTGTCTCGGCTCGATTGGACGAGTGGAGAGGCAAGCAGCGGGATGGCGGCTTGACCGCGTTTGCATACACACGACCCCAGCCGGGTGGAAGACGCAGACCCGATGGTCAAGAGATTGCTTGGTTTGTGACATTCCCTGAAGGTGTCAGAAGGGGCGTGGCCCCGTTCTGGTGCCACGATGTCACCGCCAGGGGCCTTAGGGTATCGGCAAGTGCTCAGGGCCTGCTCCACCCCTGCGGTGCTCTCGGCGTCAGTAATATTGCGGTCCAAACGCCTGACAGCGCGCGTCTGCACGGCGCTTATGACGCCATTCTGGCGCGTCCGGGAAATGCTACTGCCGACAGACACGGCTTCGACTGGATTGTCGAGGCCCCTCAAGTGCTAGCCGCCTATCCAACGCCAAAAGTGACCTTGCGGCCGCGGTCCGGCGATCAGCAAGAAAACGACTCGGAAGCAAGAATCACGATTGAGCTTGTGGTTGAGCCAAGCAGTGGATCCCGGGTACAGAGCCCGATCGATGAGAGAGTTGGCTCGCGCGGAGAAGGTCACATTGAGATATCCTTTTTGAGTGCGGAGAAAGGCGGTCCTCAGTAAAAGCAGCAGGCGCCAGGAGGATTGCGAGACATTTGCCTGCAGCATCATGGCTGTTGTCAGTTACTGCATAACACACAGCATGAATTTCATCGCCCTGACCAGATGTCGTTGACCAGCATGCAAGTCCAGCGATCAGAAGCCCGGTCGTATCGCGTATCATGCCGCCTTGGACAGCCTCCGTGTACGACCGGTTCCGCAGGGACCAAGCCCTGCAGAGCCGGCTGTGACTGCATATCCCGACGCAGGCGTACCGCAGCGGTAAGTCGTGGCCGTCTAGCCGGTTGGCTCAAGAATCAATTCTCTGCCATGTGCAATAGACGACCAAAGGCGACATCTCAATTCCTGTTTTTCTAATGGCTCTATCCCGAGAGCTTCCGGCTTGCAGAAGGGTTTTTAGTATGCGATGTGCTGTCATACAAGCGATCAATCAAGGCAGAGCTTCCTGGTTCGCCGGTGATGTCGCCCCGCACACGCAGCCGTTTGTCGTTACACAGCGTTTCTAGGCGCGCCTCATTCTGCGAAGACCCCTTGTCCGCAACGTGCCTTATTGACACATTCTCCCACTCCATGACGGCGAAGTTTTGACAACCAATGGATTAACGCTCACTTGGTGCAGAAAACGAGTTTTTCGAGGTCGAGTTACCCTCCTGTCTTGGCCGCATGTCTTGCGTACTCAAAGTGGGGGTTTTGCAGTTTTCATCGAGTCGGTGTGCCCGTGCAATGAGGAAGAAGCAAGCAGACGCTGGAACCGAGATGTCCTTCGACGTATGCAGCCATGGCCACGGCCCACATCCGCGCCTCTTCCTGGGTCACGCCACTGTCTACGATATGGGCCGGCTGTCAATTCTCCGCTGCCTGGATGCTCTTGGGCTGCGATGCGACGCGACGCGACGCCATGTGAGCTCAGCTAACAGCTCCCCTGGGACCATTATTCCCGGTCTGGCCTTGGCCGATCCGAAACTTCATGGCATCCAGCTTCCCCGGGCGATCCAGATTTCCTCGGGCGATCCCGTCTGCATTCTTAATTTGTCGAAGCGGGACGCACATCTCATCCAGCAATTGGTCACCGGAACGTGGCTGACATTGTCTCAATGGTCTAACGCATCGGCCCACAAGACTGGTTGGGATTCCACCGAAGTCGAAAGAGACAGGGGAGGAGACAGGGAAGCTTTGATCGGGACTATGCTACTGGACTTGGCGTTGTCGGTACCTAAGGGGATTGATATTTCGATTTCATTCAAGCTTGCTTCTCCGCGTCTGATGGATGCCTGGACGGGGATCGACCTCACAGGTGCGGTTGGACTTACCCATTTCAATGCCGATGGTGCACATTAGTCTCCAGCTTGGTTCGTGTAGCTACATGCATGTGGAAGACAGACGCGGTAACAAACCTGATAGGCTGCCACATCGACGAGAGTAGAAGATTTATCCGCCAGACATGGACGCTCCCTGTCAACCAGTCCCTTCGTGATGCCACAGCTGGCGCCCATATGTATACACGGCAAAGTCAAGCGCGCGTCTACGGAAGCCAGCTGCAGCCCCCGCATAAAAGGCGCAGTTCAGCAAACGAAAACCGCGTACCCGCCCCATGTTCTTGTTCAGCTTACTGTCGCTATAATGTGAGATATCACATCTCAGCCCTTTGGGCGTGCCATGGTACCCTCTTTAGCGATCTAGACGCGCTGCAGTGCCACAGTCACAAGCCAAACGCGGAGGGGACTCGAAATGTTTGCCGCTCGCGTGTTTCAGGCGAGAAGAAAATGAAGCGCGAACCGTTGCCTCACGGCCTGAAAGTCCTTGGCATGCTTGCCCATTGAGCCGCAGAATGTCTTCCGATACTTTCCTGCGTCTCGGCCTCCTATCACCAATTGAAGCCACTGCTTCACGCTGGTACATGTCGACTTTCTGCCCAGCTCGGAAACCGTCCCGACACTTGAAGCGCAGAGGCGAGTTGCATTGCCCACATGGCACACACTACAAGGGCTTCACCGGGCTATCGGAGAGAGGCTCGTTGCCGATTGGGCTATCTCCGCGTCAGATTGCCGGAGTGAATAGGCTGACACCTGCATGAAGAGACTGCGGACGGCTATGCATGCGATCAGCATGGCCACGTTGGCGCGCATAGATCCTCCGAGCCGGCTGGGACTGTTGGAGGGTTGGTATGCAAGGGTCAGGCCACTGATCTACTCGACCCGCTCCGGAAGTCTTGCATTCTTCTCCACCTGTCCACGGATAATACTCGCTGCCTGTTCGTGCCGGAAAGCTGTGTTTCATGGTTTTGTCAGTGTTCCACCTTGCTGAATCGACAACCACAACGAAGGGTACGTTCAAGATGCACCGGCTCATGATTCTGGAGAGCTGCCCCTTCTCGTCTCGCCGTTGCACAGATAGCCTCGACCATGGCCTGCTAGACATTGAGGACTCGGAGTATCTATCAGGGGCTTTGCGGTTTTTTTTCTAGCAATACATTCTGAGTAATCATCGCATCTGCCCCCTTACGATGTGAAAACCCGCATCTAACATGTCCAGGATCTTACCTCCTATCACCGTTGTTCACTGCCTCAACCGAGTCAACTTCCATGGCCTTCCCCGACCAGCCGAACCAAATGAGTTAAGCCGGATTTAACTCGACCAATAAGCCAAATCGACGCCACTACTTGCCTCTCACCACTCACCACTCACTGGCCACCGCCAAGCGCTGACATGCCCCCTCCAGTCCCATCACCAGCCCCACTCTCTTCCCCAACCACAACCCGTCCTTCTTCTTCTTCTCCCTCCTCCCCCTGCTGCTGCTGCTGCTCCCTCTCCTCATTCTCCCTCTCCCTCTCCTCCTTGTTCTCCTTCTCGTCTTCCCCCTCCCCCTGCTGCCGCTTCTGCTGCTCCCTCTCCTCATTCTCCGTCTCCTCCTTCCCCTCATCCTCTTTCTCGTCTTCCGCCACAACCACCACGGCCATGCCCGGCCTCACAACCTGCAAGCCCCTCTCAAGCAGCTCATCCCCATCAATCACACCATCCGGCTTCTCCACAATGGGCAAGTGACACGCCCCCATCGCCGCCACCAAATCGCCTCCCGCCTCCTCGACGCACACGCGGCACGGATAACCGCGGTCGCACAGCGTCGTCGCCGGCGTCGCCATGCAACGCGCACACGGGCCGAACCCGACGACCTTGAACCGGACCGCGGCCTCCACCACCTCCTCCTCGCCGCCGCCACCTGCACCATGGCCATGGCCACTCATCTCGCGGACCTCGGTCGCGCCATCACCGTCACCGCCGGCAGCAGCAGCAGCAGCAGCGGTCGCCGTCCTCTTGCGGCGGGCCCCGCCGCTGTTGCTCGTGAAATGCAGCACCCGCTCGCCCTTCTTGACCGACACCAGCCGGCCCGTGCGCCGCACGCCGACGCCGCACGCGGGCGAGAAGGCGAAGCTGCGCTGCGCGTGGCCGCCCGTGGGCGCGCCCAGCGCGATCGTCTCTTGCACGGCGAAGGCGGCGGTCGGGGCCGTGTGCGTGATCATCTGCGGGGGGTGTTCGTGATGGGCGTCGTGATCGGTCGCGGGCGGCGACGGAGGAGGAAGGGGAGCGGGAGCGGGAGCGGGAGCGGGAGGGTGAGAGGAGGAGAGGTTGTGGGTGGGAGGGGTTGCTGCTGCCATGGTGTGGTGATGGTGCTGAGGTTGAGGCTGCGGCTGCGGGATGTCGTAGGCGGCGGGGAGGGAGTCGCGGCGGCGCTGCTGTTCGTACTGGCGAGCGGTGCCGAGGCCGTTGTTGTTGTTGTTGTCGACGTCGTCGTCGTCGTCGTCGTCGTCGTCGTCGTCGAGGACCAGCAGCGGGTTGGTCTGGGAGCCGCCGGGACGGGCGGTGGCGCGGTGATCCTGTCCGATGGGTTTGGCTCCGGCGGCAATGGGCGCGCTGGTGTTGGTGATGCTGTTGCTGCTGGTTCGACGCTGCTTGGGGTGACGCTGGGGCTGCGTCGCTTCTTCTGCCGTGGAAGGGGCGGCGGGCCCGCCGTCGACCTTGCGCTTGCTGCCCTTCTGCTGCGTCGCGCTTGCCGGCTGATCCTTCTGGTGGTGGTGGTTGTTCTTGCGCTGCGCTTGTCGGGCGGAGCCCTTGGACTTCTCGTCCTTGGCCAGGGAAGACCTGATCATGTCGCTGTTGTTGAGGCGCTTTTCTGAACGTTTCTGTTGCTGCGGGCGTGTGGATTGCGGTTGAGGGTTCATCATGAGTTGCGGCTGCGGGTGCATGAGTTGGGGCTGCGGGAATGGTTGCGGCTGCGGAAGTGGTTGCGGCTGCACCTGGCTTGGGGCAGAGGTGTTCGTGTGGCTCGTTGATGCGGATGTGGGCAATGGGGTCTGGGTGGGTTGCTGCGACTGAGTCGTAGCGGCGTCGCGAGCAGGGTCCGGGTTGAGGTTCTGGGTCGGAGGAGACTGTTGATCAAGCTCGGCGAGGAAAAGCTTCAGAAGATGCTCCTCACTGGAAGTATCCAGCGTGTCAAAGAGACTGGGATCAAAGTCTCCAGAATCGCAAACGGTGTCGGGCTGGTGCGAGGCTTGTTCCTGGTGGTCGCCAGCTTGGCCTGGCTGCTGCGTGGCGTCGTCCATGCTGTCGAATTGGTTTGCTAGATGGCTCATCGCTCCCGATGCTTGGGTCGAAAGCAGAAGTGTTCGATTGATCTGAGAGGGAGAAGGACGCGTCGGTCAGAACCATTTAACAGAAGGCCTCGGATGAAAAGTAAAGGGAATCAACAATAACTCGCTCCATTGTGTAACAATCTTATTGTGTTCACAATAGCGCGATTGTTATTGTGGTCAAGGATGTAGGTGTATGTGCGCCGCTTCACCTGCGCTCACTGTGGAGTGGCCCTCACTTCACGTAGTCGACATTGTTTGATGCGAAAGACTGGACACGCTTGAATCTGGCTGTTACTATGACGACTCGCATTGCTTACTCTACTCCAGTGAAGCCACCCACCTAGGTCTAGAAATTCTGTCCTTCCCCGAACATGTCTATCTCGCGGGAGGCGAGCTACTGAGGCTGACATTGGCCACGATAACGACACCTCCTTGTAGTGCCATTAACCAGCGACCGAGATACGAATGTGCGGTTTGCGAACGAAGATCTGACTAGTGGGACTCAAAGGAAAAGGAAAATAATTGCATTCTTATATAGAGGTCTACTGTTCTTGCTGTGTCAAGGTTGCCAGGTGCTACATAAGCAGTAGTACTGCTCGCTTTATCTTTCGGGGCGGAATCTCTCTTCCCTTGTCTAGCTTCCAACATCTTTGCGATGTTTTTGCCCCTTCCATCTAAATCAGAAGAACGTAAATCAGTCCCACAAATTACATGCAACAACGAGTGACGTGCTTGTCCTGTAGTCGGCGGAAGTGCAAGGCTGCTTTGCGTGGGGGCGGAAAATGGCAGCCTGGAAGGATGTGACACAGCCCCGCGATCCTCGGACATGCCAAGCTATATGTGATCAGACTGCACTGCCACTACTGTTGCTTTATATGTAGCCCAAGGACTTTGATTTTCCACCAGGATCCGCACTTTCGACTTCACATGTGAAAACCACCAAGGATTCCGTGCAACCTCCCATTTTCGCAAGCCAAGATGTCGCAATACCAAAGCATGAGCACTTCGGAGCAGGATTTAATGCGCCGCATGGACGAGTACAAATACGCGCTCGACGTGTCGGCGACGAGTGTCGCAAGGCTTGAGCGAGGCATCCAGCACATCGGCGGCCACGTGGAGCTGACGAACAAGCTGCAAATCCTGGGCATCAACCGGCCGGGCGGCTTCGCCGAGCACGTCTACGACCTCGTGCGCATGAAGGCCGACGAGACGCGCGGCGCCGACGACAAGTACTTCGTCTACCACCCGGACGACTTCTGGCACCCGGCCTTCCACAGCCTGGCCGAGCGCAACGGCGGCCTCCCCGCCTCCTTCGGCATGAAGTCGAACGACCTGGACCAGATCTGTCTCCACATGCAGGCTCTCCGCAGCACCCTCCTCGAGGACGCCCCGTTCCACCTCCTCATCCCCACTTGGGACAGGCTTGTGCTGAGCGAGCCGCTCCACTTTCCGAAGGAGCTTCAACCGCTTTGCATCGAAGGCGTCACGTACGACAGCCAGCCCCTCGTCACCATGAACGTTCCGCGAGCTCCCCGGTACTTGCTCCGAGGCGTCAAGAATGAAGTCGAGTCCGAGGAGTCGGCCAAATTCCGAGCGAAGTGTGCCATCATCGCGGCGTTGGCTGCCATCGGCTGGGTCAGCGCTCATCTCGTTCACTCTCGCTTTCCAAGCGTGCCGTTCTGGACCATCATGGTTGGCCTCCCTTTGTGCCTGGGCGCGGCCCTCAGCGGGCCCCTTGGAAACTATCGTGGCATTTTGGAGAGACGGTGGAGGGTGGCACCGGCGAGGATTGTGGGTTCCGGCAAGAGGGTCGAGGTGGAAGAGATTGAGCGGGTTACATGAGATGGAAAGGCGCAGAGCAGGTCGCAGTCGTTTATATTCCAGGCTAATAATATCGTCGGATAACATGCAAAGCGAATGATGGGATATCCAGAACTCATAAGAAATGAAGAAGAAAAAAAAAATAACAAAAACAACAGAACAACAACCGCAAGAGCCACTCCTCGCTCACTTAGCGACTCGCACCGCTCGCCTGACTCGCCCGGTCCGACAAGTCCAGCTCTAGGTCTTCATCCTCTGTCGGCGCATCCCCCAGCCTCGTAATCACAATCCAAAGCACCCTATTCGCCATCTTCTCCTCCTTCCTGTCGCTCTTCCTGATCTTCTTCTCGCCCGCCTTCCGAATCTCCCCAATCATCTGCGCCCTCTTCTCCTCCAAGCTCACCGCCAGCTCCCGACTCGCCATCCGCTCATGGTGCCGCGGCCCCCCATCACCACCATCCCCACCCCCCACAACAACCCCACTCTCCTCCCCAGTCCCCTCCTCCCCAGTCTCCTCCTCCCCAGTCCTATCCTCCCTCCCCACCATCAACCCCTCAATCTCCCCCCTCAGCGCGCTCAGCTCCCCGTCCAGCTCCGCCGCCTTCTCCCGCCGCAGCCGCATCCCCTTCTCGCGCCCCGCCGCCAGCGCCCGCGCCGACCGCCCGTTCATCCACCGCGTCGGCGCCGTCGAGTAGCGCTTCAGCGCGCTCTGCGGCAAGGGAGCGGGCGGCACGTCGAAGGTCACGGGCGAGACGGAGCCGGAGAGGGGGCGGAGGCGGCGGGCGTGGAGGAGGTTGAGGTGTGCAGAGGCGGTGGTGGAACTGGAGGTGGGGATGGATGAGGTGCTGGCGTGGCGGCGGTGGGAGGAGGGGCGGGCGAAGCGGCTGGTGCTGGTGGTGGTGGGAGGAGATGAGGAAGTAGTAGCGGCGGCGGCGGCGGCTTCGGCTTCGGCGTAGTGCTGCGCCAGCAGCTCGTCGACGTCAATATCCTCATCCTCGCCCGCAGCACCACCACCACCACCGCTACCGGCCAGGAACGAGAGCTTCTTGTCTCCGCCGCGGCCCACGGCCTGCAGCATCCGCTTGGTCGTGCACGTGCGCACGGCGAGGCCGCGGGGGGCGAACAGCTCGGCGTTGGCCTTCTTGAGGTACTGCCTGGCGCGCACGAGGGTGACGGCGCCGGAGCCGAGGGCGGCGAGCGCCTGGAGGCCGCCTCCCGCGATCTGCACGGGCAGGATGGGCGCCGACATGACGGCGCCGCCGGCGACGAAGCCGGCCTGGAAGAAGGGGTGCATCATGAAGGCGTCGTTGAGGCCGTCGATGAAGGCGAGGAAGTCGTCCTGCGAGATGGGCGACGGGCGCAGCGTCGCCAGCGCGGGCGCGTACGCCCGCGCGAAGGGCGAGAAGGACCGGACGTAGAACATGTTGATGCTTTCTGGGACGACGGGTTAGTGACGAGATGTGCTGGAACGCCCCGGCTTCGGGAGGGGAGGGGGAATGACTGACGGGGGATGACTATGGGCTTCGAGATGCTAGTGCTGCCCATGGTGGAGGACCTTGAGCGGGAAGATGGCTCTCCGGAGGGGGGAGTGGGAAGTTCGACCGCGCAAGACAGGGCTTCAGGGAGCTTGCTGCCATTTTCCTGATATGCCGGTGGCTGCTGCGCGGGGTGTGCCATGTTCGTTCGGTTTTGCGGCTGAATCAATGTCCTCTCGGTAGATGTAAAAGTATCTTTGGCTTGGCTTGCTTAGCAAAGCTTGTCCGGTTGAGAAGTGGTGGGAGCCTTGGATTCTGCTGTGTTTGGGACTTAGCATGTATGAGAGCTCCAAGGCTTTATAGACGCTACGATATCGTGCTTTTCAGACTTGAGACCTCCAAGCGTCACTGCACTGTGCCATGACAAGTTCGGGTTGCTATTTTTATTCAGTGGGCGTTCCAAGCCCACAGCCGGTGAGGGTTACCCATGGTGTTGAGCTGCGGCCAGCCCACATGCCTTAGTGATACAGTTGCAGATCCCACGACGTAGAGACAGGCGGTCATGAGCCGAGTACGAATCCAGCTTCGGATCATGGCAGTTGGCTAGGCTTAAATTTAAGCTTTCCGAAGTGTCCGCTCGTTCCGCTCTGCCGATCCCCAGATGGATCCCGTCGAATGCGAAACACGAAATCTGCGACTGTGGCTCATACCCTGGTTTGCGTCAATTCACTGCTCGTCTACCAGCATGGGAAGAAAGCAGAGGCAGTGCAATGCGGAGAAGCGGGTAATGGGAGGGTCGCTGGTGCAAGTGTTGCCCTTTTCAGAACAGGAGATTCGGATGAGAAAGCCATGACTCTCGCAACCCCCAAATGAATACTTGCTGCGCCATGTCTTGAGCTTGAGCGAGAATGAAGGGCTCACAAGCATCCCAGGCCACGTGCGAAAGAGTCTAACGACAGCAGCAGGGCTGTGCTGGCCACTGCTGCAGACTGAACGAGTAAGCACACTGGTGACGCAAACCGAGAAGACCAAGCTCAGCATCCTCCGTCATTTCTTCCAGCCGAATCCTTCGCTGACACGAATGCCCCAGCCCACAACTCCTTTTCCGAACTGCTCTCCGGACGGGAAAAGAACGCCATTGGCCTCGAAGATCGAACCATCTCTCCGGTTTTCTGCTTATGCTGAACGTTCAACTACGCTCCTTCTATCGTGGGTATCGTGCGCAAATCTAAAAGTTACAAAGTCGTCCCGGAAGAACGCAAGACGTTCGAGCTGAAATGCAAACAAGGTCACTCAGCCAACGTGAGAATCGAAAGAACCCACAATAAAACTCATCCACATCAGCAGTCGCCGCCGGCGCCGGCGCCGGCACCGGCGGCCTTGCTATCTCAAAACAATCCGCTCGCCCTGGATTCTACTCGCAACCTCGTACTTATTCGGCCGCTCCCCAAGCCTTGTCAACGACCTGTGCAAGCCATTGCCATCCCCATCCGACGTCGAGCCCCTGGCGCACACAGCCGCAAAATCCAACGACGGGTACCCGCAGCGTTCGGGCCGGCGCTCGCAGACACGTACCGTCGCGGCGATGCCGCCCGCCGAGATGAGCAGCAACACGCCAGCGCTGACCACGAACAGCCACCGCGACACATGCCCCGCGACGACCTGATGCGAGAGGATGGCGATGCTGAGTTCTGTGTACATATCCGCATCCAGCCCCTCGCGCGGCTCCTCGAGCTCCCAGATGTTGGGCCCGGGCGCGAAGTAGTTGGCCTGGAAGTAGTCGAGCGGGACCGACATGGCCTTGCGGATCGCTTTGAGCGAAATCTTCTTGGCGACTTGGCTGTCGCTGACGGGCAGGGCGGTCACGGCGTAGATGGCGAGCTGCGAGTTGTCGCCCTTGATGTCAACACTGCTGTTGAAGCCCGGGACCACCGACGAGAGGGCGAGCATGTAGTCTTGAAGCGAAACAGGGTAGACCTCGGGTTTCGAAAGGTCGGTGAGGGACACGATGGAGAAGTTGGTTCGCGAATAGTTCACCGTGGCGAAGCGCCGGTATACGAACATGGACGTTGCGAGATCCAGCTCAGAGGTCCAGGATGTGGTGTTCAGGCAACTGCTGTTCATCTGAAGAGCTATGGGGCAGTAAGCCGACCCTGAGCGGCATGTTAGCAATAAAGCATGGCTGGAAGAGGTAGACCATGGCATGTCTTACCGAAAAGGAGTTCTTGATCCGAGCCGATAGCGGAGCACCAGTACGCGGCCGCGGCGGCACTTCCAATTAGATGGCAGCTGCCCTCATCGTGGAGAGTCTGGACGTCGTGCACTGTGCCATACTCGACATGATAGCCCTTCACGTTGGGAACCACATAAGCCTTCGCTTCCGGGTAGCTTGAGAGATCGTCCGCTTGCGGAGATATCGAATTGAAACCACCCGACATGAAGTAAGATTCTTCGCAAGCTACCCATTCCGAAGACGTGTTGGAAACCGTACAGTGTCCCTCTCCTGGACCAAGAGGTTCGACTGAGACGGCATCTCGATCCGACCATAGAGGGTTGCCCATTTGGACCAAGAGTGCCGTGGTTGTTACGGCCGTCAGCTCTGATATGTACGAGGCGTTAAAATCCCCAAGTCCGGCAGCAACGGGATAGGTTTTTTCTGGGAAGAAGACCAGTTCGATGTTGATGTCACCTGTAGTGAGGCGTCAGCATCCATCAGGGCCTACGCGAATCGATAAACCCTTACCCATCAGAATGATACCAGGAAGGGGGATCGAGATAATGACCAGAAGGCTGGGGAACAGAAGCGCTTAGTCAGTGAAGTCGGCGGTCGTTGGTGGCAGTACTTACCGGAAAGCGCTCGAGTATTTTTGCTTCCAATCTGCCGTAGCCAGCAATCGACACAAACCCCACACTCCGGTTCCCGAGTCAAGACCAATAAAATGCAGCAAGCCGACGCCTTCTGGCCTTGACGCCAACGCCCATTGCAGGTCTTCGACGACGACAATGACAAGAGCGCTGAGGATGACGGCACAGAGTTCGGTGAGAATACGGAGGACCAGGATAGCGTTGCTTGACGAGGTGGCGAAGAGTTTCCCTCGCATCAAAGACTTGGCAGAGCCGGTCGAGTAGAGGACGGTAAGGACGACCATGGCGATGGCCAATAACAGGAGAATGAGGGTCCATAGTCCGAATCGGCTGCTTTCTTCAATTTTGCGGCTGTAGCGACGAGCTCGTAACGGATTTTCTTCGTCGACTTCCAGGGGGGCGGCGTTGTCCAGTGGACCAGTCGGGTGAGTGGTGGTCAGTGGAGCAAAGAGGACGCTGCGGTCGCCGTCTGGAGAATCGTCGGCGGGCGTGTGTTTCCAGTCGCTCAGGTCGATTGCCTCGAAGCGCGGGAGCTTCAGGCGATCTTGGCTTCGGCGCGCCTGTCTGTAGGAGCTGCTGAGTCGTTCCATATTGGGAATGCATGGAGAGCTTCTGCGCCCTGCGTACCACCAAAGAAGTGGATGTGCAAGCAGTCACCTGCTGAGGCGGCGTAGATATTCTGCGCCCCAGATGTGCCCCATATTTTGTCATGGTCAAATATAGCTGGGAGCCTGGGGTTTCAAAATACGAGAGATAGCGGCATGCGGAGAGCCTCAACTGTCGCTTGGCGAGTCATACAAAATATAAGGGATCAAAGGAGTGGGAAACGAGTCATGTATTACGGAACACAACGGCGACAGCAATAATAATCATGGAGAGACATATAGCAATAAGGGAGAGTAAATAGGCTAACCGTTTGCCATGTGCATGTCGGAAAGGGCGGCCTAGTCCAGAAAAGAGCTTCTGTACTATAAGGTTACGATGGTGTTGTAGACAATGCGCCCATCAAGCGGGCAGACGCCAAGGCTTGGAAATGCGAGCAGAGATAAGTGGCCGGCCAGGGTGAAGTGGACGACGTGGTATCGACGATCATGTCTCGGCCTGCAATTACCAAGCAGCATCGGATAGCAGACAAAATGGCACTGGATTCGCAAAAGGCGTACGTAGGCAGCCACGCGCCGCTGCCGGGCGGCATGCTCGCCGTCGGCTGCGAGATGAGAGGTGGAGCAATATTTCTCCATATATCAGGCACATTGAAGAAGGTTGAAAATTGCAGGCTAGCGCGAGCAATGCCTGCGGTGCGGGTAAATCCGACTGCGCGGGTGCTCGGGAGGGGCGTCAGGGATGACCGGTTTCAGGCCACAACAGCGAGATAGAGATGCAAGGCAAGAGACGGCATGGCGGAACGCTCGAGAGGTCAATAGAGAGTGAAGAGGAGAGGTGGAGGGATGCGGTCAGCATTGCCTCGCCGCGCTAGGTGGGTAGCGAGGCGGCTGTTGACGTAACCGGCAGCAGCACTCGTCACACTTGGAAGGTGCAGTGCTGCATCGCCTTGCCACGGCTGCCTGGAATGCGAAGCGCAAGACGCTGGCGTGGGAGAAGCGGCCGGTTCACGCAGACGACTCCGCTCCAGAGTCCAACGTCACGTAAGTGAAGTCTATGCCCTGGGCGTGTGCAGTCATGTGCTTCGTTTGTGGTTGGAGTTTTCCCCGAGTAGCCAGAGAGCCCAAAATAGCAGCAAGCTCCCTGCAAGTCGACTGGCAACTTCCGCACGGGGCGATCGCGGGCGCGGAGAAGGATAGGCTCTCGAGTTCTGGTACGCGGCTGGGCCCGTGTGAGACCAGCCCGCCAGCGAACAGCCCTACTCTGCTTGGCGGTTGTCGCAGACCTGCTTCTAGACCCGCCCCCAGGTACAGTTCACTCTGCGTTCGAAGCGGTCAGCTGCTGCAAGCAAAGCTAAACTGCAGTCCATTCGAATTCCGACCCCGACAAAACCATATCCTGACAATCTGCGACGACCGCCTGCATTGGTTTCTGGAAGTGCAAACTGTGGCGTGGTCGCGAGAATCGAATGCCAACTCATGGTTTTTTTTTTTTTTTGGCTTTTTTCCTGCCCGCGTGGCTGGTCCCCGATGGATATTGTCCGTTCCATGCAAAAAGATAAACGGGCTGGGGGCAAAGTGGCACATGATGTATTGCGAAGTGTGGCCTGAACTTTAGCATGGTGCTTGCCATGGTGAATATGTGAACTGTACCGCAGTCAAACCGCCCAGGGGCCCATCCGACCAGACGTGCCTGCATCATTTAGTAACTCCAGTCCTTCGTAATAATCCTCCATTGCGCGGTTCTACGTACGTTTAGTATATCAATCATGCCATGAGACTGGTGTATGAAACGGTCCACGGAACCAAGGACTACCTGGAAAAGAATATCAGCGACAGGTCGGTCCACAAGCATCTTTGTTGCTCTTCCTGCACTGGAGAACGATTACAATCAGCCGAAGTCCCGTCAAATCCAAACCCAAGCGTCCGCACCCGATACACCAAAAGAGATCTGACCAAAGTGCACGGAGACGAACTAAATGCTCTGGCCCCGCCAACGACTTCTCGACATCTCGTTCGGACGGCCGGCGGCCGCGACGGCGGGCTTATGGCAAGGCGTGTACCGGCTCTAATACACAAAGGCGTGCGCATGACACCAGCCCGCAACCACTTTGACTACGCGCCGACCGCCACCGAGCGATAAAGGAGACGGAGAAGGACTGTCCCGTACGTTTCTCGGTCGTGCTCCACTCACGCTACATTGCATACTAGAGAGGAAAGATAGGGAGAGGAAGAAAAAAGGGAAAAAGGAAGGAATACGTACTGCACAATGCGTCGCGGGCGCGGCCCATTCCTCCGACGTTAATCAGTTTTGCACTGCATAGCGTCCACCTCACTAGCTACGCTTTGACCGGGGTCCGAAGATAGGCCATAGCAGAAGAACTGTGGTAGAATTGGGGGAAATCGTGTATAGCCAGGCGTCGTGGCTGTAGTATTAATCGCCACCGCTAGCGATGGCAGGAAGGAATGCGGCGGTGGTGGCGGTGGCGGCGGCGGTAGCAGTACCAGCGTTGTTCCAGAAGGCGTCGAGTCGGTTCTCCACAATGCGTACTGCGCGTGTGTGTAACCTGGGTGGCTTTCTGCCCGTACGAAACTCAGCGGCAGACGGATGTCAAGCAAGTGGTTGAGCGCTTCGCTGACCAATGACTTCCATATGCGGATAAGGCCCTGCACCCAGTAAAAAAAAGTGGAAAATAAAAAAGCCAAGAGCGGCGCAGAGCGGCGCGGCGACTTGGGGTCATGAGGATCCGGACGATGACGAAGTCGTACAAGTGTGGAGCGTGGAGTAGCGGTATGCATTCATATCGTGGTGGCGATCAAGGCGGAGATCTACGTAGTACTCTGATCAAGGGGCGCAGTACTAAGGAGAGTAGATGTAGGTAGCGGCGCCGAAGCCTACATTTGATTGGCCGGGCGCTGGGCTGGTCTTGTCCTCAGCTGCTGCGGCATTGATCGGTGTGACGCCAACCTGGTTTGGTGATGCGATAGGGGAAAGGGGTGGCTCGATGCCTCGGCGCTACTTGTCTATCGTTGCGGATAAGCCTCGATAGACCTCTCGCTGCTAGATGGCTGGGTGCTACCTGCTGAAGACCATTGTTGAAGCATCATGATATGCACGGACAATGAGGTAGTTGTTGACAAAAAGCCCCATGGCCGCACTGGCCTCGCGGCAGAGAAGGTTCCTTGCATCATGCGTATTCTTGATCTACAGACCGGTCAGCGCACACGATAGAACCACGCAATTTCCTTCTCCTTTCGACCGTATGGAATATGCGGCAGATACAGAGGTTGACTAGTTCTAGTTGCCTGCGTCGGCTAATACCCCAATGATCTCACAAGCGTTCTCGACTCGCAGGTTCCTTGCCGCGCGGGAAAACCCTTGTACCACACCGCCAAGTAGAATGACACTTAGACTTTTCGCGGTGGAGTTCTGAGGCGCTCCTCTGAGGCGCTCCTCTGAGGCGGCCGGTGCAGCTGAGTCGGTCCATCTGCTGGGAACAACGTGAATGCGACAGACTGAGACCAAAATCGTTGTTGGTAGGACGTACGAATTCTTCTGTTCTATTCCTGTGTCTACAAACAGGCTTGAGTCGTGATGTTACCAGAGATACGTCGCTATCATCCAAACACTTTTGGTGCAATTATCGAGCATCGTCGTAAAAGAAAACAACCCCAAAGCTTAAGTCGGATACGGCAGATGAGTCCTTCTGGGAAATGTAGAATCTCGCCAGACGCCGCCACCACGTGCTCGTATCCGCGAACTTCCGCCGCAGGGGGTCGAGTAACCCTGAAGCCCACGTGTGTGGGGCCTCGGGTGCATGATTGGCATGGCCGACGGGGATGGAACGGATAACGTGAAGATGCATGCTTGGATTCGAAAGGCCAGCAGTGCCTTATTCTGCATCCCGGACTAGCTCTGCAAAGAGAAATAAGAGAAAAAAAAACATGGCGTGGTATCTGGAAGCCTCCAAAATGCAGAAAAGCGAGACAGCATCGAAAGTTAAAGCAATAATGAATGGGGGTTCAAGCGCCGAACTGAGAAAAGACATCCTTGAGTCCGTGTAGTCTTGACAAGAACAGGGAGGTTGGAGGGCGCGTTCGCCACACGCAGATGTTCTCAGAAAATTACGGCAGTGAGCCCCGGTGCGGCATCATGTATCCTTTCTCCTGGCCACCATGAGCAATTCGATCATGTCGTCCGTCCGTCCGTCCGATGGTCGTGGTATGTCCGTCTCCACAAGCCGTGGCGGCTCGTTGGCTACGGGTGAATTTAGGCGTCCTCCTTCTCACTGCCGCTCTTCTCGTCGACGCTGACACCGCGCGCATGTGGTCTGAAAACGGCGTCCTGTTCGCTCATGCGCCGGGCCAGAGCGCGGTCGAGCTTCGCGCCCAGGGCCAGCTTGCTCATGTTATCGATCTTGTCGGGCGAGGCGACATAGCGCTGCGAGACGAGGCGCTTGTCCTCAAGACGGTCGAGGCCGGCATTCCAGGCCTTGATCTCGGCGTGGCGAGGGTCGATGGAGGAGGTGGTCGAGGGGGCGATGGACGGCGTCAGGGTGGGCGCGTTGGAGTAGGTGGACAGGCGAGCCGAGTTGCGGGCAGTGCTGGACTGCATGGTGCCGGTGTCAGCGAGAGGAGAGGATGGAGAGGGAGGTAGGTGTTGTGGGACGAGCGGAGGATGGAGTAGTGCAGATACGAGGAGGTCGGGACGGCATGGGTGTGGGGGCGTCTTACGTTCAGCATTGGCCGCGAGGACTCGAGCGAGTTAGGCATCGCGAAGGATCGGGCGCGTTGCGACAGGGAGTCGGGCGGGTGGTTCAAGCCGTTGGGCTAGCGGAGGCGGTCGGGGTGGGCTTTGGATGCTGGCGGGCCGGGGGGCGGCGCGGCTGGAGGGCGAGAGCTGGGGGGGGGGGCGTCGCGGAATGCTGCAGACGGAGAGTGGGTGCGGGAGGAAGGCGGCGGGAAGGGTGCTGCTACAGACAAAAGATGGTCGCGAGGCTGGCCAGGATGAAGGCTGGTCGAGGTACCGCAGGATCAGCTGTTTCGGGCTCGTCGTGCGTTTGGCGTTTCACGCGGCCGGGCGACCGCGAGCGGATCGGCAAGGGGGCAGATCTGTACGGGCGCTGGGGCCGGGCAGAGTCGCAGTCTGAGACAAAGCGTTGCGCAGGCGCCGGGCAGGCGGTCGAGCGTGGCAGCACAGGCGGGCGAGCGAGTGCCGGGCGAGGGCTGGCGTGCTCTGGCGGGCTCTGGCGGGCTCTGGCGCTGGAGGGAGCTGCTGCATGCGCTTTGCCGGCGTGCGGCGCGTTGCGGGGGCCTGGAGCTGCGGGCGTCGCGGTGGCAGCATGCAGCCAAGGGCGGCGTCACGGCGTGAAGAGACTCAGGCCGTCAGGGACGCCTCCGCCTGCGATTTGTCGCCGTGCACGTGGCAATGACACGAGCCCCCCCGGCCCGCGCGCTGCCAACCATCCGGATGCAGCTGCGGCCAGCGCCTGCGGCCAGCGCCTGCTGCGAACCGCACGGCGGGCGAAGAGCTGCCGCTGCCGCTGCCGCTGCCGCTGCCAGATGCCAACTGCGAGCCGCCCATTCGCCTCCGCACCACGTCGCGGCACTGCAGCGCCCGGCCCACCAACCTTGCAATCTCCTCGGCCTCACAGCCTCGCCCCAGTCGCGCGCTGCGCCCACCGCGCCCTGCGGATCCGCGCGATAGATCTGCGCCGGCGCACGCTACTTGCCGCTGCGTGCCTCTGTTCTCAGTCAATGCGCCGCAACCGACAGCCGATCGCGTCCACCACGCGACCGCCCAACCAACCCCCACCTGCGAGCCCGGAGCCCGGAGCCCTGAGCCCTGAGCCCTGCGCCCCGAGCGTGTTCACGCCCACGCGGCGCAGGCCCTTTCTGCAAGTCCCAACGACACTGCCGCGCTGACTCTGCCAGCCGAGAAGCGCGCCACCCGCTCGTATCGCCGAGGTAATGTGTGACACGGCCGCTAGATCCATCGCCCATGCTTCGCCTCGGCCGCTAATCTGCCCGCTGCCCTATTGCGTTGCTGCGAAGACTTGTAGCTGCTGCAATGGTCGCGAGCTACTCGCTTCCATTTCTAGACGCGAGATTACCCTGGATGCCTGTTTGGGAGTAGTCGCTTTTCCACGACAACTGCACTTGCGGTGAGCTGCGAATCGCCGCCGAACAAGCGCACCCTGACTTGGAAACGATGGAAGGACCAGGTAGGAGTGGGGTTTTTTTCCGCGCCACCGGACTCCGGGTAAGGCTGTTAGACATGGTCGTAGCTTGTGGGTGCCTCCGGCCATGGACGCTGCACCGGACTACTCATCCATACTATTCCGAACGGAACGCAGATTTAGCTGCTAAACCGAGACAGGCAATTTCGGACGCAGTCGTCAACTACCCATGCAAGCAGCGTGCAGTCCTTGGGGGAATCCGAGGATGCCCATGTCATCTATCATCTACTATGCTACCATGTTTCCGAGGAAGCATTACAGCAAATCGATCGCGAGCCACGTCACAAGAGAATGTAGCTTCCAGGCACAGGTTCATCCATGTATGTGGGAGTGAAGACGCTGAAGTCGTATCCGCGAACGGCTTACCGCAGCAGGTATGTACTTGGCACTGCGATCACGGACTTCTAGCCTGTGAGCGACTGTATTTACTATAGCACTACGACAGCGACATGATCTTCACAGGTTGCGACCGACTCTTTTCGAAGCATTGGCTTGGTCTTGCTGTTCCTGCACCTACCACGACAGTGATACCTGATATCTTCCCTGGGTCGTTCAACCGGCTGTACAGTTCGTAGTGAAGGTGATAAGTGTTAGTGAACCCAACAACCATCCAACGTGAAAATAAAGTGAAGTGATGCACGAGCCGCTTATGTGGAGGAGTGTCTTAAACCCACGTTGCTCCCCAAAGGTCTGCAGGCAACCCGATTCATCGCGAGAGAGATGCTGGCTTCAAATCATCCTTGACCGGCCCGGATTCATCCTCAAGACTGCTGAGAGTACTTCACTTGGGATAGTATTACCCGGTGGATAGACACGGACACGTGACGTCAACGTATCGTCTCTATCACTGTCGTGTCTGCACCTCTTTTAACCTTCGCCATGGCACCCACACACCCTCCTCACCATGGTAGCATCCCGAGCAAACCTAAATCCAACACCATGGATGTGCCGCTTTCGCCCAACCCTGCCCGCAACCCGTGGCTCAAGCCGGGCCAAGGCAAGTACGACAAGGACTTTCTGCTGTCCCTCCAGTGTGTCTTCACGCGGCCGCCGGCGGAGTTGGTCGACAACCTCCGCCATGCCGGCGTTACGCGCCCGCTCGCAACCCCGCCGAGGCGCGTCGTACCTTCCATCGGAGTCACTCCTCCGGCTGAAGACGAGGTGAGTACAAACCGGGGAAGGCGCACTCGCGATAGTCTTAGACTGACATCCACGTCACAGCGTGAGAAGACAACGCCTAGCGAAGCCGCAAAGCAGATCAGAAAGGATAGCATCGCTTTCGTCCGCAAGCGCACCGATGTGAGGCTCAACACGAAGGAAGCTGAGGTGCAGCACCAGCAGCAGGATCTGGACCGCCAGAAGGCGGAGCTCGATCAGCAGAAGCGGGCCTTGGATGAAGAGAGGGTTCAGCTCCACAACCACTGCACCAACCTGCAGAACCGTCTGGAGGAGAGGTTCCAACAGCTCCACGTCGAAGCCGAACAAGTTGAGCGGGCCAGGCTGGAGAACACGGCCCAGACCTTGATGGACAAGGCGCAGCTTGAGAAAGACAGGAAGGTCTGCAATGACCTCCATATTGAAGCCTGGATGTCCAAAGCCAAGTCGGAGCAGACGAAGAAAAACACGCTTGCGACTGCCCGGAGGGTGCTTGCTTTCTTCCAGGTCAGGGACGATCTCTCGGGGGAACTCAGTCAGCGAGCCTTGGCCATGCTCGAAGCCGAGGTCAGGGCGTTGGAGGAGCAAGACCAAGACCACAACTTTTCCTCGGGTGCCCAGCACGGCTGTGGATCTCAGAACGAGCTGCAGTCGCTGCTCACAGGCAACCTCGCAGTCCCCCGCGATGACTTGAACCGTCTGGTCCTTATCACTGGAATTCCTCTCGGCATTGCGAAAGACGAAGTTGCCCGCGCCGTGGGTGCCGTTTCTGGAGGCACTATCCGTGTCTACTCGGTGCTTCCTGGCTCTCCGACTATGATGGCTCTGGCTTACATTGTGGGCTATCCAAACAACTTCTTCGCGGGCAACTTCTACGTCATGAAGGATGGCGAGATTCAACCCGTCGGCAAAGTGCGCCTGCATTTCGTAAGTGGCGGCTAAGAGAGAGTTGCTGGTGACAAGTACTACTAATGTGCACCTCAGAGACTTCTCAACCTTTGAGGGCGATAGTGGTACATGGGGCTATGCTATGTTGATCCAAGTCAGGTGGTTCAGATCAACCGTGGACACTTACTTGCCCAGTCTACGACAGATGTTCCGTCCAATGACTGGGCTCGAAGGGTGTGAGCCGCCCATGCTCCTGCTTTTCTCGTAGCACGACTGTTACAGAAGTCCCCGACAGCTCGGTTTCCCAAGGAGTCATGAGAGACCTTCACTGGGCCTCCATACAGCCAGCTGATTCAGGGCTCCATAGTCTCTTTAGATAAAATCCCCATTAATGGATACCTTAGGTACCGGGCTTAGCGTGCGCGTGGAATGGTAGTTCTCGGTGATACTGTGAGTGACCAAAGGGCGGTAGCCATTAAACGTGAGTGACAGTACTGTGTTCGATCGGGGTTCGAGGAGAGGCCAAGATGCGGTCAGCTGTACTCAGGGCCGAAGAAGCAGAACAGCAAGCAGTTGTCGAGTGCAGCGTGAAGTTGGATGAAGACGTAACGACCCGTGGACGTCACCATGCTGTTTCGGGAATAGCGTACCGGACCTTGCATATACTTTGTCTGCCCCCTCCATTCCAGCCAGCCCCTCTCCTCGACCACGAACCAGCCAAGCGTCTCTACGTACCACTCAGCGACGACGCACCCGCACGGTTCGCGTAACCACAGGCCCTGCCCCGGATCTGAAAACGGTACCGCAGCTGATTCGCAGCACTTACGTCTGGCTCAGGTAGATCCATTATTGTCGTCCTGTCAGGCCCTGTCATGTTTTGGCAGTCTAGCCCTGAGGCTTGGGCCTGATGGCGGTGCACACCACTAATCGTACCAAGGCACCACCTCACCTTGTGCGACTCCGTTGCAAGCGGAGGGAGGACCCGAGAGACGGCAAAGCTTGAGTCGAGGGAAGGCAAGTCCTGGCGGCCACCCCGACGAGGCCCTTTCAATTTCCCACCCCGACATCCCTCTCTTCGTGCCACGCTTGGTGCCTGTCTTGTAATGGCCCCTCTCCACTGCGCTGCCGTTTCACCCGACACTCCTCCAACCCGTCTCTCCCAACCTCATTGTCCTCCATCATGCGCGGCGTCACAGCTCTTGGCGGCCGTGGTCTCAGGGCCGTTATCCTGAGCATGTTCGCCATTTCTCTCATCTACCTTGTTGGGAATTGCTTTGACAGAGCCGCTCCGTATGCACTCGACGCGCCTAAGACAGGGTTCTACCAACCCCACGACGTTGCTGCGCGACCATCTGATGAACTCGTCTCCCCGGCGGTTACCACCTTGAGTGATGAAGAGCATCCTGCGAGCGCAAAATGGCACCACGAAGCCATGTCGAAGATCAAGGACAAGATAGGAGCTTGGATCCCAATGGACAAGGTGCATGGCATGTACGGCGCCATGCGTCCACCGTGGATGGATCACGCCAAGGGCATGGATCCTTCGGGTTACAACCATGCGCCTTCTTCGTCTCCCGCCAAAGAAGAGCGCAGCCCCATTGTGGGGAAAGTGTCAATTCTCGACAATCCCGAGAATGAGTACGTTGACCGAGCGGTCAAGACGCACGCCGTCCACGACAAACGTCACGGCTACCAGCACCACACCATGCGTGAGCAAGCCGCCTCCACCCCAGCCGAGAACTTCGCCACGCAAATGCTCTCAGTCCTCCAAACGGAGCTGAGAAAACCGCCGTCCAAGCGCCTCGAATGGCTCTACTACTTTCCCGCCACATCCATCATCCTCAACCCCAACGTGCCGCTGGAGCTCTTCATCCCGCCGACCAAGAACGCCACTGCCTTCGAAACGACCTACCTCCTCTACTCCGCGCCGCCGCCCGATGCCTCCCCCTCGGCGCCGTCCCCAGACCTCTCCCGCACCGCCTTCGCCGCCAAAGTCAACCAGTGGAGCGTCGACCTATTCACGACGCTCCGCACCAAGTCCGCCGCCGCCGCTTCCGGCAAGAAGCAATCATCGTCCCGCAACAAAAACAACAACAACGACGGCGGCGCCGGCTCACCCATCACCATCTCCTCCCTCCTCAACCTCCCCTCCTCCGCGCTCTCCCCCCACCAACACGCCCTCGCCCTGCCCCCCCGCTGGCTCAACGCCTGGCCAAGCTCCTCCTCCACTCAGCCTCCCTCGTCATCATCATCATCATCATCCTCCTCCTCCTCCTCCGCCGGCAACAACGCCATCCTCGACCCCGACACCTCGTCCACCTCCCTCTCAGGCTCAGGCCCAGACCCAGGCTCGGAGCCGATCCCGCCCGGCACCTTCGCCCTCACCCTCCCCCTCCTCGCCTTCAACTCGTCCACCACCGGCCCCAGCGCCTCGCCGCCGACATCCACCTCCTCGGCGTCGTCCTTCTTCTTCGACGGCGACGACGACGCCAGCGTCGCGCAGCGCCGGCGCTTCGAGCACTGGTTGGCGCAGGCGGAGGCGGCGGGCGACACCGGCGGTGGCAAAGGCAAAGGCAGTAGCGGCGGAAGCAATAATGGCGGCAGGAACAGAAACAAGTGGGAGACGCCGCTGCGGGATACGTGGTACGGGAGCGAGACGAAGGCGTTTTGGGCCGGGGATGTTGGGGTCGCGGGTGGCAGCACTGCTGGGACGGGTGGTTCGGTGTCGTCATCGTCGTCGTCGTCGTCGTCGTCGGCGTCGTTGGCGTCGGCATCGTCGTCGTCATCGGCATCCTCCTCCTCGTCGTCGTCGTCCTCGTCGTTGCCGTTGGCGTCGTCGGTCGCGGCGTTCTCGCATCTGTCGAACTGGCTGAGGCCGCCTTCCAAGGCGGGGGCGGCTTTGAGTGCCGCTTCGGCGGCGGCGTCGTCGTTGTCGTCAGAGCTTCCTTCTGCTTCTTCGTCCCATGCGGCGACGGCGGCGGCGGCAGCGGCTGCGAAGCCGAGCGGCGGAGCGGCATCCGCAGGGAGTGACGGCAGCGGCACCGGCACCGGCGCGGGCAGTCGGAAAACGGTCCCAGAGCTCAAGGAAGAAGTGTTGACGCTGGTGCGCGAGATGGAAGCCAGCGTGCACAACTGGCGGCAAGAGGTCAGCGAGGAGGTGCGGCGCGCGACGGAGAGCCGGTGCGGGCGGGCGCGGGAGGCTTTGGCCGAAGTGGAGCTGGACTACGGCGACGGGGAGAACGAGGCGGGTCAGGACCAGGCGGCGAGGGCGAAGCTGCAGGCTGTGATTGCTGGGTTGAAAAAGGTGGGTTGAGCAACCTTGGTGTTGAGCTTTCCCTCCTGCCGCTTCACCTTTCCTCATTAGGATATGACTTTCTTTTGGGTTCCGGAAAAAAAAAAAGAAATGGTACATTCAACTTGTATTTTCTACCTACTGCTACGCTTGCATTTCGAAAAAGAAAAAGAAAAAATATCGGGAATCTCCGTCATTTATGGACAAGACCGCTGACTCGACCATGGCATGAACAGACATCGAATCGTTTCCAACGCCGTGCAGCAAGCATCGCAGAGCCAGGACGATCGAGGCGATAGTGAATATCAAGCGATCGGTATCATCTAGTCTGTAGGTAAGAGGCACGCCGAAAAGATGTGCTGGGTGCCGTCGAGGACTCTATACAGCGGATGACATGAGCAACTAATATCCTAGTCTCGCCGCTTTGTAGATGAATGATGGGAAGTAGAGAAGTCGATGGACTTGCTAGTGGCATTCTGATGTCACGTCGTGTCCACAGCTTGTATTCTTTTCTCTCTCGCTCATTGAATCAGTTTGACGCGCTTTGTAAAATGCGAACGCGTCTGGCAATAGTCGTATGTTGGGTTTAATTCACGGAGCCATTTTTTGCTTTTTCCTGTACCTTTAGTCAATGATTGCGTGTGCCTGCGTTCTCAGTGGATGAACAGCCGAGAATCAACGTAACCATGAATGATTCGAAGTGCGAGGATTGCTTCCCATCGTCTGACAAAGCGAATATCGAGCCATCTGCATGACCACAGGTTGCAAAACGCGCGGCCTTGAGCCAGCTAACCCGGTCCCCCGCTGGGTCGGCAAGGCAGTCGACGCTTCTAGACTTCCGCCCACCCCGCGATTGCTTCTTGGCGAGACAAAATCGTAGATTGGTAAAGCTGCTCGAGGCACTGGCTTTGAGAAAAGCGCTCATGGATGGTCAAGTACCCTGGAATCCATGCAGGGCCGGTGTTTCAGAACTGCTTATGGTGAGGGTTGCTTAGTCGATGGCAGGGAAGCGATGGGGGAATAAAACTTGTTAAGGGAGCATGTGCTGGCTGCCGGGTTCTTAGAGAGGTTTCCAAGAGGCGGGGGCGACAACGGATCCTACAGCGCCAGGGCTACGTTGGTTGCCCATGTGTCAAAGTGTCTTGGCGAGAGGTTGCTGCGAGAGGATGTCTACTTGGTGATGATGGGTGCTAGTTCGAACGAAAGCTTCGGGTACGGGGATCGTGCCACGAACGATGGATCGGCTAGGAGCAACGGCAACCGACGACTATGAGCATCAACAGAAGGTGAAACCAGGCTTACCGATTTGCTGGCGACGGGTACAGTTCAGATATGTCTCTAAGGGTTTCTGGATAGCAGGAGATGTTCTCCGAAGCCAGTAGGATGATGGGCCACCGGGGTTGGGGAGGCCGACAGACGCGGGACGCGCGAGGATGACGCAGGCTATAAAGTCTCACGACGAGTCGGTGGTGGTAGCGGTTGGGGGGAGTGGCTGAAACACGGCTCGCATGTGAAGTCGGACATTTTGCAGATGAGGGCGGGTCAACGGTTGGGCACGATGGCGGGCGGCGGAGAGGTGGCGGAGAGCTGGTGGGTGGTGGAGCCGGACACGACATGCTGCACGTCAGTCATGAGAACGCGGCGGCCGGCGGCGTGGTTGGGCGTTTGGGATCCGAGGCGCGAATAAGCTGCAGGAGTGGCGGGCGGGCTCGGCGAGCTGAGTGGACAACGGGGTGAGGTGTTGAGCGCGATCGACGACGCGCACCTGGAGGCCCGGATAGCGGGGAGGCCGGCCGAGGAGCCATGGCGGGATGACGCAGCAGCATCGGCCACTCAGGCAGACGGGCTCGTCTGGCAATGAATGACGTCCGGCGACGATCCAAATGCGAATGCAATTGAGGCTTCTTCAGGACGGACGCACGAGCAATATCGGCGGCGGATGGCAAATGTCGCAGCCGGCGGGCGGGACGCTTTCGGCTGGCGTGTGCTTGGCGAGATGAGGATCTGGCGGCGAGCGGGTGACAGGCATGGGGCTGCTGCATGCCGGGAGGGCGGGAGACGTGGGCGAGTGGGCGAGTGGGCGAGTGGGCGAGTGGAGGCGGGCGGCAGCTGTCGTTTGCGCGGCGCCATGGCACAGGTAGGTAGGCAGGCCCGCATCGTGGCATGGGTGTGTCGGCGGGCGGCTCGTACGAAAACTGAGGGCGCGCGCGTGGGCTGGCTGAGGCGTGTTCTGGAGCTTGCAATCTCTGCGCAGGCCTGAGCGCTGCAGGCGATGGTGCTCGGCGTGAGCTGGAGGATGTGCTGAGTTTATCGCGGCGATCTGGCTAGATTTGCAGGGGCCGGCAGATGAGGCTACCGCGCGGCGGGCCCTGAGGCCGGGGCGCTGCCAGAGCGAGGCCCTAGCCGCACTAGCTGGGGCACTGGCCGCGCGCATGGGGCTGGCTTGGGGCTGGCTTGGAGCTGGCCTGTCCAGCACACCTCTCCACCTCAGCCTGCGCGGCGCCCCCGATGGGCCCCGATGGGCCGGCCACGGCGAGCCACGGCTTTCCCCAGGTCCCAGGGCGCCAGAAGCGGTCGGCAGGGCCCACGCCTTGCCCGTCCGGGGCGCGTGCTGCTGGCGCCATGGCCTGAAGCGGGCGCCAGGTCGCCGCTGGTCCCAGCCCGCAGCTGTAAGTACTGCGGCGCTCCCGCTTGTGCTGCGCGACGGGTCACCGCGTCTGCTCCAGCTGGGTCACCAGTCGTGGCATCATCCATCCATTCGGCCTCCTACCTGAGCCCCTCGCATCGCACACGGCTCGCGGCTCGCACGCCCTCCAGGGCCGCCTAACAACCCGCCGCGACCATGTCAGCCCGTCCCGCCTCCATTCATATACCCAGCCGCCGCTCGTCGCTGCGCATCCGCGCTGATCGCAGGACCTCGAGTGTGGCGTACTCTACTCGCTACTCCGACATCGACCCGGCTCCCACAACCCCGAAAACCTGGCTTGTGGACCACCCTGCTGCCCTCCCCATGTCAGCTGCCCGCCGAGCTAGCATACAAAGCAGGCCCTCCAAGGCCCGTGGACGTAAGCAGCCTCAATCCCTAGATTTTACTCCTGCAGCCTCCACTTCTCCCCTCCGTTCCTATGATAGGAACCAGGAGCCAGAGAAGATGAAGCTAAGGCAGTCATCAATCCTCTCTGCCGCCTCCCTGAGCTCCAACCCGCCGCAGATGGTCAAACGCTGGGATGGCAGCGGACGCCGCTCTGTTCAGTGGGATGGCCTGCGAAGAGTAAGTCGTGCACCGCCAGCCCGCCTCCGCGACAAGCACTGACACCATCCAGGACAGTGAGCTCTGGTTCGCAGACGGTGACTGCTTCGTCCATCTGTATGAGCGCGGCTACTCCCGCCGCGGTCCATCATTCTGTGTTCCGATGGAGGCTCTCAAGCACGCTGCCTGCGGCAACCTCTTCACTCTGTGCTTTGCCCACACCGTTTCCCGATCGCAGGTGCCTGCAAGCCAGCTGAGTGCGCTGAGAGATGCTCCGGCCCAGATGTACGAGCTGTACATCCCCGCTCCAGAGGGTTTCATGCGCGAGGAAGCTTTCCAGTGGCACCAAACCACCCGCAACTTCTTTGCCTTTCTCTTCAGGAAGCCCCTGGTTGGAACACATCTTGGCGGCGCCTTCGTTGATCTGCAAGAGCGCCTTCATCTGTTCCGCTCCGCCCAGCCTAAGGAAAACCAAGCTGCTTTCATGGAGTATGCCGAGGAGGTGGGCTATCTCAACTTCACTCACCGGCCCGACAACGCTCTGGCCATGCTCTACTACTCCGAGCACTATGAAACCAAGGATCTCTGGATCGACGCGTACGCACACTGCGTCGGCATGAACGAGACACTGTTCCTCAGCAGCGAGCACGAGGTAAGTTGGCCGGCGTCACCGCTTCAGGAAGCTTGCGGAAAACTGACTCTTTCCAGCCCATTCCCAAAGTCACAAAGGCCCTCATCACTCGAGCATACCTCGAGATGGATCTGCACTTGACTCGCGTATCGAAAGCCGTCAGCACCTTCTTGGAGGCAGAACTGTCTCCGTCCAACCTTGGCCTGCCGCCAGGACCTCGCGCTCATCTGGAGCGATTCCGTTCGTTTTTGAATTCATTCTATGCCGACAAGTTTGGGTATTGGCCTCCGCCCAAGGGCGCCGGTTTCTCCCGCGATCTTTGCCGTTCGATGTACTATGACTTCAAGGCGCTCTACGACTACCTGGTGGATATAGACTCATCCGAGTCAATCCAGGCGCAGAAGCCTGCCGATGGAGGCATCTGCGTGCTGCAGAACGTGCAGGCTTTCGACAAGAGGCACAAGTACACTCCTTTGCCGCATCCACTACCACTTCTTCCTACCACTCCTAAGCCGCATGGCCGTGTCCTGTCGCAGCGGAGCCTGGTGTCTTTGACTTTGGGCAACAAGCAGAGCAAGACCGACAAGCAGCTCATGCAGCTTGCTGCCCTGAGCAACGCCACGAACTCCAGGAAAACTACCATTGCAAACGCCCCGCTGGTTAGAGTCTACAAGATCTTCGAGCGGGATTCGCTCGATAAGCAGAAAGAGAAGGTCTCGATCTCTGACGCACGCAAGGTGCGCTGGATCCTGATCTACGCAACCCTACAGATGCTGGTGTCTGTCACGCGCGCACCACGCGAAGTTCGTGACACCGAGGGAGCACATTATCCACTATGCTGTCTGACAGCGGGCACACCACCGTGGAAGAATAAGCGACCCGAGGAGTCCGTGTCTGCATCCGACTCGGGTTACGCATCGGCCGAGACAGATGCCGGTACACAAGGTGCCGCAACATCGCTGCCGGCTACATCCGCCAACGACCTGTCGTACTCTATCCGTCCCGATTGCGAGGGATCCGACTACATTACGCATACCAACTTCCAGGAGTCCCCGAAGTTGTGTCGGCGATCGTCCGTGTCACAGGGTGGTGATATGCCAGCACCGCTTCGCATCTCTAGCATCTCGTCACCTGTCCGATCGTGCTCAAGACGTCACAGTGTAAGCGTTCCGCCGCTTAGCAGAACAACCTCATGGAGGAGCTCGATCGGCCGGTCTCTGTCGCCTTTTGCTTCTCGGAGGAACAGCATCCGTATCCAACCCCAGCCCTGGTGTGAAATCCAGGTGCCTGGGTACGGCAACGGACTCAATGAGACGATCCTCGACGAACCCAGCCACACGGACGCCACGGCTTCTCCGACAAACACGGTGCCGTCCAAGTCTAACTCCTTGCGTCGCACGTCTCTTCCCACCAAGCTGACTGTCAAGACGTCCTTTGCTTCTCCTTTGGGCGCCTTCTCTCCTGTCACTGAGCCGATAGTCGAGGACGACGAGAGACGAACCCCTATCGAGTCTGCCGATAACTCGTTTGACTTCAGCGATGGTGGCGCTCCCTTGCCTGCCGCTTCACCGAAAGGTCCCTCTTCCGTTTCCGCCTTCTCAGAAACGCACGATGGCGTCTCTTCCAAACGTAACAGCTACTTTCATGCACGCCATAGCAGCGCCGCGTCGGCATCAACCGCAGGGAGCTCTCAGCTTATGCGCCGAAGTGCCAGCAGTGGGTCCGCGCAATCCAGTGGACCCAACAGCGTCGCGTGGTCACCCGCGGAATCTAGCTCAACCGCTACATCGGTGACGTCCAGGCCTTCTTCGCCTTCACCCTGCAACGAAGACATCGCCACCGACGATGCGCTTTCTCGCACCGAGCAGCTGATGGCTGAGCTGGATATCGAAGCTACTCGGGAACATATCCTTCGCCGCCAAGAGAGCATCATCCGCCGCAGCTCAACCAGTCGCTATACCGAGATGCCACCCGTGCGTCGCAGCTCCAGCGTCTATTCCTCCAGCATCTACTCCTCCTATGCAGCGGACATTGTCAACAGCAGTCGCCCCGGCACTGCCAGCAGCGACTACTCGAAGGCACGACGTGTGATGGGTCTGCCCGAAAGCGTCAACCTCGGCGACGGTGGAAGAATGTCCGAGCAAGATGTCGCCAATATGTATCAACAGTTGGCTGGCGACTTGTGGGCGGCTTGAATGGCGCAACAAATATGCGAAAGCATGCACAAAAGCCACGTCGGCGTATTTCCTTGTTTAATGCACATTGCGATGCTTATACCCCACCTTTTTGACTGATTTTGAGCGCTATATACCCTAGTACCAAACTCCATCTTTTTGTTTTTCTTTATTACAGTTCGTCAATCTCTTCTCGAAGTGCTTGTTATTTCCTTGCTTACTTCTATAAGAAAGATTGCGGAACTGTGGTGGGCTATCTGTAATGTTACCGTCGCAGTGGTAGATGACGCTCTTCCCGCCGGACCCAAAACGTCGGAACAGGAAGTGTTGAACTACCAATCGGAGAAAAGGCGACCATGCTCTATCGAGTACCGGTAGAGCAATTGTTGATGTTTACGTCGTGATTACATATTCTCCTGGAACAATTATAATTAATAAAAAAAAAAAGCCCGAGGACTTTCCCTTGACTACTATCACATCTCACATCTGAAGTGAAGTAATACAACTGCAGTCGTCGTTACTTGCTCGCCCAAAGTCTCACCACCAACAACAGGAGCCAAGACAAAAGACAAGCCACACTACTCCCTCCCATAACTCCACCGTCAATCATTCAAACACACCACATCAGGCTTCAACAGTATCAACATCAATAAAGTCATCCACCCCCAAAGATTGGTGCTACCCACCCACCCACCTCCACAAAATTTGTCTTGCGGGAATTTGAGAAGAAAAAAAAGTCCCCCAAGAAAACACGCGAAATGGTCATCGACAGAGCAGACAAACGGAAGGAACGGGAGATAAATTAGGGTGTGGACGTGCGTTGCCCACCACCACCGCCGCCGGCGCCGAACTGCCGCCACACGCTATTTGTATTGCTTATTTCACTTGCTGATTTCATGGCCCCCCGCCCAGCTGCCCAGCATCCCATGATGCCAACGGTCGATAGCGCGGGCAAAGTGGCGCCACACCGTGTCTGATCCGTACTAAGCCGCCAAGAAAAAAAGGGATTGCCGCGTGGCTTGCACAAGCTTAGGAGAGAGAGAAAATAATAATGAGGGAAAGGGAGGTAACAATTGACAATGAAAAAATAGAAACTAAACTTTCCGTGTGGTCTGTCCACCATCGTCCCACAAATAGAGAGGAAAGGGGGAAGGGGAGGAGGAAAGAAGG